ATATACACGGCAGCCACCTCTCGATCCTTTTGGTGGGCAGAGATCGTGGGGACGAGGTAAGCAGACGGCCAATTACTGAGTCGTTGACTGGCTGACCTAGGAAAGCATCGCGGCGATATGGACACTCAACGGGGTCGTATTGGCGAGAATACGTCGGCAATACCTAGTCAGGTACAGATTACACCTCAATTTATTCATCGTTGATCTGTATTTCGCTGACCCGTCTCGCATCATAGGCACTGGAGGAGCATGGTGCAAGGGACGTTCCTCTCTCTTCTCTTACTAGGATTCGCAATGCAGTCCATGGACTCACTTGCGGTCCTAATGTTTGCGGTCATGGTAGGGACGATCTGCCCACAACCCCGAGATAATACTGTGGGCCTCCTACCTTACTTTGCCGCTCTGGGATGAATAAGCCGGTCGGCATGAGTATACGCTACAGAGCCGCCAACTCCCTCGTCACGGCCAACCCCCGACAGGTTGCCTCGATCCAACCCGCTTCGAAGCCCAATTAAGATATGGATTTCAACTGGGCACAGGGCAGGCAGCATTCCTATACTCTGTCGCCACGTTTATTCCGTATCCACCACACCAGCAAAAGCCAACAGAGTGAAGTCGGCTACACAGGCCTTGTCAAGGGGCCCAACAATCGTCCAATTACTCTGAAACACTTCCTGCACGTCTTCACTATTGTCACTATTGTTATCGCTGCGGGTCTGGCAGCTCGCTATGGCGAAGGACAAGATAACAAGAATGGCAGGCACCTATTGCGCTACGTGTGTCAACTTTCTACATGTCACCAGGTACGACTTGATTCACCCTCGACTATTAGCCTGGAGCTCACGCCAAAGTTGTTCTTCTGCAGAGTGCAGATACTCTTCACCTCGCGGGCCGATTCATTGTTATGTCCCCGACGACGTATCTCGTCTGGGTGCTGCTCTGGGTCAGTCTGGTCTGTGGCCGTAACTCACGAAAGCACACATACTGGCGATTTCACCTACCCGGAGACCTGGGCTTTTAACGATTATACTTCTACTGCGGCACCGATTGCGCTGCATTGTAATTTGCTCCACGAACATCATGACTTCTTTCTCTACAACACCTATCGGCACCTCCAGGCCCCCGGCCACTAGTCTCGAAGTAGGCAATGCCAGCCAAGGATGTGGCGCCACGGCAGCCAATCATTTCTTGAGCAATGGCCAACATGGGCCGCGGTGCATACGACACGACGGGTGTGCGCAAACCACCACTCCCACCGAGGCCCACACACAAGAACAAGTGTCAAGGGCGCCAACATGCAATGCTCAGCTTATATCCATCAGCGCGACTACGGTCCCGGGGGTTCGTCCACACTTCCTGCGGTGTGAGTCCTCGAGGGCACCGTCTTGCCAAAAGCACAAACAAGGGCATAGTGGGGCGTCGGTCCTCGCAAATGCTGGACTTCATTTGGCTTGGTCAATGATGGCGCTCCTACATACGACCGCACCCGCCTATGACGACACATGGATCGAATGCTTGGGAGGCCTAGTTAGCTATAGGATGGCTATTGAAGATGACGTTATTTTGACCCCGAGTCTCGACTGCTGCTTCACGACACTCTCGAAGCCCACTTGCAAGGCCTCAACCACTGGCCGACTGTACCATCACCTCGCAAACCTGACTCGACCAAACACACTTCGACAACTTAACTATTTCTACAAAGAACTTGATGCACCACTTCCGTTTAGTTCGATACCGAGTCTGCCATCTGGCGCAGAATACCAGTGTGAGGTCAAGGGCTGTGGGAAGCTGTTCAGCAGGAGCTATAACTGCAAGGCGCACCTGGGGACCCACAACAAGAGCAGAAAGCACTCCTTCCTATACACGCTGTCCGCATACTGTTCAACCCAACAATACAGTTGACTTCAAGCCCTAGGCACATGACTACCGAAGCTCCCTCTCGCCAAGACACATGACATTTTGTTCAGAGCTGAGGCAGCAGTCGATTTCACGTCTGCACTGGTACATGAATTTCTCTATCAGGACAACACGACGGTGGATGGAGTTCTGATATGTCTAAAACCACAGCTGTTTGTTTATTGACAATGGCACTTGCTAAGTATATCCAGTCGCGATTTGGGTCTATGTCACAAAATGGAGAACGAATCCGTTCTAGGCAATACTCCCTCGCGAGGCTCATCAGAAGGGCAAATGCCTCATTTCACGCCCAGAGAAGCTTTCCGACACTTCATCCGGTCCGAAAGCCCTTCTCAGAGATCCAAGGAGATATTCCCTACATCCCCGTATTGGAGTTAGCTCTACTTTTGCGGCTTGATTCATTGGCACTTAGGCTTCTCCTGAGGATCGTTGTTTCATGGCCATTCGCCCCCAACGCCCTCGCTGAGACTGTTGCTGTTGCTGGCAATAACACTGATGATGTGCTTGCTCTCAAGGCTAGCCGATGTTGGATACTCCATGGGTAGTGCTGGAACAGAGATTGCTAAGACCGCACACGCCATTATACTGATAGGTGACGGATTCGCATCGATTGTCAGATTTTTAAGTGGGGGTAGCCTGTCGGCGGTACAATCCGGTCTGACAGTTGTTTTCCATTCAAGGACAGCCAACTCGAAAAGTTGTACAAAGTCGGACCGGGTGGTGAAGGTGTTCCAGTTCTACAGGACCCGTGGATCTTCGGTGGGGCCCCGCTTCTTGAGAGAGTAACCAATAGAGATCCAGAGCTTCCTTGCATCCGCCTCGGTAGCTTTTACGGGGAATGGTGTGGCCTTCTTCTAGTGAGAGCTAGACGGACGAAGGCAAGGGTGCCGAGTTCCGTGTGTTCAAGGATTTGAAATCGCCTCATTTCGAACCGTAGCTTTGACTGCAATGTTTCGAGAAGGATTACTTGGAAGTCAACTTCTTGGCGAATAAGAGGACGCAGTCAATACTATAGCCAAGTTAGAGGAGTCTCTATCATATACTTGGGTACGCCTCTACGACATCACATACGACCATAGGTACTAGAGAACTCGGGATCCCGTCCGCTCTCCCTTAGATAAACTGGTAACCGCTGGATTAGTAGTTGGGTGGGTGACCACCAGCGAATACCCGGTGTTGTATGTTTTATGTTGCTTTTTGCCGTTATGATCTTATGAGTCATCTCGCTGTTTTGTTGCTGTGATAAATTTGAACGTTAAAACAAACTCTTGTATGTGGGAGAGTGGATTCATCAGTGAAAGCTTTGACAGCGAGGTCTCGATGACGACGGGCCGGACGAGGAGACAATTGTTTGGATAAGCGTTTAGCACAAGCTACGGTGTCTCCGGCAACATTTGCCAACGCGTGGCCAAAAGCACAGGACTCTCGCCATCGCCCATCGTTCATCCACCACTAATGGAGCTTCAGGATTCCTTCTCCTCATATCTTCGACACTCGTTTTGGTATCTTCCTCGGCGCAGTTATTACCGCGACCAGCGGGGACTTGGCTTTTGCTGAGAGAGCTTTGCCTTGTTATAGAGACTACAGCTAACTTCTTGGCCGATTCGGCCTTCGTTGGAATGCGGTGCGGCCGAGGTATTACAGAGACGATCAGGACCAGCAGAACCACGTAGATTATTAAGCATGCATGTTCATCCCGCATTGAAGTTGTTACGAGTCTTGATTTGCCTTCATGATCATACAAAATGACATTGTGACTTCACACAAAATTCCAGTCTTTTCGCGTAGGTCTGTCCATTTAGCTAGGATAGGATTGAGGTAGATGTATCTGCGTGTCCACAGTTTGCGACGGCTTGAAGGCTCCCTATGCCGACGTATTTGCATTTCACAATCGCACGGTAGAACAATCCTCAACTTCGGCGACATGGCATCCCGTTCTTGCATGCTATCAACAGCTTGACCAAAAATTTCATGCAAATTACCTGTTAAGCAGAGACCAACTTTGTGCCTAGCTTTTCTCTCAATTGTGAGAGTTGTATAGAATAATCGTTGTTCTTATTTTATTAATTGAAACATTGGCTGACGATCACCCGTCGTTGATACAGGAGAAGCTGGGGTGTTTCTCTTCTTGTTAATCTGCCCATATGATTTCATGCATGTGATCTTTGGGCGGTCCAATCATGCAGACCCATGTACTTTGATCGTCCAGGGACCCATGTCTCCACTATTTGCTGTTGATCTCATGTCATTATATGGATCAGGGCAAGTGCTAAGCAATCGGCCAGCGTCAGGATCTCCAGGACCGTGGGCACGCTGATCTTTTGGATGAAAAGTTTCCACATCAATTCTGTTCGGCATCCTGGGCCGGAATAGGTCAAATACGCATCCTTACATAGTGATACGTCACAAGGTGTCCGGTAGCGTCCATTACGCAGACAGCAATTGTAAGTTTAGCACAATTGATGGGCATGTTTGACACAAAGGACCTGTGTCTATTTCTTGCACATTGATACAGTTTGGGTTGTATCAGAGCAGATATTGAGAGCTGTACGACCCAGAAGAAAGTTGATCGCCCCGGGTCCCGCCAAGCCCGCAAACAGGGGAAGTATGATCGGCTGATGTACGACGTCTCACTAGCTTAGCAGGCCAAATATGACAAGGACAAAAACATGGGCTCTAAATCAGATGAAGGGCATGTGGCTCTAGAAATAGGTAATATATGGGCACTGAAACATCTGGAAATTCCATTGTCACAAGATAGTTAAACTGGAATTGGTAATATCTATGCGTCACGAGCCTATTTCTGGGCCAAGCAGTTTTGGCAGGTACCTGCGATATCATGGAATTCGAACTACAGGTAGGATGACCAGTATCTCATACTATGAAGAACGGCCAAAGGTTCCAGAATTAATCAGACTCACAAAAAGTCTGTTTTGAAATAGTGAATGTGCCGTCCTCCATATCTGGTAGCCTCAGCCCGAGTCTATCCTGAGACGATGCCTGAGCATGATTGTATTAATGATTTTCTGATGTTTTATGGCTGGTGATACTGCGCCCAAAATTTCATATCCTTGACCCCAGACCTAGTTATGGTGAACATCGATCTGTCTGCTTACGACAATCCCACCAGGGCCGAACCCATGCGATCCTGGCCCACGTGAAGGCTTCTCGACGATATTCTTCTGGCTCTCGCCATCGCTCGATAAACTTCCACGGCTGGTCTTGTCGAGCCCTCCAAGAATTTGCGTGGACGTAGCAATATCACCCTTTCTGTCCTTCGTTGAGTGAACCGTACCCATCTCGTATCCTGCATCGAAAGACCTGTAAGGGTGGGCCGACTTGCTCGGCAGCCCGTTCGGGGTCAAGCCAGTAGGGACAGTATCGCCCCCTGAGCTACCGAGGCCTAGGAATGTGCGGAATAGAGGCCTCAAAGTGGAAAGATTCCCGACGAACATGCCAAGGCCGTTCTCCGCATATCCCCAGATCACAATGTTGGCCAGGCCGACTACAAACTTGAAGTTAGTATGGTACTTAGGTTATGACTGAACAAAAGGAGGACTTACATAGGTATTCATCGGTTGAGGTCAGCAAGACCGTATCTGGGTAAGAAGCGAGTTAGCGATTGATCGATCGACGCACGACGAGTCTCTAAGATCCACGTAATTTCAATCCCTGGGTTGAGAACTAACACTTAAGTCGAATGCAAGCAGAGAGAGATGCACTTTTGAACGTTAGTTACAAGGTAAGAATAGTATTCAGAATGAGAAACTCACAATATTCCCAGGCCTAAAATAGTGGCAACAGATATCTTCTGATTGATATTCATCTTTACATTCCACAGAAGTGGAATGGGCATCAAAGCGGTTGCCCTAATCGCATCAAGAGTAAGCAACTAGACCACCGCAAGTCTGTAGCTGATTGCCAAAGGGCCAGGACACTTACCAGTCAGTGAAAATGTTGACGGCAGTTGTCGCATAGTAAATATCCGCCAAAATCACAGCCGGTCGACAGTGCGTTCCTTCAGCCTGCAAAACCGAGTCCCATGCGGCTGAAACCGGATTGCATTGGAATATGATGTAGAAGGCGGCGATCAGATTCATGAGTGTGAACATGGCCATGATTATGTACTGTGCGTAGATGAACCACGATCGGTTTTCGGCGATTCGTATCAACATGAAGGAAATGCTGAGCTTTACGGGAATGATCGTGACGCAGTAGAAGACTTCGAAAAGGAAAAACCACTGTATATATTAGCAAAGCATTGAGTAGTGGCGACTAACAATTCCTACAAATAGTCCTGACTCGTGGTAATGAATATTTTCAGGCAGCTGAAGGCGCCATTCGTGTATGCCCTGTTACGACACAAGTTAGCAAACCCCTCTTTGTGACCAATGTTACAAAGTGCCATCTGCATATGACTCCGGATAGAAAAGAGCTTCAGCAGCTACTCACAACACCGTTGAAACTGGATACTAAGCATGCTATTGACAGAACGGCAAAGGGAACCTGTGTTCAATCATTAGCCCCCCTGTTCAACTCGAAAAAAGGATCAAGTGCATGCATACTGCAGCCACCGCCATAAGTGTATCTTCCTTGCCCCAGCTAGCTCTCGTAATGCGTGTATAGAAGCGTAAACCCAGGGTTAGGAATGCCAAAAGCGTGACCGTGATGACAGTACCCGCCACATGCGGAGCATCATCCTGTAGTTGTTTGTCAGCAGCAGCAATAAGGTGGTTAGTAGTGAGGCTGCAGTGGACTCACTGTGAAGATGGCCATCTTGAAAGACGAAACAGACTAATGTACAACACCAATTCGGCAGATGAATGTCAAAAGCAAGAAAGCGACCAGAGTCTCGAGAAAATGAAAAGAGCAGAATCCTGGGGGAGTGTGACAGCCTTCAACTCCACAGGGTGGTTCTCGTTATGAATAAACAGCTCGACGGTCTTACGACCCTCCCAGGAATGACCCTCGACGGCCCTGAAAAGGTGGGTTTTCGGGTCCCCAGAGTCTGGAAAGATGAGACCCCTGGCAAGTCTGGGATGGCAAGTTTGGGACCCCTGATGGAAGACTCTGCGATACAACTAGGGAAATTCGGCTTGCATGCAGACCCAACGACACGGCTCGAGGATGCACGCGACAAGGGTCTAGGTCTCCTAGACCCCATCCTGAAGTACATACATTTGCCATCTGGTGGGTTCTACCCGTAGAGACCGAGGAATATGTTCTAGGATCCGCGTAGTTCAGAGCGAGACAGGTTCGCCGGCTAGGGACAATAGGCCCACCAGAGCGATGGGAACTTACGGCGGTAGAACTGGCACTGATGATATCGTCTGTGGGCTGGCTGGAAAGATGGACAGGGATTTTTCTCGATTCAGTCGTTGCTCCGATGTCGATCGTGGACTACGGATATATTCATTCGAGCGCTAGCATCAGTGGTGCAACAACAGACCCGCACCCTGGGTCTCCCATCGTAAAAGGCGGCCGGACAAGCAAGGAGTCGGCTAGATGGGCATGCTTAATTGCCCCCTCTAACGGAGAATTCACAGGGAGACACCTTGCAAAGAATCAGTCACTGAAGCGCGAGAGATCCGGAGGGGTAGTTCTGGGAAGTCTCACAATCTACAAGAGAAATACCCCCGACGCAACGACACCTTGCCTGGAACTGCAGAAAGTAGCGAAGGCCACCCTGGGCTCCGGCGATCTCTTACGGAAATAAAGCGAAGCGCAAAGGTCCAGTGTGCGGTAACTGGATCCCGGGACTGGTGACCCGTCTCCCGATCACGTAACGGAAGCCACAAGTACGGAGAATCCCTACTGAACATCGATAATGCACGCAAAAGGCAGAGTGCCTGTGCCAATCAACCAAAGCTCTACTATGTAGAAGCGACGAAAATCTGTGGGTCGAGAAAAAAAACCGCAGTGCCTGACTTACTCCAGGAACACACTCTTGGCTGGTTCTTGGTCTGCGAAAGGTAGCGTCGAAGATGCAAGGTGCAAACATTCAATCGACCATCGCCGAGCCAGATCTGTGGTCAAGCTTTACCGTTCTCGGGAGTCACTAGGATTGGCTTGGCTCCAGAGCCTCCCGCTAGACCGCTGCTGTTAGGCTTGTGGCTTTGACGCCGCAGCTGGCTGTAGGCTTTAGCGCACCAAGTTCGCCCCTGCCGACGCCGTCAAAAGTTCGGTCAGCCTCATACTAGGTCTTGCTCAGGGCTCTTCGTAAATGTTTCTTGCGAGCCAGAATTGTTCTGGACATGCCTAAGACCATTCATAGCCTTGTTGTCTACCTTGCGGACAACAGGCTAGTTTAGCGGATACGATCTCCGTCCAAGACAGCTTGGCTGGCGACGGGGTAACAGTACTATGTAAGGCCAGCCGTAGATTGCGAGATGGCAGGTAGGCGGTATAATGATAAGCATCCTTGGCAGACAAAGCCCCGATTCCACCGCTTGCCGAGCCGACTCTTTCGGCTGAAGACCAGACGACTAAGTTATCTGCAGACTGTGCGATATAGAGATTGTTGCACATCACGCTTGCGAAGATTCTTGCATAACCGCTAAAGTTACCATTGGAGGCGTGCGTCAAGAGGCCGCTCTCGTAAGTGCAATTGCTTGATACACCAGCCAGGTGCGATAAAGTGTTACGCATTGCATTGAGTGAAGCAATGTCCGCCGCTAACGGCGGCTGTGACGAAATGAATTCAAAGGCTGCTGACTGGCGGGCGAGCTGGCGCTGCGGGGAGGCTTTGGCCTTTGCCGCCAACTCGTTACCGTCCCGTGATTGCCATCAGAATGTCCTTCGCTTTGCCGTGATTTCTAGAAAACTATATTATGTGCTCTTATTGAAACCTACCCTTGCAGGGAGAGTAGGCCCTGGCTACTTACCTGGGGGCCTGGTTCTGACCCTGTTACTGTCGATGCAACCAAATCTTCAAAGTCGGAACTTCTGATGAGTGTTGACTGCCTGGTTATAAGCCAGGTGGGACTCTGTGGAGATGTTGGCTTATTTTGGCATTGATCCTCAATCGCAGGCCCACTCGTGCCTTACTGCGCCTTGGCGATACATCCTTGGTGGATATCCCAGCAAAGCTCCGATGGTCCTGGTTCCTGCATATTTACGCAGAAACTACGTACTTAAGTTACCTAGCAGGACTAGGTACTTAGTTTCATGGGCGTCTTTTGGCCAGGGAAAGTCGGAAGGGAGGCCGAAAAACGACAGTTCCTTAGGATGATGGGCTGCGTGGCTGCTGAGCTCCTTGGCCAAAGTTCCCAAGTTGACACGAATTCGTTGCTTCGTACGGAGTAGGGCGGAGTCTTTTCTTGTCCCTCACTGTGTCAATAGCTCAACCTTACCAGCTGACGTGGTACCCATCCTCAAACAGCATCCCTACCACAATAAGTTGTCGTGTAACGATGTCTGGCGGGCGCCACTCGCCAATCGCTGATTACCAGGAGGTCGGAACCAATGACATTCAAGTCTAGAATGGAATGCTCCGAAGACGATCAATTCTGCCTTGTCCACGAGATGCTGCACGGTTTTGGCAATATCTCCTGTTCGTCTTGTTCGAGCGCCGGGGTCTTCACCAAGCCATACCTATTGACTATGGCGCGTGCTAGAAGGCTGCATTCTGCTTGACAGTCTCAAGTCCAGCAGCCCTCTGAAATTCTACAGTTTCGGTAGCAGGAATTGAAAAAGTGAGGTAGATGTGACTGTGCATCTAGCCCAACCGTGTTGTTACACCTTTGTTCATTCTGCCTGCATACACATCTCATCGCGTCGCATAGCGTCGCATGGTATTGCCGATGATACCACTTGCTCATGCAGCGATTATAAAGCACAGCGCGAGATGCGCTGCCGGTCTGTGATGCAAGGATGGTCTCTGACGTGGTATTTCATTCAAGCGATTTCCGATCGGATGTTACCGTCCCCGTACCATGTCTCTCTTGTACAGAAGATCTAGGCAGTTGGACCCAGCCCAGTGGTCAGGTTTCCGGCAAAGGACACCATCGCGTTTCAATAAGACACAATTTTATTCAGATACCTGGTGTTAAGGTGCATCCAAGTCGTGCAAGCCAGCATGGATGATGAGGGTTTCGCGAACGAGTTGTCCAGCACTGAGCGCTGTCTCCGCGCTTTCGGAGGGCTGGCAATAATATTATTCAACGTGCCGTGATTTATTGATACGACCGGCGCGGGACTTTGGCGGGGGCTGCTAGGCTCTAAAAGCTGCTAAACCTCCGGCCTGACGCTCTGCCGGCCTTCTAGCGTTTAACCGGCCGGACGCCAATGTTCACTGGGCATGGCCTTCGGATGCTATGAGCCGGAGATTTTCTTACTGTCAGGAAGCTCGGACTCTCTTGACGCAAGTCCCGCGTCCTACGGCAATTGGGACAGACTGCTTCTCGATACGCGGAGGATGGAAGGGACCGTGCGTGCGGCTTCATCAGGATTTACTAGAGTTGTGATGAGCGTAACCTTAAGCAAGGCATGCCCCACTGGGGTATATACTCCGAATGTTGTGGTCTTGATACAGGGCTTGGCTCAAACTTGAAACGCTGCGTGCATGCAGTTTAGCGCGCCTTAAACGCTGGTGGGCGGCCAATATCTCTCTTCTTGTGAAGGATCGCTCCAGGCTGTGTACGAATACGCATGCTCATGCCTGCTATTACTTGGCACATTCACACGCAGTCTGGGATATTTGCTCATATCGAAGCTCGATGGCTAGGGCATGGCGATACTTCTCGGCATCGCATGGTCGGGTCGCCAAACAGACTCGCTTAAGCCTTGCACTGAAAAAGAGACTTATGTTTAATCTAGGCGACAACTACCTAGCTAAAGAGGCCTGCCAATGACACTTCGAGACAGTGGAACGACGGCGCGGCTCGAGAACCATCATCTCATCGCTCACATGACTAATGTTGACCACACGGCAGATCCCCTCCCGAAACCCGACTTACGGTAATGTCTGGCGGCTCCAGATTTCCTTGTAAACCTAGAATCTCGGGGCTTTAGACTAACAAATGGAGTTCCCGGCATCTACTCAATTACCTTGCATGTATGAAATGGTCATTTTTAGGGATTAATACAAAAATGGTATCATTCTTCTATGTCCATATGTGGGCGACAACGGTGGATGTTAACACCAATCACATGACCGCCGTGCTAAGCCTTTGCGCTGGTCAGTTGGCCCTATATGGTCCGCCATTGGCCACGAAGTAGCTACAGGCTATTGAGTCCTTCCGTCAACTTGACACTTAGCTTTAGCGGCCTTCCTTGCCACCTGGTCTGGTTGGGGCTTGCAATAAGCATCTAGAACGGTATTGTCCGCTTCATTCAATACCAGCTGGTTCTAGATTACCACTACGTGAATCATGCGGCCGTAAAGGGTGTGTTCTAGTTGATGCCTATGACACGGCCGGGAGACTTTCTCGTCTGATTGACTATGTGATACTTGGAATCAATGACGTGGATGGTAAGCGGAGCATCGTAGAACTTATGGCCCAATGACGGATCTGCAATTGACACTTCCCGATGTTTTCCGAACCTTGGTTCTTGGGCACAGGCATATCGCCACGCCGGCACACCAAAGTCGGCCTCATACTTCATGAAGCGCGGCCCAGTATAGATTGAAGCTGCGCAGTCAAAATTATCCCTGGCGTGCCAACAAACGTGGTCCGATCGACAGGCGAAGGACCACTGACACTCCCAGTTCATACTTCGTCCACAATGCCCCATTTTCGCCCTGAGGCTAGACAATGTCATCCATGGGCAAGGATTCTTGGATGGTCGACCAAGGGTATTGTGTCATGCAGTCAGAACCTCAACTGTACTCGATCTTGCTGAAGGTCTAGGTGCTGGCCTCCTGAGGAAGGTACTCAGACCCGCGGATTACCAATCGTCTCAACACTGTTCATTCTTGCACAATGCATAACCCACCTCAAAAATGAAAAACTACGGCGTCGCAGCTACCATAACACATGGTGCATGAGACACCTCGGTCCTTTCTGACGTAAATATATCATATAGTTCTTCTTACCTGATTTACCTACCAGGAGAAATTGTGCCCTTCTACTGTGGACATTGAGGTATGTCAATTAAAGCTTTCGGCTCGGTACCTACGCATTTGTCAGGCTAAACGGGCTTTGTATGGGTACTCGCTTCGGAAATGCACAATGCTGAAAGACAAAGGAGTGGCATTAGTGATGCGGGAATACATCATTCACCATCTATTCTGATGAAGAAAGACTTGAAGCTGAGCCTTTGTTCATTTATGAATCATAATGGCGATAGCATGGCCACCAGCCTATTGGCAATATCCGTTGTTCAGTGGTATAAATGAACAGCTTTACCTCGGAAGACGTTTGTGATACTAGAAAGAAACCAGGAGTGAGTCCTTGACATATGCTCAAGCATTGACTTGCCAAGATGGCGATTGATGAAAAGTACCTTGCCCCTAAGCCGCGGATGGCGAAAGGAATGACCATTGAAGAAATCAAGAAGGCACATGAGGAGTTGAAAGCGAAAATGAAAACAACGACAGAAGGGTTCTCGAGTCAAATTAGTCCACGTGCCATTCCAAGGACATTGGGGGAAAAGGAGGGTTTGCTCGTTGCAGTTGATGAGCACGCCAGATTTAAAGAGCGCCAGAAGGAAAAGCTACTTCAGCTTGTGGATAAGAGGAAACCTCAACAAAAATTGACCGCATCGTACATTGACGATGATGTGGACGTCTGGAACCGGAAGAAACGCCTCAGTGCAGACAGCTTAGAGTTCAGTGTGGCCACTGCCTCGGATAGTTCATCGAGCGACGAGCATGATGTTCCTTGCGGTGACCCCTTCTGCGAGCGCTGTGACATTCAATCGGAGATCCTATCAGATTTTCTTTCAGACGCAGCGGATGAATCCTATCAAACCTTTCCTCCCGCATTTTACGAAGCAAAACCGTCAAGATACTCGATTTCAAAGAAGTTACATTCAGCCAAGCAACAATCAGTTTCGGAAAGGCAACGTAAGGTACAGACTACCGAGCCTATCAAAACTGCGCAGGGTCAAGCTGATCCTAGAAAGTACACGGAGAAGACCTGGGCGGAGCAGGAAAAACAGAAGTTGTCAGAGCGCAGGAAAAGTCCGGCTTGGTTGAATTCAGAACATAAGTTCAACCAAAAGCAATTTGCAACACAGACGGAGACGACCAATGGAACGTGTGAGCCAGATAAATACTCTGGCGCAACTCTCGCTGACTCAAGGCATTGCATTGTGCCAAATGCTGCGCAGGCTGCTCAAAATCATCTTGACGACCTCCGCATACAATCAGTACCAAACACGGGGGCGACGGATACCATAAGCGCAGCTAATGCTGTTAAGAGAGGAAGATCAACTCAGGTCATCTCCACAGAAGACAAGACTGACTTGAGTCCAGTGAAAGACTACAATTCAAATCGTCCTGGGCTTCCGGTAAATCCTAAATTGATCACACCCAAGAGTCCAGAACTAGGGTTTGATTTATCTGATAACCCAGTTGAGGTTGAAAGGAAATTCTCTGAGCTTTCTTTTAGAGAACGTGAACGCGCAGCACAACTGAGAAAGTCTACTCAAGAACCTGTTTCGTTGCCTCGCATAGGCCGGGGAAGTCGACCTCCACTTTCGCCTAGTAGCGGCTTGGCTATGTGCCAATCATACAGGGCTCGTGTCCCAGGTGAATATTTCAAGTGGACCAGTCCTTCCGAGGAAGAAATCACACATGTGCAAGAGAGGAAGGTAGACTTGCTCAAAGAGAAGGCACAGGTACAGCAATCAGAGAATGCACCTTCTTCTCGACCAAACTAACTCGAGTTACAGTACGTATCTGGCTGCTGGCAATGAGAATCTAAATTGATATCGATGGGGGTTTTCGTGTTTAGTCAGCAATCTCATCCAGGGTCATCGGAAATGGCACCCAAGACGATATCAACTATTAAACTTGATCTTTTCGATCACTTCAAAGGGCTTTAACACGTGCGGAGAGCGGTGTTGAGCTCTAATACAGACGATAGGCCTTGAAAGGCCCTAGAGCAGGAAGAGAGTCACCGAAGGTTTATTAGACATAAACCAGGTTAATATTATAAGTGGGTGGAGTTTTATTCTACACCTTCAGTGCCCGATGTCGGTGAATTTGACGCCATGCTGCATTACTTGTGTCTCTTGGCTATTCAACTTCGACGCGGCCTCTCGATTCACTTGCTCTGAAGTTATAATGCCTGCTAATTTGAATATTCACCCATTTGAAATAAGGGATATCCATAAAAAGACCTCTGGACCTGTGACCTACTGCGAATCTTATCTTAGATCAGGATTAATGGGTGCTTGGCACAGCGATCCCCCGACCAGATTTCAAAGCCATTACACCATTGACGAATCTTGAAATCGAGAGCTTCCTGAAATCTCTGTCATCGTGATGATGTTTCTGCTCTTCGCCTTGCTGTTGCTCACATGGGTTTCAGCACAGGGGAGCCAGGCCCCACAAGGCATTCGACGTGTTCCTGCCGAGATTACCAACAATGCTACAGCCTTGCATCTGTGGCACGAGGAAATCTACCTGAACTACACTAGCAGAATGAGACAAGACTACAGAATTGAGCATTCTCTTCCGAACGGGACGATGCTCAGCCTGCGCCCGGAGGAGCTGCGATACTTCATCAACCCCCATGGAATCCATGCCGAGATTGTCAACAACACTGTTATGCACAAATTTTCTAACGGCACTATTCTCAACGAGAAAGCAGACCCCTGTAGCGGTGGGCCCTTTGACTTGTACAAAGAGTACCGCGAGGCAGATTGCAAGCCGAACATTCCGATGGATGACCACGGCAATTGCCAGGTGCCCAACGGCACGACCACAAATTGCAAAGCCTTTTGTCAAGTTAGTGAGTACGCATGCTTTCCGTGAATTTGGCGCCAAGGCTGATCATATTTAACATAGGGACCACTTACACCTACGGCACTGAAATACCTTATGCGTCCAAAGATTTGCATGCCAACTTCCCGGAGGTCTCTTGGTGCCATGGCCCTGGATCTGGTACAAATAAGGTCAACGATAGGGAAGACTGCACGCTGAAATCGACTACTCCACTCAAGATCAAGATTCCTGATTGGCACTATGGTGGTAATGAAGCAATTTTCGACCAAGGGATCTCAAGCGGGCTCCATTACAAATCTCCTCCGAACTACGCTTCGCCGGACGGCGCTGGCAACCACGTTTCCGAGGTTGGTCCGATGGAGTGCGGATACTGGACATTCCTACCCATCATCAAGACTGTTTGGTAAGCCACTAAATTGCATTCTCTGAGAATAATATGGCTCACAAGAGACCAGCGGCTCCGTAACCGAAGCTGTACAGAGCGAGCAACCATCGCACACTAATGATTGTATCATGAGCCAGGCTGGCGATACATGGACGTTAGGGAACGTATGTGCGAGTGAGTACGTAGCCAACCCACTCAGCCCCCTTCAGGTCAGTGGTAGGTGGGTATGGGTGAAGACAGATTGTTTCACCCGTCACGCCCACAAGCACGGCGAGCAGGACGTGGACTACTATCGAGAGGGTGTTGCACTGCCTCAAGACGATTTGATGCTGATCCTGGAGTGGGATTGGCAAAAGGTATACTGCGACGTTGTCCTCCATGGAGTGTCAGTCCATTACTGGGTTTTGGGGAGACTTATGCCCGACTGGAAGATGGGAAGTTGGGGTCGTGGATTGCTTGATGCTCTCAAAGTTAACGCCAATTCACCCACGGCGTGGATGTTCGATTATAACTACCACGGACCGGGTGGAGACCGTTTTGACTGGCTTGCGCAATGGGAATACAATAACAACCAGGGCCCGACTGTCTACACGGTTCTGTATAATCTGGGTAACAAGGTTCCAGAATGTAAACCGCATTAACTTAAGGAAGTCGATGTAGAGGCAAGCCCAGTCAAATCGATTAATTTTCAATGTCCACCACACCTGGGATGATGGGAATTTAGAAAAGCAAAAACAATGACTTTGTGTATCAGCTAGTATTGTTGGGGCTGAATCACAAAGAAGCCCATCGCTTTATTCCGTAGTAGATGTGACTCTTATAAAGACAGCTAGTCGCACTTCAATTTGATGTTATAGCCTATGCACCGCAGCGCGGACAGCAAGAGAAACACCTTACCCTCCAGCTCCTTAGCGAGGACTAAGCCCCTGTGTGCCAGAGTAGATAATGCCCACTGCAAAGCGGGTTTCGTTCATGCTCTTAATCGAGAGTCCTTTCAGTATGCCTGCCTGCGGGTGCTCAAGGAACAACGCCAAGATTACCAACAAGTGCTTCGGAGACACGACTGCTGCAGGCTTTTTGACAATTTTGATACCTATATTCATCGTTGTCTTCATATTTCTCATGTACGTTGCCTTTATATGGGAGAAAGCACAGATGATAACTGAAGAAAATGGGAATACGGCGCACATTCTCCAGTCAAGCTCGCATGATACTTCTGATATATCGAACCTGCCTCGGAGACCACAAAATGTACGGTTGCCGTTTAGGATTCCCAAATATACCAGGGAAGATCTAACCACAAGTGATCATACATCGGAGGTGGATCTTGACGAAAACAATCACCATCAGGCATTACCAGCTTCCCAGAGTGGCTTAGAATATTCGGATGATCCGAGAATTCACCCAGTTCATGCTTTCGCAAGCAAGGTAAGAGATCTGCTCCAAATTCGTAATGTCTTGAGAAAGCCTCCGCCATGGATGGCGGGTTCGATGGAACTGGATGATCTGGAGCGCCAGAAACCACCAAGGGGACTTGAAGACCTTGACTCCTGTAGGACGAGCATATATCGGGCTGAAGATGCGGCGGACTTCAGGATTGCTCGTGAGAGCACGATGGACTTTTCCAACATTCGTAGGTCATCTAAAACGACCGAAGAGATCCTCAAACCATCTCCCAACACTATGAAAACCTCAAAGTTTTACGAAGATTTCAAGACGTCGGGAAACTTTGACAACGTAGGAGAGGAACAGCCGATGTCTTCAGATCATGTATTTGATCTCCTGGAGGCTAGCAACGACAAAGTAGGTACGGGAAGCAGCTCCACGGATCCCATTGAGGAGACTCGTGAACCCATAATGTCAGGAGCGTTGGTCGCTTCCTGAAGATTTTCTCCAAAACTTTTTGGGACAAGCATACTGACTCGGTTCTGGATGAGATGCCCTTGGGGTGCATTGCACCAGATATCTGACTATGACATGGTGCAAAACTTATAAACAAGGTAAGAGCGAGAGTTGGAGCCCAAAGTTGCTTACATAGCCCATACTGAAGGCCAGGCCTTGAGTCATTCTGCTGCTGGGCTTGGATAGTGCATACAAGCTTCCGAAAGAAAGGGGGCTGACCGTGTGCAGTGAACCATGCAAATGTAGGGAGAAATGACCTGATGCACCCACTGGATCCATCCCCTGTAAGGAACTTGAAGCCTTTCATTTGGTGAATCTACCTTCGAACTTCTTGGGTTGAGACTGATAGCGCCAGAGGCTAGGAATACCCCAAATTGCAACTGTGATGATGTATGCCAGTTATCGCGATGCCAGATATATTTGCAATCACCGAGCTGCTAATCAGGGATTGTGACGAGGAAGGAAGAAACATTGGACTGGTCACACGACAAAAAGAAGCATTCTCCATCACAGTAGGCTGGAATACCAAAACTTGTTGTCCGGTCTCTGCATTATACAAGCTTACAGTCGTGAATACATCTCCTTCCCCGCAGCCATATCATTAGGCATGCGAGGATACAATGGGAGATGCTAAGGCCCTTCCACACCCAGAATATGTGGACGACATTTCTTTCCTATAAGCCAAGTGCCTGGTGTCTTGCTTGTTGTGATACCACCTCTTATGGGCGCACTGGGGCCACCTTCGCGATTGAGGACTTAGTAGCACAGATACTGAGGAGTTCGGCACCCCGGAAACTTCTCAGTACAACGTAGACAGTCAAGTGAAGGATCGCTTTGCGATCCTGATCCTGTTCACTTTGTCTCTTGTGAATGCACAAGAGTTGGTATATGTTGTGCGCACCATAAGTACTCAAACCACTCGCTGCCAAACGATGGGGTACCGAGGAGGTGGCTCAGGCCGCATATGACATACGTAGGGATCGGCTTCCGGAAACATCCAGTGGGGTGGTAATCCACCTCTGCAACCCATAGAGCTTGCATACCCTGAACTGCACGTGATTGGTCTAGACCTCGAGGGTATACAGCAGCTGAGCTCAGAACGCTCTCTTATTAGAGGCACAACTCGGGAAGCGGACTGATGTGACGCCTAGTCATTGAAAAGGAACACCGGTCGTCGGGCCGTTTATACATAAGCGGCGATTACTGAACTGCTGGCACGCTATAGTAGCCAAAGTAGTACTTGGAGGTGCCCAAAGCGAAAGCGCGGTAAGCGTTAAACCACGCCACCCTACACGGCGCTTCAGATAGAACCACAATCTATACTTGTACCAACTCCCTTGCCGCAATCCCGGAGCTGAAAGAGCTCAGGCAATGCAGCACCCCTTGCTTTGGAACCAATCTAGAGCTGCAGTTGAGTCTCACATCACCGGACGGTAGAAATGGGCAGTACGTCAGACAGGCCCTACCCGGGTTGAGCTGCTGCTATGCCAAGAGCAGCCTGTGTAACTCGATCGCGATTTAATCGTTACTGGAGGCGCCCTCGAAAAGCAAACTTTCTGAGCCATCCAATGGGTGTGAAATATGACCATAGCGCCACGCCAACGCCACGCCACGCCCTTGACTGAACCCTGAACACGTACTGTGCATCTCGTATGTCAGCTCGAGGCTAGCATGGATCTGAATGTCAGCGCAAGCAGTCTATTTAACTCGGCCATTTGCCTTCGCATTATCATTGCTTCTCATTTCCAACTCCAAAGCCGCGACCGCCATGTCTTCGATTCACGACTGTCGCCTTTTTCGTTAGCCACTCGGACTATTCCTAACAGCAATTGGCGCCCTGCTGATCTCAATCTCCGTTTGGATGGATACCGCGACCTGCGGGCCCGCTCACCAGATAGCGGAAATACTGTCTGACTCGGCAGGTGTCTGGAAAGCATTCGCCTGCGTTGCTCTGGTCTTGGTCTGCCACAGGCTCTTCTTCCGCTCGAGTGACTCTAACAGGTTTCCCGTATGGGGCCCAATTGAGATCGCTCTGACGACATATATCGTCGGCGCGGGAGGGGTAGGACGACGGCTGTAGTACGAATGTTCCTCGCAACGTATCGAGCTGGTTGACTGACCCAAGGCCTCAGTTCTTTGCTACGCCGCTACAATGGCTCATTGTATGGGGTCTCGGCGAGACACCAAGTGCTCTATGACTTGCCAAATATAGAAAGGTTCATGTCGCAAGGGCATCATATACTCCAGAGCCTTCCGCTTCAATTCACGCTGATGAACCGCGTCTTTGGCTCGGAGGACACCCCGGAATTCTTTCACAAGATCGAGAGTGTCTTGAAACCTCTGTTATCTATAGTTGAGAGGGAGTTCATCAATGACAGTGCCTCGACGGCTGCTGTGCAGCGTGGCGATGTGCCGCGTAACATCACATCGTTGGTATCCTTCGCCGAACGGAGAGAGGATCTGCAGCCTTGGGAACGCTCTGCAAATGTTCGGGTTGTTGAGAGAGATGCCTCTGATAAGCCGACAGCAGTTGAGGCAGACCTGCAGACCCTGGTCCGTGACTTCGGAGCCCACATCGCCATCCCCGTGCTGTACGGCAAGGATTTCCTTGAACGGAACCCACAGTTTCTCGACGACTTCTGGAGATTCGATAACGACCTCTTCCCGTTACTGATGGTCGGAGTCCCCCCTTGGATACCCCTCAAGATAATCCAGGATGGCATCGCGTCCCGTTCGAGGATGACTGTGGCTTTGGAAGGTCTCTATCGTCGCATAGATCAGTACCAAAAGGGTGATCCTGTTGACTTCAATGCAGACATGTCAGATGTTGGCATCGCAACAGAGCGAAACCAAGTCTACGACAAGTTCGGGGTCAGCATGAAGCACCGTGCTGACATGGACCTATCCTTCGTCTGGGGCCAGAATGCGAACACGCAGCCGCTCGTGTTTTGGTTTTTGGCCTACATCCACTCAGCCCCAGGTCTGGTCGAAGACCTGCGCAGAGAAATCGCGCCTTGGGTCAAGGTCGCAACGCCAGGGCCCATGGAAATCTCATCAATGGACATCTCTGCCTTGCATAGAGAATGCCCGTTGTTGAAGTCGGCAATCTACGAGACGTATCGCTTAGGGAGCGAGGCCACATCCATCCGTCGCGTCGATCGACCAATAACGCTGCTCGATGGTGACCACAAACACCAGCTACAGCCTGGAACATTCGTCTCAGCACCCTTCTCGGTGCTCCAGAACGATGCAAGCTACTTCCCAGACCCAGAAAAGTTTGTGCCCGACCGCTTCCTTGAAGTCGATAGCGAGACAGGTAGAAAGGTGGCCCGATATGGGAAGTTGAGGCCCTGGGGGGTTGGACCAGCATCTTGTAAAGGCCGTACATTTGCAGAGAAAGAGATTCTGACGATTACAGCCGCGTTAATAAGTATTTGGGACATGGAACCAGCAGAAGGTGCGTGGAACGTGCCGGCAAGCCTACCGGGAACAGGCGCTAAGAAGCCTGCGAAAGACATCCGGGTGATACTCAGGCGCAGGGTTGCACCCTAGTCTAAGAGCTGGCTACTTTCATGCTTGCATAATGTGATTAGATGTGAGATATTTGAAGCATCACTGCGCGTCGCATTCAGGGAAACGCAAATGTGAGCTTTGACAAATGTCTTATATTTGGATATTGGTGAGCGACTGACAGACTGCCTACGATACTCCTAGTACGTGTATCGGTAGCAGAATGGCACGCCTCCAATCGAAACGCCACCCAAGGTGTCGATGATATCTCTGACCCGTACATCCGGCCTGATTCCACCCATGTAGACCATGGTATCCAAAGTCAAGGCATTGCCGGCAGCGTCAACACCGTCAATGTTGAGAATTCGGTTGCCGTCGAGGTTCTGCCAGATCCTCCAGCTGTGGTCGATGAAAGAATGGTGCATCCAGAAGACAGGGTCGCTTGGGCTGGCCCAGACGTCTGCCATAACGCCGCCAATGCCGTTGTGGCCATAGCCGTGCGGGCTGTACAAAATGTTAGTCCGGCTCGTAGAAGCAAGGATGTGCGTAGCACATAGACACGGTTACTTACCCATACTCAAGGCAACTCTCATAATCGGCGTAGGAGGTTCTCTGGTTGCAGTAGTTGATGAAATCGGTGTTGCACTGAGCCGTGTCGGCTTCGTTCACGCCACGTGCGAGACAGTGAGAGGTCTGCGAGTTTCCGGGGCCGATGTTGGCAATGAGACCAGCGAACTCGCCGTCGTTGATGCAGGTCGGGTTGCCGTTTGCGTCACGAGCCGGCATGCTGCCGAAGTAGGCCGGGTTGGTGAACATATCCGACTGGCCGAAGCGGCCGGCATCCTTGGTCTCATCCCACCAAACCATGGCGCGGTCGAAACCGCACTCGGAGCGGAGGACCTGCTCGAAGGTCCACAGATAGTAGCGGTGCCAGATCAAGAACTTGGCGTTGTTGTGGACGTTAGGCATATAGTCCTGGTGGATCCTGACGAAGTCCTCATACCGACTCCGGGCAGGCGGGAAGTTTCCGGACGGCGGCTTGTTCATCAGGCACTTGACGGCCCTGACGAAAGCCAGGCGGTCGGAATCGGAATACTCGCGCCACTCGAAGCGGATGTTGGGGTTTGCTCTGCAGGCATCGGACTGGGCGGATTGGGCCGTGGCCGCCATGACCCTGAAGTTGGAGGTCTCGGGCTCCTTGGACTCAACGGGCGCATCGCCGGTCAAGTTCAGCGGCTGCACCAGTCCCTGAATCAGGCGATCCAATCCAGCCTTCGCATCTTCCAGGGTAACGGTCTCGAACTTCGGGAAGGCAGAGTCTGGCATCTGGGGCGCATCGCCGAATGTCTGCCTGCGCAGGAGGGAGGCAGAAGCCGCCGAGGCGGTGAAAACGAGTGAAAACCGCATAGCGAGAGCGGATATAATTATTAGGTATTATTAGGTATAAGGAGAGGCAAGTGAATGCCTGTGCCAGTGAACGAGAGACGGGTGGTGAGGACGGGAGGGATCCATGGCAGCGGGCACTCGATGCTATTTCTACTTCCTTGGCCCGAGCCCCAGAACGTGCATATGCAGAGGTCCCCTGCAATCTTGAGATGCTACTCTGCCCCTCTGACCTGGCTCTCGCGCTAGACCCAGCATTGTGGTGTTGGCCCATTCGCACCCCGGACCGTTATTTCTTCAACGCTCGTATCCCAGGGGGGGGGAATGTGTGGGCTATTTTGAGACGATGGGGCTGCAACCGGGCGCCATTGGTAGTCCACGCGAGCTCGTACCGTAATATGCATACTGTTAAGCTTTAAAGCCCTTTTAGACCCCTTTTAGGGGGGTTGCCAACAACGGCCCAATCAGGTGGGTGCCGTCTTACCGGCAGCGCCTCTGGACTGGCTCGAGGCTGACCTGATTACTGCAGGCTTTCGCACTCCGCATTGGTTGAGAGACGAGGCCATTCCTGGGCAGGTAACACTCAATGTGACACGGGAGCAGGGCTGACAGTCGAGGGCTGAAATGTCGGTGTGAGCCGAGCAGGACAGAACACAACACAGCAGCATGTTTAGAAGTCGAGATGTCGCTAATGACTTGGCCACTGGTTGATTGATTGTTAGCGGCCCTAGAACCCCCCGTAAGCACGGGAATCCGGGAACGGCCATCTGCCCAGAGGGTCTCATTTCCTTTCTCGTGTGAAAACGCACCAATCAAGGATCGCTAGCACCTACATCGTCCAAGCGTCGTCGGCTCGGCTTGTCGACCGGAAACACTGGAGCCAACACACACATCATGACAATGGAATGTGTCCGCCGCCGCTAAGATCGACAAGGAGCCCTTTTCTATTATCAATGATCGGAAGCATCATGAGGTCAGGACCCGCGCCGTTGTGAGGACTCTCCATAGATTCGGTGCATAGAGCCGGTGGTTTTGATTGAAAGCTTATTGCGCTTCCACTTTACTGCGCCGCTCAATCTCCGTGCGGGTTTTCCGTGACGACTTGAAACGTCCCGACTCCACGGGCACTTCCATGGATAATTTTTCTTACCCGGCTGCGTACAGCTTCCAGGGTGGCAAATAGTAAACTGATATAAGTACTCTCAACCACGCCTATCTTATGACCACGTCCCCGTCCCGCTGGTATTGCTTTAATGATCTATGCGGTTAGCCAGCGTTTGCAACTTCCCCCGCAGACTAGGCCAGGGCCGTCGCTTGCACCATACCATAGTAGTATAACCCTCAGCTGGTAGCGAGAACGCGGCCAATAATCTTGAAGCACCATCATGCAGCCCAGCTCGTATGCAGCAGAGGAGGCTAAGGATGCCTCGCTGATAGCCAATCTTGCATGTGCAGTCTCGTACCTGTTCTTGAACTTGGACAGAGTGCTGCATCGCCGCATCGATAGACCATTGTGTCGCGATGGACAAAGTTGCATTTGAAGCACTGCTTGATTCGAAGATTGTGAGAGCTTGGTGTGCATACTATATATAAATCAATGAATGGCGGGTTAGACGCAGAAGCGGCTGACCGCTTTGACCCGCCTTATCCCAAGGTAGCGCGTGCGCATTGTCTATAGGAGCCTGGATTCTTAGGCACCCTTGGAAAGTTGTTGATCCCAGCAGGGAACATACAAAACGGCTATTCCCTACTGCTACTAGTGTCTCAGTATATCTTCTGGTCTTGATAGAGTTACAGTCCTTTAGCGTTTTAAGGCTATGATCACCCATGTACTTGATTGGCCTCGGTACTTTCGCATATGGACCAAGGGATGGTATTGAATATAGCAATGCAATACGGTTAGAACTCATGGTGGCTGGTGTTTATTCTTCCATTCACGACATCAACACATATCAAAACCTGACATAGAAGCAAGCGCCTTCCAGGGGATTAGAGACTTCATGTCTTCTTGTAAATCATCACAGTAGGAATCGTAAGACGGGGTCGCACCAAAGAGCAAGGCTTGACTTATGAGTTCGTGTTCGTGCAGACAATGCCCGCGTCAAAAGTTGTATGGTGCTACTCGGAGCTCAACTTAAGTATATCTACATGTTTGCCTTGAGCACCTTGAAAGCGTCCTCGCGTGCGCCAGTGTAACGAGCCTCAGCTGTTTTCCAGTTGATTACCTTCCAGATGTTCTCGACATAAGCTGCCTTTCCATTCAGGTACTGAAGGTAATATGCGTGTTCCCACATGTCAACACCAAAGATTGGAGTGTCACCAACGACAACCGCCTCTTGGTTAGCCAATGTAACAATCCGGAGCTGACCTGTCACTGCCTCCTTCACCAACCAGCCCCAGCCACTGCCTTGAATGCCCAATAGGGCAGCAGCGAAGACCTCTTTGAACTTGTCAAGGCTTCCCCATGTGGAAGTTATAGCTGCCAAGAGCTTGGGGGCTGCATCCGACTTTGCGTCTGGCGACGAAGATGGCGCAAGGTTCTCCCAAAACAGTGAATGGTTGATATGACCACCGCCGTTGAAGCGGATTGCCGACAGCTGAGCAGCCGAATCTTGAAGTTTACCCTGCGATAGAGCTGTCGCAGAAGTCTCCAACGCTTTGTTTAGGTTGGTAATGTAGGTTTGGTGGTGCTTGGAGTGGTGGAGCTCCATAATCTGCTTGGAGATGCTGGGTTCCAAAGCCTAGATGTGCACCGCAGAATCAGCAAAACGTTGTGCTTTCTAACACTTACGCAATCAACATCTTACATCATAAGCGTAAGGAAGCTTGGGAAGCTTGTAGGTTGGACCAGCCATGTTCTCGTTCACCGATGGTGCGTTTGTGACTGGAAGAGGAAGCAAGATGAGACTTTTCACGCTGATAATAACTGAGGGGAAGTTGAATCAGTGAAAAGGGAACCTAGTAGGCTCTTTGGCTTTTATTGATGTTGATTTGCCGGTTTCGGGATCTGCGGGCGAGGTAGGGTCACGTCATGTCGGATGTACCTTGATGGCCGCCTCAGCCGTCAAGGTAACCCCTTCTACTGACATTAAAGCCGCTTGTCATCGACGGTATCAATTGGAAACCCAGACAGTGATATTCTTCTATCCTCTTACATCTTTGGTTACTTATGTCGCACTGTTGAGCGGGGAGGTTGTCGCAATCGGTGTATTTATCAGCTCAAACGTGCTCATCGTGAGGCGAAAACGGCCGAAACACAACTCAAGGCCACCCACTCGGCAGACAATTGGTGGGCTCGATCACATTCTATTGGATACAGCAAAACTGAAGTACAAGAAGGCTCCACGTGAGACACAGCGCTTAACCTAGTGTGCGGACCGTTACTTGCTCGCCGAGCGACAGTCTTGGCGCCGCCCGGCTTATCGTTCTGACTTATACTAGTCATATAGAGCCCTGAACCTCTCAATCAGCCATCGAAACTAGTCCACAACCATAAGCTTCGCAGTATCCCCTAATACATTCACCGTAGCATTGGATCGTGTGTTATAATGTGCGGAGATCACACGAGACAAGCTCAAGGCGGTGCGCTGGCAGTACTGAGCCTCTCGCGCGATGCCTATGAATCTAGACGAAACAGATCGGCAGTGCCAGTGATGGCAGGTCGTCTACTGTTTCATGGTGATGGGTTTGGCGCTTCAAGTGTAACTCACGTAACGTTAACGGGCGAGGCTTCCAACAGATTAGCTGGTACCTCTTCATATATCGTGGGCATACAGTAAGTCGCAGCATCAAACACTTCTCTCGCAGTCATATACAGCATGGCACTGATTTCTTTTCAGTGAGACAGGAGATTTAACCACCTCAGCAATCATCAGTCCCTTCATGTGCAGGTTCAACATGAAAATGGCACCCGCTGAGCATGGGACAGGAAGCACTCCTGTGATGCAGGCTGCACTAAGCCACCCGTTAACAGTAGGAGTGGGAGGGGAAGGTATTATTGGCCGCAGGGTGACACTTTGGGCATCCAACTCTACGTCTCCTTGTGCAGAAGGCATCATAGGATACAATTGACACGAGCAACTGAGAAACTATAGCCACTCCTGTGTCGGACAATGGTATACCAAGACGTCTTGGGTCGACCACATCACGGTCGTTCTCACCAGACCGAAGTTGAAGGTTATTGGGATCGTGACTAAGCTAGGGAAGTGGTGGTCGAGAAAGTTGTCAATCAGCAGTTGCACATTGCTAATTCGAGACGTTCAAAGTCACCTTAAATCATGGAAACCCACCGCTCATCTTCTTTAGACAGAATCATGCTTCAATCATGGAATTAGATAAGCGCATGGATTTAAGGGCGTTGTTGTCTCTGAGTCTTTGGAGAATTATCACCAAGTCTCACCTGTGTAGGAAGGAAGGCACACTAGGTAGCGTCCATGCGATCATCAATGCAATGCAAAACATCTTAAGGCACCAGACACAACTTTAAAATGAATTATGATTATCATTATCAGAAATATAGCAGAGCTGAATAACTATTTCAGGCGCACGAAAAGCACTCCCTGTCGTAGAACCAGTTCTTACTGCTTGGGGTGTAGTCCAACCCGTTGTTGGCCATTGATGCCTCATACAACCAACACGAGGCATCCAAGGTGGAGAACCGGAAACTCGAACAGTTCGCGTTGAGCAGGCACTGGGACGCGCATTCGTACAAACTGCTCGGGCTTGACAGTACCTCAATAGCGCTTGAACTGGCTTGAGAGGACGGGAGACCGCAAATAACTCCCTCCTCCAGTTTAGCCTTAGGCGCAGAGCAAAGGCTCGACGAAGATGCAGAGGCTGAAGCAGAAGAAGAAGTGGCAGTGCTGGGTGGGTATCCCACGATACTGCTTGATGTAGAGGTTGGGATCCCGGTGCTCTGTGAGTAACCAACCAGAATCGACGTTGATAGGGTGGTGCTCATGGACGCATAAGACGAAAAAGGTGTAGGAGAGGCAATATCTGATGATGAGGAGCATCCGACTCCGCAGGCAGCACATTCCATGTCACTCCAGTAGACGGTTGAGGTATCTGATGATGCGAATCCAGCATCTGTCAAGCTGTAATCGAGGAACTTGCAGCCGACGTAGTAGACATCCAAAGCGTAAGCCTTGCAACCGGAGACCTGGGAGCAAATGGCTGCGCATTCCATCAAAGAGTTTTGTCCAGGATGCTCAGCCCAGGTGAAGCTATAAGGAGTGTAATTTGCGACAGTGCCTTTCTTAGCGCAAGCTACGCCACTGGCGCTGGGCACCGGGTTGGCGGCAGTGCAGCTGGTGCATGCGGCCGAGGCAGAGGAAGACACTGTGCTGGTGATGGCCATGCTTGATGTCGCGGAAGGACTGGTAGAGCTTGATGTGACCATAGAGTCAATGGCCGAGGAAGACGACGAAGCGCAACTGTTGCCGCAACTGGCGCAGCTCTTATCGCTCCAGTAGTAGTTGGAAGAAGACGAGGCGGAGAATCCAGCTTGTGAAAGGCTGGATTGGATGAATGCACATCCCAAGGAAGGATTACTGTTTGCGCGGTACCCGTACGCCTTACACGACGAATCTTTGTAGCAGATGGCAGCGCAGTCCATCATCGAGTTTTGGCTTGCACCCCACACTCCGTATGCGTCTTCGTAAAGAACCTCGCCTTGTACGCCACATGTAGTACCAGCAGGGGCTAACAATGCTGCCGTGCAAGTCACGCACGATGAGGCAGTTGTAGTGGTGGCAGCCGTCGTGGATGGCGTGGTAGTCGTAGCATCTGTAGAAGAGAGCGATGAAGACGTGATCTCAGCAACGCTCGTTGTAATCGTCGAAGATTCGATACTTGAGCTACTAGAAGAGCTGCTAGCAGAGCAAGCACTCAGGTCGGGCATAGAGCTCGGATCGGCAAGAGGAGTAAGCCAGTTGAATACGGATGAACCAGAACCACATTCATAGCAAGAAATGTCAGAAAAGATTGTAGAGCCAGACCCAGATTCCGCAACCTCGCTGAGTTCACCTGAGTAGAAGTTGCAAGTAACGCTGCCACCATAGTTTGTCGAGAAGGACTTGCAAGAAGGATACTGCTTGCAGAGTGCCATGCAAGCCCCCGCGCCACACTGAGCGCTGACAGTCGCAGTAGCGAATGGTTGAGCGCAGGACTTGGCCGTCCCCATGAACGTACTTTTACACGTCGAGGCTGGCGCGCTTCCCATCTTGTCGACACAAACAGAGCCTTCGGCAGGAGCACTACAGGTGGTCTGAGTGAAGCAGCCTTTGTCCCACACCTGAGGAAATCCATTCCCGAACTGAAAGGTGTAACCCATGGCCGCTACACTGGCGCTTTGCAAGAAGCAGGTAGCGCTGCAGGTCTGTGTAGAGTAATATGAGATCGATTGACAGTTCGAGTCTGCAAGACAGGCGGCAGCGCACTGATCTCGCGTGACATCGCTCACTTGCACCCGCTTGTAGTAGGCCTTGTTGCTGTAAATCTTACTACCACAAGTTAAGCCCGAGGTCGCCGTTGCCGACGCGACGCATACAGTTGGAGAGGCTGCCAGGGACCCAGCCGTAGGTGAAGTGGCTGTAGATGAAGACATCGATGTTGACGAGGATGAAGATGACAGCTCAGATACAGAGGTAGGTAGTACCATGGAACCAGAGGTCCATATCGAGCCAGATGCAATCGGAGCGGAGTAACTGGCGGTACTGCTTATGTCGATTTTGGATTCAAATATACTTGCGGAGCTCACGAGCGACGCAACTTCTGAAGTGCTGGTTGAGGTTGTAGAGGTACTCGTCGTGGCGGACCCAGTTGACGTATAGATTAGAGAAATGTTATCAACGTCGGTGGCATCGACCTTGTTCGAAACGAACACTTCGTCGATGAAGACCACGGCATTTCCCCCGCCGGTACAAGTTAGCTGGAATCGAATGTACCCATCCGAACTGGAAAGTGTTGCCTCATCCACGAGTTTGATCCAGGGGGTATTACCCGGCACAGCGTCGGTAACAACGTCGAAGTAGTCGGAATGTGTCAGAAGGGCATCGCCATAATAAGCCTCCATCCTACAAGTATTCGCCAACGTATTGGAGAGAATGGTATAGTAGAAGCGAATGGTGTACTCTGTTGTTGCGTCGACGTCCTGCAGCCGCTGCATTATCATGGCCGTATAATCTTCGCGCTTGCTAATATCACGCTTCTTTGTGGGTGCTGCAGTCATCTGAACACAGCCATTTCCAGAGGAGCCGTCTCGAGAGTAGCCATAGTTCAAGTTGATCTCGCAGTTCTGAGATTCCCAGTTTGCAATCCCGCCTGGACTGTTTGGGTCGTATGCACCAAAGTCACCATTGCCCACGTCATTTACGACCGTCTGCACCGCGGCGGGGGAAGTCGTTACCGTGGACGAGGATGTGCTTGTGGAGCTGGATCCGGCCAAAGTAATGCTGATGCTGCTGCTGCTGCTGATGATGATGAGAGAGCTCGTAAATGAATCGGAATCCGAGAGTGTTGACGAAGACGTGGCGCTAGGGAATAGAACGGTTTCCGATACTGTTGCAGACGAAGAGCCAACGACGGAGCTGGAAGAGGGAAACACAGACGAGCACCTCTTCTTGGCTGGTGCCGACTCAGCGTTGGCGAAACCGGCTGCGCCCGTAAGAGCGAGCGAGATGATAGAAGATCGCATCTTCAAATACTAACGAATGGCAGCTCGTTCGAACGAGGGAGGTGATGGCTCAGAACCCGGCAAAGCGTCTTCGACACGGGGGCGTCGACTATTTCAATCCCCATCATTTTTTCAATTCTGCACGCCACAACGGGTCTGTCATCTTGTTGATAGTGGAAGATGGAACGATGCTATTCCAGTGCAGCTGAAGAACAGCCGCCGACTATGCGCCTCGACGCACGCTAGAACACGGGCGCTATGAGGGCTGTCGTCCCTTTCTGGAAACGCTTTCAGGCCCATGGGCCACTGAGCGCATCTTGGCCAATCAGAGCCAGTCACCAGTGAGCGTAGACGGCTTTCTGAACCGAGATGTTCACGTGGTCGCAAGGCTAGACTGGATCCTGTCGGGCGGGCGTTGAACTAGCCTAGGATTCGGGTCTGGCTGGATCGATTGCTTGGGCAGTATTTTGCCGTTTTGGCAGCTTCTAGATCGAAAAGAAGACAGCTGATGAGGCCAAGAATATCAATAGTGTTGTTTGCTGCCCTGGCTAGGCCGGACCCTGGATTCTCAGCTTGCCCCATTGCATGAGTTGGCGCCAGCCGGTGCCTGACTAGACCACTCTTGGCGGAAGGCTGCTCCACAGTTCACGTTCCAGCCAGCGGCTTCCCCAAACGAGTAGGCTGGCTCTGGGAGCTCACCTCCAGATGTGACCAAATTGGTACATGTATGCACGATACATTGGTCAAATTGAGTGAAGTAAAAGAAGCATAAAATGGGCATGAGACGGGGCTGCACCAAGACCCACCATGGAATGCGTACGGCTGTGCAAGTGTCTTGTGTGGTGCATGGCCCCATGGTGAAATACATATCCTCTTCATGACATTCTTCTACGCTCACATGTTTCTTTGTATCCTATTTATGTAGACACAGCTCTTGCGTTTTGCATGGTCAACTGTGGATGAAGACCGACTTTTCTGACAGCTTTTCGTAGGCTGGGGATGATCATCTCTTTGAAATGAAGAAAAGGGGTAAAAGGCTCGCTGTTTTAGTAAAAACAAAGCTGATTTCTTTGGGTTCCAATCCGGAATTAAGACTATCTAGTTGGGATTCGAACACGAAATGTGAGGACATAGTTGCATCTTGTTGTGTTTCAAATTCAGATAGGGTTGCAAAACCATGACATGTTTACCTACCATCACAAATACATAAACTTGGATCTCAAAGGAAACAAGAGTCTGAAGAACTTATCATAGTCACTTTCTATACCTGATGCAACTGCAACAGTTTTCTCGAAGGAGTCCTCTCAAGTGTCTATTCATGGAGGGATTCCTCCCTTTCCTCACAGTATCAAGCCGCGCCTTTCTTACCTGTCACCCTTTGGAGGACTGCCAGACCTGCGCACAGCCTCCCTAACTGTCCTTGCCTCCACGGAGATTCTTCTTGGAGGCCTTTTTGGCCAGCCGCTCCTCCTTCCTCGCCTGGCGCTCCTCCTTCCTCGCCTGGCGCTCCTCCTCCTTAGCCAGGCGCGCTTGCTCGCGGAGATTGCGCTTGGATGCCTTCTTGGCCAAACGCTCTTCCTCCTGTTGCTTGCGGACAGCGCGCGCCTGTTTATCCCGCTCGCTGCGCATCTGGCTCTGGGCAGCTCCCGTTGGTCCACTGGTCAGCCATGGCCCGAAGGCAGTGGCGCCGTCTGACCAGTGTGGTCTTTGGCAGCCACTGTTCTGGCTCCACTCTGAAGAGGAGATGGAAGGTGAGGACGGCAATCTGACAGCAGAAGCCGAAGCTGGAGCCGGGGCCGGGGCCGGACGGGGCGGGGTGCTGGCTGCTTCGGCAACCCCTGAGATAAAGGACGCAGTAGAGTTGCTCCGCTCGCGCGGCAACGTGGTGGCGGCGCGGCCACGATGACCCCGCGGTGCTGGGGTTGGGGTCGAAGGGGCCTCACTGAGCAATGATGAGCTATCCTCCAGCTGTGACAACGGAAGGTTGTGGCCAACACCTGGATTACCAGCAGGTGCGTCGGGGGGAGTGGTGGTGATGGCGGCGGCGTGGGAAATTACGCTCACGGTTTCATCGTGGACGCCTTTACTCATACAACTGCCCATTTTGGTATCCTTACTATCTCCCAGGTATCCTTCCGAAGTAATCACGATGTGTGGTACGGCTTGGTTGCTGCGCACAGCTACAGTTGGTCCTTGGATATCGATATCTACGACGAAAATCAGAACATGCCTGCGAATCTATTTGTATTCATTGGGACCTACGGGCTATGTCTGCTCTCTTTCGTGGCCTGACACTTCCAAACTGTGGAGGGCTAGTGCTGGAGGTGGTCGCGCTACTATCTGCAGCGCTTGATGAGGATGACTCTGCCAGACGTTCCTGCAGCCGGTCGAGCGTGTATCTCAGGCTCTCGATTTCCGCTCTGATGTTGGCTTGCTGGCCACAGTGTTCCGATCCCTCTCTGCTGTCCTTATATTCTTCCTCGTTGGATTCGAAGACACAGCTCAGTGGTTGGATGCCAAGTGTTCGTGCTCGACTGGCGCCAGGTCTGTTACGTTGTGATGACAGGGTATTGGGGTCGATCTGGGAAACAGTACCGCTGCCAGGCGAACGTAACTCTTGTGATGACCGAACTTGACTGGGCCGCAGTAATGTCTGGCTGGTCGGGGTAGATGAGAGTGGCGAAATGCGAGCGCGCGTTGAGAAAGAGGTTGGGCTTGGATCGATGTCGTTTACCGAGATCTCCTCACGGATAGAAGAGAGGTCTCTCGTCGCCTGTCCTAACGATGTCTTGGAACCTGAATGAGAGCGTAATGGGCGGCCTGGCGACAAGGGACGAGACGAAGATGGAACGGTGACTCGAGGGCCCGAAAGACGTGAAAGGCGTTCTTCCAATGCGCTCTTGGACAGTCCTTGGAAGTTTGAGGTAGGCTTCCGCAGAAGCTGGCTTTGGACGGCTTCAGAACCTGGAGTATCGCAGGTGAAAGTGGTAGGAGAGTCTGCAGAGGGTAGAGTATCGGTAAGCTTCGTGAAAGACACCTGGGCCCTGTCGTTTAAACCCTTCAACAGACCTTCGACGCTCAGTTTCACGTCTTGCGATGCACTCGGTCGATCTTGGTAAGGCTGCTGCGTGCTTGATGTGGAGGCTGGTGCGGGAAGTGAGGTGAATGGTGAAGCATTGTGTAAGGTGCTAGGAACCTGGAAACGCTGTGTTCGACTGTTGGCAGTCGAAGATTCCGGCGATGGCTGACTGGCTTGCATGAAGGTTCGCGATGTTTGTCTTGAGGTCTGACCGTGGGTGGCTAGAGAAGAGTGCGGGTACACGTCGTCAGGCCGATTTCCATATCTCGCGGGCGATCGCCGAGGCGGCGGAGGCGGCAATACAAGGGGCGGCGGGCTGGGCAAAGGAGGCAGTGGTCGTACCCCAAGTCTGCTGCTGTAGCGATGCGTTTTATCCATATCAGGGCTCTGACTCACGGTGGTATTCATTGCCAGCAAACCCAAGGTGGGTGAGTCAGGTCGTGGCGTTCCTGGTTCAAGGGCATCTGGCGATACTGAACCAAAGAGATCTCTTCGTACATTCTCCGGGAAGTCGTCAATGCTGATGTGATCATCTTCATTGAAGGCTTCTTGTTCTCGATCACTATTATTCGCTTGGGCGGAATTTTCGCATGACGGTTCTTTCCTGGCCGTGCCAGGTGATCCAGGGAAGTCTGTGACATACCCGTGCAAATTTGCTTCGTGTCTGGCAAACTTATTATCCAGGTCGTCTTGAGAGGCATGCGGCCTCAATCGAGTCATTATCGGCCGCTGAGGAATTGATGCTCTCCTTCTGACGGAACAGCTGCGTCTCAGCATGCATGTGTTGTTTGTTGGCAAAAAGCCTGGTAGTGCACGTTGGGGTTGCTGGGGTTGCGTAGCCATTTGTTTAGGAGAGTGGTGCCCAGCGGCTACCGCGACATCTGGAATATGCACGGCTTCCTGAGGAGCATCGCCTTGTGTTGGCACTGTCATAAGCTGTGAAGAGTGCTGGTGTTGGCTTGTTCCTTTGATGGTGGAAGTACTATTTGTGGTAACCTTTGAAGCTTGCGAACTTCTGGCAAAGGCTTGCCAACGCGGGAGACTTGGAGTATTGGTGAATTCGTCAACAGAACCACCCGGTATATCGAGCAAGCATTTCGGAGTGAGTGGAATATCCACTGGCATCGCTATGCTGCTGGCGAGGGCTTGCTGCACCGACCACCCTATGCCTTGGAGATAGGGATGGAAAGCCACATCGAACTTGATCAGACGTCCAGGATCTCTTGCTAGTACTGCTTGCAGTCCCAAACCGAGAAACTGAGGTGGAACATCACGAATCGAGATGGTCACGTTGTGTATGGTAGCGCTCGATACCTCTTGATCCAGGATCGTTGAAATGCGGTTCACAAGTGACCCAGGGGACTCCTCCTCAAGTGATCCTGTAGGAAATTGCTGCACCGATTCCTGGGCATTTGAATCTTCAGACTGATGCAGAGCTTGTGTTGCGTCATTGACACTCTGCGTCGACCCTTCACGGCTGGCTGGGATGACTTCTTCGCTGCTAAGCGACTTTGATCCATCTGGACCTGAAGAGTTGTTCGAAGATTCATTCTCAGTGTCTGACTTGGTTTTCGATTCTGTCTAAAACTCAGTAGTTGAATCTTGGGATATGGGACGCCGATTATATACTTTTCTTTGATCTACTTATAGTAGGAAGCTTTCCCCCGGGTAGATATCTGAATCCTGTCATCTTGATCTGTGGAGGCTCAAAATATCAGTAGCAGGTCTAATACCACAAGTCGACTGGACGAAAATCTCACCCAGATGTGCTGGCATTTGCCGAATAAACCCAGATAGGCAGCGAAACCGCCCTGGACACGTCACTTTCGACTCTTCTCGACTCAAGGAAAAATCAACCTGGATCGTAATCGATGCATAGAGGTCGAGTGATGGATCTGGCGTGGAAACTAGGCGTCCTTCTTTGGCAAGAAAGACTCTGTGAACATGCGTTGTGAAGTGAAATGAATCTGAGTAGATGTACGATAGCCTAGGTCTTTGAACCTGGAAATTAAACTCAGCTTATAACTTCACAAGGAAGGTTCGAATTTGCATGCAGAATACAGCAGCTGGCGTAAAATGTTCTTCCAAAGTGGCAATGGCGATCCAATCCGGGTGTGATGATGGTTGGCCTCACAGAACTCTAGTGAGTATGGTCTTCACATCGTGATTATTAGCGCCAAACGCACAAATCGCCTCAGCACCGACTCTTTCGACTCAGAAAACTCGTCTCACCTATATATTTGGCTACCTCGGCGTCGACTGAAGAAGCGTTGCCAGAAAGCAGCTGTTGCGGTTGGTAAAGGGGTGGCTCCGGATGTGAAATATTGTGATCCGACAGTGAAACCAGCTCACCGCACCAGGGGATCGAAGGGAGGCAATGTACGGTCTCCAAGAACCGACTTGTACGTACGGAACGTGTCTAATGCTTCGTGTGGCAGGTTGTCTCTCTGGTGGTGACAGGCAAGGTCGCCGTTTGCTGGATGGATGGAAACTGAACGGCGGGTGGGCGGAATTGAGAGGCGCATATTTACCAACCATGGAACAGCGGTGAAAATCAACGATGGGAGTCCGTGAAGGTCAATTTCGGTCCGAAGATGCTGCAAGAACTTGTTGTTCTCGCATCTGTGGTGTTGGTTGATGTATGCTGGCGTGGAGGGATTTGCGGTAATGAGAGCGGAAGTGTGGTGATGAGGAGGGGATTTCAGGCACAGGGAGCCGACAAAAAAAGATGGAAGTCAAACAATTGAAATAGTTGGTATCGCCTCAAACTCTGGCATATCATCTGGCAAGTCAAGACGTTACTACCACAAATCAGCGAGGATCCCGCCCGCTTGATGCCTCGGTATTCATCAATGCACGACTAGCTTCCTCAGGGCTCTAGAAAATGTGCATCTCAGAGAAAACAGCATACGTATTTTCAAAGGAGCTTCGGCTACTCAAGAGGTGTTGACATCCCATTCGTTGCGCGTGTTACATCGGACCCAGGTCGTGAAGTCCCTGTCCTGAAGACAAAGCAGACGGTGCACGTCTGCTGCCGCAAGGCACAATGCTCTGCCCATGACTCTTATTTGTTGATCAATTCCATACAGCGCAAAGTAGGATCTCACTGGAGCTGTTGGACATAAGTGGAATTGTAGGTTCATGGCCGCAGAACTTCCTTGACAGCCTCAGCACGATACTGGAGAGCAGCCCTCAATGTTGTTGATGCGAATTCAAGTCTCGCCCAGAATTCTGCGCCTATGGTGGCAATTCTCTGGGGTCTCATGATGCGTCTTCGACGACATGTGACCTGACAGGCCTCCATGAAGCATTGTAATGGTGGCTCTATTATTCGGATAATAGATACTCTTTTTTCATCGCAAAGATAGACGCATTGGCATATTACGCCTTTTGCCTGCAAAAATGGCATTCAAGCCATCCAATGCGGTCACTATCAAGTCATATTGCGGTGCCTGATGATGGCGATTGGACAAAAGCCGTAAGGATGTGTTTGTGTTGACCTTCTGTTGCTGAGCTGCGTGTAAGTGGTTTCAGGCCTTCCAATTGGGCAGTCCTGCTTCAGCATTTTGGCGTCGCCAAGTCCCGTGCACATTCCTGTCTGGACTCTGATGGTGCGCCAACGCGCCCTCCCCAGATTCCAATTCCTGAGAGATTATCGTCGCAACTTCGCGGCCCTTTATACTGTCGCGACGACTATACGATACAACCCTCTAAGTGGGCACTTTTCCGAGTTACTCGAATAGGGAGGCGGCCCGATTCGGGACATCTTCGGTCCCCACTTGCCCCTGTCCATAGCAGTTCGTCATTGTGTGGCTCCCGACAGCCACGCCAAGCTGGGCGGTCGTCTCGGGACTGGAGCACCTAGGTTGGTGGCTTGACCCGCCGCGAGGAACAGGAAATTTGGATCCTCCAGCGAGGCCTCCTGAGGACGGACGCGCCTGATCTGAGTTCCGAAGGGTCAATTGGGCGGCGGACGACAAAGGACGGTCATCACCACTGATTAATGGTATAATTTGGGTCATTATGATGTGGGCGACTCACAGCGGCCGGTTTGGCGTCCTCAGACGGGCGGAACCGTTTGCGCGAATCACGCGCCAGCGCCAGCACCAGCTCTGGCACCCGTTGTCCCCGGCTGCGCGACCACAGCGCTCGCAGTTCTCGAGCACGGCGCGGAGATGGCAGGAGCAAGCTCAAAAGGAAATCCCGAATGCCGGCAACGGGGAGCCGAGCATACTGGCCAAGATGGCCGAGTCAGCCGCCACAACACTGGCGTCTGTGGTTGTGTTGGGGGCCGGATTTGCCCTGGCCGCCGTGGTCTACCACAAATCTTACAAGGCTCTGCAGCTCAAGAAGATCGCAAACGCCTTCGAGCCTGGCGATCCTGTACTTGAGCTGGCTGCCATTGCGAAGGAAATCCCTGCTCCCCCCAACGCAGAGCATTGGATCATGCGCCAGGAACAGTCAAAGATCGACGCCATCATCACCGGCGCAGACAAAGGCCATTATCATCTCATTATGGGTGAGAAGGGCAGTGGGAAGAGCTCGATGCTGCTGGAAGCGATGCGCAAGATCAATGGAGATGGATGTGCTATGTTTGAAGCTCATGCCGACTTGGAGATTTTCCGCATCCGTCTCGGAAAAGCACTTGACTATGAGTTCCGTGAGTCCTTCCCATAATCATGTCTGCGGGCGTCATCCTCAGAAAGCGCTGTTACTGCATGAATGGCCCGAGGGAGGCTGTCTTGCTCTGAATGGGAAGAGCGCCCGGCGTCTCCCGTAGGATCAGGGTAGACCTCCCTCAGCACTGTGTCTTCCTCTTCCTGCTCAGTTATGGCTAATGGGTTCATTGCAACAGACGAGGACTACATTGGTGGGTACTTCAGTGAGCGTGGCCCGAGGGAGAGTACCGCGTTGCTAGACATTGAGCGAGCCTTGAACAAGCTGGAAAAGGTGGCTCTTCTGAACCGGGCAACGAAGCAGAAACCATTGGTTGTGATTGTCAACCAATGCCACTTGATCCGAGATGATGAAGACGGCAAGGACTTGTTGGAACTCTTGCAACAGCGTGCCGAGCAGTGGGCTGCTGCCAACCTCGTGACCATGGTATTCAACACGGATGATTACTGGGTGTATGAGCGATTCAAGCAATTGGCGACCAGGATGGAGGTCCTACCAGTAACGGACCTGCCAAAGAGCCATGCAGTCGCCGCATTGCAGAAGTATCGACACCGGTACTTCAACGAGGATGTGGAACCAAGTATACTTGAGCAAGTCTATGACCTCGTTGGTGGTCGATTGTCGTTCTTGAACAGAGTCGCAAAGTCCTCCAACATGTTGAAGACATGCGACGAGATCAAGGAGATTGAGAAGACCTGGTTCTTGAACCAATGCTGGATCCTCGGCAGTGAAATGGACGATGACGTTATGGATCAGCAGAAATGGGCTGTAAGTGCTTTCCATAATTATTTCTCCTTAGCAGTGAGATTGGCAACATTTCAAGGCAAGTGCCTTGATCAATCAAACTCTGGCAACCAGCGATATGCTTTTCTAACAGCCTGAGAACGCTCTGCTCCCCGCTTCTGGTAGAACATGACCCGGTGCTATTGCTTACCAACCACCGCAATAACATGCCCCCCCCAGAGTGTGATCAGTCTTGGATACTAACACCAACACAGGCAGCATCAATGGTTCTAGCACAGGCGCTTGTCGACAAGGAGGAAGAGATGGACAAGACTTACGATGATGTCACGGGTCACGTCCTCCCTTCTTACCCAATGCACAAGGCACAGCAGATCATGACGAGGTCTGATTTCATACGTGAGCTAGACCGTCTTAACCTCTTTACGATCACCAGCAAGGCCCAGGTCCGCGCCAGCTCAGTACCCATGCACCGCGCATTCCAAGAGATATGCGCAGAGGAAGGCTTCCGCCAATTCCTTGAAGATACCAATGAACGAATCGCCGCCATCGAGTCCCTCGGCCGTACGCGAGAGCTTGTGGCAAAGGACCTTGTTTTGGGTGGGCAGTATGAAATCTCGAAGGGGTGGGGCGGGATGATCAAGGTTAACCTGAAAGAGAAGGAAGAGGAGCAGGAAAATGACGACAAGGATGATAAATGAGCATAACCTCTCAGTGAATGATTGGAATTGTGATGAGGCAGACGAGGGCCATATTTGGGTGGCGGACAACCTTACTGCTCTGAAATGACATCAACTCAGATGCCCACATCTGCCACGGAGGATCGGCGATTCCATGGAGGGGAGACGACGAACTACATTGACGATAGGCGGAGAACAGGTCGCTTGCTGATGTTCATGGGATGGCTTGACGAGTGATGAGAGAGCATGGGTGGCATGCGTTATGTTCTCAGGGGTTGGCAACAAGATTTGCTTCTTGAATAGGGACAAGCAAGTGGTGGGTTGGCGGCGATGCCGGCTCAGACACATCTGGATCTCACCAGCAGTGACGAGGAATCCGTTGAGTTCCTTCACTGAGTCTTTGAAGGAGCGGATCTGAACACCATGTGCAGGGGGATCATAGGCATTCCCGAATGGTTTACATCACGACACACAGGCTCCGCGGGGCTTTTCATTTGTACATTTCAGAATTGGGCATTTCGGCCTGTGTATAGACGAAGCACGGAGTAATCCATTGGCACATCCACTTGTATCATAGATGTATCAATTCATTTCGGCATAGAGAACATCTGGCGCAAATTCTGAAAAGCTAACCTATTTCTACACAAGGTTAACGCCTTCGAACCGAGTCCCCTAGCGGTATACTGTAGATATCTGTTTCTCGAGACTATCTTCATGCCATAGTCTTCCCCCGCCGGGTCTTGATAGCCCTCTTTCCAAACTCACTTCGCTTGATGTAGCCCGTGTATGTGCTGCCGTCCCGCTTGGCACCCTCACCTTTGAAGACACTGCCCAAGCCGAAGTTCGGTTCACCGCCCAGAGAGCCGAAAATGTCTCCGATGTAGTTTGTGGGCTTCACGCCTGCCGCGAAGGTGGCGTTCCAGCTGGTCAAAATCCCCCTGACAATCTCGATACCCGCATTGTAGATGTTCTCCACCGCCGGTGTGAAACCGCCCTGCGAAGCAAGCAGCAGGTGGTAGTACGCGGAAGTGCCTGGCGGTGGGCGATCAAAATCCGACGCTGTTACGTCGTTAATACTCATAGATTCAAAGAAAACTGGTCTCAACATGGAAGTTACTTACCAGTTCTCATCAGGATCACTCGAGAGTAGTCGGCCAGTCCCGCCAGATCAGCTCGCATCAAGGACTGGAGAACAGCATTGTCCTCTTGAGCGCTCATGCAGTATGTCAGGTCTGTCTGGTTTGTCCATACTTTGGTTGTGTTCTCAAAAGCTTCGGACAGAAGGTTTCCCGAATAGTATACGTCGCTGGTTGCTGTGTCACACTTGACAACGGTTGGGCCGGCGATCGCCGCATTATAAACCTCACCAGCAGGTGCATACTTCGCACGATAGTCAGCTGCATCAGTAGAATCGTTGAGGGCTGCCTTGGATGCAAAGCCGAAGGCAATGTCTCGCAGCGCCTCGTTGAGTTCCATCACCTCGGTGCCGTACGCCTCCTTGGGGTATTCACCGGGATATAGATCATCGTATCCGATGTAGCCTGTAGTCAGGTTCTCCGGGATCTCACGTGCGTCGAACTCATACTGCAAGGCTACTTGGACCGCGAACTTGGAGAGGGCGACTGTGCCCAAAGTGCCCAGCTTGGGCGAAACACCAGCAATTCCACCAAGAAGAAAATAAGTCGACGTGAAGTCAAACTTGGTTGAGAGCAGCAGGGACGAGATTGAGGCTGCAGCGTTGATCTCAGACTCGCCCGCGGTAACTTGACAGATCTCTCCGGAGGTGACGCAGTGAACCTCGGGATAGATAGGAGACAAGCCGGGTACGGAGATGTTCTTAGCCATCAAGTCACCATAGCCGCTACTGGGCAAGTGATCATACCAGATATCGGCCTCCGGGTAGAACTAGGACCTGTTTAGTCACTGTTTCCGTAAAGCAGTGTAGTTAAGAACTAACCATGCTGATAATGAAGATTTTGGGTGCCATCTTGCAGTCATCTTTTGTGGTAGTAGTCTGAGCCGGGGAGGTGCAGCGCCGGCGAGGACTAGCCACAGCCAAGGCCTGGCCGGTCACAAGCAGCGACCCGGCAATGAGTGTTGAAGGCCGCATTGTATCTTGGCTGAGATGATATAGTGGGATTTGGATAATACGATCGCATGCACCACCAAAAATGAGCGACGAAGAGTTGAGAACTCTCCAGACTGTAGGCTTTGCCCAGAGAATCAGGACAGCAGATACACATAAATCGCGATCTGCAATCATCTAGATCCACCTGAGGAAATTCCAGCCTCATATCCCCAAAAACATTTCCCGTGTGCCAACCGAGCTGCAGTGGGCCGCGCGGGCATCCACCGCATCGCGCATCTCAGTAATCCTTATGGCCTCACTCCTCCAAACCTTGATAACGATGTGGGAAACGGCGCCTCCCGTTGCCGCTGTCGCTGCTACGTAGAGGTTTACGTCGCTGATGACAAAATACGGAGAAACCAAAGATAAGTGAGATAGATGCTGTCGCTTATCCCAGGATTTAAAAACTGAGCGACAGTGGCTTGCGCCGATCCGGAGACGTGAAGTAGGTGGGCCACTTCCTCTGTCGTACCGCATGGCAGACGGACCGAATAGGCGATTTCACAATATATCAGTCAAGAAACTCAAAAGCTGACACCATCAAATTCCATAGCATGCAACAGCTATACTGAAACATATATTAGCAACTCGCAAGTAGAGCATCAATCATCAAATGTCACATAATCGCAGCGGTGCTTTTAAGCCAGCGGATCCGCAAAGCTTGACATGCTTGTTAGAAGCTTGGGTATCTGAAAGCCACTGATAAGTGGGCGCTAAAATGCACCCCAGGAGGCGTACGTCATGGTTGCCCGTGCTGAAGGAAAAAGAAGTTTAGTGGTGGCCCACGGCTTAGTCTAATCTAGTTTCCGGCAGATTCAGGGCTCATCAGCAGATCATGACAAGGCGGAATTACTGTACGGTACAGTAGTACAGTACAACAACGTAGGCACTGATAAGGAACGCATCATATTCAAGCAACCTACAGGTTTGGGACGAGAATGGAATGAACCTGGGGACCTCCTAGTTGCCCAGCTTTGGCTACCCTTCCTCAGTAGGCATATCGGAAATTCACATTTTCCTAGAGTGCCTTGTTAGTCGCCAGGCTGTTGCCCATGACACAGTCAAATAACTCACCTTATCCGTGATATCCTCGAACCCATGCACGCCCTCTGTATCCGCCAACGCTTCTCCACGATCAATCTTGCCCTGTTTAACGCCATTCTGCCAGACGTAGTAGAAACGCAAAGCGAATAGCACAACGACAAGTGCTACGAATGAGGCGAGTATGACTGCAAATGCTGGGAAATATCGCGGTGCATCCTGCTTTCGAAATACCTGGGGTCCAATGGCGTTGCCCTGTCTTCAGTTAGACAAGAAAGCTGGGGCGATCTGGCAAAATGACTTACAGCAGCCCAGCTCATGAAGCTGAGCGCAACCACTACCGACTTCTTTGTTTGCCCTGCAACGTTCCGCGTCACTAGCGACAGCGATAGGCCGACGGCACACCAGAAGGAGTACCTGTAGACGAGTCAGCCCAATTCCAGGATCCAATGCTAGATTTGCTTACATGATGTACCATGCGAACAGAAGCGCAACTTTCTTGTCTTCCGTGAAGGGTACTGCGCACAAGGTTGCAGCTCCGGCGATAGTCGGCAGGACGGATGCTATTGACGGCCATATCGTTTGCTTATATCGTCGCTCAATCCAAACGCCAGAGAGCATAGAGATGACTTGTATTACACCAGTGACCATCTGTAGCAACTGGACGACCCACGTCGAGTACCCGAAAGACTGGATTACTATCGCAGCATAGGCACCCATGCCTCCGGAAGGCAGCGTAGTCAGGATCTGGATTAAAATGAAGGCATATACTTATACAAGTCAGCAGTGGGATACTCGCAAAGCAATCGCGCTTCGAGACTCACCTTGAGGATCCATGAAGGCCTCTTGGACTTGTCTCCAACGGAACTTGCGGTTTTGAACACCTGTGCGGTTATCGCGCAGTCGCTCAATCATGAGTTTCTTGTCTTCTTCCGAGAAACACTTTGCCTTCATAGGAGAGTCTGGCATCCACCACATAATGAACACACCCCAGACGGTGGCAATTAGGCCATGGGTCATGAACAGTGCTTGCCAATCACTGATAGGCGACGTTGCGGGAACATGCGTGAAGATGAAGGCAAGGAGTCCTCCAATGATTTGCTGCAGTCCGTTCATCATATACCTGAACCCGCGTAAGTGGTCAGAACAGCATTCACCCGCAATCTTCTTTAAGAAATAACATACCAGAGAACAACCGTGCTCGACTGCTCCTCGCGTCTATACCACATGGCTGAAAGAACAGTAAAGGTAGGCTGGCAAACCGCTTCAAACAGACCTAGAAATGCTCTCACGGCGATCAACCCCGTAAAGTTGTGACATGCTGCCGTCAGAGCTACGGTGGCGCCCCAGAGAAAGACATTAAAACCAAGCCATTTTGCGATTGGCACGCGTTGAATGATGTAGTTTTCCTGGTAGCGTAAGAATGTCAGTGTGTAGCTCAATTCATCCAAGCAGAACATCGCCTTACTGGGTACTCAACAACAAGGACGACCAGGTAAATGATAGTAGTGAGCCAAGAATACTGAGTATCATCAGCAAGTGCCTTATCTGAGTGCGTTTAGTTAACCATACCTCTGGTCCTTGAAGATGTGTGTCCTCCTGAAGGCCCATGATCGAGGCAAAGCCAAGAGCACCCTTGTCTACACTTTGGAGGAAATAGGTGACAATCATGATGGCCAGTACTCGACGGTCTATGACCCTTTTCAACCTTGCATTGGTCTCTTCATCAATGTGCACTGGGATATCTGACGTGTACGCCGCAAGCTCCTTGTCGACGAGGTCATGGTTGGTGTGGTCCTTGCCGACTTCGTCGTGCGACATCACGGTCTCAAGCTTGTCATCATCACTAGCTGACCGAGAAACGCTACCATCGCTGTTGATCACGTCGGCCATTTTGACGAGCAGTCTAATACAGGAAGACTAGATGCGGCGCACTCGGAGAGATGCAGCCAGTTGAACTGAGAAGTCTCGGGTCCCAAGAACAAAACTGGGCCGGGCGTATCCGTGACTTTCTATCTTGGATAGCCTGCTTCAAAAGCTGTGTTCGGTCGAGTTAACCCGGGATGGACCCGCCCACTCCGCCATCATGACCGGTCCCCTCGAATTGCAGTACCTGGGGTATTCTGCGGGGCGACCCCATGGGGATGGATCTTCGGTGGACACGCCCCCAGGATTGCAAGAAGTGTGTGCTTTGTTTCTGTCCGCTAACGGCTCAATCCGGCGATTATGGTGACTGGAGTCCGTTCAAGGAATCAAGGGTCAAGAGCGGCCTAACATATTAGCAAGAGAGACCATCGTCGACCGCGTCGGAAGTCCCCCGGTCGGGGTGGTGTCGGCCTAAGTTATGGCGCCAAGCTTGAACCAGGGATCCGGAGCCAACGATTGGGTGAGTAAATCGAGTTGTCCGGCCTACTCTCCGGTCCCTTGGCTCCCAGAACTGCTCATCTTTCGGCACCCAACCCGACCACCCCTATTTCCAAGCAAGTTCACCGAGCTTCAAGCCGATATGAAATTCTTGAATCTCTTGCAAGCCCACTATAATCATAGCCAAGTGGATCAGAGGAGAATGGCGTTGTCACTGAGACCAACTTATGCTGATCAAAGTCATGCCGATGACGAAGTGCGCGATACGATTGTCGGCAAAACCCGGTCAATCCGGCCAAACGATTTCTTGGGCCCTTTATTCAAAGCATAAGCTCTGGACAGCTTTTCGAGACAACCATTGATCTGTCCTCCGCAAGACCTTTCCTGAGCACACATTGGCAAGCCTATAACGTTGGGTGTGATCCCAGTGCCGCCAATTGTTGCGAGGCCAGGCGAGTCTATAGCCTGTGTGAAGCAAAGAACTCCGTTTAATCGTATCGAATGCCCAACTGAGCAACCCTCAGACTTTATAGCACCCATCGCCAATTACATTGCATCATACTTGAGTGTCGAGTCATAGGTTAGAGCATGTATTTGGCATGCGATTGGCTATGGCAAGCCTACGCACTCGACCGGGCTGACGCAATGGCTGTCGCAACTCATAGTAGCCTTTCGTTCAATCCGAATAGCTCCTCTAGACCTTGCTTACGACATCGAAAGTCTGTGATACCAGGCAATCTCTATCCTCTGATTCAGAAAAATGGTGATACTAAGATCTAGGGATATACTGAGAGTCTCGTTGGATCGATCACCCCTTCTACTGTCGTTGAGAGCCTTGTACGATGGTCATACACTAAGAGGATTCAAGAGGAAGCCTTGTGCATTGATACTGTTGATCGACCGGTGCGAACATCTGGCTGCACCTATTATGACGGTTACTGTTAAACGGGCACGGTCTTAATATCCCCACAGTTTCAGGCTAAGCTACACGTCCTCATAATCTAACAAGGAGCCACTTTCCCCGTTGCACTTGGTTCAGGAGCAACTATAGGTAGTGGTGGCGAATTCACCTCGCATCTAGATAGTCAGGTTGACGCAAAGCCCGGGCGTTATTGGAAGTCAGAATCACATCTCAGGCCCGTTGAGAAGTTTATCATTCATCAAATTCTTGCAATCATCGGCTGTTTATGCACATGTGAAGATCACGTTTCAGACCAAATGATTCTTTGTTGGCACGCGTTATTCAATCCTCTGTGACTATCGCAGTCGTGAACTTAGCCAAGAATACGAAAACATCTGCAATAACTAGCACTTTGAATTGCCTGGCATATGCTTGTCGCAGCCTCCCACCCAACCATCAGACATACGAGGGGTTTTCAAGCACTTCTCAGTAGATATCCTATCATCACAGCCAACAGGATCATTGGCGGACATGACAAATATCCCGCGCCTGCGACCCGATGAACATAGCGGCCTCGAGACGCGGCTCAGAAAAGTAAGTGACTCAGGCGATCCCATGTATCATGCAAGCCAGTCCGATAAACATCTACCTGCACCAATGTCGTCACTTTGCGATAATATAACTGCAGCAGTGCACGCCGCATCCACATCCGCAGGCCTATCATTAGACCGATGAGAAGCATTTCCGAAGGCGGCATCACCCCCACTCCCGGAACCTTACCCATCGCCTCCAGGCTCCAGGGGAGGTGCAAGATGCGACATGAACCTTCAGGCACACAACCCATGGAACCCAGCCGGGCTGATCCGCAAGACAAGGGTGTGTGTGATCCGGGATCGGGCAAATCTGTGATCTACACAGTACCCGGGAGCATATTTCGGGTTCCCATGCTGGTCGCAATTTTGGTGCTTAATTGGGCGATAGGGAAGCTTGGCAAATGCACCACCTCTGCACCTCTGCCACCGCTGCATCCGAAGCACGCAGAATTACATCCTGCATGCCACGCCAGATAATTCTAATATTTCGAGAAGCCAAGCCAAGACGGAACCATTGTGCCAAAGCCTAGAATGTGATCACATTTACCACATCCTGGAACGAAAGCAAGGCGGCCAAGCGTTGGTGGGCTACGTCCCGGCTGAATAAGTATTAACACACAAAGACATAATAGTTCAAGTGACTCAAGTGCATTCAACATCATTATGTGCTCTCAGAAGGTTATCAAATTGTCTGTCTCATTGCTGCCGCCGGCCGAGCGCAATAACCCTGTTTCTTGGCAGTTCCCACACGCTTGTCACTCTACACCCAGGTTGCATATGCACATCGTCCCATACAACCCTGAAGTCCAAGTGTTATGTTCTGCAGGCCCCGATGCATTTTTTTCTAGGATCCTAATCCTATCTGAATTGGGTCGAGGGCGTGGCGACCAAAGAGGTACGCGTCATCGTCTTACCCAACACCAACACACGTGTTGCACAAAGATAAGCCCTCGATCAAAGAGCTATTCTCCATATTGCAGGAAGTCAAATGACGTATGATGTCAACTTAATATCCACCTGGTTCCTCCAATAGTGTTGGCGTTCTCAAGCATGTGCACATGTTGTTTTGCTGAAAGACCTGCCCTACGTACCATACTTGGCAAACTTGATGCATTATAGCTGACAAATCATCTCGAAAACTGTAGTTTCGTGTAATTTCTATGTACCCTAGGGAGCTTCGTTCATTGTGATAATGCATGGCTGCTAGCAGGCTTCAGCAGCGCGAAGTATACTAGTGAAAATCGAAACTGCATTTGCTTGAGTAGCTGAATGACTTGCACCCATGGATTGCAAAATTCGACTAAATACACTTAAGTGCATTTACTGTAGCAGTCAATATGTGGTAGGATTTCTCGTTGGAGATATGAGTCCATAATATTCTGACGGTAACGTCTGGTTTGAATGGTACATAGTCGAGTGCAATGCCATACTGTTACTTTTCTAAGCTCTATCGACTGCATTCATGCGCTTTATTTTTTATCCCATCTTATCCTCATTAAATGGCTCTCTCTAGCTGATAGTCTCATTGCTAGAACTACTACCCCTTGCTGTACGAGCTTGCCACCTTTTGAGGGGGATGGTAGCTAAGCTCGCCAGGCAGGTTTGGATACACTGGTAGACGATCATGGGGATATACAATTTAGCAGCATCAGTGCTTGAGACGCCTTCAAATATAATCGTGACCAATGGTATGCCCAGTGCAGGCGTCTTGGTAGGCACGCAGAACGCAACTGCGATACAGTCTTCCTGTGATAGCCATGGCACCGACAGCAAAAGTGCGCAGGCTATCCAAATCAAGAAGAGTCCGATATTGACGAAGACTAAATAGACGATGTTCTTCGTATCCAAGGTGGCAAAAGAATCAGCGGAGAAAGCACCATCGTAAGCAGACCATATTAGGGCCAGCAGGGCAAAAGATGCAAGTTTGCTTCCCTTCCATGTCGTCATGGCCTGTCGTGTCTTTTCTGGCAGGAAGTATTGCAGGAGTTGGCCCACTGCCTATGGTTCAAGTTAATCGTGAGTTTTTGCTGATTGTGAGATGCCATGTTTGACTGCGAATTTGTCAAGGAATCGGCCAATGGTAGTGCTTACCAGAGGAAGAAACAGAGTAAGGCCCAGCTGTTGAAAAACTTTCTTGTACAATGCACCATAGGAGGTCGAACCTTGTGGTAGTATCTCGGCGTACCTTCAACATTCGAGTTCAGTTAGTAACTACAACAACATTACTGCCCAGGATACCCGCTTTCAGAGTAGGGAATCCAAGTCTTAGTTACCAGAAATTGCCCGAAGAATATGTTGTCATGAGAACAGTTGAGATAGCAGGCGCCATGACGCTACCCAGCACAGATTCAGTGAGTGTTAGCGCAGCGTTGCCATTGGCCTTCTTGGTCATATTTGTGTTGAAAGAGAGACTGATGCTTGTAAGCCGCAGTAGTAAAGATTGAGCGTCTTCAACTTACGCCGTGGGAAGGCACCCCATAAGCACAAAGCCATTGAGCAAAGCAGCGTCAATAGCATTTTGATTTGTTGCCGTGGCTTGAACGACAGCAAATGTAGTGATGGAGGTGAGCAAGAAGCATAAGGCCTGGACAAATATATGGATATACCAACGTTTCAAGGTTTGTACCAGAATTTGCGTTGATATTGTGCAGCCGTTGATGAGGAAGATGACAGCAACGGTCGCATATTTGATCACCGTCTCTTTGGTAGCCTGTTGTTGACTAGGCACTTGTACCTGAGAGGCGACCAAGATCAATAGTAACAGAGTAATCATGAACCACTGATCGCTAGCAAACCATGCTATGGAGGATATGATATTTGATATAGGAGACCGCACATCCTCTTTTTCTTGGGCATGTTCTTCACGTAATGTGTTCGCCATCTTGCTGCAACTTGAATTTCGGGGTAGAGTGAGAATCTTGACTTCAGAGCAAAATGTCATATACCAGGAAGCCTGGTTTTGAAATGCGACCAACAAGAGTAGAAGACATGCGGGAACTTGGTCTGGTACCTCTAGCATACGTCAGAAAGTCGTCGTGATACACCATCAGCTTTGTACGCCAAGAACACTCTCTTGTTGAGTAGATAAGACGATGCATGCAGGTGGGCAACCCACGGATATGCGGCGACATACCGGTGAAATTACCCGGGCGGCCCCGTATTACAAGATTCGGCTACTGCTGCCAAGATATTGCCGGAGTCGTAGTCACAGTAGAGTGAAAGTCCGAGCCGATCTCCCGGCGTGATGGAGTCCGTTAGGGGCGGGAGCTGCCGCCTTCAGCAGGGATTAGAGTCGATACTTATGCCGAAGAACACCATATATCTAATGGAAACAGTGTCGAGATTCGGAAAATCAGTACGTAAAAGTGGCACCAGAGAAGATGCTTCAAAGCCGATATTCGGCATTGCTGGTACAAAATCCTGCTGAGAGGAAGCTTGGCGAGATACTGTCGGCCGAAGAGTCCCCTGTATCACAAGTCGCCTATTAATCTTGCTGATGATAGGTTCCGGAAGAGGATCCGATTCAAGCGAAGGCTTCAGGATTTCAGGTGGTCCACACTATATCATCGTCTTGGCTGCATCTCTGCTTCGAAGAATCCGAAGCCAAGAGATAAGCTGGTACTGCGTGACTGGGAACGCTTTACCGGTTGATATCCAAGTACTAGCCAGTACGACTATAAAAGGACGCTAGAATGGCTCTGCTATCGCTGAAAAAGAACAAGTCGAAGAACAAGTCAGATTATCGTCGTCATAACGTATCGTCAAATTCTTCCAAAGTATAAAACCCTATTGAGGAAGACAAACATGGCTTCTTTGCGACCCATCTCAATGCTTGCGAGGCCTAAGCACATGCCACGCCTGCAACGTCCTTTCCTACACCGAGTTAGCCGATATATTAGTCACACTTCCCCAAGCCAAGCAAATGCTGAACATGGTACCATGGGAAGTCCGCCGATTTCCTCCCGAACGACCTTCGACCCCGTGGTTCATCAAGACGTTCGAACCAAGAGTCAGGACGAATATTTCAATTTTCCTGCTGGTTCTCGGTTCGTGGCTCCCTCCAGAGAGATGGGCCTTTATCTGAAGAAGGCTTTCGCTCATGCCCTGAAGGAATACGGGGTTGTTTCTGTTGAGCTTAAATTTGATGACCCCAAGAGTCACTTCATGCTTGAGCTGATTCAGGAGATGGGGTTCACTCCTGACACGCATTCGGGAACACAAGGCGCGCTTGTGAGTGATCACCATTTTTCCACACTAAAAAAAATAAGTATGTAAAGATGTTGCTGACACTAAGGAAGTGGGACATCACCTACAAGCCCGAAGGAATTTCTAGTTTGAAGTCGGCTACTGGGAAAGCACATAGCCGTTCTCATGGAGTCGGCGAGTTTGCGTGGCACACCGACGGTTCGTACGAGGCTCATCCGCAGCGTTTCTTTGGCCTACATGTCGTCCATCCCGATAAGCAAGGTGGAGGCATATTCAGAGTGTTGCCAGCTGAGTCTCTCGTATCGATGTTGAGTCCTCAGGCCATAGACGCCCTTCTACGCACCGAGTTCGACATACAAGTTCCAGAGGAGTTCTACAAAGGTCAGGCTTCAAATCGCGGCCGACTGCTGGATGTCGATCCCAAAACAGGCCATTTTCTGCTGCGTTTCCGCGCTGATATTCTTCCTGACCCACCTACCAAGGACAACCCAGCGGCAAATGCTGCTGTTGCGGAACTGAAGCGACTTTTGAACGATCCTAAGACTCAAGGACAGAGGCTCCCTGACGATGTCTTCAAGGAGAATGTTATGCTCCTCATGGATAATGCGAGGTTCTTGCACATGAGAACTGCTATCAAGGATAAAAAGCGCTTGCTCAGACGCATTCGTTTCCATGGCGAGCCTCAAACTGATTAAGACAAAAAAGCCCTGGTGCATTCTTGTTTCCTTGGCGCGTCTGGTTAGAAATTGGGTGGACGTTCATTGACCGAACCTTTCTGTTTGTTTCCTTTGATGTAACGCAATAGACTAATTCAACCTTTGAGAGGAAGTAGCTTAGTATTGATATTATATTTTGATACAATTCCCTTCACTTGACAAGATCGTGATGTTGAAGTAGGTGAAAGGACAGATCTGAGAGAAGTATCCATTTCCAAGTGAGTAATGACCAAACAAAAGCGTCCTTGGGGATTGGGCGTCATGGATGCCTTGAGTTAAGAGCAACAACAACCAGCTTGGAAGCTTGGAAGCTTGGCAGGCGAGGCACGATAGCAAGACCCACAACCGTGTCCTGTTACGACGCGGTGTGCACATCCGGTAAGAAAAGGCGGCAATAAAGTTCGTCAGGGTGGCTACTTCAACAATCTCGTAACATTTTGCGCAAGGCGGATTGATCAGCACTCAGCCAAGCCAAACGCCATGAACAAGCGAGACACCGAAGTGGACCTTTAATGATTAGTCCTGCATAGAGATAATCTTCTGTGAACCCGGACATCAAAGCCAGATGCAAGATTCAGGGCGGTTGTACTGAGAAACTCTCTTTACCAGCGTTTCCCAGCAGCGACAAACTAGCCATATGGCTGCTCAACTTGAATGCGTGAGATGCCGACCTGCCCGGGCGGAATGTCTTGGGCAACAGATACGCTCGGATATCTCAAACCCGTGGGGATTTTACCTTATCCTTTCTGCTCGCCTGCCTCGGTGTTCTGGTGGCAGCCAACAATGAGGTGCCGATGCTGCCTGCGAACGACTTGGCGCAAGTGACAGGCCTAATCAGGTACATACTTAAGTAGCCAGGTACAGGACGGATGCGCCGGGAAAGATTCCTAGTGCCCGCTTTAGACTCCATATATGCAGTCGTTGAAGATTGCTGTACAAAGCACAGGGTGTCTGTCAGCTTGGCGCCCCGCTGGCCGCGGGAGGGATCGGGGAAGATCTGGGACCTATTATTCAGCCCCCACGCCAAGGGGAAAGTATTTGTTCACCGTGCCGCCGGAATGACATAACCATAGGAATTTGACCCAATCCTTCATAGCATCAAGTTTTCTCTCCTTCGCAAGTAACTGCAACTTGGCAACGAATCTTCTTGCGAATCACAGTTTTTTAAGGAATGGACCTCATTCAACAAAAAAGGCTTAGCAGCCGCTAGGTTTTCGCTTGATACGCTTGGCCACCTGTAGGCTGTAATTGATCGACAAGACCTCACATCGTTATGCATTATCGCGGTGGCTTGCCTGGCCAATTGACGGCTTTGGCGTTGAACGCCCCCCTGTTGATCCCTCTCTTCTTTGTTGTGGCTTACCGAAGAACGTGCTCTGCAAAATCTCGAACGGCGATCGCATTCGCGGGCTAACTTATCTGTGCTGCTTACAGTTTCTGTCGTTCCTGGCCACCTCCGTACCGCATTAACCACATGGCATCCGCTTCAATACGGTGTCCCGACTCAGCGATTTGTGCCATCCAGCTTCCGCGCCAAGTCCTGTGCAAACCCGCACATTGTCATTGTCGGGTTCCAGCTGCCTGCGGTCGGAAAAAGCGCACCACCTGTGACAAAAACATTTGAAATATTGTGGACATTGTAATTGGTATCAACCGATCCACCCTCCGAGGCTGGACCCATGAATGCGGTGCTCGTTTCATGGACAATGCCCGGTACGCGAATCTCTGATTGCTTCGGATGAGCCGGCTTCCACGACCCCTTGTTGTTTTCGTCAATATGCCAGTACTCAAGGCCATCCGAGGGCGAGTTAGACCCGTTCGGCGTTGCCATCTGCTCGATGGTTTCGTAGGTTGCTTGGTCCATAGTGTTCCATAGTGCCTGGTCGGACTTGGTAAGCGTGTACTGTAGCTTCATGTTTGTGGTGATATCTGAATTTTCGGGATCGTGCTTGAACCAATTTTCTGGGTTGTGTTCAGAAAATTCACCAAGCGTGGCACACACAAACACTACATGCTCCGTCGAGTGTTCTAGTTGCTCATACGTAGCGGCCGCCGCATAATCTGGACATTCGCGAGCCGCATCTTCTGCATCATCCTTCGGAAATGGGCTTTGAATAGCTGTGATCTGGACGTGATACTGCTGCTGGCTGGTCGTATCCTTTCCAGCGAGATAATGAGCAGCAATTTCCAGCTTTCGGGGATCGTTCACAGGATCCCAAGAAAATGCAGACAGCGGTGCACGTGCAACAATGTGGGTCAAGAAATGGCCGGCGACACGCTTGCCAACAGTTTCGTGGCATTTTGGGAAGCTGTTGAGTAGTATAGTGGCAGTGGGAAACGCCTGAGGAAATGAATCAGCTCAGATAGTAGACAACGGTCAGCTTCAAATACTCACCCCTGCGCAGAGAATCACTTTCGTGTTATCACCTTGCCACGTGATAGTGCCACGAGTTGTTTCAATTGAGTGCGTATGCCCATCCTCATCAACAGGGCCGAGCTTCTTGACAACACAGTTCAGTAGAATGTCGAGTGTCGCTGCGTTATTGGACTTTTGCTCCTCGTAGATCTTTAACAATGGAGCTGGTGTGGAGAACTTGTTGAAACGGAGGGTTGAGGTAGGGGTACCTAGGCCAACTGCCAACTGTGCAGGCTCACTGTACTCGGCAGTCTTGATGTGTTGTAAACGATCTTTGAGTCGTTGGTCGATTTCTTTTTGAAGGCCGGTGTATACTGGATCGCCAATTTGGTTAGCGCCAGTGACGTGAAGAAGCCTCTTTGCCTCCGGCCAGAATATGGGCTCCTTGGTGGAAGCGATCATTGTGCTTGGGAAGCCTCTCATATCCTCAACCCTGGGTTGTGGAGACCAAGCCGACCAGAATGTTGATCGCCCGCCGAAAAAGGGGCAAGATCCATGGCAGTATCGTAGTTGCGGATCATTGAACGTCTTCTTGGACAGTGTCCATGGGAACGTTTCAGATGGCCCCCCAAGTACGGTCTTGAACGGGAGAGGGAGGTTTTGGAAATGTGAAGGAAGCCAGAAATCTGCAATTACTCAGCATTGTTTGGACCACGTCCAGAGGAATGATCACGAACCTCCTCTCTCAAGGCAAAGAATGCGCTTGTGAGGATTTTCTTCTAGCGCTTGTTGGATGAAAGCTAGGGCAGTGCAGCCAGATCCCACGACGATATAGTCGTATTCACCGTCATTCAGAATTTGACTCCACTTGCTGTCACTATAGCCAATCAATCAAGTATCCCGGCTGCTCTTCATGCCTAGAATCAACTTACTCAATGAAATAGTCTTTTGTCATAACCATAGCTGCTGTCGGAGACTGCACGCCAGGAACTGGATAACCCCATGAGTTAGTCGGCTTCGACGGCGCCGGTGCCTTTCCCACGCGGCGGTGGAAGCTCGATCCACCGTAAGGCGGGTTTGTTGGCGGAGTCGCAAAGTTATCCATGATGAGAGAGTATGGCAAGTTTTGCTCAATCAATTTGTGTGAAGAGAGGATGGAAAGTAGACAGTCATTATTTCCCGTTTTTTGGGCTATTTAAATAAGCAATATACTGTACTCGTCAGGCGGAAAACAGCTTTCACCTAAAGAAACCGTGGGAGCAAGCCTTTCCTCACCGGCTCAATAGTCAGAAATTATTTTTGAGACCTGACGAGTAGAAATGTTGCCGTGGACTCAAGGAGTCAGCTGCGCAAGCCACCGAGTTCAGCTCCACAAAACACCGTCTAACCGTATACTTATGCAGTCTCTTGCATAGTATTGGGAGCCTTTTGAGTTCAAAACCCTAAACCCCGCTCTCCAGAGCCAATAATGGAGGCTTTTTGCAGACATACGCCAGCCTCGTCAGTGGAATGCGCGCCACTGGAGCGGTCCAGGCTCGAATTTCCGTCTTTCCACAATCCTATTTGCCCAGCTTTTGAAATAGTCGTATGCGCCTCGTATACTACACATCTCCATTGATGAGTTCAAAACAGGCATTGCGCATGAATTGGTCTTAAATTCTCGAGCCAATTGCTCTCATGCTTAGTCAAAATGCTGAGCCCGGCTTGAGCCACACCGCTTCTGTACAACATAAAGCAGATTGTTGGAGACGACTCTTCCCTGAGCCTTGTTTCGTGCAAATCAATTTCAGCGAAAAGAGAGCAACTCAACATGGACGAAGCAGTGAAAGGCGCCCAGCGGGGCCTGTTGATGCGTGCCATTTTCGGACAGATCCTGACCATTCATCTCAAAGACCATACCAAAGAGACCGAAGCTGAGCTCCGGTCCATTGTGAAGGACCTAGATGCTGTGGTTGAGAAGCGAAAACCCCAATGCGGCCTAATCGTTGCATTCTACCCCAAGTTATGGAGTAAATGGACGGGAAGAGAAATTCGGATTTCGACCAAGGTGCTTGATGGCAATCCCACCAAATTCCGGAACACGCATGGGGATGTGTTCTTTTACTTGAAGACGCCCGACCATGAAACCGCGAAAGAACTTTTGAAAGATACAAAGGCACGTCTAGAGCTTCTCGCGAAGGAGAATGGCATCGAGACAATCATCGCAGGGAAGCGACAAGATGGTCGCATTGTAGGCGGACGGTACTTGGACAGTATCACGAACCCGAACGACCCCGTGAGCCTGAGTGAAGACATCTTCCTTGGTGGAAAGGAACTAGGCTCTTGCTTTGGTTTCACACAGAAGTTTATATTTGACTGGCCGAGCATTCTCTCATATTCATCTGACAGCCAAAATGAGATTGTTGGTCGCAAGAAGAACGGATCCATCCTTTCGCAACATGCTGCACATGGGCACATCCACCGTGCTAATGTACGTGATGCGAACGGAGATCAGCGTAAGCTGCTTCGCCAGGCTCTTCCCTTCGGAACTGCAGAGAAATCATCAGGACGTGAGGAAGGGCTAATGTTTGTTGCTTTCTGCAACGAGCAACAACGATTCGAGAATATTCTCAAAAACCTCCTCGGAGAGACAAAGCATATCCCATCTGATCGACTGATGCAGCTCGTCTCAGGTGTCAGCGGTGGTTATTGGTACGTTCCCTCAGCAAGCGACCTGGGCGTTGCCTCTGTGCATGGAGCAAGCGATATATACGAAGACCCTCATTGGAAAGTTCGCAATCCCAAGAATCGATATCTCTTCTACAATACGCAGGATTACCTTCACCAAATGGGCCAGCAACTCTACAAGGGAGGTGACCCGCCAACACTTCGTGTTCTCAGCTTAATGGCAAGATCTTTCAATCACTGGCATGACGGGTGGGTGCATCGTGTTCACATGGATCGTTTGCCTCATCTCTCTAAACTCCTAGAAGATGTATCCAAGAGAAGAATCATGGAAGATTCTTCTGAGCGGACATCCTTGGAGGACACCTCTGTCCCAGTTCGAAAGTCAGTGGCCAACTTCATCACGCTGTCGAACCTCCTTTCAGACCCAGACTCGAAGATTGCCAAAGACAATGGGCTTCTGAGAATATATGGGAACGAACTGATCGTCGGGCAAATCCCTGACTTCACCTTCGGCAGAGGCAAAGAAGTAGTCCCGTATCTAGACAAGGACGAAACCATCAAAGCGTGGCTGAAATGTTCACTCAATGAGTTTTCGGCCATGGGACATGTAGTGCCAGATTATCAGCACTTGGTCCGGCATGGATTGCGTTCAATGATCAATGATCTGAAGGAGCGCAAGCATCGAAGTCCGAAATCTGCTGATTTCTTCGACTCTGCAATTACGTCACTTAGGGGCGTCCAAGACTATCTGAGAAATTGGTCTAGAATCGCGCTCGCTGCCCGCGATCAAGCTGGTTGTCCAAACAAGGCAAATATGGAGAAGGTGGCGCAACGCCTTCGCAAGCTTGTTGACCAGGCCCCAGAGACATTTCACGATGCAGTTCAACTCATCTTCTCCTTCCACTGTTGTTTGCACCTGGTCGGTGAGCTCACACCATTTGGTCGTCTCGACCAAATCCTTTGGCCATTCTTGAACAAAGACAAGGCTGAACCGACCGCATCGGAGCTGGCCGCCGCCCAAGAGATTATCGATTGCTTATACCTCAAGATTGGCGAGAATGCCTTTGTCGATCGTGCATTCATCTATGATCATGTAACCTACGGAACGACCTCCGTCAACGGCACTGGAGGTAATTTTCCGCAGGGTGGCGGCATCAATCAGTGGTGCCAGCAGATCACGGTTGGAGGATATAAGGCTGAGAATGGGGCTCCCCAAGATGCCTCGAACCCAGTTACCATGTTGTTCCTGAAGGCAGCTCGCCGCATTCCGGTAAATGCACCCACACTTTCACTCCGCGTACATAAAGACTCCAGGAGAGATATACTCGAGGAAGCCGCCAAAACGATCCTATCAGGAGGGGCCCAACCAATCTTATATAATGATGACAAGCTGTGTGAAGGTCTTCATAAATCGGGTGCTACTATCGATACGGTCAGTGAAGCATGGTCTCGCAATTATGCTGCCGATGGATGCTACGAACCTATGTTTGCTGGAGCCTCTGAGTTCACCTTCAATAACGTATCGCCATTGCGTGCTGTTGAACAAACAATCAACCGAGGAACGGCCTATGGGGCAGCTGGCCCGGAACAGCTCAGCGGCCTCAAACAAACCTTTCGTTCGCCCGAAGCAAGCACCCTGAGCACATTCGAAGAGCTCAAAGATGTTTTCCTGGAGCAACTCGAATGGCTTACCGTGCAATGTTATAACTTAATGTTGAATAACTACGGCAACTTAGCCAACATCTGCCCCAGTCCTTTACTTTCAACATTGATTGACGGCTGCATCGAGAAAGGTCTCGATCACACCAACGGCGGTGCGCGATTCCACATCATTGCACCGCTGTTCGTGGGCGTATCAAACACAATCGACTCGCTATACTCTATCTGGAAGCTTGTGTATGATAGTCGCACAGCGTCCACGACCCTCGAGGAACTACTCCTCTGTTTGATCAATGATTGGGGGTACAACATGATTGAGCCTTATCAAAACCAGTTACTCGGGCCTGTCGAGGCCGCCGAACGTGGAGAACACTATCGTGAGCTTCGTGACCAAGTGCTCCAGCTCCCGAAGTGGGGAAGCGGCAGCGACGATATCGATCTCAAGGACATTGGGGACTGGGTCATGAAGCATATTGTTAGGCTCGGACGAGACGTTCTGTGTGATCCACACCCGGCACTTACTGCCCAGCTCGACGTAATCAAGCAGAAACACGGGCCTGACTTCGAGTTCACAGTCACGCCCGGCATCGGCACTTTTGAGGGTTATGTTGGCGATGGGGTTGACTGCGGCGCATCAGCCGACGGTCGCCGGAATGGCACACCCATCGCCTCCGACCTCTCTCCGGCGCCAGGCGCACAGGATTTGCCCCCAAATCCCGCCTTCCGCAACATATACCAAGCAATGAAAAGTTGGAAATCGGAAGACATCGAAATTGGGCTTTCCGACGCGGCGCCGGTGGATATGAACATCCCAGAGGATTTCCCCCTGGAGGAACTGGAAGCGTTCATCCAGGCTTTTGCGGCCGGCAATGTTGGAGGCAATCTCATCACGCTTACTTGTGCTGATCCAGGGACGTATGCAGCAGCAAGCGAGGATCCCGAGAAGTACAACCTGCTCCGTGTGCGTATGGGCGGATGGACGGAGTTCTACTCCACCCTGTTTCCGGAGCACCAGAAGCAACATCAACGGCGTCAGTATTTTACACACAAGGTTGACACAGAAGACGTCACGGTATAGGGGCTATACTAGTTGGGGTGAATTTCTGATGCGCTAAATTACATCTGGAGCCCTCAGATCGGTTTCTTTTGCAGCTCTTGACAGGTTGACATCATGCAGCTCAAGAATCCTGCGCCATCTTGGCACCGGGTCAACGCAGCAATTCGTGGAGGATAGGAGATCCGAGATGCGTCAGCATTTCAACGTGGTCTTAAAGAAAAAAGCACACTAGATCTAGTTACTTGAGGATATGGCCTAGCATGTTTAGAAGAAGATAATTTCAACTCTCTCATCTTGCCCTCTCTGGAATACAGATAGAAGTCCTATATGGCAGTTGACTCATATTGTATGTGATCACAAATGCCGTTTCAGTTCTGACTTTGAGCCCGGCCGCAGGCTAGATTACCTCCATACCATTCTGTCCTGGTATTTTGGCATCACTGTTCAAAGAGGCGTCCCACAGCATGAACGAAGTCGCTTTGTCTACTTTTGCGGCATGTGCAAATAGCTCAATTACCCATTTGCAACCGCAAACCATCCTGTACATGTTGACTGCACTGTACTTAGCTACCCTTCAACTGGTGGCGTAGTGCCGGGTCATTTACAGGCGCCGAGCTCGAGTGGCTCGATCTTGGGTGGAATCAACCAAGCCAATAAGCCCCGGACGGTGACATTCAATCATTGAGAGATGATGAAGATGCATTCACATTTCGCATAATGGAATTGGTGGCCGTTGGTGGCCGAGTCGCAAGTTTTGGGGTGGTATACGGATCTGGGACATCCCTTTAGTCGCCATTGTCCACCAGATGTATACGTTAGATACCCTCCGCCTTCCTCAACAGTCATGGAATATGCACTTGGTTATCAGGTGAATACGCACCTCAGAAACCAGATGAATAGTCCCGAATTGTTGCTGTAGGATGATAGAAGACCGGTGCGCAGTCCTGCTGGACTATGGGGCAAAACAGTGGGACAATGTGGAGGCCTGTCCTGATAATCCACGATCCTTGGAGGATGGCATCGCAGAGAGAAAGAGACACAAAGCGTTATTAAGGAAGATGGACGATTCGACCTATTATGATCAGTAGCTGATGAATTTGTGATGGGTGGCATTTGGCCTGATGGTGAAATGAGGTCGGCTCTCGTGTTACCAGGTGTTCTGTATGCCAAACAGTTTGGTATAATCACATGCATAGCGACCGTACTTCAAACCGGTAGTATGGACTTGATCAAACCAGGTATTCTTGGGAACTTTCTTAGACCAACTCGAGCTGTTTCTCTAGTGTCTTAAACTCAATATTAACCAGCTGCGATTGTGTTATAAATGGTACTCCTGTGGACTCCTGACTTCCACGCCGCGTCTCGCCCACACGCCGTCGATGCCCATATCAGCCCTTCCACTAGAACCGTTTAGTACCTCATCAAACTTCGAAAGAATCATGGTACCACTTACTCGTCTTTAGGCTTGATAGTCGGCTCAGTCTCTCCCTCGGCTGTATTGGGATTTCGGAATATAACGTTTTTTGTCTATCGAATCATGAGTTACGATCACACCTCCAACTCGAGCGCATGAACCTACCAAACCGAGGGTGAGGTGAATAGCGGGAGGGCTAACTACTATACTCTCACTCGGCTCTTTGCCCCCGATCATGGCCACAAGATTTCGTGCGAGGACCTGAGCTTGTGCTGCTCCCGGGCGGGCGGCTTTATGGGCTCCACTATCTGCGACATCTCCAACCGCAAAGAGGTTCGGGTACTTCGGGTCAGAAAATTGCAGCGTGGGCTTGACCCGGATGAAGCGGTTGGCTGGGTTGATCAGAGAGTCTTCAGATGATGGTGCCAGACCGGACAGAAACTGGGTGTTCGGAACTTGGCCCACGGCAGGTATTACCAGGTCCGCTGACAGAACGACGCCGTTTTGTAACTCTACAGACTTCGCGTCTGGGCGAAAACCGCCGGGTGGCATTACCACGCGCGAACCCAGGACCAGCCTGTGCAACGTTGTCAGCAAAATGGTAGGCATTGGTGGAGCGTCGAAACTTACTTGACACCTAGCTCTTCGCATCTGTCCTTGATTAGTTTGTCAAGAGCTTCATGATATAGCGGCATAAGCTGATTTCTGGAGTGAACCAAGGTGACTTCTTTCCCACGGTAGAGCTCTTTCAGGTCCGTAGCCATTTGGACGCCGACAGCCCCTCCACCAACAATCACGATTGACCTGGCGTCCTGGACGCGCTTCTGGTAATCTTGGAAATACTTGATTGAGAGGGACTTATCGTTATCTGCCATGGTGCCCGGTGCCTGGAGCTTGGTACCGGTTGCGACCACCAGATACTCATAAGGGATTTCCTTTGAGCCTTGCCATTCCCGGTCCAAGATTACGCGGCCTGGCTGTAGGGATTCAACCTTTGCTTGAACCACGGCATGTTGTGCGGAAGGCGGTGCCGGAGCGAATGCAGCTGTGTAAGGGATGAAAGCCTTGTGCTCATACGACGGCAATACCGCAAATCGAGGCTATTGATCTATCAGCAAGGGAAAAGCCTCTAATTTGCGAGATTCTAGCATATTCAACAAAAGCCTCTGGACTTTCTTGTTGATAGTAGGAGTAACTACTTACGAACGCGAATAAGTGATGGAAATGGCTATGCGGTTCAATCAAGAGGATCTTGCATATTCTCGGTCAGCGATACGATACCATTACGAACTTCCCATGGAGACGGAAGGCAGTGAACTTACACGATGGGTAGCCGGCAGGATACTGGCGAGCTCCTTCGTGGTAGCCTGCACGAAGTGTTAGCTTTGGCGTGCCTTGTACTTCAGGGGTAAAGGTTCCGCTAACCAGGCCAACGTACGAACCCCCCACGACGACAATATTCCGTAAAGATGGTACCATTTTGACGTCTATGTACGAGGCCACCTTCAATAAACCGAAACGCAATCGATCTAGAAATAAAGAAGAATTATTGGAACCTTGTGCTACAAACAGCACATGGCCACGACGCTCTATATCGACCCGAACCGAGATGTGGGGGAAACTATTGCCCGCAAGCCACTCCGGTAACTCCGACCGTCGGCCGCCCACTCGGTCCGCGCGCGACTCGTTCACAAGATGTCCGAAAAGATCTCGGTGTTACGACTCTTAACGGAAGCACGGCTCTACTTGGCGCATTTAGAGAGCAGAGGGTATTTCGTACATTAACGAAGTACTCCGCCTGAGATTGTCGAGTTCAACGTAGAGAGGCTGCGCCCAGTAGGAGCTCTGCCGTGCGTGTCAATCTCTGCTAGCAAAGAGTGTATATGTGTAATCTTGAGAACCAAAACAAGTATGTAACTATATAGAGAGAGGTTCACACAAAGTTCTTCAGTCTCAATGCATGACGGCTTGGAGGCTGGCTCTGTGCAAGTAAGTGAATGGCGCGTATTGATATTGCTCGCTGATTAGTTGGCTACGAATACCCACCAAGTAGATGAGATCCATCGTCCTTTGGTCCAGCATCGGGAGGGGAATATAAGTCCAGCACCCGCTTGAACGCGGCCTGGAAGAAGCCTTGCGCGCTGATCGCGATGGTGGCACGCCTGGAAGCAACCCCGGAAGCGTTGGAGAGAAATGGGCTGGGGGTCTCAGTTGGGCCCGAGCTGTTCCAGGTTAGCGTCGTGACGTCGGTTGGTCAGGGCTGTCCACAGCTCCAGCTTGCCAGCATCAGCTCCCGCCCCAGCTCCCCCACAGCTGCAGGTGGTTTGTCCGGTGTCGCGCGCGCAGGCACAGGTCAATTCCGCGATTGTGCAATCTGGAGCTCAACTGACATCAAGGTCCCCGAAATTGTCGTGTCCCTTTGAGGCCTAATAACGGCGCTTTGTGAGCTCGCCACCCCCCCAAGGAGCTTCCACCGTCAATTGCGAAACGTCGAAACGATATATAAGTTACAACCAAGCAAGAGTACCCGGTTCCTGTACAGCCCCCCGCCTCACCGAACCCCGCCGAAGGTGCCGCATCGACGTCGGCAGTCCACGATGACTTGTCTGTGAGGGATGAATGCAATGATTACGAGGAGTCTCACGAGGGCTCCTGTCGGTCGCCCGGCATGCGTTGGACTGTTCCAAGCCCGGAATGGACCATCGTTCATTACTGGCTCTAAACCACCCTCGAGGGTGTTTGCGACTTCGCAGAGCCTGCTCTTCGGCCATTATGGCTCAAACAGCCAGAGCCCGGCCGAACCCCCGAAAGGCGTACCCAAAGCAGCCCCGGCCCCGGCGAAGAAGGCTGCCACGGCCTCGAAAGACCCTCTAGCTACGGTGGAAAAGTCTACGCAAGAGCAGAGGAAGGCGGACTGGGCTATAATGAAAGAGATGGCCCATTACCTATGGCCCAAGGACAGCATGTCAACGAAGCTTCGAGTAGGCCTGGCTGTCACGCTCTTAGTTGGCGCCAAAGTGCTCAATGTACAAGTCCCATTCTACTTTAAGAGCATTGTGGACTCGATGAACGTAGACGTGGGAGCCATGGGCGGCAACGCAGCCATGATCGCTGGCAGCATGATCTTGGCCTACGGTGCTACAAGGATAGGAGCCACCGTCTTCCAAGAACTTCGAAACGCCGTTTTTGCGAGCGTCGCCCAAAAGGCCATCAGAAAGGTCGCGGGCAACGTGTTTGACCACTTGCTGCGGCTAGATCTCAACTTTCATCTCACGAAGCAGACCGGGGGCCTTACGCGAGCCATTGACCGCGGTACGAAGGGTATCAGCTTCTTGTTGACAAGCATGGTCTTCCACATCCTGCCCACAGCCTTGGAGATTGGCATGGTCTGCGGAATCCTGACCTGGCAGTACGGCGCCAAATTTGCTGCCATCACTGTCCTCACTATGTCTGCCTATACCGCGTTTACCATATGGACAACTGCATGGAGAACCAAGTTTCGAAGACAAGCCAATGCAGCCGACAACAAGGCATCGACCATCGCAGTTGACTCTTTGATCAACTACGAGGCTGTCAAATACTTTAACAACGAAAAATTTGAGGTGTCCCGGTACGACAAGGCTCTGCTGAACTACGAAAAGAGCTCGATCAAGGTCGCAACCTCTTTGGCGTTCCTCAACAGCGGGCAGAATATCATTTTCTCTAGTGCTCTGACCGCCATGATGTATCTCGCTGCGAATGGGGTTGCGGCAGGTTCCTTGACAGTTGGTGACCTAGTTATGGTTAACCAGCTCGTCTTCCAACTATCGGTGCCTCTCAACTTTCTCGGCTCCGTATATCGTGAGCTGCGTCAGTCACTACTGGACATGGAGACGCTTTTCAATCTTCAAAAAGTCAATGTCTCCATCAAGGAGGCGCCTAACGCCAAGCCACTTCAGTTGGTTCACGGCGGCCAGATCCGCTTCGACAATGTCTCTTTCGGTTACAACAAGGACCGGCCGATTCTTCAAAATCTGAGTCTCACTATCCCTGCTGGGAAAAAGGTTGCTATCGTTGGGCCGAGCGGGTGCGGCAAGTCGACACTCTTGAGGCTTCTTTTCCGGTCCTACGATGTGGACAGTGGACGAATCCTGATTGATGATCAAGAAATCAAAGATGTTACATTGGACTCTTTGCGGAGGTCCATTGGTGTTGTTCCCCAGGATACTCCACTTTTCAACGATACTGTCGGGCACAACATCAAGTATGGAAACATGGCGGCATCAGAGTCCGAGGTCATATCTGCTGCACAACGAGCCCGGATCCACGACATCATCGCAAGCTGGCCCGAAGGCTATGACACAAAGGTGGGTGAACGAGGCATGATGATCAGTGGTGGTGAAAAACAGCGACTTGCTGTCTCCCGGCTGCTGTTGAAGGACCCGCCGCTGCTGTTCTTCGACGAGGCGACCAGTGCGCTGGACACACATACCGAACAGGCCCTCATGCAAAATATCAACAGCATCTTGAAGGAAAAGGCCAGGACGAGCGTGTTCGTGGCCCATCGCTTGCGGACTATCTATGATGCAGACTTGATCATTGTCTTGAAGGGAGGCAGTGTTGCCGAGATGGGAACGCATCAAGAGCTCATTGACCGTGGTGGCCTCTACTCTGAGCTCTGGAGCGGTAAGTACCCATAGCACCCGAAACTACGAAACGCTTTGCTGATAACAACGACTAGCCCAGGAAACGTTGTTTAGCGCAGATGAAGACAAGAAGGTTATCGTGGGGGATAATGTAGGTGCCGGTGCAGTAGACCCCAAAGGGAGCCGCCCGCCACGTTGATCATAGCATGCCCAACAGTATAGAAACAAAGATATTCCAATCCCACGCGGACAAGTTGCCAAGGGTGCCCTTGTAGGAGTTGACCGTTTGGCACTTGCGCATAACACAATCTCTGCCCTGAAACTGAACTCCCTAGCAGGGACGTTCCGTTTGCTAGTTAGGGCCCGGTGCCAAATTCTGCCTATCCCGCGATATTGACTCGCGCCAACCAGGATACCTTGGCAACCGTTGACCGTTCCCTCAAATCACATTGGCGACAACCGCAAATCGACGGCACAGCTTGCTAAGCTGACAGTGGCTTGATATAAGTACCAGGTTGACTCCCTTTTATTCAGTTGCTGCATTGTATGAAAAATAAACTTAGAAACGCCATAGCAGCCACAAGCGTAAGCTAACATCGGGAAGTCGGCGTCGCGAAACAGTACAGTCCCCTTACGTCAATTGAGCCGAATACCGTTCACAGGAACGTCCGTAGCGTGACTCTTGTTTTCAACGTTCCGCCGACGGAATGGCAGCGATTTCCGTAGGAGCCAGTAATACCTGAGGAGGCCATCCTGCTCCATCGTTATTAATCATGCTTGCTCTCGTTTAGCAAACATCGCGAATAATGCGACGCTAACAATAAAAGTGGAAGGCGGTTGACATGGTGCCTAGAAAGGCTATCGAAAAAACTAGCGACGTGGATCACAGGCGGAATCTCCCTACCTTACTCAGGAAAAGTGTCGTGGACCAGCTCAGGGTAGGTTTCTAGAACAGTATGCACGATGCCAATAGTGTCACTCTCGTCGCCATCGTATTCTAGAATCCAGACATTCGTGTCGCAACTCACTAACTTACAGTATCTGAGTTCCCAGGCCTGAAGGCAGCAATCGAAACAAACCAGAGGGAGAATCAAGAGTGATCCCCAGGCGATCCTGAGGTCAATATACTTAAATGAGCTCAGATCCTAATTCGCATATTTGAAACATCATATTCGGGCAGGCGAGTCCACCAAATTCACGACTCACGATACTGAGCTGGACCCTGACTGCCTGGTCAATGACGCGGCTCCTCCTATGGTCAGGAATCCGCCACTTGATAAAGCTGTGGTTTTTCCTTGCTGGCGCCATGATTCGAGGTCTTGGTAACCCGCAAAGGAATCCTCTTGCCTTCCCAATGGTCTGGCCGCCGGGACTCCAAAGACCCCTAATAAACAACGCCTGGCCAAATAGCGCACAGCCTAGAACCCGGGACCCCACAGCGCTGGACGCAGGCCACCACGTGCTAGCCGCGTGAGCCTTAGCCTCACCCGCGCCTATTCCCCAACTGGATCTCGTCTCCGTAGGCGGTCATCAGCCATGTCGGCCTCCCGTTGCAAGGGGAGGGGCACCGGTTGCTCCTCGGATTGCCAGGCTCTGCAGGCCTGCGTCAGGGCAGACAAATCAGGGGAGCGCGGTCGACGGGCTATGTCCAGATGCGGATAGAAGCCAGGGTCGGGATATTTGTTGGTTTCCAGCCTGTGGAGCCCGCCTCTCCCGGTCGCTGATGAGAAGCGCGGCCCCGAAATTACCACCTCTGGAGCAAAATTGGGTGTCACGAATCACGAGGAGGGCCCCGAGACAGCATACATAGCGGCCATGGGCCGCCGTCCCAGAGCCATGGGCCTACGATGGTGTTCTAATAAAAGTTCCACGGTCTGACCCAATCCGCTCGTTTGTTGGTTCATTCTGGTGTAACGTCTCGGCTCGTCCCATAAGGAAGTCAAGATGAAGATCGCCATTCTCTTCTCGTCGCTCGCTTGCTCGGTGCTTGCAAAGCCCTGCAAGCCCGTTAGTTCGTCGTCTGGTTCGGCGTCGGCGTCCGCATCGGCGTCGGTGTCCTACTCGGCGGCCACTGCCAGCTACACCACCTCGTCGGTGGCATCTGGCACGACCTCGTCAGCGTCGATCATCAGCACAAGCTCGAGCGTCCTTTCCAGCTCGTCGGTATCAGTAAGCTCTTCGAGCACCTCCTCGAGTGCACGCGCAACGCCGACTGTGGATCTTGGCTACGAAATCCACCAGGGAACCGTTAACGTATGTAATACATCTATATTTGCCTTGCTATGCCACAGAAGGTCTGACACATCCAACAGGAGACTGGAAACTACTACACTTTCAGCAATGTGCCATATGCTCAGCAGCCCGTAGGCAAATTGCGCTTCCAGAAGCCTCTTGCGCCTACGGGCTCCAGCTCAGAGGTCAATGATGGGTCGACAACCGGGGTCATGTGTATCCAGGCCTACCCCGAATGGATCATAGAGCTTCAGGCGGCGGCATACGGACTTGACACGACTACAATGGCTGCCGTTCTGTACGCACAGCAAGGTCAGACTGAGAGCTGCCTCCTCTTGGACGTCTACGTGCCTGCGGAGGTCTTTGACAGTGGACGTACCGCTGAAGGTTAGTGACTCATCAATAGACTGCGCGAGCATTCGTGGTACTAACACTATAAAAGCGCCGGTTCTCATCTGGATTCACGGGGGAGGTTTCACCTACGGATCCAAGACTTCGTCTGGCGACCCAGCTGGTCTCGTTGCACGTTCAAAGCTCGGCGGTGACAGCGGTGCGATTGTTATCACCATCAACTACCGACTGGGTCTTTTCGGTTGGTTGGCTGGCCCTGGTGCCACCCCCAATCTCGGTATGAGCATCTATAATCGGCTTGCATTGTATCTGTAAAACTAACATATCAATAGGTCTTTTGGATCAGAGAATGGCAATGCAATGGGTTCAGACTTACATCTCCAAGTTCGGTGGTAACCCGAACAAGGTCACCGTCATGGGTGAGAGCGCCGGCGCTGCCAGCATCCTCCACCACATCACCAGCAGCCAGCAGCCCGCTCTGTTCCACAATGCCATTCCCCAGTCGCCCGCTTTCGAGTTCAGCATCGACCATGCCGCGGCTTTCGAACTGACGTTGAGCGAGGCTGCCAGCAAGATTAATGCCATCATTCAGGAGTCAACCGCGGTTGCTAGCCAAGTGTCGAGCGTTCTTGCTGGTTCCACATCGGACACCTTCGATTTCGCGAGCCTGACGTCTGTGTTCGATGCTCTTGGCGACCAGGTCACAGAGACTCTCAAGTCCATCAACCAAGCTGTTGTCGTCCAGGCAGGAAACGGCCGCTTCAACTATGGCCCTACTGTCGATGGCGACTATGTTCCTGAGCTACCACAGGTTCGTCTTGCTCAGAACGGCTTTGACGCCTCTGTAAATGTAAGCAACATCCCACGCTATCACCTTGAGAAAAAGCTCATGAATTGTCTAGGTCATGCCCAGCCACACCTCCAACGAATCCGTTCCCTTCGTGTCGTCAAGCATTGCAACAGACGAGGACGTCAGAAACTACCTGACTAACGCCATTAAGTCGGCCTCGGACGAGACTAAGAACTACATGTTGGAAGAGCTGTACCCTGCCGTCTTCGATGGTACCTACCCCTGGTACAGCCAGTACGGGCGTGCTGTCCAGATGAACACCGACTTGTACTTTGCCTGCTCGACCAACTACCTGGCCAAGGCCTACGACAACGAGTCCCACAACTACATCTTTGCCTACCCGCCCGGCTACCACGCCAACGACGTCGCCTACGTCTTCTTCAACGGTGACACCAGCTCGCTCAACAACGGCTTCCCCATCAACGCCACTCTGGCCTACGAGCTCCAGGACTACATTGTGCAGTTTGCCAAGGCTGGCAACCCGAACACCGACTCACTCCCATTTTTCCCTACATACGGCACTGAAGGCAAGGTGCTCTCCTTCACCGATTCGGGCCTCGTTGTTACGACGGACGACATGAAGAACGAGCGCTGCGCTTGGATCCAGCAGGCCATGATTGATGGCAAGCTCAAATAGGGCTTTTAATAGACATAGACCCGCAAATACTGCAGTTTAATTTACTAGTGTTTAATGCGTGCGGAACTTGAAGATATTTCTTTGTTCTTTATTCTTGTTCATTAATTTGATTACTCTAACGCTTGTCATCTATTCCGGAGCCCTCACGCTGGGCACTGACTGATCTCTTTCGTTCCATACTTCGGCTTGCAGACGTTCTGCCACTTGAGCACCTTGGCCTTGAACTTCTTCGTCTCGCGTACTGTGTCGTCTTGGCCCATCAGCTCCGCGCTGGCCTTCTGTTCCACCTGGGTGTAGGCGGCGCAGGTCATGCCGTACACGTCGTCGTAGTCTGCACATGAGGAATCCGTTTCACTAAGCCTGCACTGCTGCACGCACACCCTGATGGGCGTCTTGGCCGTGCTCTTCTTCTTCCTCGTCGATGGGCACCGTACATTGACCTTCAGGCAGACCTTTCGGCTGTCCTTACAGTGCCAGTCCGGATCGCCCTTGACCTGGTAACATTCCTGGAGCTCGGTCGAGGGGGGGAAGTCGTCCAGCAGGTTGCCAGCGGCAAACTCTAGGCTAGACAGCACCTCAGCATCAGCGGGGGATGTGTAGCCATCCCCGAGGACACTGTGGTAGTCCGCTTCAGCCGATGTGGCGGGCGGCTTGTTCTTGGGTTTGTTCTGCCCAGTGGTCGAATACCCTGTCGAGCCCTTCACACAGAGCGAGGTGTCATCCCACGCCGCTGCTGCGACGTCTCGCCACTGGCGAGTCATGTTGTATATGTTGTGCATCGTATAATAGAGACGACAGTCGGCCGCTTCGTACTTGAACTGCAGCGGGACCGCATCGTCGTCTTCCATCTCGTCCTCGCGGATCTGGTCGCGGAGATTGATCCCGACATACTTGGCCCACATGCCTGAGTCTCGGTACTGTCCATTTATGGGTATGGCCGGGAACGTGCGGTTCGCCGTCGTGTCTACGTGACCCGCCCAAGCCAGATCGTTGTCTAGGCTGCTGGCGGTGTAGGCTCTTGCACCCCGGGTACCACTAGCTGCTTGCACTGAGAAGATGCAACGTTAGCGATGGGGCTTCTGAAAATACAAGGCAAGTATTGACTGTGCGGCTGTACTTACTGGGGCCTGTATCAGGGCGGCCGCCCATGACGATAGTGCGGACGCCCATTCGAGTCATGAACTCGACGAACATTGAGCATGTTGAGGAGCACAGGCCGTCGGTGAGCTAGCAGGTTATGGAGTCAGAGTTTGGCTGCACCATGACAATTATTGGGGACTTACAAGTACGATGTCTTTCGGATCCCACTTCTGTGTCGTGTTGCTAGGGTTGTCGGCATAACCATACGGTGACATGTCCATCGCTTGATAGGTGAAGTTCTCATCAGAGAGGTTATACTCCTCCTGCCAGCCAACAGTTAGTCCAGCCCCGGTATATCCTCCATGGTCACAGCTGCAAGGAAACTTACCAAGACTGTGAAATCGTCACCAAGATACTTTTTGGGGCCAGCATAATCCTCCCAATCCTGGAAGTTTCTCCGGGTTTCGGCCTTTAGGCGCGGCGTGATGATCCATTCATCTGCTAGGCCCTCCCACCAGTCATCTACGTCTTCGTCATTGTCGCTATTCGGATCCAGTCTAGACCACCACGTCGTCGTGGCATTCCCCAGCACACGGCCCATCTCATGACCTCGCCGCCGGCTCCCGGCAAACGGTCCCTTCTCTGGGAAGAACCGGGAAAACGTGTCGAAAGCCAGCACGACGTCTCCTCCAGAGTTCTGCTGGAGGTCAATCACGACGTGATCGATCTTCTTCTTCACCGCGCCGTCGATGAACTTCTGGACAGTTTCCGAGAATGCATACAGTTCGTCGCCATACTGCTTGAAAGTTGGGAGACTTAGTACACCGGTGGATATGTCGGGCAGAAAATAGCCAGTCACGACACCACTGCCATTCACCAGGAGATCAGGCTGGTAAATGTCGGGTTTTTCTGGATAAGCGCCGAAACTGATTGAGTTCCAGCTGGGGTCGACTACCTCCTCCTCCGACGTCTCATCGATGTTGGTGGTCTCCTCATCGCGTCTGGCCGTTGGCTTCCATCGTCTAGCCACAGAGCTATCCGCTGCCCGGAATGATTCGGACTCATTGGTTGCCGGGTAGATGCCGAGAACAAAGAAGTTGTAGAAGTCCCCACCATTCGCTATCGGGCCAGTGTCTTGACCGTAGTCATAAAATGACACCCACCAACTCTGGAGCGTGTCCGACTTGTTCTCAAAGCTAAAGTTGAGCTGGTCTCCGGGATAGAATGTGGCATCGCCAGTCCAAATATTATCCCGACCAAGGACATCCTGAGCAGGATGGCTCATCAGGTCGTTCCATTCGGCGTGGCCCTCCAGTCTTCCCAGCGAGTTCGCAGAGGCAAACTTTGTGAGATAGTCAATAACGTCCTCGCCGTTGATCTTTGTGATCGCCGAGGGTGTCCACCTCCAGTTATCTTCTTGTGCTTGCAAGATATCATCTAATATGGGTAAAGGTCAGTCGGCTTCTAGCTTAAGTATGGAATCTGAGGCCGCTCGGACTTACCAGTCAAGTAGATGCTGGGGGTCTTCTTGCCATCGACTGACACTGAGGATATTGCCCATTGACTTCCAAAAGAGAAGGGCGAGAGGATACCGGACCGCACGTGCACATGAGCATCGTGCATTGCAAACACGAGCCTTTGCACATCTGCTTCAAAGTCATACTGGTTCATGTAGTATCCTGCCTTAACGTTCGTCTTGATGCGCTGTAGCGTTTCGTCGACGTTTACAGGTGGCTGCTGATACCCTTGCGGCGGGTTCTTGAGAAATGCCAGCGTACTTTGAAACTGTATGGTTGTGTTGAAGTAGTCTAAAAATCGCAAAGCGGGTGCTATACTGAAGGGAACATTGCGCAGGCAAGCATAGACATCGCTGGCCCAGAATAGGGATGTACCTATATTGCACGTCGATGTCAGTACGACATCCACAGTCAACCATGCGGGATATATTATTACCATTGACATTCGCCTCGTTCATTATATCACCGCAAACGGCTGAGTCTTGGACGTTGACCGTGCTCTTTACTGAGTTTCCGGACACGGATGACTGCGTGAGGCTCGTTGGGTTGTCGAGCACGCCAAGGGACATGAGATGCCCCAAGGCTTTGACCGCGGCCAGCAAATCGAACAACATTCCTGCGGCGATTGCTTGATCGACTTTTCGCGTTTGCAAGACAGGCCTACATCAAGAGCCTCAAATACAACCAGCGCGCTCGTGGAAGCGGCCGCTTCTTATCCAGCTACACCGTACCCTGGCTTGCCCGGTATACGATACCTGCATAGTTAGGGGTCTCTATGCCTGCATTAGGTATGAATCACTAGTGCTGACGAGCCGGTCACTGGCCCTGCACGCAATTATGGTCTCTTCCCACGTGCAGCCATAGGAAAATGGTCAACGATTAAAAATAGGTGCAGGGGATCCATCCGTGGCCGCTGCCTAGACTACAAATGGCTTCTCCATTGCACCGCGCCGCAGCGATGCAGGGGGGAGATTGGGGCTTACCCAAAGCCCTGGGCCGCGACCCAGGTAATGCAGTGCTTCGCCTCAGCCGTCGAACTGCTGCAGAATGATACTGGCCAATTGTGGCACGAGTAAGACCCAGAGAGTGAGGAGCCTCACTACTTGGTTAAACAGAGCCAAATAATAACTATGTATCCAAGAAGCATTTGCTGAAGGCACAGTGTGTGCAAGATAAGCAGAGATTGCAGGGACTCTAACTGGCACAATGAAATTTTATATGCTAAACTTAAGTCTTGAAGTCGTTCCTTAAGACAGAAGCACAGCTTGTGTATGGTCTAAACATTGCTTAGGCGTTGGACCTTAAATTGAGGCTGAATCTGTTTGTTCCGCGAGGCCCTTGGTGCGTCAGTGCAACGCCCTCCTGTAAGTGTGATCCCCCAGCCTCACGCAATCTCCCACTTGGCCGCCCCCCTGACCATTTCTAAATCTCGAGAGTTTGGATCGGGAAATGCTGCCCAAAGAGGGGGGATCAAGATCCCGGTTTGCACAGCTTGGCGCAGCGTAAAAGCAGCCTATTGGCTTGATTTACGGCAGCGCGTGGGACCCATTTTTCGTTGGGGGCCACAAATCTCACGACCATGCCAGCGTGAAATGGTCAGCTGCTTGCATATAAGCTCTACAGCAAATAGAGAATCACGAGTTTTCTTAACTAAAAACCGCTATTTCCATGCTGGCGAGGACGGAGAGCTGTGTCCACTTTCAGGTTGAGTTTTCGACATTTCCAGAAATTTTGAGACGCCGTTAAGGCTTCAGCCGATCTGAGCCTGGACGACCTCTGAAACCCCAGGATGACATGCAGAATTACCACTCCGCCCCCGAATTTTCATGTTTACGAAAAGGTGTTTACTCGTTGGCTCGAATCCGATGCCTATCGGCTCTGGAAACTGGACGAGCTCAAGTTCCAACTGAGGTGTTATGGGGGTCCAGGATCAGGCAAGGTACGCCGGTTTCTAAGCGTCGGTTTAGATACCCAAACTATATCCCTACTGACCCTTTTTAGACAACATTTTCATCACAAGTGGTGAAGGATTTAAAAAGATCCACTAAAGCTACCAATACAGCTGTGGTGTCTATATTTCTCCAACCACTCAATGAGGCTCCGGGCAAGAGACCCCCCTTCCTCAACCTTCTTCTTGTTGAGATCCGGCAGCAACTGTGGTCGTCGCTTAATTCTATTCCTCGTGGGCAGAACTATGATTACAGAAGATCCAATGCTGAAGTAGAAGTATTGCCACAAGTTGATGTAAGCATTGGTGATTTACGTCAAACAATTGCCTCACAGATCAAATCTTTTGATCAAGCTTTCCTTATTCTTGATGATTTAGACCTGGCATGGATAGATATTGAGGAGTACAAAAGCCTTGAGGATGAGCTGGATGCTCTCATGACGCAGGGTCTGAAGATCTTGACCACGTCCAGGGTGCAATTCCGATGCGATACGCGCTCTGGTATCTGCGACGTCAACCCGGGCCACAAGCACCTGGATCTCTGGTGGGAATGCAGTGAGTGCGCAGGGAAAGAATCACTCTACTTTATCTGCGACGAGTGTAAGTTGGCTGGCCACCGCTGTCTAAAACCGTAAGTATCCAGAGAAATTCATACAGCGGCATTACCCTAACGCAGACGTGCATAGTGAGCATACAAAGGCCAATCTTATCCAACCCCGCCAAAGGGTTCACCTAGATATTGGCAATTACTCTTTGCAGAGATTCATAGAGTATCATCTTGAGCAGGACCACGGTGACCTCGGTTTCGGGAGCCACGGTGGTGTGTCTACCTTGCCACCCTCATCGCCTCTGGGCCACGAGCTAATCAATTCGGCGCACAAAAACGCGGCAAACAATCTCGTTGCGAACTTGATCAAACAGGCAAATGGAAACATTACACTTGCCCTGCTACGTCTTGAGCACGTTAGCAAAGCCATTTCTCTGGAGGAGGCTATATCTATAGCAGATCGACTACCAAGAAACATCGTTGCATCTTTCGACGCGGGGATGGCGAGTATAGGGAAAAGCCCTCCGGGACTTCGCCGTGATCTGGGCCTCGCGTCTATCAAGCTGGTGGGCGGGAGCGAAGACGGACTTCGATACAGCGACCTCAAGGAGCAGATCGTGGAAGACTGGGATGGCGATGTCTCAGATGTCGAGGCATTGCTTGATTCTGAATATGGAATGGAGGAAGTCTTGGCTGCTTCAAGAGGATACCTCTCACGGACTGAAAGCAGGGTTCCAGGCGTTGTGTGCTTTCACTATAATTTCCAGTTTTACGTAGCTGATCGCTATTCTGATTTTATTGACAGTTAGAAACGAACCATGGCAAGTACTGCTAAACCTGCCCAATAGATATCGTAGCCTCGTATTCAGGACTCGTGGCCCAGCGATACACCATATCTTTATGGAAATCTTCTTTGACGGCTATCGCATCTCCCTGGGTTTAGCGTCACCCTATTTGCTCTTCTAGATCAAATTTGGACCAACTGTAGCAATGCATTCGTTTGATATTTTGGCCCAAGACACGTTGGTATTGGGCCGACATACTTCCTAGCCTCACCTACTAGCGTTGTTGTTTGTTTATAGATTGGAAGCAAAGACAATGGCTGTATCACAATCGTGGGCCAATTAGTCTCCCGCGTGGCCTTACGAAAGTGATCGACTCGATCGCTCATGGGATTCTAGTCACGAGTTTAAAGCTTTGAGCATAAGATTTTACCATTAACAAGCCTTAAGAAATCGTCAAATCAATTCAATGAATATCTAGATAGGCTGAGGCACAGAAACACTTGTGTCCAGCTCACAGTGGGATAATATCAACGACTCAGACTATTGTGTCGATATGAGATCTTAGCCTCTCCAATGATCGGCTATCAACGACAGAAGATGTCATCATGGCCTGTTGAAATAATGGCAGCAAGAAAAAGAAGCTGCCCCTCGGTTTCCGGCACAGTTCTCACCGCGTCAGCCCTCAAGCGTGGCATGTACCTTCTTCGTATTCGGGGAAATCTCCATTACAACACTGTTCCCTATGCAGAGTTGGTCAGCTTCGAACCCTGAGTCTGAGGTCAATCTCAACTCGTCGTTTGATGAGTTTCCATTGCCTGGCAACTCTCAATGCCGGGCTAGGCCTCCCGTAGGCCACTGCCTGAGCCCGGTCCGCAGGGACTTCATGGTTCCTCCCTCTTATCTTGTCACAACGTCGGACACGCCTGCCTTCAATTATGAAGCATGCAACAGATAACATGAAGCTGGACGCCGAAGTTTCAACAAGCACCAGTGGAGCAACGGTAAAAAGCAACCGATATACCTCATGTGAGTTTCTCTCTTCGTTCCCCCCTCCCTTTGCCCCCCAACCCCCATGTCCTAAATGGCCGATGATGATCTGGGTCGCTTGCGACCTGTAATGTCTCTAACATGGCGGCTATGGCACTCTAATGGCGTACCTTGTCATAGGGTGCTGGGGACCCCAATTGATGAAAACATAGAGACTGATATGATGACTGAGGCCAATCCTTACACAAACATTTTCGGTGTGGTCAGACAATGAGCTAACGTCAGGACTTAAATACTTCATTTTTCTTTTGTTCCATCTGCTGGGACGTGCGTGCGTGCGTGCGTGCGTGCGTTACTCCGAGGTATGCCATTTCGCTCTCAATGACGTTGAAACTAAGTTCGTGCTCAACATGTCTCGCGTACCAATTCCATCTCAATCTTTCTTTGAAGATCCACCGTGGCTTTCAGGTATATCCATTCACTACCCTCTCATAGCCCGCGTTCCGATTCAAAGTTCTGTGATATCTAATATAGCAGATGCAACTACATGTTGCTCGCAATGTTACGCAAATTGGTGCTCGTTCCAACTCATGGGAAAGCCAACATCGATGGTTGGTAAAACGGCCGAACGTGACGAAAGCAAATTGAAAATAACCATCATGCATGTGAGAAGCTGATGGTACATTGAAAACAACATCCGAGAGCAAGTAAACCTATCGACAAGTCCGAGAGCTCATTCGCTGTTCCAGTTTCTAACTTCATAATTTGGGCCTTCAGTGCTGGCCCGCCCATCTTTGCTCGGTTGTAGAACGCGGCCGTTTTGCCATATCAGGCTCCGTCAGCTGCAATTCGGCTGTTTCAACACGAGGATTTTCTTTCAATGCATGTCAGGGACCAAGACGTTTTGATCAAGTATACTTCATGACTCCATTTGTCAGTGGAAGTACCCTCATATTGTGCTGTGCCGGTAGTTAGTGCTTATCTTCGCCCAGGCGCTGTTCCCCCAAGCCCCGCCCACTTTTGGGATCCAGGGCATGTCGAACAGGGCATCTATTTTTAGCCCCCACCGTAGGTGGTACTGCGGTACGGCTCCTGGCGATTAATAAGATGACTTGGTAGGTTGCTGAGTATTGGGAACCTCATACCTGCTTCACCTCCGCATTTCTGCACATTCTTGTTGCTAAAATGATTTGTGTCAAATGTAGAAGCGCAATCCTTGGGGGCACCAAAACATGGGGTTATCACTGCTTGTCGGATTCCGACTGCGCCATCTGCTCACGACTCAGGCAAGACGTTTCTCAAATCGCTGGGCTAGAGGTGTGCTTGGCGGGGAATTCCCTGTATTGGTGGAAACTCGGTCAGTTGGCACACACAAGGGACACCCCGAGGTCCTACAGCATCACCCTGACTCCGGACGCGTCCAAGCATCCTGCGCTCAAAGATGTGCGGAGAAGGACTTTTCATCTACTTGACAGAGGTTCGTGCAAGTCCTACAAGAGAATAGTTGTCACTCAGCCTCGCTAACTCCCGGAAAGACGGCGTAAAGGTGACGTCTGTATTAGATAGCAGAACCAACTCTGCGGGTGCTTTATCTCAGATGAAGTCTTGGTTGAGGCAGTGCAAAGGGGAACACAGTCGATGCGTAAGATCGCAAAAGAAGATCGTGGTGCCAAAACGCCTGATCGATGTCGGGACTGTGTGTACAGACAAGATAGTTGTTGTGGAAACGGACAAGCTGTCTACACCAGTCGACAAGTATATGACTTTAAGTCACTGTTGGGGTGACCCTGAGCTTTCGCCCCCTATCCTCAAACTCACACAGGAGAACGAAGGCCCGTTTACAGACCCTTCGACTGGAATTCGAAGCTCAAGACTGCCCAAGAACTTTCGGCAAGCTATAGGACTTACCCGGAGGCTCGGGGTACGGTATATCTGGATTGATGCTTTGTGCATCGTCCAGGACAATGGTGAATTTCACCAAGAGGGGCAGCTGATGCATCAGGTGTATCGCAACTCTTTCTGCAATCTTGCTGCAGCAGACAGCGGAGACAGTACCGGTGGGCTCTACCGAAGTAGAAATAGTGAAGACTTGATACCTCAAATCTTGGAGACTTCCGAGTCCTCGGTATTTGGAAAACGATCATGGGTCTTTGTCCCCTCGGACATTTGGGACGATCAACTATTGGAACAGTCTCTTTATAGACGTGGATGGGTGTTTCAAGGTTTGTAAATGGCTGTTTTGAGTATAGACAAATGCTGACACTCCCAAGAACGAATGCTGTCCCCTAGAATGATCCATTTTACGGCCAACCAAGTCTTCTGGGATTGTGCAAGTATGTCCGCTTGCGAAGTCTTCCCTGCAGGGCTTCCCGAATCCTTGGATGCTGCCGCTGCCCCAGATCGTCACTGGAGAGAGCGGCTGCAGATAGCCCAGGAAAAGAAGGAACTCACAGGCACCGCAGATGATTCCATCGAACAGTTCTGGAAGAAGGCGGTGCGGGCTTACACCGCGTGCAACTTGACCCGCAACATAGACCGTATGCCTGCCATATGGTCTGTTGCCAAACTAGTACGCGATGAAATGCGTCGGGCTTACGATGGCCAGGAGTATGGGGTCGGCCTCTGGTCATCATACTTGCATGAACAGCTGGCCTGGCGAGTCATGGATCCATCCAAGGCCACGAGGCCCGAGGAACTTACTGTGTATCCTACGTGGTCTTGGGCATCACTTATTGGAGAGATCGAAGTCCAAGACAGAATCTCGGATCCTAATCGGTGCTATGGTATCTCTGGCCATGATGGCCACAAAGTTCGTTACCAGTTGAGTGAGGTATCGGCCGAAGAGTCAAGGGACGTACCTGATGGCGCCAATGCCCTACAACAAGGTCTTGAAACGAATTCCCTCGCTATGAAAGCGAACCTAGTCGAAGTGAGACTGAGGAAGGTGAAGAAGTCATCACATTCCAGAAACATCCCGCCAGGGGCTTCCCATACCAACACATACACATTGCGACCGGTGCACAAGAAGTTTGCGAACATTCACCTGACAGACGACAACTTCGAAGTGTTCCCGGACACGAAACCCTTATCAGCAGATCACAATGCCGCATTTTACCTTATCATCCTGGCTGGAAGTGAGGTTAAAGTTTCCACTTCCGAAAGCATGGGAATCGCCTCTGTGGCACCGACGCACGATTTGTCGAGAAAGAAGAGGAACCATTCGACTAGAGTCACTTACGGAACAGGGCTCGTTCTAGTCAAGGCGTCGTTGATGAAGGACACCGACTGCCATTTCAGACGAATCGCAGCATGCCATTTCCAGGGCATTGGATTATCTGACTTCAAGAAGTTCATACCTCACAATGGTCACGGAACTGATATATGGCTAGTGTAGGCCCGTATTGATTACAAAAGGTTGGATTTGACTTTTGAATGATTAGCATGCTATGCCGCAACTGGATGAGGTCATCGCATAGGCCTCGCGTCGCTTGGGTACTCTTTCAAAGTAAAAGCCTGACGAGATGCTGCCAATACTCTACTGTGTCCCATGAGCTGCAATGCGTGGTAAAGTGGGTATCGACTAGCAGCCGTCTTCACGTGGGTTAACCTGTTATCGAATAGCCTGTAGTCCTGTTCAACAGTTAGGTATTGGGATGACTTTCAACAGCAAGGTTGCTTGGTTAAGCTTTCGCCAAGAAACGTTACAGAACCGACGAAACCTCTCAAATAATAGTGTACCTGGTACTACTGTACGATTTTATTCTGCATACTGGTGCGATAGTAAAGTCAATGACACGCACGCTCACGAGAGCTGTTGCCAATGGCGGAATGTCTTGGCTGCTTTTCCACCAATAGGGATGTTTCCACGCCACGAACTGCAGCCCCAAATCCTTGAAGTTTAGGGTCGCAATGGCGAGCAGGCGGCTGAACGGGTCGAAACAGTCCACTGGCGGGGGAGAAACTGTGAAGTTGGGGAGCGTTCTCCAATGCGGAGATGCACCCCTGCTAGCACCGACAGATGTATATTGTCGCCTGTAAAACCTCATTTCCGGGAAACTCTAAGCCCTGCGTGTCGGCGCCGGGGCATGCTACTTAAGGCTCGGGGTGCAGCCAAGAATCGGGGTTCAGCAGTTCTTGGCCTCTTTGTCAGTTCTAGGATCTCGAGTCGTCAGCCAAAATGCGGTCTCTATTCTTTGCAGGCTTGTTGTCCTGCAGCTCACTGGTTGCTGCAACGGCCATTTCGGGTGGCACGCATAGGCGGGCGGATCACGTATCTCCTCGCCCTCATATTGTCTATTCGCCCAAGTCCCCGTCAACGGCGCCCGCGGAGCCGAAGCCGCGCTGCAAGACCTGCTTTGTGGAGACGCATGGCGATGGTGTTACTGACGACTCAGAATACATTCTCAAGGCGTTCAACGAGTGCAACAATGGAGGTCATGTTGTCTTTCGGGAGGGCGAGACCTATATCATTGGGACAGCGATGGACTGGACATTCTTGAAGTCCATTGACATTGGTGCGCTTATACAAGTTGTTGTCCTACATTGCGAAGCTGACCATTAGTGCTACAGATATCCAAGGAGAAATCTTATTTTCTAATGATACGGCATATTGGCAGGCTAACTCGTTCCCTTTTGTCTTTCAAAATGTCACGTCGTTTTTCAAGCTAGGAGGGGATGATGTCTTTATCTACGGCGGTAAGTCGCCAAACAAACCCGTCTGTGTGTCACTCACTCATTGACATGTTTGAAACAGGTGGCACTCTCAATGGCAACGGGCAGGTGTGGTACGACGCATATGCCGCCGATATCTACACGCTCCGTCCAGTCTTGATTGGCATTGATGGCCTGAAGAACAGCATCATCTCGGATCTGGTCCTGCGATATTCTCCACAGTACTACCACTTCATTGCCAACTCATCCAATGTCGTGTTCAACAACATCGACATCGCCGGAGGAAGCACGAACCCCAAGGTGACAGCCAAGAACACCGACGGCTGGGATACGTATCGGAGTGACGGCATCACTATCCAGAACTCGGTCATTAACAATGGTGATGGTAAGCATGTCCCAAGAGGAATTGAGTGTAGTATATGCAATCTCTGACTATGGCTCTATAGACTGTGTCTCATTCAAACCCAACTCAACGAATGTTCTGGTTCAGTCGCTATTCTGCAACGGGTCTCACGGCGTTAGTGTCGGGTCCCTAGGCCAGTACGTCGGCCACTACGACATTGTAGAGAATGTATATGTTGCCAACATCTCGATGCACAACGCGACCGACGGCGCGCGCATCAAGATCTGGCCTAACACGCCTTCAGCGCTCAGTGGTGACTTGCAAGGAGGCGGCGGCGACGGCCGTGTTAACAACATCACCTACACTGACTGGATCATCGACAACGTCGACTACGCCATTGAAGTCGACCAGTGCTATGGCCAGAAGAACCTCACACTCTGCCTCGAGTATCCCAGTCCGCTGAAGATCACCAACGTTCTCTTCAACAACTTCAAAGGAACGGCGAGCAATAAGTACCAGCCCCAGGTTGCCAACTTCGCTTGCAGCTCCGAAACGGCTTGCTCGAACATCCTCTCGACGAACTTTGATGTCGTCAGCCCCAACAACACGAATGAGGCCTATTGTCTCAACTTTGAGCAGTCAGCTTTGGATGGAGTGACCTGCACTACCGTTTTCAAGGGGTTCAATTGAAGACAGGGAATTTGATCTGCCTGACTCCAGTTAGAATCAAGTAGTAATGTATTAAATGCATACGCTTCCTCATTATCAAAAGCAAAGATTATGTGTCACCTCGCGCGAATCGCCCCTCTATGCTCTGCGACTTCATCATTGCTAAACCAATTAGGTTCGCGCGTGGGAGAAAGGTGAAACCTCTGGTTCTCTCTGATTGGTTCTATAATCTACTCCCACGTTGTTTCGAGTCTAAATGCACGCGGACTAGTGTAGGTTATAGTCGGCGGCGGGCCGAGCCCAATACGCGGCACCTTGTTTACTTAATTCCTAGCCAATGCGTGCCATCAAGATTGCCCCGCGTACTGTTATGCAGCCGGGTCGTCGTGCACAACGCAATTGTAAACTCCCACCTCTCCATATGTGTCGGGAGGCGGCCCCCAACTCCAGCACGTGCAAGGCGTAATAGGAATCAAAGTTACGGCAAGCATGTAGCGCCCCCCAACCAACATTTTGCTCGCAGCCTCGCGTTGGAAACCAGTCTCTGAGACATGATTCCGTGGTTTTCGATGTAGAGACGCCACGATGAGTCTCTGTCGAGCGCTGAGGATGGCCACAGTCGGCCTCTCGGCTTTCGGTAAGTACATAACCAACCCATTACCACCCCTGCCACCGGCCCGAGCTGCCGGCCCGAGCTGCCGGCATCATATATCGGCCTGGTCTCGGGAGAGTGCAGAACGGACGTCCGCGTGAGCATGATCTGACCCATGCGTTCCCTCCCGCAGCACGAGTTGCCTCGGCGGCCTGCGGCACGTCAGAGGCCTCGACTGCTATCACGATCAGACGCGCCGCCGAAGCCACGGCCCTGGGCAGGGCATGTCCGACCGTCTACGGCTCGGTGCAGATTGCCCCGGATGCGAACGAGGACTCGGTGGTGCTTGATGGGGTAGAGACTATCACGCAAGACCTAGTTCTATCTGGCTGCGATGACGGGGGCTGTCCAAACGTCACGCTAGCTCGAATAACGGGCTCAAGCCTGTCCCGTGTGCTGGGCCGGTTCGATATCCAAGGCCTAGGCACTCTCAAAGAAATCGAATTTCCTGGTTTAAATGAGGTCGAGGGCAGTGCCATGGTGCAGAGCCTTGGGGCTCTGGATACGCTTGACCTGGGCGGTCTGCATACCGTTCGTAATCTGACTGTTGCAGACATCCCCCAGCTCTACTACGCCGAGCTTGGCGTCTCAAGCGGCGCGACTGTCGTGGTAGCCGGCAATGGGAATCTTGTGTTGAGACTCAATGCCGCCCAAGCTGCCGACGACGGCACTATACAGAACCTGGATATCTCTGGAATCGGCGAGCTGCGGTGGAGCAATCGCAACCAAGTGGTGGTCGATAGCTTCACACTACGAGACAGCAGACTCGAAGTACTCCCTCTGCTATTCGACAGCTTCGGAGCTCTGAATATTCATGACAATAACAAGCTCACGGCGGTTCTGTTTCCCGCGGACGACCCGGCCCGGACGACGATTGTATCGAGGCTCAAGTCCATCGCCGTGACGGGGAACCCGCAGCTGAGCCTGAACGCCAGCTCCCCCAGCAGGTGGAACGACACAGACATGCTGACCTGGGTCTGGCCCAGCGAGAACATGGACACGGTGCTGTTGGACGTTGCGCTCCATGATGCGTTCTTGTAAGTGCGCTTCCTCCCCTTTGTCCTAGATCGGGTATGTATAGCACTGCCGGGGCCAAAGCTAACAAGGTCTCTTCGCCCGCCAGTCAACCCTTTGTCGACGCCCACGGCTACACCTCGCCGCAAACGGCGAACTCGACCAAGCCGCGCGTGCTGCAGGACTTCGAGATCCGGTCCTCGGTCCCGGATTTCCACTGCGAGCCCATCGACGAGATGCGGCGCCACGGCGTCTTCCCGGGGCGATACAGCTGCAACGGGAACAGCGTTGCCGTGCCCAACGGCGGCGCGGCGGATAGAGCGAGGCTCCGGAACGCGTTGGTGTTGCTACTTTTGTCCGTATGCTTGGTGTTTGGTACGGTAGCTGGACTGCCGTAATGAAGGCTGCGGGTTTGGGGCGTTTTCGGTCCAGGTCTGGTGCAGTGGATTGGTTGGCTGGATGGTGGTTTTGAGGTCGAGATACCCCTAATAAACTACACAAAATTCTCAAATGTGCCGACAAAGCACAATCATCCATGGTGGAGTACGGTAAAGCATGAAATTGATAACAATTTAATCCACTGCAAGCCTGGGGTGATGTTGCCGCCCAGTCGCAGTAACCAAGCGAGTAATGGTTCTGGTCGTTCATTCACACGACAAGCAGGTGGATGGCCTGACACATATACATGTAGCATTGAATCTGCTGGAGAAATTCTGTATATGTATAAAGAACCCAGCTGACCTATGGCACAGATTTTGTTTGGCCATGATCAGTCATCGCTCAGGGCATATACCGCAGCAAGTCCTTCTGAGTCGCTGATCCCGGTGGTGCGTGTCGAGTGCTCTGTATGACACGGCACAAGCCATATAAAGTGAAGAGAGAGGAACAAACTTTCGCATCATGCCGGATATCAAGTGCCCTTTGTCCTTTCCATGCCAAACCAAATACTCGCCAAGCAAGTTTCATGTCCATAAAAAAAAATCATAACACACTGCCATTCCCTTACGCCTGTTGCCCTTCGTGAAACAATGCTTGCCAAATTGCCAATTAGAAGCAGAGATATGCTGCAGAATCGACAGGCTCCCCACGATAGAACCATATTAGATCGATGTCTTCGGGATGAAAACAACTAACCGTTCTCAATGGCACGAGGGTGACCAACAGTCGACGAGAGCTCCTCCTGACCATCCTCCAGCTCACGTCGTGAGGAAGAGAAGGTCGTAAGTTGTAGCTGCTGATCTGATAGCGGTGGCAGCGGGTACGACGACGGTTGAGAACGTTCGCCCGCTCTGGGGACTTCGGTAGAAGTGCCTGATGCATCCGCGTTGTCCTACATTACGGCTTCTCCAAGCATCGATCCCGGCTCCATTCCGCCCATGTTATCGAGAGGAACGTCCATACCGCCACCTCTCGAATCCATGCCGGACATTCTCGAGTCCAGATTCAGCACCCGGTTCTGCTCCATGTCGGCCAATCGCTTCTCGATGCCGTCGATCCGCTGCTCAATGCGCGCGAGCCCCTGTGACACATCGTGTCCAATGCGATCCAGCTTATTCGTCAGACTCCTGATGCTCTGTGCTAGAGGAGTGTTCTCCTGCCCCGGGGGAGCTGCAGGAACCCGGGCTTCGTGGTTGTGCCTGCCATCTTGCACAGCAAACCGCCACTGGTTCTGCAGCGACACCTCGCAGACGGCCTTGGCGCGCCACGGGCAGTCGACCTTGCGCGTGCTGGGGTTTCGCTTCTTGGCGGTGCTGTTGTACTTGACGCCGCCCCTGTCGCACACCAGATCGTATCGTGTGGGCTTGCCGTCGCGATAGTTGCTGGCACGCAGCTTTACCACGCCGTAGCCCTGGTCCTTAGCAACGCGCTGGACGGCGGTGAGCAGGTCCTCGAATGTGCGGTAGATGCCCTCGGGCGGCGGGGCCAGGGTGCCGGGCTCGCCGGGGGGCCCAGGAGGCATGATGCGCGACGGGGTAGGCGTCGGCACCGGGACTGGAGTGTGCTGGACGGCGGCATGGCCGTGGCCATTGACCCCAACACCGACACCAACGCCGACACCAGGGGTGCCGTTCGTCAGTCCCGCATGGCCAGCGACGGCCGCGGACGACTGGAGGGGGGTTTGGAGCGAAATGGTGCCGGTGTTTTGGGGGGACACGGGGGAGAGGAAGGGGCTTATTGGCACGCCAGACTGAGCCTGCACGGGCAGCTCAGACAGGACTGAACTGCTCAGGTGCTAGCTGCGAGAATGGACGGGATGGACGGGATGGACGGGATGGACGGGATGGGTGTGTCGCGACGGACGCGGGGTCGGGTCCGGGGCGTGTCGAGATCGAGGTTTCGAGGGCGAGGCCGTGTCGACCGCGTCGCCAAAAAAGAAAATCCAGGGTCCTCGAGGTGAGGATTGTACGGGCACTACAAGGACAAGGTGCAGACGGCTCCCGGGGCGGCTTGTGTCGTGGGCGCCGTTGAGATTTCAGGATTCTCACTGTGGGCGGGCCTAGGGGGGGATCGAGTCCGTGTGTTTCGTTGCGACGATTTGAGTGAAGAAAGGTCTTCTGGGTGTGAAATCGCACGGCCCGGCACACAGTTTCCTGGTCTGGGGGCCCAGAGGTAAGCAAAGCAACCAGAAGAGCGGGAGCACTCCGTAGTTATTGCCGGTCGGACGCTCTAATGTTCCAGGCTCCGACGTGCTGCGCCGGCCGATTACTCGTCGCGTCTGTTGCCGGTCACCAGTGTATGTGTGTGTGTGTGTGTGTCGGTCATTTAGCTGAAGAACCACCAGCTGCAGACCACCCAGCCCGGCGTTTAGATGGGACTGATTGGTAGGGGGACGACACGGCCCGACCTCGCCAGTTTCTGGCTGCTGTCAATGCCGATGCGAGCACGACTTATAGCGGATTCTGTACTGGGTTTGCAGGGTTTGGGTGTTACTGTGTAGATAGATCATGGATGGCCGTTGCCCCGTTCCAATGGGAAGCTTTGGCTCTCGTTCCCTTAGTGGGCGCCGGCCGATCCCCGCAGTGTGGCATGTATCCCAATTCCTACAGGACCGCCTCCTTGCCTCCCTATCAGATAAGGTCTACAGCTTAGTGTAAGGTGGGCGTCTTTGAACTGCGGAACAAGGCTGAACCTTCGACGATTTTGCTTGCTCGCAGCCCCCAATTCACTGCAACCTTTGTCGTATGTCCTGGTTGCATGATGCTACAAAAACCAAACCACCGCGAGCATCACGATAGCCGATAGACGAGGTCTCTTTTGAAAAGCGCCCTGGGGAAGCGAGCGCTAGATTTGACATCCATGGCTTCAAACGCGCAGGCCGCAAAGGGCAACCAGGAACCCCTCGGAGCGCCAGAGCCGTGGACCGAGGAGCAGCTGGAGGAGGCCCTGGAGAAGCTCAAATTGCTGCATATCAAGGTCGGTCGCTTGTCTGTCACTCGCAGGTACTATCATTTCATGGGCGGCCGCTGATCATGTTGGGCCTGTACAGTCTAGAGAACTCCGCACGACAGTCCCACGCATGCTCGAACCGCTGGGCACAAAACATGCCTCCCGTACGTGCTCACAACTACTATATGCGCAATGCGCTGCCGGGCGGGCCACGCCCACTCGAGAGACGATGCTAAACCTTTGCTACAGGACAGGATGCGCTCACGTCATTCCAAACTTCCATCGCCAGCGCCGCCACCGAACTTCGCGACTTCCGGACCCTATACACGAGCGATGAGAGCAAGAAGGTCTTTGACCAAGCCAAGAAGAGCCGCCAGGCCGAGCCGAAGGGTATTAAGCCGTGGAGGGCACGCGATCATCCTGGATGGCTGGACTCGGAGGAGAAAGGCCCACAGTGAAGCCGGCCGTTTGGATGGATATGGATGTTTGCAAAGCATGGCGTTGGGGGCATTGTTTTTTCTTTCTCGGATCTGGCGTAAAGGCGACATGTCGCTCGCATTACAGCCGTGCCTTGCGAGACTGCGCATGGAATAGTAATGGTGTATTCTGGGCAAGAGGGTCTATACGTCCAAGTCAAAGGTCCAATGCTCTGGGATGAGCTTGGTCGTCGTCACAATCCACAACCGAGCAGGTATAAGACTCATCAATGCAACCAGCATCAAGGATACGGCTATTGCTGTTTAAATAGATGACTCTTATCATCATACTGGAACGGATACAACCCCCTTGACCCTGTCTTCACATGCTACGCTCGCGCTGGACGGGAAGTCTCGGGAGACTTACAGAGAGGCCAGGAAGAGTCCAGGGCAGCCAGCTGAATGGGGCGTTGCTGCCAGCTGACACCGGCCTGGTACACTGACTCCATCTGTGACATGTCCCCAGGCAGGAGATTCTGCGGCACGGCTTGACGAAAAGAGATTGACTACTTCTGGAGAATGCCATCGAGGTTAGAAACTGACTTGCCTTGTGCGTTTGCTAGCTTAGACAAGTAATATCACCAGGTCGTGGGCACATTGACGCACTGTACTCCTGGGGAGGAGGAGACGGTTGGTAACTTACCTGGGTCGCCGGCTTGCTGGTCTTTTGCTGGTACTAGTTGACAAAACTCGCCTAGCCCCAAGCAATCGCCCGCAGCGCCGCCCACTGCCCCACCAAAATTCACCAAAATTTCGAAATCTGCCTTTTGGGCCTTTCGACCCCTCCCCTCCAGCAAGGAAAAGGAAACTGGCAGCGCGACCAGACTTTTGACCGCCACACCAGCGCCGGCATCAACACCACATCACCAAGTCGCACCCGACCTTTGGTGACTCTCCCCTCTGCTGTTCGCCGAGGATACAAAGGACGACCCGCTCTCCCACACCCGCATCGACCGCCGTCGCAGTCGAGCACACAAGACCGTCATCATGTCTCGATTTTTCACTGGTGGCGACAGCTCCAGCGAGAGCAGCTCCGACGAGGAGGAGCTCTACTCCAGCGAGGAGGAGGGCCAGGACCAGGCACAGAAGGATGACTCCGACGAGGACGAGTCGGAAGAGGAGGAGGACGAGTCTGAGTCCGAGTCCAGCGACGAGGAGGGCGGCCGCTCCGGCGCCGCCCGGTTCTTGCGCGGCGAGGACTCGGAGAGCGAGGACAGCGACGAGGACAGGGTCAAGACCGTCAAGAGCGCCAAGGATAAGCGCTTCCAGGAGCTTGAGTCCATCATCAAGGCCATCGAGAACGGCCAGAAGATCAACGACTGGGGTTCCATCTCGAATGGTATGTATCATCACGCCCACGACGCTCCGCCGTCTCCTCCCCATTGCTAACGCCGTCCCCCCCGTAGAATTCGACAAGCTGAACCGCCATGCCTCCAAGGTTGGCGAGAGCGGCAAGCCGCCCAAGATCTACATCCGGGCCCTCGTCGAGCTGGAGGACTTCATGAACGAGACCATCTCCAAGCAGAAGGTCACCCCCAAGAAGATGAACGCCACCAACGCCCGCGGTCTCAACGCCGTCAAGCAGAAGATCAAGAAGGTCACCAAGGACTACCAGACCCAGGTCGACGCCTTCAAGGCCGACGAGGACGAGTTCATGAAGTCGGAGGACGAAGCCCCCGCCCCCAAGGTCCGGAAGCCCAAGGCCACCGACACCTACACAGAGGCGGCGGCCGACGCTGACGAGGAGGGCTTCTCCACCATCGGCAAGGGCGGCAAGACCCTCCAGTTCACCCCCGAGAGCATCTTCAAGCACCTCCGGGGCATCATGGAGTCGAGAGGAAAGAAGAACACAGACCGCCTCGAGCAGATCAAGATCATGGAGAAGCTGTACTCGGTTGCTGTCACCCCTTACCAGCAGATCCGAGTGCTGCTCACTCTTGTCTCGGCACGATTCGACTTGAGCGCTGGAGGCACCGCCACCTCCATGCCTTTGGAGCAGTGGAAGGCCGCCGAGCAGGACATCAGCAACCTGTTTGAGGTTCTCAACAAGAACCAGGACCACATCGTGTTCGAGGGTGCCGAGGAGTGGGAGGATGACGAGAAGCCCCCCACGCTTCAGGACGGCGAGAAGTACATCAAGGTCCCCGGAAGCATCGTCTCGTACATTGAGCGCCTCGACGACGAGCTCACGCGGTCCCTGCAGAGCATCGACCCCCACACCTCCGAGTACATTGAGCGCTTGACCGATGAGGGCTCGTTGTACAACGTCATCTTCCGTGGCCAACTCTACTACGAGCACCTCCGCAAGGACTCGTCCTTGGAGACCCCCCAAGACAGCGTCAACCGTATTGTTATGCGCAGGTTGGAGCACGTCTACTATAAGCCGGCCCAGGTCGTCAAGATCCTCGAGGAGAACGCCTGGAAGACCGCACCGGCTGGCTTCGAGTCTACCATCACCCCGCAGGCCGATGTCGCGGATGCCACCAACCTCCTCAACGTTCTGTGCAACTACCTGTTCATCAACAGCGAGGGCATCATCCGTGCTCGTGCCATGCTGTGCCAGATCTACTTCTTGGCCCTTCACGACGAGTACTACAGGGCCCGCGACATGATGCTCATGTCCCATCTGCAGGAGACTATCAACAGCTTCGATGTCCTGACCCAGATTCTCTACAACAGGACACTTGTCCAGGTCGGCCTCTGTGCCTTCCGCAAGGGTCTCGTCTACGACGCCCAAAACACCCTGCAAGAGATCTGTGGCAGCGGCAGACAAAAGGAGCTGTTGGCTCAGGGTGTCATGATCCAGCGGTTCGCACAGGTCTCGCCCGAGCAAGAGAGACTGGAGAAGCAGAGACAACTGCCCTTCCACATGCACATCAACCTCGAGCTGCTCGAGTGTGTCTACCTCACCTGCAGCATGCTCCTGGAGATCCCCCTGCTCGCACAGACTGGTTCTTCGCCGGATGTCAAGAAGCGAGTCATCAGCAAGACCTACCGCCGCATGCTCGAGTACCACGAGCGCCAGATCTTCACCGGCCCGCCCGAGAACACGAGAGATCATGTCATGCAGGCGTCCCGCGCCCTGGCCGCCGGTGAGTGGAAGAAGTCGATCAACTTTGTGCACAGCATCAAGATCTGGGATCTGATGCCCGACACCGAGGGCATCAAGACCATGCTGTCCAAGCAGATCCAGGAGGAAGGTCTCCGGACGTATCTGTTCACCTACGCTCCCTTCTACGACACCCTGGCCGTCACGACCCTGTCGTCCATGTTCGAACTCGAGGACCGCAAGGTTGCTGCCATTGTCAGCAAGATGATCAGCCACGAGGAGCTCGCCGCCGCCCTCGACCAGGTCACGTCGACTGTCATCTTCCGCAAGGGAGTCGAGCTGTCGCGTCTGCAGAGCTTGGCCCTCACCCTGTCGGACAAGGCCGCCCAGCTTATCGAGACAAACGAGCGGACATTGGAGCAGCGCACCCAAGGAACGGCAAATGCCTTCGACCGCAGGGGCCAGAACCAGCGCGGAGGCGCACGGGGAGGCGGCCAGCGTGGTGGCAGAGGAGGTGCAAGGGGTGGTGGCGGTCAAAGGCAAGCCGGTGGCACGCAGTTCACCGGAGGCGCATTGGGTGCCGCGGTACGGGGTTAGAACAGCTTTCTTGGGTCTCTCGTTCTTGTAAGTAATGCATATGGAGTAGGCTTTGCTTTCCACAAAACATGGATGTACCGGCACCGCATTTCTGCTCGGTCATCTGGGACGGATGGTCATGATTAGAGATAAATTGACACTTCTTTCCGGCTCTGAAAATACCCCCCAGCCTGTACCTTGCGGTCTGGCTCTTCTCGCCTCTTCGGTGTTTGTGCCTGGCCATGTTGTGTTCTGTGCTCCATTTGTCCGCCCAGACAGGCTGATTCACTTAGACTTCGTCCGCCGGGAGAGCTGTGGTCCTTTACGGTGACGTGATTGCATGTCCGCCTCGGCACTGGAACAAGGCAGAGTCTCTCGCCTTGAATGCTTGAAGCTCCTCAGAGTTGTACCGTGATGGAGCAGGATATCGGTGGCCAGTGGCCGCACCCGCCATCGGCTACGGGCCCCTGACTAATAGCCGCGCGCGCTGAAGGAAGAAAAAGTAAAGCGCCCCACCACGCCGCCGGCGTGATCCTTGAGGAACATCGGGTCGACGAACCACGGCCCTTCTTTTTTAGGTCTGATTTGCAATGGCTGACTTATTTGTTTAAACACTGCTGTTCCATCCGATGTGGCCTGCTGCTGCTCCAGCTCTACTGAAAATGGCTTTACAGAGCGCCCTGTATTACTACTGCATCCCCTGAACTGCGATTCCCCTCTTCCCCCTCTGTCTGCTTCAACTCAATATCACATGCCACCCGTCTTGCGCAGCGTCCCCCGCGTCCTAGTTGCGACCTACTGCTGCCCCCCGATCCGACAGCGTACAACTCACATCTCGTATAGCATCCCGAGTATTGTGGTCCCGCCTGCAGGAGCCTTTGATAGGATATCTTCGACGAACGGACTGCCGAGGATAGGCAGATCGATAGCAGCCATGTCGACCTCAGCGGAAGCGATGCCAGCGGGTGAACCCAGCCAGGCAACACCAACTTCTTCTACAGACAAGACCACCACGACCGCCGCTGCCGCCAGCACGGCGCAAGACGAGCCGCAGGCCAAGCTGCCGCCGCTCTCCGCGGCCGACTTCCGGGTGTACAACCACATGGCGGACCACATGGAGGTCTACCACACGCACTTCCGGGCGACGTGGAACCTGCTGTGGAACGCGTGCGCGACGGGCAAGCGGCCGGGGGGCATGTCGCTGCGGGCGTTCGTGGGCGAGGGCCTGCAGTTCGTGCGGCACCTGACGCTGCACCACAACATCGAGGAGGCGCACATCTTCCCCGTGCTGGCGCGGCGCATGCCCGAGTTCAAGGCCGGCAAGGGCAACGGCGCCGCCGAGCTGCTGCGCCAGCACCGCCAGATCCACACGGGGCTCGACGCCCTCCAGGCCTACCTCACCGAGGTGCGCGACCGCGGCCGCGAGCTCGAGCTGCCCGTCCTCAAGGCCGTCCTCGAGCCCTGGGGCGAGGTCCTCTGGGCCCACCTCGACCAGGAGGTCAAGACCCTCGGCGCTGAGAATATGCGCCGCTACTGGACCCTGGCTGAGATGCGGGAGATGCCTATGTAACGGGGAGAGTGGGGGCGTCCCAAGATATGGTTCTGCTGTTTGTTGATGTTTATTTATTTGGAGATCTAGACTCGGTTCGGTTGATTTAGATAGCGCAAATAGTCCCCACCCCCTGGGAATGCCTGGGTGAGAATTCTGGTAGCGAAATACGAATACCTACATTAATACACCAACATCATTGAGATAACATGCTCTGGCGCCCCTGCTCCTAAAGCAACTCTGGCTTCGGGAGATAGAGCTTGCCTCGACTCGCGACGAGGAGCTACGAAGCGTTGGACGCGCTACTGCAGGATACCTCCCAACCTCTGCGCGTGGAAAGCTTGTGCAGCAATAAGCGTGCACATAGAGTTGTGATATCCTCTGGGCTGGGCCGGTCGATCTTTTGACTTTTGGCCTTTCCCCAGGTAACAAGTTGCCAAGCGGCTGGTAACTCTGCCACCCTCCCTCCGTCCCATGTGTCTGAGTGAAGCCGGCCGGGATAGCCTAAAGTCTATCTCTCATGTATGCATCCCACTATTTGCCTCACGTTCTCGATGACATGGATGGCGTTCGGACTGGTTCCGGATGAGGCTTTCCATTTACAGAGTAGCATCTCGCTCACTCCCAGATGTCCAGATGGTTTGACTTTGCAAAGCTTTCCCTCCTCTATCCAAATGCATAATTGCGACTAAGATACTATTATATTTGACCAATATTACCTCTTGTTGAACAATGAAGACGCGGCTCAGACATGGCTTCGACAGGATCTCGCTCCGACTTTGAAGCCCAGAATCGGGCGCCGCTCGTCATCGCGGTCATATGGGCCGCCACGGCGGTCATGACTCTCTTCGTAGTCAGCCGAGTGTATTGTCGGGCCATCAACACGGGACGACGGGTCCGGAAGCTGCAGGCGGACGACTGGTTGATCCTGACTTCAGCTGTGAGGCATCCCGATGTCCGATCTCTCCACTCTGTATACTTATTTGCCCTGCCCCGCAGAGCCTCATCTGGATACATGTCTGCCTGGAGACCAAGGCTTTCAGCTCCGGCGCCGGGAGGCACATCCAGACGCTCACGGACCAACAGATCACGAGCTCGCTGTACTGGTATGCCGTCTCGTCCTGGCCGGGCGTGCTGAGTCTGTGCCTCCCCAAGATCGCCATCGTCGTGCTGCTGTGCCGGCTCCTGAACCCGCGGCCGTGGCATCGCGCGCTCCTGTGGTCGCTGGCCGTCATCTGCACCATCAACTTTGTCCTGGCCGCGCTGTTCGGCATGATCTCGTGCGATCCACCGCGCGCGACGTGGGACGTGTCAATCACGGTAAAGCAATGCTGGGACCCATGGGTGCTGATGGATTTCTTCTTCTACGCTGCGTGTAAGCCCCCCGTATACCTGTTGGAGTCCCCGGGCGACTGCTACTGATATATGGGTAGCTTTCTCCGCATTCCTGGATCTCTACCTCGCTATCTATCCAGCGGTGGTTTTTCGCAAGCTCCACGTTGACACTCGGAAGAAACTGACCCTCAGTTTCTTACTGGGATGCGGCGTTTTGTAAGCCATAAAATCACTTCTCATGTTAGACTCCATACTCACGGTCTCCGCAGTGCCTCAGGGGTCGCCATCTACAAGACAACCCAGATACAAGCCTTTGCGAGTAACGACTTTACCTGTAAGTAAATCAGCATTCAAGTATGTTTGTTCGATGGCCAACGCTGAGTCTTTTGAACAGATGCATGCGGGCCAATGATTATATGGACAGTGTAAGGAACCCTGCGATATAGTTGATGCTCCTGTAGACACTAACATGAGGCCATACATCAGACTCGAAGCATGTACGATCGTGGTAGCGGCCTGTATACCCACGCTGCACCCGCTCTATGACAAAATACACGGGAAGCTCAGGCCCCGCAACCAAAGATTCTCCATAGCTTCCACATTGCCGATATGGAACGGAGGCTTCGGTTTGGGTTCGAAATTTCTCGTTTCAGTGCCCTCCCATAGTGAAGCTTCCCGTCGCTCCCATATGGAACGTCTGGGCTGTTACTTCCGCGACAGGGACCGAGATGGCGAGAGAGACATGGTAGAAATATCGCACGTCACGTCCACAAACACGATGACTGAAGGAGATGCTCCGCGCTGTCCGCCGGTCGTGATACTCAGGACAGATTCCGTCTGGGTAGAGACAGAGCCAGCTTCGAAGACAGTTGAAATGGTGTGAACTAGGTGTAGTCCGCTTCATCTTCAGTAAGAGCAGTAGATCGAATGAAGGGGTATCTAGAATTATCACTTCAAGTTTATACTACCCAAGACCCTAAGCATTTAAAGCTTGGCATCGGCAACCACAACACTTGGTTCATGCTTGGTTACCGAAGCTGGTTGAGCTGACGACTCGGCCTCCGCATTGATCCTCCTCCACATCTTCTTGCGTAGTTCGTGCCCGGCCATAAACCTGTCATACCAGCTTTGATCGAACGGAGGCAGCTGCCGACCCAGCCCATCCTCGCCTGGGCCGGCCATTTGACGCAACCCCTCGAAATACGCTTCAAAATCAGGATAGACCATCGTGAACTTAGGCCCATCGCCCTTCGCTTTGATCCTCTCTATTTCCCACTTCTCTTGTTCTTCTACCGGAGGCAGCTTTGCCCTGCCGGCCAACACCCGCGCCGCTAACACGGCCTGCCATTCGAAGATCTTGAACGTCAGGCCAGCGCCCACGGCCCCGACAAATAGTAAACTGGGGTCCTTTTGATACACGACGTGTTGGTAGAGGTTCGGAACCCGATTGTTCCTTATCTCAACTCCAGGCAGAAATGGAAGGGTCCAGGAGAAGCCCGTCCCAAAAATCAAGTGGTCCACATCTGGAACCGACGTACCATCCTCGAAGTGGACTGTGCGAGTCGAAGCGTCAATCCGTGATATTGTCGGACGCTTGTCGATGCCTGGGTTGTTGAACGCGACATCGCCAAAATACCCATTGAAATTGCGCCCGACTACGACTGAATAGACAGGCAACTGGGCAGTGTTGACCAGGTCAAATGCAATATCAGCGCTCGAAACGGACGCACCGACTGTAATCACACGCTTCTCAGGACGTCAGTAGGCAGAGGCAGACGACAAGTGACTAAGACATAAAGCAACCGGGATCTTACCTTTCCGCGAAATGCGTCTCTTCCTCTGAAATGTTTACTGTGAATCACACTGCCGGGCCTAGCCGCCGCGAACTCTTCCAGGCCTGGAATCCGAGGTATATAGGGGACTGAGTAGTGCCCACTTGCGACAACCACGGCATCAAACCACTCGACCCACCAATAATCCTTCGCCTCGGCCTCCTTCCGCAGCGTGATTTTCCACTCTGCCCCAACCTTCTCTGCCTTCTCCACGGTCGTATTATACGACACAAGGTCCTGGTAGCCCCGGCGCTCAGCTAGGCTCTGCAAATAGTCCCGAATCACCGTCCAATGCCTGAACGGCGTGTCTACCCCGTGCCTGCTTTTGGACCACTCGCTGAGCACAGCCGGGATGGGCTCCTGTGAGAACGACATGGCGACATCGTCAACATTAGTCTCCAGGTAAGGGTACACGGAGGACTCGCTGAACCGCGGCTGCGGCTCCTTGTCCGAATATGCCGGGAGGTTCTCCGGGACGGAGATGGGCGGATCGGCCGTCCGCGCCGCCAGCGCATCGAAGTTCGAGAGCAACGGGGTAGGCTTCGTTCCCTCTGCGATCCTGCAACGACGCCTTGAGCATTCGGGTACCTTCGCAGCCGGACCGGCCGTCGCACGGAGGAAACTACTCACCAGCATCCACCGGGCCCTTCGCGCCGCTCAAAGACCCGGATCACGTCGAATGCCTTCTCCTGCGCTAGCGCATCGATCGTGATCAATCCCGCCGGTCCGGCGCCGATTACAGCCACTCGCTTTTTGGCGGCTCCCATATTGCGCAATAGTCTCTTTTGCTTGAAAATAACTCTTTGCGTCCTTCTTTACGAAATGGTGGTGTAGCAGAACATCCGGGCTGATCGAAGCAACCCGTGAGTAGCCGCCGAGCACATATGCCGATTCAATGCAAGTCTAGCACGGATGTGGGAGCCGAGCCCGCCCAGGAAACCTTTGAAACTTGGCGCCAGGTAATTTCCAAGCTACGACCAGAAGTTATGAGGTTTATAACAAAGAATAGATGAACGGATTAAACTACGGCCTAAATCCTGGATCTAAAATTGGCCGTTCGCTGGCGTCAGCCCTTATCATTCCTCCTAGCTGGGCGGCTCTGTGGCCCCTGGTTCCCTGACTGCTAGTGCGATGGTGTGATATAGCATCAGATCGGCATTGTGGGGAATGCCTTCCGTCCGGCCGCCAGCGCCACCTCCGCTCCTGTATACAACGTCCGGTACGGTCGGTCAACGGACCACGCCGAAGATGATGCTCACGTCAAGCCACCTATGTATATAATTTTCTGACTGTTTTTTTCTTGGTCTCATCTCCCGATTAGCCCGCTGCCCGGGGCCCATTGATTATCTTGCTCGATTGTGTTATGGACAGTAACGTACCCAGGTATTCTATAGAATATGAATTAGCACGCCATTCATCTCGGGACCCTGGCAAGAGAAAGTCGCCGAATTTGATGGCACACAAGCATGAAGAGGACTATTGCCAGTGCGAGGAGCACCCTAATGGGGCCAATCGTGCTCGTCGTAACTATGACCCGATGTCTTGGCACTGGCCATCCGGGTATGAGAAGATCTCGACCACAAATTTTCCACACGGAAACGGAGCTGGGCTGATATCTCGAGGGAAATATGTCACGACTAGTTTCAATCATGGAAGACTCAATAGAAAAGACTTCGCAGTCTGACAAATCTGCGTCTGTGCCATTGAGTGATGAGTCGTTGAAAGTGACTCCTCCCCAAACATGGACTGCAGCTGAAGAGCGTAGAGCAAGGCGCAAGTAAGTTTAGTATCCCACATACGAGGGAGAAAGAATTCTTTAACACTATGGACAGAGTCGACCTTTCGGTGCTGCCGCTCCTGGTCCTTGGCCTGTTGGTTTTCCAGCTCGACCGCATGAACCTAGCCAGCGCCCTAACGGCGGGCTTCGCCGCAGACATCGGCGTGGACCAGGAAACAATAAACCTGGGCAACCAGCTGATGTTCCTCGGGATCGTGGTACTCGAGATCCCCTGCAACATGCTGCTGCAGCGCGTCGGGCCGCGCCGCTGGATCCCGGGCCAGGTCCTTCTATTTGGCACTGTTGCGGCCCTGCAGGTCTTCATCCGCAATCGTGCCGGCTTCCTGGCCTCACGTATTTGCCTGGGCCTGGCCGAAGCCGGCTATATACCCGGGGCCATGTACACGGTGTCCACGTGGTACCGTCGCGGGGAGCTGGCGCGGCGGATCGCCTTCTTATTCTTCGGCATGTTCGGCGGCAATGCACTTAGCCCGTTACTGGCATCGGGAATCCTCAAGCTTGACGGTGCGAGGGGCGTCAGGGGTTGGCAGTGGCTGTTTCTACGTACGTCCCCTACCACATTCAGAGTACCAAAAGTGTAGAGGACTGACTCTAGGCGGGATGTCTAGTGGAAGGATTATTCACCATGATGGTCTCTGTGATGATATACCTCCTCTTGCCAGGGTCACCAGATACGCCGAAACCCCTGGGTAGTGCGGGATTGATCAGGTTCTCTGAGTCGGAGCAGGTTGTTCTGCAGAAGAGACTTGAGAATGACCGGAGTGAGATTGGGCAGAGTGTCAAGTCCACGCGCATCCCTCTGAAACTGGTGTGGAAGACCGTAACCCATTACAAGCGCTGGCCGCACTTCGTCTCGACGTTTTGCATCTTCTCAACCTGGACGCCGCTCATGACTTACACGCCGTCCATAATCATGTAATGTCCCTCCAACCAGTACATCCCACGGATATCAAACTCACGCTATCGGCACAGGTCTTTGGGCTTCGAGAGGATAGCAGCCAACGCCCTTGCAGCGGTCGGGGCATCGCTCGCGCTACCGGTTGTCTTCGCCTTCGCATATCTGAGTGACCGTACAAATAGGCGCGGGCTATGCGTCATCGCCGCCCAGCTGTGCTACTTAGTCACGCTGATCACGATCCGGTCCGTCCACCCACATGTTGGCAAGTGGCCGCGCTGGGTGCTGTGGACAGTCGTCAACGCTTTCTCGGTCGGGTACCATCCTGTACATAATTCGTGGGTACAGCTCAATTGCAAGGAGCCGCGGGAGAGAAGTATAAGCATCTGGTAAGTTTTACCGTTGCAAAGGCGATTCTTATTTGGTTTCCCTAGAAGAACTTGATATCATGAATACTGTACTTCTTGCTCACTACTAGTCTGCAGCATGTGGGTCATGTCCGCTATAACTGGAAATATGGTAGGAACTCAGTATTTTAGGGGCGACGATGTGCCGTTGTAAGTCAAACTCCCACTTGACAGAAAGCATAAACATTGGCTGACAAGGCTGCAGCTATCATAACGGCCTGAGGACAATGATTATCATGGTCTCAGTGGGAATTTTCTTCGCAATACTACAAGTCATGATATATCGTAATCACAATGGCCGGGCGGCTCAAGATGAACGTAAGGCTACAGATGGCGAGGAGCCAATGATCTATACTCCGTGAATAGATCCCAATTCTGCAATCCTGAAGCCATAAGACACTTTCATTTGAAACACCCTCCAAAGATCCGAATTATTAGGAGAGTGGAACACCACTATGAAAAGTGACACGGGCCGCAATTCCCATGGCAATCGTGGCATATACTGTGGGAGACAAGAAAGGAATATAATTTTATGATCCATCAAACCCTAGTTTTGAAAACGGAAGTATGTCTTGTGTGAATATGTACAGGGGAACTTAATCTATACCCATTGGCCACTAACCTTTTAGGGCCACACGCAACATCTATAACCCTCCGACTACAAAGGCCTAAACTAAAGGCATTGCGAGTAGTAGTCATTCTGATACGTGCAGGTCGACCCGCTGACGCACGTCGTCGGACCGGTCCAGCCCTTTCCGCCACACTGTGCCCACCGCGCTGCAGCAGACGACGAAGCCGTCGTCGAGGTAGCCGGGGCTGCCGTGGTCTTCGTTGAAGTCGGAACGACCGAGGTGGCTAGGGTTGTCGAGGGCGTCGCAATCGTTGTGGCCGTGGCCGTGGCCACGCCAGTGGCGGCAGCGGCCAGTACGGACGAGACGGCTGTCCACGCGGGCTTCTTGCTGAAGTTCTCGTCGTACAGGAGGGCGGCCCCCTGACCAGGGAAGGTGCTGGGGATCCAGGAGTACTTGTCGGTGAAGTCCCAGATAGTGATGCCGATGCACTCGGCAACGGCCAGACAGGCCTTTGTGACGGTGCTGTAGTCGGTGGCCTGCTGCTGCAGCCCAGAGGCCGAGGCCGGCAGGCTGCTGAAGCGGATATCGAGCTCGGTGTACGAGACCTCGCTGACGCCAGCGTCGATATACGACTGCAGCACATTGGTCAGGTCGCTCTGGCTGGCGACGCTGCCCACGATGAAGTGGGCCTGCAGGCCGACACCGTCGATCCGGGCCCCGGCTTTCTGAATAATGTCGACAACCTCGAGGGCCCGGGTGTGCTTGGCGCCCGAGTACTCGATGTTGTAGTCGTTGTAATACAGTTTGGCAGCGGGGTCGGCTGCGGCCGCGGCCTTGAATGCAATCGGGATGAAGTCGGTGCCTAGGACGTTGTAGAAGACCGAAGTTCGGTATACGCCGCTATCGTCAATGGCCTCATTCACGACGTCCCATGAGTAGCATTGACCCTTGTAGTGGCCAACCTCGTTGGCGATGTGGGTTTGGATAATCGAGGTCAACTGGTCCTTGGTCCAGGAGCCAGAGCTTACTGGTATGTTTCTTAGTTTTACGGTCGAGGGGCAACACAGCACGGGAGTCTTGGGATATACGCACCCCATGAGGGCAACTGAGAGTGCCACACCAAGGTATGGCATCTGACGAGCTGGCCATTCGCCTTTGCGAGGTTTACGATCTGGTCGCCGGCGGTGTAAGAGAAGCTACCCTGGCTCGGCTCGGTGAACTGCCACTTCTGCCCATTCCCCGGCGTGATCTGGCCAAACTCTTTGGTGTCATTCAGAATGGCCAGGTAAGCCGCGTCCGAGAGCTCTCCGTTGTCGGTAGCCGAGCCGAAGAACTTCTTTCCGGCACCCACTGCGAGCTGGTGGAGGTTGGCCGACACACCTGGGATAGCCAGGACGGCGGCGGCAGCGGCGGAGAAACGCATTGTATAGGTAACAAAGGGGGCGCTATACAAAGGGGCAATCTTTCAGACTTTCCGAGCCGTACCTTTGAGGGACAGGAGGTCGGAGTGAAGTCATCGCGGACGGCCCCCCCTTTTATGCGAACTCCGTGGGCCATGCTCCCCCGAGGCCATCGCAGTCTAGCTTTGATCTGTCCATGATCACACATGGCTGCCGGCATCCCTACCGCAAATCCGATCAAGCTTAGGCCCACTAAAGATCAGACGACAAGGTTAGATGACGCCGTTTTGGGAAGCCGCCATCCCAAGAAACCTGGTATCCCCATTGCAAAAGGCCGCGGTGGCTCGTACCTATGTGAGCGTAAGAGTCAATCATGAGCTTTCTCCTGGTGGGGCGACGCGGCCCCTGGGGGCGCGCCTCGTCATTTTGTTCCTCGTCGATGCGGGGATGGGACCACGGTTGCGCTGAAACGGAACCGGGAAACCAGGTACCATGGGAGTCGTGCAGCTGCAGCGGACATGAGGGTTCGCAATAGGAGCCGCCGGCCGCAACCAAGCTCTTGGATTCCTCTGGGTTGGTAGTCACAACTTGGCAAGGGTGCGATTTTGGCTATTTAGCCTGAGTGCGAAGCGAGATTTCCACCAACCGACGTGGAGGCCTTCTGCAAGCGGGCTTGGGAGATGCGGCAGACGATCTTCCGGCGCTACCGTCTCGGCCGTCGGCGCGGGTTCCTAAACCTGGTTGCGGCCGGAATGGAAGGGAACCCGCTCCAGCTCTACCTGATAGCTGTGTATTAAACTTTACATGTACTTAAACAAACACATCACAAGCACGGAAAGATTATAGCTATTGCTTCTTCTCTGCTTACGCGGCCCACGTTAGTGGATGGGCTAGCTGCTCAGCAAGGTCTATACTGGCCCATGCCAGATGTCCTGGCTCTTCTCAGCCAAGCAACCGCAGAGCAAACTGCATCGTACAAGACCCGTCTTCCGCGTTTCCGGGCTTTTCAAATACACAGGGGTAATTGGGTTCAAGCTAGGACATAGCAAAGGGTATTATTGTCTAGCAACTGCCTTCTAGTACGTGTTCTCGGTATTGATACTCCCATGTCTTCGACCCAGAACCAAACACCGGCGTAAGGAATCCTCGTCATCAACCGAAGCTCAAGAGGTCATTCAGCCTCACGCTTGGGTTGGTACCCCTGATCCTGGTCCCAGTTATGCTCCCCAATTTCCCCAATTCACATGCATGCTGCCGCTATCCAAGCAATGGTATCATCCCGTTCCGAACATCCAAGAACAAGAAGCATGAACCAGTGAATCAAAAACGCCGATTTTAGCAACATGTGCAAACCATCCTCCAAGATGTGGAACCGAGACAGCCAGGCGTCTAGCCTCGTCTCGCATTCAAAGCCCCGGCCATGTTGAGATTCATTGGTACTGCAGGCCTGGATATGTCCAGGCTTCGGCTCGGTACCGATCTCCCACCTGGGGTCCTAGGATTGGCTATGTTTACTCGCCCTCTCTCCATAATTCTGCTTGGGCGGTCAAAATCCTCGTCGCCACTATCGCTATCGCCATCATCGTAATCTGCAAGGCGAGCGAAGTAATCCGCTAGTCCATCCACACTAGGGGTGCCGACAACATGGTCGTACTGAGGAGGTGGTGTAGGAAGAGGTGGCGGCGCCTCGTCAGCATCAAAGGCCGGTGGGTTAAACGAAGGGTACCGCAAAAGATGAATCGGGCGTTGCACAGATTGGGTACCGCCCGCTTGCGCCTGGCTACCAATGTGGGCTGTTGGGGGCGGCGGAAGAGACGATGTGTCAATGTCTATCGGTGTAGGCTCAACAGACGGAATGGTGCCCGTGCTAGAGGCCGGCGATGGGTTCGTGGCCACAATGTTAGCATCCGGGCAGCCACACGTAGCTTGCTGTCGATACATGGGCTGCTCAGCGCCGGTATACTCTGGCAAGCTTGTGTTGGCCTGTGTCGCCCGGCAATTCAGCACCGTGAATGGAGAGTCGATGCTGATCTCAAAATGCCGCCTGCGCTTCCCAGCTGGATCTTCTGGGTCAAGTCGGGATATCCTCATCACGATCTAGACAATGTTAGCGAGCTTAAGACGTCTGAGCAGAAGGGTCCGGGCTTACCTTGATCCAGTGGTAGACGTTAACGTTTCTCCAGCTACAATCGGGGTTGAGGCGCAGGCTCTTGTCTTTAGCCATTTGCTCGCACGTTGGGATTTGAACGTTCATTTCGATCTCTGTTGCTCCCCAGTACGACTCCAGACCCAGGTCCAAGTCACCTAGAAGATTATCTGCCGGGTCTGGCAGCGGCTGCGGTGCTGTGTGTGTTCTGGTGGCCTCGACACTCCTGCGTCGAGCTGCAGCCAAGCGGGCCTCGTGTCTCTCGTCCGGTGAAAGCTCACCGCCACTCAAGATTTCGATCTGGGAGTTCTCAAACTGCTTGTCCAGAGGCTTTCCCGCCGACTTCTCCAAGAGTAATATCTTCCTCCCGGGGTCTTTGCGAGTCACGCGCCTGTCATTTGTCCAGTACTCGATAGATTCGGTGACAAACACTTTGAGCTTGTGTACTTGGACTTTGGCCAGAGGCGTGAGTTTGAAGGCGATCGGAATCTTGGTTCCTATAGGAAACGATTTTCCAGAAATCATAATATCATAATGAAGCTGGTCTTCCCATTGCCTGCTGATAGAGATGGGCTCGGTCATCTCCAAGGACAATTGGTCCGGTACGCGAACGATAGAGACCTCCTTTGTTCCATGTAGATTCGGCTTGAAGGCACCTGCGCGCTCCACGATCGTCTCAAGCTCCCACTTGACCGACCCAAATTGCAGCTTTGCGGTCTCCAACTGGTGATGATCGATAGGAAGTTCGAATGTGTACTCATAAGTACCTGGGTAAAAGACCTTGTAACCTTTAAGCTGAACGGAGCTGCCACTAGGGGAATCCCCTTTCCCAAAACTGCGGGCTTGTGTAGATTGTAGCGATAGTCTTTTGTATTCCTTCGCGGTGAGATTTCCATTCTGCCGCCTCGTTCCCAGGGAGAGCTGAGATTGTGACGGGATCGAGAGATTTATGTTAGAAGCGCTCTCTTGGCTGCCTCGTATCGAGTAGGTGCACTGGTTTCCGTATTCAGTCTCCCAGGTCTCGTGCATGGCGTGAAAGAAGGTTAGGACCTGAGTTCTGAGCGACTCCTCTTCATACTGCTCAACCTTGAGGGGAGGAATGCCCTCGGGCCATTCCGTCCTGGCTTTGCCGGAGAGCTTCAAGGTCACGGACTTCAATTTGACGTTCTTGGTCACGTCCAGCTGCAGCCTGCCCCTCAGCAATGCAGTCGAGTTCGCAGCCTCGTGACGTGGGTGGCCATCATGCTCGAATCCTGTGAGAAAGATGTTGGGCTCTGCCAGAATGATGGAGCACGAAACACCGGAGCCGGAAGCGACCGGTTTGGGAACCTCCGTCACGGAGCTCATAATGTTCTTCGCTGATCGTATCGCCATGAAGCTATTCCTCTGGGCATTCTGAAGACCGCCTGTTCCCAACAAAGAAGCTCGTCGGGTGTCTACCATGGTGGATGTGGGCAGCGGAGATGCCCCGTGGGAGGGAATAGTAATCATAGACGGGGGCCTAGAGGCGTCTCGCCAACTAGAAGTGCTAGGTCGAGCAGAACTAGGGACGCCAGTCAACTGTGGAACTTCTTTGGGAGTGTTGTTCGTGAGGTGTGACTTCAGAGGCGAGAGGACCTTCTCGAACACACGCCGCGATGAGCTCGATGTATTCGGTCTCTTCTCTCTGGATTCGTCGCCGCCGTTGGGTTTGCGATTGTTCGCTTTCGCCTGTTTTTTGGACTTGGCCGGGTTTGCAGGTCTGAGGTCGTGAGGTATATATCCTGGGGGGTATGAGACAATATGGATAGATTGCGGTCTTCGCGTGCGAGCCCGAAAGCGCGGCGTCGGAAAGTTCGGAGACCTGCGGCCTGGCTCCCTCGGTCTCGGCCTGTAGTATATGTGGCCGGCAAGTGGGTACGAATAGGTGTCTATCCGCTGGAAGGTGTCTGAGTCTGTCATGTTGGCGATGTCAGGATCACAAGTTGGACATGTCCGGTATTAGAAGTAGAAAAAGACAATCAAGCACTCTCCCGCAAAGCAGGGCAGCGCAACTCAACGCAACACGGGCACGGGGACTAGCAACGCTTGGAGGGAGCGACGGAGGGCAGTACGATATACTGCCGGCGAGCGAGTGTAAAGCAGGACAATGCCGCTGGGCGAGAGACCGTGGTCCTGGTGTTTATGCGACGATCCCAATCATAGACCCAATAAGGCCCTATGCGTTGGCAAGCGTGGAGAACGAGTGTATAGTGGTGTAGGGATATCCAGACATAGGTTGGGCAACAATGTCAAGACGCCAAGAAAGGAAACAAACAACCAGGCAGGCCGGGCCAGAAAGGCTGAGTGAATGAAGGGGCCGTGATTACGCAGAACTTCTAAGAAGGGGCGAGGGAAGAGAGGCAAAGGGGAACGCTCGGGGGGAAGGGGAGGACTTCAAGGGAATGGGAGCTGGAAACGTACAGCACAGAGACTCATAACAAGGTCATTATTGACTGACGGTTGGAAGCAGCGAAACACAAAAGCGTCCACGACAGTTTGCGATAAAGCAACGCAAAGCCTGTTTGTTAGAGGGAAGCACCCGGTTGGAAAGGCGTGTCTCAAATTTGCTGCCCCGCGCCGGTTCCTGTTTGCGGCCAACGCAAAGACGCCGGGTTGGTCGATGCAGCGGGCTTGAGTTCCTGGGCTCGAAATGAAGAGCGCAGCGAGGTTTCGGGCTGTGGAGCGGCGCAGATGATGAAGGGATGATTGAAGGGTGAACGGCGACGGCGCGGATATCGTGTGGTGATGTGAGGACTGAGCCTTTCTGCGGTGCTGACTATGACTGGCAGCCCCCCCAGCACAGCTCGTCTCTAATGGGCAGCGGGTAGGCTGCAGATGATCTACCTATGATGTAGTCCTCTCCAACGACGCATCTTGCTTGGCCTTTCTTCACCGCGACAGGACTAGCGAGTTCCCCAGTTTGCGGCGTAGCCCCTCACTATCGCGGCACCATCGGCACTCATTTCACAACGGGAGCAGACCAAGAACAATTCTCGAAGCACTAGCCTCGCCTTCTCCGGACGGTAGTCTCTAACGTCTACGTTACGTGTAGGCAGTCCTGGACTGCGACGAGTGCTTCACCTCGTCCTCAAGCGAGGAGCGCCCATCGTGTAGAGCGCTCAGCCCCTCGCAGCGCAGGGCGTGCTGATTTCACGGCCGCCCTGGGATGCGCTAAGTTTACTTCCTCTAACTCGTAGGGGTGGTGTCTCGGGGCCGCGAACGGATGCCTCGTCGCACGCAGTTCGTGATAACTTGCCTCAAAGGGCTCGCCCATTTGACGGACCCAACCCAAACAGGGAGTGCAGGAATCATCGGATGCACGACACCGTGCCCCTGGTGCCAATCACGAAGCTCGTCCTCTCCCCACCGGTGCAGGAAGTTGGAGACTTTTCCACTTGTGTACATAGAAACTAGCTCGCAGGCGGGTAGCGTGCTGCACCAAGACGTCGGTCCGCCAGGAACACTTGCAAACCTGATGAAATTGGCCGTCATGCTTCAATGCTCACGACTCCCAATGATGCTGCGGCCGCTGGGGGCATTGCCGAAGGGCGCTGGGACTAATCCCGGGCAAGGAGAAAGGGGCATTGGTACACATCCATGGATGAAGCGTAAAGGCATCCATGACAGCACTGCCAAATTGGGGAGCCGGGTGCCTGAATTCGGGTGTTCAATTGCCAATAACTGCAGACTGCCAAGTCAGGATACCCTGCACAGCAGTCGGACACGTCAACGCCTGGCGAGCAAGGATACAATCGCGATGCACAAGGTGCAAATCATGCGGTGAGCAATCTGAGATAATAACCCAGCTTTTGGCTCTCTTCTCGTTTCTTTTCTCTGCGGCCATGCAAGGGTTGGAAGATACCCCGATACTTGGTTCCCGAAATGACAATGCCTTGGCTGGGCAGTCTGGGCTGTTGCGCGGCCACTGACGACGTCAGGACTGAGTTCAGTCAGCAGTAGCAGTAGCAGCAGCAGTAGCAGCAGCAACAACAGACGGCTCTCGGCCACAGACAGACCTGGCGGTGAAACTCTGCGGGGGGCGGACCAAAGTCTAAACAGCTGCAATTTGAGATCTGCAATCCGGAGGTACGGGTGCGCCGTTTTCGCAATCGCAGACACCTTACTCATCAATTGGCTGTTACCGGATGTCGAATGGACTGAGGCGCGCCCCTCGTCAGTTTGGGCCTGGACCAGGTTCACGTGTGCCCGAATGGCCATTGGGGATACTGGACTAGGGCGCTTCCTCCAGCCCACTCCAAGGTAGAGAAAAGCGACTACGTCATAAGGGTCTCTGCTCTAAGGCTGAGAGACCCACGACTGCTGACGTGCATCCAACTGACTGGCAGAGAATATGAGGATTGGTTTCGAGCTTCATTTGACCAGGACGGTTTGCGCCTAGTTCATCGTCGAGAAAGGGGGCAGAAAAAAAGTTTGATGAAGGAAAATGTCAGTTCCAAGGAAGTTCAGCCGCATGAACAGAAGCGTTACCCGCCAATGACATGGAGGAACAACTGTACCATGGTTGGAAACCTTGATTCCAAAGCTGCCTCTGCCAAGCTTTTTGATGTTCCCCCAGGTCCCCCTCGTACATAGTAGAATTCCAATTGACTGGCCCGTCCCCGACACCAAATGCCCGAAAGCTATGCACCTAGGCAGGGCCATGTGTGAGACATTCCCGCCAGGGCCTGGGCCTTCCACTGATCGACACAAAAATTTTCGAGCCTACTGCCCACTGCCGTGATTGGGCACGTGTTTTGGAGCTGCAACGATGATCAGTGTTTGGACCTGATGTGTCGTCAACAAACCCCAGCTCCCCGGCTCCCCCAGATGCCCAGCAAGCCCACCTATCTGCTGTATGTACCTCAAATTCTCAACCGCAACCTCCGCACATTGATACATGAGTCAGTGACCCAAGTCGATCAGCTGGGCTCGCCCGATGAAATCCCGATCTCATCGCAAACTATGTCAAATATTCTTACAGTACCTAGGTAGGTAGGTATGCATTCAAGCCATTATCATGACGATCGATCACGCCGTCGTGACAGCAGATCGGTCTTGCCGTGACGTGAGTTGCATATGCACGGCATCTATGGGGACCGAGGACTAGCTCCGCCAGGCACGGAACGGGCGGGAGTCAAAGCGTTTCCGGCTGCGACGGGATTTCCGGATCGCCATAGAGGCCAAGGAGGTCAGAGGCTGGTTCCGCGAATGCTCTTGACCTGTTGTGAATTGTTTTACAGTACATCCCTTCAGCACGTCGTCTCAATTATCAGCTCAAGTGCCGTCCAAGATTATGCAGCATCTCGGCACCTGATCGCTGTGCTGTTCCGGAATGCCCCTATGCCACATGCACAGATGATGGAATCCCATGTGTCGGTGCGCGATTATAGTATACTTGATCGGAAAGAAACACTGATTACCATTGGACAAACAATGTCCTCCTCAGAGTTCAGTAAGCATGTATTCGATATTCTCTGTTATTCACTCTAAGGCATACATTCCCGGTGTTGTGATCCTCTACCAAGGCTGCTTCTTATGTGTTTATTCCACTTACATGCCTCTGAAGATGAGAATGGAGTGCACCACAATTCAATTGAGCCAAGCGCTAGGCTCCGTGTTCCATTTCACACATAGGGCAGGGCAAGGTCTCCCCAGCATCGGCTATGCATTCTCTGTCTTTATGATCAGGACGCCAGATCCAAAGGAACAAAACTTCAGTAAATTTAGCGGAATATTGTCGTCTAACATACTCGCTTGGAGGAATATAATATCCAGCGATGCTTGTGTCTTTGCAGACTAAGTCGTCTAACCACCCCTCGCCCAATGTCTTTGCAGACGGTATCTTCTGGCTCCCTCTTGCCTTGTGTCTTTGCAAACATTCCTAATTCCCATCTAATATCATGTCGAATATAATGTCCCAAACATTGTAATACAAAATAATGTTGATACAAGAGATAAGTGGCCGCCCCGGGCGTGAAATCCCCTCCGAGCCGGAGCCCATTGTATCCGTATGTGACGGCATCAGTGCATTAGATACCGACTCGAGATGACAAGTCCATTGTAGGTTTTGAACTTAGGCATCGGCGATGACGGCGTGGGCTTCACATGAGGCGCACTCAGGCTCGCCGCGAGACTGTTTGTGATGGTCAGTATACTGTCGGGAACGCTGCTGGAAGCCAAAGGTATTCACCTCATAGTTCTGGGGAGCAGCCAATGCCACGGAGAACATGGCAGCGACGATAAGCACGACCTTGGAGAAGTACATGGTGAAGATGGTGGTGTTGGAAGTTGGAAGGTGGTTGGCTAAGGGTTTCTTGGGTAGTATGTTATGTGAGCTGTATAGCGGAAGCTTAGAGCAAAGGATGATAGTTGATGCTGTGATGATGAGGATGAGAGTTGTTCCTTTCAGAGGCAGTGAGGCTCTTATATACACACTGCTTCGCCTCGAATCCGCAGGTGTTGAGTCAACTCAGGTCGACCGAGACCATCGTACTCAGCAGGAGCATCGCCTGGCTCTCGTACAGTCATCCTCCTGAATGCATGCACACCGAGTTCAAGCCACGGGGGACCCCCTGCAGAGCCATGGTGAAGAATGTGCCTATTCCCACGTGTTCGGCCCGTGCTAAAGAAACAGGCAGGGCCAATGGCAGCCTTAGGGTCAGTACCCATCACATGGACAATACGATGCGCCGGCCAATGGTTCCGCAGAGCATGCCATAGGGCTGAGGACCCCTGCGCGGTCCTTACCCTTGGGATTTGAAGCCTGGCCCCCACCGAATCCATTGAGCCACGATATAAGGGGCCGTTCAGCCAATTGAGCCAATCAGACGGCAGAGGGGCGGCGTCACATGGCTGCGCCTTACGCCCTAGTGATCTGGAAGAATCTACGCAGTCACTGCCTACGCTCGAATAAAGTGCCTGCAATTGGATGGAAATACTATTGCCTGACTACACTGCCTGGCTGTGCCGTTCGGTCTGATTTCACTAGAGTTTTTAGGTGGGCTTTTCTTCGTGGCCTGGACATCTCGCCAAAGGCGTTATCGCTTTCTATCAAAAGATCTTACATAAGACTATTTCGGTAAGACGTCCAGCCCACCCACCCCATCCAGGCAGCCAAGGCAGTGATTTCCTGACTCATGCCGAATGGCCATGAGATTGTCTACCATCGTGAAACTGAATTCCATGCCAACCGGTCAAAAGTTACCAAGCCACAGCCGAGAAGGATGCGATGCGCGGAACGAGTTAATGTGTTGGGGCTACTGGGGGTTTCGCATCACAGTAACACAGCGCAGCCCGTCACAAGCTGTGACAGGAGGAATGGCCCCGGTCCGAAGGTTTGACTTCATCATTGCTACCGGGCCGGCCCTGGCTCTATTCGTGAATGTACCCAAAGAATATATCTCCATTTCCTGTACCCAGCACACGCATTGATCCATAGGAATGGTGGACTGGTCGAGACCATGGAGGCTGAAACTCGACGTATTCGTAGCCATTGGTGCTCGGCGGTTATCTCAAATCTTCATCTTCGCTCTTCTCAGGGACCGTTCTGGGCCGCCCAATCAGCCCATTTCTGTTGGTGATATACCGTTTTGAAATCAAAAGATCAGCTCTATGCAGGATACTATCATATCATGTGGCGCACTGATTTCCCTGTAACATGTGCCAGAAGGATTTCAATCACAGTTTCCATATCATATAGGAGAATCCTTCACAATGAGAAAAGCCGGAAAACCAGGGGCGAACCTCGACCTTAACACTCCTTCCCCGTGGGGCCGTCCAGTCGGCTCGCATCGGCATCAGGGGCATGGGAACACACCGGTGGGATTTGAGGTCCTGCGAGTGGAAGCATGAGAAGAGATCACTTGAAACTGTGTCACACCGGTTGACAGTCTTGTCTGTTCAACACGGATGCATGAGGCCTTGTCACTTCTACTTGCAACACGTTGGAACGGGTTTGAACAGATCGACGTGGCCACGTCAGTTGCATGAAAGTTTGAGAACTTCAAATTGCATGATTTCGGTGGTTTACCTAAACTGGCGATTGTTGGTTACATTATGCTCGAAGGTCAAAAGGCAGGAGCAGAGTTTTCTTTAGCGAAGTTCCGGAAAGGCAACAACGAGGTTTGTTGCGCCATGCTCCTGCATAAGATCAACAGTTGGTGTCAGAGACACAGAGGCGTACGACGTTGGACTTCACAATGGACATATGATTCTGATCTTTTGAGACTGTTTGAGTCGAGGAAAATTCTTAACATGCTAGGCAACAATAACTGGTGTACAATAGTTGGACCGACCTAGGCACAACTTTGTGTTGGCACACCAGTTTTGACACTGACAGATCTTCATCCTGCGAGAAAAGCTCCATTCACTGGCCGTAAAGTTGTGTGGGTATCCTCGGCTACCCGCAGGGGCCGCCGGGCTTTCGTTTTCTTCTGTTGCGGCACTACGTTTGCCATCAGCGGGAGAAAATTTCTGGCAGGCGATGAGTCGATCAGGCCATTATTGTTGGCATAGTGATCCACATAGATGCCCGCCAATATCTCCGAAAATTTCCTTCTTCATTTGTTGGGGAATAGCTGTGGTGTCGTGTTTGTTAGCCTTGTGTTTGTTCAACACGTTTGGATCTGCTGCCCTCGGCTAGATTGTGGCGGGCCCCCAGAAATCCCCATTTGAATTTTTTTCAATCGATTAAGAAACTCGTGAGAGGTGATTGCCGTGTTAGTCGAGACCGATCGTGTGTAGCGTAAACTGTCAGGTCACGCAAGCCGCCGAGAAGGCCGGAGAAATCCAGCGAATGGTATAGTAATATGAGACCCTAATCTGTAGCATACCGCAAAGATCACCTTCTCTCTAGTTTCACGGCATTCAAGCGGTAGATCGGCTCCGCTCCGCGGTGCCCTTCCACATGGTTGTTGAGGGTGGTGGCATGTTTGCACGATCGGGCCCCAGTAGCATGGTTGAGATCGTTTGCGCGAAACCATCGGACGAGACCGAGACTCTGGCCATCAAGATCCAGGGCCATTGAGTGGACAGAGGCATCTCATCTTTTCTCGAAACGACTTCGCCGAAGGCAGGTTTGCGAGCCCCACGTTTCGTCGCAATTGAGGTTGGCGCTTGAGTGCATTGATGTTTGCTCAACTTGGAGCTTGCCGCAGAGGGGTGGACAAACGTTCAGGACCTCTGCGTCAACAATACTTAGCATATGATAAGGAGGTAAAGGGCGGTAGAGCAGGCATGGGTTTGGCCATCATGCTATTGCAATGGCCATCTAATACGCTGGGTATATAAGCCATCCCCTCTTCGCCAGTCAATGGAGTTCTGTAACATCAATATCATCAAGCTCAGTCTCAAAGAAGAGTCCTTCAAAATGACTACCTCCATCGATGCCCATACTCGCCAATTCTCCCACATCAATGGATCAACTGCTGACCTACTAGAGAGGTTCGCAGTATCTGAGCTTTGTAGAGGATGGCCTGTTTACCGGGATTCTTCAGAATGGAAGAACTATCGCAACCTATTTACCAAAGAGGCCACGGTCTGGACAAGTACATCCTCCCAGCGCCTCGTTGCAAATTTACCTTGGGACATGTCCATGCTGACATCTTCCATAACAGCCTGGAGCAAGGGGCGAACGATTGATGATTTCATCTCCATCTCCAAGAAAGGAAAAGACAAAGGAGACTTCATCATGCACCGAGAATGCGGCACGCTTGTTGATTACGCTGCCGAGCACAGACGTGCCATTGGCAAGATGAAGGCTACTATCACCCAGCGCTTCAAAACGCAAGCTGCTCAAGCGACGCCAGAGTGTCCCGTCGGGGCAGAGTATGATGTAGACTGCGACTGCCGTTTCATCTTCTTCTGCTTCAAGGATCCTGACGCTGGCGGCGACTGGAAGGCTAAGTACGTCAAGCTGTTCTATGAGAAGGACAAGATTGTGCCTGTGGATGGAAACAGAGCCCCTGTTTTCTCGAAAGAACTCTTAGAATCATTTCCCGAGGGCTACCAGCATCTTGCAGCGGCTCAGAGCAGCTTGGGATATCCGGTCACGAGGGATCTGCCCACCGCCCAAAACCACGAGTCTTGGTTTCAGATGTATGGGAAAAGTAAGCTTATTTTATTTCTTGAATCCCATCTCTTTGTTGTATAGAAAACCGTATAACACCTCCGCTTTCGATGAGTTTGCCTGCGCTTAGCACCAATAAGTTATGACGCGGAAGCTTACACCCCGTCCTAGTGGAGCAATGGTTGGCGGGCGAGGACGTCAATTTATGGTGCGACGATGAACGCGCACCTAGAGCCAAGAAGGTGCATCAGACAAAATTTGGTTCGGTAAAGCAGGGCTGTCAGAGCTTTGGCAGTCCGGACGAGGAATGCCGCTTCGTGAAGTGGATGGAGCAGGCAACACTGATTTCAGGGGCTTCTGCTCACCGAGAGTGCATTGCTCAACAGGGTTGAACCAGGAGTACATAATGAAGATTGGGAAAAGTATCTTCTAGGAACCGTTTCCCATTCACTCAAATTTAAATCAGCTTTACCAGCAATCTTCGGTACTGTAGCTTGCACACCGCGCAATGGCCTTTGTCCTGAAACACAAGTCCTGCCAAGTACCCCGCCGCGCCACCGTGCTCAAGCAGGTGCGCGAGGAACTATCCCCCTATACGGCGAAACCACTCTGGAATGTTTATCGAGAACAGCATACTAGATAGTCATTATAGTCTGCCGGGGATCCTGTCGCTGTGGCAGGTGGAACCAGTTCGTTGGGGTAGGCGACAACCAAGGAAAATGTGTGGCGCAGAGACAAAACTCGATCAACGCATTACTTCGGCCTGGTATAGCTATGGCACGAGCTGTTCAGCTTGTAAGAAGCCCAACTCGTATCTCATTGAGTGGCTGGTATAGGAAAACGAGTGCATAGCCACCGCGAACAGTCAATTTATACTAGGCACTCTTACACGGGCAAGAAATTGTTGGCAGAGAATGCCGCGCGAGCATGTATAACACAGCTCCAATCCACCGTTGAGCTGGTGGACTTATTCAGGCCCACTCATTGCTACCCCCATACTGTACATGCAAACCAAGCCCAAGGTGACGGTAACATCTACCCACTAAATCACGAAACAAACACAGTAGTGTCAAGGCTGTACATTCCTTATGTTCAACACCACGCTTAGCGCTGCGGCATTTATTGAGTTGCATAAAGCGGTTTGTTCCTCCGTAGGACCTTGGTGAAAAGCGGCACCGTCGCTTGAAGTATTATGAGATTCAGTTGCATCTCAAAAAGGCTGGTGCAGATCTGATGGTTGTTGCTAAGAATGGCGCCACCAGCTTGGTGGCGCGAACGGGCCAGGCGGCACCCTAGCTGCCGCATACTCAATCGCAAACCAGGCAATTAAACCAGCAACGCTCACCACATAGGTTGGTGCTCCGTGTCCGTCTGGCAGCAATTAGCTGGCAGGACAGACCTGCTCCTCTGCGAATAAGCTTAATATTAGTGCCGGAACGCCTATCTGATGAAGGCAACTGGATTTGGCAACCCCCAGAGAAATGCAGATCGGATGTCCATCCTGCAGGGACTCAATCTAGAACGTGGCTGCATTAGGAAGCTGGGGTTAACCTTTAGAGCCCGCCAAGTCATGCACCTCCCTCCACCAGGATGTATGCCGCCCCGTTGCTACCCCCGGGCAAGGTTTGCAGCGGGGGAAGTTTGCTTGCACATCGCCATCTGTCGCCTCTTCCCTCGACGCGATCTGCCAATGATCCCCTGCCGAGCCCTGTCACGACTGGTGCCGTGCTGAGATGGGCAAATCAGCACCGGCGCCTGGCCGTCCGGTCGGTTCTCCAGCACGACCTCGCAGCACCGCGCACGTGTAGCCCTTGGCCGCCTCCCTCCCGCATTATCTTGCGAAGACGGTTGGGCAGAGTAACTACGTGCCTGCCGTTCTAGGCAATGACTAGATCTCTTGAGTAGCACTCGGCCACTGGCAGCCGGTACTCGCAAACTGGGAGACCCCTCGCAAACAGGTCGCTCAGCGTGCCGATCTCTAGTATTTTAATCCCCCTGCTCGCCGTACCGTCTGCTTCTTGTGTCCTCGTTTCGTCCCTTGGCACCAGGCTCTGTTGCACCGTCTCTAGTATAGCTTTATCCTGCATTGGATTGGTTAGCAAGAATGAAGTACCTCAACATCGCTCTCTCAGCGGCGTCGCTGGCCTCTGCTGTCGTCCTCCCCGAGGCGGACGCCGGCAAGGTCAACTACGACGGTTACAAGCTGGTCCATGTGGAAACCTCCGATGACGGAAGGTCATCCATTTTCAGCACCGCTTCAACCCTTGCCGATACCATCACCCTCCAAGGCTGCGACCATGGCGAGCACGTGGACTTTGCTGTTCCTGCACACGAGTTTGACGCTTTCAACGCCCTTGGCTTGAACGCAACCGTGGTTGAGGAGGATCTTGGCGCCGCCATCGCCGCTGAAGGCCCCCTCGTGCCATTTGAAGGTCCGTAATCGCATTCAGAACCGACTTATAAGTGATATTAGTACTAACCATTTTCCAGCCCCCGAAGCTGCTGCCCTACCTTCGGCTACGTGGTTCAACGCCTACCACTCTTACGCGGACCACTTGTCTTTCTTGAAGAGCGTGCAGGCTGCCTTCCCGTCAAACTCGGAGATCTTCACCGTTGGCCAGACTTATGAGAAGCGAGACATCACGGGTATCCACCTCTGGGGATCAGGTGGCAAGGACTCAAAGCCCGTTGTCTACTACCATGCCACGGTCCACGCTCGCGAGTGGATTGCCACCATGGTTGCGGAGTACCTCCTCTACCAGCTGGTGTCTGGCTACAGCAATGGCACCACCAGCACCTTCCTCGACAACTTTGACTTCTACATCATCCCCGTTGTGAACCCGGACGGATTTGTCTACAGCCAGCAGAGCACCCGTCTTTGGCGCAAGAACCGACAGGTCCGCTCTGGTATTTCAGCAGTGGGCACTGACATCAACCGCAACTGGCCCAACCATTGGGACACTCCCGGTGGCGCATCGACGACCCCTTCTGCTGAGGACTACAAGGGTGAAGCCGCATGCGACACTCCCGAGTGCAAGGTTCTCACCACATTCTCTAACAAGATTGCGGCAAAGAACGGCATTCGCTGGTACATCGATTTCCACAGCTATGCTAAGGTCAGTACTACTCCAATGTGCTATAATAACTGTACCTCGTTGAGTGCTTTCGACTGACCTGGTATTCAAAGGACATTCTCCTGCCGTATGGCTACAGTTGTAGTGCGCGGGTTGCGAACCTTGCAGCACAGCAGAGTTTGGCGAACAGCATGAAGACGACCATTGCCCAGGCCTACGGCACGCAATTCACTGCCGGCCCCATCTGCAGTACGATCTACCAGGTATGTATTTGCCTTAACGCCCTCTCCCTCTCGGGCTTAGCACTTTCATGAAGGACATCCTACTAACTACTGGCAGGCGACTGGAGGATCGACGGACTACTTGACAGACACTACGAAAGTCACTTACGCTTGGGCTATCGAGCTCCGTGGCACGTCTTTCGTCCTGCCCGCGGACCAGATTGTGCCCAGTGGCATTGAGATCTGGAACGGCGTGAAGGCAATCCTCCCCAAGCTGGTGTAAACTGGCAAGCGATGTGTTAAGCGAGCTGGTTCCACCTTCTCGTGGTTCTATGAGAAAACGCCGAGAGACAAAATACTGTAAATAGTCTGCGTGACGTGTAAATGATTGTTGCGCTTCGCGTCTAAGTAAATAGGACTTCAATCAAATTGATGCTCAAACTACTCCATGACGCAAGAGGATCCACCTGCCAGTATCATATTTACGACCCCAGTGAATCTTAATAGACGGTAGTCAGCAAGGGTTAGATGCCGTCCGATGGGGTTACGGGTTACTACCGGAAGAACGTTGCACAGGATATACCAAAGCGGCGTCGGGAAGCTGAGACTGTCAGTATGCTGGGGTTTTGCGGTCATCATCATAGTTACTAGGTACGAGTATTGCGACGTGATAATAGGAGAAGGCTGGGCCGAACGTATCTCAGGCTTCTTTCCTGAGTCTGTCGGCCTTGAGGCATGGCCTAGAGCCCTGTAGGGGCCGTAGGCGTACCCGGGTAGACACCATTCGGCAGGAGCCGAATGGCAACCCTTAAGTCAATAATGTGCATTTTATACCAGCTGGGAATCAGCGTCAATCCTAGCTGAAAATCTCCATGCCGCCCGATCAGTCAGTGGCTGCGTAACTTCGCAGAAGCTTTCGCATGACGGGCCATCCCATCACGAGAAATGGTACCAGGTTTCAGGGATGGTCTCCGCTAATTAGGGCTGGGATGAACGGAGATGGGAGGCCTGTGCCCCTGGCAACATGGGGGCTTCCGGCAAGGTCGCCGAAAGCTCTGGTCAAACGGTGTCCATCAGACGAGACGCATCCGGCTCGCCGCTTTCCCGTCGCAGCCTCACATTCAATAGAAGAAGATTCAGAAAACAACGCAGCAGAGAGAAAGGCGTCTTATGTAGGCATTGGACCACAGAGAGCCGCTGGCAAGGGATCGCGACCGGCCATGCGCGTCTGTAGCAGCGAAGGCCAAGTGCCGGGCGCTCTGGTCCAATCAACCCCACGCTCATCAAGATGAGCCGCAACATCCCACATCCCTACGCAGATCCTAGCGGCTGAGACACACCCCGTCTCACAGCCCCCGGGCGCTTCCACCACGAGGAGATGACCTCTCATAACTTCGTCTTGGCAGCCAGCTCCTCACTCAAAACGAAACAACCGCCTGGTGAACCTCAACGCTGATTTCGGACCCATGAAACCTCTGCGGGACCTTGCAAGAAGAGGCCAAGACAACTTCTCATTTCGCGGACCCAGGCCCCAAAGTCTGCACCCAGATTGCCTGCAGGCTCGGTAAGCGCTCAGGAGGCGGGTAAGCGCCTTGGCGAACGACCACGATGGTTTCTTCTGTTCCATATGTAACTACTCATTGGTCTCAAGTGAGGCCGTGTGCTCTTTCTCACGATTCTCGTCGTCTTCCGATTCTCTCGCGGTTTGCAATAGTCTTCATTCCTTCACTGCATTCGTTCGCTTCTCTCAATCACTATTTGCAAGCCCGTTGAGCGGGATCTTTCATTCTTTTACAGACTGTAAGGTGCTTCCGCCAGATACCGACTACGGCTTCCCATTCGTTCGCCATCTCTCCACGACCCATATTTCTTTCCGAGCACACGTCACGATGGTCAAGTCCGCGGTTGTCTTTGCGGCGTTCTCTACGCTTGCATCTGCTGGACCGGTATATCGACTGGTGGGCGAGTTGGATCAAGGCGCCTTTGAGCAGGCTCAGCAACGAGACGATACCGCTGTCCGAACCCTTTCCAACACGAACATTCAGGTATGAAGAGTGGGGCGGGTTATGTGTGTTAAAACTTCTGACAGTGGGACTATTAGACATCGGATGGCAGATGTCTCTTCGTTGACGAGCTTTCGGGCGACTCATCGGCAAACCTGACCCCAATCCAGGTCGCAGCTTGCGGAGCAACGGCGGGTCAAGGATGGGACGTGATCACGCAGGGTAAACACAACGACGTAGCGGGGTCTATCTTGATTGCGAGTACATTGGTTAGTAGTCTCTTTTCATGCCTTCTGACATCTTGACTGACTTGACCTCAGACTCAAGCTTGCTTGACCTTCGACCCTACGCAGGCAACTGGTAGCCAGGTGATGTTGTTCTCTTGTGGTGGCGTTGCAGACGGAAGTAAGTCTATTATGTCTGTCTAGGATGTGAGTTGAGACTAATCATAGACAAGGCGGCTCGGTTTCCCAGTCGCAGCTATTCGCTTCCGATGGGAGCGCTAGCTCCCTCTCACTTACCCCGGCCAACCAGGCTGGCTCTTGCTTCACGGTGAAAGGAAATGTGGTCGAGATCGCAGATTGCCAGACTGGAAATGCTGCTCAGACTTTCACCTTTGACGGCGTTGCTTCTGAGAGTGATGGCAAGAATGACAGTCCCGCCGCTTCCACTACCGCCGCGTCTCCCGCTTCCAAGACGCAAGCAACGGGCTCCGCAGCTGCAACCAATCCTGCTGCTACCAAGCAACTGATTACCGTCACCTGTGAGCCGATAACAGTCACGGAACGTATCACAGAAACCGTTACAGCATCAGGATCAGCCAAGGAAAATGCCCCAGTCTCGACGTCGTCCACCACAACTGTTTTCGTGACTGTGGCTCCGTCTTCGGCTCCCAAAGTTCCTTCAACCTCGTCAACTACAACGGTTTATGTGACGGTCACACCCTCATCAGCAGCGGATCCCGCCACAAGCGCCGCAGCTACTACCGCAGTTCCCTCATCCAAAGCTGGGGGAAACACTGCAACAATACCCCAAATCTCCATCAGTCCGAGCACGACTGTGGTGCTATGAGAGTAGCTTGGCGTGTCAGGCATCGAGAAAGTCTGATGTGCAACATACGGCATGGCACAATTTTGTTGCAGTGCTTCTTAATACTGTACATAATTACTTATATAGACTACTAGCACAAACATATCAGACGACCGTCCGGGAATACCCGTTCCATCCAAACCACATACGGTCATTCATAGGTGATGACACGTCTTCTATCTTCAATCCCAGTTACCTGGGCCAAGGTCTACAGGCCGACCATTTCTCACGTCATTCATGATTTGGTCAATACTCCATGACTCGTATCTGTAGCCCGGTGGGTAGTTCGGGGGGATGCTGGTGTCTTCCTGGAACACGATGCCCTGGTTCATGTTTTGAATGGCCTTGTCGTAGTTGTCATAGACGTATTGCTCTGGATCATGGCTCCACACCCAGCTGGGTAATTTGGGTTGCGCTCTTCGCGGGTCTAGCTTCACTTTGCTCCAGTCAGTGTCCTGCAGCAGTTCTGCATTGGAGAAGCCCAGTTTCTGAGCACACGAAACACGCGTGAACCGGAATCGGACATGAGCCCGAACGGACTGCGGGATGTTCTCCTTGCCCCCAAGTTGGAGGCAGGAGGCTATGGAGACCGCATCCTCGATCGCTTGGGTTGCACCATTACTGGATGCCGGGAGGAAAGAGTGGGCGGCGTCACCAATCTGGATCACACGGCCCCGGGGTGAAGACCACGACGGTTGGGGGTTCCGCCAGAAGAGCTCAAAGTTGATTATCGTCTTGGGCGGAGTGAGCTTGATCAGCTCTTTAAACATAGGTGCCCATGGCTTCGGGCCAACACCCTTGTCCATGTTGCGAAGCACCTCGTCGACTTCGATTGTGTTGTTCCAGTTTTCCTCCTCGGATCCGGTCACCTAGTTACTGAGTCAGCCTGGGCGCTCCCAGAGGAGTCATGGAAAAAACGCACATCATGGTTCATAATCCAAATCATCGTGTCCGGCCGAGACAAGGTCATCGCGTATGTTCCGGGGCTATGCTCTGTCAGCATGGTCGCGAAAATCAAGTACTATGCTTGCGAATCCACATACCCTAGCCACGTTCGAATGATCGGCTCGTCACCATTCTCACCTACTAGCTTGAAGAACTCCCTAACCTCGGGGTTACTATCCAGTAGGGTCCTCGGGAATGCTGCTCTCCACATCGCTCTTCCTGAGCTCATCGCTCTGACTTGCCCACCAACCAGCTTTTGGCTCTTAGATCCGACGCCTTAGTGCTCCCGTCAGCATTGGCATCTTCGAGGTATTAAAATAGGCGGTCAGCATGCACTCACCGTCAGCGGCGATGATCACGTCTGCTTCAAATCTCTCCCCTTCATCGGTGATCGCGAGCGCTTTACCAGCCTCTCCATCTTCTATGTAGTCAACCACGCGTTTGTTGTAGCCAATTTTGATCCCTAGTTTCTCAACCTGGCGGACAAACATCTTATACACCAGGGGGCGCATCTGAAAGGTTCCCGGTGGCGTGCTTGGGTCCAGTCCTTGCGCCTTTAAGCGATCAGAGACCTTCGCCGGGGGTATCATACGCTCTCCATCGTGCTTGAAGGTCTCGATCCACGCATTGTGCAGCGAGATGGCGTCGTATTCCTTTGACATGGCGGGCCAATGCTTGAAGAACCGGGTAGCACTGAGGCCCATGAAATACATGTCACCTGGCGAAAATAGTTAATCTACTGTCTTGAGTGTATCTTTCTCAACTCACCTGCTGTATTGATCGTCTCGTTGCGCTCGAGGACTTGCACATTGTGCCCCTTCCGGACGCACTCGATGGCTGCAGTCAAGCCAGCAAGTCCTGTACCGACGATGAGCACATCAATGCCACTAGGAGAGTATGACCCAACGGGCTTTGAGTCCGAGACTCCAATCGAGCCCATGGTGTTTGAGTTGAAATGGAAATTTGAAGAGTATTGCTGACGCGACAGTCGATGGACGTGGAGACGAATTGGTTCTCCGTGAAGCGTACTATTCGAACGATACTATATCTATCTGTTTCATAGATATATCAGAAGTGGAGCACAGTATCGTCAACGGCGTGCCCTTGCTAGCTCAAATCAGTTCATCTGAACTTGCTGACGCCACTACCGGATGACCCCCCACGCAAACAGTCTCCAACAAGGTCCTCTCGGTGCCGAAGGTTTGGCACCTCGCATTAGGTAGATCTCGCTGCCACGCGTCGGCAAACTACGTCGAAAAAGACCCGCCCCCATATTCCATATTCCTTTTTACTTCATCAATATGCAAGCCATCCGAGAGTGATTTTTAGGTGCAGCCATACATCAGATAAAGCGGAGCAAAACCTGCGATCTCATCAGACGCGACATCCGATAGGATCCCAGATCTCTCGTCAGATATCGATGGCTTGTCTGAACTTTGTTCCTTGGTGGAGACGCACCAGTCTCTCGGTGCGCGTTTGTTTCCATTTCCCCTGACCTAGGCCAACAGAGTTTATGACCCTCCACGTCTTTGGGGGCCGCGCGCTAAGCTCTGCCCGAACTCATGTTCAGATGACATGCTTAGTGTAACCAGGAGATCGGCGAAACACCTTCACATGGCTGAGGATTCGGATATTTGGTCAGTCTTCACGGAGTTACTGAATGGTATCACACCTCATCTTGCGTCATGATTCATCGATCCCTGGATCCCTGAGCCCCTGGACAGCTAATCTCACCTAGAAAGTGTACCTCAGTGGCTAACTACATGATTTGTATTTCTTGAGTTCGGGTTGTTACGTTCCAGTTGTGTTCGAAGATGTACCAGTCAATCGTTCTGTACAGGGACTTCTCTTGAGTTTGAGACAGTACCTTGAGTATCCCGTAGTGTCGAAGGGAGTTAGAGTAGGAAAATCCGCTCAACAACCGCCGAACAGACAAATGGACTATTCATGGGTATCCTCGATGTCATAATCTTCCATAAAAACAAATCTTCCGGGCCGAATTTCACTGCACAACTCATGATCGAAGAAGCTTTCTCATAATACGCATAGCACTCGGGCTTGGCAAGATGCGCTCGCCGCAAAAAGTGCATAGGAGGTCACGCAGACGGTCACGCAGATAGCTACACCTTGATGGGTCGGCTTATTCCGAACCACAGCACGGTTCAAGGTCGCCAGATTTGTTTCATGATGAGTTACTTCAGCTCTCGCATCAAAGCACGCGTAGAATGGCTGGGAAATGGCTACCCCGGTGGACCGACGATCAAGTTCAATGACGTTTTGCGACCTTCCCAGCTCTGACATGCGGTGCAGGCGTCCCCGATGGCTCACAGATGGAATCTTAGGATTACGGGGATTGCTTGCAATCCTTGTGCAATTGTTTGGATATTGTAGGCTTTAACCAATTTGTGAGTCCTCGCATTGGGGCATGTGAGGCTGGGAAGACCGCGCGTTACACCCCAATTGAGGTATCGCCCCCGGTTGTTCAAGAGGCCGAGCATGCTTCCCGTACTTGGGTCTTTCTGTGAGTGACATGCATGCTTCGTATACGATCATCATCACCTCAACCCTGCCACTGGGAGCCTGGTGGGGCTAACGTAGGCTCATAAAACCCAAGACTCCCAAATTAGATACAGTTTTTTTCAGACTCTTCTTGGCTGGATCGACCTCGGGTTGATTCTTACTAGCCAGCCAAATTCTTGTTATCCACAGGGCCTCCATGCAGTTGCTTACGCAATTGGTCTTGGGCGTTGCCTTGGTAGGCTTCGTTGTCCTCAAGACCATCCAGTCCTACAAGGCAAAGAACGACCCAAGACTTCCTCCGGGACCGAGACAACTTCCCTTCATCGGCCGCATACACGACCTACCCATCCAGTTTATGTGGTTGAAATTCAAGGAATGGGCCGATGTGTTCAGCGGCGACAATGGTTTCTACATGACGGATATGCTTGGCGCCAAGTTCTTGATCGTGTCAGACGAGACAGTGATCGAGGATCTATTGGTGAAAAAAGCCAAGTTCAACTCAGACAGACCAGTGATTAGGTCACTCTTCGACTCAAAGAGCACCCATGGCTCTATGGAGTACCTGCCTTTGATGGGCAAGAATAGTAAGCGATGATGCCTGTTTTGTGCACTACCTGGCAGCTGGATCGATGTCCCTTTTTGATTATTTTCTATATTCAAGATCTAATGGCTGCAACCTGCTGATTGTGACAGAGTACTGGGCACGCCAACGCAAGCTTCAGCACTCTTACCTGACAGAAGCGAGCAATGCTCATTACTATGGCATTATGTATCACGAGGCCAAGCGATGGCTCGCCAGGTTGATAGAAAACCCGGATGACTTTCAATTCTCCCTCGAGGATATGGCATCGAAGGTGATGTGCCAATTGACATGGGATGACCCAAGCCTGAGCGAAGAGTGCACACCGAGTGCCTGGGGTCTGTTGACCCAAATGTCTCCAGCCGGTCCTATTACGAATGTTTTCACGCCTCTGTGGCATCTCCCTTGGTTCTTAAACCCCTGGAAGCGGGCAGAGAGAAAGAGACACGACGAACAGCAGGCTTGGTGGATGGAGAACTTCCTAAAGGTTCGTAGGAAGATGGAAGCCGGCTACCAGAGGCCATGTTGGACTCGGCAGTACTTGGAAAAGGCAACGCTCAAGCCAAGTTTATCAGGAGACTATGAAGCATCATCAGCACTTGGAATGCTGGCGCTGGTTGGTATTTTCACCGTTGCAGGGCCCCTCTCCTACTTTCTTGTATCTATGGTTCACCATCCAGAGTGGCAGGCTGCAGTCCAGAAGGAAATCGACGAACAGTGCTTAGGAGACCTCCCGACCCTCGACCACATGCCAAAATTACCAATACTGCGCGCTTGCATCAAGGAGACGATGCGCTGGAAGCCTAACGTACCTACAGGTGGGTTGTCGAATTGCCTAGTTGTGCCATTTTCACTAACTATTTGCTAGGGGTCGCTCACGAGATGGAGGCCGATGACGTATACAAGGGTTTTTTCCTTCCAAAAGGGACGCGCATTCTCCCCCTTGACTGGTAAGCCCACGGCGTCTCAATTTGGCCGCAGAATCTCACCACGGGTTATAGGGCTTTCTTACGCGACCCGAAGAAGTATCCCGACCCAGAAAGGTTCCGTCCAGAACGCTGGCTTGAGCCAGGATGGCCGACATTTCAAGAGCCGTTGACACAGTATCCGACAATCAAAGGGATGTCCTCTTTCGGATGGGGACAGAGACAATGCTTGGGGATGACCTTGACTCAGGACGAATTACTTGTGGCTTGTGGCGCTCTGGCCTGGTGCTTCAATCTAAAACCGAAAGTTGATCCCAACACTGGCCAAGAGCTACGAGTCCCGACGGATAAGTCAAACTCCCTCCTTATCATCAAACCAGACCCCTTTCAAATGGCCTTTGAGCCACGGAGCGAGGAGAGGAAGCAAAAAGCACTGCATCTCTGGAAGCAGTCAGAAGCTCTTGACTTGGCCAGAAGAGCGCAGTTTGCTGCCCGAGCTGTCTCGCAGCCACACGCCACCGGAGGTCCTGGATTATTATGGGATGAAAAAACGGGATTAAGGCTCAACCTGCCTCAAGAAAAACAAGCTAAAGTCAAAAGCTGGGTCAAGACGGTAGAGATTGGTATAGAAGCCCCACGACTAGACCTGCATTCCGAGATATGACCTGGTAGTGATTATGAGGTTGAGGCTTTATAATATTTATTGGGACTCTAGTGTTTTGCAATTACTGAAAACTTCATATATATTACAGTCGCACGATTGGCCATACTGGTCTATTTGTTTCCAGCTGAATTGCGCGTTGTATGAGAAAATCAAACCCAGATTCATTCAATTGACGTTCCTTCAATGTAAAAGTATCCCATTGAAGTGTAGTGTTCCCAACTCTTGTCGACCTTCGCAAGACTTTTCCTTTCATTGAGCAACCAATATCTTGCCAACAATGGTAGGATTATCGCTTCTAGGCACTGGAGCTCGCACGTGGTCTGACTTGTGGCTTTACGATGTGCATTCATCAAGTCTGCCCCATCGGTGGTCCGAGCACTATGCAGGAGCACACCTACTGCCAGACCAAGGTTTAGTCTGAGCGTCGTAATATGTCCAAGTCAAGATTGGGGACGCCGCCGTGTCGCATGCTTTTGACCGCCTCGTCCACCAGCTTACACCCAAGCAGTTTTTCGTATAATAGCACAGGCAAGATTGCTCCAATCCAGTTCTTGAGAAACCACTCACGAGCTTCGTCACTACAACTGCACCTGCACTATATTCCTCACAACGCTTACCACGTGTCACAACCATGGCTGTTGTTAGTCCTGAAGCTGTTGTCGGCACAACGATTGCCTTCTCCTTCATCCTGTTTGGTAGGTAGGAAAACAACGCGACCATGACTTACAGGCTCACCCTTTCGCAGGCAATGCCATCACACAATCTTTCATGGGCGTCCCGGCTCTGCTGGTTGATTTTCCATCCCCGACTTCGCCAGACCATGCGGCACGCGTGCGTCTATTAGGCCGGCAGTGGCCCGTGTTCTGGGCCGTTGGGAACGTCTTTTTCCGGCCTATTAGCACTTTCGGCATACTTGGATACGGGTACACCGCCTACGCCGCATCTTCAGGAAGCGGCAGGCTAGGCGACTGGAGACTGTATGCGCTTGCCGCGGCTTGTCACTTGGTGACTGTCGTACACTCCGCGAAGAACATGCAGCCAATAAATGAGAAGTTGGATGCTTTGAAGGAGCCCAAAGCACCAGGAGTCGATTCGGCTGAGGCGGAGACTTATGCGAGGAGGTGGATCAAGTTCAATTCAGTCCGGCTTGTCATGCCCCTCATTGCTGGATCAGTTGCGCTTTGGCAAACGCTGAAGTCGTTGTAGCATCTTACAATGACCGAGTCATGCTAGCAAGGACGAGTCTTGGTAGATTTTGCTTTATTATCCTTTCTTTACAGTCCAGTTATTGTTGAATAATTATATAAATTTAATAAGATTTACCTGTGATCTCTCCGACTTGTTTGAATAAAGAGTACAGCAACCTTACCTTTGATTCATTCAAGGTTCAATCGGAAAACCATGTCCCCGGGCGAGGTACGTTGAGAAGCGTTCTTCACGTGCCAGCTCAAGGTTTCCCTCATGTAAAGTCTCAAAGGCAATGGAAACTTCTTGCTCAACTGTAGCCTGATACCGCTCGAGCACCATGTGTAGATATTCTCGATACGATATTCTACTGTCAGGGTCGGTATCCTCGCCAAAATAGACCATCTTCGGTTCATCCAAAACTCTCTGCTCCCCCTCGCTATCCCGCCATGACATGCCCAGAAGTACGATGTGATCAGTACCGAGTCTCGAGCTCCCTACAGAGGATTCTGCGGGTAAAGGGGCTCTGGGATTTAGTTCTACCCAGTCCAAACCCAAGAACGGGTCGCCGACGCCAGAAGCTTGATCACGCATCTGACTAGATGCCTCATACAAGTTGCCCCTGAACAGCTGGAAGTCAATATTCAGCCCCAGAAGCCACTGTTTCATTTCTACATCGGCTCGTCGGTGGACACGGAGGAAATATAATCTGGTAACCGAGAATGGTGCTGGAGTCAAGAAACTTGGCCCTATTTGCTTCGACGATACCCAATGCGCTGGTGACGATAATCGTGGCTCTTGAGGGCCGCACAGGAGGCATTGTGCAACAGCGAGGAATTTCGGCAGGCCATGATTGTCTTTATCACAAGTTATGAATGCTGCTGCGTTATCATCTGATTCCCATTCTGCCAGCCTCTCATAGTCAGGACTCAATCCTTTATTTGGTCTTCCGCCTTTGGATACCCTGGGACACATACCAACGACCATGAATAGGCAAGAGTTCCTTTCATCGTTACCAGCCCGACCCCACCACGCGACTTTCCATCCATCATGCGCAGCCACGACTCTTAGAGCGTCGTACCATGTTGCACCTGCTTCGGTTTTGGGGTCGTATATTGAAAGACCCGGTTGAACATTGAGGCGATGTACCGTGATTGAGTTCATTGCAACGGTCAAAGACGTCTTGGTATATCGGGAGCTGTTCGACAAATTTCTAGCACTTTGACTGTTGTATGGCTTTGATATGTTAGGGCTAGTCACTAATTTGGATTGAAAGTGCTGATCGGAGGGTGCGAAGTTTTTGTCTTAAGGGCGACTCTTCCTCGACTGATTGCGGAAGATCTTCTGTGCACAATTTAGAGAGGTAGAACTATCAGTCTGTTGGCGCTAAAAGTGATGTCATCTTCTAGATCATATGACACTGATGCAATCATCTATAATTAGCATATGCCCAAATTCCTGTTGGTTGCATAGGGGTCTGAACCTCTATCCAAAATATAGCCGACGGATCTCGCAGCAACGATAATGAAAGAACCTGACGTCTCGCTCATATTATTTGTCTTGTGATGAATCTCGGTTATGCTCAGTAGAAAGACTGCGCCGCAAGACTTGCTCACTTGTAACTCAAACTTCAGCATGTGAGAGAGAACATTCTCATATTATCATGTCTGCCCCATATGACAAGGAACTGGGTATAGAATCCGTTATGCAAGCGACAGCACCACTGTAGCCTCTATGACCAGATAATGAAATAACTTTGGGATCCTAGGATTTCTACCTCGACAACGAGAGCTCCGCCAACATGTGTTGGCAATCTGGTCTTCTTGTCACCAACCAAATAACCGCACTTTCTGGCCGTATTTACTTAAATGGAACGTATGTTCAAACTCATTTGGAAGGCTTCAGTAGAAACTTTTGTCTTTAGTCTGCAACCTAGTACGCGCTTCTCTAGAGTTCCTATCAGCAAAAGCTTTCAACTTTACAACATCTCAACCCAAGTCTACCGCGACGACAGCAACGCGACTAAAAATTGCACCCCATCAATACAATGTTCATAGGCTCTGTTTTGACGGCTCAAGTATTGGCTGGTGCAGGTCTTGTCGCTGGATACGACGTCAAGTCTCAATGGGCTTGGTTGACAAGAGCTGTGATAACCGCATTGGCCGCTTGAATGCAGCAGGCAAGGACTACGATGACTTGGTAAAGGCTGCTCTTGGATCAGTCGGCCCCGAAGCCAACCTTCCCAGTAATAAACTGCAGGATATTACTTTGACTGCCTATATGGGCGTGCATGATCCTCACGCATTGGTCCATGAGATTCAGTGGAAGAAGCTAGACTTCTCGAACGGCAAAAAGATCCCTTACAGCCTCTACTGCGATGCGACAGCATTCGAATGGGTCACCGAGTACCAAGAGGGTCCACAGAAAGGCGAAACGCTTGACAAGAAAAAGTTCCCTAAAGGGGGTGCGTGGCATCCAAAGGACGGCCGCCGTAACCCAGATATTACACCCGAGTATATCAGCGGTGAACCCAAGAGTGATATGAGGGAGGACTTTTGCAATACTGCGAAGGGGGCTGAGGCAGCTGGCGTATCAGTTAAACTAGGCCAATCAGTGGTCCTGTGCCCCAGTGCATTCGGCGACAAAGTGAGAGAAAAGATAGACACTTCCGCAACAGAAGGAAAGCTCGACGACCAATATTCCACTGGTACAGTTCTGCTCCATGAGATGACACATGTTGTGCTGGGCAAGAAGGATACGGCATATTTACCTCTGCGGTGCATCGCTTTGGCATACATCAATGGCTATGAAGCCCAGAACAATGCTGACTCTTGGGTGTTCTATGCAATGGCCACTTTATTGAATAAGAGCTCTTGGGTCTTGGGATTTGGGAAACCGATTGAAAAGGAAACTGAGGATTCGGAAACTAAAAATGCGAGTCCTAAGCGTCCCAATCCTCGCGATGAGCCGGTGACTGCGATGGCCTCGTCAACCATTTCTCTCAAGGATGGTGCCAAGTACACCGACAGTGTCCTATCATATGTTGTCGCGACTTTACCAGATGAACCCAAGGAGACACGGGAACCATCGCCCGAAGAAATTTCATCGATTATATCCTCGGAAATGGCACAGCAGACCCAATCATCTCAGACTTTAATGGAACCGTCGTCGACCGGAGCAGCATCATCGAGGAGAACGGCATCATCGATCGGAACAGCGTCATCCGCCATGGCAGTATCATCGACCAGCACAGCATCGTGGACTGGAACGGAATCATCGACTGGGAAGACATCGTCCGGCAGGACGGCTTCAATAACATCCTCGAGAGGGAACACATCTTCAACTGGGGGAAAAGCGCCTACTGGAACGGGATGGACTGGAAAAACATCGTCAGCTAGGACAACATCGTCGACAAGGGGGGCAGTGTCAACTAAAACAGCATCGACGACCAACAAACCCTCCTCGAAAGTAACAACCAGTGAGACATCTTCCAGTAAGACAAAAGCCAATAAGACCGCTTCAAATAAGAGCAAATCTACTAGCCCCAAAACAGCAAAGGGTGGTAAAGCTTGTAAGTTGTCTTCTAATGAAAACAGGCTCGCTTGCTAAGTACAACAGCGTCCAAATTCCGAGCTTGACAATCGTAACTAGAATTGTTTTGAATGGAGATGCCGCTATCCATTGAGCAGCTCCTCGGGTTGTTGGCGTTCCTCTTTGCACTCGAGCTCACTCTTTTGGTCGTTTCTTGAAGCAAGATCGTTGTTTAGTCCCTAATAAAACTTGCTGTTGTTTTAGCAAGCTTATTAGCTCAACAACCAATTTCAAGAAGGACTGATTTTATCCGGCCTTGAAGGATTGAAACGTCTTCTGAAAAAGCAGAGTGTACACCGGAAACTCTCGTCATACACGTCTAACTTTGATAGTAGATGCCTAACTTTGCATGGCAGCCTGTCATCTCCAATGCTTGAGTGTGTGCCCCCCTGAAAACATATGATAGCTGCGACCAACGCACGGAAAGCCGGCATTGTTACTTACAATTAGCCATCACGGATATGTGCAGCCTTCTCAGCAGTCATCTCATTTAAGTCAACTAGTGATTGATTATCTAGTTGCCATGTAATTACTGTGAATATGGGAATGCAATTTCCGGATCATCCCTTATCTCGAGTTGACCTTTCAGGTCTTAGACTGCCACCAACTCAAAATTACCCAAACGTACGGGGTTCTCAAGCCAAACCATGCATCAAATCTTGTCAGAAATGGGAAGGGTTTCGAAACTTGTTGTAGCAGTGTCTGCATTGAGGTCATGCGACGCGAGTGGGCGACTGGGACTGACGGCAACCTTTTCCTTATTCAGCCTGCGGCGTTTAGTGTCTTGCGCGCTCTCTTGGCCGCTACCATCCGTCTCTTGATGGCCGCTTAAATTGGGCTTCTCAACTTCGTCCTCGTATTCTCCTGCGAGACTCCGTTTGGAAACAGACGAAGGGACCGTATCACGCAGGAGCTCTTGGCAGCGAGCAGCCTCGAGGTCGACGTGGGTGACGAGGCGCTGGGCGAAGCTTGGTTGCGGATCGAAGGGAATACGCAATAGCCGAATAGTGGCACTGGAAGAACCTTGTGGTCGCGAAAAGCCCTGGTTGGGTTGAAACAGACGGTCTAGAAGCAGGTCCGTAATCCGCCCGCTATAAAGATAGACGTATTTCGTATCATGAGTATATGTGAAGAGTAGTTGGGCCTGGTTGCGTGTAGCATGATCAAGTTAGCTAGTAGAACTAAAAAAGTGATTGGAAAAATTAAAGGAAGAAGATCTAAAGAAGTTGTGAATAGCCCGGTTAAGTGACTGGACTTAGGACGGCAATGGGAATAAGAAGCATACCGTGGTCGAGGGCGGTTGACCTGCTTTCACTGGGTACTGAAGTGTGCGGTCTGCATGGCGGCGAGTGAAGTTGGCCAAAGTGATCATTAATGCGGCGATTGATGCCCTGTCAACCAGCTTGTCTGTCTCGTCGTAGTCATATCCATCTCCAGATGAATCGCCTGCTGGCGAGGAGTTCGTGCTGCCTCGCTTCCCTTTCCAGCGACGGTTGCGGACGGGAAATGCACTTGCGTAGGCCTCAATGTCTCCTACGTCGAGGTAGGCAAGATGCAAATGAGTGGGGACCAGAGTTGTGATTGGGGGCCATGTCGGCGGAAGGAAACATTTGCGTATGAAGAGGACCGGAAAAGGAAGACATCGAGGGCTAGGCTTGAAGGTGTTGTAATGCTCGGGTTGTGCACCCTTTGCGCTATTCTGCCTGTTCTTGGTCTTCCTTCCGTGATCGATAGGGACAGTGGCAGCCCAGTGGCCGTAAGGAAACCGAAGAAACTTGGCATCATCGACGCACTTGAGGAAGAAGTGCGGCTGCTGCTGCGGCGGCTGTAGTTTGCTGGCCGGCCTATCGTCGCCGTCGGGAAAGTGCAATAGGGTACGCATGGAGTGGTGTCGACTGTGAGAAAGATAGTGAGCATCAGCGAACGCGCGCACGAGGTAAGAAGTATGTCCTGGGGTCACTGTGGGCGCAAGGGTCGATATGCCGGGTAAATCAACACCTTGGCCTGGCTCGTTGAGGTCCATCACGGCGGCGGTCTCCTGAGGCTGCCAGCTTATGTCGAGAAGGTTGAGGATGCGGCTGTCCCAGTGCATCGGGGGGATGAAGATGTCAGGCTGGTCACGGATAGCATCGTGAACGGGAGGCAGAGAAACGGCGCCCTCGGCCACGGCCTCAGGTGTCATGGTTGCTGCTGGGGCTTCCTGAAATGGCGAAGCGGGTGAGTGAGAAAAGTAACGACCGGGCAATGGCAGACACACGATGGGCGGTACCGGTAAGTACGTCGGTCATGCTGACAGAATCAGAAATATTCACGAGCGAGCAAAATAAACGACGCCGACGTTGAAAATGAAGACTTCTGTGTAGCTGCAGGCGTTGTCGTCGCAACCTGACTTTGGGCGGAGAAAATAGCGCGCATGTCGGCGCGGCGGCACACTCGGGCAACATACTCAGGCAGCCGGGCTTGAGAAAATAACTATCGATGCTAGGCAGACATCTCGTCCGCGAAGATAGTGCAAAGAACGATAGCGATCAGAGACGCTCCTTGCTCCTGCCATTTTGCGCGCCGTTGGGTGCCCCGGCCCTGGTGCCTTCTTTGGACTCAGATGTTTTCGATCAAATGATGATAGCATGGCATATAAAATATTTCTTATGATAAGATGTCTGGATACCCGCGAGGTTCGAGCGCTCCGTTGCTCTGGACGGCAGTCCCGCCGGCCCCGGCCCCGGCCCCGATGTACCTGTAACGTGCCGCCGATCGCCCGAAAACCTTAGGAGACTCCGGGACACTCCGGGTCGCTCTGACGGAGCCCAAAGTCAACGATACGAAACAAGCATTCGAGTAGTATCAAAAAGATGGGCACTATCACATATCTCAACCCAATTGGTCCGAAGAGCTAATTTCCCGCTCCCGACCACCGCTGGTAACCCTCGGAGCGCCGCCCCTCAGCTCCCGGCCTGTCTTCACGACGACGAGAACTCGAACAGAGATGACTCCCCTTTGAGCGCAGCCTGACCCACATAGAGTTGTTCATCTTTTGTGAGAGGGCCTGTAGCAGGTATACAGCGGCTTGTGGTGTTGCGGCGCAGAAGCAGTGAAACGATTCCTACGGTCAGGGAACTTGGGCGGGTTATACCTGACAGTCCGAAGCCCACGGTGGAATTCCCCTTTCGAAAAAGGAGACAAGAGCTTTCTTTCTAATCAGAATATTGAAATTCTCTTGTCTAAAAAATCATCGCGTCTCACAAGGTCTCAATTTTACATCATCTGCCTCAGCTCACGAGTTATGTACACTGAACTTGGATCTCCGTCTTCATAAGACGATCATGAGAATATGTCTAAGCCCCGGTGGGTGCATGAGAAGAAGGAAGGCGGAATTGTGTAAATGAAGCTCAGATATCTCATCAAAATTTCCCTAGATAAACGATAGACCGAAAAGCCGCGAAGAAACAATCAGCAATATGTGATATGCAATGCAGAGTACGGCGATCTGCTTGACGTCGGGCACCAGCGTGTCTCGCAAAACTGCCTTCTGCTGTCCGTTGCTTGCGAAGACCTTGGAAGCATGCTTCTGCCTCATCTGTACCGCCTTCGTGCTATCAACAAACTCGGAGATTTCCACAACCTTATTTCCATCCGCCGACAGGTGAATCACCATGACGCATTCGTTCTCCCACGGATCCCGGGGCCCCGCCTTGAGCGTACCCCGCATATGTGCATGAACTACAACCACGTCGGCCTCCTCATCCTCGTAAACGGAGACCGGTATCATCTGGAACTTTTCGAAGATGCCGAAGACGCCCATTGCATGTTGCGCGAATGCCTCCTTGTCACGAATCGGCATGTCCAGACTTTCGGGCAAGATGCGGTGTCTGAAGTTGTCCGCTAGAGTTTCAAGGAGGGTTGGTACGGAGAGGCTGCTATATCCATCCAAAAGTCTGGTGGCAGTCTCTATGCGTGCGGAATGCATCTGTATCATGGTGCTGGCAATAAACAGCAAGGCCACGCACGTGACGAGAATTCGAATGAGCTCACTTCTCGACACCCAACTCTGCCATGGATGACACCTTGATATAACATCCACGTCCGGACTTCACCTCTGCTTCCCCGAATGCACTGCTGATGCTGAGAGGTGCAGCCCCATGCACCTTTCGGGGCTGTCAGAACTTAGTAGTGCCAGTGCATAATCAGCACTATTTGCCCTCACGTACCCCATGATCTCGTCTATGAACTCTAATGAAGTGTTTCTCTCTAAATTCCGTTATGGCGCCTGCTGAAATGCCTTTTCTCTTGTATTTGTTGGAAACTTGAAATTCCCTCGTGCACTTGTCAGAACAAACCGCAACAGTACGACTGAATTACCACCTGGAAACATTATGGCCAAGGTCTTACTCATCACTGGCGCCACGGGCAACCAGGGTGGCGCTGTCATAGACGCACTTCTCAGCCTCAAGTCTACCGCCTTCAATATCCTTGCCGTCACACGTAATGCCAGTGGCGCTGGTGCCAAGCGTCTGTCAGCGAAATCCCCTTCAATCAAGATTGTGCAAGGCGATCTGGATGACGTGCCAGCAATCTTCCGTGAAGCAAGCAAGGTGGAATCCAAGCCTATATGGGGTGTATACTCCGTTCAGGTATCCATGGGGAAGAATGTGACACTTGAAAGCGAGGTTGCTCAGGGAAAGGCACTGATTGACGAATCAATCAAACACGGAGTCAAGCATTTTGTCTACAGCAGTGTTGAGCGTGGCGGTGATGAGCACTCGTGGGAGAATCCTACGCCGGTTCCGCATTTCCAGAGCAAATATCAGATTGAACGATATCTGCGCGATTCAACAGCATCCGGAAGCAATGATGCGGAAATGGGGTGGACAATACTGCGCCCCGTCGCGTTCATGGACAACCTTAAGCCAGGCTTTCCCACAAAGGTTTTCCTTGCAGCTATGAACAACTGGCTTGAGAAAGACAAGACCACCCAATGGGTCGCAGTGCGTGACATTGGTATATTTGCCGCCAAGGCGTTCGAGGAGCCTGAACAGTGGAACCACCGATCTGTCGTAAGTCACATCGTCTTGTCAACCCCTGGCTTTAAATTACTTACGGATATGATTTAGGGTCTTGCTGGGGACGAACTTACATTCAACCAACTCAAGGACGCCTTCGAAAAAGTGACGGGAGAGCCAGCTCCCGTGACTTATTGGTTCTTCGGAAGTGCTCTGACTACCATGGTTACGGAAGTCAAGTTGATGATCAGTTGGTTTGCTGAAGAGGGATACAGAGCGAATATTCCAGAGAGGCGACGAGACCACCCTAGTTTGCTCACCATGGAAAAGTGGTTAGGTGAGGAAAGTGGGTTTGCCAAGTAATGACTCCAGGCATTTGTACCATAGTTGGTTCTTAATCGTGTGTTGTAATGCAATCAACAACTATTCGCAACAAGACACAATTATAGGAAGTCCTGCGACAGTGATATTACAATTTCGACTGCGAAAGAGGTTGGTGGATTTCGGTTTGGAAATGGCCAAGTTGCGTGTAATCTGCAATAGTAACGGCGATGTGGAATTGATGAGCTAGTTAGCCAGCGAGACGAGACCTGATTGGATCGTATGACACCGTCGGCACACGCGTCCTGGCAAGCTACCCAACTTGCCGGATAAAATCAGTCACGTTATTGCTAGAAACGTTGCAGAGCTACTGAACGCATAGTATGTCCTGTAAAATGATCAGTTATAGCCGCCACCTCAGCACTGATCCGTCGAATTCAGACAGCAAGATAAGCTCCATACGTGTAGTTCAACGAGGATTAAACTGTCGCACCATGGAGCAAACTAAAAATAGTAATAGGCGCATCATTCCTGAGCGCCCTTACAAGCTTCGCCTCATTGAATTATCGCCCAGGAAGCTATCAGATGGAAGTCTCTTTTGTGGACCGGAAAAACTGACTTGCGCTTACATCCCCAAGTTCGAATGAGCAGGGGGATATTCACCATATATCTAGGTTTTGACAAAAAGCTTGGCATCCGATGCCCTTGCATAGACGAGCCCACATGGGTTGTTACAGTCACTGCACCCAGGGCGCCAATGAGAAGGCGGCTTGCCACCTCCCAAGACTTAGCGATGTGAAATATACAACGTCCAGGGATTCCAACAGGGGTATGGTACTTGCGTTCAATTTATCCAGCGACTGGCTCCAAGACCGATTTGTCTGATTCTGATGCAATGGTGGGGAGAATTATTTATGCCATCAATCGACGACGATTTGAGGTGCTTGCCAGGGATCCCAGGCTCACTGCCGGCAATTAGGGACTGGCGGCTTATAGCGCCGATCTCTTAATAAACCCAGCAATCTCCACCCAGCGGTTTCGTGCGGAGCTGATCAATGTTGCCAGATTGGGAACTAATAGGCCTATTACATGCCGGCAGGCCAGAACGTCATCACCCGGGATTGTTCTGGTGCCAATGACTGCCAAGAACAGAGGCCAATTCCCACAAACTGGGTTAAGGCCGAGGTGCTTTTCAGTTCTCCTGCACGGATTTCTTGGCTCCGCAGAGTTGTACTCTAGGCATTTGCCTAAGCGAGGCGTCGCAGCTATATGTTCTGGCGATCAGCTAAGAAAGCCGCGCCTATCATGTCAGATGCCGCGGAGAAAAAAGAAGCTCTCTAGCTGTTTCGCAGCTGTTGAGTAAGGTGTCGCCATCATGGCATCTTATAACATATCGTCAGGAATGGCAATATGGCTTGTGGAGACCGATGACGGTAAGTGGCCCAGATCTAAACGCAGGTCAATTCGCGGCTGGATATTGAGAGGCAACCTCGACCAGGCTGGATAGATTAACCGTTCTTGACTAAATGCTAATTAGTGGGGCTGGTATAGAATATATTATACGATGTCAGTATTTCGGAACGCCGTGACAGGCGTGTGCAAATGCGTCTATATAACTCTCAATGTCCACCCATCAGTCTCCTCCCTCTCTGAAAGTCGATTGCACCACTGACGTCTATCATTGATTTTTTTTTTTGGTACCAAGGGACTCTTGAACAATGACTCGCTTGCTTCTGACGCTATTCCTTGCAGCTCTGCTGCGCGACGTCGCAGCAGCCCCGGCTGCTGAGAGTCCTACCGATGTGGCCATTCCCACGCCGCCAATTCCTTCAGGTTAGTGAACTGCGTCAGGTCGTGAACATTGTACTGAATCTCCTTACAGTATCGCTGCCGCTTCCAACGGGCCTTCCACCCCTTCCCACTGGAAAAGGAAAGGTGAGAGAACATGCGAGATTGGAGTGTATAGTACACACTTGGAAAACAAGTTTCTGACAATATTCACGATAGGGTGGCGGTGGTAAGGGAACCGGCCGACCTACTGTGAGTCACGCCCGCCGATAAAGCAACATGACCACCTTGAGTAGTACAAGAATGCTACGCCCCATGATCTTATTGTTTGTCTGCGATTAATGATATGTCTCACTAATACCACATATTACAGCCGACTGGTAAAGGCAAAGGCGGTGAAAGACGCCAACTCCCCACAGGGCGACCCCCGATTCCTACTGGTTTCCCAACTGGCCTCCCTCCACTTCCTACTGGGCTACCTACTGGTCTTCCTCCACTTCCTTCTGGGTTTCCTACTGGTGAGTAGCAAGTGAAGCTGAGAGTCGATCCAACCTCAACAGAAACATAGATGTGAGGAAGAGTGATTGGACAAACGGCTGATCTAGATTATGATAGGATTCCCCACAGGCAAGGGCAAGGGAAAGGTGAGTCTCTGGTCTTTCCAATCCGTAAACATAAGCAAGGACTAGTCAACCAGCGTTGAACTAGCAATCCCCTTGGAAACAAAGCAGCAGGAAACTCCCTCAACCAGGTGCTAATTGAAAAAAAGGGCACTGGACGACCGACGGGGAGACCGACACCAACAGGAAAAGGCACCAGACCCACACCACAAGTAGTTGAGGAGCGCCAGCTACCTACAGGCATCCCTACTGGTAAGTAAAGACCTCAGTCGAGATTCCACATTAAGAGTGAATAAGAGTATTTATGTGGATGGCTAACCTCAATGAATATAGGCTTTCCCACAGGGAAGGGTAAAGGAAAGGTGAGTTTCTGATTTCCTCGCCTCCCCACTGTATGAAGAACCAGTCACCTAGACCGAAATAAGCATGCCTTGTCACAGTCCTGAGCAGCATTTTATAATTAAGCAGATTCTAACGGCAGTCACAGGGCACTGGACGCCCAACTGGGACTAGGCCGACCGGTAAAGGCCGACCTACCGGCTTCCCTACTGGGCCTCGACCCACCGGCAAAGGCCGGCCGACTGGCTTCCCAACAGGCAAGCGCCCGAGCCCGACTGGCGGCTTTGGCCGGCCTCCCCAGTGATTGAGGCCAGGTGCCGCACATTCGCTTTCCTTGAGTTACTCTGGCTTCTCGGCCTTTTTATTGGGACGGCGGGGAGAAATGGAAACCAAAATGGTACAAACTGTTTAAGATGAGGATGATTGATGCCTTCAGTTCTTCGAGACCCTGTATATAAAATTCCGAACAAATTAAACATTCTCCCCCATGATCGGGTTTGCCCTATTCTTTCTATACTGAGATGTCTGGAAGAGACGAATAGCAAATCTTTGGCGAGTGTATACAAATGAGCCTATTATGGGTATGACCTTACTCCTGACCATGTGGACGGCACTATATATAATGAACTTGGCGGCCAGATTGCGTGATCATTTCGCCTTATATTTTCGTCCCACAGCGCACTTTAAATATAAGTGACCCGGAGAGACATGTTCGGTATTTACATCTCCATGCAGTATAACACACAATTACGGAGCCACAACAATGGTGACAACTTTCTACTCATATGCCACGCTGGGTGCAGGAATTTCTAGTCCCCCTGAAGGTATGTATAATCAAAGGGGCCGATGTTTGGATATCATTTCATGACGGTCTAAGACTGTGGCCGCAGCGACCGGTCTAAGCTCTTCTTCTTCTAAGACACGTGGAATGGAAATGATATAGGACGACGCGCTGGGGCTCCTCTTACGTTGCCTCGCTACCTCTATGCTGACCTTTTCTTTGCTTCCTCCCTTTCGTCCGCTAGGATCCTCCAATCCGGAAAGGGGTTGGCAAACTCGGATTTCTCGCCCTTGTCGTCGAGCTTCTCCGGGAATGGCCCAATGTGCGGCCTGACGAGGTCGAAGAATACGCGGTAGGCCTCGCCGCTAAGATGCAGTCCGTCCGGAAGCAGTTGGCCAAGCCCGCCGCGCCGTCCCCTGATCTTGCCCTCGTCGTCTTTCAGGAGGTAGCCCAGGAGCGGCTTCCCATCCGCGTCGTACTCGAAGGACTCCAGCTTGCCTGTGAGTGAAACGGCGTGCTTCATCAGGCCGTCCTGAAGGTCGACTAGGACGGTCCCGGGCACCTCGGCCGCAACGTCTCTTGCGGCCTGGGAATACTTGGCGCTGTTGGCAGCGTTGCGAGTCAGTTCCTCCAGATTGTTCTCCAGGATATCGTACTGGTGAATCCTGGTCTCGTCCAGAGGCGGAGGTGTCACAAGGAGGATCGTGGGCTTGTGGGCTGTGATGTTGGGGTGCGTGATGATGGCCTTCAGGTTGGCCCGGTAATCGTCCAGGGAGCAGTACTGCGTCGGGTAGGAATGCGGCAAGCAGGCGTCATTCGCACCCAGAAGTATGAGCTAGATGCTATTTAGTCTTTTCATCGTCCCTGTGTTCCTTTTTGCGGAAAGAACAGGGAGCCACGTACAAGGTATCTCAACCGTGGGGCGGATGTCTCATTGGAACCTTTGGCTGGGAAGATCTCTGGCAAATACCTCAGTGCATCCTGAGTGTTCCAGCCGGAGAACCCTCGGTTGACCACGTCAAGACGACGAATACAATCTTGGAAAAGACGTGAGTGAGCTTTAATTACCAGAGGCCACAGAGGTGATCCATTGACTCACGCTTCTGAAGAGCCGCCTGGAACGAGAAGCCCTCGAGGATGTCGGTTGCCCCTTGGAAGAGGGAGTCGCCAAAGAGAACGACTTGATCATACGACGTCTTCAAAAAGAGTCAGTCGATGTATCTGATATCAACCCGCCGTATAGGCGAGAGAAAAGGTGACAGGATAGACTTACTGCCATGATTGGTGGCTGGTGGTTGCAGGTATGTCCTACTCGCTGTAATAGTCTCGTACCCCGCAGTGAAGATGCTCGCAGACGGGGGCGCCAAGTTGAGTCAGAGTAAGTCACAGGATCGATCTTTGAATCACAAACACCGGAGCAAGTTCAAGGCCTCTAAATAGTCTAAGAAGTTTTAAGAAGTTTACAGAAGAAACCTGAATTCCATTCCTCTTGGACCCTAGACGCCGGTAAGGAGGGCCGTAGTCGCGGTGGGTGGGCCTCGATCAAACATGCTCAGCGGCCGCTGGAGCGCATGTACGCCGCCAGCGGGTAGCAGCCCCACTGGAAAGCCTCGCGAGGCAGCTCGCGTACCAAAAACCCGAAGCCCGTGGTGAATGGACCGAGACATATGTATGTTTTGTCTTGCCCAGTGAGTCGGCCTGCTCGAGCGCAGCATCAAAGGAGCAGTCACCTAGGTGACCTATTCATCGAGGCGTTTGCATGAAGCTTGAGAATGATTAAATTTACTTCACCAGACCTCTTCGGTTCACTGGAGCGCCAGGCGTTGGACAAGGAACGACGGACGACTGGCACAACGTTAATAAAGCAGTCGGGACTAGTTCAAGTTGCAGTATATTTTCCGCAAGCAGAGAAGCAGCTCATTGCTCAGCACCAATGCGCATATACCGCTGATTATCTGCTAATGAGTGTCCCCGCTTGGGATAGTCGACGATGTAGGTAGGCAGGCTTGTTCCCGGCCGGGCGTAGACTCGGGGGGCTGCCCCGCTAAAAAGCCGCCGATAAGCTGGCTGATAACCTGCCCGCCGGACCGGGATCTCGAATTCCATCATCCCATCTACCGTATCCTCGCATCGTCGCCGAGTTTCCCCTTCTTTGTCCTTCGCGCCCCCCTCACGGCTTTTCCTCGAGCCGCACCCGCACCCGCACTCGCACTCGGGCGACAAGCGCAAAGATGCACATCGAGTCCATCGACGCCCCCGGCATGAAGGCGTCGGGCGACCTGCTGCACAACATGCAGCGCGAGGTCGCCCAGCTGCTGGGACGCGACAGCATCAGCTTCCCCGGCGCGCAGCCCGTCTCCTTTGCCCGGAAGCACCTGGACGAGCTGAAGAGGGAAGAGTAAGTCTGGAGAACACTCGCGCTTGGGTTTTCACGCTTCGCTTGTACCACCCTTCACCGGCGACACGTTATACAACATATTCACACACACACATTGCGCGACACCTTGGACTGACTGGTGAACCCAACAGCTACTACCTCTGCGAAAAGTCCGACGGAATCCGATATCTCCTCTACCTCAGCGACGACGGCCAGGGCCAGGAGCTGCACTACCTGATCGACCGCAAGAACGACTACTGGTGGGTCAAGGACGCGCACTTCCCGACGCCCCAGGGCGAGGCCACCTTCCACCGCAGCACGCTGCTCGACGGCGAGCTGGTCATGGACGTGCTGCCCGACGGCAAGCAGGAACCCATCTACCTCGTCTTCGACTGCCTGGTCATGAACGGGCAGAACCTCATGGCGCGCCCGCTGCAGAAGCGCCTGGGCTACTTCCACAACGAGGTCTACCGCCCCTACAAGGACCTCTTCTACAAGAAGTACCCGCACGAGCGCGAGTTCCAGCCCTTCATCCTCGGCATGAAGGACATGCAGTTCGCCTACGCCACCGAGATGCTGTTCCGCCAGCTGATCCCCGGCCTCAAGCACGGCAACGACGGCCTCATCTTCACCTGCCTCAAGACCGAGTACAAGCACGGCACGGACCCGCACATCCTCAAATGGAAGCCGGCCGACGAGAACACGGTCGACTTCCGCTGGAAGTTCCACTTCCCCACGGCCGAGCCCGACGACGACGACCGCGCGGACGGCGTCGCCGAGCCCTACCCGGACTACGAGGCCGTGCCGCGCGTCGAGCTGCTCGTCTTCACGGGCGGCAAGGACGACTACCGGCCCTTCGCCGAGCTGCACCTGGCCGAGGACGAGTGGGACGAGCTCAAGGCGCTCAACGAGCCGCTCGACGAGCGCGTCGTCGAGGCCTACATGGACGACCACAAGCGCTGGCGCTTCTACCGCTTCCGCGACGACAAGCACAACGGCAACCACGTGAGCGTCGTGAACAGCGTCCTGGAGTCCATACAGGACCGCGTCACCGAGAAGGACCTGATCGACGCCGGGCCCGACATCCGTACCAAGTGGAAGAACCGGGAGCAAGAGGCGAAGCGCAGGGCGTGAAGGAGGGGCGACGGGGACCAGGGCCTTTTCTATTTTGGACCCCCTTCTTTGCACTATCTCTTGTATTCTAGCGGCGTAACGGCGTTCGGGGCGCTTGGATGGATGGATGGATATGGAACAAGGCGAACGTGGTTCAGGCAGGCCAAACAAAAAGGTTGATATCCGGCAACAATGCCTCCATTACCAGATTGATTTCTTTCCCCACCTGAAGCGAGGTTGGTGTAATCAAGTATCGCTATCCTCCCTCAGTTCGTCTCACGGCCCAACGTGGCGGTGTATATCTGTGATTTCTTGTTCAATGTCGCCCGTATAGTGTGCGATATAATTCAATGAGCCATTACTACGAAACACACACCGTTTTCTTCCAACATCGAAACGCCCAAACGCCCAAACGGACAGGCCGAATGAAGTAAAACCTATCAAGACAAATCGACGAGGGTATAAAGAAGAACATAGTTCACTTGTTCAAGTGCCAACCAACAAGGCCGCCGCGAGAACGCTTATTATGTGACCATCCAACCCTCCCTCAAGCCGGGGCCCAAAATTCCAAGAAATCTGGCTCCTTGCTTGATCGCCCATCTTTTACACCACACTGCAACAGTTATGCGAAGATGGGCATACGGGGCCATCACCTCATTGTAGCAGGCCGTCCGGCCAACGAAGCTACCGCCCTGGCTGGGCTCTCGCATCCGCATTTTGCTCAACTTGAGCCTTCGCTGACATCATACGCGTCTGGCGCAGCTCTCCTAGACCTCGTGGACCTACTGGAGGCAGCGGGAGCAGGAGTCGCCTTCGCCTTAGGAGCCGCAGCCTTCCCCTTCGCCGCGCTAGCTTTGGCGGCCGGTTTGGAAGCCGTTTTAGCAACAGCAGCAGCCTTGGGTTTGGCAGCAGGCGCTGCTGCGCTACGGCTTCTGCCTCTTCGGCCACTAGACCTGGGTGCGGGTGCCTCCTCCTCCTCTGCTTCCTCTGCTTCCTCTGTCTCTGCCTCTACCTCGACTTGCTCCTCCTCGGGTGCGTCATCGCTCTCCTGGGCTTCTGCAGCTTCCGGCTCAGATTTATCCTCGTCCATCGGCTCAGCCTCGGCTTCCTCTTCTTCTACTTCAGATAGACCGGACTGGCCGTCGTCTTCTTCCTCTTCATCTGCTTCGAGCTGATTACCCTCTTCATCATAGTATTGCCACTTGGCGACACCTTCCAGCATGTCATCATCGTCATCCGACGAATCTCTCTCGATGTAAGAAGAGTCCTGTCTGGTTCGGCCGCTTCGCCGACGATCGCCGGACTCGGGCAAAGGCGAGGACCGTGCTGGCTTTCTAGGCTTAGCTGATGCTTTGGCTTTGACGGCCGGACGCTTGGCGTTGGTAGATTTGTCTGTTTTGGCCTTTGGCGCAGCTCTTGACAGACTGGTTCTGACCTTCTTCTGCACAGGCCGACCATCACCACGTTCATCAATACTCTTCCGCTTCTGGTCAATAAAGTTAGCCGCTATTGTGAAAAGTATTCTAAATATATAAGGGCCCTAAGCTTACCTTCTTTTTCTCAACTGACTTGAGCAGACTGTCGAGTTGATCTTCAGCGCCCTCGGGAAGATATTGCTTCTCTGCAATCGCCTGGGCAGCCTCATGACTGGGCAGTGCCGTGTACAAACCCTTGGGAAGCCCCGACTGGCCCGGCCAAGCTTGAAAACTCCAGCCCTTACGTTCTTGCCATTTTCTCAACACTGCTTGTGCCAGGTCGCTGATGACGTAGAGATTGTCGCTTTGGCTTGGATTGATCCCATCAAGTGTCTGTTTCACCCGCTCCGCGTATTTGAAAATTAATCCGAAGTTCTGCTCCGTAGCAACATTGCTGACATAGTAGAGTATGTATCGGGCGTGGTCAAGCAGACCCTCTACTTCAGTGTCATAGTCAGGGTGATGTGCAAGTAAGGAGATCAGTCTGCCCATGATAGACTCCATCACCTTCGAATCTTTGCGGTTCTCGCGAAAGTAGCGAGCCCTTGACCGAATCCATGTCTCAAGCTGCAGCCTGAAGCTCGCAACGGGCTCGAACGCCGTTAAGAAGATGATGGTGTAGAATCTGGGATGCAGTTTCCCACTGATGAGGTACTTTTGGAGTTTCTCGACAAATCCCCGGCGGACGTTGTGACTCAAGTCCTGAGTCAAGAGAGCCAAGCGGTTGAAATCGGTATGCGAGAAAATCTGTTCGAACCGTTTTTCTGTACACAGCTTGAGCGCCAACTGCCCAGCCAGGAGTCGCAGGCGCGCCTTGTGGGGTTTAGGGGTGTCCTGGGTTTTGCAAAGCTCTCCTTGGTCCTTGATCAAGGCCCGAAGAAGCTTGAAAACAGTCGGAGCCAACTGTGTCACCTCCTCGGAATCCTTAGCTCCACGAAGTCTGTTTACCACGAGCCGCAAGGCCCAACACTTTACGTAGCATTCTTCGTCGAGATCAGCATCGTCAACCCATTCAGGATTGGACTCTCGTGCTTCTGTCCGCACTTTCTGCAGTACGTTCTTCAGCGCGACGTCAATGATCTTATCGTTGGAGTCCGAAGTCACATTAGGAGCAAGCAGCTCAAGCTGACTGACGGCGGCGAGTTTGCTGAGGAAATGCGGCGAGTCGTAGCCCCAATCCTTGACAACCCGTTGCAGGAGATCGGTAGCAGCCACCATGCTCTTGTCATCCTTCCGAGCCATCATAATGTTGACGGCGTATTTAGCTGCTTTGGCAGGCTGCCCGTAGAGGGCATAGCTGATCAGCGCTTGGGTGAATTTCTTGTCTTGCGGGAGTTCTTGAGGATATTTCCTGGAGTACGAAGAGCAAGCCTTCAGGGTCTCGGCCATTGTAGGCTCGTTAGGTTTGTTGGCTGTGGGTGCTGCTTCAACTAGGTCCTTGCAGAGCTGTCCAATATGTGTCTTGAAAAGCTCTTGATTCGTCCGCGAGATTTCCGTCGTGATATGTTGCGCAGCTGCGCCAAGTCCATCCGTGTCATTCTTGGAATAATCAATAAAGGCCGGCAGATGACTCTTGTTGAACATAATGTAAGCTGAGCGGTACAGGAGAGGGAGCATGGTGTCGAGAACATGGGGTTTCGATGTGCCCTGAATACGCTTGTTGAATTCTTTGACTCCCCTGTACATCGTTTTGAAATCGCTCTCAATGCTGGTGATGAAACGAATAAGATGGTAGCACCGCCTGTCATTGAGAATGGCGAAGTTATGGAGATCAGTCTCTACCTTGGATGGGTCAGGGAAGTAGTTGCAAAGATACTGGATGACTTTCTTCAGGTTTTGCTTCACGATGTCCCCGTTCTTCTCCGGAAGACCACCGTTGTACGCTTCGCATTGCTTCACGAAATTGTCGAGCACACGAGAGAACTGGTGCTGTCTCATCTGAATGGCGTAGAACGCTTTCTTGGCCTTCTCGTCCAAGCTTCTCACCAGAAGAAGGATACGCTCGGCCCGGATGCGGTCAGGATCGTAGGCCGAATCGCCGTTCGCTTGGGACTGTGAATTTACTTGAGAAGACTTCGAGGACTTCGAGGGCGGTGGTGGATATGATAGGGGGATCAGGCATTCAAACGTGACACGTTCGAGCAGGACGTTCAGCTCAAGATCGTTCGCGTAGAATGCATTGAAGATGCAGGATGGAATACCAGAGAACGCAGAGGTTATGGCATCATTGCCAGCCTTGAGTTCGCCGCTAGCAACAGCCCAGAGCCTCGCCAGAAGAGCCATGGCTTCAACGCGGATAGGCGGTCTCTTGTCACGGCAACGATCTGCCAGAGTTGCAAGGATAGAACCATCCTTCTCCACGCCACCGTTCGAGGCCAGTTTCGCCACGACGTCACGCAAGCTGAAGACTTCAATGGCTTTGACGGCAGCCAACCTGACTCTCTCATCAGGGTCGTTCAGCCTCTCATGGAGACCAGCCGTGAATGACTGCTCATCCTCGCGACTTAGGCCGATGCCACCAGCAGAGGTGGACACGATATAACCAGCTGCAGTAGCCCATGCGGCACGAATCAGTGCTGATTTGTCCTTATTCCGGCTAACAAAGTTGTTGAAAGCTTGGGTATGGGTTTGGGCAAACGAAAGTGGAGAAATTGGCGTCGTCAAGATGCTCTGGTCGGGGCGTTCAGGAGTATCATCACCCAACTTGACAGGGGGGTACGCAGCAGGATCCAGTACAGGAGGTGGCGGAGGCCCGGCGGCACCGATGCCGGAGATCATGTCGCCCAGAGTCTCGGTGGCCAGCAGACGTAGGTGGACGTTGTCGGCGGAGAGTTCAGCATCTACTTGCGGAACCACGTTCTGCAACACCGTCGGCGCAGCACGCCACAGCTCGCGCAGCAGTAGATGAGCTTTCCGAAGCTCTCTGAAATCGGATTCGGAAGGTCCAGCGGGGGCGTCGTCGTCATCGGACTCATTGTCTCGTTGGTGGCCATTGGCCGTTCCACTCTTTCCAGATGCGTCCATGATGACATCGCTGAAATACTGGCTCACATAGCGAGCCATCTTATCGGGGCAGGAGTTACAGACCGTCTTGGCCATGACGTACGCTTCGGGCTCTTCCTTGGGCAGAAGTGTTGTCTGGTTTCCGGTCAGGTCGGCCCGCGTCCGGGGCCCACCCGGCGGCGCTGCACGGAGGAATTGGGCCATAATGACATCTAAAACAGAAGGTGGTAGGTTGGGACCTTCGTCGACCAGAGTAATAAGGATCTCTGTCATGTGGAACTCGACGTCTTTGGCAACCTGTTCCCCGGTGCTGGACTTGGACGAGCCGGATATGCCATCGAAGAAGGACGAAAACAGCTGTAGCAGAAGATCCTCGGCGTTCGGTAGCTCGTTGATGAGCAGAATACTCTTGACTTCAGCAAGCGACGTGAGCACGTATTTATGTTGTGTATTGTAGGCATTGGTAGGGTCCCACAATGCGGGTAGTATGACTTTGACGAAAAGGCCGAATATTTCCTATAGAATGGCATCAGTTTCATGTTGGGGCAACGAGGTGACGACCGGGCTCGACTCACCTTGAGTTGTGATGGAGTGAAGGGTGCATCTGGGGCGCATAACTTCAGAATGTCGACCAAACAAGAAGCAGCATATGCTTTGACGCCTCCTTCCTTATGCGCCAGCAGGTTATGGGACGCCAACTCCTTTGCGACCTTGGTGAGCGAACCCTTCTCCACTGTTTCCTGGTCCATGTCCACGAGCTCGCGGGACAGCTTCTCGAGGCGGCGCAGGAGCTCGCCCGTGGCAATTGGCTTGCCAGCGCGCCATGACAGCGGCTCGTCAAACTGCAGGGCAACGAGCTCCTCCTCCATCTCCTGGTCTTCCTCCTCGGCGGGTTCGTCCCTGGTCCGGGCCATGATGACGTTTTCAGGACGCGACGTCGGTGCTTTGGCGAATGGTAGGTAATTTTTTCCCACCGCTAACTGGCCGGCTGAGTATTCGGGCAGTATATTCCTGCGGCCCCACGTGTGCTTCCGTGGCACTCGTCAGGTTAGAGCAATAGGGCGTGTCGGAAAACCCCTGGCCGGCAAAGGGGGTCTAGACGGCAAGGCGGGTGCTTGTCCGTGGGCGTGCTTGTTGGCGCCTGTGCCTGAACCTGAGCTTGTGCTTGTGCTTGTGCTTGTGCCTGTCTCTCTCTCTGCCTTGGCTCTGTGCGGTTATGCTATGCACGGTATGTCGTCGGCCGTCGATCCAGAGGGCAGCAGTCCCAGGGCGGTGGCCGGCATAGACGAGCGTGGGCTGACGCGGCTGTCGAGCAGCTCGACGTGGGGTGAGTGCGATGCAGGGCAGACCCAGGCGGGCTGGAGAGGCGTGCGCGGATGGAATGCCGGCTGGGGGTCGATGCGATGCGGTGCTGCGCGCGCTGGGCGGGGAGGCGATGGCGGCGGCGGTGGTGGTGTTGGTGGTGGTGGTGAGAAATGGCGGAGACCACTTTGTGTGTTTCGTCTGGTGTGACGCGCCTCCGCGCAGTGAGCCGTTGCCAATTGAAGAAGGCGCGCGTGGTTCTACGCGCCGCACCCCACCCCGTTGCCCTAGCCCATGACGAACGCTGGCCCAAGCTCGGCATCCTCGCCTGCGCTGGGCTGCGGGCCTCGCCTCGAGCTCACCACTCTCCTTCCGCTTCGGCCGCAAGCTCCGGCAGATTATATTGTCGTCGTCCTCGCTACGGCTGTCGTTCTACTCGCCTGCAGCATCTATAACCTGCCATTGGCAACTTTGGACGGGCCCTATCCAGGGTCGAATGCTATCCATCAGGTCCGCCGCAGAGGTCCGCCCAACTGATCTATCCCGGGGCCCTCACCCTGCCACTGTTCGCCTTGGCACCAAGCAATTGCCTGCCACCGGTTCCTGGCCAATGCTTGTTTTCCTTTGTCGCGGCGCGAGGTCTTGTTTCTGGCAGTTCGCACTGCTGGGCCTTGCCAGCTATAGCCTGCCATCTACTTCCATTTAACTCTATGTCCTACCCTTGTCTGAAGTCTATCTGCAACCGTGGACTGTGGATCCCTGCCAGCTTCCAGACCGTTCAAGCTCCCGAGCTTCTCTTTGCCTTGTATCCGTCTCATCTTGTTCAACGACGTGCACTATCTACCCGTGCAATTTGTCCGTGACGAGGCGCTAGGTGCGATATTATGATGGACATAATTACTCCGCTATCATCTACAGATATACCTAGCTAGTAGATACGTTGGACCTGGCTGCAGCAACGGCTCTTCTGCCTCCGTCGGGACGCCATTGGGTGGCGAATTGACGTGAGAACTGACGTGCGGACCAGCCCTGCGGCGCGAGGCTCGTTCCTACCCTCCACGTTGCATCAACTCTGACTACCTTACATGTGAGCACGTTCCAGTGTTTCATGCAATAGTAGCTCCGATGGACACACAGGTTTTTCCAGCCTCAGGGCGAGTGTAACTCAAATTGGAGCTGACGACGGATGGCGATCGTGTCTAGATTCCAGCAAGCTATACCAGTCCGGAAGCTAGAAACAGTATCCCGTCCAGCCGTTGCTGTCGGGGGGCCGCACTAGTGGCAGCAGCGACTACGCGTCCTTTGTGCCTCCTCCTGCCCAACATAGCTACCGAGCGGCAGCGTATAGTCTTCCTCCATAGTCGCTCATGTGTAACTTGAGTGAGCTCATTCTCACCATGTTGAAATCGTCGACCAAGTCACTGACGCGATTTGGGATATATAAAGTAGATCCTCCACACCCTTTGAATGTCCTTTCACCACGATCAGCACACATAGGTTATTCCCACTACACTCCTTGGCAGAAAGACATTCGCTTCACATCAGCAAGATGAAGGTCTCCCTCCTTACCCTCGCCCTTGCGGCTTTCGTTGTCGCCGCCCCGGTTGCTCAGGAGCCCGAAGCTGCTCTTGCTCCCAGTGGACATCCATTCCCGTCTCACAGTGCTCCACCATTCCCTCCCAAGCGTTCGTAAAACTGTTGAATATGTCAATTATCCCAACGAAGACTGACACGTCATAGCGACGGGCAAGCCTCCGGGACCAAAGCCTACGGGAAAGGTGAGAAACACCGGCAATGCGATTCTTGTCTTTCCTCGCGACTCAAAATTATAGAGAACCTATAGAAGAAACTCACTAAACATGTGTATTTTAGCCATTTCCCCCACGCGACCTTCCCCCGAAGCCAACTGGCAAGCCCGGACCTCCGCCTCCGAAACGTTTGTGATCCTCTGTTATGCATTGACCTTGCTCAAACTGACGTTTACAAGCCACTGGCAAGCCCCCGGGCCCGAAGCCTACGGGAAAGGTTAGTGATAACGTGAATCCTTTAATACCGTTTATATTCCATTTATAGAATTTGAAAGCAGAACATTGCGAGACTGACTCTTGTTTCAGCCTTTCCCACCACGCGACCTCCCCCCGAAGCCAACTGGCAAGCCTGGTCCTCCGCCTCCGAAGCGTTCGTGAACCAATGATATCTGGGTAGATATTTCTTGGACTAACTTCATCATAGCCACTGGAAAGCCTCCGGGCCCTAAGCGTATGTTTGTTTGAAGGTTTCTTGAAAGTCATAAAAAGCTCATGTACTTCAGCAACTGGGAAGCCTTTCCCGCCGCGGGACCTTCCCCCGAAGCCAACGGGCAAGCCTGGCCCGCCTCCCCCGAAGCGTTAGTGAACCCTCGACTCGCCTTCGTGGCATTTACATGTACTGACTCTTTATAGCCACCGGAAAGCCCCCAGGGCCTAAGCGTGCGTTCACCTTCCACTTTTTTCATTTTAATATTGTTACCATGTTGTTATTGACTAATGTACTGTAGCAACTGGAAAGCCTTTCCCCCCTCCCACCTATTAGGTTAGGCGTCGTGGCGGTCCCATAATAGTTATACACAACTCACCCGAGTCAGCAACAAGAGAGGGTACATTATGGGCCCTTAGGGGTTGGTGTGAAGGCAAGTCTATCTTGCGTGGGGTTTGGAGATGAGCAGCAAGTTTTGGGATAGGAAGCGACGGACTATTGGTTCGCAACAGGAGAAAACTTTCCACCTTTCCCCGTCTTTAAAATCTCAAGGGTTTCTCATGGAACGGGATTGGAATGAGTCCATGGATTATGCGGGCAGTGCTCATCTTTTCTCATCAGGAAAGATCAGCGAGGGTGACTGCGATGTGTGTACGTGGCAGTCTACGTTTTTCTGGCCTCCGAGCTGAGGCAGACTCTTGTACAACTACCCACGGCGGGGAGCTTTCGATTCTTGTTTCACTGGCTTTGGTTAAAGACATACCTCTTGTACATAGCCACTTCAAACACTTCTTTACCCAGCCTAGCAGCCGTTCTTTCTTGAGCCTAGCCAAACAACGCGAGCACTCTTTTTTAGCTGGGCCACGTTCAATACGAAGTATGTGATTTCGTTTTTTTGCCAAGCCATACGCTCGTTTGATCACTTGCGTTTGTGTTCGTGTGGCGGCGTGCTTCAGGTTCCTGAGCCTGACAGTTGATTTGACTGCCCCACTGGGTGTCCTCGTGCCTTACAACTATGAAGATTCATGGGTTGATATTCCATACGCCAGAGCCCCTGTAGGGCATAAAGTTCCAATTGCCCTTGTCTCAAGAATATCAACCCTGTGTCTCTACTATGCCAGAAATGACCAACAATCTGGTACAGAGGATGCGAAACCTCAAGTCGATGATGGCGTCGTGCAACACATGAACATCTGGGAATGTGAGATCGACGTAAGCCACAGATCCATAATGCATGGCATCGTTTGTTCTCCAACTTGGCTAGAGAGCGACATCAGTTGGCATATCTGACTCCACGGCTTTTCCTGAAGTCAGCCACATACTTAAGTTGCCATACGTTATCACTAGAAAATGGCATATTGACATTCCTGGAGTGTTCCTGGGTACAGAAACTTGGCGTAGAAAATATGACCCTCTTGAACCATGTTTCAGACATGATGGTATCAGCGCAAAAGCACGAGGGTTCATACTACTCCACCAGGCATTATGACTCGATTATAAGCTTAACGTGATCACTCCGGACTCAAGGAGGGGTAATTTGGCAACGTTCAAACGATACATATGAGACTGTTGACCGCAAAATTGAGATTGCATACTTTCATCATAGAGGGAACCCAGTAATCTTTATCACGGAGCAGTCTGATAAACTGTGCGACCGACCATCTTCGACCAGCCAAGGCCCCAGCAAAGAATCGTACGTCCCCCAGGTCTTTTTACAGTTATTACTGGGGATCTATGATCATGTGCCAATGATATTCATTGACATCTAAAAATGGTATCATAGTATCTCTCCAGCGAATTATTTGGCCGGCCCAGCAGTTGAAATAAATGCATGGGACGAACAATCAATGTCACCGGAGACAAAGGCATCACGGTAACTTGATATCCGTGTTGGTGTAGAAAATACAATATTTGATCACTCCCAAGCTGAGGTGTTTTGTCCCGCGGCGCAGCAGGGCATGCTATGATACCGATTATGGCGATGAATGTACTCACCCAGACCTTGGTGTTGACCCGACGACAAGTCATCTGATCTGCATTTTTCAGTAAATTCACCTCGCGGTCCGGCCACCGGTTCGCGCTGTTTGCACAATCAGTAAAATCAGTACATGGTGATCCACGTTGATTTTGGAGAGCATATCAAGCCATTCTCTCGACTCTCACACCTCCCCAACATCAACAATCACTTCGGTGCTTCAACCTTCCTCTCGTTCGGATCAGTGGCCACACTCTCTTTATCACCACAACACGCGCTGAGGATTGTCCTGGGTCGTGTCTTCACATTCATTCACGTCTCCTGCTTTTCCTAGCGCTTCTCTTGTACTTTGCATCACCATCGTTTTCGAACACCTCCTCACAAAGCTGACAACATACCTTTGGTAAGCAATAATCATCATGCTCTCTTCCTCCTTTGACAATCTGTTCGCCTCGAAGTAATTTCGTGTACCCCGCCGTGCGCACGCTTCTCGCTCTTATTTTTCTCGTCCCTTTACGCGCATCAGCAAATCCGTTTGCGTTGCAAAACCCAAACCCGCCTATTCCTCCCCTCCTCCCTCGCACTTTTGATCGGCCACACCCCCATCCTTCACTCTCCCAACCTCACATCACCAAATCATTCTTTCACCTTCTCTTCATCTTCTGGTAATCGACGACGGAAGAAACGCACACTGCTCACGGTACCAGTTCACCTCTAGGGTTGTATCATCATGATATCTGCCTTCTTCGCAAAGCGCGACACCACGATGCCTCCCAGCATCCGCGACGATCATTCAGAGGTCTACAGCGGTGGCTCGACCTTGAAGATGGAGCACGACAGCCGCGCTGAAGCTGAGGCTCGTCGCGCCCCTAGTAAGTTACGCACGCCCACATCTTGACGGCGCTATTCTTACATTGATATACAGTCCGATCGCGTGCCTGGGCCTTCATCAGCGTCATCTTCCTGCTCGCGATTGCCGGTCTTGCCGTCACCCTCAGTGTCTGCTTCCTCAACCATATGGGTGAGTAAAATCTCTGATTAAAAGTTTTTTTCCCCTGCTGACCTAAATAGGCACCATCAACAACTTGTCTGCCTGGATTGAGGAGGGCAAAATCTCTACTGCTCACACCACTGCTCAGGATGCCTTCGGCAAGCGACAGGAGTACTCCTACGGCCAGCACCCCACTGTCAACCTCTCGACCTCTACTGTCTCTTCCACTGAGTCATACCCTATTGCCACCTCGTTCGCCAACGTCACTACCAAGGTGACCGTCACCGAGTCTGCCTCTGGAAGTTTCTCTGAGACCGCTCCTGGTGTTCCTTTCACTACCTCGGCCACTGTTACCGGTGAGCGATCCACTCTTACCGAGACGGTCGTCACTCAGAACAACCTGACTGCCTCTGTCCCCCCCAGCATTGTGACTTTGCCTCCCTACACGGTCACTGCCACTGTCGGAACGAACCAGACATTCACGCAGGGCGTTTCTTCGACCTCTATCGTGTCTCCTGCTACGGATACTGTGACTGTGACCAACGTCAACTCTCTGACTGAGACGGGCATTGCCAGCTCAACCGTCTCGGAGTCGATTACTCACCTCACTCAGATCAGCTCCGTTCCTACCACTGTCTCGGTCACTTCCAACAATACGACAATCTCTGCCACAGACGACTCGGTTATCACCAGTACCATCTCGGCGACTGTTGTCCCTGTCCCTGCCTCTAACACTTCGACTATTGCTGCGGTGACTGGTGGCCCCCCTGCTTGGACTTCGAACTCGTCTGGCTGGAACACGACCGTCTCGTCGTCGTTTGTCGTCCCCACTGCTGGCACCATCAGCATCACTGTCACGGATTCTGCTTCCAGCACCCAGTCAACCAGCTGTACCGAGTCGGTTGGATCCACCGCTTCTAGGTAAGTCACCCAAAATACCTTTCAGATATTCTCTTGAGGCTCTAACATTTTCAAGCAATGATACCATCACTGCCAGCGTGCCTCCCCCGAACAGCGCCTCATTGTCGACTGAGACACACCTTCATACCCTGACCTTGACCACCGTTATCGATGGAAGTACCACCTCATCTCTCAGCTCGACCTCCTGCACTGGAAGCGATTCATCCATGATGAAGAGCTCTACATCGTCTTACTCGGAGATAATCACTGGCACTGAGACTACGACAATCTTCCACAGCACTTCCACCACTGTCATCACCTTGACGAACACTGTCCATCTCAGCATGCAAGATGTTTCCACCAGTGCAGTCGAGACGATAACTGTCACGCCGTCTACCACCATTACCCAGACAGCCGTAACAACTCTGTCGCCGACTTCCACTGCCTCTGTTTGCGCTCCGGCTCCCACAGTCACAATCACGGCTACTGTCGTCCAGACTGTCACTGCCTCTCAGGACTCCGTTGGTAGATCTGCCAAGGGTATGCCCAGTGTCATGCAGATCAGCAGCTCTGTGTCTTCGTCAGCCTCCGGAATCCCCATCATTTCCATCTCGCCGAACACTACAGTCTTTCTCTCAGGTCTGACCAGTCACAACGACCTGCAGTCCACCAGCAAGCCCTGCAACGGCACCTCGACTACCACAGTTGTCGGCTCTGGTATCACCACCTCGTCGAACGACGCCACCACCGCATCCGCCAAGGGTGGCTTGATGTCGCACAGCATCTCGGACCTGACTACTACACCCGCCTCGACCACTCTTGTTCCCACTGGCAGCGCCGTCAACTCGACTGTCACTGGTAACATGACCACCATGCGCGGCACCGGCACGGTTGGCACTGTCTACAGCACCTTCACCGTCCCGGCTGCGAGCACAGGCAGTCCCATCGCTGCGATGTCAGCTGGCAACAAGCGTGCCGAGCCCAAGCTTGGTGGTGGTTCAGGCAGCTGCATTGTCATGCTGGTTGCGATCATCTCACTTCTTCTCATCTGACATGCACCCTTCGAAGTGTGTCCCAACAGATCTGAATCTGGTGGAATTGAGAGATGATTGCCGTCGAGTTCGATGCACAGCAACGGTCATCCCTGTCGTAGAAGGTGTCTTGAGCTGTGCTAGATATCACGGCGCTTCTATTCTTTTTCCGCGACTCGTTTGTCGGCGACAGCATTGAGGGCATGGAGTGGATGTCTAGTCTTTGTGCTTTTCTTTCATAGTTTCTTTTTGAGGACTGACACGGATGGACACGATTGTGATACTTGGTTGAAAGAATCTGAAATATCCTTTCAGATTCTCGGCAGCCTTTCATCCACATCATGCAATCCATTTCCCCATTCGTGTAGGATAGTCCCCATAGTACAGGTTTTACAGGGCACAAAATCGCAGTTGTCTTAAATGATGTATCTCGTCAGTGAAGAAGCGCATGGTGATCCAAGGTTGACTGTAACGTGTCGTAGACCTCGTTGCGTGATAGTGCAAAAGTTGAAATCCAGGCTTGTCTTCTCCGCGGCGCTCGTACTCCTGTCCAAAACACAAGGTGTCGATTGACGAGGGGTAGCAGGAAGATCACCACCTTGCTCAATCCCCTCTGCTCATCTTGTATGTTTTCTCCTCAGATCATCGGATGGCTCTAAATGGGGTTTGAGGATTCCAGACCAAGTGGATAGCACCGGACAGATATCTTCAGTTCCGCCTGGATCTCGCCTGGATCTCGCCGTAGAGGCGCTGGGGCTTGACGTTGAAATATGAGAGCGCTGGAGTCGGACCCCACCACGCTTATTCCAGATCGGGTATCGGGACAAGCTTTAATTCAACGGTCAACGGCGACGGAGTGAAGTTGCACCGTCCATCTCCGTCGGAGCCGGAGACATTCTCAGGTTGGGCCCGTTCCTATTGCTGACCAGAAAGGAGCTTGCTGTCGTTTATTTAGGCCATCCCACAATGGCGCTGTGTCGAAGTCTTTCGTGTCTCCTCGCACTGCATAAATTTCAGGGACAGCATGCCTGACAAAAGTGCTGTGAGGAAAACCGGCCCAAGGGCTTGTACAATATGCGCTAAAGCTAAGTCAAGATGTATCCCTAGCGCTGCAAATGCTTCAATATGCGAGAGGTGAGGCTAGAAACCATTCTCCAGCGTTGCTTGAGGTTGTTAACGGGGCCACCGAAGGTGTGACCGGCTGAAAAAGCCGTGTGTGCAACGCGCACCGGCTCCGGCTCGGGAGCGGAAACGGCCCAGAGAATCCAAGGTGTCGCAGTTGGAAAAGAAGATTGAGGATCTCAGCTCTATACTTGTGGCTGAGACGACGAGGCCTGAGAGTGCACCAGAATGGATTCGAAAGAAAAGCAAGCAGCTCATGTCCTACAGCCATGTCTTCCCTTCACATAAGTTGCACCAACCCAACTTCGCACCAGAGGAGTCGCCACGAGAAGATGCGAATGAGGAATGGCCGGTATGCATCAATTGCCAACTTTCAATATAGATAGTTCAGATGATCAAGTTATCTGACAAGACGGCAGGAGATTTCTCATTCTTCCGGTCTAGCTCAGACTTCGTCGACCGCTGGATGGCCAACAGGTCAAGAGGCACAGATGTGGCTAGAGAGATACCGAGAGAAAATGATGCGCCTATGTCCATTTGCTATCATCCCTCCGGGCATGACATCAGATGAACTTCGTAGAGAGCGGCCATTCCTGTGGAAATCATCCATGCTCGAGGCCTGTAATGAGGACGGATACCGCCAAATGAGCCTTGGGCGCGAGTTGTTGAAAACCTTCAGCGAAGCTCTGATTACGAAACCCACAAAGAGCCTAGATTTGCTCCAAGGGCTATTACTCTATATTGCATGGTAAGCAACTTGCTCGGTTGGACTTCGCTGAGAAAACTAATATCTTGCCAGGTTTCACTATGGCTTGAACAGTTTCCAAGTTACAAATCTGCTCGGGCTGGCAAGGTCACTGTGTATGAGTCTCGGGTTTGCTCAGTGTAGTCTTCAAAGCGACCCATTCAGTTACTCGTCATCGTCACTAGAGAAAATGAGGGCGTACGCCGGCACATACTACCTTGTGACATCGTGAGTTGCTTCATTCGAGTGCACAAGGACAAACTAATAATCTTTTAGTGCATTCGCTACAAGCAAGATATCCGAAGCTTTTATGAGTACCAACTATCTAAGCACTATTTGCGATATTCTAGAAGAACGAATCGAATATCCCACAGACAGGCTTCTAGGCAATATGGTGAGGGTACAGGAGTTGGCACAATCAATCGTCGTCACCACCTCGTCACTATATCGCAACCCTCCGAAATCGGAGCTATCTACACTACCTTCGATACTCTTAGTGAGGAGCTTTCAGGGCCGTATCAACGACTTGAAGTCAACTATACCGCCAGATCTCCAAGACAACCGTACGATCTCACCTAGGATCTAAGTTACGAGGATTACGCTAACTCGGTGTCATAGCTCAGCTACTAGCACATATTCACATCGCAGAAGTCCTGTTATATGATATCAGCCTACAGGATATGCCACCTGCATGTAGCATATTGCAAGACACCGACCGCCTTGAGCTGCTCTGGTCGCTACTGGGTTCACTTAAATCGTTTACGGCCCTGCGGTCATTCAGTGACTTAACTGGAAGCACACAATGGCCTGGCATTTCGTGTGTTGACTGCATGTACGCGTTTATCACCTGCCTGAAAATCATCACTCTCGACGCCCCGGGATGGGACTTGGCCTTCATACGAAAAGACTTGGATTTAACTACCCATCTCGAGCGTCGATTGCAGGCTGTAGAGAGGGCATGTACACAGCGTGGTCAACGACAGAGGCTGAGTGTAGCGGATGGCAAGAGTCAGGAGAAGGACCCGTACGAAAGGCTAGCTAACATGCTTCGTCATGTGAAAGGCATGCTTGAGGTCTTGCCGGAACCTACGGTTGTCGCGTCATCCGCGGCCCAGGTGGTCACACCGCAATCCATAGACAGCTTCCCGACAGGCATGGACAACCTCTCTAATCTGAAGCTTGGTATGTGGCATCAGCGTTGGGAAGACACAGGGGAGGATACACGTGACTGGGATGACGGAGTCAACGGCGCTCTAGACTTCACACCAGATTTGATAATGTCCGGATATGTGCCATAATCCCGGCCCCTACTTCCCCTGATAATGCAGATCCGACCATCAGCAATAAACAACGTAAAAACATAAAGTTGCGTACAGTCTTGATCATGAATCCTTTTCAAAGTATGTCAACACGCCTTTTGGTTCCAAGTGGACATCGTAAGTCATGCATACCGTATAAAGGAGACTTAATTTATACTCCGTTTTCTTCTTCACTTAACCACATACGCCATCCGATGGAGTGGTCCTTACTACCACTGGATTGCAGACGATGATGGCACTATAATATTGCTCGAAAGTATTGTATCACCTCAGGCTTTGCGACCAGCCGGGCTTAAAGCCATACTCTTTTTAAGCGATAGTTATCTTACTCCCACCAGGCTCGAGGTGCCGCACCAGACCCAGCCATGTTTAGGCATGCAGATTGGAGCAGCTACCATATCGGGAATTTTGCAAACTCCGACAGCAAAGGAGATCTGCAGCCGACTTTGTAGTACGCTTCCAATAGTAGCTGGGCCTAAAGCGTGGAGCCACGTGCGGCTAAATAGACTGATGGCCTGCTTAACTCGTCTCCCGGTTGCTTCACCCGACTTGGCTCTAGCATACCCCACAAAGTGTGACCCGGAAAGGACATTCCGTTGACAGAAACTCATGATCTCTAAGCCAGTCATTCGGTGGGAGTCGTTCAACCCTGGATGATCCCTAAGCCCGAGAGTTACTGACCTATGCCGAGTTTCCCCCAACGCGCCACTGATATTTATAGGATCAGCTATTATGGAGGAACCGGCAAATTGTGAGGAACAGTCCAGCAAGAGACACCAGTTTCTGATAGTATCTTATAAACGAATGAGGCTCTAATGAAATTGAGCTGTTCACCGGCAGCTGTCATTTTTGACTAATCTTCAATCAGCCAACCTGAATACGATCAACAATGAGGGGAACAAGCCTGGTTTTAGCTGCTGTCACTGCCATCCCGGCTACAGCACTCTCACCATGGCGCCGCGCCGCGAGTGACATCACGGTTGATCTCACCAAAACGTATCAGACAATGGACGGTTTTGGGTGTTCTTTCGCTTTCCAGAGGGCTAACCTAATCACGAATATGTCCGACAAGACGAAGCAGCGCCAGCTTCTCGACCTGCTCTTCAATACGACGACCGGCGCCGGGCTGTCCATTGTCCGGAACGGTATCGGCTCTTCGCCAGATAGCAGCAGCGACCATATGAATACTTTCGCGCCAAAGAACCCAGGGGGCCCCAAGGCGGCACCACAGGACACGTGGGATGGCAAGGACTCTGGCCAGTTATTTGTCAGCCAGGAGGCCTATAAGACTTACGGCGTGAGGACGATCTACGGAGACGCCTGGAGCGCGCCGGGCTACATGAAGAGTAACGGCAATGAAAACAACGGCGGTACGCTCTGCGGCGTTTCCGGCACGAACTGCCAGAGCGGCGACTGGAGACAAGCTTATGCAGATTACCTGGTACGATACGTCAAATACTATGCCGATGCAGGTGTGCCAGTGACGCAGTAAGTGTGGTGTCCGATACCAACTCTCTACCTCCCCTGCCTTTCCAGATGCCACTGACTGTTTCTATTACAGCATCGGCTTCCTCAATGAACCAGAATTCGCAGCAAGCTACGCATCAATGTCATCGAATGGTGCGCAAGCTGCCGACATGGTCAAAGTGCTATCTTCCACGCTAAACGCAGCAAACCTGTCCTCCCAGGTTGGCATCGCGTGCTGTGAGTCCGAAGGCTGGGGAAACCAGGTGAACATGCTCAACGCAATCAAGTCGGCCGGCGCCGAGTCTCTGCTCAAGACCGTAACGTCGCATACATACACTGGTGGGTCGTCGGGTCCGATGAACACAAAGCTCCCAGTCTGGCTTTCAGAGCAGTGCGACCTCAACGGCCAATGGACTACTTCTTGGTACGGCAGCGGAGGTGCTGGTGAGGGACTGACCTGGGCCAACAACATCTACAGCGCCGTGGTCAATACCCAGGTTTCTGGCTACCTGTACTGGGAAGGCGTGCAGTGGCCGGACCCGAACACGAATGAGAAGATGATCAAGGTAGCTAAGTCAGCACCTTACGATTATGAAGTCTCCAAGAGGCTATGGGCCTTTGCGAACTGGAGCCGCTTCGTCCGACCTGGTGCCGTAAGGGTTGGAAGTAGTGGTGGAAGCGGAGTGAAAAGCGCGGCATTCAAGAACGTGGATGGCAGCATAGCAGTCGTGGTTATCAGTACTGGAGGCTCGGCGAGTGCTGTCAATATCAAGGTCGCAGGGGTAACGCCGACGGTGGCCTCAGCCTGGGTGACAGACGCCACACACAACTGTGCCGCGGCAAATGTTACTGTAGCTGATGGGGCAGTCGCGGGAAATGTTGCAGCTAGGTCGATCACGACATTCTTCATTACCTCACAGGCCGGCGCAGCGATATAGACTACAAGAGTCTTGAACAAGAGGGCTGACGCCTTTTGTGTTGATTAGGCCAGGACCTGGATATATGTCACTGATGACTCTCTCTATCTACTTCATTAAGAATGTTTGAGCTCATACCCATGAGAGAGGTGTCTAGATCTTACTCAACAACGCCCCCAGGGCCGTCTTCGTGTCACTGCTTGTATCCTTGACCAGCTTGACAATGTCCCTGAACTCACTGATGCCGGCATCTCCTACGCACTCGTACAGCCAACTCTCACTCGTTGTGACCACGGCGCCCTCCCTTCTCAGTCGGTCTAGCGCAATGGGTATCTCCTCCTTGTTGCAGCTGCTCACGCCATCGGCCAGCACGTAGACTTTGTGTCCATTTGCCAGGAGGTCCAATGTGGTCTGGGTCACGCAGATGTGGCTTTCGATACCCACAATCACCACTTCTGACGGCGCCGATGCCTGGAAGTGCTTGCTGATTTCCGGCACCCACATGCTGAAGTAGGTCTTGTCGACATCGGCAGTGGCTTTCTCCAGCAAAGGCTTCAGCTCAGACACCGTTTCGCCCAGCCTCGCCCTGTTTTGAGTAGTGACAAATGTGGGGATCTGGAGAACCTCGGCTGCCCGCAGGACCTTCTGTGAAGTCAAGACGCTGTTTGATAATGTCAGTATACTAATCGGCGTGTGGGCGTAGGCGACCTACACCTTGTCAAAGTTCCAAATGGCGTTGCGGAATTTGTCCTGAAGATCGCAGACACTATGAGGAGCGTCAGCGTTGTCCTGAGGCGCAGATGGGGGAGTGGCCTTACAATATGGCAGGCCTCTCTGGAAGGTTGACGTTAGTTATCTACGTATCATATCGCGTGATGGTCAGACACCTACGGAGTCGCCGCTGGGGGGTGCCTTGCTTGTCGGCCATGGTTGAGGAATGCCTCGGCTGAATGGGAGTGGGCAAGCGGGGGAGGACTGGCCGCGAGTGCGAAAAGAATGAGTGCTGGATTCGCGGTATTCTCAACCTATACATCCAGTGCCACACTGTATTGGATGAGCCGCGAGGCAGAGGATAGTGGTTTTGAGGCTGTGGCGATAGGTTCAGTTCAAAGCACATGTCTTCAGGGTATGAATCGGGGAGCCGCGGGGCAACGGATGTGGGGCATCGAATTGCCGGCCGAATCCGGCGGCCGGACCGTTTCAGCAGCTAATTATGTTTTTAACTAGGTACCTGAGGTACTTAATTAGCGGGCAGTGGGCAACTGACCAACTTAGACCACCAGACAGGCACGAACTGACAGGGACCGTGTCTGAGTCAACATCTGCAGGTCCCTGGATGTTACGAATAACAGACAAGCAAAAGGAGAAGGGCACGAGGAGACTGCAAATGCATCAATAATTCAAGCCAAGCTGCCCGGCGACGTGACGTGTATTCTGCCGAAGGCGATTTGCTAGAAAGCGTACGAAAATTAGGCGAGCTAGATTCTACAGATGTGGACATAAGCCTAGGTATCATACAAGGGCCCCCCAACACCTGGGTTGATCCAGCCAAGTTCCTCTTGTGGACTGGGGAGGGGGAGGGTGCGTTGGTCATATTAGATTGTGCGACATGGGCAATTGAGACTTTCAATGTGCAGAGAGCCCTTATCGGCCAATTGGTATAATCTGGATGAGGTGCAGCAGCCATCACAATAGCTATCCCCAGCTTTAACGATGGTGCATACCTAGTTCACACCCCACTGCCACGAGCTCAGAAGCCTGACGTCTGGCTACCTATGCGTTTGTCATCAGAAGCTATGGACCAAGCTGCGCTTAACAATTGTTTCGCCCAACATTGGAATCCACAAGCCAAGGCACATTGTTGGTTGGTCCTTGGCGATAATCTCGCACTGGAAGCTGTAGCCGGATACTTACATGTTGAACAACTTGCAGTCAGTTCGTGGCCAACTGGGGCGGCGATGTGCCCTGCAGCAATCTAGACGACGAACCATCCACCCCCGACAAGTTGTTTCCCACTAGCGTATGCCACCAGTGCCGACTTGAAGTCGCTTTGGAAACACCTTCACGCTACAGCCGACACGAAGATTGGGCGCTATGGTCACGGAAGCCAATTGAATTGGGATTATAGGCAGGGTAATAAATAACTATATCCTATAGGCCATGGCTGCTATGCAATCAGCGACCTCGCATATATTAACCGAGCAGCTTGAATCCGAGAACGTCTAATTGATACTTCTATGTGTGGGAATTCAATTGCCGAGTATCGTGACCAACAAACCATATTTATATAGACGGCTCTCGGAGTTCGATGGATAGTGCTTTTGGTTTAATCATTTCTTCCTCCGATTTCGTGGAAACAGGTGGTTCCATTGATCGGACTGCGATGCGCCTCTCCGCAATTTTGCTGTCAACGACAGCGGCTGCGCTCACTGATATTGAGCACAAGCCTTTTATGCGCAAAAACATCGACCCCATCGTCTTTCCTGGCAAATACGTGTCTCGTCAGTACCCATAATACCCCCAAATGTTTGTTCTCTTGTCGAATGGTGGATGGTTATAAGGGAGTCAAGTGTCGTATTTCAATGAATGGGCTTCCTAATACCGTCGTTGTTTATATACACACATATTTTCTTCAAAGACATCGTGTTTTCTCCAAAGTCTAACATGATTGTATTTTTTGCAGATATGCATTCTTTTTACGGCTCCGACGCGGTCACGAAGGACTTGCCGACAACTGAACAGTTGCAGGCAGGGTGTCCTTCTGGCGAGAACCCAAATGATCTATCCGTTTACTGTAATTTTATCATCCCCCATGCTTCAATGTATACTAATGTAGAAAGGGGCTCCAACACTATACTATGTGAACGGCGACAACTATACCGAAATATATCCCGCAACGTTTAAGACGTACTATGAGCAAATCGACCACGCCGAGATCCCGTTCCCTAAGAACTTTTACGCCGTCGCCGGCAACGCTAGCGCCAAAAGCCAAGCTGACATTGACGAGAAGATCAATGCTATCACATGGTGGTGCGATGGTAACGGCCCTGAGGATCGCAACAGCCGGCCGCGTGCAGCGTTCCCGCGTGTGACATGTAGCGCGCATATGCAAGCAATCCTTCGTTTTCCCGATTGCGTGAATCCGGACAAAATCACCGAGTACACATATGCCGCAGCTCACGGAGGACGCTGCCCGTCTGGCATGAAACGCATGCCATCTCTCCGTTTCTCGATTCGCTACGACACACGGCGGGCTATTCCCCAAGGTTGGAAGGGCATCCCGCCCATCAAGCTTGCATGCGGAGAGGTATGGAATACAATCCATTCTCACTCTGTGCTTTTGAATGTGACAATTAACTGACCTATGGAAAGATGGGTGAAGGATATTGTTTACATGGTGATTTCATAAACGGGTGGTTCGAGGACGCCGCGAAGAATATGCTCCAGGCTAAGGGTCAAAGCTTTATGAGGATTGATGGCATGCACGGCAACGGCAAACAGTTCAGCAAGTGCAAGGCCAAAGACGCTGATCCAGAGAATGGTACGAGCGACTACCACAAGAGCTTAGAAATGATGGGTCAAATGCCTCACACTGCGAAGAAGTGAAATACCTAAGTAATAGAAGCGCCATGCTTACTATGAGTTCATACAAACATGACGAATATGCTTACAGCTATACCTTGTGTGAGCCATATAACTATAAATGATCACACGCATCATAGCGACTCTATACGTGTCTGATACTTGTGTCTGTAGTAATTGTGTAGAGCAATAATGACGAAAGTGGGTCTTCAAATCAGAGGAGCAACACTAAGCAAACTTATGACTGTACCTTTTTTTTTTTCTCACCAGAAAGCGAAGAAGTACACGCAATCTTCACCTTTCTTTGTGATATCAGAGCGGAAATGGTTCTAGTAAGTTATACAGCTTCAAATTAACAGTCTTGAACATAGTACTGGCGGCCTGCTCGGTCGTTGCCTACATTGTACGTGAGGATGCCAGCTCTACGGCATCAGAAGACTATCTGCGCTGGCGACGTAGATATTTACATTTTCGTGGCTCCGAATCGGACTTTGCCAGGATACGCGTAGGCTTGTAGACGCATGCTCGTCGGGGTCTGCTCTAGGGTCCAGGACACGTTTCTATTGGTGAAGCCCAGACTTATGGCAATCCAGCACCTTTCTTGACCGCTGATTGCTTCAGCCTATGCAAAATAACCGCAGTATAACTATCAGTGGTAGTTGAGGATGCGGCTTTACCTGAAATCTTCTCTGACTGAAACGATTTCACTCAGGTGGCCATTTAGTAACGGGCTCGCTCTGAAGGTGTGGTTATATCCGCCACCAAGGAGAAGCAGGCTGTATGAAGAGTGGAAGGAATAATAATCGTTAGCGGTACAACCGATGGAAAACGGTTCTAGGGCTATGGAGTGGGCCGAATTCCGTTCCAAGAGTGCCCGCCGATGCATGGATCAATTGAGTTTAGCGAGCTTGGCCTACTCATATCACACGTGAGACGAAACGACTGTAGAGGCAATAGATGTGTTCCTGCTGCTGGCCATCCCAATGGCCACTTCCGTAACCGCAGATTTCGAGTTATTATCGATTTATGGGAGCGCCACAGACATATATAGGGTGCCACTATAGCATTTATAGCATTTAGCCTAGTTATACGTAGCACTTGGCCGTTTGGTGAGATGACCGTGAGTACATACATGTCTACCACAGCGTCGCTCACAGTCTCTCCACGCCAAGTGATTACTTCGCAGGGAAGATACCCTTACGTATTAGTGCTTACAATGCCAGAGAGTCACATCATAGGCTACATATTTTCCTCGCGTGCTATTGCTACTTTTCTATGGACAGCGTCAAACACTGGGGAAAGGGATATAGTTCTATGAGCGCCAGCCGCCACTCGGTCTTCCATGTATTGATCACGTAAGCTGCGGCAGGGTATAAGCAGCTTTATGGCCCAGAAAATAGACTGTCACATGGTGCAACGTTGCCGTTATCTGCGAGTGGTTCAATGGGGCTAGAAACAGGGCGCTAAGTATTGCAATCGCAGCACCAAGTTCACTGGGATTTCAACGGAAGTAACCACCGGGGTGGGGGTTTATTATATAAGGAAGCCCTAGAAACTGTAATCATGCAATTCATTACAACCAACTTCTTCCTGTTACTGAATTGTTTTCCCATCGATAATATTGAGAATAAAATCAAAGAAAAGTGGTCGGCAAGAAAATGGCTGGAACGAAATCTACAGAGGCGCTCCCTGCTCTTCCTTCGGATATAACGGTCGAATGGTTAGGCTCCAAACTCAGGCACAAGGTCAAGTCGATCGAGAACACCCACAGCATTTGGGGAACGGCAAGCAAACTGTTTTACGCTATCACGTATGAAGAAGATGAAACCGATAAAAATGATGACGGCGAGGGAAGACCGACACATATCTGCATCAAGGGCGTGTTTGACCCCAAGATGATAGAAGCTCAGCCGTGGACGGTTAGTTTGGCACAGCGAGAGGCTGAATTTTTTTCCAAGGTGGCGTCGCAAGTGAGAAACATGATATTCCCCAAGGGATGGTGGTCAGGCATGAGCGAGAAGCAGGGCATCGCCATCATGAACGACCTCACGAAGGAAGGATGCTCTTTTGCCGCTGATGTGGCCTCATACGAAGTCAAGAAGGTCATGAACGGGGTAGAACAGCTTGCTGCTCTTCATGCGCAATACTGGGGCCAAAGCCAAGAAGACCATCCCTGTATGAATCAACACCCTATTCTGTTTTCCTCCAGGTTTCACTTTAGGGATTGGTACTAACAAGAAGTCTCGACAGGGATCTGGAACAATTACGACCCCGCGTTGAAGTTTATCTGCACTCCATGGGATGATGTGGTGCGTCAATTAGGTCGACCCCAGCTACCCGAACACCTGATGAACGGAAAGCTCTGCAATGAGGCATTAAATCGTTACTTTGCCGAACGCAACCCACGCTTCCGTACGCTTCTACACGGAGACACCCATATTGGGAATATCTACTTCACGGCTGAAGGAAAAATTGGGTTTCTAGACTGGTCAGCGTTCCATTTCGGATCCTGTTTCCACGACATCGTGTACCACATGACGGCCATGCTGAGCATTGAGGATCGTCGTTCTCACGAAATGGAAATCCTTGATCATTACCTCGACGCCCTGCATCAAATGGGTGGACCCAAGTTTGACCGAAACGACCCTGAGGTTATGATTGAATACCGACGCTCTTTCATGACTAACGTAATCTGGCTCGTCTGTCCCGATGGTCTGCAGTCTAAGGAGCGGGTTGCTATGTTGTGTGAGCGTGCTGTGGCTACGTATGAAGACCACAAGGTCATTGAAGTCATTTTGGGCCAGCCGGAGCCTACTGCTGCTGCACCTGGGGCTTGAGTTTGTGTTTGTATCTGTGCAAGGTCTGTATGTTCAGAATCAAAGCGGTTTCAATGCGCCAAATCACCACTTTCATATCTAGGTACGCCTGCAGTCACATATGGTTATAACAATACTATGAAGATTTCGAGAAGGAAACCTTAAGTTCATACCGGCGCTATATTCACACATCTGGGTGCTGTAGCTATCGCCTAATCAACGCTAGGTATTTTTGACGACACGCCAATGAGCCAACTCGCTCTTTCACGTCTTCAAATTTCATATCAATCTAACAACCACTGAATAATATCCCATAGATTAGAGGATTGTTTGCATACTCCCAGGAATTCTTGTATACATCTTGGATCTTGACTTTATGAAGAATCTTCCGCCTACCCGTCATTGGACGTCACCGTAGCCTGATCCATGACTACAAGAGCTGGCAGTACACTTATGGCTAGCTGCCTAGGTAGGTGGAAGAGGGCAGGAAATATAGTTTCCGGTCTCTTCATGCCACTGCCTTGGAGATGTTGTACTCGTTGATGACACTGACCAGCTTTTGGAAACTTCCGATAGGTTGGTAATCCAGGTCATTGAAGCCGAAACCTTTGGGCCCACCGATCTCGATTCCCCTGGCTGTCGATGTCCACTTCTCCGAGGCCGTGATTCCAAGCACCACAACCAGAAGGCCGTATCTGTATTCCTGGGTCCCAACTGCCTCTCCATTCTGGGCATCGATGACGCAGACCAAGTCCGGTACCACCGCGAGGATCTATGCAAGGTTATAGTCAGTGGACAGCGCACTAGGGAATGCAATCCGGTTTGCTTACCTGCTCTTTTCCATCTGCGTCTATCTTCTTGACAAATATGTTCTCATTTTTGAAAGGTATCACAGCCTTCTCCGTCATACCAGCACCATCTTCTGCCGCTGACTCTATAATGACCTCCCCGTAAGCATGCCCCATTTTGGTGACCCTCTCGACTCCAACAATTTTGCCCTTGAAGAGAACTTTGGCTGACTGAGGGCCTCCAACTTCGTCAATAATAGACTCAGCGACAGTGTCGATCTGGTTGGTACAACGTGACATTGCGACAGCACGACCGATCCTCCAAGATAGTGAGATCGTGTTTTCTACTACCCAAGACTTGGTGTTCGCACCACTGACTGGTCCCTTGGCACATCCGACGTGGGATCCCATTTGGGAAAGAGCAGCGCGAAATGCACGCTCGGCCTCCAGTTCTGTGCGAGCCTTCGTCATTATCTGCGTTAATTAGCCAAAGATCAATGCACTTTCAATGGGAAATTTTGCTGTGACTTACCATGACTCTTCCATTTCCGTCGGATATGGCCGATGGTATCATGGTCGCCTTCTTTTCAAAGACTACAGGTGTTGTCTGCCATGAGACCGGGTATGCCCGACCCATCCAATCCCCGTCAACAGTCGGTATATCCATATTCGTCGATGCTCCCAAAATTAAACCTTGGAGGCCATTGCCGCCCCCTATCTCAAGAGAGATTACGGCATTAGGCTTGAGTTTGAGAAAGTCGTACAGGACTGTTTGAGACTCCATAATTCTGAATAAGCGATATCAGCACCAGTAGGCCTCGAATCGAGAATGGAACTTACTCATCTCCGTAGGGCTTCTCTATCGATACTTGCGGCGACCCCTTACCACCACCGCATGCCACAAGATCGTCGTCTTTCAGATCGCTGGGGGAAATGACACGTACAGTGGCTCCAGCTCTGAGCATCTCCCGAAGCCGCAGCATATGTTGGTAAGGGCTACCACCGCCGCCTGTACCTAGTATGTAGCATCCAATGGTAATCCAGTCAACGTCTGTCTCTGAGATGAACCATTGTCTATCCAAAACTTGCGGCTTGTAACCCTCTATATAGTCTTTCGTGAAGACAAGCTTGTGAGGTGACTTGGACATTTCCAAGGGGCTATTGCGCTGGTTTTCGCACGATATCTGATCTGTCTCTTCTGGAATGGGGTCGGCTTGGTCGTTCATATTTTCCTCCATGCCCGAGAAATCTGTCCTCGAGAAGTCGAAATCCCCAACCGCTTTGATGACAATCCTCGACTTGTCTGCAATGTACTATACTTGCGCTTTAGGAAAGATTATTTAGATAGGCTGCAGCATTGTAACGTACCTGTAGTGGAATGCTCTCAACCTCCGCAATAGTTATAGTGTCCCGCAAGGCACCATTTTCTACAGCCTTCTCGACAGCGCGCTTCGATAGTTCGTCAATGGCTTGAGATACAGTTCGTAACTCCGTACTTTCAATAGAGTCGACGACACCACTAACTCTCGCTGTTGCGGCGCCGATGGCATTCGCAACACCGGACCAGTTAGGCTTGATAACCTTACTGGCACCTTTCAAGGTGTCTGGAGCGATTACCGCTCCACCTCCCACCAGAACAACGGGGATGTCATCTGGAGAGGTCTTCATTGTGTCGACGATACGTTCAATGGTTGCTTTGACTTTGGCTCTGAATTCATCAAGTCCGTCCTTCAAAGGGGAAGAATTCACTCGGGAGCGGTCGCCGATTTGAAGTTCTTCATTGCTTAGAACCATATAATCCGTAGCTGTGGGAATGTCGCCCCCAAATACCAAGGCTTTTTCTTGAATCTGATAACCGACACTGTCGGGTCCAATCTTTAGACTTCCATCCTTGTCTTTACGGACGATCGAGCCACCACCAAGTCCAATGCTCTTCACATCCGGGTAAGAAAAGTTTGTCCGCACGCCTGATATCTCGCTGTACGCCGCGGCTTGTCTCGGGAATCCATTCTTCAGTAGTAGGCCTACATCTGTGGTAGTACCACCGATGTCCACAACCATCATCGCTTCTCTATCAAGTCCTTGTGTCAAGAAAGCAGCACCACGCATAGAATTGGTCGGACCACTGGAAAAGGTCCTAATGGGAAGTCGAGCTGCAGAGTGGGCCGGCAGAATCGTCCCATCGTTCTGGGTGATGAAAACAGGACACCTGAGGTTCAGGCGGCCAATTGCGTCTCGGAACGCATGTATTGTGCGTCGGGCGAATGCCAAAATGGCTGCATTGAGAACAGCTGCGTTCTCCCTCTCTAGAAACCCGATATTGGCTACATCTTTGGACTTGACGATGTCGACATCTGGGAGGAGTTCTCGGATAATCTCTTCGGCCCTCTCTTCCTGGCGATATACGACATCGACAGGACTGAAGACACCGACAATTACGATGCTTCTGATCCCCTGGGATTTGATCTCCTCGCATTGCCGGCGGATTTCGTCTTCGTCAAGTTCGCAGATTAAGCTGCCATCAATTTCCAAGCCGCCGTCGACGAGCCCCCTGTAGCCACAGATGATGTTCCGAAGCTCCGGTGGCCAGTCTACACCAACGGGGATCTCTTTTGAGAACGGCCCGCAAAGTCGAAGCACTGCCACACGGGCAAGTCGAGATTTATCCATCTCAACTACCGCATTAATGAAATGCGTGGTGCCGATAGTGACGCTAGCAACATCCGTGGGGTCGATGTTTGACTCCCGGAACATCTCGTTGATGACATTGTTGATCCCATCGCTGGGGTTCTTAGTCGTACTTGACTTCTTCCAAGCGACTATGCCTCTACCTGGTTCAGATGACCGGAGAGGGTCAAGGATGACACCATCTGTGTTTGTACTGCGCAGCAATGTCAGCGCTCCGTCGACGTAGGTCCATCCAAGACAAGGGGCCTTACCCGCCGACGTCGACACCGATCCTCAAGTACGGTACCTTCATGGTTTACCAATTCTGGCTTTCCGCAAAGTTGAGGTCGACCTTTGATCCGAGTTTTACAAAGCTAATGGAGGACTATAGACTCGAGATGCAAACGGTAGATACTGGAATGAGCGACGCCTAGGAACCTGATGACTGACGAAAGTATTCAAGACGTGCTGCAGAAGTCAATAAGCGCCCCGAAGATTGTACCACACTTTAGCTAATGCTTTGAGTGTACCATAGTATCAGACCCTCTCCGATTGTCCGCCGATGAATTCACGGGTGTAAGTAACAGAGACGGCCGGTCGGAGGCCAATCATTCGGACCTTGAGCGTCGGGGTTGCAGGTGGGACTTCAGAAACAGTGGGACGATCGGAGTGCGCCCGAACAGCCGACACCAAAAACGCCAACTGAACTCTGCGCCTACATCGAGACAGACACGCGACTAAGCAGATAGAACAGGCCATGTAAGACACGCACGAGGTTCGCTCTATGGATTTGAAACCCTGAAAGGTTATTGACACGTGTGACTCTTATCTGTCATGCCCGATCCAAGCCTCCGGATATACAGAGGTCCTATTGAAAGCCGGCCCGCTACGATGCATTAAGCGGCGTGGTTTACTCTGTCGGCAACACCCCCGACGGTTATCTTTACGGCACCACATTTAATGCCGTGCGCCAGTCCTAGCCGCCTTGGCCTGATTCGTGTGTATTTGGACGCAGCTTATCATTCCCTCAGTGTAGATCATACCATAATCCGGCGTTCGGCGGCCTGTCCCGGCGGTGCGGCCGGGCTCTGATAACGAGGAGTATCTCCTTGGCGAACTGGTGCGTTGGACGCATAGCCCAAGTAGATAATTCATTGAACCCCCTTAAGAAATCAATTGGACAGCATGCACGTACCAGTGCAGGAAGCGCTTCAACATTGAGAAGCAATGAGCAAAGTCATTCGCAGGGTCAAGGAGGTCGCCGTCCTCAAGGCTGACGAAGCCCATCATGAAGAAGTCAGCGCCTGGTGCAATCGTGACTTGATACCTCTCCCGCCCTCGCGGCGCACCTGGGGTTGGTTCAACTTCTTTGGCTGTTGGTCGATGTAAGCAGGTCAACCTCCACTCATGGAAACTTTTGCGCGGAGGGTCTGGCAAGATGGTGTAGAAACTTACTGACCTGCTGCTACAGATCTTCCCTCAACATGTCAACATGGCAAACTCCCAACACATTTCTGACGCAGGGGCTCTCTGTGGGACAGTCGATGGCTATTGTGGTCATTTCAAGAGCCCTGTGCACCCTCTTTGCTGTCCTTGTCGCTTGGTGTGGTTTGAGTAAGTCAACTTGAAACTATTATCAACAATTTATAGCGTCGGTTGTAGAATTTGACCAGCTGACCTCGTCATGTAGCATGGCACATCGGATTTACGGTACAGAATCGTTACACATGGGGAATGAGAGGCAGTTATATCCCCTTGTTGCAACGGATTCTGTTAAACTTCATTTGGTGTGCCATTCAATGTATGTGCAGATATTCTCCCATAATTTGAAACACCTTCAGAGTCTAACGGATTATTGTATAGGCTGGAACGGTGGTAAGCTCGTTAGGTAAGTCAAGGCGCACTTACTAGGGCAGATAGCTCCAACAACTCTGGAACGTTGCTAACCGAACCTATCCCAGTGTGTGTATTACTGCCATATGGCCGTCTTTCTCCCAGATACCCAACACGTTGAGCGCCAGTACACCCACCACAACATATGAACTGATCGGATTCATGGTATTCTGGATTATTTCGGTCCCCTTTCTTCTGATAAGACCGGAGAAGTTCAAGAAGCCATTCTTTGTATCATCAGTTGCATGTGGCTTTGCCATGATAGCCCTGATGATTTGGTCGCTATCCGTCGCAAAGGGAGTGGGCCCAATCTTTTATCAGGGCCAGAAAGTCTCATCGACCTCCAAATGGAATGTTTCGTGGTTAATTCTCGGCGGCATCAACCAGGCTATTGGCGGCAAGGCCGCAGGAATGACTAACAGCAGTGACTTCTCGAGGTATGCCAAGAGAAAGCGAGACTACATCGTAGGCACTCTGAGTGTCTACTGGCTAGTTGGAATCCTTGTCTGCTTCGGAGGACTAGTCACCACGGCTGCATGCCAAAAGATATACGGGGAAGTCTATTGGAACCCACCTGACTTGTTGATGGTGATGATGGACCGTAAGTCTGAAGACATCTACCTAGCGCCCAGAGTTTTCGCTAACACGTGTACCGATACAGATGGCAAAGGTTCTTCTGCCGCTCGAGCAGGCGTGTTTTTTGCAGCACTGTCCTTTGCATTTGCCTCGATGTTCGAAAATGTCTGCTCCAACTCCGTGGCGGGTGGTATCGACCTCTCTGGACTGTTTCCCAAATATATCAACATACGACGTGGCTCGCTCATTACCTTCTTTGCCGCATGGATCATTCAGCCATGGCAACTTGTAAATAGGGCGGCCACATTCGTTTCCGTTCTGAACTCGTTCTCCGTCTTCTTGGCTCCCATCATGGGCGTTATGGTATGCGACTACTTCCTGTTACGAAACCAGAAGGTGCGGTTTTCGAGTCTCTTTCACCCTGAGGGATCCGACTACTGGTTTTGCCACGGCGTCAATTTCCGAGTCATTCCTTGTTGGATTGCTGGATGGGCACCGACAATAGGAGGCTTGATCTCCACCGCTGGTGGCATCAGTGCACCAAGGGCGGTTTCCGAGCTGTATTACATGGCCTTTTTCATAGGGTTCTTCATCAGTTTTACTCTTTTCTACATTGTGAATTTTTTCTTTCCGCCAGAACACCTCGGCGAGTACGACGAAGTGGATAAGTATGGTACCTTTACGGTCAATGAAGCAGCGCGATTGGGCATCATTCCAACAGAAGCAGTGGACGATGTTACAATTGGTGATTTGAAAGAAGACATGGTCGAGACTCAAGTCTCGGTCTCTCCAGACGCGAGAGACTCTGGACACAGACGATGGTGGGATATCAGGCGATTGTAATGACCACTCTTCGCGCACAAGGAGGAAGGAAGGTCGCATTGACTTTGAACAGAGGGAACAGGTCAGCCCATATTTACGTTCCAACATATCTTACCAATGCTACCATGCATCGACATTGCAATTCCTCCTATGTGCTCCGAATCAATCAGTACATCTGTTCTACCAGTGAGTCCAGTCTGTGTCATGTGAAGAGTGGGTCAACATTACTATCGCCTCCGAGGCAGGAGTCATATCTGAGTCGTCACGTGATCCATAGCACGCAATTTTCTAGCTCGTTTCCATCCACCGTTGACCCACCGAGACTGTGACTCCTGGCAGCGCAGTCAGTGCCCGTTTTGGCAATTAAAGATACCAGAGTGCGCGCAGCTGTTGAGCGTCCTGCTTGATCATTTTCCACCGGCCTGATCGGGCAGATTATCCCGCTTACAATGGCGACGCCATTGCATGTGATATGGGGGCCTCAAAGGAAGCGCCCCCTGAGTGCAGCATTGATAAGATGCCAGCATGTCTCAGTGCATCGAGGCTCGAGGACTAGTATAGGCCTGATCAACGCCCTCAGAGCAATGGGTTTCAACGATGTCTCAAGGCACCGCGCAGTCGCTGGTTTTGCCACCTCACACGCACCGCGGCAGCAGGTGTCTGCCATCGTCGTGGGTGGCGGCGCCTCTGGTATAGCCGTCCTGGGCAACCTGCTAGAGAAGATCGAGCATGGCAAAATCTCCTGGATCGATACGGAGTTCAAAGGCGGTCGCATAAACCGCAAATACCGTGAGGTGCCAAGCAATACGAAGGTCGGCCTTTTCCTTGCTTATGCCCAGGCAACGCAGCCATTCCTGGATGCCATCGAGCAAACACCAAAGCCAAATGCAGTAACAGCTTTGGAAGATCTACCACAGGATAGCACTTGTTCGTTGCACTATGCGGGGGATATGCTTCAGCTGCTGTCGGATGGACTGGTGAAGCATGGTCGAGTGGAACGGTTTGAGGGCAAGGTTGCAGAAGCGAACCACAATGAAGAGGTACGTAACTTACATGTTTCAATTTGAACAATTTTGACTAATCGACCGCATTGAAAGACTTCAGAATGGAGCGTGAAAATACAAAATTCTTCTTCGGGGAGTACTGAGAGCCGGACAGCTCCGATAGTTGTATACTGCACAGGGTCGTCGCCGACCACTGTTCAGCTACCTACATCGTCTACCGCCTCCTCCCCTGCTCTTCTCGACCTCGACACAGCGCTGAAGCCTACAGCTCTCGCGCAGGAAATCGTATCCGACAAGGAGATCACTGTTGGCGTTGTTGGAGCTTCTCACTCTGCCATTTTGGTCATCATGAATCTGTTTAAGCTCGCCCAAAAGACACATCCTCGCCTCCGAATCCGTTGGTTCGCTCGTTCCCCAAGCCTCAAATACGCAGTGTATAAAGATGGCTGGATTCTGTATGACAACACCGGCTTGAAGGGAGAAGCTGCTCGGTTTGCCCGTGAGCAGTTGGATGGAGAGAACCTGGCTTCCAGCGAAGCTGGAAAGGTCATCACTCGAGTTGATTGTTCAGGTGGCGCTCAGAAAGAGCGGGAGGCGATGACCCGAGAATTGCCAAACTGCGACTACGTGGTCCAAGCTGTAGGATTCACCAGGGACGAACTTCCAGCAATGAGCCAGGATATCGTGTTCAACCCTGAGACTGGCGGGTTCTCAGATGCACAAACAGGAAAGGATCTGCCCGGACTTTTTGGGGCGGGAATCGCATTCCCGGAGAAGGTTGTGGACCCTGTGGGCAACGTCGAGTACGCCGTGGGATTCTTCAAATTTATGAAGTTCCTGAAAAAGGTAATCCCAAACTGGGTGGCCAAGACCGATAAATAATCCTTGTCATGAGGACCACGGTTTCTATACTTGTCTGTTGGGCTTATTGGCTGTCTCAGATCTACAGTGCCTGTAAGAATAGACCAAGCGATTCACGAATGTATTACTCAAAGCATAGAATAGACGCGCCATAGAAACAGGTAACTGTTAGGTATTTCACTCTGTGTAAGGGACAAATGGTACCAAAAAACCGTCAAGTGAGTCCATCAGAACGTTGCTGTAATCTTCAAGCACGGGGAAGAAAAATCCTCCAACACCATCTTCTGTTGCTCTGGGTGTATTTGCCATATCAGCCAGCTGTGTGGTTTGACACAGTGATTCTGAAAGATATCCAAGCCCTGCATCCTTTTCCGTTTTCACCCTCTCGCCTGGCCCTTCACGCTGTCCCCCATGAGACTGGGATGGCCTTCTTTTGGTCCGTGTTGAGCAACGCTGCTGTGTAGATTCCTTCTTGCACGGTCGTTGCCTCCCTATTTTCCTGGGGCGTTTCTTGAATTCATCGTCCGTGATTACCTGGGACAGCGCAATTGCAGATCTCAAGGTTTCCTCCTGGAAGGGCAAAGGTACCGTGACCAGTAGGGCCTTCGGCGGATTCTCCAGCATACCGTCCCCAATCTGCCGCCGGGGACCTGTGCCCATACAGTGCCAGCCTGGTTCCTCTTGACTGTGGAGGCTCTGCCATTTCGCGTCTATTGGAGCACAAGGACGACCTAACCGGATGCTGCAATCAACCTGGAGGTAATCTTGGTCCTCGTATCCTTGATCGACATGAAATGTAGTTGTCTGATACATCTGCTTCAAGGCATTGATCAGTGAGTCCTTGGTTGTGTCTTTGCTTTTCAGTGGCTTCTTGTTGGACAAATATCTGTCAAGGACACCGTTTGGGCTTAACTGTCCCCGGACAGTCATTGAAATGCGGGTATCTAGCCCAGGTTCGTTTCATGTGATTGCCATTAGTGTCGAGCGATTCGTTCGTCTTTGAGAAGCATGCTAGATTGAAGAGTATTGGTGATTGAATTGTTCAATCCGAAAGTCGATTTCACCTCTCTTTAATACTTCGAATCTACACATCTCCGGGGCTTTACTCAGGCCTCAACATGGGACAATTCAGTCATCTGCCCGGTGTCACGGTACGCTGCTAGCCAGTACGAATAGAAAATCGTCGCCTGAGGGCCGTTGCATCAGGCTCTCGTTTTTTTGTCCTGAGATTAGTCTGTTGGCGCGTGATCTCGAAAGTGTCATGGCAGGGGAGTGTTGGGTGGCGCCTCTTTGTCCTTCCGAATCACGTGCTCATGTTCTTCTCGCCAACACGTTTTGTCGCGTGCCACCATACGTGAGCATAATTGAGGCGTTGCGATTCAATTCAGTGGAGGCTTCAGCAGGTTGCATGCATCATTACGTGGTAAACCTAGATATTCTATCTCGAATCGTCTGGTAGGGGTCTCAAGCCGTATGTCAGTTCGACATCGCAAATTACTCCTTGGCCTGCATCGTTGACGGACTGTGCGCCTTTAGCTCCCCTAACCCACGGTCTCGGCACCGAGACCAGGATAACCTACGATCAACGTGTAATTGATCAATCACACACAACCAGGACTTCCGATTTTCACATAAAACCATTTGTTTTTGTTTTTTTCTCTTAGAAGAGAGAAAACAAATACAAAACCTTGCGCTCGCAGCCATCGACTCTACTCCCAAATTCCCTTGCCCGATCGATGTCCAAGGGCGATGTCTGCTTCTTCTCAGCCGCCGGAGAACCCCAAGTCCGGGTCGAAGTGGGATCTGATCAATCGAGGGTCCAGAACACCTTCACCACTGGGAACGCTGACCTTTGTTGGGCTGCGCCTCCTCGACATACCCTGGCAATATCATCTTTTGCACAATGGAGCGGCTGAGCGAGCGATCAGCGCTCTGCGTTTGCCGTACACGAGCTACGGGCCGCTTGCGACCACTGGCATCGCGCTGCTGGACCGCATCGACCTGCCGCTGCCCCGATTGATCCTCTTGGCGATGGCTACTGGCTCGGCTGCTAAGCAGATCTTCTGGCAGACGTGCCTTAGCTACGAAGAGTTTCCTCCGTCTGCGGCTGTCGCGGTCAGCGCATACAACACCCTGCACAACTCGCTGAACTCGCTGCTTTTCGTATGCGCGGCGACCTCCGTCCAATCCTCGGCTCCGCAGATCTCCATGTTCGGCTCCGCGCTCCCCTTACCCCTGCTAGTCGGCACGCTAGCATATGCAGCTGGGATCACCATCGAAACGCTGTCCGAACTCCAGCGCTTGCAATTCAAGCAAAACCCCGAGAACACGGGGAAAGTGTGCAAGACCGGTCTCTGGGGTTATGCAAGGCACATCAACTACTTTGGATACGCGCTGTGGCGGGGAGGGTACTGCATGGCTGCTTCAGGGTGGCTCGCCGGTCTGGCCATGGGCATTTTTCTGGGCTGGGACCTGGCCGCCCGGGCGACCACCATCTTGGATGAGTATTGCACGAAAAAATACGGCCAGCAGTGGGCACAGTTTCAGAAAGACGTGCCTTATCGCATCGTACCAGGAATTTACTGACCGTTTGTCTTTTCACAGGCGCAGACTTCATGTCACAGCGGAATGATCTGGGGAACGCTTATATAATATTAACATAGGATGTGTCCCATGGGTTGTCAAACGAAATACCACGCCTTGAGGGATATATAACTATGCCGATTAATATAGAATATAAAAAAGGAAGAAACCAAAACTCGCCAGACGCCGTCCGCTCCATAAATATGATGGCAAACTATAGACTCTTCAAACGGCCCAGGAGTGACGTAATGATTGTGTTCAGGATGCTTTCTCCTTCATTGATCGCGTCAGACAGGGACTTCGCCAAGGCCGACTGGCTGTTGCTGTTGAGCCAAGTGTTGAGGTTGTTTTGGTCGGGGGCCTTGTATGTCCTGATGGCAGGGGGCAGGACCTTGGTGCATTCTGTCAAGGTGTTGATGTTGTTTACACCGAGTAAGCTCAGGCGAATGTACTCTCTGGCATAATCCTACAGGTTCTGTTAGTATCACTTGGAAATCACATGGAAATCAGGTAAATCGTACCTCGTTCCAATGTTTCTGGCCACCAGGTCCCGCGAATTCCTGCCATTCTTGCTGGGTCTTCTCGTGCTTCGAGAGGGCAACATCACTGTCGAATTTGAACACGCGCTTGGGTGTTGGAGCAGTCCCTTGTGTCTGACCGTAGAACAGCACGTCCCATACACCGGGGGTGCTATCCTGGGGATCACCTGCACGCTTGGTGTCGACGAAGAACTGTTGGCTAGTGGTGTGAGACCCAACCAGAGCAACGAGACCGTGGGGTCTGATGGTCTTGTTCTCGAAGAGTTCAATGAGCATATCGGCGGGGTCGGAAGGGTGTGGAAGGAGGAGAGGGTTCTCGACACTGCTGTCCTTACGACCGACGTAGGACTTGATACGGGGGCCCAAGGGGCACACGACAGTTGCCACATTGGCACCCATCTGGATCAAATCGGCCATGGTAATATCTTGGAATCCTTGCTTGTCGTGCCATTTTGCGTACCACTCTTTCATCTTCTGACCGATATCTTGCAGGCCGTTGTTCTCCGCGAGGGTTAACTCGCGGGGGTTCAGAACGAGTGACCCATCGGCACCACCGCCTTGGCTTGCAGTGCCTTTCGACCAGCCGGCAGCATCGTGGAAACCGAGGCGGACGGCCTTGCGGGCCCATTTCGTACATCTGCCAGAAGGGCCGCGGAACAGCTTGGCCATGTCATCGGCGATGTACTTCCAGACACAACATGTATCCTGTTTGCACTGGGCGCTCTTGAGAGCCGGGACATTGATGTATTGGTCGTCGCTCTCAGGGGTACTTCCGCCCGTCAAGAGCTGTTTGATGTCCAGACCCACACGGGTAAGTTGGCCGTCCTGGAGTGTGATAAGGTCTCCGAGAAGTTCATCGGAGTCTCCCTCGTCGATACCTTCACCAGCAGCGTCATCTTGGCGTGACAGAATTTTGGCGAGTTTCATCTCCATGCCAGGGTATGCAAGAACAGTAGAGACTGTGCAAAGTAGCACCGAGGTGCTAAGTAGTTGGGACACCAACATTTTGAACAGGTATGAGGAACTCAAGAATGAGAAATTGCAAGTAACGACTGACAACGAATGGGAAGAAAGAGTGACGATTCTTAGCTTACAGTACCCTGTGAAGCTGCACTGAGATGTACGCGGGTTGAAGGAGATGATAAACTTGAGGAGAGAACATGTCTTACATATAGGCCCCGAGCTATTACAGTAGCACGGCGCTGTCTCCGGGATCAGCCTGGCTCCAGTACCAGCCTGGGCCAGAGGGTCTGCACCATGATGCGGGAGGATGAGAATGCAAAGGCCAAGAAAATTGACAATAGCTCGTATTGAGCAATAGGGCATTCGAGAGGCGCGGACGCCTCAGTAAGGATCTCGCATCCAGAAGCTTTTTTTAGGCATAGCGAGCGCCGGCTGAACTGGCTCATTTGCTTCGAGAAGAGAACGCCGAACCTGACATGATGAACAATTGAGAAAGCAGCCCGTCTTGCATGTCATGGCTTGCGGGTCGTTCAACGTTGATCCCTGCGCGGCTCACTCTCAAAATGCTAGCGGGATGATCTACTGAGGCGGGCCAAGGCGCCTGGGGCCGAGTGCGACTCTGCAGCAACCGCATTCTTGTCAAGGGTCCAGACATGAGAAGTCAGGGACAATATTTGTTTTACGCCCAAATTCTTCCTATGTCGCCGCCTGCAAGCATGTGGTGTCGCCAAGGATTACCCTTTCAGGCAGGGGAGGAGCCGCACTCGCATCCTCATTAGTTGTAACGTGTTCAAAGCCGAATGCACCCCTGGAACTATTGGACAAGGTCGGCCATCATCACGGGAACAACGGATTGAAGGAGTGCAGGATCAAAACTTGCTCGTGGGCGTCGCATATGCAAAGCAGGGCAATATTTCTCCACTGAAAGTTCTTGGGGTGTAGCAATACAACAGTATGGTGGTGCGGTAGGAGTCTTGGCCGGTACGCACGCCCGGTCGAGTCGCGCTTGGCACCTGCATCCCCGATGGAGGGCCCGCCGACCGGAATGAGACACGTCCAGCATCCGCATGGCGGCCTCGTGGGCAAGATTGCTTTTTGCTGAAGAAAGACGGCCGGGGCGATATAGCATGAAGCTAAGGGCCACCGAATGACCCGAGCAAAGCCACCTAGGCACCTGGCTTGCATCGCTCAGGTGGATGAAGAACACACCGCGCTTGAGCACGGCCAATCTGGTGCTTCGAATTTCGAATCTAGCGCCGCCTGGCCCAGCCTCAACCACCTGTCGCCGTCCAAATGGTCCAACACCGACCGCAATCGTATTCGACAGAAGCCTAATGCGTACCTTCAGCACCCTATGGCAGGCCTCGTCAAGCGAGAGAGCGCGGCCGCCGAGTATCAAGCTATGGATCTATTTTTGACGCTATTTCTGACCCGTTGCGAACCCAAAAACCCTAATTTTCGCCGTACAGCCGCAACGCCACACCAATACACAACCCCTGATCAGCTCTTCCTCAGTCGAATTGGGGCTTACTCGCAGATCCTTTGGTACCAAGATGGAGGCACAGTCTGACATGCAAACATCCTTACATCTCAACACGATGTCACGACTGTGCCAAGTGGGCAAGCTGAAAATATTGGCTGCAACTCGCAGCCCCTTTTGATGCATGTGAGTCAGACTCGACCGTCTTATTGTACTCTTGACGCCTGGAAGCTGCCCCTGTGAGAACTCTAGATCCAGCGGTGCAGCAGACTAGACCTACGCCGCCTCAGGTCTACCTGGTCTGGAACTGTAAATGGCATCTTCGGCTTGTCGTGGCAGATGATCATACTAACTTATTAGTTGCTGACACTAACCACCCCAAAGCGGAGAACCATTTCCACTCCGAAAATAGTCTGGAGAATGCTGAGCGCTACGCGCAACTGTCAGTGCAGGTTTTCCAGCACCGACGTAATTAAACTTTTGACAGATAGCTAGGACGACACACGTTAGGGCCGGCCGAGGTAACTAATATCTGATCTCTTTAGTCTTTACCATTGCGCTGGATCGAGCCTCTCCGAGATCGAACCCACTTTAGATAAAGGTGGCCGGGTTCCATCAGACAAGCTCTCGAAACTTAGTCTGTTATGGGCTTATTATATGTTGTTTGTAGCTTTGAAAGGAGACCAAACTCACCATCGAAGGGAGTACCACATGTTCCTACAAACAGAAACATCTTTGGTTTTAACGGACTTGATCCTTTCCCGTCGTATAGCCGTACCTCAGGTATCGCCTTGCGGGGTAACCCTGCCGGAGTATAACACCCGAGCAGGCTCATTGATAAAGACCACTCGCAAGTAATGGCAGGAAGACCGGCTAGAGTCGAAGCTTGTTGTATAGTCGCGAAATTTGCCATATTAGACCTATTCAGACATGATGTCCACCAAAACTGCAACACTCAATGGACCTGGGCTTGTCTACGTTCAATTTCCCGTGTCCCCCGATCTAGCCCATTCAGCCTACGATAAGAGAGAAAATGACAAGATTGCTTCGTATTTGCTTGAAAAGGGGCTACTGTCACATGCATCACAATGGAAATGCGCAGACGTGTCACAGGGCGACCGTTACCTTATGCTTTACCAAGTTGTTGATCTAGCTGCCTTCAATGCGAAGTTCCACAGCCTTTCGACAAGCGACGATCTGTTACCTACAACAACTTCAAGAGAAAATAAAAGAGTCGCGAGCATAGAAGCCTATGCAACATTCTACAGCCTAGCGGAAACCGTTGGGAAGCACGAGGATGGAGAAGGTTCGTTATCGGTCTGTTTCTGGTTTCACACGATTGAAGTTGACCTAACGTAAGGTGATGCGCATCGTTTAACGCACATCATCACCGCTGGAATGCAGCCACAAACCTCTGAGTCGTCTGCAGAGCTGGACAGATGGTACCGCGAGGAGCACAATGAGCAGATGTCAAAGGAGCCCGGGTGGACACGATCCAGACGATATAGACTCGCGAAATTGGATAAGAAGGGGGGAAGCCCTACAAAACATGATGCTAGTGCTCCAGAATGGATGACAATTCATGAATTCGGAGATGGTAACTGCCTCAGTGATCAGGTTGAACCCCTGGACCCAGTGACAGATTGGACACGGAAGATTATGGGCGATATGGCATCTATTGAAGCGTACGTTTGGAAGAATGCGCTTTCATAGTGGATTCGCTGAAGATAGAGCTTCATTGGCGATCAATCGCGAACAATCAGGGAATCACTACGCAAGTCGGAATCATGGATCCCGAATGGTACCCTGAAATAGAACTTATGAAAACGCCGAGCAGTCCAAACCATCAGGCTAGTCTTGTCAACGATGATTATGTCTTTGTAACTGATAAAAATCCAACCTTATAGATTCAATTTTCCAGATAGGCTCCATCAATTCAGGCTAGGGAATGAGCAGACACTGTCCCAACAATAATCATGGATCTGGGAAATCTTGGTACCTGCTGTCATCAATTTGCAGACCAGTGCATTTCAGGTCAAGTATTGCGATCATACCTAGGAAGATACCTAGCGAAATTGGTCTATGATGATCACGAAATCCTTGCCACAGTATGCCAGATGCACATGATACAGTATGTCTGAAGGATTGGGGGGGACCGGAACACATAATACCGCGCATGAAACATCTTTGATCATGATATTTAGGTCCGAGCTCCCCTCCTTCTGGCCCGACAAGTCCCCAAGGGGCGTATTGAGTTCCAAAAACGAACGAACCAACGGCAATGACGGACTGGAAAGGCAAAGAAGAAAAAGAGAAGCCCGGAAAAATGACTCGAACTCTGCATATAGCAGCACTCAATAATGACTCAGTGTTTCATTTAGGTTGTGTAGGGTTATCTCGTACGCAGCTGTAGCATAGCTTCCAGGGCTGCCTGCAGGCAACGCGAAGCATCTCCAGGGGGTCGAAGTTCAACACCCTGATGATATGATTTGTCACTCATTGATCCTACCTCAAGGGGTGGAGATGGGGTTTCACCAATTAAAATGTTGTCAGCTCATCACTTGAGCAATTGTGCACACTATGGAATGAAGAGAAGTTACCCAGACTATTGCCCTTAACAACATGCGAAACTAGTTGAGCAATCGGCGACCCAAAAGCGAAACTCACATGAGATGGCAACCCTCTACCCAGCGAAAACCAATGCCGGTGTCGTCACGTCGTGGGTTCCGCTTGCGACTGTGTACACGCCATCGGTCGGCTGCTCTAGTCAATATCGTCTCAACGGGCCTAGTCTTGTCGCCTTTGACCCGGGATATGGCCTAGATATTGACAGTAGGATCATTTGCCAACCACCGGCGGTGACAACATGGTGGGAGCAAGGTCGTCTGGGTTCAGGGAACGATGCTGGGCACACAGCTGTTTCTCTGGGCCCGATGACTTGTCCCGACAAATGGATCACGGTTGCCTCGTCCGTCCAAGATGAATCCAGCACCATTGCCATGTGCTGCCCATCGTAAGCCTCTGTTCCTGCACCACTATTTTGAAGATCTAACATCAGAGCCAGTGGTTATTCCGTTGCAAATGGGCGCTCAAACTCCATCGGTGGAGATTGCCGATCAACCGCGCTTTCTGGTATGGTATTGACGTACGCATCAACGTCGGGGATTGCAACAACATCCTGGAGCACAGCCACAACGACGCTAACAAGAAATGTTGGAGTGGGAGCCATTGCCGTCGTTGGATGGAACATCAAACAAACAACATCAACAACAACGTCATCGGATGTTCTTGAAACAGCATCCATACTAGTGACGGATACACAAGGGTCGGCTCCCAGAATATCGAGCGGCAGTATAGCAACGAGTACAGAGCAGCAAGCGACCGGTGCCATACAAACATCGGCATCAACCGACTCGCAAGCAGCACCCATACTTGGGTCATCTGGAGGACTATCCGCAGGGTCTTCGATTGGCATCGGCGTAGGCGTTGCCGTGGGCTTTATTGGAATTGTGGCTCTACTGATAGCGCTTTACATGGTCCGAAACCGACGCAGGAGGCTACAACAGTCAGCTGCGGCAGACCCTCCTCCAGAGGTGCATACTGATCCGATGTCTGCGTACCAACAGGATCCCCCAATGCAGTCGACGTACGGGAATAAGTTCATCTACGAGGCTTCGGATCATTCCCGCCCTGCAGACATGGAACTCGATGGAACTCACGGGTTATCGGAACTTCCAGGCTCAAGGTAATTTGATCACTACTAGCTAATAGCCTGAACTGATTAACTCTGCTTCGTTTTACCAATTCAAGGGAAGCACTAGCGAGAATGATTCATGAATGAACAGAGACAATAACCAAGCCCTCTAGCATAATGAAAGTGCCAAGAGATACGCGGTTTATCCTGAGACGCCGAAGAAAGAGAAAGGGTTTCCCAGTGTGACCATGACAAGTGACATGCTGAAGACCGACCGACCGCAGAATCACCAACGTTCAAAGGAACATGAAAAATAATTGCGAGTGTGCGCATGTTTAACTGCCGGTCTGCAGGTAGGAATGCTTCTGTCTTCCTCCCTCTTTTCTAAGTGGAGCTTGCCACTTGTCATTGGAAAATGGAGCTCCTTGCTAAAGTTCGGGCAGGATCTGCTCCGTCAACAAAACAGAAATGAGATGGCTTCTTCGCTACCGCAAATGAGACGGTTATGAAATTCGGGGGGCATCAATGATCTGATGTGTCTAGGTACATGGATCTTGAGAAATTGCAGGTAAAAAGGGACCTGTGATCAGATGCACGTATTGCATGGTTGGCTGCAGGCTGCCCAATTGCAGTCCCAGTTGTGCTTTATATCCCCGTACTTTCGGCCCGGGGCTTTGGGTGCCCCAGAAAGAATGCGGTCCGAAGCTGGCGGCTACGCGCAACCTCCTGCCAAAGGCCATTCGCCAAAGCCTCGCTTCCCACAACTAGCACCGGCATGGACCAACACAGTTTCTTGTACTGTGGCAATCCTGGCTGTACTTTGGAGTCGTAATCTGACCTCCAGAGACTGTTGGATGCGGCTTGGCCCCCTTGCCATTCCCATACGGCACAGTTGAAGGGAAAGGTGCAGGACCGCCAACAGTCTATGGATCTTGCACCTCGTGCCCTTGCAGACGGATAACTCGTCTTGCGCACTCCATTTCTTCTCGTTCCCTCAGGCCCCTAAAGTACTCAATGATCCGTAGTAAGCAAGCTGATAGACACTTTGATCAATTCAATGTTCAATCTGCAGAGCTACGCTGCTGTGCAAGTCTGCTCTCAAAAAGTTTTTATTTTTTGTTTTGTTTTTGAATAACAAGCAAGATGGCAGTCAAAGCGATAAATGGCATCCCATTACCCCTCCGGAGAAAATCTCCATCTCATAGAAAATCAATTGTGTCGCAGAGTCTAACAAGCTACTTTGGTCTCTTGGTCGGCGTTGTCGCTTTTCTTTGGGCTTTGTTCAGTTTTGTCCAAGATTACCCCATCGGCTTCAGCCATCACGCCTCAGGGCTCGTTGATTGGGACCACAGACGACTCGCAGTCAGGCGAGCATTCGAGGACAGCTGGAAAGCGTATGCGGAACATGCCTGGGGTTCGTTGTTGTCCAACCCTGAAGAACACATCTAATACGTGGCCACTGCTAGGGAACGACAGATACCACCCCGCCTCCCAAAAGGGATCCCAGATGAGCCCTAACGGTCTGGGATGGATAATTGTAGACAGCTTGGATACCATGATGGTGATGAATTTGACTGAGCCATTAGCTGAAGCTAGGAAATGGTTGCATCGAAGTTTATCGTACGATCAGGACCAAGATGTTAACACCTTTGAGATAACCATCAGAATGCTTGGGGGACTGCTTTCGGCACATTATCTCTCCAGTCATTTGCCTTTCGTCTCGTCTCGTCGCGATGCTGTTTACCTCACAAAAGCTATCGACCTAGCAGATCGGCTACTCGCCGCCTACGAATCTCGATCAGGGATCCCATATGCGAGTATACATCTCTCTAGAAAGAAAGGAATTGTGTCACACGCTGACGGTGGGGCTTCATCAACGGCGGAGGCATCTACAGTCCAATTAGAGATGAAGTATCTCTCGCACCTGACCAACAATGACACATATTGGCGGAAGGCGGAAACGGTCATGAGCATATTGGATGCTAACCGGGCTAAGGATGGACTTGTTCCAATCTTTGTACACCCAGATACTGGAAAATTCACGACGTCTGAAATACGTTTGGGAAGCCGAGGAGACTCTTACTACGGTAGGAGACACATGCGCATTGACGAACAGCCGCTAACCCACGACTAGAGTATTTGATCAAGCAGTATCTCCAAACATCAGGAGACGAACGTATATATTACACAATGTGGCAGGAGGCGCTGGTAGGAATCCAGAAGCATCTCATTACGACCACCAAGAATTCGCAGCTAAGGTTCGTTGCCGAGCTTCCACAAGGTATTGGCGGGCCTTTATCGCCCAAAATGGACCACCTTGTTTGTTTCCTTCCAGGCTCAATAGCCCTTGGAGCTACAGGTGGTTACACTCTGACCAAAGCCCGTTCGCTGCCAGACTGGAGCCCTGAAAAGGAGCAGGAAATACAGCTGGCGCGAGATCTGATGAAGACCTGCTGGGGAATGTATGCTGTCACGGCAACAGGCCTCGCACCTGAAATCGCTTGGTTCAATGCAGAAAAGAAGGACCTACAGCCAGAGCCTGGCAGCCGGCAGAGATCTTCAGCTAAAGACTCACTGTCTTCGTGGAAAAACGACTACATCGTCAAGCCTTTAGATGCCCATAATCTACAACGGCCTGAGACGGTAGAGAGCCTCTTTATGATGTGGCGCATAACGGAAGATTCATTATATCGCGAATGGGGATGGAAGATGTTCGGTTCATTCGAGAAGCATACGAAGTTGGGACAAGGCAAGGGATACTCCTCATTGGACGATGTCAACCAGATTCCTCCACCAGCTCGAGACAGCATGGAGAGCTTTTGGCTTGTGAGTATTCCATGCATGCTATATACATGATCTAGGTGTTGAGGCGATGCTAACGCGCCAAACCAGGCGGAGACCTTGAAATACATGTATCTTCTGTTTTCACCATCAGACTATTTACCACTCGAGGACATAGTGTTCAACACGGAGGCTCATGTTTTGCCACGATTCAAGCCTAAATGGCGCACTGGGTGGGAGCGAAGTCACAATTAACGCAATACGTGTTTGGAGAGAGATGTACCCGATGGAAGGTGAAAACAAAATGTTGGTCAGTAATGCATGGCATAACTAGGGTACTTTCCATTTGCCTTCCGTACCTTGCAAAACTTGAAACGAGGTCACCATGTATGATATAACCTGCTTGGTCGCGCAACCGAATTGAATTGATTACCAGCTATTAACGCCGTGTAGAGCCTCTCCCCCCTCAGTGACTGGGTTGGTTGAATATCTAGATTAGGGCAAAGTTGCAGTCCACACTGTAAGTCCGTGTTGTATGACTACCATGCCCTATGGAGATAGAACTCTACGCGATTGTGGCAGGGTAAATCCGTGTGGCACAGTTTTGGTCCAGGCTTCCTTGGCTGCCCGAAGTCCTACCACGCAGGGGGTGTTCGCGGCAGGCGGAAGTGGCTCAGCTGCACTACAATCACAAACAAAACCGGTGAATTCTCGAGACGGTTGGTTCATTTAGACTTCCCAATCCCAATCACCAGTACCTATCAACTTCGCATACAAAAGGTTGGTGCGAAGTATTTTCTACAAATTCGCTGGCCCGAGTACCGATTTAATACGCAATCACTCTCCACTTAACCTCCGCCATGGCCGACTCCATATCTTCATTTTTCTCGAGCTTGCTCCCCAACTACAAAGCGAAGCCTGCCGCCGCTCCCTCACGCTTGAGGACCGAAACACGAACAGTCAGTTCCGGCCCAGGTTCTGAAGCAACATGGGCTTCATCAGCTCCAACGGCCACCGTTGTGCCACAAACCCAGCGACACGAAGGCTCAAACGTGGAGCGTGCTCCTAGTGATAGTAACGAAGAGATCAGGAAACGCAGGGAGAAATTTTTAAACGAAAAGTTTGGCAACAGCAAGGCTAAGGGGGGTCTAAAAGCACGCGCAGTGGTTCATAGGCCACATATCCGCCAGGACAGTGACTGAGCGTCGCTCATTGACGGAAGGCAGCCCATTCTCTACAAAACATCTGCGTAAATGCAAGCAAGCACGGAAAGAGGAGCAGAACACAGAGAAAGTAGCTTGAATTTCGGGAATTCATGATCTTTACTCTCAATATGGAGGAACGACACGTTGTCGATTACTATATACCTATCGACCTCGTCAAGTAGTGCAATTGTCAGCATGCTCCACTGCAGCAAATCGTAGCTAGGTACAGTGGACTACGTCCAGAAACGGCAGAGGGAAGTGATGGTGCGTCGAAGCCATGATGCCCAGTCATTGCCGGAGCGGACTCAGCGAGAGCTTTAAGCAGTTTCTTGGTGGTCTGCAGTGATTTTCTCCTTCTCAATTCTAGTAGCAATACCACGACATACGTACGACCTGAATCTACGGGCTGGAAGCTTGGCCGCGAACTGTGGATGTTCATGTTAGTAGAAGTCGCACGCCCGAAGTTGCTACCTAAACTCACCATTTCATCAATTTCCTCCAGTGTGCGCCCTTTGACCTCTGGCAGGAAGAAGAAGACCCATAAAGCAGATACAACGCACGAAGGGAACCAAATATACCCGTATCGAGGGCCCCAGTTGAGAGACTCGGGGTTAATGAAGTATGGCGCCGTAAATGTCGTGATCCATGCGCCGAGGAAGCCGACGGCGGCAGCTAGACCGAATGTATAGCTGCGTAGTCTTTGGGATGGCAGCTCACCACCCGACAGCCAAGCGTAGCTAGCTATCATACCCTGTTTCAAATTAGTATCGAGAGTGCAAGCGTTTCCAAATCTCGAACGTCTACGGTAGACTTACATTGTACGTCATAAGATACAAACATGACAGAGCCACGAGGACTTGACCTGTCACAGTGGCCTTCGGGTTTTTGTCATAAACGATTGCAATGATCAGCTGTAAAATCCCACAACCGATGAGCCCGCCCATCAGTAGGACGCGACGCCGTCCATAGCGAACGACAATCAAAGAGTTAATGAAGATGGCCAGAAGTCCCGTGACGCTTAGAACGATGGACATCGCAAAGGCATCTGACACATTTGCCATTGTGAAGAAATAGGCTTTGTATGCTAAGAAGCATTAGCACCAGTTAGATGTCTTCGAAGACCTGATAATGATCTCACCAATAATAAACATCGATCCCGACGCAGCTTGAAGCGTGACAGCGGCAACTGACAACCCAGTACGCCTTCGGTCAATCGGATTCTTGAACATATCCAAGACGCCGACACTTCCTCCCATTTCGCGTTCTTTATCAATCGCAGCTCGGATCTCTACGATCTCGTCTTCGATTTCAAACCCTTTAGGTCGGAGCCAGGTTAGTGACTTTCGGCCTTCCTCAACTCGGTTCTGTAAGAGGAGCCATCGCGGTGATTCCGGAATGAAGAGCATTGCGATACTCAAGAAGACGGGCAAAACGTATATAATCCCTAAGGGGATCAAATACGCTGACTTATCAGGCCGTTTCTGCGTGGCCCAGTCTACAACAGTGCCAATCAGCGTGCCCTGTCGCGTAGGTGGTTAGCCCCTATCATGCCCCCTATTACTGCCACCAGACGTACAATTGAAGTGCAAAATTGGAAGACGGTCAGAAAGAGGCCTCGATATTTAGCAGGACTACACTCTTGTATATAGAGCTGCGAGAAGGTCATCTGCCAATATATATATTAGCTGTTTGTTGCGCAACACGTTTGTAGAATGCTCGTCGATGTCATGGCAATAGGTTTGAGATGCCATTGTGATGCAGCTTGATTGGAATACTGACGAAATAACCATTGGCCAATCCGATGAGAAACCGGCCCACGTAAAGGGGCTCAATAGTGTCAGTGGTCATCATGATGATTGTTGACACAATACACAGCAAAGAGGCAAGCCAAAGGCACGCTCTTCTACCGAGCTTAGCTGCAATAAAACCAGCGGTGCCAGAACTGATAAAGGCACCTAGCGTCATTAAGGACGATATCAGCTGCTGACGAGTAGTTGAGATATTCCAGCCGATTTTTGTCGTGTTTGTTCTGTAGCCATACACCTGAGTGTCAATGCCTGTCAGCAAAACAGGTGAGCCAGAGTTGACGTGGATCAGCGTACTTCGAGAAAGCCTGGCATAGCCTGGAAGCCACCAATCAAACCAAAGTCGATTCCATACTGAAAAGGCGACAATACCATGATACCACATGCCATGAAGCACCGCCAATGGGCCCGAATGGTGTCATCTTGAGTTGACATAGTGAACAAAAGTATCGCATACTTAGAGAAAGACTGGGAACCCCCGTTTCAACGTCTGGGGGGATTGGTATTTACATTCCCCCTTGTCGTTTATCCACTAACTTCCCCGCACAGCAGGTTGCATGTTGCTGGTCCATTGCAGGTGACAATGGGCTTGGCAGCGGCACTTTTGCCTATTAATCCTAGCACTTTGGAAACGGAGAACCGGCCAGCAGCTGGTCAGGCGGACATTCTCAGAGGCTGCATGTAGGGTCTGGACCTGCGGCTAGGTAGCCTCAATTTGAGGCGCTCCAACAGCTCGGGGTGGAAATACCAAACGCTGCCATTCGTCAAACTTTCAGAGATCAAACATCCACTGAACCTTGTACTCGGGCAATGATGAAAAGTCTGACAGGGAACAAAATGAACAATTGAACCCTTGGTTGATTTGGAAAAGGTTTTCCAGCTACGAGGTTTCTTTTTGTCTAAGTTGAGAGTTAGACTTACGCATTCCAGGCGGTTTGTAAGAGTTGACTAACTTCGGCATATATAAAATAGCCGGTCGCTTCAGTCTTAGCGTCCTGAAGACCTCGCTTAACGTTCATTTATTTCCTCCTCCAAGAGACACGCGCAGAGAATACCACAGAGAGCAGTTGACAGGCAACCTGAGAAGCGAGTCGCAGAGACCCGATCAGGGGAGACTCTAGCCACACTCCCGCTGGCTCCGGCCAAGCAACTTATCGGCTTGTGCACAAATAAGGTTATTGACGCTTCCTAAAACAAGGATCACTGTCTTTTCCGACGACGCCAAGGAAATACTCGCTCACATCCGACCATTTTGGTTCCCCATGCAAACCCGATTTCACGAGCCCAAGTAGCGGATTGAGCCTGAGAAGGTAGTCATAAGGATCTCTTCAACAATTGGAGCACCGTATGTTCTTTTTCAAAATTGGAGTTCTTGGTAATGAATCGAGCAAAGCACCCAATTAAAGCTTCTTGTCATTGCAAGTGTATATGCCAAGAGGTCCACTTTTAAAGAGAACACGGCCACCACCCATTCACGCTTCACGAACTGCCACAGCACCACCACAGGTGGATTGAGCCGCTGTGCTAATCCTGTAATATTGCAAAAATCTAAAGCTAGGGAGGAGACTAAGCTCTCCCCTTCCCCGGACGTCGCGTTTGCTAATACTTGCATGCGGGCACGAACCACCCCTCACCTCTCTTGCCCACCACAGTAAGCACTTGCACTAGCTAAGTCAATACCAACATATGGCGATCGTGAATGGGTCGTGGACCTCAGTCTGCTGACAGCATTGGCAGACTTGCCCTTTCTGAAAACTTTGGTGACTTTTGCGAAGACTTTTGCTAGCTGAAGAACCCCTCGAACGAAGTATTAGTGATGGAGCAAAACAGTGCTTTTGCGTTCTTGGTTCCGGTTGGTTAACATTGAACACCAAGAAAGCCATCAAAAGCGTAGTCTTGGGGCGCCAGGAGATCCTTGATGACGTCCCGATCCCTTCTGCCAAAGGCCATACTGGATTTGTCCTAGTCACAACGAAATATGCAGTTATCAATCCTTATGACTAATGCTGTACAGGCTACGACTTTATGTTCCAAGAGAACGCCACTCTCGGTAGCGAGTACTGCGGCGAGATAGTTTATGTCGCTGAGGAAGGCTGCGAACGCTTCAGGGTCGGCGGCTGGATTGCGGGGTGTGTCTTTGCGGGTAATATGGGAGTTCTACCCAACTCGAGGTGTCTTGCAGAGTATGCGCTTGTGAAAGGAGACGCACAACTCAGCCCCGAGGCATTGGGGCCGAGTGTGTCAGAGGAACCAGCTGCTGGGCTGGGCGTTGCAATTTCTACCGCATTTCTTTTGGCTTGTACCATTGCCTCAAGCTTTCATGGCCGGACAAGGAAGTGTCCGGACCGCAGAACACGATTCTCTTGCACGGCGGCGTGACAAATACGGGGATGATTGCCGTGCAATTAGCGAAGCTGCCCGGATGCAAGGTGCTTGCGACCTGCTCACCAAAGAATTTCGACCCGGTCCGTAATCGAGGTGCAGATTACGTCTTCGGCTACCATTACGAAGGCTCATGCGTTCAAGGGATACAGGACCATGTGAGAAGTGGCCTGAAACTTATCTTGGATTGTGTCGGAGCTGCCGAACCTCCCAGATTCTGCGGCGATGTTATTAGCAATGGCGGAACATGTGCCTCAGTCGCTCCGTGGGGTTTACCACAGAAGGACAAAGATGTTGCTTTTCATTTATCCAAGGACAGAAAGTTCGTGGCGAGCCTTTCACATCCACGGGCAACGTGACGCCCCCGGACCTCGATTTGTTTGAGGCGTGGAAGAAATTCATTCCTCTATTCGAAAAGCTCATGAGGGATGGTAAAATACAATTATCACCTACTAGAGTAGTTGGTGGACTTGACACTGTAGGCGATACGTTGGACTTGCTGAGGAAATGGGACAACCATGCGACGAAGCTCCTATGTACTACATGACCTCAAGTCAATTTCTTGTGATACTTCATGTCAATTGATCTGCATGATAGTATTCATAGTTACCAATGACTACCCCTGATCCATACCCATGCCACCGCAGACTCTTGCCTCTGTCCCGCTACCCGATATTCATTACTATGGTCACTTATGAGAACCGCCCCAAGATGAAACCGTGTGCTGCAGAACTGAGCTGCTTCCCAAAGATGACGATGAGCTTTCACAGTTCGACGTTGAGGTTGAAGTTGAAACCGAAGTTGAATATGAGCTTTGATAGCATGACGTTGACGTCGAAGTCGTAGTGTGCGAAGCTAAAGTAGAAGTAAGTGAGGCTGAAATTGACGAGGAGCTTCGGCAAATTGACGTCGAGGTTGATGTTGAAGCCGAAGATGAGCTTTGACAGTTCGACGTCGAGGTTGAAGTTGAAGCCGAAGATGAGCTTTGACAGTTCGACGTCGAGGTTGAAGTTGAAGACGAGCTTTGGCAGTTCGATGCCGAGGTTGAAGTTGAAGATGAGCTTTGGCAGTTCGAAGTCAAAGTCAGAGTCGCAGTCAAAGTCGAAGTGAGCGAGGTTGGGTACACCAAAGTGTAAGTCGTGATGATTGTGGAAACATCAACCTACAAGGAAGTCAGCGTTTTGCAGATGGCTATCAAAAAGTGGAATAATTAGCTACCTTCATCTCCGGATCAGGTTGGCGTTGCATAACGACAGCGGCATTGCAAAAGGCAAACGCCAGAATCATAGGTAGAATTCGGATCATATTGTGTGTCTTTTTATCATGTGCTTTTTGATAGGTGTGAGTTCTAGTCTGAGAGTGTCTCATCAGTCAGTAGGAAATACGCCCTCATTTATACTTTTCGGTCTGGTCATTCGCGGTTGGAACTGAATGCTCTCCGCAATTCGCCTTCCCTTGCCTACTTGGATGGCTTCTCTCAGCATCCAAGTTCCGAAATGGTTTGCTCAATCTCTCCCCTGACTTGACTACTACTCTTCCAATTGTGAAAGTCGGCTGTGCCATAGCGAGGCAGGGTATTGATCATTATAGCCACAGCCGACCCCTTACTAAGTGGAGTCGAGCCCGAAGGCTGAATGCTCGCTAGGTTAAGTCTATAAGCGGCATAGCGCTGCACTGGTGATCTAGTTCATTACACCTCTCAGTGCACCTAAGATATGTGGATCAAGAAATGTATAGTAACGTGGACTTCAGATTGAAGCTGGCGTAACCGGGCTCTTCTGGGCAGCAATAGTCCCAGATGCGCTGAAGTGCAGGGTCTATTGGGTACGAAAAGAGCCTTTTTAGAGTCATTATTGAATTTACCGAAGTTGTTTCTCTTATTTGTGGCTTTGCGCTTGTATTGTGAGGCCACAAATGGCCATAAATGGTGGCCATCAGACTCTGCCTAAGTATAGACATGCCTGACAACCGGGTTGGACGGCAAGGGCAAGAGATATGATACACTGTGGCGCTATTGAATCAATCGTCCAACAGAAGCGTAAAGCAGGGAATGCAATAGATGTTGGCTGTGCCACTCGCGGACAGAAATAGCAACACTAAACGCGGCTGTGATAGTTTGTTTGCTTGTTGGTTGGCTGGGCTGCTTCAGGTATTCCGCTATCCCTGTCCCGCTTGAACGACACTTCTTTATGGGTATGGCTTGATCAAAGGCTGGCTCATGACACCGCGACCAACACGTAGTTCAGTCGTCCAACAGAAACAAAGAAAATGCGCCCAACTTGATCCATTATAACCTATGACAAGTAGGAAACTTCACACGTCAACTCGAGTGTGATGCGTTCTACCGCCGAGAGATCTGCATCTGACTCAACATGGATATTCCACGCCCTGAAAGGACTCAGGGGCGACGTCCTATGCTCGCCGCTCAGCGCTCCGTCCATCAGAATCTCCTTCGTTGACCCAATATACTCAAATCCGAAGACAGACTCGGTCGTGACGAAGTTGAGAATTCGAGGTGCGTTTTGTACAGACAAATCCACGGCATCACTTTCGCTGACTCTATCGGGCGCCAGGTCCTTCATCTCCCGCCCAAGAACCACACGTAGACTGATCGGCGTATCCTTATCTGTCTGCGCGCCATCAAGAAAGATGCGGAATCCGGTAGTACGGACTCTGCTGTATTTCGAAAAGACAGGGTTCATTATGTCGAGGGAGAAAGAGACACTTCGGTCCTGCCTCAAGGACTCAACGAAGTCAGAAGAGAGGACCATGGGGTTTGCCTGAGCAGTCAAAGCCCCAGTGGACGTGAAGCGGAATCTGCGAGTCTGGGCGCGGACCCTCCCGCCGACCTGTGCAGCAGCAGCTTGCAAGACTGCCGCATCGGCACGGAAGCTCCCTAGGTCTTTCATAGGGTCCACTGTGATGGGGCGCTTGGAGTCGAGGGCATGCCAAGTGTACGCAGAAAGGTACTGCTGGAAGTCGAGCGTGATCCATATTCGAAGCGTGAGGAGCCGCTCAGCCATGGTCAGCCTTACTAAGCGTAGCGCGGACGTGTTGCCTGAGATCTTGGGTATAGCTTTGCGTAGGCGATCGGTGTGCCGCTGTTGTGTAATGCCCTGTGTCAGGACAGTGAGATAAGCCTCGCCAGTCGAGGCGACGGCGACTTGGGCAGCTAATAGCGCTTTGCCACGGATTACCATCTGTGTGATGGCCAGGAAAAACTCGGCTGCTCCGTTGATATCTTCTTCTTTGATCTGATTCCTGTCAGTTATGAGGCAATGTGCTGCCCGAATCGATCGATCTTACCGAGTCATATAGCTTGTTCATCTCTGCCTGGAAGGCGTCCCAATCCGCCGTTAGGTTAATCGAATCATCTCCCTTCGACGCTTCCGAGTGTTAGACATTTGAGCGTAAGTACTCGGACAATGCTGTCACTCACCTGGCATAGACATGCTCTTTATCGTCTTCTCTGCTGCCTCGTCAATAGCCGACATGCTTGAGGAGAGCTTGATGATAGTTGTCAGCGCTGCCACCAGCTTGTCTACCTTCTCCAAGCCCGGCTTCAGCTTGCTATATATGTTTTTGATGACCTCGATGATCTTGGCCATAGTGCCGATCTGCTTTGCTGCCGCTGCAACTCCTTCTACTGCCTTGCCGACCCCCGCAGCTCCAGCAGCGATGCCTGCTGCACCGGCCGGTGGCGCCACGCATGCTACGGCAATGGAGCCCGCGATGGCCGCGACGGCAAAAAGGCCTTCGCCGACGGCCTTCAGGATGTTCTTTGTTTTCCAACTCTCTATGCCATCCTTGAACGCCGTCTGGCGGTCTTTGAAACTTAACTGCAACGATTGGAAGTGTGATTGAGCTTTCTTCAGTGCCTCCTGCGCGGCATTGAACCTTTGACCGGCAAGGTCGGCGATGAAAGCATACGCCTGCTCTGAGTCGACTGACGCCTCTAAAGCAACCGTCGCGAAGAGCTTCACATTTTCAGAGTTAGCGTCCAGGCTCCGAAGATCCCGAAATGCATCGTCGAATGTGGCCGCGGCCAGCAGTCTTGAATCAAGCACCTGCTGGGCAATGGAAAGATCCAGCTTCGGAACAGACGGGGCGATCAACCTCCCTTCGCCGACCACTACCACATGTGAGCATTTAAGCTATGGGTATTACGCCAGGGTCACCAACCTTTGTAAGCCACCAACGCACTGGCGCGAGCGTAATATTCGAGGCCTTTGGCTATACCATCGCAGATCTGCAGCACGAAACGCGCAAGTTCATACGCAGCAGTTGGGTCCCGTTCCTGCAGGACAGAAGCCAGCAAAAGCTGGTAATCTAGAAGGCGTCTCAGGTTGCTGTAATAAATCAGCTCCAGTTCTCTTCACTTCTGGACTCCGGCTTCACATACTCGTTGTAAACGTCATGGCCAATACTCGCAAGTTGGCCATCATCTTTGATGAGGTCGACCAATGACGGGGCGTTGAAATGTACAGCAAGTGAGTCTGGGATAGACTGTACTGATGCAGTTCCATCAGCACTCGCCTGTATTGCCCAACACCGGTGCGAGGTCGGCATCGTAGCCGGGTCTACCGAGACGACTACCGAGGGCTTCTGCGCAATCAAGAACTCGAAAGTGATCGGAGCAGCCACAGTACCGCAATGTAGCATAATCAGCATATCATCCGTGATCTGAATCTTGACGCGGCTGCCAGCCAGCGCTATGCGCGTGACAAAGGTCATAAGCGCACATGTTTTCGGCGGCTGAATTACCGTCAGACACGAGAGACGGTCTGCGTAAAACTCAAGCTCAACGAGCTCGGCTTTGGGGTTAGATTTGGTGATCTTTGCAATAGCGGAGCCGATCTCAAGATCGGCTGCTCTGGCATGGCCAACGGCTCCGACGACATCGTAGTTCTCATAGAACACTGGTTCGTCCGTATAAGCCTTGATGCGATCGTTCAACGACTCGTATGTCTGCGGGGAGAGGAATCTGGGAGTAGTCATTGTGAGCAGTGAGTCAGCACAGAAATGTGCTGTTCATATCACAACGGAATGGAACAGTCCCGGGGGGCTGTCTTTCAGATGGCAACAACGTTGTATTAAGTTTTCTCAACATAGCTCTCATAACCGCTCAGCTGGGAGTTCTGACTGCTACAATTGTCCAGGATTTGGAACACTGTACGCTCATGTCCACTCAGGAAGTTTAACAAGTCGTGTGAGGTTTCTCACAATCTAGACCTGGCTGAACATCAAGGCCTAGATTGTCGCCCTAACCCGGTTGAGAGCCAATAGTGCAGCTGAAGGCCCAATGCGGATGACAAGCTAGCCAGACCGGGCCGCGCCGGACAGACCATACTGAAAAAGCACAAATGCATGGGGAGGCTAGCCGTCCCCAATGTGGTCTAGTAATAGGGTTTACCGTACGACGTTGACGCGTAAACGATGGACCACATCCGCTGGTGCTGAAAGCTGAGCGCTTCGTGGGGTCTGGGGGCAGCGAGTGAGAGCCAAGGGCTTGTTAACAACGTATCTGCAGCAAAGATATGCAGGCTGAAAGGTTCTTCAGAATTGGCCGTGACCTAGATCGCTCTTGGCGTCAAACGTCTCGATACGAATATATCTTTTAGCTCCCAACGAGGGATACTATTGCTTTCGTGCAGAATCCAGGTCTCGGCTTCGGGATGATGACTCAATTGGTCTGTCTTTGAAGAGCGGAATGACAAGGATAGTCTGAATGCCCACAGTGTCCATCACCTTGCTTCGGCCCAGACCGTCGCGGAGCTGTGCATGGGGTCAAGTAACAAAGACGACAGCTGAAACACTCGTACTACATTGAGTAGTTGATGGTATGTCTTGCTGTGTCTGGTATATAAACATGATGGTGATGCCCATGCTCTGTTCAAACATCCACTGTTCCACAGCAATCAACTACTGGCTCTTCATTCTGTAGTCTTCGACTAGGCTTTCGTCTTCCCTACTTACAACATGTCTGAGACGTCGACACTTGTGGATTGGAGTCCAACAGACACTCAAGATGAGCAACTGAAGGAGACCATCAACCAGCTTTGGGTAGTCCCAACAGAGAAGGTCATTAAAGAAGTCCCCGTGGTAAATGAGCAGCACGAGGTTGTAGCACAGAAGCCGCAGTTTATTCTAAAAACGCGGGGTTACTATGGTGAGAACGAGCCACTGCCAACCACATTCGAAGTTGGTAAACATGGTGGAGGCTGACACAGTAGAACTGCAGACGTCAAGACATATGTCTATTCAGGAATGCTCTTCCCCAAGACGAACGACGAATTTTCAGAGCTGTACCCGGCCGATAAGATGAAGAAACTCACTGACCTTGATGATGATATATACACTGTAAGTAAACCGTAACCGATACCCCACCTCTTCGAACCGCGGAAATATAACTCACCATGGCAGGAAACGAGAAATACCATGGTAGCCATCCAGAACTCATGCCAGAATTTCAACGACAACGCCATGTCCAAATGGCGTAAGTAGCCAATATGGGATCCTTGTTCTGAACCTGAGCACTGACAACCCACAGTATTGGTCACCAACCAGACGATCGAATACTCCCAGTATGCGATTGAGTTGTTGACTGGATTTGGCGAGTCGAGCTTCAAGGCGCAGTTGGAGGTCCTGCTCGATGACAAGTACTCGACGCCCGAGAGCCAGAACGATGCGACGTTTCAAAATACTGCACAGATGGCCAATGAGCTGCTAAAGGAGCTGAGCAAAAACGCTCAGGAGAAAGCCACTGAGGTCGGAAAGCTGATCGGACAGCTTCAGGCGGTAAGCATCACCTACTTCGGTCAAATTGTCGATCGATCAGAGTCCTGATGAAGGAAACAGTTCCTCGGTGAGACGACCGCCAACAAGGCCAGGATCGATTTCCTGCGCAAACAGTACTATAATGGCCCCGTGACGGTGGGACGGACCAATATGCCAAAGATGGGCAAAGATGGCAAGCCTCAAGAGCCCTACGCCAAGTGGCTCCAGTCCGAGCTCGAGGCTCTCCGAGAGGAGATCCGCAAGGCATTCAATGACTACAACAAGACCTTTGAGGACTGGGTAAGACAGACACCTTCGCCTAGGTCTTTGTAGAGCTTCCTCTAGGACCGAGTAGCTAACTCACGAAACAGAAACACTACACCACCGTCGCTGTGACAGCCGTGACTTACATCTGGATTCCGGTCGCGGGCTTCATCGCGGGCAGTGTCGTCATGGGTGTCTACGCCGACCGAGCACGCAAGGCGCACAACCTGTACGAGGAGCAGAAGAAGTACGCATTCGACAAGGCGGGCGAGGAGGCGCCGCTGGTCAAGCTGCTGGAGGACATCTCGATGCTGACGTCGCAGCACGAGGACATGGCGACCAAGATGCAGTCGGCCATCGACGCGCTGGGCGAGATCAAGCTGCTGTTCCTGGACCAGTCGCGCAACTTTGGGCTGGCGGCCTCGATGATGGGGCTCGCCGAGGGCAAGCTGCGGTCGTCGCTGTTCCTGCGCAAGAAGTTCCTGCAGACGGCCGTGGACAAGGCCGTGGTCAACTGGCAGCAGGTCGCGGACCTGGCTAAGGAGTTCCTGGCGACGGCTGATGTCAACACCGTGGGCATTACCAAGGACGTAACGCCCCCGAAGGCCGAGTAGATGCATCAAGGAGGAATACCATCGGGAAGGTGGTGTCCAACGAATGGCATTGACTGTTCCAAATAGTAATATGTAATTGTGTATATGTGAGACATGGTTTCAAATATCTGGTAGCTCCCAGCTTTCTGGGTATAATAAATGCATCAATCACATCAGCATGTGGGTTGAAACCGTTTAAAACTTGGGCAAGCGCCGCTAGTTCATGAAGATAATTGTAGCACTTCCACACACGTATAAATCGGCTGGAACATATAACAAGGCAGTATTTATGAAAGTACCAGAGAGTGCAGCTACCACGATCGTGTCACATGTATTCCGTAGGTTGCTGTAGAAAACCAGTGCAGAATGTCGGCCCTTGCTTGCTTGGATAGTCAGTCCACTCGGTGAGGCGCCGAGAGCACCCCACCTTCACCGACGGGGAGAAGCTCTGACCGCCTGGCCCTTAGCCTTGTCTTGCCTTGCCCCTCTATCTGCATAACAATTTTAGGTGCCGCCGCTTTGCTTGAGCTCCAGCGCAGAGACGAATTCCGTGTTTGCAGCCCGCATCGTCGCTACCCAGGCTCAGACAACCCTGGTTTATTTACGAGCACCTGCGATGAGGTGAATGACGCAGTGATACTTGCTCACCATGTCTGCGCAAGGGAAGGAAGCTGCACCCAGGTACGTGTGCGCGTGCACAGCGAGGGGCTTCTTGTGCCCCGAGACAGGGGCTGGGCAGACAGTAACTGACATGCCGTCTTCGGTCTACCTGCAGCAGCGGCAAAGAAGCCGGAGCCACGAACCCCCGAGGAATCCCATATGCGCCGTTTGTCGACAATGTGGAGGACTACGTCACGTCGCGCGAGGAGGTCGAGGGCACGCTGCGCAAGTTCCAGGAGATGATCTCGAAATACCAGTTCATGGAGCTGAACCTGCAACGGCGGGTCGCGGGTCTGGACGACAAGATGCCCGACATCAAGAAGACGCTCGAGACCGTGCGGTTCCTGAAGACTAGGACGGTATGTGGGAGCTGGGCCATGGGCGTTCGTCATGAAGAACAAAACGCAGGACTGACGGGATCATGTTGCAGGAGGAATCCGACCCCATTGAGACAACATTCGAGCTCAACGAGACGCTCTACGCCAAGGCATCGGTCCCTCCAACCGACGAAGTTTACTTGTGGCTCGGAGTATGTGCAGATGCTGCTTTGGGCTGCAGAAATCAGATGACTAAAGGACATCACAGGCAAACGTTATGTTATCATACCCGATCGATGAGGCAGAGACTCTGCTCGAGACCAAGCTGTCGGCCGCGAAGCAAAGCTGGGCGAACTGCCAGGAGGATTTGGATTTCCTGCGAGAACAGATCACGGTATGCGGCCCCTTGTGTGCTAAGCAGCAGGCACGCAGAGTTTGCTAACATCCGACAGACAATGGAGGTCGCCATCGCAAGAGTGTATAACTGGGACGTTGTCCAGAAGCGGAAAGAGAAGGCAGACGAGGAGAGCAAAGGGAAAGACAGCGGCAAGAGCCAGCCGGGCTGAGAATCCCGGAGATTGTGTGAGGCAGATGATGGCAATCTTGTAGGTTCGTATAGAGACATTGAATGATACCCACTATCCCGTGGAGGAGTGGAAATTAATGTACCTGAGTGTGGTACGTGCCTCGAGTACCGGCGGTTGGCATCGTTTGGATGATACACAGCACACTGACGTCGAGGTCTTTCGGCTGAAATTGTAATATGCACATTTCAGATAGCCAGCTGCAGAGCTCTCTCTCGCTCGCTGACCTGACAGGACACGTTGGAAAAAGGTGTACTTGGGGAGATGATTACATATTGACCCTGACGTCAGATAGTGCTTGGGGCCACTAGACGAAATTGACTGGTGGTGAGGATTGGCGCCCCGTCTCATACTGGGCCAGAGTATTCTGATGAAAGTACTATCGTGGATTTCTTCGGACATGTCAACCGCCCAACACGTGAACTGTTGACGCCGGTACGATTGTCCAACCCTGTGAGGCAGCGGACAACATGGATCATGCCGACTCTGCAACAACCTGGAATGTGGAATATGAAGAATGTTGACTCGACCCAGGATAAAGACGGAGAACTGGGGGATGGCGGGGTCCCGCTGGAGTCTAGACTGGATCTCGACCGGGACCCCTGCGTTACGTAAACCCGATAATTTGGCGCGCACAGAGCAGCACTGATAGCCTCTGAGGCCACCGACGGGCCCCCAGGCCGCCCCCCTAACCGCCCTGAGCCCACGGGGGCGGTCCCTCGTTTTTCTGCTGTAGGGCCTCTGGGCCCCTGTCCCCCGATGACGACGGACTCGCACTCCTGATAAACATTCCGTTGACCGTTGGCCCCCTAGACTAAAATCTAGCGAGCTCGCCAGCTACAAACCAAACAACCTTGGAAATACCCTCTCTCAAGTTGACACCTCCGCAGTCTTGACTCGGCATCACACCAGCGGGCGCACCTGAGAGCATATCCTTACCGGCGCAAGGACAGACTGAGACGTTGACCTCCGTCTTCCCCCAAAGCAGCCCCACCTACACACCGCACCCTCTCAACCCCTACAACCTCATCCTCAACCTCAACCTCAACTCAAACCACCGCCACACTCCCTAGACCGCCATGGCCGCAGCACCAGCAACAGACAAGCCCACCATGGACTTGGATCCCAAGTACGACGACTATGACTTCCCGACCACCGCCCCCGAGGCCGCCAGCGGCCACCCGGGCCACTTGACCGAGCAGCAAGTTGCCCAGGTCCACCAGCTCCGTCTGCTGCTGGAGCAGGAGGGCTTCACGCAACGTCTGGACACTCTGACTCTGGTATGACCCCGTGCTTGCACCGCCGAGGCCATGCGCACCATTCTCCTAACGATGTCCACCAGCTACGTTTCTTGCGCGCACGGAAGTTCGATGTCAACTTGTCCAAGAAGATGTAAGGACCGCCATGCCACCCACCATGGGGTATACTGGACTTGGGTGCACCCCAGCTAAACAATGACCAGGTTCGTCGACTGCGAGAAGTGGCGTGCCGACACCAAGCTCGATGAGACCGTGCCCACCTGGGAGTACCCCGAGAAGGAGGCTCTCTTCAAGTACTACCCTCAGTACTACCACAAGACGGACAAGGTACATTATATTCCCGTGGAAAGGGGTACTGAATGGTTCGTGCATCGCAAGCTAACGGAACAACACAACAGGACGGCCGTCCAGTGTACATTGAGCAGATGGGAGGCATTGACTTGACCTCCATGTACAAGATCACCACCGCCGAGCGCATGTTGACCAACCTCGCTGTCGAGTACGAGCGCCTCGCCGACCCTCGTCTGCCCGCCGCCTCGCGCAAGGCCGGCCAGCTCCTCGAGACCTGCTGCACCATCATGGACCTCAAGGGCGTCGGTATCACCAAGGTCCCCCAAGTCTACTCGTACGTCAAGCAGGCCTCGGCCATGTCGCAGAACTACTACCCCGAGCGCCTCGGCAAGATGTACCTGATCAACGCCCCCTGGGGCTTCGGTGGTGTGTGGAACGCCGTCAAGGGCTGGCTCGACCCCGTCACCGTCGAGAAGATCCACGTTCTCGGCTCCGGATACCAGAAGGAGCTTCTTGCTCAGGTCCCCGCTGAGAACCTCCCCAAGGCCATCGGCGGTACCTGCGAGTGCCCCGGCGGCTGCGCTCTGAGCAACGCCGGCCCGTGGCAGGACGCTGAGTGGGCTCGCCCCGCCAAGTGGGAGAAGGCCGCCAAGCCTGCCGAGACTGTGGTCAACGAGCCTGGCAAGGACACCGCCGTCCCGGAGGGTACTAAGGAGGTCCCCGTGACGGATGCTGCTGAGGGTGCCGCTGCCCCGGCTACCGCTCCTGCCTCGTAAGGCAATGATATAGACCGCGCAGGAAAACGCTGCGAAGAAGACGTAATTTGGTGCAGAGTTTGGTGTTATGGATTGAGTCGATGGAGTACGTATGGAGTTGGCGGCGGTGGCGGGTTGAGAAATACAAGCAAAAGCATCTTGGCGTAGCAATGAGAAGCGCATCTAAGTGGGCGCTGTTTCCCTCGATATACTACACTGGTGGACCTGAAGTTCCTAGAATATATAGTACACTCAACGGTCAATCGCATCTGATTAGACATCCGTCCTGCTTGGATATGTTCCAATCCAGTAACAGCCCGCGTCGGCAATGACTCCTGCATGCTCATCCATGCAGGTTTCCTGGTATCGTCCAAAACGTTAAGGTCGCAAACCCCTTAGAAAACCAAACCAAAAGACCTCAACGCCAACCATGACGCCTCATACAATCCCATGATCCCCCAACCGAGAGACGAAACCAGTAGCGAATCCCCCATGGAAACACCTCACTTCTCCGTCACGACATAGCTCCCCGCCCCCCTGGCCCGCTCCATGCGCGCCACCACGGCCGGCATGTCCTTCTTCATGCGCGCGAGCCCGGCGACGGCCCTGGCATAGCCGCGCTCGACGTCCTCCTGGCGCTCGAGATCGACGATCTTGACGCCGCCGCCGCCGTCGACACCCTCGGCCGCCCGGGCGCCGCGGTCGCGGGCGGCGGCGAGCGCCTCCTCGTCGGCGCGCAGGCCGGAGCGCGCGGCCTCGGCCCACGCGCCCGCCGCGGCGCCGGGCACGCTCTTCTTCAGCGCCGCTATGTCGCGCAGCAGGTCCTCCTCCTCGCGCGTCAGCTCCTCGACCCGCGTGCGCGCCCGCCCGTCGAACGGCGCGTACACGACCTCGGGCTCGAGCGGGTCGCGCGACGAGCCCGCGTAGTCGGGCGAGAGGAGCGACAGGTCGTCCAGCGGCATGCCGTTGACGCTCAGGTTCGGCGAGGCGAGCGTGAAGGTCTTGGTGATGTACTGTTGTGCGCGGGGCGCGGCTGGGGTCAGAACATGCTCTTCGCGTCCCCTTGCGTGTAGGTTTTGGGTGTCTGGGTCTGGGAAATAGAGGGATGGATGAATGGATGGAGAAGGAGGGAACCCGCGTACCTCGTTCACGAGCTCTTCTATTCGCGTCCGCAGCTCATCCTCCCCTTGTGCGCCTTCGACCGGCGGGAACGCCTCGTTGATGTGTTCGGCGGCGGCGCGCCGCACGTTGGCCAGCAGGTAGGTCAGGTCCTCGGGGGACTGGAGCTCGATCTTGCGCTGGTGCGCCGACACGGCTGTGTCCATGGTCCGATTCCGTATCCGCCGCGATGGATTGGGACGGTGTTTCAAGACTCCGTGTGGCTTCTAGGCGCGCCTTTGACTTCGCTGCGAGGTGATTGTCCTGATGTTTACTTCTGGTCGTGTCTTATCGCTTATCGGTTGCCAACCAACTATGCGGGCTGCGGGGTCCCAGGATTCTGTAGCGCCAGGGGTCTCCGGCAGGGATCTATGATGCTGGGCTGCAGCTTTCTGTAGCACTTGTCAGGCTTGTCTTGTAAACTACATACCTAGGTACTACCACACTTACATGTTGCCCTCCCTCGATACCTGTCTTTGATTCAAGCATGATCGGTGTTTAATTATCGCGATGTCAACCGTAGGACTTCACTACCACATCCAAGCACGGATGAGACAACCCCATCGGTGGGAGACCTGCAATTTGGTCAAATCCCTGGTTCTTCCCTTTAACTATGTAGATATTGCAAGAAGTGTGAATCCATCACTGCTATTTCTTGGTCAACACATTGGGTTCTCACGGCCACCATCCAATCATTACAGTCAAGCATTACTTCGTGATGGATAGTAGGAGCTAACTCGATCAGGAGTATGTAGACGAACCGGATTATTCATGTCCTAGCAGGCTGCCTATGTATTTGGTTCATTCTGTACAAGCCGGGGTGCTGTGCAATAGCAGGACCCGATATTACAATGGGCTCCTAACCTAAAGTCTCAACCTGGAAGGCAGCATCAACTACTCTTCGTAAGACTAAACGCCTGCCCGCTCAGAAGGCGGGAACAATGCCCCATCCACTCATGTAACATGTCCTCTCGGTTGTTCAGGAGACCTGCCAATTTCCAGCCAATATCTCACTCGTCCTCAACACTGCCATGGCCACTGGGCTCCGGCTTGACATCCTCCAGCTTTAGGCCACGCAGCTCTTGATAAAGATCATTCAGGGATCGAAACTTGCGGAATGGGCCAGCAGGATTGATCAGGCCATCGCCGTCATGGACCTTCCTAGCGATGTCGATCGCATAACCATACTCGCCAGTCCTGACAAGGTTTGGTGTGACTGCCGGCTTTGGTTCACCGGTGATGCCCTGTTCCTGCTCTATCTCATTGGCGCTCTTGACGTCGTTGAAGTTTCCAGAGATATCAGTTGTCTCCTCGTGCATGTCAAAGCAAGGAAGACCTGCCTTAGCATAGTCTGACGCCGTGATGGGACATGGAGGTGGTGCGCGGCTTGTAACACGATGAAAGCCTTGACTGTTAAGTATGTGGACTGGGATGGCCATAGTTGCATCTCGATCCCACTGGTCAGGGCCCAAGGTGTCCTTGCAGATGACCTGCTTGGTTTCTCCACCAGATATGTGTCCCATTTGGTTGGCTTCTTGCATAAGGGTGCGGTCGCCGAGCGATCGGGGTATCAATTGAAGTATTGAATCCTGGAGTTTGTCAGCGCGCCTGGAACAATGAACAGAGCATCATACCACGCAGCCTTACAAAACCATCTACATTGTAGTCAGCCAGAGTGCGGTCTATAACATTCGTCAGCACCTACTACGCGAGATCGTTCTTGGCACGCCTACCTCGCTGCATATATCTTCCGCCGTAAATCAGGCTCTGGTGGCTGATAGGGAGCTTTTGAAGCACATATATAGCATTCATGATCTGGAGGACCGAGTCATTAGGAGAGCATGGAATGGTCATCCTGTTCCCTGTAAGACAGTTGATGAAGACCTTGAAATCTCCAAAGGGCGTCGGCATCTTGATCGGAGTCACCTCTATCTGTAGCCCGCCCCCGGCGTCATGGCCTGTAAGCTGGGTTTCAACACTATAATCAGTGCCTATGGGCATCGTGACGAGCTGCTTTACCACTGCGGGCGAGGTAGCAAACCTATCAAGCCAAAGCTGTTTCGCAGCAACAACGTAGTCTTGGATATTCTGACCACCGAGATGAAGCTTCAAGCGGCGAACTATCGTGTCCAAGTCCTCGGCTCGGTGTTCTCCGGAAACAACGTTCACGCCACCAGCGTAGACTTTGATCATGAATGGCATGTTTGCAGTGAACGACATCCACATAGCCTCTTTCTCTGAGATTCCATCCATTCATTCATCAGCTAGTAATTTTTTTTTTTTGGTGCACTGAATGGACTTACGGTGCATTGGCAGAAGAGCACCTCCTTTGGAGAATTCATCGGGGAGCGTATTTGGATAATCGCGGGCCTTGTAGAGGGGAAAAGTACCCAGATCAGGTGGGGGTTGAGTGGTGTATTCGTTGTCCCGCACGCGAATGGTACGGTGAAACTTGATTTTGAGACCGAAGAAATCAATTGTGTCATCGTCGAGTTTATAGGCCGCCAATTTGGGAGCAGTCCACCTGGAGTTGGCAGCGAGCGGACTGAGCACACGGATGGAATCCCGCCAGAAGCTGCAGATGTACTTGTCGGTGATCGCATCCATCTTGGTCTGTATGATCGTGAGAGAGTTGAATCTTCTTCCACGTAGCGAACATGTGGAATGTTGTAATCGGTTCGGACTGGAAATCAACAGGAAATGTGCATGCTTTTATACTCCAGTCAAATTACGATGCCTCGTCTAGCAGAAACATAATGCCTTGTTTCAATAATGTCTCGACTCTCGATGAGACAGACATTCTTGGTAACCTGGGGTGCCGGATCTCTTTGGCAACGCATGGAACAAACCAGGCATCTAATACCCCAAAGCAGGCAAATTTCATAGCGTCTCTCACTGAATCGGGGCCATGGTCGCATAAATGCTCCCAAAACAGTAATACACAGCAGATTTCATTTGTCATGCTCTGCAACAACTTGGCACCTAGTTGCAACCTGTTTGTTGCGAAGTGCCCCCAGTCTCCAGGATTTCAATGAACTGGTTCGATGGTACCTGTCTATTGTAAATCCCCCTGGCTTTCTGAGTTCACACTAGCACTCTCATATGCTATAAACACCCAATTACCGGTAACAACGGAAAATCTGTCCCTCATGAATGGGACTGGTTAGGCACTTCGGAACTCCCGGTGCAGCCGCGCCGGTACGTTATCGACGGGCGACTTAATGATCATTAAATACGTAGAAGGCATTCTTACCAAAGGCAATGACTTAGGAAGTATTTTGATTGAGAGCGGATTCCAGAGGTCAGCTGGGTCTGCGCTAAATACATCATCGGCCTTGTCAGCGATGCAGAATCGAGGTCTAGCCCACTCCACCATAGAAATGCCAATGATATCATTTCTCATTTCCTTGCTCTTTGGGCATCATGTTCTTTGGGCATCATTCTAAAGCAGCCTCAACCCTAAGACGCATGTGCTTTATGCTTAAATAAGCAGACCAGAGATCACATCTTATGAAACTCGGAAGCTTGGCTGAATACATCATAGCGACCACATGCGCCTGTGCAATCTACCAAGGAAGACAGGTACTTCCCAACCAGTAACCACTCGACTAAATTAGTGATTTAATCATACGCAATGTTCTGCCGAGATGGATGATCCCGGCTCTTCCAACCTTGGGCACTGCCGTTTAGACATACAGCCACCGGTCCGCCTTTTGATTAAGTGATAACCTCAAACTCACCAACGGTGTACTCCTGAGTACGCACTTACGTGGGCTTTGCAAGGCGCGAAATAGTCGCATCTGCAATACATCATTTCCTTGTCACATAATTGAGTCAAAGAGCCAACTTGGTAGATGACGAGAGCACGGACCGCCAGGTGTCTGACAGACTTGGGGCCTTTCATGGTATACCTACCCCTGTCGGTCGCGCTTGGAGCGGAAACTTGATATCCAGCTTAGGCGATCCATGTGCGCGAGACAATGGGGATTGGTGACATGACAGGATCCATGTCGCCGATCTCTGACAGTCGCGCATTGTGGAAATCAACAACGATACTCGCTTGCTCCTACCAGTGCACGAAGCCAATCATTCACTCTCCGACTCCGCCACCTACTCTGTCATTCACATGGATAGAAAGCCCCCTCGCATGAATCCGAACTTATCGTTGACGCGAGCGGGACTCGCTCCCAGAATAGGCATTCTAACTCTCCTTACCCAACACCACAGTATGGAGTCCAGCTGGAGGAAAACACGACAGGGGCCCTAGCCGCGTATGGCTACTATGCTTTCGGCGCTCGGCAAGCCACCTCTTGGCTTAATCGGCCTATCGCAAGCCCCACACGCCGGACCAGATGCCGAAAGCGTTCAACGAAATGCGAGGGCGCCGGACCGAGCGCAATGGCTTTGAGAGAGAATCGTTGGTCTAACGGCCAGTGGTGTGCCAGAGATGCATCAGTAGCGCAAGACCTACTCTTGTGGGGTAGGTAGTATTGTGCGTAGATAATGTGCCCAAACCCCCGGCAGCCCGGGTGTTGGTTGTCTATGATCATTCTTTGCCTGGTCACACTGAGTCGCCTTTCCTCTGAATGGAGACTACATGGCGATAACGAAAGATCATAAGCCCGACGATACATCGACGAGAAAGACTGTATGATGAGCTTGGAGGAGAATGGGGCTCCGATTCTGAAAGTGGTCGACGTCGTATTTGTGTCCCTAGCCATTGTTTCAACTCTTTTGCGATGCTATACACGTCTGGCCGTTGTCCGCGCCTTTGGGGCGGATGACTGGCTCATGATGCCAGCAGTGGTAAAAATGCCACAAATATCGACTGCAGAAAATTTGAGCTAATTGGTTGCTTTCTAGGCTATGTACTTTCTCTACGTCGTATGTGGTATAATAAGTGTTAACCACGGGGGCGGACGCCATCAAGATACGTTGTCTGAGCACGATCTGTCAATAACACTGAAGGTGACCATCCATACATCATAATACAAGCAAGCTCGTATGGATTGTATATGCTCACATTCGACCAGTATTGGTGGCTATGCTACATTTGGTACGATTTCGCAATGGTTTTCACTCGGTTATCAATCGGCATCTTCTTTTTGCGCCTTACGGTAAAGCGAGTCCACCTCTGGGTCATCTACCTCGTTATGAGCACCACGGTTGCCTTCGGCTTCATTTTCTTCGGTGCCGCTCTGGCGCAATGCACCCCTGTGACATTCTTCTGGAACAAGAACCAGGATGGCTGGTGCATAAATACAAAGGTCATTGTCGCTCTCATGTACCTGTACAGCTCGTCATCTCTTTTCTCCGATGCGACTTACGCCATATTCCCGATATTCCTTATGAAAGGGCTACAGATGGACCGACGAACAAAGTACGCATTGATCCCAATTATGGGATTGGGCTGGGTGTTAGTGTTCTCTTCCATGACAAACACTCTATAATACATGGCTAACTTGCATTCATAGAGCTAGTATCGCGGTCGCAATTCGCTATGGCTTCCTGACTGCTCTCATGTCTCCCGACTTCACTTACGACGCCTTGATCATCGCAATTTTGTCTTCCATTGAACAGGGGCTCGCGATTACGGCTGGAAATCTTGCAACGTTGTGGCCGCTTTTCCGGCTGGTCGCTTGCAGATTCGGGCTCTGGGACACTACAATAAGGCGCGAAGATTTCGCCCCTCCCACAATCGGCGCCATCGACAAGGCAAAAGGACGCGAAGCTGTGCGCTCAGCCTCTGTCGGGTTGACAATTTTCACGGGAAGGGGTGATGAAGAGCGTGAAATGGCCGAGGGTGAAGGCGCTATCGAATTCAAGTCGGAGAGAAGGGAAACGATGACGCACCCTGCAGACAACAATAGTAAAAGAAACAACGTTTGGGACATATCACGAGAAGTTCGGAACGAAAGTGAGGAAAGACTTTGCACTCAGCCGTCAAGCGAGACGTTGGGCGAGCTTGATTTAAGGGCTGTGCCAGTGTGCTTTTTGGCTCGAAAGGGGTTACATAGTCACACCAGAATATAGACGAATATATACAATCGCAGATACAACTATCACTATGAAGTGTTAGTGTATATCATACTTTAAGAAGAATCAGCACGTGATGTTTGATTTGACGCCACCAAGTTCCGCGACAAGAGCATTCTGCTACTGATAAGTGTTGATTTCACCACGTCGTAGGGTCTGCAGCGGCTTCAAATAAGTCACTAGAATCCCACGGGCCCGTAACCACTTTTACAAGACCGGAATTGTGAGAAATAAGCCGTCATTACTCTAAATGATTGCGGAGTTCATACGAAAGCATCTCGGTAGCCTGAATCATTGGGTTGAAGAGTCTCAGATGTATAGGTAGTTTTCAAAGCTCAGGCCAAATTCAGACAATCGAGCATGAAAGACTCTGATCAGCGCGTGGCATCAATGATGGGAGACGTCTATGCCGTAATATGAAAGTTTACAAAAATACATTCTTCACATATGCCTCAAGTTCTTCGCAGGAGTCGCCAAGATCATGGAGAACATACCATAACATCTCCTCATAGTACATGTTCGCCAGCCATTCCTCAAAATCGACACCTACGAGAGAGACTTCCATATCGTCATCGGCCACATTTTTCTCGTCCTCGTCATCCGTATCGTATCTGCTGTAGTAATCATCATACGTGAGCAGAAGGCAGTGGGCGCCATCTTTTCCTGGCTCCAGGTACAGGTGAATAAAGTAGCACCCTTGCTGGTCAGACAGGATACGTATCATATAGCCCCCGGCGCCTCCGTCTAAGGACTCGGGGACTTTGTGCAAGCCGCCTTCACCCAGTCTGAAGTAGGCTGCATTTGATGACAGCACGCGTCGCCGTAGCTCTGCATCCTGTATGAATACCAAAAAACTTGGAGGAAGTTCAACCTCAGCTTGTTGAGCGCTTTTAACCATATCCTCAAATTCGGGTCCAACAAAAACGATAGAAGGGGGCTCTTCAGCTTCTGCATCTAGTCGTTCACCGAGGGGTTTCAACCAGCTTAAGTCCCCACACAGATTGAGGTAGCTCAGATCCGGCAACTGAGCGGGTGGTCGTGTCTTTATTATGTCTCGAGGAGAAAGATTGAGTAAACGACGTCCTTTTTGGGAGCCAAGAAAGTCCCCATCAACCTTCGGTTCGTAGTTGAGGCCTCCAAATCGTGCGCTAAGGCGTTTCAATGTCCGCCGGGCTTTCAAGCGGCCTTGTATCATAGGTATGGATATCTCTGTGATTGGATGGGTGAACGTCAAGGCAACTTGCTCGACGATTTGCAGTGGTAGGTAAGAGAGAATCTCCCGGATGAGTTCGGGTGGAAGTGAACATAATGAAGGCATGATCTTCCCTCTGAGTGCAGGATACATGGAAAGGAATGAATGAACCTGGGGCTTTGGGGGTTGGCAGCTGTCTATAAGTTATGTACTCATAACTATTTTCGCTTTAGTGTAGGCAGAAATGCCAAGAGCCATTCCATAGTGTACATTTTGGCACGCTACTTGCGCCAAAGTGGAGCGTTCATGGCTAGCGATATGTTAGAGCTTCAGCTGAGGTGCTTGCGTTTTATGAGACTCTGAGACTCTGAGACTCCAGCAGTCTCCTTCGATTCCTAAAGGGTGCAACAATTATCCACGAAGGCCACCATCAACGGGCTAGTTTGCATGGATCACTGGTACCTTAAGATGCAGATTGTCTCTTTTCCTAAATACCTAGATTTCTATGTCACATTTTACACGGGTAGTTGCACTGCGGGATTAGTTGGGTACGTTGTCTGCACCGCTGGCGGTAATGAACTCTGGTCAGACTCTGTCATTGTTGAGGCGTTGATTGAGAGTGTAGACGGATATGTGATATGCAATAACATACAAGACGGGATTCATTGGGATGATATAGGTATCGGACGATCGTAGCAATAGGTGAGCATCAATTTGAATACCAGGGCAGAACTGAATCAGCCCCGACTTAGGCATCGGCCTATACAGTGGAGATCAGGTGTGAGAATAGGTCTAAGCATAAACTCGTGGATAAAGCTGGATAGAGGCAATTATCTCCTATGATCAATATGTCGTTCTGGACATAAGAGTCTCCTAGGAACGGGCGGCACTCCCTCGTGCCGTAAATGTTCATCAAAGTCAGCTCATTACCGAAGAAACAGGCAAAGGGTGAAGGTGACACGACCTGGGATGATGGCAATGAGTAATGAGGCTTCTGCCAAGATTCACGAAACTGAGAAACAAAGAAATGTTGGCAGAACAAGCCAATTAGCAAACACGTAAGTCGCGTCGTACTTCCTGGAATGGTGTTTGCTAATCGCGAGTTACAAGGTGTACGATGCTTAAGGTTCCACGGCGGTGGGAGTTATTTGATGTAGACAACTACTTCGGAGCAGAAAGCCTTCGCGATGTCCTGCTAGGGGCAAACTCCATATTGATGTACGACCAACGAGAGATACTCGATCAACATTTGACATTGAAATGCAACGCAAGGGTCGGTCACATGGGGCTATTTCGATGCATTCAGACCATACAGCGTTAAATTCCCAAAAAGTACCGCTCGTCCCACCACGTATATATGAAAGCGGGCCAATGCGGCGGCAAAGGCGACGATGTTACTAGCGAAAGCCATATGAGAATGCGAAGCTTGAAGCACAGTTTGATATAGCCGTAGGTACATGGGATAGTTCTGTGAAGATTCTGAATAGACAATCTTCCCGATCATGGCACCAACCGCAACCTCGTCTGCGAACGAGCAACCCACGACACAAGGCAGGGTTTATCAACCGGCCACCCGCCTACAAGAAATATTTATCCAGATTGCGAGAGACGAGACGGGCTTGCTGATCGCAAACGATGTCTTGGAACTGAGAAGGCTTCCCGAGCATGAGGTGCCAGAGATCCCGCGCGAACAGGAACATTTTGTATTCCAATCCCGACTTTCAACCAGGCGACCTGTCCAAGCTGACAAGGACCCAGAACGATTGCGACGCAATGTCGCTTTACAGACGCATCAAGTTCATCTTCGGCCTGAGTGGCGACTTGCATCTCCCAGCGCTGGGCAAGGTGGTCTCTGAGCGTGGCATCACCGACACGCTCGGGAGGAACTGGTGGCTATGGGTCTGTCCAGTGAACTTGCAGGATACGACCGTACCAATGAACGATCAGTTCAAAGCGTTTGCCGTTTGGTGTTCCCCCGCAAAAGACCCGCTGGCCTACGAAAACTGGAGAATAGTTTGGCGGCAGTCGAAAGATGGTAAGTTTCCCCTATGGCGATATCTGTGCATGCAATGCTGAGAGAAGTTGCGTCTTAGAATCGCCATTCATAGTTGACTTCAATGAAACTGCCCAATCAGGCCAGAACGGGGGACACTAAGAAATGTGTGGTATTGATCATGAGGTAATAATGATCCCTCGGAAAGCAATGTATGGCGCGCGGTCGATAATTCTATCAAAGAGGCGTTTCTCGATATCGGTTTCCCAGTCCATTGGCAACGAAACTCCCGTCCACTCGTTTCGCATGGGTCTAGTCTGGTAGGGTAAGAGGCGGTTGGTTGCTTTGATTATTTGGGGATAGCTTCTGTTTCTCACACACTCACTCGTTCAGTTCGTAGGTAGTCATCATACCAATGGAAAATCCGACTCAGCGACTAGATTGCATGGAACGTCTCTTATTTATTATGCGGCGAGGTGATGGATATCCTGGGTCATGAACCAGAACCACCCCCTATCGTCTCCTTAACCAAACCCCTAACTACCTGAGTCACCAAAACCCAGACCGAACGCCAAAAACACCATTCTTCTTTTTCTCCCAATGCATTACCGTGTAGTCGCCTGACTCTCCCCCCTCCAACCATCTATCACTCTACAGACTCCCCAAGACATCATTGACCGCCTCGAGCAGCATGCGTAGGCCAAACCACTCGGCGACTCCCCTGCAGATGGTGAGGCGCTTAACAACCTCGTCCCGCTTGACGCTCTCGCCCCAGGCGCCCGAGCACGTGCAGTGCTCGGCGAACTCGTTGAGCTTGACGCCGCCGCAGCGCGTGCACTTAACGTCCTGGGTGGTCCACTCGACGACGGCGCGTTCAACGTCGCCAAGCAGCTTCTCTTCGATGCGCAGCCGGTCGAACTCGGCTTCGCAGTAGGCGCAATTCCAGGGCTTGTTGGTCGCTGCCCGCTTCAGCTCGGCCTGCACCTGGTCCGGACTCGCGTCCGGGGGGAGCCCTGCCATGACACTCCCGAGGTCTGGGAGGAGCGCCTCGTCGCGGCACATGTCCCAGTCGCGGGCCAGGGTGCACTCAGGACAGCTCCACTGCGGCACCTTGAGAGAGGCCGAGGGGTTGGCGAAGGCGGCTTCCTTGGAGAACTCGCGGACTTCAAACATGGCCAGCAGTTCCTTGCGCAGCAGGCGGGCTTCTAGCGTGATGTTCTTGTCGAGTGAGAGGACCTGCATAAGTGCCTTGACGAGCTCAAGGACAGCGTTCTTGTTCGAAATGGCAGAGGGCTTCCTTGATTTTCCGGAGCCGCTGGTGGCCACGGACAACTGGCCGCCGGGAAGGATTGGAAACGACCAGTCGGAAGCCAGTTCAGCGTGCAACAGCTCGCGTGCTTGGGTTGCGAGTAAGCTCTTGATCTCCTTCTTCAAGGGTTTCTCAAAGGCCGAGGTAAGGATGATGCTCTCGGTCTCCCCATCCTCTCCGTTTGTGATAGGCAGCTGGGTGGCTCGAGGAGTAGAATTGGGATCAGCGCTGAGGGGTCCCTTCTTGAGCCCGTGCATGAGCTGGATGAACTCCACGACCCAGTTCTGGAATGTGTCCTGGAGGCGTACTGGCAGGAACATCTTCATCTGCCAGTTCATCACCACTTCCAGTGCTTGTGTCTCTGCCTCGACGACCTCCTGGCACGCCTTGCCACCGTAGTTGAACTCATCGTACCATACTAGATAGTCCCAGTACTCTTTGACGTCGAGGTCAATAAAATGGAACAGAGGTTTGCTCTTGATGCTCTTCAGAATGTATTGACTGTAGGCATATGCGTTCCCAACTTCGGCCTTGGTTGTTTGAAGCAGCAGCCGGTTGGAATTGGCAAACACGACCTGGGAGCCAACTCGGCGGAAATCCGCCATCAACTGAAGAAGAGCTTTGCGCGACATCATCTGGACGTAGTAGTGCAGGGCGCGGTCGTACATGAAGCTGTCTGGCGACTCCACCCATCGGACAAGGTGTTGCACCAGGATGTCTGCCATGGGACTGCCCTTGCAGGCTTCTGCCCACCATGACTTTACCATTTCTCGAAGTACCAGCACACCAGCATTTGCGAAAGCATTCTCAGAGTACAGTGTCTCCGAATCATCTCCTCCAGACGAGTCAGCTGCTGGGTTAAAGGATATCGAATCGGCACCTTCCAGTTCATTGATCAACGAAGAGGTGAGGATTGTGTTGATCGCAAGGTTTCGAACGTCCAAGTCTATGCAGACGGATGCGTATGTGCCGGGGTTATTAACGGATGGCATGGATACGGTGTCAAGAGGACCGGTGATATCATCCTGTTCGTAGCCGGCATGGTCAGGCCGCGGGCCCGGGGACCACCACAGGACTACGTTGTTGGTCTGCAGCCTGCGGGCATAGGCGATGTCGATGAGGAAGCGAGGATCGTCCCGCTCAAGGTTGCAAAGAGGGATATCGCCGTATCTTGCCAAAGCTGTCAGGTGCAGGACCCAAGACCCCAAATTGAGGTAGTGAGTGACGAGACGGCGGGCAACCACAGACTGCCATCCCAGTGGAGGGAGAGCACTGTCTGCTTGGTCGTATTTGAGCGGCAAGATGGGGAAGTCTGCGAGAACAGGAACCTCGTGGACGAGTTGATTCCGCTGCGAGGATTGGATGACAAGCATCAAGGGCCTCAGTTCGTCCTTTCGAAGTTTCTTGATGAGATCCCCGATCTCCAAGTGCGCCTTCCTGCGTGTCGTGACTTGGGTTACCTTGAAACCGAGGGAGCTCTGATACCTGAAGCAATCTTGCCAATTGGTGCCATCGCCGTCTACCATGCGCTTAGTCAGCAGCTCATTATAGATTTTGCCAACATTCGGAAGATCCGCACTAGCATCCTTCGTCTTCTGTAGGATGACAATATGTGCTTGGTCCGAAGCAGATGAGAAGATACCAAAGATCTGTCTTTCTCCGGCCGTGATGTGTGAGATGTACAGGTATGCTAGTGGGTTCGTGTCGAGGTAGGCTTTGGGCTTCAATGGTCGCATCAAACTGCCCAGGTCAAAGCCCTGCTCCAAGCCCTTGCCGAGCACACCTGGCTGGTTCTCATCAATGGTAGCCAGGTTGCCAAGCTGCAGGACTGCTCGGATGTTGAGAGGAACCTGTTTTTCATATACGCCCTCAACGCTAGGGTGGTTGAACAGTTGAGAGAATTTCTCAGCTTCAGCGAAATACACATCCTCGGGAACCGTTAATTTGAAGAGATGTGTCGACGAGTGCCCATTAGGTAGCGTATGGTTGACTTGTTCAGCCTCGCATCCTTCAACCTCGATATCGGGAAGATCCTTGCCCTTGAGATTCAAGAACACCGTTCGTGGGACCTTGACCTTCAGCGCGTGGATCTTTGCGTCAATCAGAACGTAGGCCATGACAATACCAGGGTTGTCTGTCGTTCTAAGCTGTAGGAGCTGCCATGTACTCCTGAATGTGACTTCGGCTTGGTTGCGGAAGGTCTGTTGGATGTTGCTGCCAACGTTGCCGCGGCGTTCACCAAAGAGATGACGCCTCCTTATCCTTGCGGCTTTCTGGATCTTCCACTTCTGCTTCTGATACTCAAGGAAGGCCGGGTAGTCATCGGATGGATCTGGCATTTCTTTGGGTAGAGCAGCAAAGGGGTCTGCACTCTTCTCAGGCTCGGGCGATTTGCGCTTCTGTGCTGTTGGAGCAGACTGAGAAGCTGTGATGGCGGCGGTCGTGCTCTTCGGCTTCAGAAGCTTGGCACCAAAGTCCTCAAGATCATCGAGCCTCGGGCCATTGAGGTTCGTGATGTCCTCCAGTGGACCCTTGGTGAACATATCGGTCATCTTCTTCTGCTTCATCTTGTCGTCCTTGATATTGATACGCCGTTGAAGCCAGTCCGGATGGGGAACCCGTGGAACGGGATTGCGAACTTTTTGGAGCGCAGCAGGAATGGTAATAAGCTTCTGGATGACCGAGCCAAGACGCTCAAGGTAGTAACCCCAGTCAAGGAGAGCACGGGGGTCAGTGTCGGAAGGCTCCTCCTTGAGCCACTTTGTCAAGTATCTCCGCTTGATCTCGGGTTCGGCGGAGAAGATCGCAACCGGCACGGCTCGCTCAGTCACAGGTGCGCCGCGTGGCTTTGCGCAGATGATATACTTGCAGTTCAAGCCCTTGTCCTTGACCATCTGCTCACCCAAAAACTCGGCGAGACGTTTGGCAGTAGTGATGGACGTCGATTTTTGACTGCCATACTCCTCCAGAGTCTTGGACATGCTTCGGTTCTCGCAAATAAGCTCGATCAACTCCTCATCGGCGAGAGTGGTACCCTTGCTGTCAAGAACATCAAGCCATCTGTTCGCGACCTTGGCGACAGCACTGTAGCATTCAGCTAGTGTAGTTCCCTCGAGAAAGAACTTGAAGATTTGTTGTTGGAAGATCTTAATGAGCTTAAGCTCACCACGTCGCTTGACCTCGAAACCCTTCAGTTCAGCCAAACTTCCGTCGTCGTTGAAGACTGCATATCGCTTCTTCAAGTTTTTGTCCTCCTCCTTTGACGTTGGCAAGACCATGGCCTTGTACGGACCGTCGACTTCGAAGAAGATAGAGTTGTCGCTGTGAGTCTCGTACTTGAACGACTTCGGATCCACGAGAGTCTGGTACTGGTGGTTGGTGAACTTGGCGTGGACTTTATGGTTCAACATGACACAAGGGTAAGAGATGGCGAGCTTCTTGCCGTTCTTGAGCTTGAAGGCGAAGTTCTCTGGGAACGTGGCAGGCAACATGCACCAGATACCGTCAGTATCCAGCTCAAGCGGCCGGCCGAGTCGCTCAACGAGCTCCTTGGCCAGTTGAATGATGGTGGCGCCAGTCAAGCACGTCACACCAGCCATTTCCATGGAGTACCACCGCGAACCCTTTCGCATGACATAACCATAGAAGGAGTTGAGAATGACCTTGTGAGCGAGCTGCAGTGAGTCGAACAGCACAATCATCTTCTTGGCACCATCGACTTCAGCCTGGGCGGCGCCTGAGGATTTCAAGCTCTCAGTCTTGCCCTTCCAAACTTTGGCCTTGCCTTTGTAATCGTATCGTCGGTCTCGGAAATCTCTGACCGTGTTGATGTAGAAAGGGTTCTCGCGTTGGCAGATGATCGCCTCTCGGACGATAGTGGTTTGGTCTCGAATCTTGTGGTAGATCTTCTGACTGTACAGAGTCAGACGCTTCCGTATGAGCGCTGCTTGCTCATCCTCAGGCAACTCCTGGAACGTTCGCATCGGGGACTTGGGCCATTTCCCCGGAAACTTCTCGTTCTCCAAAGCGTGTCGAATCATGTTGTACTCGTCGCGCTTGGCAGGCAAATATTCACCTCTCCATGCCCAAGGCATCCTCCTGTCGCAGGTCTTGCCTGGCCGATTGAAGTCGCAAGCTGCGCAGTCTGACTCCTGAATCATGGAATCCGGCTGCAATCTGTTCGTCGTCATGATATTTGGGTACATGGACGCAACATCCAAATGGTAGATAAGAGGTCTTTCCATCCGATTTGGTGTTTCCTTCAATTGCATCAGGCGGTCAATGATCTGTGCTCTAACTTCGTCGTAGTTCACAACATCGTCGATGGACTTCTTCTCTTCGACCTCAATGCTGAACTTCAAAGCTGCGTCAAGGTCATTGATCAGTTCGTCAATGGCAGTGGGATCCACCGCGAAGTTGACAGGAATATCAGCCCGGAACACGCCAGCCTCAATACTTTCGACATGCCCACCGACGTAAGTCTCCGCATCGAGAAGATGGCCATCCCAGAAGGACTCCTTGGGTGAGACATGCTTGTTGGGGAGGACAATCTCCTGCTGGTAAGCCTGCACCATGAGCAGCATCTCGCACAGAGTACCAGTACCCTTTCTCAGCACGTCATCGCCTCCCAGCGGCAAAATTGTACATAACGAGAAGATGAAGGGGTGAATGTACTTCATGTACAGATAGTAGGTCGCGACGGCATCGGACACGGAGTACTCGGCCAGTGTCTGTGGCCTCTCGGCAGCGTACGGCGTCATGAGTTCTGGGTCGAGCTCATCGGGGTCGTAGCCAAGCTTGGCGACAGTGACAGCCTTCAAGCCACGACTACCCTGGGGTAGATAGGAGTCTCGGTTGACCCACGCGAAGCAGTCCATGTGCACTCCATACGTGCACTTGTAGATATCCTCACTGTCCTTCTTCCAGCCAATCTCTTGATACATATCGATACCGTTGACACTGGCTCTGGCCTCAACAAATGGCCAATCGAAGAAGTCACCGTTGTATGTGGCGATGACGGTTGGGCGAGCTTCTTTGATGTGTAGGAAGAAGCGTTCGATGACGCCCTTTTCATCGGGTTCGTTGAAAATCATGAACGGTCCCGGGTACTCGGGCCTGGGTGTATACTCGAAATCCGAGATGTCTTCGGAGACGATTTCCCTGTTGGTGATGAGAAACCCCTGGCCGTCGATCATGTATGAAATCATCATAATCTGGTCTATGGCAGCGTCGGGGAATTTCAGGGGCAGCTTGGTCGTCTCGATATCGAAGGCCATAACCACCGGGTCGGCTGGTGCTAGACGCTCTTCGTTGAGTATTATTGTGGTGACTCCGTGTTTCGCCTCTACGTAATACCACTTTCCGACTCTTATATCTGGAGGGCGGGCGGTCAGCGATGGTTGAGATCCGAGATTATCGAAGGACTTACTCATATCAATCATTACTCTTACATGGTAGGGAACGTCGTATTCCCTGATATCGACAACATAGTCGCTCGCGTCGGCAAAAGAAGTATTCAGTCGTCTATCATCATCTCGTGAATCATCAAAGAGGTCGAAGCCTGCTTGTGCACTGGGCTATAGTTAGTATTGACACAAGAGATTTGCCCCTTCTATAGCCCCACCACCACGAGTACTTACGCGGCAACCTCAGCATAAACATCCACCGTGCCCATGGCCTTGCGGTTCTTCTCCGCAATAGGCATGATATCCCTCCTACATGCCATCAGGTCGTTCACATTCCGAAACCTGAGTTCCATGAATGTGCGCCTGTATCCCAGCAGATGGTTCGGCATGCTCAAGTCTTCCTTGTCGATCTTTTTCACGTGCTTGACCACACCGTCTCCGGGCACTCTCTTTACCCACTCCTCGACCTCGCTCTCCCTGCCCTTGCGCACGGCAATCAGGAAGTAGGGCTCATATTCGACGGTGGCCTTGAAGGTCTGGCCGTCCTCCTCGATGAAGTAGCAGTCCAGGGCGGCTCGGCCGCCGTCCGACTCCGAGAGGGCGACGGTTGTCGGCTGGACGTTGACGAGCCAGCCCTCCTTCTTGCGGCCGGACTCGTAGCGGGCGAAGCCCATGAACTCGTCGATGCTGTGGGCGAGGGCGGCGCGCTCGGCCTTCTCGTCGGCGGAGGTGCCCTCGGCGCGCGAGGTGGCCGCAAAGGTCTGCGGGCGCTGGCCATGGAAGGCTCTCTTGCCGCCGCGGCGGGCAAAGCCCTTTGTCGGCTTGCGATTCAGATGTGTGTTGGGCATGGCGGCGGCCCGTGACCCTGAGTCACGGTGTCGGTTCGAGGTGGGGAGGGATTCGTCGAGGCAGGTGGTGGATGAATTACCGGGTGTAGATGTAGATGCTCATGAGGCGGGAAAGGAGAGTCATTGGTGACTGAAAATGCTACGAGAACTCCCAATGACGAATGCAAAAGCCTCTACAACACAAATTGAGAGTGTCCACGGAAGTTTGGGGCAGAGTCCGAGGCGGTGATGGGTGTTATGCTCAGATACAAAAATGCCATGGCTCGTCGGGTTACCCACTTTCAGAAGACGCGTCGCAGCGGTGCGAGACGCGAACTACGGCCAAGCGCGTTAATTGGCAAACCACGGGCGTATAGGCGTACCCCTACCCCTGCGCGCTTCCAGCTTTGGCGAGGACTTTCAATGCGGCGCGCCCGCCAACGTGGGACGCCCGGGGCGCTAGAGTGGCCGGCCACCGGTTGCTGCATAGCCCCGGCGTCCTGCACTGCAGCTGGGGGGTCTCAGGCGTCATAGCTCCAGGCCGCATTGGCATTTTCAGATCGCGAGTTGGGAACCCGGACCGCAACCACACAGCGCAAAATGGCCAACGACGACGGCAGACCGCTGCCCCAGCCGCGGGGCCCGCCCCCGGGGGCCACGGCACCCCCCGAGCACGTCGACAAGCCCCAGGTCTACGAGATCTTCCACGGCTCCAAGCCCGAGGACCGGGACGGGTCTCTCGCGAGCGCCCCGACGAGCCCCGAGGCCCCGAACAACAAGCGGCCGACGATAGCGGACGGCCTCAAGACGATCAAGTCAGACGACTGGCTGAAGGTCCATCAGATCCCCTGTGCGCGCCAGGGCTTTCTCACTGGCATTGGGGCCGGCGCCCTGATCGGTGCCGGTCGCTATCTGTTTGGAGGTGAGTTGGGTGTCTGACGCCACTGGGTCTCCTGGCACTGACCAGTCTCCGTTCACAGCCCGCGTGCCAAAGGCAGCCAATTGGGCTGCTGGTGGATTCCTGCTCGGCAGCATTATTCAATGGGAATTCTGCCAATACTCAAGGACGCAGGAGCGGGTGGCCATGGCGAGGGCCGTGGAAATCATCGACCGTAAACAAGCCGAGAAGAAGGCAAAGGCCGAGGAAGCCGCCCGGCGGAGGGCAGAGGCGAATGAGAAAGCCAAAGAAGCCGCCCAGAAGAGTTGGTACAAGTTCTGGTAGCTGTCTGCCAGCTCATGATGGGCCACTCGATCTACCGTTGAGCCCTGAGTTCACAATGTACAATATCATGTGTGGAATTTGGGTATACCCTGCGCAGTGGAGGAAGGCCAAGGGCTCTCCTGCGAGCACAATACACACCCGAGCGACGAAAGCCACTTATCTGAGCCAGTGCGGTGGGTATAAACTTCCAGCAAAATGCAGAATAGAACCCGATGGGTCAAGAAGATCTTCCAAAACTGGTAAAAACACCGTTCATAACCGCAGCCTAAGTTAGTTATGGCCAGAGACCCAGTATCTGCTGAACCCCAAAACGCCTTCCGCCTTGGAAAACCAGGCGACATTCAAAGTAACACACCCAAATCGCAGCGGCCAGTCCTAGTTACACGTAGTTGTAGTTCCCAACCCTGACGCCAAACTCGCTTATCAATGTGAAGACAACTGATGGGTATATGCTATGGCAACGGCAGGCCGGTGCATGCCTGGTTCAAGTGGTAACCAAAGTCTCCGGTTCCACGTCGGAGAAGCGCACTCGAACCATGGAATGGGTCCTCTTCATCTCCGTCCCACCGCCGAGCTGTTCTCTGCGTTTCTGATTGCGTATGGCTCTGGCCTCGCTCTCCTCTCGCTTCTTGTACTCTGAAAGCTGCTTTTTGCGCTTCTGGGCTCGTTGATATGCAACGGCTGGGGTGGGCCTGAATCCGATCCCGTTCAGGCCAGTGCCGTCGTCGTTCTTGTCCTCCGGGTCATACACCGTGATCTCATCCTCGTGCCACGTCAATGCGGCTCGGACGGGGTCCACGATGGTGGGCTCTTGGGGAAGACCCTCCGTGGGCTTGCGCCTAGATGGGCCCAGGGGAGGGGTGGTTGGCCGCCTGCGACTGCGTGACTTGGAGTCCGACAGACGGTTAATCGAGGGATAGGCCTTCTTGAAGTCGCCAGCGTTTCCGGCCTTGGCTACCCGTACCATTGCCGGGTCTACAGCCGTCTCGAGCTTGAGCCTCCCGTCCTCGCCGACTTGGACTTGGACAGGGCCAGCCGCGTCGGCGCTGCTCTCTCCACGCGGGCCTGGACTACACTGGGCGGCATCGAACTGCAGGAGCTTGTGGCGTTTTCGCATCGCGCTCTCCTCTGCTTCGTCCCACTGCATGTCGTCCATCTTGTCATCGTCCTCAGCGGCCCCGTTGAAGTCAAAGATCAGGGGCTCCGGTGAATGCCTGGGGCGCGCGTGTTCCTCACGAACCCCGGTACGGCTGACGCTGCCATCTGGGAGGGTTTTGGGCGTCACCCCGCCCCCACTTTCTAATGACAGATGGCGGAACTTATTGGCAACCTTGGTGCGAGGGCTGCTGTTCCCATCCTCGGCCGAATCCGACGATGACGAACTATGAGGTTGAAATGAGAAGACGGGGTGCGCGAATGCTTTGGGAGCTGGGCTAGTGGAAAGCTTTTGCTCGAGGGCGAGATCATCTCTCTTGCGCTTGGGGGTTGCTTTTGGTGAGGACGAATCCGACATGGCGGGCTGGCGTGCAGGGTCCAGGTAGCTTATCGGATTAGTTGGTGAGGAGTCGGCGGGTGGCCGTGGGTTCGTCGGGGCCGCTGCCGGCGAGGAGGAATGGCGATCTGGCATTGGGCGTACGGCTCGTGAAGAGCTCAGGTCACCGTCTTAATATCCCATGGGAAGGGAAGGGGCCCGGGTAGTTTCGAATGGTGAGCGACAGATGTCTCTTGGGCGCCGAAAGGCCGTCTCAGGGAAAGGTCCGAATGCCACGAAGGGTTATCCCAAGTGTGTGGATGCGGATTTGGTCATTCGTGAATTGCAGTCGGGCTGGTCTCAGACCCAGCCAGAAGCTTGCCCGCTTGTTGGCCGTCCCTGCCTGGAAACCGTCCGCCGAGCAGCTTCACAGCGTAGGGGCTCACAATTGGCCACGGGCAGCCACTCAACGAGCACGTTCCCTGGTTGAGTGCCTACAGAGCCACCCGTGACTGGACTTGACCATGTAGCGTCCTACCTGCCCTCCCTACCTGCCCTCCCTACCTGCCCACCTTGTACCTTGAGTTAGGCACAGCACCTCTAGGTACCTGAGACCAGTAGTCGGAGCTGTTCTCACTTAAGATCTAGTCAACTTAGGAGCATGGATGTCGGGCAGTTTCGGCAGATTGGCCGACAACCGTCTGCTGTCTACTTTGTATTGCCAACTTCAGTTTGTATCACCGCAAAACCCCAAGGTTTCGCTTCTCCTTTCATTGCAAAGCGTTCAGACCACCGTGATGGCTACAGTAATACTGGAGTATCAGCCATAGCACGGCCACCAGAGCTGTTGCAGGGGGATATCGACAGCCTCGCGATCTATACGCTCCCCCAGGATTGATACGACGGTTACGAAGAAACGTGAGATGTTTCGAACAGCGGCATTCCTCAAATCGTTCATTATATAGTCCTGCTACGATCTCTCTCCGTCCAAAGGTATTTCTGGTGTCCTGCTACTGGTTAGCACTAGAAACTACCTTATTGCTGGACTCTGACAATCTCCACAGCTGCTGATCAGCGAGCTGCATTGCTGGCTTGCCCTGCTTTCCCGGCTGGCCAAAACGCTGGGATCTGCGAGTTTACTCCACCAACTGGCCCTGAGTCTTGGCCCGCAGGCCGCATCCACGTTGACGGTGCACTTTGTAAAGAGCGACTGCATGTCAACGTCTGTTTCAACAACTGACCGGAACGCCCAAGCTGTGTTCTCGAGGCTCATGCAGGCAGTCAGCTATGATCGTTGGCATGGCCTGTTCGCAGTGAAGCCAAGGCTCATGTCTGCCATGGCCGCAACTAGACGCCCCAATCCCCTCTCACGAAACTGCGTCACACGGGGTCTCGTCTCGGTGGAATGGCCCGTCATATTTCTCCAATTACCCCGCTGGAAACCCCCACCATCGCGGGGTGAAGCTCGCATATGTCCCACCAACAAGCTGGAGGACTCGTGCGGACACGTAAATAGCCTGAATGCAGTCTGTGGTCCTGGGTCGCGGACGACTAAGTTTCTGAGAGGGAGGATAAATCTCGCTATTCTCTACTCGCCCTTCATTCAATTTGCTAGAGAACCATTTCAGTCAGTTCTCCAAGTGCCCTATACATCCCAATTTCGAGCTCGAAGCTACCCCGCATCTTTCCCAATTCGAAGAGGAATATCACCATGGCCAACCCCGAGCCTGAGATCTCCCTCTTGCCCCTGGGCGCCATCATCCAGTCCCTCACCGTCGCCGGCGTAAACATTGTGCAGGGCTTCCCGACACAGGAGCTGTACAAGTCACACAACGGCCCCTACTTCGGCGAGACCATTGGCCGCGTTGCGAACCGTACCAAGAATGCAAAGCTCGACTCGCTCAACGGCGGCAAGTCATACACTCTAGCCGCCAACAACGGCCCCAACAACTTACACGGCGGTATCGTCGGCTGGGGCAAGCGTGTCTGGGAGGGGCCTAAAAGAGTTGGCATCAGAAACATTCCTGGCGTGGACGGGCTCCAGGGCGGGGAGAGTGTCGAGTTTACATTGAAGAGTGAGGATGGCGACGAAGGCTTCCCAGGCGAGGTGTTGGTGAAGGTCGTGTACACCAGCGGGACACAAAATGTGGATGGGAATACGGTCACAGTCTTGGGCATGGAATACGAGGCCGAACTCACTGGAGGCGCCGACGAGACGGTCATTAACATGACAAATCACTCGTAAGCATCACAATTCATACACCTCACTGAAGTGGGGGAACATAGGAGTCGAGTTGCTAACATATCCAGGTACTTTAACCTCGCCGGCAAGCCTACCATTGAAGGCACCAAGGTCCAGCTCTGCACAGCATCCTACCTTCCCGTCGACGACAGCGGAATCCCCACTGCAGGCCCAACAACCTTCTCCAAGGTTGCAACGAACAAGCCGTTCACCCTCGGTGCCGTGGACCCCGATATTGACGACTGTTTTGTCGTGCCGTCGACCTCGCCTAGCTCTGTACCCGTGGACACTCGTTCTCAGGCCCTGACCAAGCTTGTCTCCGCAAGCCACCCCGACTCCGGCATTCACCTCGAAGTCCTCAGCACCGAGCCCGCATTCCAGTTCTACACCGGCAAGTACATCGACGTGCCCGCCGTCGAGGGAGTTCCGGCCCGTGGCGCCAGGAGCGGGTTCTGCGTCGAGCCGAGTCGATTCGTCAATGCGGCCAACGTGGACGAGTGGAAGGGCCAGGTCCTGCTGAAGAAGGGAGAGAAATATGGCTCGCGGACTGTCTACCGAAGCTGGAAGCAGTGATCCAAATCCATGTATTATCTAACGCAGTCGCTCATCTAGATTTGACGCTACCATATAATGAAAGAAAACGCCTGGATATGACGCTCATTCTTCCTCCTCTCCATCTTCCTCTTTCACGGGAGCCGTCGGTGCCTTGGCCTCCTGTTTTCGCCACAGCCCGGCCAAAAAGTCGCTCGTGCTCGCGTCATCTATCCCTTTATCGTCCCTCTTCTTTAGGAATCGAGGGAATCTCAAGCTGAGGCCTCGGTCCTGGCTCACGAGTCCTATGGCGGCTGTGTATGTAGGTGAGATCGTGATATCAGCAAAAGCCATTTCCCAGACCTCCTGAGGCTCGAACCAGACGTCCGGGTGTCCGCTGTACTCGATGAAGCTCGGCTTGACGCGGTGGACGTTCTTGTATTTCTTATTGGCCCGTTCCTCGCTTTCTTCTTCGTCATCACCATCGTCGTCTTCCGAGCCCTCTGCTTCGCCTCCGTTTTCTTCCCCGGTGTCCCCGGACCCATCGTCATAGAAGGCCCTGTTCGCTTTGTAGAATGCGTCTGTGAATCCAGACATGCACTTGCAGACGGCTTCGAGCTGGCCTGTCTGCTCGTTCCGAACAGCGAGCAGGATCGGCGACCACCACTTGGCCTTGCGGCCTTGACCGTGCCAGCCCGCAACGGGCACGAGATCGAGAGTGTCGAACGAGGAACTGTAGTCCTTCTTGACTTTCAGCCAGGAATCCAGCCGCTTGTCAGGCTCATAAGTCGCGAGCAAGGGCTTCCGTCGGCTCTTCTTCTCCCCATTCGATTTGGGATCGGGTTTGGCTTTGGCCTTTGACTTGGTCGCAGTTGTGCCCGATGCCTCAATGGCCGCATCGGAATTGGGCAAGTCTGTGTCAGGGGCGGGAAGGTCGACAAGGTTGTCGAGGATTTTGACCATGATTCCTTCGCACTTCACATCGGTGGCTTGCTTGAAAAAGTCGAGAACTGCCTCTGAGTCTTGGGATGTGGCGTCAAGATTCTTCACCCAGGTAAAGTGGTTCGGCACTTCTGTGAAAAGGGACTTCAGAAGTTCCCTACGCTCACGGAAGGGCCTATCAAGGAGAGGCTGGCCGTTGAGATACATGAGGTCGAATGCGAACAGACAGACGTCTATCGTGATACTCCCGATCGCGACATCCTTCCGGGCACGATTTGTGAGAGTCTGGAAGTTCTTGAGCTCACCGGTCTGGCTATCAACTGCCACTACTTCACCCTCCATGATGAAGCTACTGACACCTTCTCCCCTAATCTTGGGAACCAACTCGACCAGGTCTGGGTACTTGTCCGTCATGACCTCCAAGTGCCGCGAGAAAATCGAGACTTTGCCTTTCTCATCGCAATGAACCTGAGCTCGTTGGCCATCGTACTTGAATTCGCAGGCGAAGTCTCTCCCTTGCAGTTTTGTGAGCATCTCGGACAAGTCTCTCGTGATGCTGCCCAGCATAGGTCTGAGGGGTATGTGCAATGTCAACCCACACCGTATCAGCAGCTCCTCGCAAACGCCAATCTCAAGCATGACAGGAATGAGGTCGTTATAATTTGGCCGCCGGGCAAAGCACGCCTTGACGATCTCCTCGGTTCTACCCCACACCTCAGCCAGTTCCTCTTTCTTCAGCTTTGACAGGTCCGCCGTTGATCTCAAGAGGAAATCGGCCCCTGGTGGCCTGGATAGTAAGAATGCCCGCGAAAGTGCGATCAACATGGTCGTTTTGACGGCCCCGATGCGCAAATGCTGACACAGAGTACGAACGACAAACCGGCTCTCTTCGCCTCCCCGAGCGTCCTGGAGTAAACGGTCAACCAACCGCTGCTTGACCTCCGCGCTTCCCTGCCCCTGGCTATTGGCAATCTTGACTAGAGACTGATAGACGCCTTTGATAGTCAAGGGCTTCGGTTTACGCAGCGTAAAGCTTTGCTTTTTCTTCGCCTCAAACGCGACATCACCAGCATCGCCATACTTGTCATAGATGGCCTTGAGTGAACGATTGTCGAGCCCACAGACTTGCTTCAAGGCCTTGGATATGGCCGATCCGCCAAGACCCAATTCTAGTGAGATGTAGGGAGGTGAAATGGAGTTGGTCGCCAGCCACACGGCAGGAAGCAAGCTGCTGGGATCTCCCTCGATCAGCACGCGAAGGCAGTTGACGAGGGTGTCTACGATCTTGATCCGGCTCTGAGTGCCGCTGACCAGCACGAAACAGCGTGTCAAGAGGGCGTAGGACGCATCCCCGCCTTCGCCAGCCCAGTGAGCTTGAAGTTGCGACACGTATCTCCCAGGTTCGAACGTCAGAGGGCTTTGGTCAAGGGGAATCGATTCAGAGACCGCGTCCACCGAATCAGCAACGGATTGTAGAGATAATGTGCTTGGTCCCTTTGTTTTTGTTGTCACCGGGATGGGAGGTGCTTCCAAAACTTCTGATAATTTCTCTGCCGAGTTCTCTGCAGCGCCATTCGTTTCATCCGTGTCTACTTCCATAGACTTCTCGACCTGCGGTGCGGCCTCGTTGCGCCTCTCTGCTGCTGCTGCTTCTTGGTCCCACTCTGCCTGCAGCTTCCGTGCAAGTTCCTCATCCGTCAGCTCATGGCCCGGCGTCTCGTCTGTCGACTTCCCCGGCAGAGTTGCTCCATTTGACGGGTCGCCATTCTTCCTTTGTTTGGCGAAGAAGTACTCGAGGCCTCTGGACGGCAAAGAAGGCTTCTTGCCATCCTTATTGAGCTTCCGCTTCTTGGCGGGGCTTGACATTTTGGCCACGGTGCGGATGTTAGGGCCATGTGAATTCGCTGGCTGTGTCGCTCTCTGGCTTCATCTCACTAGAACTGCATTTACCCTCAAGCCGGATGAGTTGCGCGTCGACGCGTCGGTCGACCATGGCGAGGCTTTGCATGATGTCAGGGACTTGGCCGGAAGTCTGAGGCCACAGGCAGCTAGCTCCCTAGCGCCTAATGCATAACGTGGGCCATATGCACTTAACGATGTTCGGCACTGGGGTTCTTGCTATTGTACAGAAGAAGTCTCCCGATGTGTATGCTGACTATGATTGTCTCTACCAATTCTTCGCATCACTGTTCTCACCACTTCATCAACGTGAAGTGCGTTTGTGGTTGGAATAGAGTGTGGGTTGCTGACCGCCCTACGCCATTCCCCAAATCCGGCCTCCGGACGGGTAGGTTCAACAGCGAGACGCGAAGACTGTGTTACCACCAAGAGCTGCAGATTCTCTGTTTGATTATAAATGATTAATTATGAAGTACATTATAGAATCGAAGGTCTGGAACCCCCTCTAATTTCCCCAATTCCTGCTCGTGACGTCGTTCATTATTATTATCGTTATGCACGGCAGGTACATCCTCCAGCGTTGTCAACCGCACATTTCCAGCCTTCTTCGCACGAAGCCGAAATCATCCAGATACCTCCATTGCAGACCCTGATGTTTGACACGCCGCTGCTTGGACTTGGTAGACATGTTAGCGAAAAGTGACAGAAGTGTGGTTGAAATCCTTACTTTTCGCAGGCATATGTACCCGACGTGCATGTAATGTTTTGTGCCGTCACGGTAGCAGTCAATACGGACAAGTAGATAGCGAGGATATTGAAGAGCTGCATTTTGGATGACTAGAAGAAGAAATAATGAGCAGAGCACGCTTTGCCGGTGTGTTTGTCAAGCTCGTGAATGGGGATGCAACGCTTTGGAGACTTGCCCTTTGACGGTATACACGGAAGCGGACTAAGACTGGCTTATTATACCTTCTGATGATCTCAAGGCCACGTCAAGTGTACTACTTTATGATTCGTCCCATCTAATGGATGTCGTAGTTAAAATAGCGTCTTGCAAGGCTAATTGTATACGGACTTGGGGAACACCTAGAATGTCCGTGCATTACGCAAGACACCTCTGGGACTAATATAAGCTTAACCTTCGTTTAAGTCCCGTCATCCCAAATCCGTGTGCCTGGATTACGGGGTTCTAATTCGGGCATCCAATCACGTAAAGGCCCATCCGAATTATGAAACCTTCACATCGGAAATGACATGGCTAGGACGCGTCTACATAGGTCCAGTGTCACCCCACTCCTGGAGAGTTGGAGGTTATACACCTTGCTTCTTGACGGCATGTTCGCGTAGCAAGTGGGTTTCTCTGGAACTTCTCTTCGGATCGAAACCATCATTACCTTCGCCGAACTATAGACTTCTGGGGTCTCGGAATGTCAGATATGTAACGTTTCTGTATCCAGCACTGTGTGTGGAGAGATCAATGATGCAATCATCACCCGTTCACTCTCTTGATTTTTGGTCCGATCTGATCCAAAGCTTGTTTCTTCAGAAGTTTCTGATTAAGCGCCTCCATAGACTCTGATGGCTATCAAGTTGTCCGTTTTGAATCTCTTTGGCCTCGTCCAGGTCACGTCGACGCCCTGCTTGGAGGTCAATCTCTTCCACGCGCCAAAACCGGGTGCGGAATACCAGCTTATATCCGAAATAAATGATTGGAAAGAGAGGAAGCAGTATATATGCATCAACAAATCGACCTGCTTCGAACGGGCTCAATGTTGTCCAACCTTGAACCAAAGCTAGGAACATATTGGCGGCTAATCCGAAATACGCGTTCCAAGGATATAGAAAGGAGGTAAAGGGTAGATCGTGAGTATGATATCCCTGAGCTTTCCACGCTTGGCGAAACCGGATGTGGGTGAACGATATCGATCCCCATACAAGGAAGGTGGACACACCGCTGAGGTTGACGATATACGTGAACGCATTACCTGCGCCAGTACTGATATTCATCAAGGACAGGGCTCCACATGCGTTGGCGAAAAGCACCGCTGGGATGGGCACCCCGGTTTTCCTGTTTGTTGTGCCGAAGATTTTCGGGGCTTTCCCGTCTTGGGCCATGAACAAAAGGGTCCTGGACGCAATATAGATGCTGCTGTTGATGGCAGATATGCACGTTACCAGGATAAAAGCATTTATCAGGTGTACACCAGCCGGGAAGCCTGCATTTTGAATGGCGATCGTCATCGGGCTTTTCAGCGCACGACTAGACCCATTGATCAGGCCGTCTGCGTTCGAAGGGCACGTGAGGCCAAAGAACAATGCGGAACCCATGTAGATGAAGATTATTCTCCAGAACGTCTGTCGAATGGCCAAAGGAACTGCCACTTTCGGATTCTTTGTTTCAGTTGCGGCGACCGCGACTGATTCTACACCAGCGTAGAAGGTGGAGCAAAACACAAAGACAGTTGCGACGCCTCGAAAACCTTCAACGAACGGGCCAGGGTCGTGCCAATATCGAGCACCGAGGGCATCTGCGCCTTTGACGCCTCCAGAGACATAACTATTTGCTTGGTTAGTGGGCTCGAGATAATGTTCTCGTACTTTGAGTACCTACATGATAGAGAAAAGGAAATATGCGACGAGCCCCAGTAGCTTAATCAGAGCGAGCCAAAACTCAGCCTCACCGAAGCTTTCTACTCCTAGAAGTTGAAAGCCGAGGAAGGCAGATTAAGACTTGTCAGCTACAAGGCTCAAGTTGACCGAGTGAGATCCAACTGACCCATAAAAGTAGGAAGTAACCCCAAACAGGCACTTTCTCGCTCCAAAACACCAAGATGCTTGTGACTGCGTTATATTCGTTTGCGAGCACTGCAACCCAAATGATGAAATAGTTCCACCCAACAGCCACTCCAAAAGCCTTGTCAACGAAGCGATCTGCCAGAGCCGTGAAAGCGCCTCCGCTTGGGTAAAGTGTCGTGAGTTCACCCAGGCTCTGCATGATACTACAGTGTTGTCAGAATCAGTCTTGTCCAGAACGTACAAGTATGGCTTTACCTGAATGCGATTATTCCGATAACACCAAATCCAATTAGTAGAGAGGCCGGCCCACCACTTGCCAAAGCACCTCCTGCTCCAACAAGAAGCCCAGGCCCGATGATACCAGCCAGGGCCATCATACTCAGATGCCGTGTCTTAAGGCCCCGTTTCACACCACTGTGCGGGTCAATAGACCGAAAGTCGCCTTGCTCGACCTCGTCTAGCATGTCGGGAGGCTGCGCCACCGGGCCGTCAATTGATTTGAACCTAGACATGATTGATGTATGCTCAGCCATCAAAATTGAGAATGAGGACGCTTGTATCACATTTTGAGCAATTGTGGATTCTTTGAGGAAGCATGCTTGCATGTTGAGATATGGCGTGATCCGCTGCTGGTGGCTGTTTGTAAGACTGGGCTAAACTCAAAAGAGCATGGTCGGCACAGTGACTGCAGAATGTACAAGTGGACATCTCAGCCCACAGTTCTCAATAGCGACTCCATAGCGGTAGAATTGGACACTTTAAGCAATTTATTCGGGGGTTCGCGTCGATTTCTTATAAATATGAACTTTTCAAGACGGTATTTTGAGCGGTGTGCGCTTGGGGGCCTATAGCAATCGATGGGCATTCACTTTGGCATCGTCATAAACCAGGATTCGTGGAAGCACCCGTGGCTTACTTAAAGAAAGCTGTTGTCATTGAACGTCATTGGACATGATGACAATATTATGTACATCTATATAGTTTGTAACTTGGTGATTAGCTCATCTAGCGTTGAACCCCTTCATGTGGCTCACAATTCCAACACATGTAGGACCTATTTCGGTATCCACAACCAGACATCACTTCATGAATGGGAAATACATGCCCTCTATTAATCCACTAAACTATTATCGTCCATCTGCGGCAGAGTAAGAAACTTTGTATTGAAGAACCTTTCGTATCGCCTTAGCTTCACTAGAAACCTCTACCTCGATGCCATTCTCCCTCCCTGCTGGCAGGATCTGGCCAGTGCTGTCCTGGGATGGGCGTTTGTTGGTCCCGCTGATCTCGTTGACTATAGTATTTACGGTCAGCGCTTTGTCCGGATAAGGGAATCAATAGGGCTGGTGGCTTGTGCAAAACCACATGTCTTTGAAGCTCCAAACTTGCCAAAGGGGGTATAAGCATGATTTCGGTCGCACATACGATTGATGCCGGCCCGATCAGTGGGATAGCCTTGAAGCCGCGACCATTGGCTTCTTGAAGATCCTAACCCTTCAGAATTCGACCCAGTCGTGCTGCTCTTTTTTGAACTATGGCCAGCGTTATAGTGGCTATTGGCCGATTGTGAAGAGAACACACTCGGGAAACAGATGGAGAGAGGTCCCCGCATCATCGGCAAGCAGGAGCAGATTATGGCGATATTCTCTTCGATCATGGTCCAGATAGAAGAGTCAAGATCGTCTATTAATAGCATACCAATTAGCAAACACGCTGTTGTCCGAATAAAAAGTGTAATGCTGGTGCAGAGGGTCGACCTACAAGTTGTATCTGGGCTGGTAGACGAGAGGTCAAGGGTTTGCATGCGAAGGATACTTGTGACTGCCACACTGTTCAGCAGTTCTAACGTTAGCTTGCGGAACTATTCAGCGATGCTATAAGCGAGGGATGACATATGACGGTGTACTTACAAGGAACCAAAGGCAAAGAGACCCATGACCGCAATTTTCTGCTTTAGCTTCAGATTTGAGGAATAGATCGGCTGCATCGGGAGGGCAAGTATGGTGAAATCAGTTGCAATTGAAAAACCAGCATTGGCGTACCAGTTGGTGGTTATGGAGATGCAAGTCCCGGGTATGGTTTTATTCCAGGCTCGTGCCACGGGTGTGCATTGAAAAACGGAGGCGGAGAAAGCAGCTATCATGTAGGCGGCGATAATCGACGAGAGAACATAGCATGCGGTCCGAAACCACCTCTGGACGAAGATACGAAGGTATAACAGGAGAATCGATATCTTCGTCGTGTTGATTGTGAGTTTGTAGAAAATCTGGCTGACAAAGAACATCTGAGCAGCAGGTGCTGTTATTAGTGAGTGTTCATTGGCCAAAGTTCTTTTGATGAGTTACCTTGAGGGTCATAATTTTGTTCGCTGGTGAAAGGTTGGCCATATGCTGTCCAAAGCCGTAGCTACATGCGGCCAACATGAAGGCCATGACGATTATGGCGAAGATCTGTTCATGGAGATTGTTAAAGCTGAGTTTTATGGTTGCAGACTAGCCAGCGTTATCCAAGGCCGAGCTGAACGCATACAGCGAGCTGCTGTGTGGGTGTGGTTCCTTTTCATATAGGGTTTCACGACATCATGACCGTAACTAGGGTATGCGTCCGGGCAAATTATACTTACAGCAGATGCCAAACTAGTCCAATCATCCCATCCAAAGCCTGCCTTGGACTTTACTCGTGCCAAAAAGCGCATTCCAACGAATGCTGGCGTCACAACGAGAAACACAATGCACGGCACTTGGATCTCCAAGGCTCTGCTTGGGCCAGGAATGTTCCCAGACATTGGTGCTTGAGGTGACCGTGCCCACTCTGCAATTGAGGTGTTCTTACACAAAAGTACAAAACGGTTGACATCCAGTTGGAATCAGCATAGGGTGGGGTTGAAGGTGATATACTAATTGTTAAACCTCGCTTAACGCCATACACCTGTTGACCCCTACCAGCCCTGGCGTAAGCACACAATCTAATGCAGGCGCGATACACGACCGAAACTAACGGAAGCGAAAGCAACACTCTCGCTGCTACTTTTCTTAACCTGCTTGGACCTGGGCACTCCAATCGATACTGCACGATCCTTACATGAAACCGGCCATTACAAATACCACCATACTGTCTGAATTGCTAGTGACATTCAGGATAAGATTCGCAGACCACTGGTAGGATGTGTAGTGTTGCAGCCGCAATTAGGCGAAGGGTCCCGCGGGGATGCGGAAAACCGCGGAAAGCGCGAAAAAGATCACGACCGGAACCAAAATCTACAATTGGGCTGCCACAGCTCCAGCATTTGCAACAGCTACTCATTACCTCGGAGGCTGATTATGGAGATTATATCCGCTAACATCGAAGGCTAACCAAACGTTCTAAGAAGAAAAAAAATTTCTCTCACGGATCGTGCAAATATGTTGTATTGTATTTTGAGGGTGTGACTCTCCACTATGCGGAGTTGAAGCTTTCTTCGTCGTTACACTGCGATGCGATATTTAAATGACGATACCATAGCACCGGTACCAGTGGGTTTACTGCTCTCGATCGCGGTCCAACGCGACCGAGGTTCCGGTTGGTGAGATGGGCAGTGGATCTCCGAGCAACCCTGCAGATGCAGTCAAGCCTGTCCAGGGTTCGATCCGAAATGGACCGAAGGCAACAGCACAGAAAGGGCAAAGGCGACGACTACCGCTAGCAAGTTGACTTGGCCAGGGCAGTCGTTTACTAGGTGTTATCGGGCCGGCCTGCTCTCTCATCCCCCGCGTTTGCCCCCTAGTCAACCCCGGTCAACGTATCGAGAAATGAAATTATTTTTTTCCTCTTCACATTACTAAAGCGTAAAAGTGGGTTATCACATGGTTGACTATTTGCACAGTTGCGGTGACAAATGTTAGCCATGACAAAATGTCCTTGACGACTGGACTAGAATCATACGTCATGTCACTACACTCTGTTCTCCCAAGCCGCGGATTAGATGCGGGAGAGCCGGGCAATAAAACAGCACAACATGCTGAGCCAAATGCGCCGATGAGATAGAATGGTTGGAGGTTAACTAGGATGCCGGCTGAGAGATAGCCGAGGTGCTTCATTGAGAAGGTGTTGTCAATCGTTGGAAATATTCCCGGGTATAAAGAGTGTCCCAGCGAAGCCCGGCTGCCCAGCCGAAACCTTGTTCTGAGGTACGGGTCGCATCGCATGGGTACACTGGGGTCGGAGATGAACTAGTCTTGCTCTAGCGGGTCTGGTTGGCCACTGACGCCAGGGCGTGCTGCGCGGGGAGATATAAACAAGGGTATCATGGCTGTGCCGTAAGCTGCAGCAGTGTGGATCAGATCCCCAGCCCTTGTTTTCTCTTACAAGTGCATCTGCAAATACGGACATGAAGCCAAAAGGCCATCCATGCCCTGCTGTTTTCCCATCATCTTCCAAGCCTGGTAGGTTTGCAGCAAATGTAACGGAGGCGCCCTTCATCGGCCAATAAGAGAAACACCAGTACAGTTTCGCCATTTCTGCCACCGCCCGAGTTGTCGCTAGCTCTTCAATCATCCTCTCTACAACTGTGATCAAGATGAAGCCTAACTGTTCACTTGCGGGCGCATACTCGGCGCTGTTACTCGGTGCTGTTACGGTCGTGCGAGCACAGGCAAATCCAGATCCTATAGGAACTATCTACGATGGCCCCTTACCAGCCAATCTTTACGGGTCAAACTTTACGTACCCATGGCCTATACGACAGTTCAACTTCTACAATCAACGCCAAAACCTGTCTATGGCGTTCATGGATGTTCCCTCGGCATCCGATTGCGGAACTGACAGTAAGACGGCGGTCCTCCTTCATGGCGGGAATTTCTGCGGCGCCACCTGGGCAGATACCGCGCGTAACTTGTCAGCAGCGGGCTTCCGCGTGATTCTGCCGGACGACATCGGCTTCTGCAAATCCAGCAAACCCCAGGGCTACTCGTATAGCGTGGACCAGCAAGCCATGAACATCAACAGTCTACTCACGGCGTTGAATATCACCAATCCTGTTACCGTGATGGGTCACTCCATGGGCGGAATGATCGCCGCTCGTTATGGCCTCATGTATCCCGACACCGTGCACCAACTCATATTAGTTGACCCGCTCGGTTTGGAGGACTGGGTAGCCAAGGGCGTGCCGTTTCTGCCAATCGACCAGATTTACGAGACTCAAGTCGTACAGACATTTGATTCCCTGAAAGCCTACGAGCAAGCTACCTACTTCCCCAACGCTACCTGGGAGCCCGCATACGATGTCTGGGTCAAGATGCTCGCCGATATCTACGCCAACGACTACGGCAGCGAGTACGCTTACGTCATGGCCCTTGTTACTGATGCTCTCCTGAGCCAGCCCATCCTCTATCATCTACCATTGTTAAAGACGAGAACGTACCTCATGGTCGGCGAAAATGATATAACTGCTCTTGGCAAGGCCTGGTCCTCTCCCACAGTCGCTGCCACATTGGGCCACTACGATGTTATCGGTCCGGCTACAGCAGCTGCCATTCCTAACTCTACTTTCCATATGTTTCCGGGACTAGGCCATGCGCCATTCATGCAAGACCCTGTTGCCTTCCATCAGGTACTATTCTCATGGCTGGATTAAGGAGCGGAATCGTGGACGGTTACGCGGAATGTGCAACCATTCTCATCGTTCACGGTACTGTACAACTACGATTAGAACATTTTAATTTATTCATGATAGAGTCTTAATATTTGAACTACAGCGAGGTGATTATAGCTCCTGTCGTGATGAAACATATGTACTGATCTTAATTAGAGAGTCTAATGGAAGTTACCTACTAAACTACATCTGAGACTCCATATCCGCGAATGGCTGGCACCCCAATATACAGCAAATTGATATTCCTTAGTTAAAAATTAAATCGTCCTAGTCAACGTTGGCAACGTGCGGTGTGGCCGAATATTGGTGCGCACACAGTACGTTGTAATGACGCATAGACTTCCATTAGCGCGGCATTCTCGCAGACATCTTATCGCAGCGGACTTCAAGAGCCAATGCATTATGAAAAATGAATTTGCCAAACTGCATCGAGTTTCTCCAACAATCCGCGAGATTCCAGCGTGCGTGCATTACTCGATGGGTCCATGGCAAAGCAGCAAACATACTTGAACAACCCTTACCATTACCATCCGCTCATGTTAGCATGGAGGACTGGCAGGAGGCGGCATTTTCGTCGCGGCACATGCACAACAGAGTGGGGCGAAGCAGCGCAAAAGGTGGAAAACGAGGGCATCATGATGGCTCCTTTGATGTGAGGAGATCGTTTGGTTCTTACGAATGCAAGTGTACCGCGTGGGAGAAATTCAAGTCGGGGAAAGATCAATATCCGATATTCGAGCTCTTTCGATTAACAGAAAACGGACAAGGAATCATTGGGACATTGTTAATGCCCGACTTGCTGCAAGCTACTGTAGTTTTGGCAGGAAGTAGGAAAACTTTGGAACAAACGATATCTGCTCTAGAAGACAATGACGCATCCGGGGTCTCTAAGAACCATCTTGCACGCAGCAGTCAAACTTGCGAAGGACACGCGCTTGAGTTTGATGGTTTGGACCAGAGGTCTGTTTCAGCAGAAGAAAGCGGCAACCTGGATCCCGAGGAAGCACGCTTGAAGGCTTTTGAAAAGAACAGTTTTCGGGCGCCCAAATTCTGGTTTCAATGGAGTGGTCTCCCATTATCGCCGCCATGGGTTGATAATGAGAGCCCGAAACGTTGGGAGACGAACATGGGGTACCTGGTCTTTTCTGGTATGCACTCCTATAATTATACCTTCTTCCATGTATCGTTTCAACTATTGTCTCTAGAGAGGGGCTTGTCTTTAACAAGAAAGGCTGACCTATGATTATCGGAAAGGCAACGATTGCCGCAAATTTCAGGGGACAATCAATTGCAGTGCCCTTGGGTGGAAGGACGTGGCACTCAAAGGCCACAAGACAGTCTCCAAGCCGGAGCGTGATATCCCCGTCGCTTGGAACCCAAACGGTACTGACTTGTGAGAAATCTGGACCAAAGGAGACCGGGGCAGAGGGGGAAAGCACCTGTTAAGATTTCCGGGATAGATACGTAACGCCAACCATGAGAACTAGGCCCTATCTTTGTCGAGGCTCGGGAGTTTCAACACTCCGATGTCTCATTTAAACCATGATATGCCGGTGTGGCGTCAGTTCGGAACGTGCAACACCAGCTCTTGCCATCGGCAAATCCAGGATCGTATTTGGTGCTTGACCACGTGCAGCTGGGTATCTCGTATTCATCCAGCTAACCAATAGCAACCATACGTCGTCGGATTAAGCTTGTCAGATGGGTTAAGCTAATGGTGTAGAACTATTATCCAGATCGCTGGTTCCAATGTCGGCTCTCCGGGTAAGTTGAATATCCTTGTCCTAACCTGGGGTAATGTGGGGAATTCAGGGGTCCCGAACGCCGTGCGTATACAGTTGTGTGGGAAGCAACTGGGTGAGTCTGGTTGCTATCTATTAAAGACCTGGATTTCTTTGGCTGTGACGCCCAGTTATGTGGAGTATCTAGCTAGGAGACTTCGGGCCTTTTCTGATTATGTATTCAGCTCAATCCATAGTCACTCTTGCTGCTGCTGTGTCGCTTGGTAAGCCCGATGGAGGTTTGTGCTCTGAATGATAGTTGAGCTGATTGATTACAGGGCTGCAAGCGAATGCAGCCGCTATAGCCTCCCCTGCAGCATGCGCTGCGGCAAATGCCAACCAGACCTATGACTACATAGTTGTGGGCTCCGGAGCAGGTGGAATACCCATCGCTGATCGACTATCCGAGGCTGGGCACACGGTGCTGCTGATTGAGAAAGGCCCACCATCGTCAGGAAGATGGGGAGGGACGATGAAGCCGAAGTGGCTCGATGGCACGAATCTAACACGGTTCGATGTACCTGGGCTTAGTAATGAGATATGGTCAGATCCTAAGGGCATAGTCTGCACTGACGTAGACCAAATGGCAGGCTGCGTCTTAGGAGGTGGAACAGCAGTCAATTCAGGACTATGGTGGAAACCGCATCCGGCGGACTGGGATTTTAACTTCCCCGATGGTTGGAAGAATACAGACGTAGCTGCAGCCACGCAGAAGTTGTTCTCCCGGATCCCGGGCACAACTGTTCCATCGACAGACGGCAAACTCTACTTGCAGCAGGGCTTCGATATGCTGAGTAGCGGTTTGAACGCTTCTGGATGGAAGTATATTGTCCCCAATGACCATCCAGATCAGAAGAATCGCACCTATGGCCACAGCACCTTCATGTTCTCTGGAGGTGAGAGGGGCGGCCCTCTGGCTACGTACTTGCTTAGTGCAAGCCAGCGAAAGGAGTTCACATTGTGGACAAACACGATAGCCAAAAGAGTGGTGCGCACCGGCGGTCATGCGACTGGCGTGGAACTCGAGTGCAATGGTGGCTCTGGCTACTCTGGTGTTGTATCGGTGACCCCGAAGACAGGAAGGGTTATCGTTTCAGCTGGTGCCTTCGGTTCAGCCAAATTACTTATGCGCAGTGAGTGTTCCGGCATGGAGGAATGGAATCCGAGCTAAATCGAAGTGTAGGTGGAATTGGGCCCACAGATCAGCTCAACGTCGTCAAGAGCTCATCAGATGGCCCTACAATGATATCTCAGGACTCTTGGATCAATCTCCCCGTGGGCTACAATCTGGATGATCACGTTGGTGTAAGGATGCAGTCCAACAAGCCCCGAGGGACCACTGATTGACAAATATAGACTGATGTTCAAGTGTCGCACCCAAATGTTGTATTTTACGACTTCTATGGCGCATACAACAATCCAGTTCAAAGCGATGCGCAAGCCTATCTAAGTAAGGCGTATACATATGCTTTCAAATAGCTAGCTGACAAGTGAATAGAAGGAAGAACTGGTATTCTCACACAAGCTGCTCCCAACGTTGGTAAGTACATCCGGGCATCAACTGCATCAATTCCTACCACCCCAGCAGACTTGCAGAGAAAACTGTATGTTCTTGAGGGGCATAATTATCAATAGCTGGAAGACGCAACTCACGAACAGAGAGCACTATTGATTGAGAACTGCTGACATCTAACACAACAAAAAGGTCCCATGTTCTGGGAAATCATTACTGGAGCTGATGGCCGTGAACGTCATCTACATTGGCAATCACGTGTGGAGGGTTCTCAAAAAAGTGAGTACCAGACCCTTGTTCGTACTTTACAACAAATACTAAGCAGATCAGCCTCCATGACTATTACACAATACCTTGGCACCGGTGCCGTGTCACGTGGTCGTATGAAGCTCAGCAGTAGTTTAAACACTGTAGTTTCGACTGCACCCTATCTTCATGATGATAATGACAAGGCAGCTATTATCAAGGGGATTGAGAATCTGCAAGACTCCTTGAAGGGTATATCTGGGTTAACCTGGATTGCACCGAAGCCGGGACAGACCGTCACTCAGTTCGTAAACTCGGTAGGTGGAAATGACTACTCGTCAGTACCTTATAGGATGCTGACTTTCACCAGCTACCCGCAACAACTGGAGCACGATGTGCGAACCACTGGATTGGTGGGTTTAGCCAATTTTCACTCGCAATCTACATGACTGACGGAATTTCTAGGTACTAGCAAGCTCGGCTTGGATGATGGTCGTGTGAATAATGGTACATCTGTCATAGATACGAACACTAAAGTGTACGGCATGGATAACCTGTTTGTTGTTGACGCTTCAATTTTCCCTGGCCACATAACAGGCAACCCTTCTGCCGCGATCATCATCGCATCCGAGCACGCTGCTACAAAGATTCTCGCTCTAGCTTAAAGCACGAAAAGTTGGCACTTTGGATAGTTTTGTACCATAAGGTCTCCTATTACAATGAAGTAGCTACACAAAATCTTTGAATTCTATGTATTCTCAAATACAGACTTTTGACACGTGTGAGATATCCCTTGAGATCAGCACAGAGATAGTCGACCCGGTGTTCTCATCAACGCCATGTACTACATGAGGTCTGCCGGCGATCGCGAAAGAAAGTCACAGCTGATTGAAAAGCATTAAGTCGACAATAGACGAATGAAGGGTATAAAACTATAGCATTAATCATTATCTGAATCTAAAGTCTGTTATGCAACCTTTTGGTTACGGTCGTGGGGACCCTTGTATCGCACACCCGGCAAGTCTGGCGTATGCCGCGTATCTCAGATTCTCGCTTGCGATACACGTACAAACGTTTCGCTCCTGACCAAAATACCTCCCTCGGAGCCTGGAGGTGAACTCGCTAGTTCAACATCGTAAGGAACTTCATTGCCAGTGATGGAAACCTTTGGTCCCGTCGTACGGCCACCAAAACTATCGTCCTTGGCAAAGCTATTGTCTCGTGGTGACTCAGCCAAGTGATGCATTGACTCTGAATCGTCTGCGAGTTTGGTTTTTGTCCTCATTGCCGCCATTTGAATGAATGACTTCGTTCGGTTGGGTCGGAAACGGTCTTCGATTGAACCTAAGGAAGCATGAGGGAAGATCCGATGGAAGGCCTTCATGAAGATAGGGCGGAGCATGGGCATGCAAGCCGAGATAATTGCAAGATTGACCTCCACTGTGGCCCATATCATACTCAGAATCAGTGATGGTCGAAAGGGGAAGGTAGCTCGAATACTCACATAATAGGAGCGATATTCCACGACATTTCTGATGATTTGGTGTCATATGATATAGAATAGACGAGAACTATGACTGAGGCAATGCAGACCCTGACACGATTAGTATGTATGACTTCCTCGACCAAGCTGGATAGCTCACAGAATTCCAAACATGAACATAGCAGTGACGCCGATCTTCTGAGCCGTCCGTAACTGCAGCCTGTGTACTTGGACAACCGGCAGAGTAAGAATCGCCAAGTCAAGAACGAGATGGGCCAGAACCGATCCGAAGAAAAACTTCGAGTCATCAATAAGACAGGTAGCATCAGGAATTGATTTATCCCAGAACGCTTGAACCGGCACGCAGTCTAGATGTTGGTTAGTGAATAAGAATGGTTGGGGCTTGGAAGCTCTTCGTCTGGACATATAGTACAGACTGCTCAGGGGGTGTTGCTTACGAAAGATAGCAAGGAAAGTCTGATCAGATTAGTGGTGTTAGCACAGAGCATTGAAGTCTGACATACCCGTAGAATCAACCAGACCACAGCACAGATGGCAAGAATTATTAACGGGATCTTGATCGCTGATCTTTGGAACATCCGCCAGTAGAATGATAAGATGGCTAGCTTCGAGAACGCTAGTGAGAATGCGTAGAAAAGTTCTGCAAGATAACAGAAGAACAAGGAGTTGGTGAGGGATTCCTGCGCAGTCGTCCCTACATCTTTGAGATGCAGACCAAACCCGAAAGGCACCCCTGAAAACTATTAGAAGGCGTCTCAAAGAATGAGGGCAAAGACTTACATGATAGCAACAACGCACTCCATGCGACACCTAAGAACTGCAGATGACGTTAGCAATGTGTCGCCTCACGATCTTGATGGCAATGTGAACAGACGTATGCTAAAATGCACAGATAATCATCCCACCACAAAGGAACTTTGGTCATCCGCCGGGCGATGAGGCGTAGCACTAGAGTCAGTGTTGCCGCCGCCATTGTTATCGCCACAACGGCGAACAGATTAGGTTGCTGAGACTCCATGGTTCCGAATGAATTAAGGAAAGTGAATGAACCGATGGTCTTGCGTTCCGAAATGCGTCCAGCACAGAATAAAAGAGATGAAGAACATTTCAATCACAAAAGGGAGTCGAGCTACATCGTTGACCGCTATCCAGTATTTCATCTGATATCTAGCCCACTTTCCACATATCCGTAACATCCTATGTGGAAAAGTTCTACGCGATGACGACGATGCCATTTGTTAACGGCCGAACTTTAGAGGCTGCCGCGCCAATGTCGGACTAAACTAGCTTTGGTGAAGCAAGTTGGAATGCTTGCCCTGCGGCTCCAAATTAGATGGCCACGATTCATGGCGCTAAACAAGTACTAGGACCACGTACTAGGACCACCTAGTCAGCATCACTATGCGATTATATGCCAGTTAGGCTTGAAATGCTAGGATCTTGCAACGGCGCAGCACAGACGATAACCAGATGCCTGGGTAGTTCCCCGGATTGACCGAAGTCTTCCATGCGCAATCGCCTTAGGTGTGGATCCCGCCGGTGCGCCTCCCATTTGCTTCAATGGGCTAACTAGTCGATGCTACCAATCCCATGCACCGTAGCAAACTACTCGCATGAAACCCCCAGATTTCGAGGACCAGCCCAACGACGGCTAATGTCGATCAAGATCTTCTAGAAGCTTTGACTACTTTTGTAGATCAGACGCTCCCTCCGTCGATCAGCAACTAGCCTTATGGTGCGGTGTAGAAAGATCAACGTCAGAATATGGCAGTTAAGTTGAATCCGTGGAGGCAATGCGAGTTACTGATTAGAAGACAATTTTCGGAACAGATCTTATTCCATCTAATCAATTAATGGAAACTCTTTCACTCTGCATGTGCCGGCAATGCTTGGACGACCATGGACTATTCATTGGCGACGGGGTCGCACTTGACCGATCTTCTAGCTTTGGAAGTTGTGCCTCACTCCGAACGGGCTTCTGTTCTGAGCACTACACTCTTCTGAAGGCCTTTGATCTGACGAATCTCTACAATCCACACTCTCAGAATGCAATAGCAGCGTTGAGAAGTCATATTTGAGATCCGGCAATGACATATTACTTTGACTAGCTCCCTTCTTGCACCACCAAGGACACTGTTTGGAAGATATTTCTGCTATTTTCGAGATGGCTTATGCCAAGAATGATAAGGTTTGAATTGGCCATACAATCAACGAGTTTCTTTCCAATATAGCCTGAGATACGAGGGTTATCTCAAAGGGGACTCAAGACATGATGGTGGAGAGCACCTTGATTGATACTCATACTCGGCTGAGCTATATATTAAAATTCGAGAAAAAGGAGGACGGCCCACACAGGTAAGTCTTTGAGATAAGGAATGAGGAACGTTTCGGTTACAAAAGGAACAAGCGTGCTCTTGTAAAGCATATGGATATCTCTCGTGCTGCTCCGGGAGACCTTGCCGAGGCACGACATCGAACAAGTAAAGTAACTATTCGCGAAAGCTGTTGCTTGTGTGATGGTGGCTGCCTGTATGGTCACGATGCCAATGTACGGAGTGTAGTCTTCCGCATGCGAGCCGACTTTACTGCTTAGGATGAAATCGTGCGTTCGGACTCATTAGTCTAACATATGTTAGTCGCGTCGTCTGTTCTATCTCTTTCCAATTCTAAGATAGTGGACTTGGCGGCTTTTATAAATGGGTAAGGTGCAATACCTCGGTACTCCTCTTACTCTCTGATTTGACACTTTGACATCTGCACCCCGTGTGGCGGAGTTGGACCAAGGCTAGTGTGAAGTTTCTACATAGGGATGCCACCTGCAATTGGTGCAATTTGGTGCTGACTGGAATTTGGGGTATTTGGGGCAGAGCAGAGTCCCAAAATAGGAAATCTTGCGAAGTCACGCAGACTCAAGGCTACCTGATTTCTCCAAATCCCCACACGGATTCCCCAAGTCTGAAGAAGCTACTTGGCGGGTATCTTCCAAGACGAAAAGCAATGTTTTGGTCATAATACCGACTTGGCCTGTCGAGTTAATCCCCTTTTTGCCAAACATCCGTGTCTGGCGCCCTGCGTCCAAAGATGTTTGCATATACATGTGCTGTACTCCACGATGCAGTCAGTAAGCACAGGGGATGCGATGCAGCACATAGGTCGTTTTTCGCAAGGTCGTCCAATAAAGGCGAAACGAAGGGCTCTTGAAGCCGAGGCAGAAATCTAAGTCTTCTCAGAATCGCGTTGACTACCAATGTCTATAAGATCAGCGATGAGCCTCCGGGTTGAGGTTCGAATGAGAGATTCCTGTATCACCAGCAAGATAAAACAGCATTCGTCCCATCGCTGCCATCTCAAGCCTACGGATAGCGCCGCTTCCAATTCACCATGAAGCTCTCGGTCATTTTCACTCTCGTTTCAAGTGTACTGGCGTCGCCGGTCTCTGTTGCGCCTGCAAAGCGCCAGACAGGCACTATCTCGAACGAGTTCACCGTTGGTGGGTGTCGAGATGTGATTTTCATCTTTTCTCGGGGAAGCACTGAGGTCGGAAACATGGTAGGTTATATTCTGTAGAATCGCGTGCCTCCTTTCATAGGCTCGCAGACTAAGCACTGTGTTGCATTTAGGGCGCAATTGTTGGACCCGAAGTGTCCGATCGTCTGAAAGCTGCCTTCGGATCTTCCAAAGTTGCGACAGAGGGAGTGACATACGCCGCGCTTCTCAGTACCAACTTCCTCCCGGGAGGTGCTGATCTTGCTGGTATCTCCTTGATGACAAGCCTGCTCACACGTGCTGCCACCCAATGTCCCAATTCAAAGATCGTGGCCGGTGGCTACAGGTCAGTGACTGTTTCTGTTACAAGCACTGGACTGTAGACTAACTCAGACGCTTCATAGCCAAGGCGCAGCGATGACCCACCGTGCGGTCGAGCAACTCAGTTCCTCCGTCATCTCGAGAATTGCTGGAATAGTCCTGTTCGGTGACACTCAGTACGAGCAAGAGAATGGCCGCATCCGCAACTACCCAACCCAGAACACCAAGATCTATTGCGCGCTGGGCGACCTCGTCTGTGATGGGACATTGATCATCACAGCAGCCCACCTGACATATGGTGCAGATGCCTCCGACGCAGCTCGGTTCTTGGTCAGTAGAATCAATGCTGCTTGAAGATGGGAAGCTGCAACGCAAGGAGTCGGGTAGAATGGGCGCCCCTGCCCGACCATTGCTGGCGGTCATGTTGATCGATCTTGGAAGCTGGGAGATTGGCTAGGTGAAGCCGTAACCCCTATCGTTATTGTATCCCCATTACATTCACTTAGTGGATACGTACCTATGCATGTACATATTTTGCGCTTGGCCTTATCAATTGAACTACACTCCTTCTGATTCAATTCATGAAGATGACGTTTGGGCCCCAGAGTGTACGCTGGCTCTGCGCGCTGATAAAAACATGCAATGCGATTCGGAGCCAGGCGTGCACTGGTGACATGTAGGTCGTTGGTACCAAGGTTCCGTCTTCGCATATGCATTATGGTAGCCAATCGGCAATTTTTTTAAGGTCTACAGGCACTGCGTCTTTAGCGCGTGATGGCTTAGTGTAAGGTGAGCTGATGCGCCCTGTACCGTGAGGTCCCACTTCAAAACACCAAACCGTCGACGTCACCTTAGCATCCACACGCAGCAAAATGTTGAGACCAGACCCTGAGCACGTCGACCTCTTGATCCTGGGTGCGGGTTGGACATCGACCTTCTTAATTCCGTTGCTTGAGAAACATGGCATCCAATACGCAGCTACTACCTCAGACGGACGCAACGGCACGATACCCTTTCGCTACGAGCCAGAGTCGGAAGACGAAGGTCAATTCAGAAGACTCCCAGCAGCAGCCACCGTCTTGATCACGTTTCCTCTGAAGGGTAGAGGTCAGTCTAGCCACTTAACAAAATTTTACGGGAAGACTCATGCTGGCGCCAACCCGAACTACATCCAGTTGGGTGCGACAAGTATCTGGAAGGGTGAAAGCTGGCAGGACGAGAACTCGCCCTACGATGCGGCAAACCCGCGCGCCATTGCCGAGGACGAGCTAATGGCCGTTGCTCGTGGTGCTGTTTTGGACCTTGCGGGGCTGTACGGGGGTGCTCGGCAACCTCGTAATTGGGTCGATCGCGTGGTCAAGTCAAAGGCAGAGTTGAAGGCAAAGGGTGCTCTTCACCTCATCCACGGCAAAGACGTCTCAAGAGCAATCATAGCTCTGCACCGAAGCTTTACCCCCGGAAAGCGATGGCTGCTGTGTGACTTGCATACCTATGATTGGTGGGACTTGGTTCAAGATTGGGCGATCCAGGTTGTGCGCGATGCCGAGGAGAATCCAGCTCAGTTTGAGGAAAGTCAAGTTGCGCGACAGAAAGAGTTGCTGAGCTGGGTAGGCGAGCTGATGGAAGAGGAGGGAGTTCGCGCGCTTCCACGAGATACGCCTCTTCTTGGCCGAGTGCTGGATGGAAGAGCATTCTGGAAGCATGTGGGACTCTGGCCGAGTCAAGGTCGAGTTGGCTAGATGGAGACCTGATATTGAGATGCCCTTGGTATCCATTTGAAGGCGGCAGGGGAAAGGTTGGCGGATGAATGACGACATCTCAGGTCTTTGATCGTCGCAAATATCCAATCACCTTCATGGCAAGCATGCATTTGGATCAACAAACTTCATAATTCATATCCATGGGAATCAATTGGAGCTCTCCACGATATCGTTCTTACTGTACTCTAATGTGTACATGGACGCACACACTCGGTATGTCATTCAGCTCGCCCATAGTGTGCCGATGAACCTAAAGCATTAGATCTGAGTGGCTTCAGCTCAGTATCTCAAAAGTAAGAAAGTCACAAAGTGAGATGGCATTGAATGCCAATAGTGATGAGGGCGAGCGAACTGCAACTCTAGCAGCCATACACTGTCGGAGCTGTGCAGATATGTGTGGATTAGTAATACTACTGCGTGGACATCGAGGAGGCAACTCGCCCAGAGATCTGAATGCATATGCGGGGCAACAGCCGTCCTCACATGCATCTCCGTGTTGAGCCCATCTTCAATGCAACACGTCATCGGGGATCTCTACACACCTAATTCATCATATCCTTGTACAGACTTGTTGCGGAGAAGCTATTCTGATAAATATGGCGGTCAACTCACCGCGTTTTGACGGCTGAGTCAACCAACTTCGTTCTTCAAAGTTGTGCATTGATACCTTTTATTTCTAAGGGACAGGTTTTGCGATATTTACAGCAATTATTGGAATATGCATATTCCCTGGGTATTCTTTTGCGCCTTGGCACTTGTAAATGCCGGAAACATCAGCTTCATCTCTGATCCGGGAGTTTATGGTCCGCAATTGGAGATAGAGCACGCATACTACGGACAGTGGCCCACAGGTGATTGAGAGACCGGGGCATATCGTGGATAGTCTAGCACTGACATGATGCAGGTATTGCGGTGTCCAGCACAGGAAGGAAATTCTCAAACTTTCCGGGAGGTCAGTAGTACGGTTTGAACATTGATCGTGACTAAACAAAGCAGGACTGGATCCGGCAAATACTTACAATGGGTCAAACGATGTCTTCACAGTAGCGGAGCTCACATCTCTCACTGGGGAGAGTGCTTATCCATCATTAGGGATGAACCACCCCCCTGGAGGTGCGATCAATTATACCACCCATCCTCCAAGTCAGTACACTCACTAAAAACTGAGACACTCTACTGATACGGACAAGCTGGGGCCAATTATCAAGACTACCTCATAGGCGTACAGTCCGTAGTCATTGATTCCCTCGACCGCCTTTGGATATTAGACACAGGGCGTGTGTTGACTCCGGATGGAAGCTCCCTCGTGTATGCGTCGTTCGGAGGGCCGAAGCTCATTGGTGTGGATCTCAACACAAACAGGGTCTTCAAGACTATTCTGTTTCCATCGACGGTTGCGTATCCAGATAGCTATCTCAATGATGTTCGGTTCGATCTGCGCCCTGATGTGTCAGAATCTGGCGAAGGTATCGCGTACATTACGGATAGCAGCTCAGAGGGCCGCAACGCCATCATCATCGTTGATCTTGGATCAGGAGAAAGCTGGAGGCATCTCGAGCTCACAAAGTGGGTTCGATCACAAAATCAGTTTCTACCTTTCATTTGGGGCCAGCCGATATATTATGCGCAGGCAAGTAGACCAGTCTCATACTGGCCGCTTGGATCAGATGGGATAGCCCTGTCTGCTGATGGCGAAAGGCTATATTGGGGTCCATTGGGCTCTCGATATCTGTACAGCGTTCCGACCGTGCTTTTGCGAAAACAGGATCCGACCAGTGAGCTCCTCACCCAGCAGGGCGTGACGAGTCATGGAGAGAAGGGTGCAAGTGATGGTTTCGAGACCGACTCAAACGGGTTCATATATGTTGGAAACAATGAGGCAAACTCTGTAAATCTATTCAACCCCAAGAACGGGACAACTACCCCTTTCGTTCGAGATCCTCGAATAAACTGGGTCGATACTAGTAAGGCAATCCTATGTTAACTTAAGATCACAAAAGCTGACTTTGGCAGTGTCTATTGCAACAGATGGCTACCTTTATTTCACCGTCAATCAAATCAACCTGGCTCCAGCTTCATATCCAGGAACAGATAGGAGGGTAAGGCCCTTTGCCTTGTTCAAAGCCCTCCTTCCGGGTGGAGGCACTAAAGTTCAATTGGAATAGGGTTGCTATGCCGTGTAGCTTTCGACTGAATTACAAGTACTGTCCTTGGCTTCAAACATGCACCACCTCTAGCCTTTCTCTGACGAAACCGGAAGTTTGCTGGTTTGAACTGAAGATGGCTAATAAATGTGACCGGTCAAGTAAATTTTATTGGTAGAGCAGAAGACAGTCATATGGTACTTCGAATCTAGAGACCATTGCACTGAAATTCTGTCTTGCCTAACTATGAATCGAAAGAATGTTGAATGAGTGGCTGGGACTGTTCATTTTTTTCAGTCCCTCCAAAAGTTTCCCACTTCTCCGTTTTGGTCCGTTTGCCCACAGTCATGTCAGTCATTTAGGAGCCCCTGTCATATGAGTACGCAGCCCAGTTTCCTCGGACGCAGCCACTTCTGACAGCTGTGGCTCCCGAGTTGCAGTTGCTGTCAGTGTAGACCGTGACTGTAGGTCGGCAAAGTTAGTATCGGAGAGTAATACGGAGGTACGTAATTGTGTGACTTACAGATGAAACCAGAGTCTCTGGCGACACTTTGCACGCTCTTGGTGTTGGGAATCGCGACGCAACCACCGCTCCCGTTAGCAGGCGGCGTGACAGTGGAAATAGCACAGTTCGTGCTACAATCGTTACCAGTGCATGTCCTGAGTGATCCGTTCGCAGCAACAAGTTGGGCGATTGTTGCCAGGGAGGTGATAATGATGGTGGTCTTCATCTTGATGGGGCTTTTGGCAGGGAAATGTTTCAGCGAGGTGAATCAGGCTGATGCTTGCTGGATAACAACTACACAACTGCAGCGGGCGAATTGCTTACTTTATAGTTTCTAGACTGAGCTCTCATTTGAAGTGATTCTGCACTGCTGTGTCATTGAAGATGGCATGCGGAATGGTGCATACTAGGCGAGTGTGGATGGCGTCAGACGCAGATTTACTATTTTCATTGATTACAAAGCTAACAAGCCGACTATTTCGGGCAAATGTAGCTTCGCTGACAACTAGGTTCTAGAATCAAACTACATCATCGGGTTGCTCTGATGCAGCTTGCAGTTCAATACATCAAGTCATCCTTGGTCTTGTTTCCAAATCCCATTAGCCACCATACTGTTGCTTGAGATAAGCAGCTGACAGAACTTGGCAATCTTACAAGGCTGGTTGAGTCAAAACTGACGCTGACATGCATAATGAGCTCTCAGAAGAACTAGGTAGCAGTGATTCATTAAGCGCCAAGTAAACCATAGCCTATTGATTAGGCGTCGAACGAGGCATTTCCGAACCTCACATACTCTACAAAAGGTTATCCCGAAGCCCCCTGTAGGGATTGGCTGACGGGTTCTTGTATATCCTATGCAATGTCCTCCAATTGTCCAATCTCACACAACCTGTGAAATGTCCACAGTATTTTGGTAGCTGCGGGAATTCGGCAATTCGGCAATCTTCTTCACGTTACTACCGCTCTTCTCTTTGGTGAAATGTTGGTTTGAGAAACGCCTCCCTTTGCGCGCTCCATCCGGGGCATGACGCTTGGAGCAACGCATTCTGTATACATGCGTGGCGCAACGGCTCTGACATCGCAATCAAATTGATGGTAGTGAGCGAGCTGACTGTATCGGATACTCGATTTAGCGGTTCATTTCAACATTATCTTTTTGTTGCAGTCTGTGAACATAAACCAGCCCAGCCAGACTTTCGCCATTAGGCTACGGTGAACACACTTGAGATCGGTTACGGTGTACTTAGCGAGTCCCTAAACTTAGAGCCGCATTCGGCTAAAGGGATTACGCTCACTTCTTTCTCCATTTACAACTATCGTCTAAGGATCATGGGAGTAGCCTACGATGCTGCTCTAGTCCATATATTTACAGGTTTATGAGAGTTTCCAATCCTGTACGGCCTATTCCACTGCTATTCTGTCGCGCACTATGATCATCTTCCTTAATAGTCCTTTTTCCTCTTCCTTGTGGTTTATGCAGGTTTACAGCATCATGCCTACGCTCTTTATTACCAATGGAAAGAAGTCGGCCTTTGGGTGACACACTCTCCGCCTGATCTTCGTAATAAGCCAGATAATAGTCGCTTGTGGCCACGCATTTCTTCCACTGTTTTCAATGGGACACTCGGGGCCTATCATGTCATCGCGATCGCCCAATACGGATCTCGACGCCTGGCTCAGGTTCCGACCTCTACGCGAGTTCTAGAAGCTTTATTATTAATGACTTCGATTCTCATGTTGATGGGATGGTGGTTGGATGCACGGGAACCGGCACTGACGCGCAGTGCAATATGTGCTGCAACCGTACTTTGCACTTCTAGCGAGTGGCGACGTTTTGGAATACATTTACAGAAGCGGCATAGAATACTGCTTGAGCCTTGACGATGCAAAATCAAGTTTTAGTGAACACTCAAGATTTCAATTATCTGGAGCGTTACAACAGTGTGAAACAACGCTATGGTGTATGGTCGTAAGAAACCTGAAAGATGGCAATGGAGAAATGCGGGTTGAGGAAGGAACCAAGGCTGTAGCGAGAAATATCTGAGGATCTGGCGAACAGCTATCTGCACGATAAAGAGACAGGAGCTGGTTCCTACAGAAGCCGAAAGAAGTATAGCCCACCGAGATTCATTTCAGAGAAGACGAAGTGTTTAGCACGAGGTTTAGTTGCATTTAACTTTAAACCCCAACTGTGCGCGTAAGCCCGAGGCTGAACTATTCTCAGTGCCATTAGCATATTCGCCCGTTATGTACAAGTTACATAAGTCTAGTGTCGGGGTCACTTTGACAGAGAGCCGGCGAGATGGTTGTGGGGCTGTGGAAGGGTGCTGACGGTGATTACGAATGTGGTGGCTGTGCATAGCAGTGTTTGCCTAAGCTGAGATATCACCGCCCCTGTTCAACGCTTTATCGACCTTGACTGACAACATCTTCCGACTATGCAAGTCCGCATGGTACTTCTGCGCGACCGAAATTTTCTTCACTATGGATCCACTGATGGATGTTGAGGTTAAGCAAGTCTTTTGTGTCTACCCGATCAGCGGAAACTACACCATTTACCAAAGGACACTTTTCTGGGTCGCTTTGGCATTTGCACTGCTGGGCCAAACGCACGGATGGTTGGCAGCGTCAGCTTTTGGGTTCGCCGTTACGTACTCAACTACAGCAGCCGTCCACGGATTCATACTGGCATTCCAGGGAGAGGTCCAATGTGATGGAGACATTTTTGTTGTTGACGCCATCATCACACGGGCTCTCCACATATCTATAATATGCGCGCTCATCTGCCCACGCCTATTCAACAAAAGCCTCGCTCTACTTGTCAACGGCTGGTTCTTATTGCTCGGTGCCAGCCACATGGCATTAGCATTCAACACGCCGAGGCTCATTTCCAAGGCATCTAGCTCGCTTGTATTATCCTATCGGAACGAAGACGGATCCTGGCATGACCCTTGTGCTGATATGCGCATGCCTACAATGTTCCGGGGAATCTCTGGAGATTCTATGAGCCCCGTACTTTGGGGCTACACCACCATTACCAACGCGTCACTCCTCCAACTCAGCGCTGACAGCGACGTCATTTCAATGCCAAGCCCTGAAAGGCCGGGGGCGGTTGCCGGTTATATGCTTCTCGAAAGTATCAAGGTTTCCTTGTTAATGGCCCCAGTTCTACAAGCAACCCTTGTTGATCGTCGCTCTTCTAGAAACGACGTTTTCCTGCGGCTACTTTCAAAACGAGTTGTCTATCAAACTTCCGACTTCAGTAGATCAGGTCCAGTTCTTGCAACAGTACTGGTACGTCTTCTGCAGGTTCGTTGGTTTTTGCTACAGTGCGTGCCCGCCTTGAACATTCTGGACTTTCCATTGCGATTCACCACCCGTGTACTATGCGGATACTTTAAAATTCGAACTTTAAAGATAGAAGATCTGTCATTCAAGGAAACCCGTATAACCCAGGCGAGATACCAAGCTGCAAAGTATATCGCCATGTCATTTTATGCGATTGTCATGTTGGGTCATGTGCTATGGATGCCGGTATTTTTGCAAATGACAACTAGCCACGAAGGATGGCTCAAGGATGTCCCCGAATCAGAGACTTTCCGGGCGGTCGGACAATGGTCGTCCTGGCTCACTTTATGCCTGGCACTTACTACCGCAATCGTCAACCGCCTGCTGAATTTGGATACCAGGGAAGGCTCGGCATCGTTGGAATCTTGGATCCAACAACATCACCTGAACGTTATCTACTCTCAGGTCCGCAATTGGTGCTCTGATGAGTGGATAGAGACGAAAGATTGGTGGGCCAACCCAGGAAAGCGTGGAATAAATCACCTCAAAGCTGCAGTACCCGACGACGATAGTCAGGACATGTTCTCAACGAAACTGCTCCAAGCATTAACATTGTTTGAGGCAAATCGAAAGGGTGACGTTCTACCTGCACCAGTACCTATACACATGCAGCCGTTCTTTGGACGACGACCTCAAGAGAAAATGGATTAAAAATAGAGTAGGTATGACGCTATAGACTTTGAAGTATAGAGGGTAACAAGTCTGGAGAAAGGGACGAAGGTTTCGGAAATCTCACGATATACATAGTCACTGGGTTTGATCACAATCTTGCCGTGACACATAAGTACGCTTAGTGCAGGTTGAAGGTGCGGAGCATGGCAGCAAAGCCTCAGGCGGGGCATGATGTCGCTTGAGCCTAGTGCATAGAGACTTTACCTCTTTCTTATGATCGAGGTTCCTGACCGTAAACGACGCCATATTTGTAAAGAAAGAGCGGGGGAATGGGGTTTCGCAAATTTCGTTTGTTATAGCCCTCGTCACACCTTGGGCAGGTTTTCAGACTCTGCAGGCTGTAATAGGATGCTCTGGACATCTTGGCTAGGTCATGCACGGAAAGCTGTGGCCGAGGGCCAATATGCAGCAACGATACAGCTCCAAGGAGAATCCTTGTCGCGGCCATTTTTGGGGGGGGGCATAGCGAGGATATTTACGTCCCAACCCGCGAGGTTTACGATTACACTATCTGATTCACACAATCAGGTCATATGGGAAGATAATTGGTCTTTAATTATCAATACTATAAGTCGTTATACACTGACCGAAATTTGGTCGCCGTTCCACATAAAGTGTTCATGTTCTTCATCAGTCCGTCCCAGCCATTATACCATATTCATACAGTCGATTTAGATCCCGTAGCTCTTGAAGCCCTTGTCCTGTTGCTGGCCTCCCGTAACTCCGCCCACCGTACTGCCAACCTGGTTGCCTACACCGCCGACAGTTCGGCCGACTCCTTCTGTTGTTTGACCAACGGCGTTACCCAGGCCCTGAGTAGTTTGGTTCAAGCCCTTGCCGAGGCCCTGGGTTGTGTTGCCGACGGCACCAGTGACTCCTCCGAGGAGACCGCCCTGGCCCTTTGCTTGCTCGCCTCCGGTGAGGACGTTGTCAACGCCGCCCAAGACACCGCCGAGGAGACCACCGTTGTTGTTCGACATTTTGATGAGGTAGTGTTTGTGGGTTTATTTGGGGGGCTTAGTGTAGAGTTGATTGGTGGGCTTGAGGATTTACACTTCTTGATGGTTGAAGTTTGATGATTCTGCTAGAGGAAACTCTCCATCCCCTCGGCGCTTTCTCAATGTCTTATATATTGACAAGGCTCTGCCATATGACAGCCAAACAGCCACATGCTATGACGTTATTAGTGATATGATATCATATTTAGGGGGCCCTTCGTTTCGAGACAGTTGTGGCCCTGGTGGGGGCTGACGAGAGGTGTGGATGGTGCATGTGGCTAAGTAAAAAACCGGTTCGAAACAGCCAGGGTCTTGCCCGTCCTCCAATCAGCGGCCATAGATTGATTGCTCCAAGGGATCGGGACAATCCTGGCATGGGGTAAAGTGGATCCCACAAAGCCGTTGATATGCAGTCTAGGCTCGCTCTACCCACCGGCGACGTCAAAGGTCCTATCAGCTACCGATAGGATTTTGAGAGAAGAGGGATGATCAGGAAGCTAAGTGCATGCCGTGATCTCCAGGGTATCCATCTCATCTCTCTAATCGCGCGGCTAGCTGCCGGCGTACCATGGTCGAGGACCCCTATCGCTGGCTGGCAAGGATCGTGCAGCAAGTTAGGCTTCACCCCACGAGTTCTCCGGGCTCGTCTGATATGATGACTCGTGTAGCCGCACACTAATCGGGCAGAGTGGAAGTGATACCAGGATACTTGTACGCGTACACAGAATTCAGGTTTGAACGGTATTGACTGTAAATGGTGCAGTCTCTCTTGTCACCTGGTCGGTCAAGCCGGTTTTGTATCTATATTACTTAAGGAGGTGATAGCCAGAATAGTCAGTGGCCAAACAAATGAACCATATGAATGACCAAGCGAGTGCGGACGCAAGAACGGGTATCTTCTCTATTAGCTGCATGGCTGTGGCTGGACATGGTGTCTTGCTAAAAGCTGCAAGTACTTGTGGAGTATGCGTTCGGCAAGTCGGCTTACCAGTCACGGGCACGCTCGGGGCTTTCATTATGCGGCAGCCCAAAGCACTTGCTTTGATTATGACGTATGGGTGCATGTACCCGCGATCTAACTGAACCATGGGATGCATACTATGGCGTTCCGAGTGTTGATGGTCGTTGATGAGCAAAGCCCAATCTGACGGCGTCTACCAGCGGCGCAAGCCTTGGACATGAATGGTATGATGGTCATGGATCCGAGCAGCTCCATTCAATTGCAGCGCTGATGACTTCATAGGGAGCGCGCGAAACGTCGGCTGCATAGCAGATATCGTGGCCAAGGCTGTGCTGTATGCACAAGCGTGAGGCAACCAGCCCCTTTTTTCTTTCCCGCCCTACATTCTACTCTCCCTCTTTTCCGCAAATCGAGCGAACAAGAAGACACATATCAAGGTTAATCTAAATGTCTTCTTGAATTTAGTGGGATACGTTTCATTCTTTGCTGATCAGCTATTTACGGCTATCTACAAGTCACGTCAGGTGGCTTCGAGTCCCCACAGGCTTAACCCTAAGTATCTGCGTCACAACGATCATCGGACTGTAAGAAGCAGGCTCAATGAAAGGAAATTTCGCGATAAACAAAGCATTGAAAGCTGTCAAGGCTGTGTTGCCGTAGTGAAATTATTATCTGCTACTTATCTTTCATAGCTTCGTAACGTTACCGACTGATAGCTAGACTGTGGTCACTTGTTGCAAAACTCTCCGAGTATTATTCCTCTGAAATCCATCATTGAGTCAGCGGTTTCCAACGCATTGGCATTCAACCTTGTCTTAGCCCAAATTACCATGTTCTATCAGGTGCGAACTTCACGTCTTCTCCATAATAATTAAAATCTCTATGTATTGGGTCTGCAGCTTCAGATAAGCGTTTCAATGGGAATAGCTAGAAGATATTTGGAAACAGCTTTCATCATAATTCAGTCAGCTATGCGACAATAACTGCCACCGAAGCGACAGCATGGACATTGTCCGCACGAAACGGTCCGAGCAGTCGTTCATAACTCCCACCGGCCTTTCCCCCTTGCAGAAGTGGGATTCAACGATTCCCATGTCGTCAGGTTCATTACCTGAACACCTGGAACTTTATTAGTTTCGCCAGACTATATTTACAGAATAGGTCAGTACATAGGCACTCACCCCAACCTTCCAGTTCGGCGATTGCGCTCGCTTTTGCCTCATCCGACGTCGTCTCCGTTGCGTCCTCGATCAGAATCACCTCGAATCCGAATTTGATACCATCAATAGACGTGCCCCGAACGCAGGCGTTTGTGATCAGACCCGTGACCACGATCGTCTCGATACTGTGAAGCAGTAGCTCAGAATGCAGCGTCGTAAACTGGTGGTATTGGTTGTCGCCAAATGCGGAGTACGAATCCACGGAATGGTTCTGTGCTTTCTTGATGTAGTTCACAGGCGTCCGGAAGCCTTCCAGGTAATGCAGGCGCGTTTGCACGCCAGTTTCAATCTCGGCTCCCCAGGTCTCAGGCACACAGTGATTTGGATACAAGGCCTGTGTTTCGATCTTACTATTGGTGTCAAGGAACGTGATATTGATTGAGTCGCCTGCGCCCGGGTGCGTAGCAGCGAACGATACGTGGTCGATTGGATGCCAGTCTTGAGAGGCAACTATGAATGGCCACTCATGGCTGTCTAGGAGCTGATAGATCTTGGGTAGGATCTTTGGGGCCCTCGGACTGCCCAGAGAGCCTGTGATGAAATCGTTCTGGACATCAACAATCACTAGTGCTGTGTGTTTGTGAATCCTACTTGAAAACTGCTCCTGGATCAGTGCTGTTCCTTTGTGTGCATCCACGGATCAGAGACTGGACTAGCTCACCGGCACGCCCTCGATAGTACTTGCCAAGCCCAGGAGCCATAGTGGAATGTGTTGGAACATGGTCAAAACTCTCAATTATGATACCTTCGCAACGCGAGTGATTACAGCGCAAGGGCTGCTCGCACAATGCGGGGTGGCTCTGTAGAAAAGTGTACTTTATATCGTCGCTTGCGGTAATTCCGGGATGCAGCACCCCTGCCTCCGTACGGACCTTATCACCAGTATGCCTGCAGCTCTATCTTCGGCGGAGTATCTACCGCGGCACTTGCCGAGCTCCGATGGTGCTGGCGCCATCTTCTGCCGACCACCGCAACTGATATGCTTACTGCTTCATCGTTTGCTTGAAGTTGTGCAGAAAATGCGCGACTCTTCTTGATGCGGGGGTCAGCAGTCGCTAGATAAATCTACCTTTGAGCCGCTAACTAGCTCTGACTTTGGGTGAAGTTTGGTCTCACTTGAACTGTACCACAGGCCGCGAGAATAGCACCCCGAGACTCTCTTAGGCCTCGAAATTCAATCATCGCATATCATGGTAGAACACTCATGACAAGGACATTCCGCTGTCCCATTTTTCGAAAGTAATCAAGTTTAATTGATTTCATTTATCAGCTAGCCAGAGGATTCAAATCCTGAAGTGGGCATAGGGCTTACATCGACAGCAGGGGTTGATACCAGCCACCATACCTCAACACCACTGCTGAGTGCTGTCCATTCATGATGCAGCAAGGCTCGAGCCAGACGGATGCGATACATGGATGGGAAGTCTGATCCCCAAGCGTCAAAACACTATTCTCCGTGTAATTCAATGGAAAGTCGCCTACCATGCCGCCGAAGACAGTCTTGATCACGGGATGTGGCCCCAGGGGCATTGGCCGAGCTCTAGCAACTGAGTTCCAGCTTCGCGGTCATCGTGTGATTGCATCGGGACTCAACGAGTCTCTGCTTGCACCGCTCAAGGATATGGGAATGGATACGGTGCCCATGGACGTGACGTTGGAGTCGTCCATCGAGAACGCCGCATCCCAAGTCGCCCGACTCGCCGACGGGAAGCTCGACATCCTGATCAACAACGCCGGCGTGATGCACATCATGCCCTTCGCCGACACGTCTCTCGCAGATGTGCGTCGCGTTTTCAACGTCAATGTTCTAGGCGTAGTCGCTGTGACGCAGGCGTTCTTGCCGCTGCTCATGGCTGACGTTGCAGCGTCGACTGACGACGGTGCGCAGCGTAGCATTGTGGCCAACCTGGGCAGCGTGAATGAGGTCTTCTGCCCGCCGTTTTTCTCAGCGTACAACGCGTCAAAGGCGGCTGTCGAGGCGCTGGGGAGGACCATGCGCCGCGAGCTGGCGCCGCTGGGCGTCAAGGTTGTCACACTGAAGACGGGCAGTGTACGGTCGGATCTGTTCGCCAATGCCACCGGCCCGCTGCGCCTACCAGACGGCAGTCTGTATGAGCCTGTTAGGGGGTGGGTGGAGGAGCGTGGGATGTTGGATAGGGGTGGGTTTGTGGAGGCGGACGAATATGCGCGGAAGGTAGTCGATGAGCTGCTCCGGCCCCGAGTGAGGAGTGTGATCTGGGCCGGAGGTCTGGCGCTGTTGGCGTGGTTCCTGAGTTGGCTTGGCTGGGAGGACATGATGGACGGAGAGATGATCAAGGGAAATGGACTGATCAAGATCAAGCGTTCATGAGTTGATTTACGTCAAGGTTCATTCCTACCTTCTAAGCCACTGGTTCCTGAAGAACCGAAAAGAATAGCCGCGCTACAAGAATGATAACAACATCAGCTAAACTAAAATCCCTGTGAAGCTGATCGTCGTTCGTCAACTTTATATATTGTGTTGTCCTAAGAACTATAACGTAGTAAGGACTGCTGAAAGTATGTACAAGAAATCTGTGGCTATGGAGCGTTTAAGCCATTCTGAGGCTCTGGGGGCGCTTTCTCCCGCAGCTGGAGCGGGTAGACGAGCTGGCAGTTGCAGCGGATGAAGCTGCTGGCACGCTCGGAGCTTTGCTAACGGAAGATGGGGTGCCTGCTGCCGTCGACAACGGTGTGGCCTTGACCACTGGAGAAGAAGTTCTACTCGAAGTAGCGGGTTTGACAATGGACGCAAGGCTTGACTGAGTGCTCGTAGCAGGTGTGGAAGCAGCAGCCGCGACATTGGACGTCTTAATCGCATCCGCAGCCTTGTTGCCGACGGATGCAGAAGCGCCAAGGATGGCACTGATGGGCTGCTTACCAGGGAAGAAGGAGGCTGGCATGTTTGGGACGGGAATCGAAGTACTCAAGCCGAGTCCAGCAGTAAGCTCAGAAGCCATCGTGGAGTAGGAGCCACCAGAAGATGCGGTGATGGTCTGAGTAGTGGTATACGCAGTGTGGGAGCTGCCTTCATTGAGGCAAGCACCTGATCCGTACGCGTTCTGACAACCGTACAGAACTTTGTTGCCCGTCTCGGTCCAAACAGAGAAATCCTCGACTGTGATGTCCGTGCAGGGAACCTTGGCAGGGCAGTTCATCTTGATGGGACCACGCTGGACTCCGTTGGAGGCAGTTCCAGTCCACCCACTGAAACTGATGTTGGAATATGAAATACCATCACCAGCCACCGGATCCATACTGCTCCATGCCGTATCCAGGTCAATGGTATAGGCATTGCTGTGGCCCATAAAGTCCTTGAAAGCCAGATTGGACACCTTGCCGTCTCCTCCGTTAGATTTGATCATAAACATCTGGTTTGCGTGATGGGTATAGACAGATCTATATTCGACATTGCTAACGGCGACGCCCGAGCCCAATGATCCCATAGCACAACCGCCGGACCAGTTGCAGTGGATCTGTTCGACCAAGATATGGTCTGAAGGGCTCTTCACCGTTACGCACTCATCCTTGTTGGTAACCTCGATGTCGTGAACCCAAATGTTGGTGCTCCAGACGTCGATGCCATCGAGACCACCACGGTTGCCACCTCTGACGATCATGTTGTAGAGTTCGCCGTTGGTGCAAGTATCAAGAGACAAATGGAAAGCGGGCGAGTCAACAAGAGCAATGTCGTGAACGGAGAAGTCGGTGCACTTGTAGAATCGCAGAATACGAGGCCCGTAGGTGTTGCTCTTGTGGAACTCGTAACCATAGCCCTGGATGGCACCCTTGGAGTTTGCCGAGTAGAACTCCAAGTCCTTGCTGTCTCGGATCATGATCATGTTGCCTCCGGCTGTTCCAGTTCGATAAATGGTTCCTTCTAGGTTGATCGAAACACCCGCGCCGTTCTTGAGGGTCACCCAAGTGCCCAGACCGTAGTCGCCTTCCGGAATGTAGACCTGACCACCAGTCTTGCAAGCATCCCACGCGGCTTGGATCGCGGCACCGTTATCGGCGGTGGCACTGGCTTTACCGCCATAGTCCATAATATTGCATACTTTCACAGCTGCCTTGGCGGATGAAGATGTGGTCGGCCCAACTGAACCAGACAGTTGAGCGGACACAGGGAGAATGTAGATGGCTGTCGCCAATAGACCAGCAAGGAAGGCAGCCATGATGAGGAATGTATTTGAAGAAAGCGGGAAAGGGAACGAGTGAAAATGTGCCAACAAGTGGCTTGCGAAAAAGAATGAACGTATTGAATAGAGAAACAACAGAAGTTGGCAGAGGGAAGAGTGTGCTGTGAGTACTTACCGGGAACTAAATATGCTTGGCCTTAACGTCCGGGACCTTGCCGTCAGGTCCACAGATCCGACAGTGGACCTTGTAGTAAGAAAGAAAATGGTTATATCGACGCATCGTATCCATAGATGGCATGGAATCTCTTAGGTAGACACAAGGTGCCCTTGCACACATCGTGGTAGTCACTTTCTTTTCCGTGGGTGGGTGGGTAAGATTATGGACAGGGATTTGCTCCCTGGCGAATGGCGAGAGTTCCTGGTTTCAGTGTTTCACGGTTCAGCCCGCGGATAAACAACGTCGACGATCGCTGTAATCAAAATCGCAAAGTATCGTTGCAGAGAACTCTGGCTGAAGGGGGAGAAGAATGGTGAGGGCAGCCCCCCACTACTCTGTACATGTGTTGCGCCGTCCTATGTAGGCAAGCTGGCATCCAGGAATGTTGAGCGGTGTTGGACGCGGCCAAAATCCTGGGGATCGAAGACCCAAGTCGATAGGCGAACGGTGGGCTTGAGCCTCCTCGGTAAGCGGCGGCCATACTGCACCGTTTGGGCTGATCACACCAGGGTTTGCATGTCGCTTTCATCTACCTGAGAGTCGGGGCTTCACGAGGTCGCTGGGATGTTTCCCTCGCCTTCATCAACCCGAGAGAAATTTAAGGAGTTCAGTCCCCTGGCTCCCCGCGACTAATGCTAGCGCCCGGTGTCCCAACGGGCCCAGGCCGAGTTCAGATGGAAGAATAACCGGATCAGGCGCAACAGAAATTGGTTAGTTCCGCAAACAACTTGATCCAAAGAGAAAGCTAGCTTTGCCTCCTTGGCTTGATATCTGATCATTCCTCCACTTAAGCAAGTAATACCATGCCGGGACTTTGGCGTTGTACATGGGGCCAGGCTGTTGAGCCGCATCGCAACACCGCTGGAGGTGTTTGTGGTCTGTGCCATCCTAGGTGTCAACCAACTGCCAGCGGTGGGGCGATCTTGCTCAGGTTAGTTGGTGTTTCAGCCGTCGTCCAGCAAGCAAGGGTTCCGTGGCTTCCGTCATCGCAAAGCTGCTGTCATCAGGCCAGTTTGACGTGTTGCATTGAACGCCGAGTTGCGTGTAAAATCGTTCGTTCCCATCGCGTCGGCGTCGGCCTGCAGCTCGCTTTGCTCCGGTACATCGGGCTTCTTCCGGGGACTTGGCCTGCGCCGTTCCGTCTCGCCCATTCGGGGAGGACCCATTTATCCGGCAGCAATGTCGTGGCCATACCAGTTCTTGGACCTCACATCCGCCGAGAAGCAAGAGCGCCGTCTCGCCTTGGATCGCTATGCTGCCCTCGCCCAACTCTCGGCACTTCTGCCGGTGGTGGTCTTTCTGCTGCTGCGTGTTGGCAGCTGGGTTGTAGGAAGACTTTCCTCGCGAGGCGTTGCCTACGACGCTGTTCCCAACTCCCCTGCTGCAAAGCATGAGGAGGCGAGGACGTCAGCCTCGCTATCAGCAAGAGCCAGGAGACTGGTTTGGTGGCTGACCGACGACTTTGTCTTGTTCAGACAGAACTGGGGTCGTAGAGACCAGTTGCTTTTCGGAGCTGCCTGGACACTATGGCTCCTATTCCTCTGTGTTCACGGAACTGGAAATGGTAAGCCTCTTATAACACTGCTTATGTGTATTTTCCGAAGCCTCGGCCAAATCCATCCACTCTCCCCTCGTAACATTACCTGGCGGTGGGAGCATTCGCTAATCTTGTTTAGACTATTTTCATCTCACCAAAAGGTTTGGTGCCATCGCAGCAGCACAGTTTCCCGTGCAATATCTTTTAGCCCTCAAATACCTGAACCCTGTTGCTTTCGCTTTCCGGTCGTCTCATGAGGAGGTCAACAGATGGCATCGAGCCTTGGGGCGCATCATCTACATTCTGCTCTGCCTGCACGGGATGTTCTACCTCAACTACTATGTTCAGAGTGGGGTTCTTACCCAACGTCTGCTATCGTCTCTGGTAGTGATCCTAGGTGTCAGCTCCTTGTTTGGTATGACGCTTCTGAATACGACGGCACTATCCATGGTACGACAGTACTCTTATCGGGTTTTCTTCATCACACACCTGCTGGTCGCCTTAGCACTGCCGCCCGCCATTTTCTTTCACGTACGACACGCCAGAGTCTACATGATTGAGTCGCTAGTCTTTTTTATCCTGGACCTCGCACTGCGTAAGATGCATACAGCCATGGCCGAAGCTACCTTGGAGCTCATCCCCGGTACCAACCTCATCAAGATCGTTAGCAAGGTCCCACAGCGCTTCGCCGCGAGATTCGACTTCCCTGGCTCCCATGTCTACCTTAGCATCCCGGCAGCGTCCAGGCCGATTTCTAATCGTGCGTCGCCGTCGCATATGCTCTATGAATTCCTGTTCAACCCATTCACGGTCGCGTCGATAAATGAGGAGACACACGAGCTTACTCTAGTAGCTCGCCAGCTAAAAGGCCCCATGACGCAAACGTTGGGGAGTCTTGCCAACTCTTGGGCCTCGGGAACTAAAATCCCCCTGACTATTGAAGGCCCTTACGGTATTTCCAGATACTTCCCTAGCTTTGCTAGAATCCAGACCGATAGGGTATTACTGGTTGCGGGAGGTGTTGGGGCAACTTTTATCGTGCCGATCTATCAACAAATCATTGGAGAGAACCCAGCTGCCCATGTCGACATGATATGGGCTGTCCGAGAAGCTGGAGAAGCAACTTGGACTTCCTCTGGCCTAGAGAAGACCGTTCTCGATGATGAGAGAATCCAGCTTTTCCTCACAGGTAACGTGTTTGACTCCGATGCGGGAACCGGGAGTTCCAGTGCTGTGAATGGGGAGATTGAACTTGAGAATATAAGAAGTGATCGAAGACGCAGTAAGCGCTCCCCAGGGAATGACCACAAGCGGCCAGACCTACAGCAGGTTGTCAATCGAGTCTTCAGGCAAGGGCACGCAGATCGAGTTGCCGTCCTTGTATGTGGACCAGATAGCATGGCCAGGGAGCTCAGGCAATACGTCGGAGTCTGGGTCAAGAAAGGCAGGAACGTATATTTTCACAACGAAAACTTCTCTTGGTAGAGATGTGCAGATACAAGTGGCATGCGCCTCATACTGTAATAGAACACAATAGATTAAGCGCGTCAAATTCCTGTGAATCATTATTTCCTTCCTGTCTCCCACATGCAAGGGACACCGAGGCATGACACGCGCAACACAGCGACAATCTACTTGACTCCTGCGCGCCAATAAACGAGCTACGGCGAGTTACATGCTCATCAACTCCATTTGGTGCATCTATAACGCCCGAAACGTCAGATCTAGATCAATCACCGTCCGAAGGACTCATGTCCTCATTCCAGTCTTCTGTGAGCCTGAGCCTTCTTGCCTCCGCCTCCTGCCGCTGAATCTCCTTGAGCCGCGCAACGCGCTCTTCATGGTAGGCCTTCTGGTACTCTCTCATGCGATCCTCGATTGACTGTGTGGCGGACGTTTTGCCTTTGGCCTTCGTTCTCGATGAGGCATCCATTGCTACCCTTCTGGCTGCTGATCGCATCGGCTCGTCTGGGTTCTCTGGTTCGTAATTTGCAGCCTGCGTAGCGGCAGGCGGATCACTGGGATCTGTAACTGTAGACTGAAAGTCAGAGGCAGACTCTTCTGGGCAGAACGGGAGACCTACGCTCCTTCTTTTGGTCCTTCTTGTCAGTTCTAGGCTTCTTTCTGGGACGCATCGCGGCAAGACTTTCTGCGGACAACTACTGCCAGTGGTCAAGAGCTATGAAAAGTGCAGCAGGTTCAATTGACTAGCCCCCGAGGGACTTTCTCAAACATGAAAACTACGTCTCTACAATGTCTAGTGGCTCACTAACAGCAGAGACACCTAGCCCGCATCAACAAAGAAGTAGAACTAAGCAAGGAGCATGCGTCGATAAATTTGGACGAAAACGTAGACAAAGGAATCTCATAAGTCCGCTTGTATGTTCTCCTATTGCTAAGTATATACTGTATGTAATGACGCATTGACTCATGACTGGACATGCCAGCTTCAAGGCGGAGATAATTTCGCTTTGCAGATAACTACACACTACATCTGGATTAACATTCTCTGACTAAATACTACTTGTGCATTATCAGAAGCCTCCCAAGGATATAGCTTTTTACTTTGTCAGTTGTTGTGACCAAACTTGTGGTCCTTGCGCAGTCTTACTGCGTATGACTTATGGAGGAATCACACATGTCCAAATTCTTTTTTTGGAGCACTTATGAATTCTAAACGGTTTTTCTAATGTCGCCCTTGTAGTGGTTGATAATAAGAGCATATATAATTAACACGCATTTGATTGTTTCCCGATAGCTGTATTTTCTCGTGGTAAATCTAAGCATGCTATTGCATTCTCCAAAACCCAAACACGTCATCTATCACATAGGCAGTCTTTCCTTCCTTCATCGCTATCTACGGGTCAACTATTTCTTGATAGACTGATCCATCGCAACTTGATCCAGAATCTTTGCAAGATCTGTGTCGTGGGTGTCCCCGCCAATAATACCCTTGACCCAGAGGCCTCTAGGGCGGAAAACGGCATTGAAAGGCAATGGCCTGACAGCGAAACCCTCAGTATTCGCCATCGGATCGATGGCAACCTTCTCCCCAGACTCTGTAGTGGCAAGCTCAACATCAAAGGCCCACAAAATCCGGGCCACGGCTATGAACAAGGCATTGCGCGCAATATGCTGACCGGTACACACGCGCCTCCCAAACCCGAATCCAGGCGTGTACATGTCCTTGATGCCGTTCAGGGTCTTCGATTCCTTGTCTCCCTCACTACACAACCATCTTTCAGGTATGAATGTATCCGGGTTCGGCCCATACACAGACTCGTCTCTACCAATCCCCCAATGGTTGGCTATGACAAGAGACCCAGCTGGGATTCGGTAGCCGAGGTATTCATCATCCTTCGACCCGCTATATCTGTGGGGTACACCGCCAGGTACAACTGGTCGCCAGCGCATTGCTTCGTGGACGATCGCTTGGATATAGGTAAGCCGGGGCATGTCTTCAAACTGCGGCAGCCTGTCTCTCCCAACCACATCATCTAGTATCTTCCATGCCTTCAGTACGAAAGCTTTATCTTCTGTGAGCCATGCGACAATCAACCAGCCGAGGGTCATTGTCGTTGTATCGAGCGCAGCATCTGCAAGAATACCGAGGTCGAAGGCGAGCTCCTCGGTCGACATGTCCTTGGCCTCTTTGCTAACTTTCATGGCCTTGGTAAAATTCCATCCAGGGTTCGCAAGCCCCTGTTTCATGTTTCCGACATGTAGATTGCGCTCGAGCTGCCAGAGAGCTTCGCCGATTTTCTTCCAGGGCGCGCAGAAGGAAGGAAGATAGTTGAGAACCGGATACAGGTCGACCAAATGTGCGCCCATCTGGATGTTCTTTATTGCCTCTATCTGCACGTACTTGGCATGGACGATTTCCCTCTCATTCCCGGTTCTGAGCCGGTAGCCGTATAGCAAGGCATAGACTGTGCTGGCTGTCATGCGCTCAAACCAATGATTGCAATCCGTACCTTTCGCCCCATTACTGTCGAAAGCGGAGAGGAGGTCAAAGAGCAGTTGCTTGGACTCCAGATCCTGCAAGGGGCGATACGTATTGGCAGCGCGTGGGTTCAGTAGAGGCGACTCCATGCGTTGATGAAGCAAGTAATCGCGGTTGTATGGCCGCAGTAGTATATGGAGCCCTCGGGTGCCAATCTCGCCTGCAACCACCAAACGTGCTCGATCCGAGTATTGTGCGCCGCGGCGGGAGAGAAGGCCTAGCGCTGTTTCCAAGGTATTCAACACGATCACTGGCTGGCCTCCCAGGTTCAGATACACGATTGGGCCATGTTCCTTGCCCCATTGGTGGTACCGAAGCCATGGTTGGTGTTGCGGCACTTGGGTGATGTTCCCTAACAAGGGAAGACCGGAAGGGCCAGGTGGGAGAGGATTAGATCCACGTCGCAAATATGCGACCAGCTGCTTCAGAATGAGAGCGAGGACCAGACCAATGCCCACGTGAACAAATTGAATCGCCGCCATTGCTACGGACCTTGCAACGCTATACGAGAGTGAGCTTCAAGGAGGAAGATTAAAATTGACTCAAGATGGTCATGCAATTAGGGGATGGGGGTAAGGAAGCCCGTCGCCACAAACTCTCGGCACCGATGAGGCATGCCCCCATGCCAAATGGATAGCATACTGGTGCCCAGTACTATCTCATACTCCACCTCATGACCCGCTACCCACGAATTTCTCCACGCCGATGTGACACGCAAAGGTTGGCCGCCTATCATGAACGCCGCCAGAAAATTATGCATGCCAACCCATATGTATACTGACGCAATGGGTTAGACACATAGATGATCGTTTCAAACCGGGGAAGGGCAGGGGCGGGGTTCATACAATACGAACTGTGCTTCTGGTACAGGGGTCAATGGTGCGAAATGCTGAGCGACTATGTAATTGGTACGATGTGTAAGCGACCGCTCACTAAGGCTCGCAATCAGTCTCATATGGTCACCGAATGAGGGATGACGCATAGATCCAAAGCTCAGCGAATTTTTTCGTCGAATAAGAGACTCTAGTCGGCTTGAGACTCTGATATGTATAGTCTGTAGATAGTTCAAAAGAAACGCCACACGGCACTGGGCGATGCGCGCACACACACACCAGCGGGCCTCTCCTCCCAACTCCCAAATGTTTGGCATACGGGAAGAGTCACATATAATTATAATTATAGAACACGGGGGTCGAACCTTTCTACGTTATTCTGTTGTAGTATCTTTGAACTCCAAATGTAAGGCAGGTTAGAGTCAAACTGGTGAGTTATACGTGGTAAGCTCCAGCCTTATCGGAGGCATAAACTGAGAACACAGGAAGATCAATCCTTGCTTGGAATGTGTTTTGAAGGAACTGGACTTTGATATAAGGCCGTGCGGTCGTCGGCTAGCCGATCGTGACTCCTCTAATATGTATATCTAAATGTTGGGACACCTTCCAAGACAATTTTACCCGAATTTGCTAGTCTGTTCGCGAAATAAAAATGTACCGAAAAGGCCGCAATAATAGCGATGATGAGGATGTGCGATCCTATTGATACCCAAACCGCCGTCATGTAGCGAGGAGCCTCGTCATTCCTCACAATGAAGCTTCCCGCAATACCTCCTGCCCCATTCATCGCTGTCACAGTGGCTGCGGTGAACACCCTTTTCCACTGGCCTGTGATGTTGTTGGCTTGGTATGTGCTGAGTGCAGCCCAGTTGCTGATGTAAGCCCCGGTAGCCAAGAAGGTACCGACGTAGCGCACCGTGACCTGTTCCGTGAAACCAAGCATGCAAAAGCCGACGATGAGGCAGATACTGTTGAAGACGATCACCGGCCCACGTAGACGAAGTTTGTCCCCTATCACAGAGGATATGATGACGGGAACGACTGCGTAGTAATAGGGCGGCGCGGATAGCAAGATTGACTGGTTCTCACTAAATCCCATACCACTTTGCAAGATGATTGGCAAGAAGTATGACAGGGATGTCGAAACAAGATTGAGCAAGAAGAAAAGACATGCGAAGGCATAAACCTTAGGGTCGCCAGCATGGACCAGTACCTTGCCCCATGAAAAGGGTTCAGGGTAGACATCGTGTCGGTCCTTGCTGATCCTCGATACAGCAAGTTTCTGCTCTTCCTTGGTCAGAAACCACAAAGACTTGTCAGCATTCTCTGGAAAGTCGACCATCCAGAAATACGTGATAATGCCAATCACCATTGAGATGAGGCCCTGCACGAGGAACATAAACTGCCAGCCTTTGAGCCCCGTACGACCGTCGAGTTGATTGAGGCCGTAGTTGACAATCGACCCTGTTGCTAGAATCACGATCTCCCCAGACTGCAGAAATGCGAAACGAGTCTGCTGTTCTCGACGTGGGACCCAAGCGGACAGCAGAATCAAAAGGCCGGGGTATATTCCCGACATGGCCATGCCGAGAAGCACTCGCAGTGCAATCATTTCTTTCCACTATATCATTGAATGTCAGTTTTGTTACAGGAAGGTGCTTTGTACGAGTGTAATTCGCTTGTTGGTGCTAGTTGCGGCAGATAATGGCGCCCGATCATACTCACATTACGGACAAATGCTGAGCACATGGTAATGAGCCCAAATGCAAATGTGATTAGCGAAAACCATAGCCGCGGACCAAACGTTCGGACGGCGATAGTAGAAGGCAGCTGGAAAGCAATGCTAGAAATCGTGAAGATGAAAATGCTAACGCTGTATCGGTTGCCGGTCAGATCCAGATCCGAGATCATTGACGTGACGCTGGCCGAACTGATAACGCCAGAATCCAGCAGATTCAACGAGCACAGGATTCCAGCTATTGTGCAGAGCCGGAGGTCAATCTTGGCACGGAGCCGGCGCTCCAAAGCCTTGGTCTCGTCACTGTAGTTCTCCTCATCATCCGCCTCCGTGATGATCGGGGCTGTCTCCCCACCGACGGCGGGCTTCGTCGGAGTTGGGTCTGGCATGACTACGGCTGCGGGATCTGAGGAGGTGGCCATCCTTAGACGGTCGGCGTTGCCCCTCGAACCTTATGAAGGTCTCCCTGTGTGGATGATGCTTACACAATAGCAGCCCGCCAGCCCGCCAGCTCGAATTATTAATGATCGGTAAGTCTTGTGGAATCGGCGGAAACTGTTAGAATTACCGAAATCGGGTGCGAGACCCGTTGTGCCATTGTCGCCACTAGCCACGTCTGGTTAGAGGCCGCTCAAGGCGCACGGGGACGCTGCTAAAATTGACATGCATAATGGATCTAGCCTAGATCAAGGCTTATCTTCTCCGATCTGTTCGCCTTCGTTCGGGGTCCTGCGAGTCACCAATCATCGAGTAGTAGGAACAGTCATACTTGGTAAGAATTCTGCTAATGAGTCCGTAGCAATATATCCGGGTAAGTACACCAGTCTTCCTGCAATCTGTGTCTAGACTATGAGAAACGCTGGTCACCCCTCTACTGCGTAGCTTCAATCCTCCAATGGCTTCGCATGTCATGATGTTGCCATCAGCAATAACAGCACGGGTGAACCATTCCAGCAGACCAACTTCTCAGAATGCATTGCATGCTCTCGATGTCCACCAAAATCCAGGTAAGGCAGAATGGTGCTGACAGCTCGGTTATGGTGCATGCTGTCTCAGGGCCAGTCGCCAAAATCGTCTTGTTCGTCAGAATATCCTCGTCTTGGACGAGTCTCCTCTTGGAACCGTTCTTTACCCGTGATTATGCTTCGGGTCTCCGGGGTTGCATAGAAAGGCCCCTGGGCCCTGTTTCGATTCGTCCGTGGAGGGCCTACCGGTGTCTTCGGCAGGGTTCTACCGGGCTCAACCGTACGAGGGATACAGCGAGAGTTCACTGATTGAAACTCACCCACTGGTGCTTCGACTGATCGGTGGTTTATTGAAACGCTCTGTTCCTCGTTCAGGAGCTGCGATATCCCCACCCGTGGGATTGGCGCGAACAGCCGCTCATCAAACAACTCCTGCGCATCGTTGGCCTGCTCATTGACCTGGCTATTATCTTCCCGAGTTCCTTCCGCCATTATTTGCTTATCAGAAGCCGATGGGCCCAGTTGTGATTCTGAAGATTGGATGTTAACTGCGACTCCCCTGGCTGGCATTCTGCCCAGTAGACGTCTTGGGGTGACAGCCAGACTCTTGTCTTGCCTTTTTTCCTTCTTCAATGCGATTAGCGCTCTCTCCTCCGAAGCCCACATCTTTTGACGAAAGACCTTGGTATGTTTCGGTCGTTTGTATGGGTGTTGTAATCTCTGGGCGGCTATTCTATCCTCAGTCGGGGACGAAGGAACCACGATGGGAAGCATCGCAGTTCCATGCGGGATTTTCGGACTGATTCTACCAGAAGATGCATCAGACTGCTCGGCAGACGTGGAAATCGGTGTACCCAAAACAATACCCGGCGTACTTGCTCTAGAGAAGTCCTCAATTTTGTCTTCGCCTTGGCGCTGGAAAGTGAAGGAGGATCCGCATTCGGCGTATGCATTATGGGATATATGTTGAGGTCGAATGGAGGTAGATCTGTGATACGTCATGTCGATAGCTTCGTCTCTGTAGTCTTCTTCTGGCTCCGATTCACCATCTTCCTCGTCTGGACTAACACTGTTGCACGAATCGCCGAATTTGATCTGTTCACCTTTGTCCATCATGGAGTCTGCCTTTGTGAATGGTCTAAAAGTCATTTCCTCTGCGCCACTGAGTGTCGACGGGTCATTCATATCGATTTGTATCTCCATGTGCTCCACGGATTGCATGATATCATCATTGGTGGCGTCCCATTCGCCATCTGTATCACTTCCAGAGTCCTCAGCAATCTCCCTCAGATCAGCCTGATGGGCAAGAAGGAAATTCCTTTTTTTGATGGCCGCCAGGACTAATGACATGCTTTCACGGTAACATACTTCGAAGCTCACCCCCGTGACTTTCGTAAGTGCTCGAAGAAATCGCGCACAGCTCTCACACGGTGGCTGATTGATTTCGATCTTCGTCTCTCTGGAATCACCAAGAGATGCATGGGCCAGCTCCCGAAGATTTCTGGCAAAGTACGTGGCTGAAGGGTATCGCTTGTTGGGCACCGGCTTCAAGACGGCCAGCAATGCGTAGCAATACCAGACCGCCAGCTGACATTCAACGTGGCATGCGAAGAAAATACCTTTTCTGCTTTCTGGTACTTTTCCTGGCCGGTAGCCCTGATCATTGCCGAAATGTCTGAACTTGAATCCGATGGTCGGTGCGACTCTTCGGAGTACTATCTTCGTCCACTTCGAACCCTGAAGGAGACCTGTGGTCTGCGATACGTCATTCTTCTTCCAGCCTGAGACTGCGAACGCGAGTGGGGAATGATCCATTTGCTTTCGAATGAACCCAATTGTCTTCAGTCTCGGATCGATACCTGGTGTCTTGATGTATGCTAAGCGCAGATAGGCCTCGAACCCAACGGAGTTGGTGCGGAAAACAATCCCACCACTTGCTGACCCAGGCTCTACTTGGCGAGGAATGGCTGGACTAGTTAGCAGCTCGGTGATGGCACGACGACCTTCGTTTGCGCCATGCTTCTCGATGAAGCCATGCCCCGCCAACACCTGTCGCCTCAGGCTGTTGAAAAGGCTTGTCCCGGCATACGCGATGACCTTGCGTCGATATAGGTCGGCAGCTTCCACATTGGCCCGATGCTCTCGAAGGAGCACGAACACTTCCACATGCCCCATGAGAGCCGCCAACATGATCGGGGTTTCTCCTAGTGCTGTTCTAGCCTCAATGATCTCCCTGTTGGGAAGGAGCGTGTCTAAACCCTGGAAATCACCCTTGAGACACACGATATGTATCTCCTCGAGATCCATCTCCTCGAGCGAGCTTACCTCAACCCGAACCATGGCGAGCGCTGGAAACTCGCGAGTTTTGTGTGTGGTGATCAAGCGTTTGCGGTCAGCGTCGACCATGTGAGTAGAGTGCGGGTGGGGGGAGGCGGAGGCTTGTACGAGCGAGGACAACAGTACCAGAACGGCTGCTTCCTGTCCAAGAATAATATGTGACGGCTGACTAGTGTGATATAATTGAAGTGTAGAATGAACGTGGGTGAAGATGCGAGTGTTTTCACGTCGAGTTTCTCTGGCAGAAATATTGATACGGAAGTAAGGCAAGTTGAGATACTGCGGGCGGAGGGTGGATGCTAACCTTGACAAAATGGTGTCTATGAGGATCGGTGGACCGATTGTTGTACGCGGGGATGTTATTGTTCATTTGAAGTTTTCAACCAGCCACAATAAGCATGCCTGTCCATGATACCTCACATCTGTAGCTTTTTTGTACGTACGCCTCTCTGCGCAATATTCATCGGCCAGGGAACAGCAGGAGACAGCGACAGCGCAGCTGCTCAGTACTATTTCTTAAGAGACCATCGAGTTGAACATGACTAGATAACTAGGTTCAGATAAAATCTATGGGGAACCCGCGATGAGAATGTTCGCTGGTAGGTCAGTTATTGCCCGATCTACACTAATTTTGAAGCAGTCATCGCCGTCGGCTCTTCCAAGCCACCTCAAAATGTCTGCAGATACAACTGCCATTTAATCTACAATATAATGATTGAGGATGTATAGCTTGAGATAAGATGGCTGATGCTCTCGTCCCCAAAATATGCCATGTGCTAAATCTTTTTTATGTCACGATGATAATCCCCAACGAACTGGGGTGAGTTCACAAAGACTAGGCGGTAAATCACTTTCTTAAGGAATTTGGGCCATCAGCAACAAATCATCACAAGTCGCATGCGAATGCAATGTGAGTTTTTGGATCTCAATCCGGTATGCAGCCAACATTATTGTACAGCAGCGAAAGGTTATGAGAATGATGCTGATGCTTCATACAATAAGGCTGAGCGCGATCCTTGAAAAATCAAGGGATTTCATTGGATGTCGCAGAGACGGAGATGTTTTGTCGGCCGGCGCCTTGGGGATTCCCCTCATGGGAAGCATCGATCACCGCCAATGCGGGCAAACGAGCCTCGGCCGAACACATCAACTACCCCTCACACAACTATATAATGATTTATGGCCCGCTCCAGTTCGACTGAAGGAGGTGCGAATTACGAATATATCTAGTGCCCGACTTTGAAGTTACAGTAGAGTACAATCCTGCGATAAGATTTTCAAAATGTCTCGCATTTACACGCATCCCACGATGGCGAAGGTAGATGTCCCAAACATCGATCTACTGACGATGTTATTCGGTCAGTCGAAAGCGCCTACTTCGAGTTGTTTTGCCTAACTAAACACAGATTCGGAACACGCCGTCTCACTGCCCGATTCTGTTCTACACGTAGATGCAAAGCTTCCACACAACCGACTCACCAAAGCAATGCTCAGAGATCTCACCCAACGTGTAGCTCACGGCCTGCGGGAAAACTATGGGATTGGATCAAGCGGGCCAAATAAAGATGTTGTTACTGTCATTAGCCATGGGGACTACATTCTCAGTGGTGTTTTCTTCGGAATTCTGGGTGCTGGAGGAGTATACTCAGCGGCATCTCCATCATCCACAGTATCGGAGCTAGCGAGGCAAATCAAGCTTGGAAAGTCCAATCTGGTAGTATGCGACAGAGATCACGTTGATGTGGTCTCAAAGGCTGCTGCGCAGTGCAAGTTGCCCGAGAGAAACATATTGGTCCTGGAGTCATCTCCGTGGAGCTTGAAAAGTCTTGATGGCAGCATCGACGGGATTTCAACCAAAACTCTACCCTGGCAAAGAATTACCGACCCGAAAGCCCTAAAGGAGAGCCTGATAGTAATACTGTGGTCAAGCGGAACGACTGGATTACCGAAAGGGGTGATGATATCCCATCGTAATCTCGTTGCGGAGTCCTGGATACTTTCCTTAGGCCCACGAAAGTGGGTGGAAGAGCAGGTTGCAGCGGGAACCTTCACCCCAATCGAAAATCGATCAATCGCTCACCTCCCAACAAGCCACATAGCAGGGCTTTTTGGCTATTTTATTTCGCCGGTCTTCTCCTCGGGAACATTATACTGGATGCGGAAATACAATTGGAAAGACATGCTCAACTATGCGGCTAAATATAAGATCACGACTCTTTATACTGTGCCATCCAGTAGGTACTACCGGGAATTCTTTTCACTCCCTTTGGCAGTTTCGAACCTCTCGCTACACGTTTTAGAGGAGTCGCACAGCTAACAGATTGCTATGAGCAAACGGTACTAACTTCTCTTTATCATAGTATACCTCCGAATCTCGAAATCAAGTGACGTGACGGACCAATTCGCGTCGCTTGCGGCGGCCAACACGGGTGCTGCGCCTATGGACGGTGATCTCCAAAAGGCGGCGAATGACCGGCTAGGTGATGGAAAAGTCCACATGCTTGGGCAAACTTGGGGTCTCAGCGAGACTACCGGAGCAGTGACTGCGGTGCCCCCTGGCGAACCCGATGACACAGGCTCCATCGGCTCTATCCTTCCCAGTGTCGAACTTCGCCTAGTGGATGAGGATTTTAAAGACGTTGAGCCAGGGCAAGAGGGTGAGCTGGTTTTGAAAAGCCCAGTCGTCACCAATGGATACTACGATAACCCACAGGCGACGAAAGACTCCTTCCATGATGGTTGGTTCCTCACGGGAGATATTGGTGTCCTGAGGAATGGAAAGTTCTACGTGGTTGACCGAAAGAAAGAGCTCCTAAAGTATAAAGGGCTGCAGGTTGCACCGGCAGAGATAGAAGGGCTTCTGTTTGCACACCCACTTATCAAAGAAGCTGCTGTGGTTGGGTTGCCCGACCCCTCTGCGGGTGACCTACCACGAGCATATGTGGTTCCGGAAGAGAAGGGCAGGATCTCTGAGGACGATGTGAAGAAGTACGTGGCTAGCAAACTGGCGGCTCATAAACAATTGAGAGGAGGTGTTGTGTTCGTCGATGAGATACCCAAGTCAGCTATTGGCAAGCTACTTCGGCGAGAGCTCCGCGAGCGAGCTAAACGAGAGGTTAAGCTTGGAGCAAAACTGTAGCATGTTTGAGTGATCTCAGTACCGAAGTAATGACTATTTTCAAGCGGGGAAATTCCTAATACTTCGTCAGTCTACGTGGTTAATTTGTAGAAAAGTGCTGCCAACAACAATCAAGTCATAATGCCTCATCTTAGCTTTGGCCGATGGAGTTACGGTAGGGCTGCAGCGGGCTATTTCGCTTCAAGAAGGAAATCATATGTGAAACGTACGCAGGAGGCTGTCGCATACTACTTATCTACTACTGTGGAACCGTCGAACTAACATCTTAACCTTGAATGGAGATAAATGTTAACTCCGCCAGCAAGCTATGCGAGCACCGCATTGAGGGCAATTAGTGACGAGACTTGACGCCAATAAACATTATACCCGTAAACTCCATTTTTGTGGTATTCTGTAAGTCCACCCCTGTAATCTGGAAATACAATACCACTCGCCATGACATCTCATCAACAAACTATTTAAGGCGTTGAGTGTCGCGACACAAGAAGGTATACACGGCCTTCGTACTACGCTACTCCCGAGCATCACGAATAGTATTACTATGACAGATTCAGTGAAGAGCACCGAGTCCCTGACCTGGCTAATAACGGGCTGCTCATCAGGGTTTGGATTGCAATTTGTGCGACACGCCCTTGCTGCCGGCCACCATGTGATCGCTACCAGCCGGAACCCATCGAGGACACCAGACCTAGTACAAGAGGTCGAGGCCGCAGGTGGCCGATGGTGTAAGTAACGCCTGAAGTACCATTAACCCATTTTCCTTTTCTCTCTGCACTATTTGAATCGAAAGAGCTGTATCTTATTAGCAGAGAATGGGTCTGATATAGTGATTTCAGATAGCTGACGTATGGTCGTCACAGTACAACTCGACACGGACGACGCCGACTCGGCGCGGGTGGTCACGGAGCTCGAGGCCGCGGGGACGCAGATCGACGTGCTGGTCAACAGCGCCGGGTTCTCGATCGCGGGGCCGGTCGAGGCGTTCGCCGAGGACGAGGTCCGCCGGCTGATGGAGACCAACTTCTTCGGGCCGTACCGGCTCATGCGGGCGTGCGTGCCATTCATGCGCGCGCGGCGCCGCGGCGTCATCGTCAACCTGAGCAGCGGGTCCGGGCTCCAGGCGCGCGAGGTGCTGGGCATGTACGGAGCCAGTAAGAGTGCACTTGATAGTAAGTTTCGGCTCCGGCCTTTTCATATATACCGGGTTGCTGAGGAATGCCTTCCTCGCTATGCATTGAAGTGCAATGGGACTGGCGGGCATGGGGCATGCAAGCTGACAAGTGGAGCAGATATCACCAAGACTCTTGCAAAGGAGATGAAACCGTTCAATGTCCGGGTGCTCCTGGTCTACTTGGGGTCCTTCAACACGGCGATGGCAACCAAGGTCGACCCGGTGCAGAAGCCGTTGGACCCAGACTACCAGGGAACGGTCCTGCAGCAGTTCTACGACTCCTTTGATTCGAAGACGTTTGTACCGAAGGGCGACCACAAGAAGGCAGTAAAGGCCATTTTCGACGTTGTCGTTGGAGAGGGCGCTGGCGCAGGCAAGGAAAAGGAGGTCCAGATGATCCTGGGTAAGGACTGCGCAGTGCGACTCGACGAGGTCCGCGCTGGGTTCGACCACATGATGGATGTCTTTGGCGAGGTGTGCAATAACGTCGACGTAGATTAGAATCAGTCAGAGAAGTTGATATTCTTTGGGATTACCTAAAAATATCATCTGTATTTGATACATGATAGTAAAATGCTGGATACAGCCACAACCTGGTTCCATTCCATGGCCGTTTAGAGCCGTGAGAAGAGACAGAAACTCAAGTTGTTGGATGCCTGGCCTTCGGATCATTAGGAATCGCAGTTCATCACTTAGCTGTGATCATGGCTTAAGAGAACTTGGGTTGTCTTCAGGGATTCGCATAGCTGTATAGAAAGCTCATCGCGGGTGGGATACTGTGTCTGAGAATACCTTGCATACAACAGCGGGATAGGCGTTCAACGTCAATAACGGAACCCACGATGCCGTGGCTAGTCAATTTCAAGGTAGAGGTTAGCATTAGGTCTAGCCATCTTCGTTCCGCATCGTCAGACTTGGCAAATGGGTTTACATGCAGGTCCGAAGGATCTCGGCAACTAATGGTGACAAGAGTCCGCGCCATACTAGCCCCCCTTTTAGCAATCCACCAGTGCAAAGAAAGACGAGTGCTCGTTGAGCAACAGGCATCTGTCGGTAACTAGTAACAATGATGATATTATGCGTGGGCGAATATCTGAAGCATGGTCACAAAATAGGAACCCAACGAGAAAGCCAACAAACAGGATCCCGAACGATCCCAACCCCGGGTGTCCATCCTATCCCTCTAGTACGCCGTGATATAATGCTTTGCAACCCAAGAAAAGGACGGGTATCCGCTGCCCTTCTCCAGCTCCTACGCCATGTGTAAACAAAAGCACAGCGAAAAGGCAAAAGACTCGGCGCAAACGATGCCCACCCAAAAAAGAACCAACCGCGCTCATGAACCACATCAAAACTTCCATCGTCATCATCTTAAGCCTCGTTGCTCCCCACATCGTATCGTTGATTCCTTGCGCAGCCAATTGAGACGTCCCGAATCCTACCAGCACCTCAGACTCTTCCAGAAGCCCGGTCGGCCCACACGGTCGCCATGGCCGAGTCTCGGGCCCCTCGTGCCGACCTCTCTCTTCTCCACGTCGCCGTCCCGTTCGCTTCCCAGAGGAGTCAAGGGTTTCGTGACACCGCGGCGGTCCATTTCTGTGTTGTCAAGAACGCCCATCTCGGCGAGCCTGCGCCCCTCAACGACCCTGCGCACAATCAGCGCAAAGGTCTCTTCGATATTGACTTCCAGCCTGGCACTTGTCTCCATGAAGCCGCACCCCCGCTTCCTGGCCCATTCCAGGCCTTGAGACGCCATAACTTGTCTCGACTCCTGCAAGTCACACTTGTTTCCCGCCACGAGCTTGACGGGTGGTATGGTTCTGGTGCCGGACTCGGTCCCGCCAGGCGACAAGCCGGCCCTCTGCGCCCTGTTTGCGTTGTCCAGTCTCGTCTCGGCCTCCATGTCTATCAGGTCGTTGAAGTAGCCCAGAGCCTCTAGGCTGTCTTGGGACGTGATGTCGTATACGAGCAGGAACGCATCGGCGCCGAGGTTTGACGATGCCCACATGCCGCGGTACTCCTCCTGGCCCGCCGTGTCGGTCAGGGAGAGGTGGTAGGTGGCGCCATCGATGCGCCGGGTGATGCTGTAGCTGTCCTCGATCGTCGGATCATACTCCGAGGTCCACTGCGAGCGGACCAGACGAAGGGTGATGGAGCTCTTTCCGCAGCCACCATCGCCGCATATCGTTATGGAGATGGGTATTGGCTGTTGCGGGTTTGACGGGTAGGGCATTGCGAACACCTCGGGCACCTCCCGCCGCGCTGATCAAGAATCGCCAGGAAGACGCGCAGGAGTCAGGCCAGCTGTATGTGCAAAGCTTGATGGGTGCAAGCTCCTGGAAGCTTGAGCGTCTCGTCGTCTCTCGTCCCAGACCGAGGCGGGGCTACCCTGGACTGCGAGAGCAACAACACGCGAGAGGATTTCGCTCTTAAGGTTGGAGGCGTCGCAAGTTCGAGAGATCGTGCAGTAGTGACAGTAGCTTGCGGAGTGGGACACAGTAGGCTCTCGGCCGGCGCAGAGTCAGTCCTCGTCAGAGCCAAGGACGCGGCAGGAATATTGTAGGCGCGCTTTCGCTCGTGTAAGCGAATTGGGATAGGAAGGTGTCGGTTGGATTGGATACGGGTTCACGAGCGAGAGTGAGATCGCAAGGGCAAGGGGGAAGGGAAAAAGCCGCGAAGGGGTCTCGATGTAATTTACCACGACGGCCGTCGCCGTTGCGCCTGAGCGGGTATCTCTAGCAATTATAATAATAGCAATAATAAGTCAAGAGATGATGGAGGGTGGCATGCAACTTGTTAGTGGTCCGGCAGTGGGCGTTCGCGAGCCTGCACCAGGGTCTGCCGGGTGCCGCTGCTTGTCCGTCGACGCGCTACGGTGGCCTGTAACAGAGGGTTTAACTGAGGCGGGTTAGGCACCTCCAGGGCTGGTGGACGAGGCTTCTAGTGGGGGCACTGGCGGACCACTAGAACCTGGCACCCCGGAATGACGCAAGACGCATTGGAGATCTGGGTACAGCGCTGCTCGTCAGAAGCTGGACCCGGATCGCAGAGATCGACGAAACACGGACGGTAACGGCCTGCGGCAGTGGGTTCTCTTGAAGGCTTTGAAACCACCTCTCCTTCTGGATGCGCATTGCTTTTCTGGTACGGCCAACGATCGATCTTCTGCCAGGTTGCAGGACCAACAATCCGCACCGGAAGCCGGGGGTCTGACGTCGACATGGGGCCAGCAGCTGGAGAGAACCCAAGGAGAAATTCCCGGTCGCTTGGATCCGAGGCGTGCGAGTCCGTCGAAACACCAGGAATGCGCCAACGGTCAACCAGGACAGTCTAGTCGACAGCCACGGTGTCAGGACCTCGGGATTCATTTAAACGGGGGCTATACTACCGCATTTCAGCACCGGGAGACCGACCAGGGCGCTGTCTAGCTCAAATTACACACCATTGACTAGGGACGAACCCATCCCTCGAACAGACTCCATGGGTGGGGGAGTAGCTCAGCTCCCTGGACAGTTCGCTGCCGCTGTACCTACGTCGGTACAGACGAGATGCAAGTACTGTGTAGCTATGTGTGTGCTTGCTGCACGCACCGGTGATCCCTTAAATTTCCCGGATGCTTCTTTCATCGCCCGGTACCACGACACACCTCTCCCCTACCTATCAGGTCCAATAACCCTACACCCTATCAACAACGCGAGGAATGCGAGTCTCCATGAATCACACTTTGGATATTAGCCTCATCCATTGACGTCTTTTTGGTCAACATTCCAAAACAACTATCGCTCGATCTCAACTGCCTGCATTTACTATGGTGCTCTTCTTCCCTGCCGAGCAACACGGACCCCCTTCCTTTGTCAGGCACCAATACGACGTTGATTCCAGACTATGTATGTGTGATAAGCTTTCCATGGCCATACATTTTGCCATGCTTGCTGCCACGCTTGCAGGAATGCTCTCACCCGAACGTCTGATGTAACCGTTTCAATCGATGCCATTTCGGTCGACCGCCAATGCTCGTAACCATTACAGCATGGTGCCATCGAATGACGAAGCAACCACCAATGGGCAAAAGCGTAGTAAGGAAGCAGACGATCCTTCGGCTTATCGGCATATACAGAAGGATTATACGAAACTACTCTGAAAAGCTTATCACCTTGTATACAGGATGAGAAGACGAGTGAGCACGAGTCCGCCCATTATCGATTTGTCACGAGTTGACTGGGGCAGCTTATCGACCACCATCTGTTATGTTCATCATTCCATCTTCTAACCTGAAGATGAGGCTGCGGTGGGAGCAAATGCCCCGGAAATGTGACATATCACGCCAAGAGACACCACTCTCTTGCATCGTGACGGAATTCCACATTATCCCCGAGTGATCCCCTGCATAGATGACCTACATTCTTCCGCGAGATAGGCTTCAGAGGCAAGTCTGAGGCTCAAAGACATGCAGCCACAAGGAAGTACAGTAGACGTGGCCGGGCTGGCTAAAGCGCGTTGCACCCGATTAGACGCGCGCGAACCCTCGTTGTAACTGAGCATTTCTCTCCTTCGCCTGGCATGCCAGCCATGGCGGACAAGAGCCCCCACGCCGCTATCACAGTGTCAACATCTTGGGTCGTACCTGCGCACTCACCGATTCCATCACCACGAGCGCCATGCTGAATCTGGCAAGGGCTGTGACCCAATTGTCTAATTGGATCGTCATACTAGCATGAGATGCGGATCCATCGCCATGCCGATAGCAGTGAAACCTTCAAATCTTATGCTCCATGCTTAAATGAATGTCCCACGGTATACCAAGACTATTTGACGATGATCATATGATGGTTTCTGGCGCAACTTAGTGTCCAAGCGCTGTTGTACCAGCGTGACACACGAGAGGAGCCATCGCCAAGACCAGGCAATAGGGCTATAGTTAAACTCTGTATAGAGCAACTTGGCAATAACGCAAAGCATCAGATCCATGGCAAGACAGGTGCACCGTAACCCAAAGAAGAAGGCATGTACGCAACAAGAGGAACATGCAACATGGACCCATCATCAACATGCCTGCCTCGAATACTATCTATCTAATAACTATCTGACTTGGATGACGCCCCTCTACAGGGTCCCTCTCGACACGACCAAGGTAAGGCTTGTACTCCTTCGCATCCTTCCGAACCCAACCATCCTCCAGAGAACCCATCTCAACAAGTAATCCATCCGCATATGCCATCCCATGCAGCCTGCCCCCGAACCAAGTGAGAACCCGAACACGCAAAAAAGCAACATGCTATCTATGCCAGAAAAGCAAGAACTACCTAACCCATTGCCAAACCCCATGCAACAAAGACGGTTCATCACACTCATAACACTCATAACGTCAATACCAGCGCCCCAAGCAGCGCCCCAAGCACCAACCCCCAGGCCCTGGCCTCGACCGCCGGGGCGCCCGCATACGCATACACGGGCCTGGGCGTCGCCGTGGCGTCCGCGCTGTTGTTGTACCCGGCGCCCATCTGGACCCCGGGCCCGGACCCGGGGGCATTCTGCGCGACGGGCGGCACGCCCCCGGCCCCCGTCTCCTGCGGCGTCGTCTGCGTGATGGTGCGGTAGCGCGTCGTGGTCTGCGTCGTCAGGGCGCCGACGGTGCACCCGGCCGCGCCCGGGGCGCAGGTCGTCACCGCGAAGGTCGCCGTCTCGCACTCCTCGGTGACGGTGACGACCGAGACCACGGCCACGGCGGCGCCGCCGTCCGCGGGCGCGGCGTTGGGCGGGACGGCGGGTCCGGAGGTGGGCTGGGGCGGCGGCGGCGGCGAAGGCGAAGGCCCAGGTGTCGTCGGCAGCGCGTCCTCAGGGCAGATCGTGGTCACGTAGACGCTCGTGGTCGTCGCGAGCTGGCCGATCGGACAGTTGGCCACCTCGGGCGGGCAGGCGGTCACGGTGTAGACGACAACATTGGTGATCGTGCTCGTGATAGTGTTGGTCCGGGTAACAGGGACGGTCGTAAACCCGTCAGGGGCACCGGTAGGTGTAGCAGTAGATGTAGCAGCAGACGCGGTGGTGGGCGCCAGCACGAGAGTGCCGTCCTGGCACTGCCGGTCCTCGTACACGGCGAGGCTCACGGCCGTGCAGCCCGCGGGCCAGCCGGCCTCGGACACGAATGTCAGCTGTATCTCCCCGTCGGCAGTCTGGCAGAAGCCGGCCTCGCCCTGGTAGAAGGCGTCGTTGAACCAGTGCAGAACGCCATCGACGACGGCAAAAGTGGTTGAGATGGAACCTGAGGGCTGAACCTGCAGCGGCATGAAGGCCACGGCGGGGTCGGTACGGACGGCTTGCCCACCACTGACAAGCTGGCCGTCGGTGAGGTTGAAGCTGGTTGCATCGCTGCATGATTCCGGGTTCGTGGGGCCTGCGCCGCCGATAAAACCACCCGTTGTCTGACGCTTGCTAGATCGTGACCTTGATGGTGGAAAGTCACGCTTCGTGTTGTTCTTAGCTGCACCGCCGTCCAGCAGGACGCCTAGGAATATGGGCCCGTCGGCAATGGAAGTCACGCGAGGGAGCTCAGAGCTGCTTGTGACTGAGACAGTACCGCTTGTTGTATCCAAAGTAGGTGTTGGCACGACGTCGCTGCCTGTGCTTGTGGGCTTGTCCATCTCCGATGTGGTAGCATTGGCGGGGCCAAGAGGGTTCGGGTCTCCGGTGAATGTTGGACCGGTAAAGGTCGAACCAGCACTCGTCACCGTTGTTGGCGGCGTGCCCGTGGTAAGGCTGGAGCTCGAAACGGTGGACGTCTGTGGAATCTGGCAGCTTCCCTGAAGACTGGCAGCAGCGTCCATACCGGCAGGGATAGCCACGAGATTGCTTCCAGTCCCACAGGTCGTGTAATTGGCCATGTAGAGAGCTGAGTTGTCCTGGTCGAAAATGGTGTAAGCACCGCGTAAGAAGGTATCGCCAAGGATGTAAACATTGATGTTCTGGTTATACCAGGCACCCAGGAAGCAGTTGTTGCCGTTGTTCCAGATGAACTCTGAGTACGGGACCGAGATCTTGACACGGCCGAAAGAGAAGTCGACAGCTCCGGGGAGTGTGAGGTAAGAACATGGGACCTTGTAGCCACCGCCGCCATCAGACGTTGCACCAGGGAACTGCGCCGCTAAAGCGTTCACGAGAGCCTGTGGTAAAAGGGAGAAAGTCGTGCCACTGTCGACGATGACATCGATTGGGCCGGCAGATACAATATTCGCAGATTGAGAGCTTGGTGAGCGGTGGGCAACTGCAGAAAGCGTCACCTTGTAGTGCGCATCCTCGTTGTCGATAGGTACCTTTGCCAGCGTTCCAGAATACCTGTTTGTGTCGACGCCGCCAAAGACTATCTGGCCTGAGATGGACATCTCTGGCTCTGCCTGCAAGCCAAGGTCGAGACTAAACGCCTTGCTGTTTGTGTAGTTCTGCGCCACGAGGGTGTCGACAACAGTGTTGTATGGGAGAAAACCCGGTTTCCCCTGTGCCATTTTGCCGTAGCCAAGGCCCATGATGCCGAACCAGACAGACTGTGAGTTTCTAGCAAGGCCAAACTGCTGCTGCTTGATTTGCGCACCTGAAGTCTACCAGTCAGATATCGATGTTGCGCACTTTGAGGGGTGCCACGGGGGTTACGTACCAGAGATGAAGATATCGTCGGTGAAGTAGATGCCCTGAGCGCTACCAGAACCATATGTAATGCTCCATGGTGTCGTCAAGTTTTGGGCAGTCGAAGACTTTTTCGGATCATAGCTGCCGAATTGCTGGCAGTAGCTTGGAAGATTGGAAGCTGTGCAGTTTGGGTTCACCCATAGCTCAAAGGAGCCGGTGTCAAGGAGGACTTGGACTTCCTGATTCGATGCTCCCGTGCCGACCGTGACTAAGATTGTCAGCATCACAATGCGAATGTTATTTGGGGGAGGTGCATCGTACTCTTTGCCAAATAAGCCGATCCGAAGAAGTCAACTACATCAGTCTTGAAGTATCTTCTCTGGATACTTGTCGATGCCCCTGGTAGTTCTGACCTATCGACCCTTTTCAGGGGGATCGCTAACACCTCGGCCGGATCCTTAAACTTCTCTGACAAGAATGCGTTGATGGTCCCTCCAGTATTCTGGCCATGAGTGATAGTTGTAAGGGATAAGAGAGAGCAGAGCGCCGCAAACTTGGATGGCGCAGCCATGTTGGCCTATCACAGGAGCTCTATGATTATGAATGGTTCCTTGCAGCGGATGGGCCATTTTGACGAAAATCGGTGCTGGGCCATGATATATGAGTGCGCAAAGAGGAATCTGAACTCGATGCTACGGAAATCAGCAACTCATACAAAATATGTAAGGATACACTAGCCTCCTTGCCACGGATGAATGCGAGACATTGGACGCGATGTAAGACATCGATCTTCAGGAACGAGGGGGTTGAGCAGGTGCCGGTTCATTCCAAAGTCGACACCCAAGGAATCCTCATCCCAATGGTCGGCTTGTCGGTCGAGAATAGTCGCATCTAGACCAAGAACTTCCAGCCCTGGTAGTGTTCAGACCAACTGCACACATAATCATGCATAGTATGAAGGGGCTGATAGCTTGCGCCTGTAATGGGGCAAGACGGGAATCGGCAGGCAGTATTGTTCTGAACAAGTCTCATTGAGCTGCAAGATGGTGAAAAAGATGACGAGAAACATGTCTACCTGTATGGGAACGCCAGTTTACCGTCGAACGCCTCGAGATCCCTGTCCTCGATTAATATGCCCAAATCGTGTACTCGTGTCTAAATGTCGCTGTGCTTGTCGACCCAATCCCTCCACGCCTTGAACTCCGGATACCGCAGCTCCTCCTTCTTGCCCTGGTAGCGCACGACTTTGAGATCGACGTCCTGCCACCTGTCTTTGCTCCCCGTCCAACCGGCCTTCCGCATCAGACTCACCAAAGTCTCTTCCTTAGTCCATCCCTGCTCAGATGCAACGTCGGGCAGATATGTCGAACCATATCGCCTGCCGCGCTCGGTAAAACTAATACGTAGGCCATGCTTGCCCAGTTCCCAGTCCATCGCGTCGTCGCAGTCCTCGAAGTCGGTGAGGAGTGTCACTGCTACTTCTAGCGAAGGCAGCTCACGCTTGGAGATGGGTCTGAAGCGCGTATCGTGAATGGCTGAAGTAAGTGCGTAAGACGAGAGGCCCTCGTCAAGATCCTGTGCTTCAAAGGTGCCAATACAGCCGCGCAGGTTGGTGTGGCCGGACCGCGAGGAGACGGTGTTCCACGTCACAAAGAGGGGCGACTCGGTGATGGGGTCCGTCTCGGTAGCGAGTGACGACGTAGAGGTGTCCGGGGTGTCGGTTGCGAGGGACATGCTCGAGCCTGACGAGGGAGATGAGGTGCTGCTCGAGGAGGAGTTTGCGAGCCGTTGCAGAGCCGGGATCCGCTTCTTAAGGGCATCCAGCTTGGAGGGGTTGCTCGCATCCCCATCGGCATCGTCGCTGTTGCAGTACTCGGCGTACAGCTTCTCGACCTCGGCCAGCGAGAGCGCCTCCCGGCCGTCGAGGTGGGCGGCCAGCGACTCGAAGCAGTACAGGCAGTGCTCGGGCGAGGCCATACTGACGTCAGCGTTGTGTTGAGACGGTGGTTGGAAAGGCTCGAAGGAGGGTCCAGCACAGAGGAGGGCAGAGATCAGACGAGAAGGTAGGGAGAGAGGGTTGTCATGGGAGCAAGTGAGTTCTGACAGAACCCAAAGATGAGAGCACCTTTTGTCTGCCGCTTTAAAGCATTGGATGCAAGCATGCAGCAGCCCTGGGCCTGCCCAACTAGCATCTAGGCGGGCAGCCTGCAGGACGGGAGACAATGTCACGACTCGCACCCCGCTCGCTGTGATAACGGACGGATAAGCCCCCGCACGAAAGCCTTAGGGGGCAAGGGGGGGTTGTGCGGGCAGGCTTATTAGCGGCCCCCCAGGCCTCAGGTGCAGCGGGCGTGGGCGAATAAGGTAGCGCCTGGCCGGACTGACGCTACCTGAGTTTCCCCTGGAGCCCGTTAGGTCGGGCGTGACCGGTGGACGTCAGGGTCCAATGGGCGGCGCGAGTGTGCTGTGAGGCTGTCAAAGATTTGTCGTGGGTGTTCCAGCTGAGGCGGCGAGTTGCGAGGTGGGCCGCCAACTCGGACTCGGGCAGCTGCGGGCACCACGTAACTAAGGATAACGTTATTTTCCACCGCCGAGTGTTCAAGTTTTGCGCCGGAGACTTCCGGCTGGCCCATCGAATTATCGTTGCTGGAAGCAGAGTATCATGACAGCCGCTGTATGGGCGCAACGATTGAATAGACCTTTGCAGAGATCATTTGCATCAGCTCGAACCCCAGGACTGAGACTGTATTTGTCGGGCGATAATCGCACCGGGCAGAGTGGCCCCGTTCGCCTCACCACGTATTCTACCAGTGCACTCCCAAGACCTCGAGGTGAGTAGAGCTCAAACGTCGCGTGTACAAGCCCGTGGTTTCCCCGTTGTCATTCGACCTATACTGAGCCCGCGGCAGCTATCTCTTTGGACAAGCAACGTCGGACTTTGAAGCAGCCAAGCGGCTCCGAGGCCCGTCCTCTAATCAAGATGTCCACCATCGACCTCGGGCCACTGGCCTCCTTCTCACACAGTCGCTACACAGTCATTCTGTCAAATGGCAAGCGGTTAGTTCTGTTTCGTCTGCCAAAGATTGAGCCGTCCAAGTCTCCATTTCTGGCCCCCAATGAGACTGAGGATGGCTGGACGTACTTTGCCATGGAGGCCGAGTGTCCCCATGCGGGTGGGCCCATGGCAGACGCTCATGTCGACATTGAAGATTCCGCCTACATTGCTTCCTGCCCTTGGCATGCCTACGACTTCAACGTGGAGACTGGCGAGTCCAGTTATGGTATCAAGGCATGCACATTTCCTGTCATCGTCTCCGACGGGAAGGTCACTTTGCAAATCATGCACGAGAAGAGCCTGAGTCTCTCGCGGATGGATCCAGTGAGCGAAAAGGTCAAGTTCAAGCACGCGCCGAGGTCATCAGCCTCAGACGCGCCCGTGTACCTCGGTGACGATGCTACCCTGTGCGAGTGGTGTTGCCATATCTTGAATACGTCGAATCCCGAACACAAGATTGAGCTGACTACGCGCTTGTTTTCCATATTCGCCACCAGAGAGCAAACATCATCGCCCATGGAGCTCGGGGCTGGCTCCGTGGCTCCGCCTGACAAGCCACGACGGGACGAACAGACAAAAGTCGCTCCGGGAGCTATGCCGAGAGCTGGAAGAGGAGGCCACCTGAAGAGCAGGATAATGATGCTGCACAATCTGGCCAACATCGAGCAGTGGGCCATTGACCTTGCCATCGACATTTGTGTCAGGTTCGCCACATTCCAGACCATGGCCCCTGAGCAGAGCTTATCGCGTGAATTACCTCGCACGTTCTACTACGACTGGCTCAAGGTGGCCAATGATGAAGCCAAGCACTTCAGCCTGCTGCGTGCTCGTCTTGAGGAGTTGGGCAGTCACTTCGGTGCACTTCCTGTCCATCATGGCCTGTGGGATTCGGCCCTCATGACGGCACATGATCTAAGGGCCCGCATCAGCGTTATTGCCCTTGTCCACGAAGCTCGCGGGCTTGACGTCAACCCTATAACAATCGAGAAGTTCCGAAAGGCTGGCGATATGGACAGTGTTGACACGCTGGACATTATCCACAATGATGAGATTACACACGTCACCACGGGTCACCGCTGGTTGAGCTGGATATGCGAGCAAGAGGCCACCGACCCGGTCGAGATCTTTAGGAGCAACGTCAAGAAATACTTCTGGGGCGCCGTCAAGGGCCCTTTCAACGCTGAAGCCAGGTTGCAAGCGGGTATGGATGCAAGATATTACGAAGATCTAGGTGGTGCGGATTGGAAAGGGGAAATCATTGCTGGTGGCTGAACCACAGGGTCCTCCATGTGAATCCGAGCGTAAGTGTGTGCTCCCTCCGTTGGCCCAAGAATGGCCCTTGAGGCCCGTGGCAGTGCACACACTTGAAGCAGCTACCGATTGGCATCCGGCTCCATCTGCAACACTGCATACTACATAGCCTTCCCCAAGAACAGGCATCCTCGAAGGATGGCATTGGCGGCCCGGTCGCAAGTACTCCGATCCCATCCATTTTGGGCCCCAACCAATCTGGCCGTGGGGAATTATGGATATGAACGAACGTTGCTTCGTGATGAGCACTGCACATCTCGTTACTCTAGCCAAAGGCGTCCCAAGTATCTAGCGTTCAGTATCATCTGAAGTTCTTTTCAACTGATGTGGTCGGGCACGCCACGGAAGGAAAAGGGGAACGGTCAATGTAGAGACGAATCTTAAGCATTGCCGTTATTTGATTTTCGGCGCCTGTCATCCTCCATTCGGACAGAAGAAGCTATCAAGGCAACTCAAATTAATCCGATGTGTGCTCAGCTTACAACTGCACGGTCGGCAACAATCCTTGGAAGCCTAGGCTTGGCATGAAACCAGCAGGAATAGAGTTGGTCCCTTGGCCCATTTGGAACACGGAAGGCTCCACTCCCGCGAAGATGCAACACTTTCGTCTGATCAATTCGTCATTTATCGCCCAAAGAAATGGGATAAGGCGTCCTTGGTCGTTGCGGGAGACTGGGCGGAGGCCACGGAGGCGCCCCCTACGAAACCCTTGTCCGTGGTTAGAGAATCGTCTCAGACCCCTGTCCGCCACCCGCGATCTCCAGAGCCTCAACCCCAACCTTGATTCCACTGCGACTACAAACGGGCTCCGCCTATTAAGCTCATTTTACATACAAGAAATCTGGTCGAAAGATCGATATCAGCCAACTGAGGCCAATCACACACCCCAATTCCCGGATCCACAACCGTTTGGTCCTCTCGCTTCGGTAAACTACCGGTCTGGACTCCGTCCCCAGCTTTGTCGCAGTCTTGGCATCCCCCGTAGCCTCCTTGCCTAATCTGGGCAGACTGACGTGGTTTTCTGCTGCCAACCGATCTGAACACCAGTCTCAAGTAATATTCGGCGTCGAAGATCAGGTCTGCCCAGGGAGCAAAGAAGGCTCAATCACAGGCCATGTCTAATCCCTTTGTTTTGTTTGGCATGGATCTAATTCTTCCGGCGTGATGATCCTGTTAGATCCCTCCCATACCCCGTCGTCCTAAGCATTGGATGCCCTGGCCCATTTGTAAGTCGGTACAAAAGGACTTCCCACCCTCTCGGAGCACATCTTCTTGGAACTTTTGGTCTTTCATCCTCTACGAGTTCCTGTCGCTCACGCATACGTCTTCGCTTCGCTTCACCGCCTGTCATATAATTGCAACTTGCTCGTCGCCGGCCGACTTCTACCACTCCTTCTCACACGAGCATATACTTGTCTTTCACGACACCACACTACACAGTCAAAATGAAGTTCTTCGCTGCCGTCGTTCTCGCCCTCTCTGCCGTTGCTTCGGCTGAGCTCCGTAAGTACCCGCTCATTGTATCATGTTGGATTAATTCCTGATCATACAAGCAGGCCAAGTCGTCAAGCGCCAGGCTGGTGTCAGCGTCCAGAACGCCGCCATGACCGACGCCAACGGCAACGTGGTCGCCTACAACGCCGCCGGTGTCGTCCAACCCATGAAGAACGCCGGCTTGTAAGACCTCGTCGCCAACATGCGGTACCAACGGCGTCGTACATAGGAGGGATTGGTTCTAGCTACGGATGGGGAAACACTGCCGAATGATCAACGGAGGGCATGATCGCTCCCGATTGCCCGGATCACTGGCGCCAGGGCCTGTCTGACTAGAGCATTAGAGGATCAATATGATATCGCCTAGACTGCCCACCACTACGGGTCTGACGTACCCATCGCACGCAACCCAGCGTGATACTTCGGGCCTTACCTTTAGTAGCGTAGCCCGCTGATAATATCAATACCACATATGAAAGTACCCCAGCAGCATACAGTCATGACATTGCACGTCCACATAGTCTTACCAATAAACTGGCAGGATATACTGAAAATGACTGAGTCCAAATATTGGGCCGCCGTTCCCACAAAATTGAAGTCGACTTTAGGTTGGATGTATTCAGACGCAGTCTTGGAGAGCTTCACATTAGATTAGACGACGAACTCGGTACGTTCATCTGATCTAGCCATCCGACCCCACGAGAACTCTATCTCGTACTTGATACCGGACTATTGCCATGGTTATATAAAGTAAGTCGATATCCGCTCAACGTTAATAACTGTTGGTCTTAATTGATTCTCTAGGTCAAAACTGTGAACGGCGGCATTGTCGTGTGGAACGCGCGATACTACCGTCGAACAGTGAGGGCTATTTAGCACCTTAAATTTTAAGGTCTGCGTCGTGGGTCACTCAATTGCAGGGTTACTAGTGTATGGCGGTCTCATGAGCAAGAAGCTATCGTTGGGTATTACGCATATCTGCCATTTCGGGCTCATAGGTACATATGGTTTCTTGCAGTTATGCTTGTACGAAGCAATAGGCTTCATGAGCGCCTCGGCGATGCCAGATCCAAGTTTGGGCTAATATCGAGCGGACCATGTCGCATGGCACGAGTCTCTCGGGCACTGTTGTTACCAATTTCCCAGACCCAGTAGCTGCGCAGGCCTCGTGGTTACCTTCTCAGAGAGTTCTTTCTCACTCTCTGTCGCTGGTACCACATCTCGCCAAGCTGTCTCCATCCTCCTATGGCTGCACATCCTGGGTGAAGCTGACGCTCTTGCTCGCGTCGCCGGCCGACGCCTTGTCGATCTTGACGTTGGCCGCCAGCTTGGTCTGGATGTCGGTGAGCTGGGCGGCGCGGTCCTTGGCGCCCTGGGCGATCTGCACCGTGACCAGCATCTCAAAGGTCCGTAGTTTCAGGACCTTGTTCTTGATCTTGCCGACCTGCAGCGCGTCGGCCTGGGCGCCCGAGGCCGCCGCCACGGCCGTGTTGAACGCCTGCTCGGCGTTCTCCGACGTCTGCCGCGCCGCGATCAGGATGTCCAGGTCGTTCTTGGAGACGGCCGCCGGGTTCGAGAGATCCACCTGTTGGCATCGGGGGGTTAGACATCGGGTCCGTCCCGGAGTAGTATCACGGTGGCATGCTCACAGGAAACGCCTGGTTGACCTCCGCCAGTGCATTGCCGGCAACTCCATTCGAGATCTGGAAGTTGTTGTACGTCCGGAAGGTCAGCACGTCGGCGCGCTTCTGGTGGACAGGGGCCGGGGCAGCGATGGATGTGGCTGTCAGAGACAGAAGCACAGCGATGATGGAGAACTGCATGTTGACTTTGAGTGAGAGCTTATTAGTCGTGATGTCCGCTGGGTATGCAAAGAACGAGATCGGCCAGCGAAAGAATGAAGCTAGCCCGGCTAGAGAATTACTGCGGGAAAAAAGAACGTGAAGACTGAATAAGCTTATTCTGGAGATGAGATGGTACAGGATCAGAGTCTGGGCGAAGATGGCGATCAAGTAGATCTTATATGTGCATCCTCGTGAGGCACTGGTCACGATGCTTTCAGGGTGTGGTGTTGCGGACTAGGGGTTGTTACACATGACACGACCCCTTCAAACCATGGTGGGCTCGCGACAGCAGTTTCTTGTGCCGCCTAGCCGCTGACTGGTGGAATATCGCGAAATGCAAAGCGTGAGTCGGTGGCATTGGAAAGCATTCTCGCGTTTGTCAGTGACACTATTCTAGTCCTAATGGTGAGTGTGCCCGCGCATCAAAGTTCAATGCTGCGGTTGGTGAAAAAGATGGGCAGTAACTTGCAGTCAATCACCCAGGGCTTAGTTTCACATGGCTATGGGCCAATCCCGGGGTAACATCATCAACTTCCTTCCACATTGGGATAGCCGCTTTCCTACTATGACACTGGGAATAGTAGAGGATTTGTGTGGTGAGGGATGCTGCAGAGTTGCACCATGTCATCGGTTGCACAAAGACCGTTGTGCACACTGCCGGGTGAGAGGTGAGCGATCATTACGTCACAGGGCCACATCCCGCTTCAATGAAAGTAAAAGACAAAAGCAACAGGACATATCCTCACGTTTTGTACAAGACCACCCGCAGATCAATTACTTGCAACATCCTTTTCTTTAAGTGCTGCTTGACGAAATTAAGACAACACCACCACGAACCATCTCCTCCTGCAATACCCATAACCAACCATGGCAGACTCGGCCTCTCGCGTTGAGCAAACCCCACTGAAGCCTCAGCAGCCTGGCCAAGCACAGTAAGACATGAAGCGAACTGCGGAACTTGAGGGCGACAGTGCCGCAACTGACATTGGCTAGGAGCATCCTGAACCAGCAGACGTCAAATCTCGACGTGACATCTCAATCAGATAACGGAGGCAATGCGGAGGCCCCCAGTGAAGCCGTGAAGGACCAGATCGATGATGCAGTTGCTAAGGGTCCGAAGAAGGCTGACCAGTATAGTGGTGGGCGAGTGTCGGTCGCCGAGACTGGAGATCTGCACGATCTAGCAGCGAGGAGGCAGTCGGAAGCTCATAAATAAGAGGTTGGAATCGCGTTATCAAGGTCTATGCAGCAGTGCATATCAACCAGAACGCAGCCCATGGACATTGTACTATAGCCATTCAGGAGTGGTATTCATCAATTATTTTCGCAGACTCTCCATAGACATTGGGATAACATTACACTACACGTGTACACTGAGTTCAGCACACCTCATCATGTTAACAGAAGTGAAGCACAGCTGCGTCGCGATGGCGCAACTCGTGCAACCTCAGTGAAGAGCAAGCTACGGTTTCGTTGATTACGCACACCCTTAATGAGTGCAGTCCCTGGGGAGGTAGCAAAATCTAGGAGGACGGGAAACGCTGGTGGGAAAGGGCAAAAATGAGCAGGATAAAAATATTGTTCAAAATGTGCACGGCGGACAAAAGGAATTGAGCATCGCAAATACCATGAGCAGGGTTCGAACCTGCGAGACTTGCGTCAGCAGAGTATTGAGCATTGCAATAGCTTAAATCTGCCGCCTTAACCACTCGGCCATCATGGTTTTCACACGCACGAGAATGTTCACGTGAGCGCTAAGAAATTTGCGGCTTATGTGCGTCTATGCAGTGTATGCCCAGTCTTGCGAGTACAACAGACATAGTACGCCGTCATCAAGGTTCAATATTTTGGAATATTGGGGCCACAAGCGATATGAATGCTTTACCAGCCACATGTCTTTGATCTGTAGGATTTCAAGGCGATTGATTGACTGGCCTGGCGGAAGTGCACATGATTGAAGCGGACCACGAATGATGGGCAGATCACAAAGACCGAACTCTGCACTTGACTAGACAAATGCCCATAACTAGACCTAAACAAGCTAAGCACATCCATAGGCGATCATCAGTTGTGATCGGGGAAAGCTTAATTGCACTCGGTCTTCGAGTCTTCTGGGTCCCGAAATAGGAGCCAGAGATGATGGTTCATAGGGGACGCAGCACGTCGGAAATAGTACTTACACGGAGCCGCAAAGCGGTTTGGTCGGAATGCCACCAACCAGCTCTCCCCACGAAGCTAAAATGATCGTTGGTCCCGAGTGACAGACCGACTCATTGCTGCGCCTCCGGGGAGAGCAGGCAGACGGTGCTGTTGTCCTCCAAATGCTGCCTCTCACTCGTCATATTACTCCTCAGATAATTATGCAGTTGGTTCTTCGATGCTGCGGAAGAGCACCGTTTTGGGGCATATCCAACTGTCATTGGAGATTGATGGCTGGTGACCTGGGGGAAAGCCGATGGCTTGCAGGCCACTTGTCACCACTAATTGACACAGACGCAGGCCTGTTGCCTGTCTCTGGACGCACTCCTTAGCACCATGCATGCAGCCTTACTACCTTAAACCCAGCTGCTACCTACCCTGTCTAGACCCTGAAAATTGCCTAGAATCCTACGAGTCCACACCGCTGGGTCTACCTCTCCACTACAAATTTCCTCCCAAAGTTCTCAATATACAAGTTCAACCCTGATCTTGCTGATGGCTAGGTTTGGTGCTTGTCAACTGCGGGCTCCCCCAGCGACACAGCGTAGCTAGTGTTGCGCTCAAGGTACCCAACACACTCGTGGGCACGGGTATAGATGTAATTGTCCTCATTTTAATCCTGGCTTCTGTGGTCAAGCCCCTTCAACAGCCACACACAGGCATTATGGAACTCCGGGTTTTACCAAGACCACAGCCCGTCCGCCCACGTCTCGAGCTTTGTATGTGTCATGACTGCAGAACTTTGCTCCCGAGTCCTTGCAGATATGATATGACTTGGTGTCGAACCACACTTTAGAACAAAGGCCGAAAGTCGCGGCTAACAGCCGACAGCACAGCCCTCTCGGCCAATCGTGTGATCATCAGCCCTATTTTAGGCGCGACAACTGAGAAATCTCAAAAGAATCATTGCCAGTTCCGGCAAGTGGAAACTCCTCCAACGTATACCATACCCCAACCAGTGCAATTTTGCTGGGTCTTGTACCATGGTATGGGCTGCCAACCGCAGGTTCACAACTTGGCCCTGTTGATCTGATAACGACAAGGGCCTCGCAAATTGTCTCCATGTCGGTCCCGAGAAGTCCTGTTTGGTGAGTACCTGACCGCCAGAACAATGGGCAGGAAATAGATCCTCTAGGAATTTGTCCTTCTCCTCACCAAATAATACTGGGTTCTAATCACTAGGATCTCCATCAAGTGCTGGTCAATTCCTGCTCTGCCTCCTCCTACTATCCGTTCGGTCATTACCAATGAGGTTTACCATAGTAAGAAATTAGCGAACACAACGGTCCTGTCCTTAGTGGGATAACAGACTGGCCATGGATCATTGGGCCGTGGTTAGCGCCAAAGATCTGGGCTACCGAACCTTGTGGCCTTGGTATCCGACATGCAACCCATATCCCGCCATCTCGGCTCACTCGGGCAACCGAACTTGTTATGGTAGGTACTCAGGCACCACCGTTGCCGCATTTCCCTCTATAATGCGCCGGATGCCTCCCTCTGCAGCGGCTGAGTCGCGTCTCTTATGACGAGAGCCAGTTCGCAGGCCCATGTGGAAACTTAGACTCAGCCGCAAAGCACTTTACCGATGTCTATCCCATAACCAGCTAAAGCCCGGTCTCTGGAAGCGAGTCCATTTCCAACGTGGAACACTAGTCCTTAGAGCTGGTCCAATGAATAGTCTCCATTCCCAGAGGCTGAGCTGCACTGCTCCACAGGCTACAGCCATAGCGAGATGGAGACGTCCCGGTCTGCCCTGCCTAGTAATTCGGCCGCACGGGGGAGCCTGGGCTGAAGCCTCAAGCGAGCTTCTCCATGGTTCACCTGGCTTGTCACTTCAGTGGTGTGCCCCGCCGAGCGCGCGAGAGCAGGACTAATTCCGCGAGACCGTGTCTCCTTATATACAAGGTCGCCAGCTCCCGCGGTACACTCTCAGGGATTTCTGCCACTTGCTCGACTAACGATATTAGAAGGTCGCTACATTCACCTCTCCTATCCAGACGTTATGTTTTTAATCTCGTGACATTGCTATCTAGGAGGACTTTCCCTTTTACGACCTTGATACTACCCTGATACGATTCATACAACTGTGCAATAATACCTGGATAGTCAACCATGATCGGCTCCCACCGCGACCAAGCACATTTCGATCGCGCAAGATGGCGGAAGAGGGTCCTGCTTCCATGCTGGATCATACAGATACCTATTCTCCTGACGTTGATGGGTATCTTTTCGTACCGGCTTTCCAACACTGTCAACACGTATAAGGAGGAGAAGCAGAAGGGAAACGTTCCCATGGTAGAGTTCGTGTAAGTCGAGGAGTTGTCTTGTTTCTCCTGGCCGTTTCTGACAACGTCCAGGTGGGAATGCGCCAACATCTCCTTCTCGACAGTATCGTTTATTATAAACGCTGTGCAGATCGCCAAGTTCATCGCCGAGGCACTGACACCATTCTCTATGCTCTTTGGTAATGTTGTGAGCCTCGTTCTCTCGACTGCTATCCTAGCGCTCGATGTTGTCGTGTATGTCCGACACTCGGAGAAGAACTACTCTACGATTGCTCTTGCGCTGGATTGCGCACTGCTGTATGTGATTTTCGGGTTTCTAATACTATATACGAAGCATCACCCCTGTCCGGGAGTTGGGCTTACATATGGGGGCGACCGTCAGCTTCCAGTCTTGGCTTAACCTATAAGCCAAGCTTACAGGATGCATAATGGGCTAACTCGAAACTAGTTTCTTCAACATAGTCGCGATTATATACGGAGTCATAATCTATCGTCGCCTCGCCGCCTATGATGAGTATCACCACCCCCACAACGTCAAACACTTCGGCTTCGCAGAGGATCAAGATACCGCATATGATCCCGCCCGAATGAGCTTGAATGCTCAGCCGGAAACCCTTTACGACCCCACGGACGTTTCAGACTCCCGACCGCGCCGGCCGTCTTTCACGTTCCGACGATCATTGTCTAGTGCATCGCGCGGCGAGCCCGTATCTCCTGGTCCCCAGCCCGATGCTGAACGTCCTGTCAGTTATGACCACAAGCGTGATACACAGTTTGATGAGTACATCGCATCACGGCGTTCGAGTCTGAACTCGAACCACGGTGCGGATGGCGCCCTCGGCGTCTTGCCCAGCCGGGACGGAACTCGACGGGACAGTCTAAGCCCACAATCGTCTCTGACGCGCCCACGAGCTGGCTCGGGGCCTCGTCCATTAAGCTGGGAGGTCAATATGGGCACCGACACTCGTCCGGACGGTATCCAGCGTGGGCATAGCTTGATCAGCGTTCCCGAGGCCCACGAACCGGAGGAAGACATTGGCAATGCGAGACTAAACAAGAGCCGCCCGGTCAGCGAGGAGAGAGCAGGTCTTTTAGGCAATCGGACAGTGTCCGGATACAGCGTTGCGAGTTACGCGACACGAGACAGCCGGGTTGAGCCCTTCCAACCGCAAGAGGCAGAGCTGGAGTCACACAAAAGGCGACGAGATTCATGATACCCTCAACCTGAATGAGATGACGACTGTTGCAGTTATTTGCTGCACAATTATATATCCACGGCGTTATTATTATATATACTTTTGAATCAAGTTTTGCATTTTCCAAGACCTCTCTGTTTTCCCACTCGAACTGTGGCAAGAAAAGCACATAACTACGTCCTTCCTGAGCTGCTGCGAAGCTTGAGCCTTTCAATAAGCGTTGAAGTCATTCAGCGTGACTGGCAGGTGATGACGCGGGAAGACACTGATACGACCCCTGCGGCATCTCCAATAACTCCGCATGTAATGCCCGCGATCATTATTGGGCTTCGAGTGCGAGCGTTGTAGTAAGCTATACTTTGACTTTGACTTTGAATCCCAGTCCCACTGACGACGCTTATACTACACAATACCTTTCAACCCCCACTTCGCCATGTCTCCGCCGCTGGAAAGCCAGCAGACTATACTCATCACAGGCTCAAACGGCCGCATCGGCCGACTCCTCTCGGCTCGACTCATCAAGCCGGGACGGCACATCCGGCTCCTCGACATAGTGCATGACCCCTCGAACATCCCACAAGGGGCCGAGTTCGTCTCGGGCTCGGTCACTGACGCACAAGTAGTTGAACAGGCAGCTGCAGGCGTAGACGTCATCGTGCATCTGGCAGGGATAGCAGCCGAGGCACAATGGGAATCCATCCTCGACACCAACGTGCACGGCACGTGGTGCGTCCTCGAGGCAGCACGCAAGCTAGGCGTGCCTAGGGTCATCTTGGCCTCGAGCAACCACGCCGCCGGGATGCTGCGGCAATCAGATCTCGGCGCACACACCCAGAATCCGCTGCGGGTCTGCGATGCCCACCCGGCCCCGGATAGCTACTACGGCTTCAGCAAGACGGCCATGGAGTCTCTCGGCAGGCTGTTCGTTGCCAAAACGCCCGGGCTCTGTGTGGTGGCCGTGCGGATTGGCTCATGCTGGGCGGAACCGCGCAATGAGCGTGCGCTGTCGATATGGCTCTCGCCAGATGACTTTGCCAGGCTCGTAGAGGCAGTGCTCCAGCCTGCTGTCACAGGCTACCATTGCGTCTGGGGTGTGAGTCGCAACACGCGCCGGTGGTGGTCGCTGGAAGAGGGAGAGGCTATCGGGTTCCGTCCCGTCGACGACGCGGAAGTGTTCGCACACAGAGTCGGTAGCCCCAGGGATGAGAGCACTGCGGCATTGGTGGCTGATGAGCTGGACTATGTAGGAGGAGTCTTTCCGTCGTGGGAACTTGGCATACATGGCTGAGTTTCGAGGTATACAGGAGGAGCAGAGTCATGTTATGAAGTGTAGACAGCAATGGTACTTATCAGCCATATCCATACATTGCAATTATTATGAAATCAACTGCCTGTTGTTACGGTCCACAGGTGAATACGATGTATCAAGACTTACTATGTACTTGAAATAGATGTGTCGCGGCTCTAAGCCTTAGAATACAAAACACACAATTGGCAAGCATCGGATAGAGTTTTGAAATTCCTGTCCATTCAGTCGTCAACTATAGATACATATGTATGAGACACCTCTTCCTTTAGATGGACTTCGAAGTTGACAGCTTGTGTTTGGGTTTGCTCCTAAGCAAGCTGTCATTAATCACGGCAGCTCAGCGGGATTCTGAATCCGGAGCTTGAAAATCATAATCCCTTGTGTAATACTCGGCTCATCATCAGCTATGGACGACCGACCTCTTTGTTCATGATCGCCGCCCGTTGTTCTTCGTCGGAAATAAGAGGACTGCAAGCGACCAACAAAGAAACCGGGATGTATCACCCATTATTCGCAGCCTCGAGAAACCAAGTTTTCGGTCTTATGTCACGTAGAGCCAAGGAACTTAGGATAGTGTTAGAAATCGATTCTTGAAACCGTATTGAGCGGAGCGCACGACATCTTTGGGTTCGGTTCGCGTACATTTGGATAATTTCAGCACTATGACAACACCTCAACGAACGCCGCTGCCTTCGAATCTGAACTTGCTAGGGTCAGACAACTCCCGATGGAAAACACGACCAACGCCTTACAATCACAACGCTTTTGCCGATGCCGGAAGGGAGCGTGTACTGCTCTACCTCCAGCCTGCCGTTGGTCGTCGTTTAGTCATACCTGGGGATGCGTTCGCGGCGGTGAATAGCACAAGGAAAATAGGGGCCGAGTTCCACAACACAAATCCAGCAACGCGGTCCACGATACATGGCAATACAAAGGCGGCGACGGTGCTGGGGGAGTTCGACGAGCTCATAACACTGACGAAATACCTCCAGGACGCCTGGGAGCTCCGAGACGGCCACGCCAACGACGACTGGAGGGACTGGATGCACACGGACGTGAGTACGATTCTAGGGCCAACACTGCCCAACGGCACCCCCAAAAGGCGCATACTCCAGCAAATCCTCAGCTGGGCGCACTCGTGGATCGCGGTGCGCTTTAGATACCCGGACCAACATCTGGACGACGACTTTGACCCGAACGTGGGCACTTACAAATACGCGCTCGCATCCAATGTGGCACAGAGACGCGCCTGGTGCGAGGCCACGAACAAGTCCATCCACTGCTCCGATCTATTGACCGATGCCCAGCTTGCGCGGGCGGCCAACTTCAGGCAGCTTGGCTATGCCACTGCCCAGGTCCACTTTGCCGCCCATTTCCAAATAGTTTATGGGCTGTCTCTTGACCAGACAGACGAGATACGTACGCTAACCCTTTTCCTTCTCCCTTTGGCTTTATTCAAGAGGCGTACACCTTGTTGTGCTGCAGGCTACTGCTGACCGAGAAACCATCCGTCCAGTGGGCCACACGTCGAGAGCACGGCATCAGTCCTTGCGGGGGCTGTTCACTTGGCTTCTGGCGTACGCCAACAGCTTCGTGACGTGGCGCGGGGCGATGCTCCAGTCGAACCGGAGGGAGCGGTTCGCTGCGTCCCGGGTCTGGGCTGTCGACAGCACAGGCGCGCCCAACCCGCGGCACCAGAACTCGCAGGCCTACGCCCGAGACCGGGAGCCCCTGCTCGAGGCCGTCGACACCCCGTACCGCGCCATGCTGACCGCCGGCCTAGCCCTCGTGGCAACGGTGACGGCTCGTGGGACCATCACCCGCGCCGAGTTCACCTACTTCGACGGAACAGTGACCTACTTGAACTAGGCCGTCCGGAACACGCCGTTGGTAACCACGGGAAGGAATATGTCGGCTCGTGTTCTTAACCATGATCTTCACGCCAACACGCAGACCTTCCCGAACATTGTGGGTGGCCAAGATCAGCCGCCTGTGCCGGACGACGACGCTTTTGATCCTGACGATACTCCCCCAGGCCCGCCAGGTGGTGGAGGTGGTGGAGGAGGAGGAGGAAGGGGGGGAAATGATGGCGGCGGCGGCAGCGACAGTGGAGATGGCGGAACAGGAGGAGCACCAGGGAGACAGAGAAAGACAACCGGGAGGTTGAGAGGCAACGCGCCAGCATTTACTATGGGGGCAGGGTGGGCACCAGCTCTCACTCGGCTCACCGCCGGACTCTCGTTGGACGAGACTGGCCTGGATACCACACAGACACCAGCTGCGGCTCGCGGTGAGTATTCTGGAATCTTTTTCAGCACCTTGTTTTCCACCCGCCCCCTCCCCCTTTTGTGGGAGTTTAGCGAAGGCTGACAAGTCCGGACCCAAGGAAACACAGCCCCGGCTGTACCGGCTGTGACAGCAACGCCAGCACCGGCGGCAACGCAACAACAAGTTCCCCGGGCCGCCCGTAGACGTGGCGGGCCCGTATCATCACGCCGAGGAGCCTCGAGGGCCGCGACCCACGAAGAGGACATTCGGTCGGGAGTCATCTCGACCAATATTGCCCCGCCGTCTACAGTGCCAGCTAAGCGGAAGCGCGGGACGAGTGGCGACAGAACCTTGAGTGGAAATGATGACGGTGGTATTGGTGGTAATGAAGATGATAGTGATAACAACCCCGGAGGAGTAGGAGGAGGAGGCGGCGGCAGCGGCCACGGTGGAATTATTGATGATGATGATGATGATGATGATGATGATGATGATGATGATAGCAATAATAACTCCGGAGGACGAATAGGAGGCGGCGGCGGCAGCGGTGCTCCTCCAGCAGCAGGGCTGCCCGAGGAGCCCCCGGGCAGCCCCAAGCCCGTAGCCCCGGCGTTCTACTACTTCGACCCGGACGAGGAGCACGACACGTTCGCGGTGGGCGGGGTGGCGCCGGCGACGGGGCGGTTCCGGATGACGGCGGCGGTGGGGAACCGCAACCGGCGGGCCAGGGGCTTCCGGATCGAGAAGGCGCACCGGCGGCAGAGGCGGTGGTTCCGAGACCAGGGCTTCCTCGAGAGGTACTACTGGACGTACTTTGAGATGCTGCACCGCAGCCAGACGGCGAACGACGGAGTCGAGTGGAGCAACGGGCACTCGGTGCTTTGATGGACTGGCATATTCGGTTTTGCTTGGAGACGCAGCTTTGGGTAGATATATTTGCGCTAACCCCTATTTTCCTTCTTTGCTGCGTACTGGATCACTCAGCCCCTTGTGTATGCTGATTTCGATATGGTTGTGTCTACGAAAGAATGTATAGTGAAGTGATGATGGTATGACAAGCGTTAATTATCACGATCAGTCAAGCACGGGAATGCATCAGAAGGTGGTCAGGAAAACCGCATTCAGAAATCTATCGTGAACTATCTCCATCTCAAAAGTGAGATCATGTATGGCGAATAGCTTTCATCCATCGTTAGACAGGTGATCCGCGCATGCGCAGCCGGTGAGCATTATAGCTCAACGCAAACGGCGGTGCACCATTGATCATCTGCATCTGCCTCTACCATCATCCTGATGCCGCCCCTGTCTACCATGAACCACCATTTGATGACGTTGGCATGCTGCAAAGTCCGAAGGGAAATTAGAGTACACGGAGGTTGGTATTAGTATGATCATGAAATTTAGTCGTAGAGGCCATCGTCCTCGCCCGCATTGCCAAAGTTGTTGCTGCCCGACGGCGCGTCGCCGTCGACGCCACCCTGAGGGAACTTGAAGAAGGCACCAGGGCCGGCGTTCTTCATTTGCTGGGCGAAAGCCTCGTACCGGCGGATCTCGACGTCACCAACCGACTTGCGGGCCATCTGCATAGCCTCCTCGAAGTGGCGCTTGGTAAGCTCGGGAACGGGGTCCTCGACATCTTCCTCGTCCACATCCATGTCATCACCAGCAGCCTCGCGCTCCTTGGTGCGGACAATGTCGGCGTCGATAGCCTCCTTGATGGCAATCTTGGCAGCACGCTGGGTGATGAAGCCAAGATCAGCACCAGAGAAACCGTGGGTCTTGGATGCAATGAATCTGAGATCGACATCCTTGGCCACAGGGGTCTTGCGAAGCTGAGCCGACAGAATTCCCAGACGGCCCTCCTCGTCAGGCAGAGGAACGTAGATCAGAGAGTCAAGACGACCGGGACGGCAAAGGGCGGGGTCAAGCTGCTCAGGTCTGTTGGTGGCACCGATGACGAACACGTTCTTCTTGGAGGTCATTCCGTCCATTTCTACTTCACGTTAGAACGCTGCACACCTATCATTCATACGAAGGAATAACTTACCAGTCAGAAGCTGGTTGACAACACGGTCGGAGGCACCACCGGCGTCACCGACGGAGCCACCACGGGCCTTGGCAATGGAATCCAACTCATCCAGGAAGACAATGCAAGGAGCGGCAGCACGGGCCTTGTCGAAGATGTCACGAATGTTGCTTTCCGACTCACCGAACCACATGCTCAGCAATTCGGGACCCTTGACGGAGATGAAGTTGGCAGCGCACTCATTGGCAACGGCCTTGGCCAACATAGTCTTACCCGTACCCGGAGGACCATAGAACAGGACACCACGAGAAGGCGAAAGACCGAACTTGAGGAACTTCTCCGGGTGGTCGACGGGGTACTGGACCTGCTCCTTGAGCTCCTGCTTGACGGTGTCGAGACCACCAATGTCCTCCCACCGAACGTTGGGAACTTCGACAACAGCAACCTCGCGAAGAGCCGAGGGGTTGGAGGTGCCGAGGGCGAATCTGAAGTTCTCCATGGTGACGCCCAGCGAGTCCAAAACCTCGGCATCGATAGTGTCCTCGTCCAGATCGATGAGGTCCATCTTTTCACGGATCTGTTGCATGGCAGCCTCCGAGCAAAGAGCAGCAACGTCGGAACCGACGTAACCGTGGGTCTCGGCAGCGATCTGCTCCAAGTCGACGTCATCACCAAGCTTCATGTTCTTGGTGTGGATCTGGAGAATCTCAAGACGGCCGGTCGGGTCGGGGACACCAATGTCGACCTCACGATCGAAACGACCGAAACGACGCAGGGCAGGATCGATGGAGTTGGGGCGGTTGGTGGCGGCCATGACGACGACGTTGGATCGGGCCTTCATGCCATCCATGAGGGTGAGCAGCTGGGAGACGACACGGCGCTCGACCTCACCGTTGGTCTTCTCACGCTTGGGGGCGATGGAGTCGATCTCATCAATGAAGATGATGGCGGGCGAGTTCTTCTCAGCCTCCTCGAAGGCCTTTCGCAGGTTCGACTCGGACTCACCGGCCATCTTGGACATGATCTCGGGGCCGTTGATCAGGAAGAAGAAGGCACCGGTCTCGTTGGCAACAGCTCGGGCCATGAGAGTCTTACCGGTACCGGGAGGACCGTAGAGGAGGACACCACGGGGCGGCTTGATACCGATAGACTTGAACAGCTGAGGATGGCGCAGGGGCAGCTCCACCATCTCACGGATCTGGGCCATCTGCTTGCGGCAGCCACCGATGTCGTCGTAGCCGACCTCGTTGAGGTTGTTCTCCTCATCCTCACGCTGGATGGGCTCTCCCTCGCAGTGAATGACGGTGTCTTGGGCGACGATGCCGTACTCGGGGGGGTCCACCTCAACCACCTTGAACTCGACTTGCCTCATACCACCGCGGACGATGAAGAGATCGCCCTGGCGTACGGGCCGGTAAGCCTCTCTGAAGTAGGGTGCGAGGAAAACATCGAAGAGCGAGCCGGTGAGGCCCTCGACTGTGTCGGCAATCGGCAGGACGGCGATTCTCTTGGCCTGGATTTGGGGTCAGCGGTGCTTGATCATGGCGACAGCAAACATGCAGCGGCACGGTCGACTGCAACAGGACAGACAGTTACTCACGTATTTGATGTCGGGGCAGGGGTGAATGGTGATAACGTCACCGTGCTTGACCCGAAGGTTGTGGCGGACGACTCGGTTGATGCGAGCGCTGCCGTCATCGAGGTCATCGTCAGCCAGAACGATCAGGACGGTGTCCTTTCTCTTCTTGCCTCGGACGAGGACTGTGTCACCGCGGAACAGCTGGAGCTGCTCCATGGTGTTGTTTGACAGGGCAATGATCGAGTTGTCATCGTTGGTGGCATCGGTAACCCTGCAGACAAACACGAGGTCAGCGACGAGCGGGCCGGGGGAGGGAGGGGGGAGCTTCGACCGCGGGAGGAACTCACATCAGCTGGTTGGGCTTCTTCTTCTTCTTGAGGATGGCGGTCGAGACATCGTGCTCCTGCTTTAGGGAAGTCAGCTTCTGCGGCGGCCACTGCGCGGTGGACGAGGCTGGGCGCCTACCTCTCGGTGCTCTGCGCCAGAGACATCGCTACAGATCAGTTAGCATGCCGAGTGACGACACAGCTGGGGGCGATGCCCCGTCGACGGTGATGGGAACTTACGCCAGGTTGACCTTCTTCTTATGCTCGGACTCGGGAGCCATGGTGACGGACTGCTGAGCGACGGGGAAGAGAGATGATGCGATCGACGTGTGTGGTGTCGAGGTGGGAAGGAAGGAAGTGGGAGCCGGGTGACCGAAGATGGGTGGATTCAGTCAAACGTCACGCCCAGGATTGCTGCCGGGTGATGTGAGCGAGAAGATGCTTTTCTCCGATCCAGCAGAAAATCGCAGAGATTTCGGTGATGGATGGAGGTGAGAGGGATAGGTTTGGTCGTCTCGGGTGTTGGGGGTGAAGAAGGTTGTGATGTGATGGAGGCGTTGTCTGGGAGGCCGGAGCTTAGGCAATCCACAGATGATGCAGTCCGTTCTAGCGGCAGCTACCACCTACCACCTCGCAAGAGCGTCAGTTACCACCTAACTAAAGTTGCCCAGGCGCCCCCCCAGGCTCCCCCCGTCTGGCAGTCAGTCGGGCCAGTCAGGCCGGAGGAAGCTCAGGCCACGGGCTGACCCACGACCCGCCCTCGTCCGCCACCACCAGCTGTGGCCAAGTGGCTTTTCGGGCATTCGAAGCTTCCAACTCCTTCCACCTGGATGAAGCCCCGGAAGCAAGGAATGGCGGCCTTATCGCCGAGAGCTGTTTGCTGACGTGCTGACTGATAAGGCTGTTGAATCGCCTCCCGAAGTGGCCCCCGGTCATGGAAACCAGTGAGAGAGAGAGAGACAACAGCTGCTGAGAGCTAGGCAGGCACGAGTACGCAATCGATCCTGGTTCGTCAGCCACACTGCGTGCTGTCCGCATACAACACTACTAGCAGTCTGCACGCCTCAGCTTTTACAGCTCTGTACCGTGAATAAGCTAGGGCGAGTGGTAGAGAGGACCTTGACGGCATTTCACTTAATTGACATCTCGCTTTTGGGTAACCAGTCCTACTGCAGTATTCGCACTGCAAGGGAACAGTCATTTGCATCACATTTTTATCTACGCCACTCCATATCTACTCCAAGTAGGCACCACCACCTTCAGCTATTCCCTACACCACTATGCCGGTGTTCCTGAGTAGGTCCTTCACAGTGATTGGCCGCCATGACTCGCCTGCATCATTAGCCGATTGGCTACTTGTCCGTGAATAAAGCAGCCCGGCGACCATGCTGTCTGCAATCATGCAGTGCTTCACCCATCGGTAACGTATACTTCTTCGATACGAAATGGCCAATATTTTGAATAATCTGCCTATGAATGCTGTGGCCGTAGCCTCGCTGCATCGACACGGCGACTGTGTCTTCGTGTAATTTGAGGTAGCCTGCGGTAATACTACTGATCGGCTGGTGTCAGCTCCGGGCATGTTAGACGGACGAGTATCCGGAAAGGTCCTAAAAGGTCTTCTCTTATCTAACTACAATTAATTGCCTTAACATTAGAGACTGCCCAGCAGCGCTTGAGCCATACCGCCTCTGAATATTGTTTGAATCAAAAGCATATAGCTCTGTTCACTTGTTCTTCATCTCCGGCTTCCATCAGACGACCCCTGGGTCGTATCATCCTTGAGATACAAGGTGGCCACCTTATAGAAACAGAAAACATACTCTTGTGCCTGCATCGCGGTCTGAGGGGGGTTGACATGCACAGAGACAAACTGCGGCGTGCATGGTGTTTACAATACGCCATGTATAGATGGGTTCAGCTTTCCCTTGCTTCGTGCTACGGGGGCTTCTGCTGCATCTGTTAAGCAACCAAGCAAAGCCTGTGCAGCTTGTCATGCGACCACTGGTGGTGCCTGGGCTCTCTGCTATGGCTTCCCGGGCGCCCCTAAAGAGCCATACGAAGTGGCTTCATACCGAGTTTAGGGGCTCCAATGAACCTAGCATTTTACTTGGCCTTGATCTTCAGTTTCTCCTCTCGAAAAGAGTTGCTGGTTCCATGGAATAGCTGCCAGTGGAATGGGCACTGGCCAGGAACTTTGAACATGAGGCACGGCAACCCATCGTCCGCGATATCATGCGCGTTCTGGAGGCCAATGTTTTCACCAAAGACGTATGGTTGGTCTCGTGGGGAATCATGTATACTCGAAGAGCGACCAGATCTAAATACTGTCGGGGGCATCTTATCTATCATCGTACTGCCTTCAGGCACCAAAGCATGACAACCATCTCGTAATGTCGTATGGCCCAACCAAAGGGTTGTCCGCGTAGATAACCAATGAAACACGAGGAATCAAGAGGAACTTTGTTTTTGTTGTTGTTGCAGAAACCAACGCAACCTCGCCATCTTCCAACCAAACAGGGGGTCCTAGTGGGCCATCACCTGCTGAGCCGCCTTGCCGTCGGTGGCGGGCTTGTCGTCGACCTCCATAGCGTCGTCGCCCTCCTCGACAGCCTCGCCCTCGCCCTCCTCCTCCTCCAGCTCGTCTTCGCTCTCGTTCTCCAGGTCGACACTGCCGTCCTCGGACATCTCATCCTCCTCAGCAGGCTCGGCGGCCTCGTCGATGCCGCCCATCTCGGCATCTCCGCCCACGGCTGCCGCAGCCGAGGCCTCGCCATTGGCCTCGGTGTCGACGGCAGCATCCTCGCCGTCCTCCTCGGCCAGCTCGTCGGCGCCATATTCTTCGTCGTCCGGCTGAGCATCGGCCTCGGGCTGCTCCGGCGGGAACTCGGCAGGTGCAGTGGCCTCGGAATCCCACTTGATGGCAAAGCGCGTGACTCTGGGCTTGTCGGCGAGGACATTGCGGCGGATCTTCTCGATGATGGGCTTGGCCGGGGGGTCGGCGGCCAGCTCCTCCGACTCGTACTCGTTGTTGACATAGTAGCCGACACGGACGAACTCACGGCCATCGTAGGCGCAGGTCAGGAGGACGACAGTAACGCCCAGGACATCAGCATCGGGGATGCGCTTCGTGTCGGGTGCGTCGGCCTCGAAGATGAACTTGTTGACGCCGACGGGAATGGGGCCGACGAGGAGGGAGTCGAGCTCCTGGTCATACTGGTCTCTGCAGGAAGAAGGTTAGATCGGGGTTGCTGCGGGTCCCTGTGGTTCGTGGAGGGCAAGGGCAAGGCTCACGAAGTAGCGGATCCGACATAGGTGAGCTTCCACTCGAGATCTAGAGAGACAGAAGGGTAAGCAGCTAGGCGGGGCGCGTGGGTGGTGGGATCTCCTCACCCTTCTCCAGGGGCTCGAGACACTCGAAGGTGATCTCGAGGTCGTACTTGTCGGTGAACTTGGCGGGGTTGTTGAGGACGTTGACGCCCAGGAGAGAGACGACCGACATGGTGAGATGTTTGCGGTGAAGCGGCGCCTCTGCGATGTGGATGAGTGCGCGTGGTGAAGATGGGATGCGACGGTGAGGGTGGCGTTCGCAAGGCGAAGAGCGGGATGGGCCTCGTCGAAACGCGACGGAGGGGAGAAAGGCCGGAGGGCAGAAGGGCTTTTGTGCTTGTGCTTGTGCTTGTGCTTGTGCTTGTTTCAATGCTGCGTGACGCGAGAGATGAGAGATGAGAGATGGGCAGTGGTCAGGCGGTGGTGGCAGGCCAGGAGCGTAGGTTCAAGTTATTATTATTGACATTGGCCGTTGGTGGGTCCCTGGTCTTGGGGAGAGGAGGGTGGGCTGGGATTGTGGGACGCGACTTTCTCGCCAGGCGCGTCCGCGTAGAGTGGTTGCAGCCAGGGGCCCGTCTGAAGAGAGGAGGAGGTGAACAAGGCACACCACCCAGCACCAGAGGAGGACTCGAGGCGCGAGTCCAAGCTGCCCGCCGCACCTTTGACACCCAGGCACCCAGACACCCAGACACCCTGCGCAAATGACCCGCGTTACCCAGACCCCAACCTTGGAAGCTCTCCACGAGTGTACATGCCTCCTCACCTGATATATAACTAATGTGAATTCGACAGAATTATTCGACATACAACAGCGCAGCCGTGCAGTAGCAGTAGCAGTAGCAGCAAATCCGTGCGCCATGTGTTCCGTTGCTGTTCCTTATTGTGCAAGCCATCTTCAACGCGCGCATGCATGCATGCATTGTATAAAAATCGTCATCGTCGTTCACGACAGGAAATGGACAACATCCGGATTAACTGTGCGGCCAACTCCAGTGCACCACCAGTGCCCTTGGCGGGACACCCGACCCTGCGTTTCTAGCGGGAGGCTGGCTGCCCTGTTGGCTGGCTGGCTGGTTGGCTGGTTGGCTGGCTGTGGCCCGAGCTGTGACAAGCTTCGGCAGCTTAGCGCCCGTGCCATCCTTGTCCTGTTTTCTGAAAACGCTTCCGCTTCCTGGCAGGCTGTCGCATCATTCCTCAACTGCGAAAAGCTCCCGAGCTGCCTTCATCCTCACCACCCTCTCGCAGCTCACGCGACGACCGCCTTTCCTCCTTCGCCTCCGAGATCGTCGCCGGAAGCGCAACCTTCACCACTGCGGATCGTATGCGTAGCCTTCGCGATCCCCCCCAACGCCGCACCTCGTTGCCCTGTGTCGACTGACCCTGCTCTCGCTGTCCGTCAGCCCACCCCAACCTGCTCCGATGCGACGGCCATAACTCTCTGCTGCCGACGAAGCTCTTCCCAGCCTGGACCTTGCCGTCTTGCCTTCTCTTGATTAGTCTTGCCGCCCTCTCCCCCCATACGTGCCCGCTGCTGCTCGGCGATCCCGCCTTTGTCAAGTCGGACCTCACTTGTGACAGGCTTGCTCGGCCCTTGCCATTGGCACCTGCGGCTACCCGCCCCCTCGCCGACGCAGTCGACCTCCCATACACGCCTCCCTCTTCCTGCACATCATGGCTTCTGAAAGCCCCCACGATGCGGCTGCCCAGCAGGGTGACGCCGCCAATGATTCTTGGGCCGGAGATGGTGGATTTGGAGCTGAGGACACCCATACTGAACAGTATAGCCTTCAACAAACAGAAGAACCTACCACTGCTTATGACCCAGCTCACATTGCGTCTGGTGATTTCCCTGCAGAAGAACAAGAACAAGAACAAGAAGAACAAGAAGAAGCTGATGACTCTGATTCTGGTGAATACGATCCCGAGTCTGTCATCATAACCACCACAGCTGCTCCCGCTCCCGCTCCCGCTCCCGAGCCCGCGCCTGCCCCCGCTGCCTCCGCTGAGCCCGAGCCGAAGCCAGCTTCTACCTCCTCCCCACGCCCATCCAAGAAGCCCAAGAAGGCGGGTGGGTTCATAGTTGGATCCTCGGACGATGAGGATGATTCTCCTGCACCGCGTTCGGCATCGGCCTCGGTGTCTACACCGTCTGCACTTCAGCCCCCTCCCCCTGCTGCCGGTGCTCCTGCTGCGTCTGCGGTTGCGGCTGTTGATGGCCAGTCTCGTGCATTCACCCATTCGCCGCTTCACCAAGTCACCATGTCCCAACCCGTTGCGTCTGCCGCTCAAGTGAGCAATGGGCAGGGTAATGTGCCTGTGCCTGTCGATACAGTTGGTCTGCTGGAGGAGCGCCTGAAGAACGATCCTCGTGGGGACATGGATGCTTGGCTAGCCTTGATCGACGAAACCCGCAGACGTAACATGATCCAGGATTCCCGAGCCGTCTATGAGCGGTTTCTCCAGGCCTTCCCCCAGTCGGTAAGCTAGATCAATCCTGGAAACTGTTGTCATGCATACTCACCCATCACAGGCCGAGATCTGGGTTCAGTACCTGGAAATGGAGCTCAGTCTCGACAACTTTGCCGAAGCCGAGGGCATCTTCCAGCGGACCTTGACAACCATAGTTGACGTCCAGCTGTGGATTGCCTATCTGGACTACGTGCGTCGACGGAACGATACCAACGAGGCCACCGGCGCCGCGCGGCAGACCGTGAACGCGGCTTTCGAGTTCGTGCTGGACAACATCGGCCAGGATCGCAATGCTGGCCGCATCTGGCACGAATACGTACAGTTCATCAAGTCCGGCCCTGGACAGCTTGGAGGCAGCAGCTGGCAGGATATGCAGAAGATGGACGTCTTGCGAAAAGCATACCAGCGCGCCATCTGCATTCCGATCTCTAATCTTAATGTGCTATGGAAGGAGTATGACCAGTTCGAACTGAACCTGAACAAGGTCGCAGTACGTCTCAGTGCCCCCTTTACTTCCCAAGCCAGAGCTAACCTAGAACAGGGCCGCAAATTTCTACAGGAGCGCTCTCCGTCTTACATGCAGGCTCGAAGCGCAAACACACAGCTAGACACCATCACCAGAGGCTTGCAGCGGTCGACTCTGCCTCGCCTCCCCCCCGCCCCTGGCTTTGACGGAGACCAGGAGTACCTCGAGCAGGTCGAGATATGGAAGAAGTGGATAGCCTGGGAGAAGGACGACCCGCTAGTTCTCCAGGCCGATGAACCAGAGACGTACAAATCACGAATCATCTATGTCTACAAGCAGGCTCTGATGGCTCTCCGCTTTTGGCCCGAGCTATGGGTTGAGGCCGCAGAGTGGTGCTTCGATGAGAAGATCCTCACCAAGGACGGCCAAGACCAAGGTCTCCTCTTTTTGACTGAGGGTATTGCAGCAAACCCCGAGAGCTCTCTTCTTGCTTTGAAGCACGCCGACCATGTCGAATCGACTCATCCGGCTGGAGAAGGAGACGCAGGCAAACTTGCTCTTTGCCAAGCTCTGCGTGCTCCTATCGATCAGACCCTTACTACTCTCTACGGCCTCATTAAGAAGCGGAAGGAGCAGGAGCTGGCGGCCGTCAAGTCTATCGAGAACGATCCCAGTTTCGCAAGTACAGATGCCGATGATGAAGACGACGGAGAGATTGGCGAAAGAGGCTCCAAGGACGATCCAAGAAAGGAGCGCATCAAGGCCGTTCAGCATGGTTTTGCCGTGCAGATCCAGATGCTCAAGCAACAGATCTCCTATCTCTGGATTGCCCTTGCCCGCGCATACCGCCGCATCCAGGGACAAGGCAAGGCCGGCGGCCGTGACGCCCCTTCTACTGGAGTTCGTGCCATCTTCACTGAGGCCCGTCAGCGAGGCCAGTTGACCAGTGACGTCTACGTGGCCATCGCACATATCGAGTGGGACATATACCAGGACCCTGTGGCCACCAAGATCTTTGAGCGAGGGGCCAAGCTGTTCCCAGAGGACGAGTCTTTCATTGTAGCTTACCTCAAGCACCTGCACTCCCGCCACGACACAACTAGTAGGTGCCCACTCTCAGCCTTTCCCCTCTAACTCGCCTGCTAACCATGCCATCAGACGCCCGCGTTGTCTTCTCCCAATCGGTCAAGAAATTCAAGGAGAAGCCTGAGCTGCTGCCGAAATTGAAGCCTCTCTACGCATATTTCCATGGCTACGAAGCGAAATTCGGCGAGCTTGCACAGATTAAAGAATTGGAGAAGCAGATGGCAGAAAGTTTTCCTGAGGACCCAAAGCTAGTCCACTTCGCTGCGCGGTTCTCGTCGGATGGATTCAACCCCATCACCGCCAGAGTCATCATCTCCCCTGCTGCCCAGATGCGGCCTAAGCACATTATGCAATCCGTGGAACAGGTATCAACCTCGACACGGGCGAGTCCTCATCCATCCACTATGGTGGACCGCAGCCCCCGTCCTCAGTACTTGCAGGCTGTGAACTCTCCGAAGCGACCGTTCCAGGCCGACGACCAAGATGATTTCAACCCACCCAAGAGGCTTGCGCGCGGTGCTTCACCCCTCAAGGGTGCAGCTGGACGGCGTCTTGACCAGCAGCGTAGGGCAGCCCAAGGTCAAGGAGTCACGACGTACAGCAGCGCACCTGCCCCCATCTCCCGGGACATCACATTCTTGATAGGTCTCATACCGCCGACCTATCAGTACGACGCCCCGCGCTACAAGGCAGATAGTCTCGTTCGCATATTAAGAGAGGCTACTGTGCCTGACTACAATGACTGGAAATCCGCCCAAAATCAAGGTCTCCGTCAACCCCAGCAGATTCCTGGTGGTCGAAACAGTCCATTCGTGGGTGGTGGTTTTGCAGCACCTCCCTCTTATGGCACACCAGATCCGGCTGCTGCTTATCCCCCGCAGATGCAGAACTTCCAGTCGACACTTCCTCAACACTACGGTTATCCATATGGATCTGGACAATAGCGCAGCCCAGCTAGTCTTTGGTAGTGCTAGACGCGTCAAGTTCGCGTCGAATGCAGAAGTCAATCCCCGCCCACAGTCCATAACTTACCAAGGCCCCCGACTTTAAGACGGTTATGCCAGGGAGCACGGTCGGATCTCTGCCCTGCTCCCTGATGAAGGAAGACATCTAGACGAACCATCTGCATCGGTCGAAACCAAATTTCTCGGGAGGATGGCGGTATCCGCCGTCACCTATAGTCCAGTTCCCAATGAAGGATGCTGGACTTTGGCACTGCGATTGAGCGGCGTAGTCTGAGGATGGCCCCTGGTATATTACGAAATTATTCACATCCGGCCCAACTTTAGGCACTCCGCAGAGATTTGGGCATCAGCAGTACCCACGTTGGCTGCAACTCGCACGTGTCAGGGTCTCAACTGATGAGAAATTCGGCGCTTTGGGTCCCTGAGCCATGACTGCGCCCATGCATACTTTCAACGTTAGGATGAGCCAACGAGTGCATACTGGGGATGTATTTCACATCGTGAATGGGATGGAAGGCTCCAGGTTGATTACAGACCCAATCAGCAGGACGCCAGAAGGAAATCCAAAAGGCCGGGTTGTCCATAGCACTTGTATCCGTAGTTACTGAGTGCCCATATAGCTAATACAGCTCGCACCATTGGCGATTCCCTTCCCGATCTTGTTTGACGTCCACCGAGGCTCCATATTCCTCGTGAACAAGTCTACCACACCTGGTGCCAGCGACGGTATGCCCACAACCAGTATCTCACTTGTAGGTGGCCGGAGAAACCATCATGAGCCTTTGGTGAGGCGACCCCAACGCAGCGGCGGCGACGCCCATGTCTCGTCCGCGCTGGGGCCGTCTGAGACTGGGCTCGTCGATTCGTAGATAAATGAGCTATACGTATTTTCTTTGTGTTATTGTGGAGATGGATATGGCAAGTAACTGTGCTAGGATGACGCAGCGTATATATATGTGTCTTCGTGGTATTCGCCCTCCAGTATTCGCTCTTTCGTTGTACGGGGGCCTTCGGGGCCAATGTTCTCGCCATATAGACTGCGGGCGTCACCGGGTTTTTGTACGCTTGCCCATGGACTCTTTTCGTGTCAGAGCTGGCCGGTTTCACTCTTTCGACCCATGGGAACCTCTGTTCGGCAGGGTTCTCCAGCCCGTGGTGATGCCACACGCAGTCCTCGAACCCATCGTTAGGCCTAGAAAGCCGTTCTCTGAGGTCCTGGCCGTTGAATGCCCCGCCAGGCGCACCCGTCTTTGGGCCCCTCCTCTTTACACCAAGCCTCGGATCCCGCGTCCTGGCAGTTCGGGCTGCTATCTTGTGACAGCTTTTACTTTAAGTGAAGGGCTAAAGGCTCTTGATGCTCGTCGTCATCGTTTTCGCTGTCGTCGTGTGCGGCGGTCGGTAGGGTGCTCGTGGGCTGTCTCGGCGTGGACGCGTCGGCGTCGAAAACTTGGTCCTTAGGTTCAATACCTAGATAAACTTCAGTGTTTTCACTTGCAAACCTCAACAAACTTATTCTGGATCTGTCACAGAAAACTTATCCCAGGTAGGATGTTTGGTAGTTCAGCCCCGTCCCTTGGACCAGACTTTCACCTTTTAGAGCACTGGATTCCGATGCTACTATACTTCTGCACTGATCTTGATGAGTTGTATGTCACAGAGAAATCGCCTTGTTACGTATGTTTCGGTCACTCAGGATATTGATTCTCCATCTTCATGTCTGTTAGGATCCTGCCAGCGAATAGTAGCCTTGGAGCTGTCCAATAATGAATTGTTTGTACTGTTCTTCCCTTAGAGTGCCCTCTGATAGCCTTCTTCCGTTCTAATATTATCATATCTCACGGGGCGGAAAGTTGATCGACGAGCGGTGAGCCGATGTTATATTCTCATACGCGTGAAACTCATCTTCCGTGTGAGCATATCTTGGTGAAGTATGATCCCCCTTGTGTGGTATCTCGGATAGCTACAGAATGTACTCTCCCACGTCATCTGCGTAGTATCTGGTTCTCCCAAACCCTTTCCCTCAAACACAAGGCTCGCTATCGTCTTCGGTTCTTGATAGCTCAGTAATTGTTATTCTGTGTCTGATTCTTCCGGGACTTCCGAGCCCGTTGGCTGGTTTCGGTTGCGCGACATCTGAGCAGCCACCCTGTCGGCACAGGAGGGGAGATACCGTCCATCTGAGAGATCAGCTCTTCCTCGACGCTTCTCTGAAGTCAACTATTTCTCGTGAATTGAGTAGATGTCAGTCCTATTTGCAGCTTCGATTCGTCCAATGGCATCCTGCTTTCAACTTGGTCAGTAACTCCCTTGAGAAATGGCTGATACTGACGTCCCTCCCCTGACCTTCCCGCCTCGGAAGACACCATCAGCCCCGAATGTAGAGTAGCTGTCTGCAGAAGAAAGCTTATAACCCTGATCCTATCCTTGGTATTTAACCCCCGGCTGCCTCGCTGCCGCTTCCACCATCGTCTCGTGAGAGTTCTGAACCGCACGGGGCCTTCGAGTGCCGATTCCTTGCCGGTCCGCAGGTGCTCCTCTCGTACCTATTGTAAATGCCTTTTTCCGGTTCCCCGTTCAAGTGTTTGTCTGCTCTCAGGTAGATTCATACTGCACCGACCGCGATATTTGTCGATATTGGTTGACAGTCTCCCTTCTCATCTCGGGGGTGGCGTTCTGGGTCGGACTGGGGATCCTTGCTGCTGAGCGGCATGTCGGACGGAAAGGTTCAGTCTCTTCTTGGTCGAATCTTCAGCCGCGCTTCCTCGGGTCGGGCAAAATCTCGTCTAGTTCACCTTCCACTCAGATCCGGCCATCAGCAAAACAACTTGGGTGGTGAAGGTGACGTTTCTGCCCACCATGCCCCAACCCACACTGCTACGCTGAGCTAATGTAACCGGGCAAGGAACAGTTGGCTACGAGTACCCTCGACGATGCTGCTGTGAGCCCAACCATCATCCTTTTGTGGGAATTTGACGGTATTCCGGGATCAAAGTACGAGGTCAGGGCTTTGTCCCTGTCTCGAGTCCAAAGGAAATACAATGATCATCACGAACAGAGTAGCTACTACACGGCAGAGCCTCACAAAAAGATTTGGTCTTATGCCTCATCTTCTGGTGCTTTGGGTAATGTGTTCGCTTCTCGGGCCTGCTCTCACGCCGGTAGTACTGCTCTTCACGATATCTCACCGGTGTTGTTCTCGTTCAGCATCACGATGCTGGTGTAATCACAGTCCGTTTATGAGTACTCCAACAAGGATCTTTCTGCAGAATACTACGGTATACATGATCTTTCAACAGCTCTATGGCCTTTAGTAGGAACGACACTCGCTGCGTACACATGGATTGGGGGACTTTGACATCCCCGAATGCATGACTAGCTACATATTCAGGAGGGTTTGGTGGGAATACTGTCGAGGCAACCCGCTCGTAAGGCTTGGGGGGTCAACATATGTGATCACGGGTTAGAGAAATGTTCATGCATCAAAACTTCGATTTCGAACATCAACTATATATGCAATAATTTGGACCTTTGTCCATTACCTTAAGCGTTCTCACTGTCGTGTGAACCTCGGTGATGATCTCAGAGGCATCCAAGATTCTTGGTGTGCCTCCCAAGAGTTTCCACTTCCAGTAGCTCCTTCCCGTGAACGTAGTGGGCAGTGATATCGTCCATACTGAGCCCAAGCAGCTCCTATCCCACGCGACCAACTGTGCCTCCACTCCCCTCCCAGAAAGCCACTCATCACTGCCGAACATTCAGCACTGTCATCAGCATCGACGGCGCGCTATATTGACCGAGGGACGCGAGTGAACTCATCGTCAGGCAGACGACGATACTGCCGCTGTTTTTCGCCTTCAGTGTTTGCCAGCTTTCTACTTAAGCCCACCTCCCATCCCACCAAATCTGATTCTCTCCTCCCTTCTACATGACCAACCACAATCTCAGCCCACTGGCCTGAGATCTGGTTTCCATCCACAATCTCAGCCCACTGGCCTGAGATCTGGTTTCCATCCACAATCTCCATCAGGTCACCCATCAATCAACAATTGGTAAGTCAAGACTGCTGGTCGTTTGGGTTCTATTTAAACGCTCGTCTCTCTCCTCTCCTGCGTCTCCCCTTCTTTTCATCCATAACATCACTGCCAACCTTTCACATCCATCCCCACCAAACATCCATCACCACGCAACTTCCTGAACGGCCCATCAAGCAAAGGTAAGACTGCGAAGAAGCCCTACAAGTTTGTTGATCTCGTCACGAGAATCATCAACAAACTCAGTGCCTACTCCTTGCATCTGTGTTCTCCCTCATCCTCGGCAGCCGAAAATATTTCAGCTGCCTTCATCCACCCATCACATCATTCACCTCCTACACCCATCACCAGATCGAGAACATCTCGTCATACAAGGTAGCCACCATCACCTCGGTCCCTATCTATCTCCAGCACAGTTACCTCTCTCTCTGTAACATCCATCTTACCACACTGAGATTTCCGTCCCCCGAGCAAGCCTTCTTTGCGACTCCTCTCCTCTCTCTCCCTCCCCATCAACACAGCTGAACGTCTGTACTAACAGTCATCTCAGGTACGTGACAGCCGAGATTTCCTCTCAGGGGACTTGTCTTCTCCGACTGCTCTGCACTCCATCAGTACAAACCTCCCCCAGCCAAACGTGCCCTCTCTTCTTATCGCAACAAACATCATACATCATTCATCATCATAACGGCAAACACGTTGTCTTCTCCAGGTAGGTCAATTTCCTTGAAAGAGCTTCATCCATCTGTACGCCTTTGAGGGTTATACTGGATATCTCTTTGAGTCTCACCCTGCCTCCTGCTTGGAAACCGCCTCTCTCCTACGTTCCCTCCTTCACATCCAACATTTTACACACGAACCAACTCAACATCCTCCACCACTAAGGTAAGCATCATTTCCTCATCCATCTACCACGAACTTCATTGAGCAAGGTTGAGCCATTCCGATCATGGTCACCTTGCGACCACACAATCCCGCGTTCCTGACTGTACTTGTTGCGAGTGCTGGGTGTTGGTAATTAAGATCAGATGCCTACTTCCATGACTACAACTTACTTGTCTCGCGATCTGTCTGTCTGTCCGTCTGTCCGCCTTTCTCTCTGTCAATCTCTTCACCCAAACCCTTCATGCTTGATACCTCAGCTCCTCAACAATACAACGCTCCTCCTTTCTCCTACATCACAAGTCGCCTCCACCTAACCCTCGTTCTACATTCTCCTCTCAGCGCAGTACTGACGTATCCTCACTGCAGGCACTCCCATTCGTCATCTTACTTCTGCGCTACCTCGCACCTGACCTGTCACCCAATAGCTTACGAACTATTTGGCTAACTGACCGGCAGATATCTAACATCCACCCTCAGAGTTTATTGAGACCTGATTGCACATCACCTCATCACGCCAACGATCTGGTAAGTACCGCCTCGTTGACAAGAAAACAGGCTGTTGCTCCTGTTATATCATCATACCCCGCTGGAACTATATCTAGCCCTTCTTCTCCCGGGATACTACATCTCTGCTCCCCTCGAAATGTGTTTTAGTTGCCACTTGCGCACCACTGGAGACGATTTTTTCACTCTACTACCAGTCACTACCACCATTCAGACACTTCTCACCTTCACATCTCGTCATTTTATGCCCATCAGCACTTTCATTCTACTACGCCAGAAGTCCTTCTTTTCTACCTTTCATCACCGACCCTCAGTAGGATCAACTGGCAACCTAGACTAACACCTCGGTCTCAGGACGAGACATCATGTCTTCCCAGCAAGGTCCCGGACCTCGCCACGCCGCTGTCCAGCGCGTCGCAGGCATGGGGTTTGATGGGGCTTCAGACCGACCTGGTGGTCCCGGTGGTTCCTCGCACCGAGGCTCGCAGCGCGGTAGCATCAGCGGTATTCAGTCTGGCGGTTCTCAAGCGGGCGGCTCTCAGGCTGGCAGCCCCAGCCGCTCCCGTGCTGGCAGCAATGCTGGTGGCAGCCAAGCTGGCGGTTCTCAAGCGGGCTCTGCTGCGGGTCCAGGTCCTTTCCATAAGGGTACGGGAAAAGACCCTGCATTCGACCCGAATGACCCGCGTCCGTCGAGACCCACGATCTCCGACACAGAGTTAGTCGGAAAGCGTGTGGATCTTCCCCCAGAGGCATTCAGATCCGTAAGTTCTTACCATGTTGCCCCATTTACTAAGCATGACACAAATCGACTTTAATGCTAACTTGTACTAGGAAACCGGCGGTACAAGGTTCGCTGTACGCCCAGGAATGAACACTGAGGGCAAGCCGATCCAGGTATACCTCAACTGCTTTCCTGTAACGGCTGTTCCCAATGCAGACATTTATCAGTATGATGTAAGTCAAACTTTTGAATTTCCAATAGCTTTATATGCTGATACTTTTTTCAGATCAATGTCACCCCCAATCCGAAAGACTCCCGTGCCCTGGTCAAGAAGGTTTGGATGTCCAATGCTGTGCAGACTTGGCTTGCAAAGACGGGAGCGAAGTGGCTGTTTGACGGCTCTAAGCTTGCTTGGTGCGTTCTTATCCCTATTGGTCTGATATTAATTCGTCTAACTTGATGATCAGGAGCAACAAGCCGATCCCTCGTAACGAGCACCGACAAGCTGTCGACCTGGACACTGAAGCTGGTAAACCCCAGACGGGCAGACAAGGCATCTACTACGTCCAGATTCGACAGTCTTCTACTGTTCGCATGGCGTATCTTCAGAAGTACCTTGAGAAGAAGGCTGACTGGGACAACCATGTTCTTGAGTGCATGAGTAAGTGACCTTCTGATAGATTGTCCACTCGAGACTAACGCTTTGTAGATTTTCTTGATCATTTGATGCGACAATGGCCAAGTGAGCAGATGATGACCATCAAACGGAATTTCTATCCTCGTGATGGTGTGGAGATGCAGCTTGATCCCATGGTCGGCGTTCGCAAGGGCGTATATTCTGCATTCCGACTCGGTGATGTATGTTCCTAAACTCCTTCTTTCCATGCCGGTTATACATCGAAATCGTACTAATTGTGATCATAGACTACTAGTGGCAGTATCTCGAGAGGCCTCGTACTCAACGTCGACGTCGCGAACACGGCTTTCTGGATCCAAGAGCAGACCCTTGCCAGGGTTGCCCAGTGGCTGTTGAGCCCACACCATTCCCGAAACTGGGAAGCTTCTATGCCATTTGGGAAGGTAGCCGATTTGCTCCGCCCGGTCGAGACCAAAGACAAGTCGGGCAATCTTGACTATGTGCAATCCGAAGGTTTCAAGAAGATCAAGCGCATTGAACGGCTCCGGATCCACATCACACATCGCGGCAAAGAGCAGAATCCGAGAGCATACAAAGTCAAGAGGGTCATCTTCGACAAGAAGTATGGCCAAAAGGGTGGTGACTCCTATAATGTCACGTTTGCCGCCAAGAACAAGAAGACGGGCGAGTTTGCTGCTCCCATCTCTATCTACGACTACTGGAAGAAGAAGTACGGTCGCCTTGGTTATCCCGACTTGCCAATCATCGAGACCGAGCGGGATGGTCTCTTCCCGATGGAGGTCTGCAAGCTGGACAACTTCCAGCGATATGCCTACAAGCTGGATCCCGAGCAGACATCTGCGATGATCAAGATTGCCGTCAGCCGACCCAACATACGCAAGACGGAGATCATGAAAGGTGTCGGCCAGCTCAAATGGAATCAGGACCCATACTTCAGGGAGTACGGCATCAAGGTCAACAGCGAGATGCTACTCTCTAACGCTCGCCTCCTCAAAAACCCGGAGATTCACTTCGGTGGTGGAGCTAAGCTCAACCCTGGCATGGCTGGCCGATGGGATCTCCGCGGCAAGAAATTCATCGAGCCCAACCCCCGACCGCTTGTATCCTGGGGTTTCATCGGCTGCGGTGCGAATGATGGCCAGGCAGTCGAGAAGGCGGCACTGAGCGCCTTTGCCTCCAATTTCTGTCGCATATACAAGGGTCACGGAGGTATCATCGGCAAAGACCCGTTCGTCGAGGTCTATCCATTCAGTGTCACGTACCCAGAGATGTGCACCAAGGCCTATAACGACACCGGGAACTTTTGCAAGAACCGCCCCCAGATCATCTTCTTCGTCACCGGCACACGCAACCAGCTGGTCTACGAACGTCTCAAGAAGAACATGGACTGCCGCATCTGCCTCATTAGTCAGAACATGCTGGCAGACCATGTTAGAAGGAACAGCCCTCAATACTGCAGCAATGTCGCCATGAAGGTCAACGCCAAGCTGGGAGGCTCGACGTGCAAGGCCACCCCTATTGGCCAGAAGCCCAACTTCATGTACTTTCAGGTTCCGACCATGGTACTTGGTCTCGATGTCACCCATGGCGCCCCTGCCAGTGGCCAGCCGTCTATTGCTGCCTTGACCATGTCTATCGACAAGTCTGCTATGAGATACTGCTCCAACGTTCAGACCAACGGCTGGCGCACCGAGGGAGTCACAGACGCTACGATGCTTAGTCTGTTCGACAGACTCATGAAGTACTGGGTTAAGACCTTTGGTGGATGTGCCCCCAAGCACGTCTACTATTTCCGAGATGGCGTAGCAGAAGGCCAGTTCAATTATGTCCTTGAACATGAAGTCAAAACTCTGAGGCGCATCTTCCGCGACGCTGGACACGAGGCTCCCCGATTTACGGCCATTGTCGCAACCAAGCGACATCACATTCGATTCTTCCCGAAGGCGAATGATGCCTCAGCTGCAGACAAAAACAACAATCCCCTTCCTGGTACCTTGGTCGAGCATGATGCCACTCATCCCTTTCATTGGGACTTCTACTTGGCCTCGCATGTGGCCATCCAAGGCACAGCTCGCCCCGTTCATTACCATGTCATCCTGGACGAGGCCAACTGCAATGCCGACAGGCTCCAGAGCATGATCTACCACCAGTGTTATCAGTACATGAGATCGACCACCCCGGTCTCTATTCACCCGGCAATCTACTACTCGCATTTGGCAGCTGCGCGAGCGGTAGCTCATCAGGACATTGCGTCCAGCAACCGTGAGGTACCTTCAGGCAAGGCCGGCTTTCCACTTGGCAAGTCCGGCTCCGTCTATTCGGGAGCCAAGCCTCTCACTGAGGCACCTGCCTTGTTGCCCATGTCGAACCAGGGAGCGAACGCTGACCAAGTTGCGCATCTCAACACCACCATGTGGTACATCTAGGCTCGGCGTACGACACCGTGGACAACTCATGAGAGCTGTCATAGGTGGCGTTGTGGTGAGCTCCTCAGAAGCACGGACTTATCACCATTGCGTGTACGGACAGTCATCTTCATCTGTCCTAGCATCACTCTTGATTTCGGCTGACAAAGCCAACGAAACCCACATTCGACTTGCGATGGATTCACGATCCGTATTCATGATTTGGAGGGCGACTCTGAAGTAGCTACAGAAGTAGTTACACAATATACTACACTTGAGTCCCCTAATTAATATGCACATGTGAAATGACCGATTTTGTGACTTCAAACTGGCTCCTTGCTGCCTTGGATGCAATGTAACTAATTTGGGATGATTGCATTGTCTAGGTAATCCAGAACATCTCATCCAAGGTATTCGCAGAATGTCAAGCTCACTCCACAGAGACTCATCCCAATGCGTACCTTTCAACCCAAAGAAAGTAACACGTTGAGTCCCGTGTATTCAGGAGCTGAAAACTTGAAAGAAAAACCGCCAACAACCCTTTACAGAGCTTGGGCGGGTACTCATTAACGGTAACAGGTTGCCGTTCGATGGCCTCCCTCGATAACCACGATCAAGCCTCAACGCCGAGCTGAGTTTTCGCTTCACACCATTCAAATTTTGCGTCAGAGCGCGCAACTACGCCGGTGAACTACCTAGTTATGGCATGTCAGTGTCACAAGACGTACGCGTAGTTCATGGCCTTGTATTGACAAGCTAGTGTGGTCGGTCTGGGAGCAACGCTCGGTTCGAGTGTCTGCAGAATGGACGCCACTTCAGGTGCCATCTCCCAAGTCAGCCGTTCATCCGGAACTCGCAGCCAAGCTGTTAAAAGAAATGAAAGACCCACCTGTGCAGTTCATGAGGTGAAACGTCGCCCTCGCCGCCACGAGGTGTGAGCGCCACCAAAGGGAGGTATTATTCTTTGCGACTGGCTCGGGCTCTGGTGAAGATCCACAGCGGACGGTCAGATAAGTACCCAAGGATATGGGTTGTGTCCGTGTCACAAAGCTTGACCACCAAGAGGTCAGTACCCGCTGTGATATTGCTAAGATCACGCTCCCATCAGTGCGTCCGCGCCGGCATACCTATTCAAGAACTGACAGATGCATGAACGTCACACTGGGTCGCCAGATCAAGATCAGCCAGCTCTGGTTGGTGTCTATAATGTGGGTGGAAGAGTCGACTCGCGAAGATGATTGGAAAACTACTAGCAGATCGTCATGCTGCAAGGGATATTGCAGCTGTGGGAGTCGACATGAATCACAGCGGGACCCAATTTACGGAGGGTCTTGCGAGAGCTCAGACTGGAGACTCGATCTTAGATCTCCGGCAATCAAATGCCAGGTTCAATAGATCACATAATGACAGATGGAGATTCAATAGATCCGATAATGACAGCCGCCAGCTCCATCACTAACAGAAACGTTACGAGATCGTTCCTATATATTGATGGTGATCGCCACTGCATCTACCTTTCTTGAGCATTCCACTACATACTACGGCGATTAGAAGCTGGGGATGGCCAGGAACGCGCACCGTTGGAGCTGCTGGTGCCCAAGCCTGGCTCTTCTCTGTTTTCCAATAGTCTGGCCAACGGTCGAGTTGTTACAGAGGCTACATTGCTCCAAGTGCGGGAGCATAGTGTGCTTTTTTCCCGCAAGCCATGCCACAAGTCAAGCGTTAGACCGGCTCGGCCGCTTTGGTAGTTCGTAGAGAGGGTCGGTTAAACGGATGCCACACGCCAGAGCAAGCCATTTCTAACGATGTTTTGCAAAGCTGGCCCTTTAGGTTCGCAACCTAGCCCTTCTCGTCATGGTCTGAGAGTCCGGCTCCCCCACAGCGCGGGAGTTGAAGCGTGAGGCAGGTGGCCAAGCACCATTCCGGCGCTCCAGAAGAAAACACGAAGCATGCCATGATGGCTGGTTTTTCTGAGACATTGACTCTTGAGCAGAAGAAAGTTCCTACGGAAGAGGCACTGGCGGTCTTGTGAGACACTCGGTTGAGCTCACCCTTGCCACGTTTTTTTATTCCGTTCATCGGTTGGATCCCCCAGCCGCACGCACGGCTTGAGCCGCAAGCTGCCCTCTCTGTCCCCCAGGGGCCAGTCAGCCAGCCAGGTTCGTTCAGACTGAGCTGAGCTGTGACCCAAAGATCCCCCCCTGGTCGTCGTGAAATTAGATCCGGCTATCGCGACCCACTGATCAGCAGTCAAGATCTTCGATCAGGACCCAATAGTAGTATACTACTACACACGCTATTGAGCACCTGGGAACACATAGTAACTTGGAGCATTACGAAAGGGGACCCACGAATGCATCACCGTCCGAATATGCAACCACTGGCCCATGGCCCACGAAAGGGGAGATTAGGTCGCGGGTGCTTCTGTGCGGGCCACGAGGGTGTGGGTCCCGATTTGCCTTTTGCACCTGCATACTCCTGAACCGCCTTTCTGGAAGACGCAGAGCTAGCGTCGCGACAAAGCAATCAGATGTTTAGCTTTTGCTTTTCCCTTCCCATGCTGTCGTGCAGCATGCCTTTCTTCGGAGCAGCCTAGTAGCTATGGCAATTGGACCCATACCCACATGTTCTAGGTCTTAGACTTTCGCTAGTGACGATGGGGAGGGTGATGCGACACGGCTCCCACCCTCCTTCGCTGGGGAAAGCATAAGTAGTCGATCAGCCCGTCCTTTCTGCATGCCCATCCGAGTGGCTGTCTCTGATCTCTGGAACGACCGTGTTCTCGACCAAGAGCCTACCTATTCTACCAGATCGCGAGCCATGGCGGAAGTTCAGTTTTCAACCCTCGGTTGGTTCTACATTGGACTGACGGCGGCCATCACCGTGCTCCTGTTATGGGGCATGGTGTTCCTGCACCGTCACCGCCGCCTCCCGTTCCTGCAGATTCGTAGGCTCCCGGTCGTGTTCGCCGCCGTCATCAACCTCCATCTCTATGCCGCCGTCTGCATGACCGGCTACACCATCGGCCCCGTGGTGCCCTGCGATGCTCAGTTCTGGGTCATGAGCATCTACCTCCCGCTGGGCATGGCACTCCTGCAGGCTGCCAACAGTCAGTTCTTGTACGTGGCCAGCCAGCAGCGCAAGTTTGCCCGGTTCAACAACCTGGAGGACTATACCACGTTCGAGAAATGCCGCCCCGTCGACACTTCATTGCCGTGGTGGAAGCAGCAGATCGACAGAGTCAAGCGGATGGACAAGATGACACGGGTTCTGGTCTACATCGGGATTGGTATGACTATTGAGGTAAGAGAACATCCGTTGAAAGATCTGTTTACCAATATATCTTGAGGCTAACACCCGCCCCAGCTAATTCTTACCCTCATTGTGTACTTTGGAAGCGAGATGTTCCACCCCGGCTACGGATTCTTCAACGTCAAGGTGCCAGGCACCGAACAGCAGCGAGCAACACTGTGTTTCCAAGGATGGGAGTGGTATGTTGAACAGCTGCAATAATTACCTGACCGCGGAAACTAACACAATTCTTTCAGGTGGTTGTCGATTGCCTGGCAATTCTTCTGGGCTTGGATCTACGCCCCTTACATGCTCTGGAAGACTCGCAACATCCACGATACCCACGGCTGGCGCATCACCACCATCTGGTGCTGCATCGCCGGCCTTCCTGCCTCGCCGCTGTGGCTTGCCGGTCTATATTCTCCTGCCTTTACTCCTGTAAACATGAAGATGATTCCACCCCAATGGTTAGTCTCATCACTTCCATGTTCTTTTTCAATAGGCTAATATCGTACTAGGTTCTCCATCTCCATCTTCTTGATTGAAATCGCTGTCATTGGGTTCCCATGCTTGCAAGTCATCAAGACACACAACCTCAAGCAGGAGACCCTCGATGCCATCGCAGCGTGGGAGAAGCGACAGCAGGGTGGAAATGTCAACCCGGAGAAGATCTCGACAAAGAGCTCCGGGTTCACGTCAACCTTGGCCGGATCTTTCATCACTGGCAAGAGTGGCAAATCCAATGCGTCTAGCACTGCTTCCCGCGACTCGACCCTCACCATGGCTGCTCTCGAGAACGTACTCAAGAACAACCCGCAGCCGCTCCTAGAGTTTGCCGCCCTCAAGGATTTCTCCGGAGAGAACATCAGCTTCCTCTCGCACGTCTCGGACTGGAAACGCTCGTGCGCCCTGTCCAAGGACGAGCCGGGCGACCGCTACGAGCAGTTCATCAGCGCGGTCCGCATCTACTCGCACTTCGTCAGCCTGGAATACTCCGAGTTCCCCGTCAACATCTCGTCGCGCACGGGCAAGGCGCTGCACCAGACGTTCGACAAGGCGGCGCGCGAGCTCAACTCGCGGCGGACGTCGAACAACGCCTCGGCCACGCCGTTCGGCGACGCGCCCACGGACTCGTCGACGGCGGACCTGCACGCGCAGGGCGGCATGGAGCTCGAGGACACGCTTGGCAAGGCCAACCTGCAGTCGGTGACGCGTATGGCGGTGCTCGCGTCGGACGGGCAGATCGACGCCGTCATCCCGGCCGGGTTCGGCCCCGAGGCCTTTGACGACGCCGAGAAGGAGATCAAGTACCTGGTGCTCACCAACACGTGGCCCAAGTTCGTCCATGCCGGCTTCGAGAGCGCCAGCCAGGCCGAGAAGAAGGACGAGAAGCACATGCTGGACGGCGTGAGGCAGTACCTCTGTGGTATCGAGAGGATAGCCTGATGATGGCAAGGTTTCGCGCCCACGGATTTTGTGGGTGTCCGTGTGTAAGAGTTTATTCGTAATGTATTATCACTGTGATGGGATGGGGGGTTTGGGAGGATTTTGTATAAGTAGTCATCTTTTTGTGATACCAGATACCATAGTCATGGAATTTTTCCTTCTCGTCCTCGAACAACTCATACGGTTTTCTACACTTGGTGCCCCACGTGAGATGGAACCTGAATGCGTCCCGCTCCATCATACTTGAAAAAGAAAAAAAAGAACAAAGACGCGTATGCTCCCCTGGGGTTTGCGCAGCTGGTAGCCTGGGAAAGCAGTTGTACCAAACACCACTGTCGCGCTGTATCAAAACCCACTGTCGACTTTCTGTCTCTCTGTTACACGAGCTCAGGAGCAACTGGTTGTTTCTACACGACCCAGGTCATACGGTACTTTTCCAGAAGGAAAGCCATCCAATCATATCCCCAGCCTGATGTCTCCTTGGCTATTTGGTAATTTTCTACCGATACAAGGTCGGTGGCATCCCGATGTGATAAGGGTCTCTACTCTGTATGCGGGCAGTCGCTGCTCAGGGGCCTCGGGGCCGTGAGGTCGGTCAGCTTATATGCAGCTCTCCCTCGCTTACCAAGAGCATATAATAATAGAATAGAATAAGATAAAATATTATTCATACGTACAAATCCTCAATGCTGTCTTTCTCAAAGGAGACAGATGAGTTTCAGCAACTCGTTCCTCAGAGAGGTCAGGCAAGACAAGTGCTTGGAGTCGTGGTGGGGTGAGAACTCCAGCCCAAAACGACGACCCAACCCCTGGCTTTTAACCCTGGCGCCCGCAACCTCTGCCCCACATTCCGCAATCGACTTTCACCTCACCCATTTCAGCCTCGCCTCCCAAAGTTTACTTGGTTTTCAGCCTCGCCCGTATTCCAGCCCTTCGCCGTTCAATGCATAGCGCACATCTTCCAAGCTGCAGGAAGGAGTGATTCATCGCCGAATTGCTCTGTTGAAGACGCGCGGCCGTGGCGCCAATTGCTTCCTGACTTTCGTCGCTCGCCCGTGTCGTGGCCAGCAGCGGGCGCCTATTCTCACCTAGAAGGCCGACGGACGCACTGCTCGTCTAGAGCTGCAGGTGCAGGACCGGGCCAACAGCAATCTTCCGGAGTCTGGGAGTTCGCATCAGCTGCTGCCGAGCCCTTCTCTCCATCCCACGAGCTGCGGGCTGTCTCGGCGGTCCTCTCCCGATCGCTCTCTCGCGCGCATACACACAAAACACACCACCATGTCGCCTCCGCCGTCGACACCGGTAAAGGTGCCGTCCTCGGCGGCAACTTACACGCCGGCTACGCTAGACACCGACCTCAGATCGCAGATCAATTCTCTTCTGATCAAAGACGGACACATTGAAAAGTGAGCTCCCCATCCGCCAGATCGGAAAGCATTGCGCTTTTCCCTACATTGGCCGGCGGCTAACATTCTGCTCTCTGCCCCAACGCAGGATACAAGAGACCCTCCTCCACTCCCTCAACTCGCACCCCTCGAATTGGCCCACGAACGTCCAGCAACATGCACTTCAACTGCTACGGAGCGGCGAGGTCTCGACCTTCCCCGCCCTGATACGCCGCGTCCTCGAAGACGTCCGCCACGACATGCAGGCCAAGGCCGGCGACGACGCGACCAAGAACGGGACCGAAGTCAATGGGGCGACCACCAACGGCAAGTCCAAGGCCGTAAACGGGACAAGCAGCGAGAACAGCCTGGCAATACCTAGTGTCATCGTAGATGATGTGCTCAAGGTCGCCCGAGAGAGCCTCGGGGCCGTGTGTGAGATCGACGAGGCGGGGTCGTGAGGCGACGCTCTAGTCTCATCTTTGTTTCTACGGGCTCAAGGTATGGAGAGGGGTTGCATCAGCGCGATATGGGCGGTGGTAGAAGCCGTGAACAAGCCGGACCGGTCTCGTTCCCGGATCATCGCAGTGCTCCTATGCAGGGCGCCCTTCCGCGGAGAGGAACAGGGCGAGACCGGCGATGTGGCGGCGGCTGTTTCGTTTGTGACATGAAAGGCGTCCGGCGTTTTCTCGAGCAGTTTTCAAGGCGGAGGAGGCCTTCTGCTTATGTATCTTACGATCTTGTGTGCACATTTTGGCGGGTTGGGCCATTGGACATGGCCGCGGGGTGGGGGGCGAGTGGACTATATCACGGTTGAGCATGCGAGGTCAAATGGCATCCCAATAGGCTACGGCAGTTGAAAATGAAAAATGACTGCTATTTTCTCCCTTTGCTTGTGGTGTTGATGCAGTCTACGAGCGTGCTCTTCCTGTCGTGGAGAGGAAAGATTGCTGTCCTGCTGTTTTCTCTCGATATTTCATTTTCACCACTCAACCCACTTCACTTGCTGGACTTTCATAAAAGACCGTTAGGATCATTGGCTGGGGCTATTCTTGCCGTGCTATTGTCTCCCTTGTAAGTCGCTTCCAAGAGTGATGCCAACCGCTCACATTTGAGACTTATGAAATCCAGGGCTAATGTTATTAGGTCACTGGATCCATTCCGAAGCACCATTTTCTGAAGGCCCCTGGAGACAAGGTTGTATGTCTAACACATGACTTTATATTTCTGTACTTTGAAGTGTTGTATTCTCTACGACCCGAATAGTTCCTCGGCCTCGGGTCCGAAGGCAGTGGGGAACCTGTTGAGGACATGTGCGTTGGCATCCCAGACAGCATTGGTATCCAAGTCCGCCGCCTTGGAAGCCTCGCTTCTGAAGATTTCGCAGGTCACAAGATCACAAGTTTTGCATTCATTCTGGACTATGGTATTCTGCATCGGTCTTGTCATACCCGATCCGCAGGGTGCCATTCAATGATGGGCCGAGCCGCACCGAGGCGTCTTGCGATGTTGTCCCGTCTCTGTGGGGTATAGTATGCACTTGCTGGATGTAGATGATCGCCAACCCAAGGCCTTTTCATTGGATCCCTGGTACCTTGGCACAAGCCTGACGCATCTTGGTGGTTTGGACCAGGCCGCCGTTCAGCCTCGCCTATCCTGGCCCTCTCACCACCCACTAGACGGGGTTGTACCACCCCTCAGCGGCCATCCGCAGCATCGCTATGTGTTGTGGACGGATCCGGGCTGGGAAGCGTGGTGGGACACCCGGCCTGTTGGAACGGCGGACGGGGTAATATCTCTCGCTGCTTCGGTCGGTCTATCTCTTCCCGTGCCCTCATTTGCTGTACTCGAGAGGGGCCCGAAGTACTACCTGGAAGGTGGTAGGCCGCCTGTGTTTTGTGGCGGATGTCACTTGATCTGTGTACATGAAGTTTAAGCAAAGCAAATGCGTGTTGCCACCTGTTTCGAAGTTGAGGCGGGCTGCCTCGACGAATGCAGAGCCGAGTCTGCCATGGGTCAGCTCCCCGGCCATTTTTTCCTTTTTCGATAGGACGCCGTCTCTGCATGCGGTGAGTAACAAATATTACCTACGGCGATTCAGACCGAGAGCCTTCTGTGGCACTCGGGCCCGACCGACTCGCCAGATCGAAGCCCCAAGGTCACACCAGTTCATTCCAATGGACCTCAAAGAGATCGACACGACAGGCGGCCACCGCGACCCCGTGACATGGGCACCAAGACCATTATTGGTTATTGTTCCCTATGCAAGCATCCGGGAGGCGCAACGGTGTGATGTCGACGCTTGGTAATAGTCTCGCCTCGTGTGGGAGTCAAGGATCCCCAGCCGGAGAAAAATCCACCTTTTGATCGAATAATAGAGGGATATTGGCCAACATGGATCATAGGCCGAAGTTCCAATGCAGGTAAATTACTAAGTGCATATATCAAAAATAGAATACCGCCCTTGAGGAGGTTGGCTGGGCATCAGCATGGCCAGGGCACGGGCGAAAGAGGAGGCTCAGGATTCCAGACCGCAGGCGGCTCTTCGTTTCTTTTCCTCTAGAAATGGGGGGAAAAGGGATGGGTAACTGGGAAAGGGTGTGGGTGGGCTTTTTATGTACCCCATACAATAGTCGACGGAATCTGGAACCGAAGCGGGTGTCAACTGGTGAACCCCCACGGCCTTGAGCAGATCTTAGCGGCATCGCAACGGCCTGAGTAGATCTAGCCGTCCGTCTCTAACTCCCACATGGCGCCCGAGATCTAGACCAACGCTGCCTGGGCCCGTTGTCCAGATAAACAATGTTCCGGGGCCTTGGACGCTACCTCTGCTGAGCAGGTGAGGCCATGGTGACCATTCCTGGCCCGCAAGATGTTGGTTCCGAACGCGGGACGATGGACGACTGATCCATGTTCCCTCCTCTCTTTCGAGGTTCCAGGCCCGAAACAGCCTGGACCGAAGGGCGAGACCGATCTGCTTACGAGGTCGAATGCATCGTGTGAGATCTGAGAGAAACCGGACTGCGTGTCCTGGTTGCTGGGCCCTCTCGTGTTGGGAGGGCATTTGCCCGCATGAGGTGACGTGCAGCTGCAACAGGCTGAATGGGGAAGTGGATGGGCGTTGTTGGCAATTGTTCCTGTGGAGACTGCGCGTGAGTGGGCTGCAGCGCGCGAGTCTGGTTGACGACCAGCTCCTGCTGAGCAAGCTATATCATCATCTCAATTGATTGTCTACTTGAATCTGTTGAAGATGAAAAATGGTGGAGGAGGCAGCTTTGCGAAAGGAGAGGTACGGAAATGGTGCAGAATGTGAGGCTTCTCGCTAGACAAACTACAGAGCCCTTGGTGCAGAGAGAATCTCTCCAAACCAAGTCTCAATTCGCGACCCAATGGCGTGCCGGGGAAGCAAGAATAAGCACATATAGAACGTACGATTGCAATCGTGCATGATGGCGGTATGAGCAAAGAAGTGTGAGCTGACGGAGAGGGAAATTCGGAGATATCACGGCATCATATGGTGCAAGAGATACACCGGACTGACGCTCGTCTTTGAACAAATATCTGGTGCTCCGCGATGGTACTAGGCTCTTAGTTCATGTATAATATCGATATTAAATGTTAGCGGTGTGTGACGATTGATGTGCTCATCATCATTGAGGCCGGCTCGGGGTTCTTCTACTAATGTGGAAGCACATCTAAGTCTTTTTTTTATCGTCATCGTGGCCCATGAAGTAGCCATTAAGGAACACATGTACATAATAACCACGGCTCAAGACGACTGATTGTGTTATTGGGCCCTACTTTCTTATAAAACTAGTTACGGGACGTTCCGGCATCACAACGATAGTTGTCGCTGATCTATGTCTAGACTGAACGATATTTCGAGGAGCTTCCCGTAGCATCATTGTCTATGAATGAGAAGCTTTGGTCGTATGATGTTGAGACCACCCCATCTATGCAGTGCCATTGTGGGACGAATTGAATATATTGTATCTATAGTCAGGACGGACAGAAGACCTCTCTTGAAGCACCACGTATCCGATTTGAAGAACAACAATCTGTACCAAGTGCTGTAATCAAGACTCTAATTATCAGCGCATAATGAGTAGCTCGATTAATTCTGACGCAAGTGATTCTTGTAATAGAATATCCTTCAATCTAAGGCTGAAGCGGCCCGGCCGTTCAAGCCATGGAAGACAATGTGACCTCGACCCAGACTCTACTGCCACGTCATTATGTCGGATGTCAGATATTAGTTCTCATCATGGGTATGAATAACGGCTACAATGGCATCGAATCACGCGTCTAGTTACATCCGATAGACTATGCACGAGACACATCCGCAATGTCAAGTTCTTGCCGGCGGCACTTTTAGGACTATACTCTAACACGAGGCATTGGCTGCTGAAAAGAAAACTATAAGGTTAATGATCTATCACATGGTTAGTAACCACAAAGCATTAGAGTGAGGCCGACATCTGCCAGTGGGAAATTCTGAGCGATTGGCCACCGAGGACCACACTAGCTGGGTTGTCATCATGGCTGCTGAGCTGACTGCAAGAAACAGGCAGAGCGAGGATGATCCCGGAACCGTTGAGAGCCGCCACGTCAACGAGGTTCTTCAGACGTTGCAGCCTGGGTTTGGTATGGTGACACTTGCACTAGCCAAGAGTATAAGCTGAGGCGGCTGCCACCGAATCACCAAGCGATTATAGCGAGTATCACCCTTTGTTTCTTCCTTCGGCATGATCTCGGTGAAGGTGCGAGCAACCTCCTGACAATTTCCCTGAGCGAGGCTTGCAGGCAGCTGTTGCATTGGCTTGTTACAATGCTGGTCCTTTGAGCCGTTCTCTTGTGTCACAACGTTTACCGAGAACCACTGTGGCGGTCCGATAATGGACAAAGAGAAATGCCGTTCTCTATGTCCTGGGCTCATTTCCCCAACCCCAGACCAGGATCATTGCTTGCATTATGCTTTAGCCGAGTCGTTCAGCCCTGTGAGACATTCTCTTGCTCGCCCGTTACTAGACGAGGTGGTTTTTCTGGGGTGAACCCATGGCAGCTTACTCTCATTGTGACTTGGCCTGCATGTCATACAACGTGGCTCGCTCAAGTCGTCAGGCGTTGCAGTCTCTGCCGTCTTGGAGATTGGGTAAAATAACCGTGGACGGACCGTGCCTGGATCATCGCGACCACGGGATAACCCTTGTGCGCTCATGGTGATTGGCAGAGGCGCTGATGCTCCGTCAATTGCATAAGCGATGACAGGCGATATGTGCACAACTGGCCAGCCCTCCCTGCGTCCATACCCAACGCCATGACCCCGGAGTCGTCTCATGTCCCGCGAGATGTCAAAGTACGATCGACGACAAGCACCCTGACCTGTCGCTGAAGAATTGCTGGGTGGTGCTCCCTGCATTTGCATCAGTGAGCGTTATCCGTATGCCACGTTGTCGAGGATCCAAGAGCATGCAGATTTGGCGGAGACGCGGGGAATCAGCGCCGACCGGTGGAGATGCCTGCTTCCTTTTGCAGCAGATCCGATTTGACATGGACCTCGCATTGGCAGGAAAGCGCCACGCCATTTCTCAGTGGATGTTGATCCTGTCTAGACCGGCTCCAGGGCATGCGATTCCATCGAGCTTATCGCGATGCCGGCCAGAAGCCAGCACCAACGCCAGATGATGCGTAGGGTGGGCGAGTTGTGGTTACCAGCTAAAGCACGGAGGTATGTACCTTTGTATATGGCCAAGTCTTGAGACCGGGTAAGGCAGGCGGCATCCGGGAACGGGACCGCGCAAACAGGCCAGTCGAGAAGCACGCAGATCTCCCTCGTCAACCACGAGCGCCATGCTGGGACCAACTCTGATGGGACAACTGACGAATGCATGCCAGATTCGGCAAGCTGCCATCCGTCTGCCATATCTGGCTGTCGCCAAGGGGCCCGGCAGCTAGTGGACGCGCGGAATGGGAACAAACACGAGATGTCATGTTGCTCGCATAACAGCAACGATCCCTTGGCGACGGCCGATGTCGATGTCGAGGCGGACCCTCCTGAGCATGTCAGAGCCGGGGCCGTACATTGCGGCGCGGCCACTGCTGCAAGGAGGGAGAATGACAAAAAGAAAGAGCCCTTGATTACGGGCTTTGGCGATCCTGGTTCTTCTGCTTTTAGCATGGTGACCGAGCATCGCCATGTCGAACTGGCCGTGAGTGCAGCCGAGTCCGGCTGAATTTTACTGGGCTTGAAACCCGCCGGCAGATTTGGGACGGTGATCGTTTGCGAACCTACCGCAGCACTTGAGAACCTACTGCAGGATAGCTCTAACTAGTTGGGAGACCTAAAGCCGCACCGTGACCGTACGGCAAGCACACAAGTGCACAGATAGCCCCCAAGAGTCCTCACTCGGCCAGGTCCCAATAATTGCTACTGATGCTGGTCCGGGAGCTAAGGGCGATCGACGTAGTCACGTTCATGGTGAGATATGCGACATGCAGCATAGTGTGTAATCGTGTGTGAAAGTCAAACCCCAATGAAAAAAGTATGTATGCGCTGGTCTATAGCAGACAGCCCCCCTTGGCTCTTATTGCTCGACTAGTCATGCAACTCAGGTATACGTCGGCGAGTGAGATGGGTCAAAGTCAAGTCAAGTCAGGTCAAGCGGCAGCCAGCCAGTAGCAGCCAGCCAAGGCTGAACGAGTCGGCCGCCAAAGTAAAAGGTACCCCTACGCAAGTACCTAGCCTACCGTTCCTCGGCGTGGTAACACAGCATTGTCGGCAATGGCCTGTAGGTCGCTTAAGCAAAGAATGGGACCTGCCATGGCCGGGGTTGATAGACTATGCGATCGAAACGCGTCTGGGACCAGCTATCCAGTGTCCCCCCCTCGGAAGATGTCTGAAGGGCGTCTGAGGTCCGGAGCTGCGAGGTTGAAGCAGTCTCAATTCATTTATTTATATCCCTGACCGAAGCCACCCCCCTCCAAATCGACTGAACCCGCCAACATGGAGCCCATGGAGCCCATGGAGCCTTCATCTTCTGGCCCCTCTGCCTAGCTACCCCACCGCCGACATTCGAGACCGTCCCCAAGGATCCCCCAAGGACCCGACCCGTCCAACCCAGGGCCCCCAAACGACCAGCCCAAGCAGCGCCCCTCCCCCCCAGCTCGCCAGGCGAGTTCACACGTACAGTACCGAGCCGAGCCCCTGGTCAGCCCAGACTGGAATACTCGCTGAGGCCTGCTCGTCTCATGCAGCGCATGCAGGTGTCTGCAACCACTATCCACAAGCAACACCTAGACGCAAGGCGGTGAACAGGCTACGAGCCGTTTGGCTACCCAGGTAAGCGTCTCTGACAAACCACGAGCCACGATTCGACCCTCAGACACCGGGCCCTGCAGGCGGGAGCCCCAATTGTCACCTCCGCCATGGGTCCCGTCACGTCCACCTCATGATTCCCATCTCGTCGACTGCCATTATGCGGTCAGTCGTAGTATACCCAATTGTGTCGTGGCGGCCGGGTCGTGGTGCATGGGCGAAAGAAAAGCAGTGTCTCACAGCCGGAAGCATCTCGAGTCAGTGTGCTCCAAGTCAGGATGTCTGGCTAATGGAAAGAAAAGCAGCGACCTGCTGGCGTCACGATATCCAAGCTCCCAGAAGCGCTGGCCTCGCAAGTCATTGCACTTTTGCCTTGCAGGTAACCTCCCAAGGGTACTTAGGTAGGCCTGAGCAGGGCGGCAGCCGTTGGTGCTCGGCAGTCCACCCCTCCAATACTCGTTAGAAACAGAAACAGAGGCAGAGAAACAAAAGAAAGAAAAAAGGGACACAAAAAGCTGCGTTCTCGACGCGGCTGCAGGCTGTGCGTCCCGCAGCTGCTTCCCCCGTACACACACTACTCGCCGTGTCACACGCAGGGCCGTCTGCCGGGAACCATCGTGCAGCAAAGCATTGGCTGGCTTGGACATCGTCTGTCGGTTGATGTCGTTTTGGGAGCGGATTGCCCGTTCTGGTTGGTCGGCCAGCCAGCACACAGCGCGCGCGCGCGCGCTGCTTCTCTCCTTCTCTCACAACGTCCCCGGTCTTATTAGTTAGTTGATCTGCCTCTTGTCGGCCTTCACCTTCAATTGAAAGACCCCTCCGTCGATTTCTTCTCTCGTCCTTCCACCGCATGACACCCGTCCAGTCATTTCCCTCCCGTATTCCCGCCTTTTCTCCAACCCGCCTGGGTCGCCGGCCGTCTCCCACCACACGCCCTTCCCCGAGAGAGATCGTCCCGCGTCGCAGCACAGTCGCTGAACGAACGCCCCATCCCTGCCCGGGAACGAGGCACTGCTCATTGTTTAGACTCGAGTCAGTCTCCTCTTGGGTGTGGCTTTCGCCACTAACACCGTCTGGTGACCTGCCCCACCAGACCCAAACCGGGATTTCTTCTGACCTTGAGCCGAGAATAGCAGAGTTCACACCTCGATCGTTTAGATCTGGACATCTGGACATCTGGACGTCCCCAGGCCAGAAAGTCTGCGCAAAGGAGGTCTGCTGCTGCTGCTGCAGGAACAGAGGGTGATCGCGTGAGTGTTTTCGCGATGGAAACGTGCAGTGGCACCTACACCCATAGATCATAATGTAAGTCTTGGTTTGCAAACACCCCCCGTCCGCTGGTCGACCGACCTGTAAATTCTCAGGTCCCTCGCTCCCCTTGGGGACTTTTTTTGGCCCGTTTACGTTCTGACCCCGGTCCAGCACCGCCATGGATCCTCCGCCCGTCGTGGTGAACCCGGCGGATGAGCCCATAGAGATATTCCGGAATGTCTTACAATACTCGTACCCGGCCGTTCTCCTCCTCGCCTTCGTTATTATTGGAGCGACCGACAGCATCATTACAGCACTTCGGAAGGAGGGTGGCATAGTCGCAACAGTCAAGGGTCCCGGCGGGAAGCCCCTGCCCGTTACAAAGCGTAAAAGAGAGAGCCAAGATGACGAGGATGAGGACTCCTACTACAGCCCGGCTTCCAAAAGCTTCTTCCAATGGTGTATGATGGCGGCAACCTTCACTTTCTTTTGTGCTGGGGCGAACGTAGCTGCTCGGGCTCTGACCTACCGCTCTACATCGGGGGCCCACGGCTGGTGGTGCGGCGAACCCAAGACGGTAAGCACTGTGTCCTGTATACAATCAGGGTTCCCAGACGGGACTCAATTGACTTCCGGCAACAGGTGTTTATCCTCGGTTCGACATTTCTCTATCTCTACGTTACTGTTACGCTCTTTGACTGGGCTGGAAGCCCGTACCTTGTCCACATCATCATGTGGTGGACCGCTCTTGTGGGCGACTTGATCATCTTAATCTCTGACCTGATTATCCTGACGGGCTCGCACAAGGTCATGGTCAATCTTGGTCGCCAAAAATACGTGGTGGAAGAAGGTCTCAACAGCTGGGATGCTGTAGACGTAACCTTTGCTGCCATACGTCTGGCCATCCTCGCTGGTCTAATCATCGTCTACTATTCGATCGCGTGGCTCAAGAAGCGAGCCGAGCAGCGAAGGCTTGCCGAGTTCTACCAGTCGGACTCGGATGAGAACACCCCGTTGATGAACGGACACCAAAACGGCTACCACTCAAACGGGCATACGCGCAATGGAAATGTCACAGACCCTAGCAGAACGACCGGATCTACGGCGCCCACCGTCGACGAAGAAGCCACTTTTTACCGACCCGAGAAGCTCCCGCATACCACCTGGTTCGAGTACCTCCGAGGCTACTCAGTTTTCTTCCCTTATATGTGGCCCAGCAAGAAAACGAGACTGCAAGTTATTGTGGTCATCTGCTTCATCCTTCTGATGCTCCAGCGGGCGGTCAACTTCTTGGTACCGTACCAAATCGCCAAGGTGACAAACGAGCTCACTCCCAAGGACTCGGGCCTGCCACTGGCAATGCCATGGGCTTCTCTAGGTCTTTTGGTCTTGTATAAGCTGCTTCAAGGCCCTTCCGGCCTACTTGGGTCTATGAGGACCTTGCTTTGGATACCGGTCTCGCAGCACTCCTACCGAGCACTTACCACGTCGGCTTTTGAACATGTGCACTCCCTTAGTTTGGATTTTCACCTGGGAAAACGAACCGGCGAGGTCTTGTCAGCTCTCAACAAAGGTTCTGCGGTGAACTCTTTCCTGGAACAAGTCACTTTCCAGGTCTTCCCGATATTGATTGATCTGTTCCTGGCGATCAGCTCCTTCTTCATCCTATTTGATGCTGTGTACGCCGTCATCGTCTGCATCATCACGTTTTACTACCTCTTCATGACAATTCGAATGGCACAGAGCACGGCCGACCAGAGAAGGCTCATGTCAAATGCCGACCGCGAGGAGGAAGCTGTCAAGAACGATTCCATCATATCTTACGAAACCGTCAAGTACTTCAATGCGGAGGACTTCGAGTTCAAGCGGTACCGAGAAGCGATCAGCAATTTCCAAGCCGCCGAAGCGAAAGTCACCTGGAGCATCTCTACCATGAACGTTCTGCAGTCCTTGGTCTTCATGACAGGTATGATGGTCACAATGATGCTCTGTGCCTACCAGGTCAGCATTGGCCCGAAAACCGTTGGCGACTTCATTTTCCTCATGACCTATTTGGTTCAACTTCAAGGGCCGCTCAACTTCTTTGGCACGTTCTACAGGACTGTTCAGCAAGCCATGATTTCTGGAGAGCGGCTTTTGGAACTATTCAAGCAGCGGCCGACGGTGGTGGACCGACCTGGCGCAGAACCACTGACCAAATGTGATGGTCTGATTGAGTTCTCCAAAGTCCAATTTGCCTACGACCAGCGCCGGCCCGCGTTGCGGGACCTATCATTCAGGTGTGAACCTGGCACTACAACAGCCCTGGTTGGCGAATCGGGTGGTGGCAAGTCGACCCTTTTCCGACTGCTGTACCGCTACTTCAATAGCCAAGAAGGCGTCATTCAGATTGATGGGCACGACCTCAAGGATGTTACGATCGACTCTGTACGTCGTCAGATAGGTGTCGTGCCACAGGACACAGTACTGTTCAACGACACTCTCATGTACAATCTGCGGTACGCCAACCAAGATGCCACGGAACAAGACATCTATGCTGCATGTCGAGCGGCCAGTATTCACGAGCGAATCATGTCTTTCCCAGATGGGTACTACACCAAAGTTGGCGAGCGTGGGCTGCGACTAAGTGGCGGTGAGAAGCAGCGGGTGGCGATTGCGCGGACGCTGCTCAAGAACCCGAAGATCATAATGTTGGATGAGGCGACATCGGCTCTCGATACCCACACAGAGCAAGAAATCCAATCAAGACTCGCCAAAATTGGCGAGGGCCGCACACTGTTGATTATCGCGTAAGTATCATCATGCGTACTAGACGTGGATATTCTGTACTGACAAGCCATAGCCATCGCCTCTCCACGATCACGCATGCCGACCAGATCTTGGTACTTAAGAACGGTACCATTGTTGAGAAGGGCACTCATGAACAGCTCTTGATGAAAGAAACATCCGCATACTCCCGAATGTGGAACAAACAAGCTAAGGCACAAAAAGCTGCCCAGGATGCCCAACAGGCGACTCGCAAGGCGGAAAAGCTGATGCGCAAAGCGTCGCTAGACGGCAGCGGCCAAGAAGATGATCTGAACAGCTCTTCCGACGAATCCACGCGGAATGGCCACCCCCGGCCACAAGGCAGCTAGTTGTTCTCCCATTTCGCCTTGTCTTTCCATCCCGGCTGCACACGTTCTCGCATATATTGAAAATAAAAAAACGAAGCCCCAACGAAGTCACTAATCTCTAATACTCGTCTCCCAGCAAACCGACTTCGTTGATCACGGTGTTATTCATATACTACTTTCTGACTCAAGAATTTTACGTCTAGAGGGACGTCTTTTTTAATGACATCAGCATCAGTGGGGCGTTGGAGGCTGGCATATACAAAAGGGAGCCGCATGGATGCCGGTTCCGGGCGGTGGTTGTTGCATTGTTGATTCTGTCGGTGCGCGCACGATACCAAAGAAGCCAGTCTGCCATTTCATGGTCACTCTCAAAAGAACTCACAAGACGGTACGGGCATCAGCTGAAAACCAAGGCGGTGATGGTCCACGTGGTTTGATCCAGGTCTGATGACGGGTGACAGGGGGAGGAGAGGAAAGGTTCGTTTCTGTCTGCTTTTTGTTTTCACTTTTGGTTGTTCCGGTGCGCCACGGGTTTTCGCTTTTGCATTGTCGGGGATCTGCTTGAGATAGAGCCGCCCTTGATGACGGTATGAATGCATGACGAAAGAAGACAGTTTGGAGAGAGCGAGAGCGAGAAAGAAGCAAGCACGTGTATGGCATGGCATATATAGACTTATAGTGTGTCTGACACCAAAGGACACCTGACAGCGACTGAACAACAGTATAATAGGAAATTCAGCTTGAACATGATTTATGCACTTGATCGGATCGCTACGACTCTATCTGCCTCGACGGTCGATCGTGACAATCCCGATGCAGACTTCTGCTGGAACAGCGTTGAGACATCGCAACTGGGCGAGCCTGGGCCTGTCTCACGTGCTTCAAATGTCTCTCACAACCCAAAGCATGTGCCAGTCCAGCCACCGCCGCCCAGGCGTCGGCTGACTCTGATATAACGTAATTGAAAGACCATAGTACTACTGTGGTGCAACGTCTAGAGGTGCCCCGGCGATAAGCGATAAGCCAGTAGGTAGTTATGTCACTGCCTAGCTACACTCACTACTATACTACACAACAACATCAAGCCACCTCATGCCAGCTTACTTGATTTCATCTCATCTCATCTCACATCATCTCGACTTATTCGCCTCCGAATGAACTAGTCATTCGCCGTCAGTTTTAGTCTCTAATTCACCGAAACCCTTCAACCTCACAAGGCGGTACACCGAGAATGGCGTCCACACCCAAGCCGTCGCTCTCGACCCGGAAGTACATCCAATGGGGCGTAAGTTGTTTCCGTCACCCACCCTTATTTCCTGTTCCTCTAGTTACCGAGTTTCGATCACGAGTTCGTAGTCTTGGTAGGTAAGCTTGGTAAGAAGCGATCGCCATGTTTTGTTGCTACGAGTCGTCTCGCTAGCCAGCGTGCCTCACTGTACCAACGGCACGGGCAAGCAAAAGAAGGGTGCTGAAAGGGGAAATGCGCAAATACCAAGGCGAAAGAGGAGGAGAAGGCTTAACGGGGAGTTGAGAACCCCGAAGAAAACCTCATAACATGGCCCCGACGAGATCCCGAGCTGACAGCAAAAACCCCTAGACCACGTTCCCCACGGAGAACACGTCGACCAAGGTGCTGACGTCGCCGGCGCCGCACCGCTCCTTCGTCGACGTGCGCCTGCTGCTGGTGCCGCTGTCGCGGGAGCCGCCGCCGCTGCGCGACCTGGCGCGCCACGTCGACTGGGCCTTTGCGGGCTCGGCGCTGCACCGCGACGGCGACGACCGGCAGGGCCGCCCGCCCCACGACGTCTTCCGCCACTGGGTCGACTCGCGCCACCCCGACGCCGCCGCCGTCGTCGACGAGGGCGACTTCTTCCCCGGCCCGGGCCCGGCCGAGTCCCTCGAGCGCGGCGTCATGGTCAACCCGGCCTCCGGCCGCCCGGAGCCGTACGAGGAGTGCTGGATCGACGGGCTGGCCGGCGCCGCCGCTAGCCATGCCGGCTGGGTGCTCAGGTGGGAGGACGGGGAGGCGGACGCCGCCGCCGCCGGCAAGGGGATGATGGTCCGCGTCGGCGCCGTGGTGCAGGGCGTGCTGCGGGCCGGGGACGAGGTCGGCGTGGGCCGGTGGGAGCTGGGGGGCGAGGGCGAGGGCGCGGGCGAGAGGAAGGCCGTGGCCGAGGTCGGCCGCGTGCAGAGGTTCTACATGGGCGACTGGGACGGCTTGACGACGGGGCAGGAGGTCAGGGCCGAGGACGGGCAGAAGTGGGTGTGCGTCGAGTCCTGGTGAGGATTGGGGCACGAGACGTAACGCACAGGGGACGAGCGACGAACTCTACTGGCGGTGCGTATTTACAGTCCTTCGCAGGTGGGCTCTTGTCGAGGTGCCACGTTGTGTATATATGTGTATATCTATCTATATGGTCACCCAACCGGGCTGCAATGTATGGCTCGTCAGTGGATAATTGTAGCAAAGGGGTTATGCCTGGGAGGGAGACTTCGCTTGCTTAATTCATAGTATACCTATCATACATACGTACTGCGAAACACGGCAAGACAATATAGACTTGATTACTGACATTCGAGATTGCAGCACCCAGGGCATCGTGGACCCCAGCGGCCAAGTTCGAGTTTGAAACTAGTTTGAAAGAATGGTATTCTGTTATTTGTTCACTTTTCGCATTAGTTATTATATATATACGTGTATTGTGTTCCCCATGTCTTATGGTACATTTCCTCTGCTCCGTTCGCCCCTGAGGACACATAGTGTTGTGCCTCCACCGACTGTGTCACGGGAGGGTTACCGGTTGATTTTTTTTCATCTCTTCTTCTAATCGTAAAATTTGTCGATACTGGAATGCTCAGCACCCGTTGTTATGTGTTTTTGTTGAGAGAACCTGCTCCGCGTGGATGACGTTTGCCGGAGCACAGGTCACGGCCCAAGCAAGAATGAAAAAGGTGCCCGGTGGTCGTATATGGAGAACAACGTGCATAGCCCGGGCATACCCTCTTTCCTCGTATCGATAAACCCCCAATGCCCGTAGCAGATCATCCCCCAGAGATGATCCCGGCACAGCAGCAGGGGTACTATGTTATTGGACGGAAAATAGCTCTGGCACCGATCAGATTCCAATCTACAAGCAGACTTGCCGGCATCGTACACGAGCGCCTATATTTGAGCCCTCCCATGAACTTTTTGGATACAAGCGAATGTGATGAATGTTGAAATATGCTCGCGCGCCATGTTTCCCAAGCCGCCACTAATATGGGCAGCATTTACCGGCCACTCTTCTTGGAGGACCCATTCAACGTCGTGCCGTTCGCAACGCCGTTGCTTCCCTTGGTAAGCAGCGGCGTCTCCTCGCTCTTCTCCGTCAGCCGCTTGAGCTCCTCCTTCTTCTGCTCGGCAAGCTCCTCGAGCTCGCTGTCCTCGGCCTCGGAGCGGTCGTCCTCGGCGACGTTGGTCACGACGAAGCGGTAGGCGATGCGGATGATGAAGAACAGCCAGAACAGGTTCAGGGACTGGAGGGCAGCCAGCAAGCTGAAAGCGATGACCTGGGCGAGCAGGCACTTGTACTGCTGGGTCTCCCAGTTGAGCTCGTACGGTCCGATGGTGGCAAACTCGGTCAGGATAGAATACAGGATCTTGAGGTTGAGGTAGTGGCGAAGGTAGATCCAGGAGCAGACGAAGAAGGCGAAATAGGGGCCCATGATGGAGCTATCGACATAATTGAGGGATTTGGAGGTCTGCAAGCGTGTTGCATGATTAGCGCCTTGAACTTACACGATACATCTCTTCAAGGGAGCAGAAGGGCTGACAACTTACGGCCAGGAAAAAGTCACTGATATCGTGGGTGATGTACACAGCCAGGCCCATGTAGGTGAAGTGAAACCTATAACTCAGGCCGATGAGGACCAAGCTGACAATGTGGTGGCCGACGAGCTCCTTGAAGTCCTTGCGCGGCTTCTCCATGCCCAGCAGCAGGACAATGGCCTGCTGGGCCCAGTAGGCGGCCTGGAACAGGTAGTAGAACTTGAAGTAGGCCTCGTGGGTCATGTGCGGGAAGTTCTCGTACATGCCGCGCGTGTTGAAGTACCAGACGGGGGTGCGGCTCATGACGTACATGCCGGCGGGGCCCAGGACGCTGAAGTAGATGGCCGTGTACATCTGCTCCATGAAGCGGGCCTGCTTGCCGCGCGACTTGAGCCCGCAGTAGATGGCCAGGGGCCGCAGCATCTCCTGCATGATGAGCTCGCGCGTGAAGGACAGGACGACGATGTAGAAGGACACGAAGGCAAAGTCCCAGAGGCCCTTGCCGTACTGCGGGGGCGTGTCCGGGTCGGCGCCGGCCTCGAGCGGCAGCTTGTAGGACAGGAAGATGAAGTGGTGGACGGGGTTGGACTCGGTCGGGTTGACGGCGTACAGGGCGAGGAAGACGAGCAGCAGGGCCAGGGGCAGGGCCCAGGTGTGCTTGACGGCGTAGCGCACGCAGCGGCGCAGGAGCGAGCGCGCCTTTCTGCGCTTGGAGAACCTCTTCTCCTTGTCGTGGGCGGCCCCGAGGCGGCCGTTGGCGCTCGGGGAGGCGGACGAGTGCGAGGACGAGGGCGGCGTCGAGGCGGCGTCCTGGTCCTGGATGCGCGCGAGGCCGGTCCCCAGGCTCGGGGCGCCCGTGTCGCCGGCGCGGATCTCCTGGCCGAGGCCGCTGGACTTTCTGCGGCGGCGCGCGGCATTGTTCTGGTCCGCGGCCGAGCTGAACTGGTCGGCCGAGGTGTTGAGCACGGGGAAGGGTTCCGAGTCTGCCATGGTCGGCGGTCTGTGTGGTGATGTCTCGAACCGAGGGCGCGGGCGCAGGTTTTAGCAGCAGCGATGCGTGTCTCGCCCGAACGAGTCCAAGGGGGTTCAGTTCAGACGGGAGGGACGGCACGTGTCTGGATCAAAAAAGAAGCAGTGTGCGGGATGAAGGCGCAGCACAGCACACAGCGCAGCACACACAGCACACACAGCACACAGCGCCAGCACGGATTCCGGAGACGGGGCCCAGGGGGGTGGGGCTAAGTGTCGATTTTCTCCAAACGAAGTCCCAAGATGCTAAAGGAGTGAAGTCATCTACGGGGCCTTGGCACAGGACGTCGTGAGAAGTGGTTGAGAGGAGAAAAGGGTGACAGGGCGACAGGGAGACGGGGTGACGGGAGGGCCTGGCAAGGGCTGGTGGTTATCGATATTTTGTTTGTGCAGGTGGTTCCCCCCCTAACTTTGCGCCGTCTGATCGGACGGGACAGGTGAAAATCAGTCCCGGTCGTCGAAAAAGCCCCGGCGGGGACCCCTAATCATGCGTCGCGCTGGGTCTTCAGGTTCTTGCAGGTTCTTTCAGGGCGCGCTTCAGGGAGGGAGAGAGGGCCGGCCCCTGTCTGCATTGGAAATTTAACACGGTCCGTCCGCCGTCGCCCGTCACAAGAAATTCAATTTGCGCGCCGGCCCCAGATTTTTTTTTCCTTCAATCTTTTTTCTTCTGTTGCTCCCGTGCTAGGCACTTCTCCGTAGATTGCAGCCAAGCACGGCAATGCAACACTAGGCCATCTCAGGGCAATCTCACTCTCGTCAACGTCCGACGGCAAAAAGGAGGAAAGGCGAGATACCGTTAAACAGGTTCAGACAAAACCACGGCAGGGATGATGATACTTTGGACTCCGGGCGGAGACAGCTTCCATGCTTGCGGGGTCGAAGCCGTGTCCCATAGTAATCTTTCAGTTGCAAGACAGGCATGGATGGCCATGATTAAGTTTACCGACGGATGCAGTCGCTCTGCGGCGCGCACCCGTGTGACGACATCTCCTGAAGCATTGTCCAACGTATAACGGACATAGCCAGCCTTAGGCCCAGCGGCAGCCCGGAGTTACTGTGGTATAACGCCTGACAGCCCTGCATTTAATTTTGCTTTGCGTTGGGTTCGGGCTGCTGCGGGTCCATCCCACTGTCAGCCATTAGCGCCCATCACCCGCCAGATCCAATCTTCGACCTCGGGAGTGTTTGGAAGCCTCCACCGAGTCGCGTGCGTACTAGCAAAAAGATATGCCCACATGGTACAACAGAAGGGCAAAAATAACATACAACACCAGGTATTCGCTGGTGGTCACCCACCCAACTACTAATCTAGAGGTTAAAGGGCTTAAATATATGGTTTAGGGCTGCAGATTATGGGCAACTTTGTCTCCTTTTCTGGAGGCATGGCACCCAGGATCTGGCATAAGCAACAACCGTTTGCCAAAACGGGAGCATCTAAAACGGACAATAACCGAGTATCCGTGATATTACGTTTTGATCTGCACCATGACAGCTGATGGCACCTGGGCATTAGAGCAGTTGCTATTACATGCATGTAATGGAACGCGCTTAAATAATATCATAGTCTCTAACCCCTCTAGCCGCATTCATGAGCACCCTACACCACTACAACATATATACTAGCACCCATCACTTTACGAATATCAGAAATCTATAGCAGTATTAGCAAATAAAACGCTTTCGCCTCTCCAAATCTTACCTGTCATCTTCTCTGATGATCTGACTTAGGGCCATCGTTACAAATGAGACCCCTTTTTCGCCAGAAGCTGTTCAGCTTGGATATGTAGCTTTTCCGTATCCGTACGAAAGTTGACCTTCGAATTGTAAGCCGTTTGGAGATGGGTTACCTTCAATTTGCTTCGTTTGCCATCTTGGAACGCCATGGTCTGTGCGACAATGACGATGTTGCGAATCTCGCGGCCATTCAAGGGATACCCGCCTCCCGTCCTCTTCGACTTGAGATTTTCGATCCATATCCTGATCTCGTCACTGTTCTCGCAGAGACTTATAGCATCCAATCTTCTCAGCCACCCTTGCCAGAGTCTTTGCTGCTGGTCTGTATTGAGTTTCGTAAAGTTGACGGCGTAGTGAATACGCGATAGAATGGCTGGATCAAAAGCCACAACTCGATTAGTCGTCATGATCAACACACCTTTGAAATACTCCACCTCTCGCAGTAGTACTACTTTGTATCAGCATGATCCTGACGTCAAGACACTGCAGACTGTACCCGAGACCAAGGAGTTTTTTGCAAGTGCGCCTTCATTAGTGGTGCCCCTGGCATCCAATAACACATCAGCTTCGTCACTGAGCTAGCATGTCAGTATAGACTTAATAGGTATACACAATGGATTGCAGGCTACCCACATCAATAACAAAGCATCCCATGCTTCTGCAAGTTCAAATATCTCCTTCAACTTCTTCTCGGCCTCACTCACTTCGAGCCCAATATCGCTGGTGCCGACCTTATAGAGTGGCTTGCCAGACTTCTGAGCAAGGGATTCGGCCAGAAGCGTTTTCCCGGTCCCACTAACACCTTTGAATCATTACTAAAGTAGTTCAGAACTATAAGAAATGGACTTTCTTTACCATGGAAGAGAAGGATCAGGCTTTCACCTTTGCCTCCAACAGCATCACCAATGCGCTCCTCCGTTTTTCGAGACATCACTGCTGTATGAGTCTTGACCATATGTTCGATGTCCACGAGATCGCTTTTTTCAATTCCTTCTGGCAGAATGAAGTCGTCATCTGAGATCTCGACGTCTTTAATGATTTCCGGCTTGATCATGTTCAACGAGAACTGGCACCAGATCTTTCTGGCTAAGGCGTAGCCGAAGACACGCGGCGCGAGCAGAAGGTCGTTGATATTCTCTTCTGAAGGTGTATCTTCTGATGTAAACGAATTGCACCACTCCTTTGTGGCATCATCAATGCAGAGAGAGCAGTGGCAGATAGATGTATGAAGGGCGGGATAGTGATTACCCAGGAAACGTGACCCCGCGCTCTTACGCATGTAGTTTCTGACGTCAATGACAATTTCATCGTTGATCTGCTCCCAAATTAGCGTTGGCATTCCTTTCTTTTCTCTTTGCCGGAACCGTAAATCGTGTCATAGTTGAACACCAACCTTCACATATCTACAGTTCATCACCAGTTCTGTAGAGTCTACCCTCTTTGACAGCGTAGGGCCAATCAAGAAGGAAGCCAATGATTTGTCAACCTCCATGGAACCGAGAAGATTGAGAACCTCGTCTTCGTATTTCAGGATTGTTTTGGATCCCTTCACTTTTAGGGCATATTCCTGGAATAATCGCTTGCGGTTATCGTATTCGGGGTGAGAACGAATAGCTTCCACCCCTATCTTATCCTTGTATCTAAAGAACTCGACCGGGTAGTATGGCAGTTGTTCAATTCGACGGCGATCGGTATACTTTTTGATACCAAAGGAATACATGGTGCGCCTTGGGGCCTGGTGAGTTCCGTCTGAATCCCAAAGCCAGGCTGTGATTCGGAAAATTTCGTCCTTGATACTCAAATGGTTCACCTTGAAGACCTGCGGCGCATTGCTTATCTGAGGTGAACCATGTTCTTTCCAGTTAGCGACAATCAGAGTTCCCGGAATGAATAAGACCTCCATGTCTTTCCAGGCAATTTCGGGTGCGTTCTGCCGTTCTTCTTGAAACTTAGTCATTGACGGATATATTCTCTGCACACACTCCAGCAACACTTCAAGCTTCGTACGGGTGGCCCCATTTTTTTCATATGACATGGCATTGTAAACCTGACGCAAATGATTCCAATTGAGAACGATGGGATTGAATGAGACTGGTAAAGTGACAATTCTGGCACCCCAGGACTTTTTGCCAACGTGGTCGATGTACGGGCCCAATTCACTTCGTAAAAGGTCGAGTATGTGCCTATCAGCGATAGTCAGGCTTCGTGTATTGCCTGCTAAACCTTTGTCTCCTTCAGAGTCCGCTGTTTCCGTGATTGTCAACCAAGTATCATCTTCAGGAGATGTAGTGTTAGCAGAAAGCTGGTCTGGAGAATCGATGTCCTTCGCCTCCTGGTCGTAGTATCCATTGGACTTTTTCCACTTCCTGATAAGCTTTACGCCAAAGTATCGATTGCTGAGGGGATGGGTCACAGTAGGTAAGTGGTCGTCGCTCGCTGCAGATTCGAGGTTGTTCATCTCGATAGTATTCTTGCCTGGGGTTTCCACAGAGGTTTGACGCCCCCGTGGAGGAGTACTTGGAGCGGCTTGGGGGCGTTCATGATCTCCCCCCCCTTTCGACAAATTCTCCAGATTGAGCAATCGAGACTTGAGCTCTGCAATCTCTCTGACAAGTTCGTCATGACTTTGAGAGTAGAAATCATGAGGGGCATCGTTGGTGTCTTCCATTACAAGATCCGAACTCTGCGAAATTGATCAGAAACTTCGTAGTAGTTTCCTCCTATACCAGGTAGAACTCACTTTTTCATTTGAGCGCTCCTCCTGCTCCTCTGATATGCCGACTATGACTTGCTTTCCATTTCTGCCAGAAACAAGATCCTGCTGCCTGACTGAGTCCTCAAGATTGGATATGTCCATGTGGTCACTAAGTCCTTGTAACTATGTTTCATGCACTAGTATAGTTTTGTACACAATTGGATGGGATCCGTGTTTTCTTATTGTTTCTTAAAGGGAAGAATGTGACAAGGGGGATGGCTTGGAAGCAAGGCTCAGTTCAATTTAATGGATTTAATTCGGTTTCAAAGGCCGTAGTAATGCTTCCTTTGAAACTGAGTCAATGAAGGGTTATTTATAGACAAATTCGAAACCTGTCGTTGCCGTTCTACCCGCTGTTTATTGGTTGGGAGCCTGCTCTCGTTCGGCGTCCCTGCTGTTTCTTGGCATGCATGTGTGAGACTAGTAGAGAATGTCAAGTAGACCAACTATATCACCGCCTATTGTATCTTGGATGGCTTGTGCCCGCCTTAGCGTATCTCAGTGCTCAGATGATTTTTATCAAGGGCGTCGAAAGTAGAGTCGCTCACAAAGCAGGCATTGAAGCGCAACCGCCGCAGTCCCATTCACATTTTCGGCGTCACATGATTAAATCTCCGAGATAAACCTTAGCCCATGGTATCCCTTTGTTTTTCTTCCCATCTTGAGCACAAGATGAATGCAGACGAAAGACTAGGCAACCCTGCGTGTAAAGGAATTTCTGAAGTCATGCATGCAGTGAGACGTACCCACGCGTGGAAGGATAGTAATGGCTGGTCGAAGACAACAGGTCGTGCGTCGCAATGCAATTGTTTAGGCGTATGGGCCAGAAGCAAGCCCGTGGCTGCTTACTATCTTGCGGCACAGCATTAGACTTTGATCAATCGCAGGCACTCTTGCCCCCCCTTCTTGATCTCTTCCAAAAGTAGTTCGGGCGACTGCACAGCCGGTTTGCTCACCGAAACTGCAAAATGGAAATGATTTGCAGCCTTGTGCTTCGGCCGGCACAACGTCACGTCATATGCAGGAGGCTTAGCCTGTCTCCATCTGGAACTAATCCTAGAAACGTCTTGTGGTCACTCAGAGAAACATCGGGCTATTTTGAAATCAGGAATAATTCTAGGGAGACTGCCATCAATTCGCCGTTGCTAAGTAGACATACTGATTTTTTTCTTTATTTTGATAATAACCACCCCCATGACCATTTACTCTCGTTGCTTGCCGTAGATCACGAGCTCTAGCAAGAGGGTTTGTGTGATGGAATTCCAACAGATCGACCCTGCGATTCTCGATTTGTATCCGGAGAGAATTAGGCTACAGATTGAAAGAGATTCTCACTTTTCAAAGTTGCTCTGCTTTACGAATAAAGCGCAGATCGAGGGACTGTTGGAGGAAACATTGAATCACGCCAAAATATCTGAAAGCAAATACAAAAAGCGCAACGATGAATATCGCTCCCTTCGCGTTGCGAAACGCGTCTTTTCGTTCGCTGAGAAAACACATGGTTTTTTACAGGTATTCACAGGCCTAGCGGATGTGTCAAAGGGAGTTGATGGTCGCATTGGTGGTATTGGGTATGGTATGCTTGCACTTTTGGTCACTCTTGCCAAGAATCTGCAACTGTACGAAGACCTTGCTGCCGAAGCTCTGGACACAATAAAGAAATGGTTACGCCGCATTGAAGGAATTATTGGGTTCCACACTGCCGCAGAAGATAAAGGGCATCTTCAGGATGGTATAAATGGCGTACACCTTGAGATTCTGAGGATCCTCGCTCGAGTGACGGGACACTACAAGAGATCATCTTGGAAGAGACTGCTTCAATCTATTGGCAAACCGCCACAAGTACACTTGCAGCCACTCTTGGAAGAATTCAAAGAAAAGGTCGCTGACCTGATGGTGGAGCATAAGCTGCTGCAAGACGGAAAATTACATCAATTGTTTCAGCAGAACTTCTCGGATCGACGGACGGCCCGCTTCAAGTCAGTGCAGGAACTGGCCAAATTGATTGGCTTGCATGAGAATATGGATGATATTCGCGAGCATATGATACATAGCTCACGGGAACAACACGCGACCCAGTCTTCGCACATTCGGCTTGGCGATCGGGAATCAAAAGCTAAGAACTTGACAAAAGCGACCCTCCCGCTCCTGGAACAAAGAAAATCATTCATTGAATGGAACGCCAGCGAAACATCGTCTTTCCTACTTTTGAGTGGCGAAAATCGATCATACGACAATATTGACGAGTTCAGCTGGCTATCACCGTTAGGCATTGAGTACTTTTCAAGTCTTCCGGTGCCCACAACAGCTCTGTTTATCTCGACGCCATTTCTTAGGCCTGAGCCCTTATGCCCGGTTCCAACAGAGGCTTTGATATTGAAAGTAATTCTATACCAGTTGCTGGCCTATAATGATTTACTGTGCGATAAAATCATTCATACTGCAGCATTTCAAAGAAAATTAGAGGATATCCACAAGTCACCCGGACCTAACCAAGCAATCGACTTGGCTTTTGAAGGCGTTCGATTGGTCTTGAGAGAACTACCCAGTGAGTCGGTGGTGCACATTGTCGTAGACGGCGTCGTGATTCCACCAGAATATCCTCACGAGCATTGGGGGCCCTTACGAAGCTTAGCCCAACTGGTGTGCGATCCCGAACTGAAAGCAGCTGTAAAGGTCTTAGGCATAGCCAAATCAAACTGGTGGACCCAAGTAGAGAACGAGTGCATAGGCGAGCATGCGGCAAGCCTGCTTGGGGCGAAGCTGGGGATAAACTCGCGCCAACACAAACGTTTGTTTCTAGAGCTGGGTTGGAAGCAAGAGATAGCAAGATGAAGGAAATAGGCGATCAGCACTTTGTCGTGGAAGCTGGCCAGCCCTCTTTATGCATCAACGCTATTCTCAAAACCATTGTTCTTAAAAGACTCGGCATGAACGCTGTTGCTATTAACCTACATCATTTTATCATTGTTTTTAAACTAAGGTGTATATTTCTTATCTTTTAAATAAACTGGCTTTCCTCGAAGTATCTCTTACGTTTTAAACCTTTTACGTAAACGTCTCCGCGAAAGTTAATATATAATTAATTTATTTATTTAAGAAAAACCTTTTAATAAATTTTACCGGTTTCGTAAACCTTTTTTATACCGTAATATATTTATTGGAGACGCTGCAGTGGCTTCGACACTGGGAAGTGCTTGGTTCCAAACTTGAACTCGACCTTCGGTGCATTGGTTGCGGCGATGCTGATGACAGTGGACAAGCTGGGCGAGGAATCGCAACCTGTCATCTAGCTCTGAAGATGAACGTGGAAGAGGTGTTATTTCTCGGAGCAGTGAAGTGATCTGATCTCTGTTTTTCCTAGCTATTGGCCGTTTGCAAGGGGAATCGGATTTGGTTCGAGCTCCACACTGCCATCGGCTCAACTGGAGCTGGTCTTTGATGGTCAAGTCGTCAACGCCTTGCAGCTATGTATCGACGTCGGAGACTGCCGAGGGCGATTTATCGGTTACATCAGTTGAGTGTAACTCATCTTAAACTACTTCTCGTGTGGGTGTATCTCGCTGTAGCGAAGGAGGCGGGCTTGGGTATACCGACGCATTCTCGGCTCTCTAGGACTTAACGAGATCGCCCGAAACACGCTGCATGATCATGAGTACTGAGATTGTTGTCAGGGAGAATCGGCAATGATACCAGGCACTTGAAGCCGAGGATGTTCTGCCTTGTTCGATCGAGAGGTGGAGCAGTTCGACCCCACCAGAGGTTCCTACCCATATGTCACTTCATTCGTGGGCTTCCCCTCGATTATGCACGACTTAATTGGTCCAGGTCGAGTCCTATGACTGGCGCTTGAAGCGCGCGGCTTTGACATACTGTTGGTCAGCCGGCCGGCGAGGACTCTCACCTCCTTAAGTTGCCGGCTGGAAATCTATAGACGCCTTTACTGTCGCAGAAGACGAACACGCCTTTGATGAAGATGAAGATATGTGATCTGAGCAGCCGGCTTCTGTTAACGCCACATCAACGCGAAGAGGAAAAATTAGGCTCCCGACGGATCAGCCCCAAGAAAGACGAGAGGAAGAATGACCGCAACGAACCAAACAAAATTGCGGCAATGTGAGGTTAACACCCACATAATCGAAACATTCGATGCGCTAAACACTACTGTGCATACTGTACCTGAATTCAATGCGAAGCATCTCCGAACGGCATTACAGGTTAGGGGCCCACTCCCATCTCCATATTTGTCGATATGATCTAGCGCCCCACCTTCCTCGAGAGCAACGCGATCGTCAAGGGACTATTGTGCGCCAAGTACGTAAAAGGGACACGAAAAGCCTGGCATCCACCATAAAGAATAGCAGTCCCGATTATGAATGAAAAGCTCTGTCACGGCATGGATGCCGGTATTTGTACCAGTGGAGGCGCGGACTGCGTAACAGGTTCTTACCTACATATGCTACCAACGTGACAAATGAGGCTGGGTTGTCCGCGTATGTCCTCGGCTCCGCTAAGAAACCCGTTGCAGGGTTGGGGAAACCGGTCGACATATTTGTGCAAAACTTACCACTACTCGATCGTGCGGCCCGCCTCTAGCTTAAGCGTGACACTTGATGGCCGCTAAACCTGTCGTCTTTACAGGTAGGCGCTATCTTGCCGCAGACGCGTTACCTGCTGTTAGCGCCGACAGCCGCGGCTGAGCCACGGGTCACAACATGATCAACGCGACCACGTCTTCCAAACCAGTCTTGATGCTCATCGGGGCACCGCGTGAGTGACGGCAAGTCACCAGAGCACACTTCTTGGCGAAGAAACTGATTCTTACGCGTCTCATCCGTCTGCGACGTTCCACACGTCCCCTCGTACTCCGCGCGCCTCGCAGCGGGCCACCTGCGGAATTGGAAGCCTGCAACGGCTATTCCATCAACAACACCCGTTATCAGCTACCGTCTCAATACCGCGAGACTTGCAAACCACCATGAACGCCTCAGAGGAAATCGCGAGACTACAACGCATGTTGATAGCGTCTGAGGAGCGACTTGAAGAAGAGCAGCGCCGACGCGAAGAGGAGCAGCGCTTACGAGAAGAGGAACAGCGCCGACGTGAAGAAGCTGAGGAGCTCGCCAAGGAGTCCACACCACAAGTCCTTCTGCAGTATCTGGAGGCATGCCACTCGCTGAGCCTTGCCATTCAGGTGGTAACCGACCGCTCTCTCACCACCCAAGGGGACACGACTAACCCAACCGGCCGAATATATCCTCGACGCATCATACCGTGGGATGATTTCGCGGCAGGCCAGGAGGGTATTTGGGAAAGACTCGCCGGCGGTTCATTCTCCTCACAACCCGTGTTTCCGACCAGCAACCAGCTTGCATACGTCAGGTCCTTGATCCACCCCATTAGTAGTGAGCTTGGACTTCGGGACTTTGAACGCGACACCGTCGAAAATGCGGTGCGTAAGCTATTTGGGGAGGCTTTCCGCGATCCACAAATTCGATCTGGCTTGGGCCTATAAGGGGATATATCCTTCGAAAGCCACACAAATTTTGGTGGTGACGTTAACACCATCTCTGAGTCTCTGGGAAATGAGTCTATCAGCAAGCATAACACCAGCGCGAAGTCGGTAGTACCAGAGACAGCTCGCCGCCGAGCCCGGGGGAAGGGTAACCGCGCCGACCAGTTCTGTATATACAGGAATGAGGACGGTCAGAATATACCCGTTGTGGCTATCGAGTACAAGCCTCCACATAAACTCACCCAGGAGGAGATAGTGGTCGGCCTCAGATCGGCGATCCAGCCGCAACTTGACGTGATTCACAAGACTGGTGACAGCTTTGAGTTTGCGTCGAGGACCCTCGCTGCTGCCGTCGTCACTCAGTTGTTCTCTTACATAATAGGTAAAGGCGTTCAGTACGGGTACGTTTACACAGGAGAAGTCTTCATTTTCCTTTTCATTCCCGAAGACCCGGCCACTGTCTACTATTTCGTGTCTGTGCCCAACCTTGACGTCCTGGACGATGACCCCACCAGACTTCACCGTACTGCCGTCGCCCAGGTCTTTGCCTTCATCCTCCAGGCCGTCCGTGTAGAGCCACCTCCTGCATCCTGGCACGATGCAGCTGCTGAGCTGGATATATGGGCCATGGAGTTCGACGACGTGCTGAGAGATATCCCGGCGACGATACGTAAGGAGCGACCCACGTCTGCGTATAAGCCTCAGCGTTGGAAGAATTTTATGCGGTCGCCTATTCGAACGCGCTCGCGTTGCAAGCCGGTGCAGGATGCGTTTCCTAGCCAGAGCGATGATGAAGATGACGGCGATGGACCCGCTTCCCCAACCCCGGATCGATCAAGCCGTTCCACCAAGTCTACATCAACAGCGGAAGTGCAAGCCGCAGGCCAGATCAGAGATCGTAGAGAGCAGAAGGAGATGCAAACTGGAAAACACAGGATACAGGATCGGCCCTTCTGTTCTCGGCACTGCCTTTCGGGACTAGTCTCAGGTGGACCAATCGACTCGACATGTCCCAATGCCAAGGATCACAAGCCTGCGCATATAAGCCGCTCCGAGTTTCTCTGCCGGACCCGGGATCAACTGGCCAAGGATCGTGGCCCGGAAGCCGACTGCACTCCTCTTTATCGGGCCGGCGTAACAGGGGCGCTTTTCAAGGTGCGACTATCATCTCATGGCTATACACTTGTCGCCAAGGGTATGCAACAACCGGATTTGCCTCGCTTGCAGCATGAAGAAACAGCGTACAACCACATCAAGCCCATGCAGGGAGACGGTGTTCCAATCTTCCTGGGATTAGTCGACCTCGTCCTGCCGTATTACTACGACTGTGGTGTATTCACCCATTTCATGTTTCTCAACTGGGAGGGGAGACCGTTATCTGAAAGCATTGGGGAGCTCAACAAGCACGATACTGTTCGCAAGGTTACTGGCATTTACACTAGGCTACATCAACTTGGCGTCCTTCACCGTGATGCGGAGTTACGGAACATACTTTACGACTCTCAACACAGGCGTTTCTGCGTCATCGACTTTGAAAGAGCGCTGCTCCCCAGTCGCGAACCGCTGGCATCGATAAGTACGAATGTCCCAGCACGCAAGAGGAAGAGGGGAAAAAAGGATCGTGCTGTAGATCCCTTTGCGCAAGAACTGAGGCGTCTTTGTGAGAAGTTGTCGAGGTGAATCAGGTTGACTAGTCCTTGCAGCTTGTAGGTTAGACATTAGCGAGACGCAGCCGGCGCTATTCCGAGGGGTGGCTCGGTATTTCATAGACGGACATCGGTCCCGCTTGCGATCAGCTCCAGAAGCCTTGAAGTGTACTGTACTGCTGATATTGCTAGAAGCTTAATTTGTCTTGTTCTCACCAGCTGACCATGACTCGAGCTGACAGGTTACTGTTGAGATAATAGTCGACAAGTTTGGCCTAGACTCAGTATGGACGGGAGACGATGGGCACCATGCTAAGAAATCGCTTGAACAATCATGAGTTCTTCAGCTTTAAATTCAAAGTAGGACTCCCGTATATACCCTCATCACCCGAATACTTGGCTATTGATTATAGAGGAAGCTCAAAGATAATATGCTACATATACCACATATATTTTAGTCAATGCTAGGTCAGACTCGGCAGAAGAGCTTGCGTGGTGCTTGGCCTTTTAGAGGCAGTGTTTTGGAAGTACGGCTCATCATCGATCTGAAGGGGTTTTGAACACAGACGGTTTCCAGAAATGGCCTGAATTATCCCAAGCGAGCGTACGTCCGCCATATCTAGGGTGGTGTCTTTGACGTAAGTGCTTCGTGAAGGGTTCACCTATCGCCTCATCGGAGGCAGATGAGATTGTGGTTTTACACCTCCATATTCCCGTGCGTATCTACCAGCTCTATATTCGAAGAGTCCTGAGGTGCTGTATGTATGTTTCCCAGGTTCTGGGATCTCATTCTTCGAATTACCTGGACTATCTGTACCACTACGAAGGCAATAGGAGGTGAGATGTCGAGCAGAGTGGAAGTTGCGCAGAGTATCTATCACGTCAGTCTAGGACAACAATCTTGTATTATAGTACGTACAAGTAGTCTTTGGATGGTTGCGATCGAAGCTGAGAGCGCATGCCAGTTAAAACCTAGTGTCATTATATACAGCACCAGTCGTATATAGATTGCGCGGTGCCCCTGGGTACGCAGCATTCCGATCTGCCACCACTCCCATATCATCCAAACACGAAAGATTGTGACGGAACTTAGAAGTGATTGGCCAGAAAGTGCCTCAAATGCTTCCAAAATCTGTCCAAAACCTAGAATCAACCCAACCAAGAAGAGCAGGAAACTATAGGCAAAGACACAACCTAAAGGACCAATGGCGAACGATCTTTGAACAGGACTCCAGGTTCCGATTGCCAGCCAGAACTTACTTTTAATCAGTGGGTTATTTCTCACGGAGATTTTTGTGCTCACCTCTCGAGCTATACTCCACAGGATCAGAACGCCTAATACGGCCCCTAACCAGGCGACTTCCCGTTGGTACCCAAATACAATAAATGTGACGGACGGTATCAGTCCTAGACTGGAAATCAAAGCGAAACCCATTTTGAAAAGACGATTATGCTCCGTAGTAAACGGCGGTTGCGTCTGTCCAATGTCGGTAATTCGTTTGAAAACCGCGAAGTAGACTACCAGCAGGAGGGACGCTTGGCAAACAAGTGCCGTCGAGGCAACAACCTTTGGTAGGAGGGTGTTGAGGGATTCCATGAGAACGTAGGTTGGTGGGAGTTTTCACAATGAGCGATAGTTTGAGACAATCGTGTTGGACTCGGCATGGCTTCGACACTCCTTGCCAACCCTTAAGTACGTAGGTGCCCATAGTCAGGGGCATGGTCTTTCCATAGGATAACTGTGTAACCCTGCCCCCTGAGGTAGGCTTTTCCAGAACATCGAACGGGCCTCTCTTCAAGCTCCTGACAAGATGCATGAGGCCATGTACTGAGCATCCTTCCAAGCCCCTTATGCGGACTGGTGAATCTTGACTATCGAGGCAGGGCCAAGTATGGAGCCCAGGCTGGGCTGGTCAGCCTCATCGCAGAATGCACATTAACCATAGTCACCCAGGAAAGAAATAGGAGGTGTTTAGATAGTATATGGACTCAAGTGTCCGAATCTCATTGATTTCATCTGCTCGTATGCGACGTTCATCAAAAACTTGACAAAAGCCGCCCCTGCTCGAGCTGGGTTCCGAAGACGCCCAGACAGAAACCCCCCCGAGCTCGAGTCTATCCCGACTTCCCTGGGGATATACCAAAATTCATCGAAACTCCTGCGGGCGTCTCTTACGCCGCCAATGCTCCCCCCTTTGCAGTAACGCCCATCAATGATCAGTAGTATGTACAGATGTGAGAGTCACCCTCGCTGGCCTCGAGTTGGTGTGATATATATACCAGGCTGCGCCCCCGAGTGATATCCTTAATAAAATAAATCCCCTATGATCCGCTTTTTAATAACCCATTTCGTCAGACATGATCCGGCTGAATGAAGCCAGAATCCGAAGACAAAAACCCGAAAATGAGAATGCTGTGTTTTATCCGAGCGCCACGCTAATGATTGAATGCAGGAATGACTACCCATGAAAGATCAAAGGTCTCCCAGTCTCAGGACGGTGCAGTGCCACCTCCGAAGATGTCATCTACGGGCCGCCTCGGAGCTGATGGCGAAAGCGGAGACACTGGTGAGGCATTGCTCCTCTCCCCCGCGGGGTTTCGCACTCGGGGTGAGGTGGGCGAGACAGCACTGTCTCGCCTGGCCGATGTGAGTGGGAAGGTGTCATTCCTTTGCGTTGGGCTCAGTGTTGGGCCCGACATGTTTGACGTGTTGCTGTAGGCTCGGGTGTCTATCGTTGGGAACGGGACCGCCCTGGACGCATTGCTCGATCCTGTTGCCGTACTACCGCCGGCAGCTGGTGCACTAGGAGCACCAGCTTGTGGTTGCTGCTCTTCTTCCATAAGTTGGGCGAGAGCTGCACCGCGGCGTGGGGGCGGCGGAATCACCACCACCTCGAGGCTCTCCGTGTCTGGGGTTGGGCGCATTTTCTCCCGTATCCTCTCAGCCTGCGTAGCGGCAAAGTCTTCCATGCGTTCCCGGATGTCCATCCAGCCTCGGTTTTCATACTCACGCCTGGGTGCTGATGGTTTGTTGGTGTGCGGCGCAACTTCTGCAGGGGGCCCGTTGACGCCAGGTCGAAACTTTGTCAACGACCGCCACCTGCTCGGTTTGGCATCGTCTTCATCGGGCTTCGAAGATGGTGGTATGGCCTCGGCGCGTGCTGACGGGCTTGGAGAGCGCTCTCTGGGATGAGAAGATGCTCTGCTGTTGCTTCTCGATACTGGGCGTCCCAGTCTGTCGTCTGTTGTCCGTGAAGTGGTCTCTGTCAAGGGCTGATAGCGCACAGCGTAGACCGTGCTGTCGGCGCTCGCCGTATCCGTTCTGCTGATGGGCGTGGCTGCTGGAGGCGGGCGAGATATCCACAAAGGCGGCTGCAGGAGCCGGGGTCCGGATTTGCTGGCGGCGGGAGCTGCGTTGTTGGCCCGTTGCTCCCTTGTGTCCAAATTGCTCCCGGATCGTGACATATATCGACTAGCGATGGAAGACATCGCTGGCCACATGTTACCGCGTCCATGAGTGGACGAGGTTTGCTGGCTTCCTCCGCGGCCGCTCTCTCCGCCATCATTGTTGTTGTTGTCGTCCTCATCCTTCTTCTTAGTCCTACGCCGCCTCGGCCAAGGAAGGTCTGAATTCGAAGCATCCATCATCTCATCCCCATCGAACACCTCCCGGCCTAAAATACCATCCTTCTTCTCTTCTCTTTCCAAGGCCTCAATTCGCTCAACCCATTCCCACACAACAACACTTGCGGCCGCCGCGCCCACCCAGCGGACGTAATCACCCCATCCAGTAAAGTCCGGTTTCGAAATATCGAGGATGAAGAAGACAACTGGCACAAGTAGCGAGATAATCGATAGCACGGCCATCAGGCTGATGTTCTTCATCAATGGATGGAAGTATGCGTAACGCTTCTTCATCAAGGAGTAATAGATAACCCAGGCAGCGTATAAGAGGCCTAGGGAAAGTTGGAATAAATAGCTCAGAGCCGGTACCGCGTCTGTGAAATTACGCGGCCTGGCATTGCCGGGGCCATCATATAAGAAGCTATTGAGGGCCCCAAATATGACATCCAGAGTGATCAAGGAAAAGGCGGTCCACTTGATAATGATCTTTTCCCTCTGGCGAGGGAAGAGACGGATCAGGGTCTGGGCTTGGGCAAGCCAGAGAAACGTGTCCGAGATGAGTCGGATGATCTTCAGCTGCGTGCCGTTGAGGACTTCGTCCTGGAGAGCTTGGGCGTTCTGAATACCATCGGCATATTGATCCTCAGCCACGCGGAAAGTATCGGCCGTGGCGATCGTCAGAGAGATGGCAACCGTCAAGGCAGCAACCTTCTGAAGCCACGGCCGTCCTCCGATGCTAACACCGTTCGAAGGTCCATTTGTGAATCCGCGACGTCCTAGCACAACGACGCCACCGTCAAGAAAGGATCTCGGCGCAATGAAGAGCATAATGACCAGCGTGTAGGCGATGATGGTGGTGGCCGCAAGCGCGTAGCATTGCGGAAACGTAGAGGCGTAGAAGGGGTCGCGAAAATCCGAGAGCTGAATGCCAGAGCCAGAAGACGAGGAAGACGTCGAGGAAGACCCGGTGGCGGGTGCCACGGTTTGGTCGATGGTGACGCCCGTGTTTCCAATGATGACAGGCTTGGCCTGCAGAGCATCGGCGCAGGAGGGCTGGAAGGAAGCGTCGGCAGTCAGCTTGATGACCTGGCCATCGCTCAGGGTCAGGACGCCGTCGACGGGTAGGTTGATGGACGAGCAGCTGAGGTCGCCGTCTGACCTGGGCGCGACGGCCGCGGTCGCGCTCGAGTGCCGTGGCGCCTTCATGCTGCCTGGGCGAGCGGAGCGGCCTGCCGCTATGCGACGACGTTGGGGCGATAAAACCGCTATCTGGAGGCACTCGCCATGAGACCACCAGGCCCTCGAAGGGCGATTTCGCGGGATGTCGTCGGTGGAAGACGGCCAAGTCTTCGGGGTGGTCGTCGTGTGCTCGAGGGGGCCGTCGAGTCGATCGAATCTGACGCCGGTACCCGACGCTCTCGACCCGTGGTTCAACGGCAGCGCCAGGAAAACTCGCGGGCTCGCAATTCTCCAGCCACAACACGCGACTCGTACTTGTCGCAATTGGAATTTCTCGATGGGTCGTCGTCAGCGGACGAGTTGCACGGCGGGGATGGCGTTCGTGGTATGGAAGTCGAATGTCTGGGCGCCGAGAGATTTCTGGGAACGAGAAGTAGCGAGAGTCGGGGTGCCGGATGGGGGGGAATATGGGCTGCAGTCGTGCACCCAGTGGCAGCCGGGGGAAACTCTTGGGGACTCTTGGGGGGAAACGGCGCTGGGTCGCGCAGGGCCGGGGGGTCCAGCCCAGCGATAACGAACGCTAGTCTCCAACGGGTAGAAGAGCCATCTGACGAAGTGTGCGCTAGCTGTTTAGCGGCGGGCGATGGGTTAGCCGGGGGGGAAGGGTTGAGGGGGCAAGGGGGGGGGCCCTGGGGTGGTTGTCTGCGCTGAACCAAACACGCACCACACGCACCACACCAGCCCACCCAGCAGGCGGCACCCGATGCAACTCGAATCCTGCTAACCCGCCTTTCTGGACGCTTTCTAGGTCGTGGGATTGTGTGCGTGTGTGTGCGAATGTGGCCTCGGATCTGCAGATGTCCAGGATATCAGCTACATAGTAGAGGTGCGCCCAGATGTTCCCAGTTCCCCCCTCCGTGCTCAATACATTGCCGTTGTTGCTCGCCGCGCACCTGGGCTGGTTGGCTTGCTGGCTTGCTGGCTTGCTGCGCTCTGTTCCCTTCCTCGCCATCTTGAGCGTTAGCTGGCTCTGTGTCCGTCTCGAAAGTGTTTTGAAATATCCACAGGCTAACGGTAAATGGGCACCGACCGACCGTGTGGGGCCTCTACGACAGCAGACACGTCCGCACAGCGGCATTGGACTTCGGGGTCAACGTGCATGGGCAGTGGCGACACGGTGTCCTGGTGGTGGCTGTGTAGCACAATGCTACCCTCGTCGCCTACAGAGTGCATACTATTCCAACTACGATGCTGCACCAGGCGAGTTATAGCGACTGCAATTGACCAAAGCAAGAACGACGTCGATCAGCCATACCATAGTAGAGGTCTACCATAGCACTGTTTCTGCATACCTAGGCAAGCTAGGTACGTATCTACACGTGAGTGACAGAAGCTTGGTGCGCGGTGTGGATGAGCATCGTATGGTACATGGAGTGTTCTGGTGCCTGTTGTCACTTACACTGGAGAGACACGTCGGGTTTGGACCTATAATTGCCGGGGTTGCTTGAACAATGTTGCTTTCCTCGTTCATGTGCGACAATGGGGACTGTTTCGGGCAGACTCGGGGCATGGCTCTCTGTTATTGATTCATCCGTCCCTCACCCATTTCCCATGCGAACCTGCACCCGTTTCCTGTTTGGGCCTGCAGCGCAATGCAGCACGCGGACTCGGTTAGGTGTCGCCTTTTTGGCTCTGACCAACCACCGCCCGCCCGGCTTCCAGACGACACCCCAAAGTTGGAATGCGAAGTTCCTCAACCATCGCAGACGCCGGCTACACGGAACCTGAATTGCCCAATACTGCGGCGCGAGATGCCAAATAAGCTTATTGATGCCAGAGTGCATGGCGCCCACATGACTGTACCGGCCACCTGCCCAGAAAGGGAGCCCAATAAGAACGCAGAGGTGAGCAAGCCCGCATGGGAGACACAGTGCGCTGGGACGCGAGCGGGCGAATCCAACCCAAACCACTCTGGGAACTGGCCTTGGCCAATGAAGGCAGCCTTCGCCGAAAGTGTAATCTGATGACCCGGTGGCTACAATGCAAACCAGTATGGACTCTCTTAGCTGCAATTTGCTGAGGGACGGCCGCGAAAGTCACAGTCCGGTCCCAAGGAACCCATTCCCATCTGCCCTAGTGGCCGATCCGACACAGCTTGGAAGCATGTTTGGACGAATATTGCTATTTTTGTAACGGCGTGTCTCTTTGTCGCGAGTTGAAACGCTTTCGAATCCAGAGTTGATGACTGTCCGGATCTCCCGTCGTGCGGACCGCACGCAACAGGAACACACACTTTAGTGTCGGAGCCGACTGATGTGGTTGGTGTCGGAGGAGGGGGTCCCTGCAAGCTTACAGGCTGGAAATTGGGTATTGCGGTACATGAGTGTGGTAGTGACATGCGTGGGGGCAGTAGTATCTTTTCATCCATACATCGCAGATGGCAGCATGGCAAGGGTCATCCGGAGGCGGAAAAGCGAAATCAAGAAAAATCCCTACGCGTCTCGCTGCCCCCCGGGCCAGAACAGATCGGCGGATAAAAAGGCGGATACTGAAAAGCGGGTTTCGATACCTCTGTGCGGCTCATGCGCAACTCTCGTCCCAGCGACGGCATCGTCAGGAACCGCCAACGACGAAATGCCATCACCGGTTTGACTTCCTTCGCTGCTGTGCCAGGAACCGTTTGTGGTACGGCGTCAGCAGCCCCGCACCGGTTTTTTTTCTTCAGCGTGTGCACACGACGCCGTCTTGTCTAACCGTTCGGTTGGCATCGCCAAGTGTGCTTGTCTTGCACAGCCGCCATGGCCAGCTGACCTTGGCGCTTGGCAAAGCTTATTGCCCGTGAGAATCCCTTGGCATCCCAATTCCTGAGCGTCTCGAAAAAGCCTCAAGAGGCCTGCCGCAGATCACGTCTCGGGAGTTGCGAAAGAAACAACACCGTGGAAACAGAATCCTCCACGCAATTCTCAGGTTCGTCATTGTTGCAAGGGGGGGCCTGACATGTGTGTTGAAACACAGGTTCTCTGTTGAGGTGGTCCTGCGGGAGTCTCATAAAAGCAAAAGAAAACGTCCTTCCGGATAATGCCGTAACGGACAATGGCATCCAATTCGGCGCAACGGGGCGTTGCAACCCAAGCATATCGGAATCGCGGATCGATCTCGAAGACCGCGTGTCAATCCGTTACAAGCTTTTGCGGTTCTTGACTACGCAAGCCAAGCGTGTCAAATCGTAGTGATGATTAGAGTTTGATGGCCAAGCTTGAACCCCCAAGATTGGCATCAAGTGCCGATGCGGCTATCCGACGTCACTCACTGCTGCGGTCAGAATATTCAATAGTTTTCTCGCAAGCTACATAAGATGGGCAAGCCAGTTCTCCATCTGCCGTCACAAACACTGCAGGCAACCGTAGTACGCGGAGCGGGCCATCATCGACAGCCACTCCGGGCAATTCTGCACAAAGTTTGCTTTTCCAGCCTGCCACGAGTGCCGCCAACGCCGAACAAGGCCGAGGTCATGGCACCTCCGTAGCATGATTGGGTAGCTCAAAGGCCTCACGTAAGCAAAGGACGGTGCAGGTCTTATCGAGGGCAGCTCACTCGCTGGCGCTTCGAGGTTCGCAACTCAGTGTGTTTTTTGAATAGTCTCGACTCGATCCGTCCCGGGAGCTTGGCATGTGGTACACGGACAAACCAACGTGCGCATCATCGTGTGAGATGGTTATATGACCGGCGGCAGTGGTCCTTGGGCAAGGATCTCCATATAGCTGATACGTCACCGAAGTCGACTTACAGAACGAAACGATCAATTATTAGGCCCAGCACCTGCCCTTCGGAATAAGGGTGGTTTGGGGCATCGTAATCTGAAGACCTTGTAGATCGTTTCCTTCAGCTATATCATCGCATGCGCGAAAGCATCCTGGTTGACCTACCACATTGTTCAACGCGTATGAACGAGTTGTATCAACCATTATGCTCGTTCAATTCATGCTTCTCTTCAATGGCCGGCCACATGGTATGGCGATCTTGTAACTGTCTAGAGCAACCTTTGCCCTGCGAGATACGAATGGCGCCATCTCTGGGCTTAGATTGGACTACTCGGATTTATAACATGTTGAAATCACACTAAACGTGTGGGAATGCTCCCCCAATAAGGACATATCAAGGCTTCTTTACTTTGTTGTTACATTCAGGAGACAGTGCCTGTACCATTAGGTGACCTATCTTACAAACCCAGCCCTGTCCCGAGCTATTAAAGCATACTTGCGGTCACCGAGACACAATCCTATTGATTCCATCCAGTCCACGAAAATAGCACTCCTGCTTACATGGCTTTCCCTCGACATGGACGGGGCTGATGGCCTTCCTTGTCGGGAAGGAACCGAATTTCCATCTCTCTAGTACCTCTTCGGATCCCGGGGGCCCAGCCATCACTCATCCAATTTCAAGCCCTCCAGCTCCTTCTTCAGCACCTCGACGGGCCGGAACGTCGTCGTGAACCTGCCAATGACGCGCACCTTCTGCGGCACGCTCGGCTCTTCGTCCTCGGCGGTTTCGCCCCTCTCGCGGGCCTGGGCCGCCTCGATCTGCGCGACGCTGCGGACCTCGCCAAAGTCGCCCCGGACGCCCGTCTTCTCCTCGCCCCAGACCTCGAAGAAGGGGAAGCCGTGGGTGGCGTACGTCTGGGCGTCGATGGGCGTCGGCGGCGGCGGCGCGCCCGTCACCTCGGCGAACGCCTCCGAGTCCAGGATCTGCAGGTTGAGCAGGATCGCCGCCGCCGTGTCCCACACGCCCGCCGGGTGCGGGTCCGGCTCGATCGTCTGCTGGATCAGCCCGCCCGCCGCCAGGCCCAGCTCCTTGACCCGGCGCTTCGGGGCGGCGCCGCGAGGTGCCGACCTTCGATCCCTGGCCACGGGGGAAAAGGGATTGCCGGCGCCGGCGCCGGCGCCGAAGCCGGAGGACGAAGTCATTGCGCATTTCATCATTGGTGCCGCGGGAGGTGGTGCGGATGCGAGCATCGCCCCAGCGACTGTGGCAGATGTTAGCTTCACTTCCAACATTGATGGGCTATGCAAGCTCGGGAAAGGGACACACTTACATGGCATGCTCTGCATGGAAGCCATGGTCCTGAATTGGCCGGCCGGGGCAATCGGTTCGACATGGGAGAGCCTCAAGAGGGAACTGGACTTGAGGTAAAGCCCGCCTAGCTTGACCGTCTTGGCCGAGTCTCCCATGGTACTGATGTCACCTTGAATTTGCGGGTCGTAGGGTTGCACCTCAAGGTGTTGGTCCTGGATGGCGACGTCGAATTCATCCCGCAGCACCTTTCTCAGGTCGAATAGACTGCTCTGCGCATCCAACCCCTTTGCGGCAAAGTTCAGGGTTCTCTTGATGACCTGGTGCTTCTTGTTCTCGTACCGCACGTCCACTTCCTCCGGGACCTCGTACTTGACGGGGATGACCTCAACCTGGATGCCGCCGACCTTCTCCTCGCCCGTGACCTGGACTTCGACCGAGAAGCCGGAGCCCTTGGGCTTGGCGACGAACTGGCGGATCTTGCCGTCCTCGCTGACGATGCCGTCCAGCCAGCGCTGGCCCGGCACGACCATGTAGTCCTGGATGGGCTTGCCGTCCTTCAGCATGCGCAGGCGCTTCTGCTGCGTCCGCTCGTTCTCCTCCATCGGCAGACCCGACACGGCGTTGACGCCGCCCACGTAGATCTTGAGCGCGAACGGCGCCCGCGCCCGGAAGTTGATCCACATGGCCTCGCGCTGGTACATGGGGAAGAACAGTCCGCCCTTGGCCGCCATGTCGTCCGGCATGCGCGACGCGTAGTCCTGCACCTTGAAGAGCGGGAAGTGGCCCAGGCCGGGCGGCAGCATGTTGGTGTCCTTGTTGTCCGGGACCCGGATGGTGCGGTTGAGCTCGATGACCAGGGCTCCCTCCGTGCTGCCATGGTTGATCCGTATGGAATCTGCGCCGGCTTGATCGGATGTGCTGGAGGGTGGCAGGTCGACGGTCAGCTGTCTGGATTGCGGGAGAGGTTCCCGGGATCCTGTGTTGGCTTCTTGCAGGATGTCTACCTGCTGGGCGAGCGGGATGGTGTTTGTGAGAACCATATTGGTGGGGTGTTCAAGTTGCTTGTGGGGGTTTGAGAACCAAGGTTGCCGAATATTCTGCAGTAAAATTAAGTCCGAGGTTGTTTATGGGGTTGTAAGTGGTAAAATGATGGAGAATCTTGAGCAGATCTGAGAGTTGATAAATGAACGGGCTGAGGCCTCCTTGACCTCAGCTTCTGTGATTGTCGTTGCCCTATAAGGTAGCCTACCCGCAGGCACCAGCGACCTATGACCGAATTAAGTCAGTGGCGGAACAATGGCGGAACGTTATTGGCTGGCATCCCAGCCTAGTAGAACTAGTATTGACGTGGTCACACTTTGGCGCAGAATCATCAAGGGCCCTATGCCTCGATGCCTCCGGCGACTACTTTGAGAAATACATGTCGAAAGGCTTCGTGCATATCTACGTTTCAAAGTTCAGGCAACAACAAAGGAAGCCTAAATGTGTTGTGTGCGCGGTTTCACGACAGACAAACATTTCGTCCGCCTAAGTTTCCAGTCCTGAGAAACAAGTCCCATAAAAAAGTGGCTATTGGTGTAAGACGGAGAAGTTCTATCAAGATCACAATGAACGGAGCATCGATGTGCATGAATATATGACTAGAACTTCATGACCTTTGTCATCTTGTATGAATCGGAGAATCTAGAGTGGCTCAGTGGAAATCTTGCCACATAGCATGGCATGCGCTCTTTGTAATAAGATTACTCGCAAACTTCATGTTTCTTCAATTTTCTCGTAGATATAGATGCTTGACATAGACTATTGCGTCAAACATAGACAAGTAACATAGCGATTTCAGTAGCCATCATCGGACACCGAAACCACTTCCGATTGTTTAAGTATCATGCTCCTTTGAAATCGGAAGCTGCTCTGCCTACCTCAATCTGACACTGGCGCATCTGGGCGTCCCACATTATTACCATCACTTAAGCAAGAGACTCTGCTTCGGGCAACATCACGTACGGGGACTTGACTCGCCGGTGGGTAATCAGCCGCCAATAGAGACTGAAACCCAGGGAGGCAGCTCTGGAGAAGACTCAGACCAAGACATTGATACCAATCTGGAGACGGACAATCTCTGGTATGCTTTCAAAGAAGCCTGCCCTTTTGATACTAACTGTTTCAGCCACAGGTAAGGGGTCTTCATTCCTACGGAAGTGTGGAAAGAGCTAGCACCAACCGAGATCCGAACGGACACAATACTATACTGCGATCACCGTGGCAATTTTATGTTCAACAGAAACTATGCCTACAAAGCCTTGAGGAAATGATGGGCGACCCCGAAGTCAAGGGGCCGAGGATACACCTTAGCAATCAGCTGGATCCGTCTCCGGACAAGACTCAAGGGTACCTCGCTTGGTGTGCACGCGCTGTGGAAGGACCCCAGAAAGGACTGGCACGCCGCAGACCAGCAGAGGCATTGGGCACGGCAATATCTTCTTTTCTGGTCATGCCAAGTATCGTTGCATGCCTATATTTTAATGTAGCTGCATGGCGCGGATGGATTTAAGCCCAGACAGGCATAATCAGTCGTGGACAATGTCATCCTTGAAGATTCCACTGCAATTTTAACCATCACGAAAGGGATGCCCCTGGTCGTTATGACCGTCAGGATTGCACTGCAGTTTTAATCCCCACAAAGGGCTTGCCTCTCCCTGGCTTACACGCCGCAACGTGCAGAGCCAGCCAACGTCGCTTCTCGGAACCGGTATCCGCTCTACCTGGATCTGTAAAAGAGTAGGCAGTCATGCCTATGGAACCTAGTTCGTCTACTACTTGATAAAGGTCTCTAGACGGATAGACGAACGAGAATGAATTAGCACACAACATGCAACGCTTCGTGTCCTAGGTTTCGGCAGCGTCTTTCGTCACGAATAGACAGTAATGATGAATCAATGATGTTTATTCTATTCGCATTGCCCTCTTTGGTATTCCGACCCTTATAAATTTACAGTAATTCTAGTCACAAGCGGTCCTCACAACACCAGTCTGCCCGGGTCCTGCTCGAGCACCGTCTTCAGCCTCGCCAGGAAGACCTGTGCCCTCTTCTCCTCGCTCTTGGGGACCTTCAGACTAAAGGTGTTGGTGCCTGCCGAGATGCCGGGCTGACCCAGGGATTGGGCGGCGGGCTTTGCGCTCTTCTTGGGGGATCCGGACAGCAGGTCGATAATGTCCACCTTGGAGGGCTTCGGCTTGGGGGCGACGCCGGTGAACGACGTCGGCGGCACTGCCGTGATCTGTGGTATGTAAAGGCCGCGGGACACCTTGGGGTCGACCTTGTCCAGCCCTAGCACCTGGTTGAACAGCTCGTTTGCGCTTGGCTTGTAGTTGGAGGGCAGAGGCAGCTCGTCGTTGGCCACTTCGGCGGCACGGGCGACAAATGTCGACAGGGGCAGGAAAGTACCCAGCGAAGCCTCGATCTTCTTCTGGGTCTCGATGACGGATGCCAGCGAGATAGGGAGAACGACCAGAAGGTCCTCGGGGACGGGAGCCTCAGGGGCGGCGGCCTTCTGGGCCTTGGGCGGTGCAGCTGGCGCGGCAATCTTGATGTTGCTCAAATCCAGGTGGGAGTTGTGATCGAAGCGCTTCTTGATGTCGGCCGGGCGGCTCTCGGTGATGGAGCCCAGGTAGGCCAACACATCGCCCTTCAGGAGCCGGCCTTGGGGACCGGTCGGGGTGATCTCGCTGAGGGCGGCCTCGTCGAGCTTGTGTTCCTTGACCAGGTGCTCGACCGAGGGGTACAGGGGGTACTTCTGGGGCGGTGCCTTCTGGCCAGAGGTCTTCCTCTTGCTGGGGTCGGCGGCCTTCTTCTGGGGAGCGGCCTCGCTGGGCGCTCCAGACTGGGAGGGTGCCTCTTCCTTCTTGGCGCCCTGCTGGGCGGACTTGGACTCGTCGGCGGGGATCTCGAGGGAGCTGATGTCGTCGCCGGGCTCGGCCAGAACACCAATGCGGGTTCCGACCTGGACGGCCTTGCTGCCGTCGGCGGCGAAGATCTTCATCATGATGCCGTCGTCCTGCGCCTCGACGTCCATGGAGGCCTTGTCGGTCTCGATCTCGAGCAGCACGTCACCGGCGGCGAACTCGTCGCCCTCCTTGACCTTCCACGTGGCGATGTTGCCCTCGGTCATGGTCGGGGACAGGGCGGGCATGGTGAAGTTCTGGGCAGCCCGCGAGGCGGCGGACGTCCGCAGACCTGGCGGTGCGAGTTAGCATGCGGCGCGACCCAGGGACCCAGGGGCCCAGGGGGAGGGATGGCAGCCATACCTCTGACTGAGGCATCTTGGGCGACTCGTCGGCTTGCCAGCCGGGCGGACAGGCGACACGCCGTCGCAAAGGAAGCCATGGTTTCGGCCAGATGTCGTGGAGGGCAGGCTGGAATGGGGGGGGGATGAAGCTCAATTGAGCTTTTTTAGGCGTTGGGATGCAGGCCTGGCCAAGCCAAGCCAGTGCCCCTGCAAATGCGCGCGCCAGTTAGCTCTAGCGTCCAGGGCAGTTAGCTCCCAACCCGCCCCAGCGCTTTGGTTGGGGGTGTTTTGGTCCCTTGGGCCAGTCAAAACCACCGCTGTGAGCCCCCCGGGGCAGCCCGGCCTTTTCCGGCGCTATCGGACCTTCTTCTCGCCTGTCCTCCGCTGCCTGTGGCCTGCGCGCTCAACCGCTGTCAGCCCTGTCAGTCCAGGGTCGATCGAACCCAACTGGACTGCTGACTGGCCCTGACTGGCCCTGACTGGCCACTGGGCGGTGTCGCTGTTACGTTTGGCCGACCCGGTCGCAGTTCACTTGGACAAGCCCGCTGACTTGGGAGGAGGGCTGCAGGTGGCCGGTGGGAATCGGCCGGCGCTGAGGTCGCCAGTCAGTCGAATAATTTTGGAGCTCCCCGGCCGCGTGAAGCTGTCGCATCCCGGGAAGCCCAGAGCCTGAGAACGCCATTGCGCCTCCAACCCACCTCGAGCGCGCGTCCTACAGTCTCTGGCCTTCTGCGTCTCCCGATGGCGATTCCGGCCTCAAAATGTCGGGGCTTCACCCACCCCGTCGTTCTCCTGATCAGGAGCTCGCTGCAGCCGGCCGCCCGGCCGTCCTTCTTCACGGCTAGCCGGTCCCCATGCCTTCCATCGTCGACGCTGCGACCCTCGATTCGGCTTTTCACGACCGGGCGAGTCCTGGGAGCGCAGATCAAGGCCAAGCCTTCTCCCCAGGCCCTCAAAGCTACTGCTAGAGTCGCGGCGCAGTCACCAAGACCGGCCGCAACCACTTCGTACGAGCAGAAGCTGGCGCAAAACCCGCTCGGCACCGTCCTCTACGAAGGGGCGCCGCAGAAGCTCTTCATAGCCTCGAGTTTCGCTGCCGGTTTTGTCTGCTTGGGCGCCGCCTCGCTGGACGTCTACTTCAATGTCTTCAACATCCCGCAAGGCGTCCCCGAGTGGACTGCCTACGCCTTCGGCGCCGTCGGCGTCATGCTCGCCATCCTGGGTACCAACTTCCTCCTGTACCCCTCCAGCATTGTGCGTAGCATCAGGATCCTTCCCGCTGCCGCCGAAGCTGCCTCCAAGTCGGCCACCGGCGCGAGAGGGCCCGCCAAGGTGCAAGTCGAGGTGGTTTCAAGGAGACTCACCCCTATCCCCGGCATGCCGTTCAAGAAGGAGATAGTCGAGCCTCGGGACATTGTGTTACGCGCAAGGATGTTCGAGCCCAAGCCGCCGCCCACGCAGATCGAGCAACTACGCATGAGACGGGAATGGGCCGAGCGCAAGAAGGCTCAGAAGGAGTACGACGACGAGCATCGCATGACGATACCATTCCGGGACGCAAAATGGGCCGTGTCCACCATCTTCTCCAGCATACGGAAAGGCCTGACTGGGGAGGGTTTTGTCCCCATAGAAGTCAAGGGCAAGAAGTACAAGCTGGACTTGCAGGACGGCTACGTCTTCGAGGAGGGCCGAGCATTGGATCGATTGGTGAGAATTGAGCCAGACGAGAAGGGGACGCCCATGCTACTTCGCAAGGCATAACGCCCTGCATTGTACCAGCGATGGCGACTGTATGGTATATTGTACACTAGTTGCTCTTCTCAAAGACCATTGTTGTAATAGACGGGCCAGTCCTACGGGGAAACTGCGGCAATCAACCAGATTGTGATGCGCATGCATGTCACCTTGCGGGTGTCTACAACGATGAGCTTATCCTCAGAGCACTGGTTCATAGTGAGCTCTATGTATCTGCGGATGTTATTCAGGATCATTCAAGATCCAATATAATAGGTCTTTGGCTGCCTTAGGGCTAAGCGTAAGCTGCAGAAAAAATCACTTGAAAGGCCGGATAGACATGGATTGAGTCGGGCGAACCCGGCCAACTGCTTCAAAGTATCAACAACGTCGTGTGATTATAACTCAATTCGTTGTGATTGCGGTATATACATTTCGACAAGATAAATATATTCCACTTGGCCTATAAACTCAAACCCGTAAATTCCGATCGCACCACTATCGCCAGGAGTCAAGATGAAAGTGCTGGTATTGGGTATGCCCCGCACAGGGACTCAGTGTAAGTGAATGAGGACCCCCGTGAACAGCAACAGCCAATCCAGGCCAACTTTGAGATCTCGACTGACGCAGCGTTCCAGCCCTGGCCGGCGCTTTGGCCGAGCTTGATATCACGCCCACATACCATATGCGTGAGGTTGCCAAGAACAAACAGCAGGTGGCCTGGATCAAGGCCATCGAGGCCAAGTACGAGGGAAAGGGGACGCCGTCCGGACGCGAGCAGTTCGACGAGCTCTTCGCCGGCTACGAGGTATTCTTTCTAGACGCTCGCTGTCTATTTTCCCTTTCAGCCTTTCCCTCCAGGTCATTTGCGCTTCTCCACACACAGTTCCAGTCTCGAGACGTCTGATAGTCCCTGCTGATATTCCGCTCCTTTTTCGATATAGGCCGTGGCCGACTACCCGGCGGCCATCTTCCCGAACGAGCTGCTCACCGCGTATCCCGAGGCGGCCGTCATCCTGACGACGCGCGGCGAGGACGCCTGGTACGCCAGCATGATGTCCACGCTCGTCCACGCGCACCTCCACGCGCCGCGCAAGAACCCCTCGCTGGCGGCCAAGTATCATACCCATTGCGTAAGCCATCCCATCCCCGAGACAGGGAACCCCCGCCCCAAACACCATCTTGCGTGCTCTCGTCTGACAGTGGAGAATGCCCGGAGGAACAGTGGAAAGACGACTTTCCAACGTACGGCCGCGAGGCGTACCGGAGGCAGAACGAGGTCGTGCGGGAGGCGGCAAAGGGCAGGAGATTCCTCGAGTACAAGACGGGCAGCGGATGGGGTCCGCTGTGCGAGTTCCTGGGCGTTGACGTCCCGGAGGTCCCATACCCGCGAAGCGACGACTGGGTGGCGTATAAGCAAGAGGTCAAGGAGAAGGAGAAGCTGGCGAGGCTGGCGGTGGAGGAGAAGGAAAAGGAGATGGGGCAGGGTAAACAGACAGAAGAGGCGTGAACTACGCAAGACGGGAGCTACGTTGGTTATCTGGCTTGGTCGTGGGTAGTGGTAAAAGTGACGGCGCATGCTCATTGTTCTCTCTCACATTGCCAGACGGGCAGCACAGAGGATCGGTTGAATGTCAATTTAATAAGCATCCGTAATCTGAAAAGCAGATAGATGCCTTGCGGGACTGTTGGTTCCCGCGAATATGGATGAGCCCCATGTCACCTCGAGAATCGAGATGAGTTATAAGCGACGGGCCGATCCACTGCATACTTCACTCTCCACATCGTTGCCCATACCAATGAGGCGACAACCGGTATAGAGGAGATGAGAAAGCCTGCTCATCCGAGGGAGAACCAAAAAAAAAAAAGCAATGCTGACTTTGGAAAATCCCCGAGGGTATCAACGCCCCTTTTCTCCACGTTCAGTCGAATCCATGCCAGATCTGAACCGACCCTACGCCGATATATATCCCGATGTATGCCATGTTCTCCTTGCCTATGTCCTTGCCCTGTAACCATGTACCCCTTTCCTGCTCCTGCGCAAGTTTTATTTTTGAATTTGAAGATGATGCCGTATTAGAAAATGCTTCACATTATACAAACGAAGTGGAACAATCAAAACGTTGTGCTATCGGAAATCGCCAGCTGGGTATATAGGCACGGGGACGTTCGCAGCCAGGACGGAACCGAGGGCGATGGGATGAGGGCCTAGCGAGTAGTTGCCGTAGTTGGTGGACTCGACATGATGCGATATTGCCATGGGCCCGCTGGACGCATGCCACGTCGGCCACAGGCTGTCGAAGTCGAACTCGGCCTCCGCTGCGTGCAAGGCGTCCATGCCCGGCATGCCCGAGGGCAGCGCCGTGTTCACCGGGGAAGACCCCGTGGCGTCCGGGCTCGGTTGCTGAAGGACCGAGGAGACCAAGGCGGGTACCGGGATGGTATGAGCGGTCGACAGGAGCGGCCGCTCATTCTTGACAATGGGCGCAAGCGTGGGTTGCTGCTGCACTGGGCTGTCGTGGCTGCGAGCGAAGAAGTGGGCCATTGGGTCGTGCTGGGGGTTGCTTGAGGTCGGCGTGATGATGGGGACCTTGCGGCCGGGGAAGGAGATTTTCCTGGCCGATACTGACCTGCTCAGGTTTGCCTCGTGGAAAGCCTCCACGATGAACGAGACTCGTTCTGCCTGGGGGTCGTGTTCGGCGCAGTATGTCAGAATGGAAATACAACTGCTGATGGCCAGATCTGCGTCCGGGTTGTGGTACAGTGATGCGAACTCGTTACTTAGAACAATCAATCCGGCGGCAAATACGAAGTATCTATGTACTATCAGTCCATTGGCCCTCAGGAGACATCGTAGGGGTGGAGAGCCACTCACATGACAAATGGATTACACTGGGGTAGGTATTTTCCGTCCATCGCGGCTTTTGCGACGGCTAGGGTGTGCTGAGCAGCCTCAACACATGTTTGGGCAAAGCTCTCCATTCTCTGGCTTAGGCGAGAGGGCTTGTGGGTCACACCTGCTTTGAGTATATATAAGAAGAAGGGACGTGTCAAGAGTATGATAGAATGGCAATGCAACAGGTTGATATGCAAGATGGCGATGCCGTGGCTTGCTGGAATAGACGAGTCTAACGCCCGCTTCCAATGAAGAGATTGGTGAAGAGACTGATTCCATCCTTCGAGCTGCGACGCAATTTGCTGCGCTACCGTGGTCGATATCTTCCTCTTCGAATATACCTGTTTCAAAGTGGCTCCAATGACGCGGCACGTTCTCACTGCGGCATCCAGAGCTGCAGAGGCAATTTTGTCTGCTTCTGTGTCAAAGGAAGTCTCTGGCGCATCCAAGGCATGCTCGGAGCAATCATCCTCAGAGATGGCTGTAGGCCTCCCGAGTGAAGCTGACAGGAATCGATCGAGCACGAACAGAGCTCTCCAGAGGTTTCTGCGCACTTTGATCTCTGTCTTGCTGAAAATAAGAGCATCCTCCTCTCGATGCAGGCCGAGTGCAAATGCCGATCTCACGGCCATGCCTGGTTAAGTGTCAGTATCGTAACATGCTGTATAATATGTCGTTACTCACCATAATATGCATACGCTGCATTTCTTTTTGACACCGACAACATATATAACGCCATCAGGAGCAGTGCTTGTACCGACCAGAAGTCAGCATCTTCGAATCCCGAAACCGGATCGGCTAAACTTTTGGCATTTCGGAAGAAGACCTCAGCGCGGTTGATGTCCTTGTTCGCACATAGTTTCTTGACGATGGCCTCCTCCTCACTACGAGGATCTGGTCTACACAAAACCAGGCCGATCGCGAAGACAAGGTTGAGTTGACACAGGACGGAGGGATCGACAGTGAGTGGATCGTTGTAGCATTGGTCTACTTGGTCGAGAAATGTTTTCCGGTCAAAAACCTCGACGAGACCTGTTGTCTGAAGCAAGTCAAAGTGTCAGTGGTCAGGGACAACGGGGTGGTATGAGCAGTGACACAAGCCTACATTCACGAAATATGCCTCGATCAAGACGTCTGCCGTTCGCCTCTCTGGTAATACTCCAATCGCCATATTGCTCGGTGGAGGCTCAATTCTGGCCTCCATGATCATATGTCGTTTCGGATCCATGGTGAATCGGGATTTGCCAGCAATACTCTCCACGAGCATCCGGATCAGTTGCAAGTACGACAGAGTGGCCGAGTCGCCCACGTACACTGTACAAGAAGTGTTAGTCGCGGCTGTAGATGCAGTTTTCCATTATAAAATGACCTGATCCGGATGATTGTGACCACAGCAGCAACCCTCCGCTTTTTGTTATGGCGATCAACACAAGTAAGAGAGGAAGTTGAGCTTCACTTACATAACCTACCAGTAGAGTCTTGAAGCATTCTCTGTATGGAATAGGCTTCCGCCTCTTCGGCAGGACCACTGGTGTTGCTCATCCTCGACCGGGAGTCCGAGTCACCCCCGCCGCTGTTTCGTTGCCGGACAGGAGGCCGTTGTTCAGCCACAGGGTGCTGGGAGATCTCAGACCTGGTATGCGCCAGCCCAGGGGCCTCTGCAGAATTCCACAGCTTTAAATTTGCCATTTGAATTTGAGTGTGCGAGGGACGATTCTTGATATTGTCGAAACCTGTGTTCAGCGCCATTGGCGGCGACGAATCAAGGTGTCTCCGTTTGGTTGGCGACTCGATGGGACTGTGACTAGAGTCCGAACTCAATGGTGCTGGCGTGTACACACATTGTAGGTGTCGCTTTACACAAGTGTTGCACGGGTTGAGTCCGTTGCACTGAGGAGTATACTGTCAGCACCAGGTGGAACGTACTACCACGTCGAAAGATGACTGTAATATATTGCGTCGGGTGGATGGGTATAGTATCGTGGGCCGGAAAATTCGCATAGCTCAAAGTCGCTGTGGATGGCTACACAGTTGCGACCTTCGGTGAGACAATGTGAACTTTCGGAACGGAGTTGACTAGCCGCATCACAGGATTTCTTTCCTCGCGACATCTTGGGGATGATAGCAACACAATGACTGGGATCCAATTTGTGTCCAACTCTTCCCGTTTACAAGAGCACTCAAACACGTCGCTCTTGGGAAGGTCAAGCAGATTCAATGATTTTATTTGGGAAACCAGATGAGAATCAGAACTGACTTGTAATAAAACAGAAGAACTACCTTTTGCTTACGGCGCTTGCAACTATCGCAAGCGCAAGCGGTCCGTTGTCTCTTGTCGGGATCGACCTTGGGTCGGGTCATGATGCTTTCAGCCACTGGTGCCCTCGGGTCACATCCGCCATCCGATGCTATAGCCACAGGACAACGTTGAAGCCGGGTTCGCGATTGGAAAATAGTGGGACGTCGCCGGCTCACGGGGTGGACCAGGAGGTCGGCCTCGGATGCGGAAACCACTAAGCCCTATCGGAAGGAGAACGGGATGGGGCTCAGTCAGGATCAGCTCTATTGCTCAGGAGCGCTCATGTAGCTACTGTCCTGCCGACGGGCGGTATAGGAGACGGTGGGGCGGAGCTGCTGACGAGCCTACGCAATGCCAAACCGACGAGACGGATAACTCGGGAGGCCAAGGCGGACAAGGCCAGAGGGTCCTTACTCGCCCTGCCTCGTGCCTTGGAGAGACACCTTAGTGAGAAAATGGAGCTAGGTAATCCTCTCGAAGCAAGACTGATGACTGCGATGATGAGAAATAAGAAACAAAAGTGAGAAAGTAGCCGAACTGCATCGGATGCGGGAAGGTTTGCAGATATGAAAGACGCCTCGAGCAACCTAAATGTGCCATAAAATGCAAGGGCAGTTGACTTCAAGCTGTCTGCCGCCTCGCTCGACAGGCGAGACCGTGTTTGGCTTCCGCTGGGCCAGAGGCGATTGGAAAAGAAAGCAAGCTTCAACATGGCTCATGATTGGCGCGCTGACGTCCTGGAGCAATCGAGATGGCCCTCATTGGGACGCTTTGGCAGAGAGGGTGGCGCTACTTTGGCAGCAAGCACGTTGGGCGGACAGGCGCTGGGTTTGGGAATGTGTAAGAGTGATGCAGGCGCATGACAGACGGGCCGGGCCTCGATAGAGTTGATATATTCAGCGTCTCGTCCTAATTAGTGAGCGCCTGTTCTTTTCCCTCCACGACTACCGAAACTCTAAACCCTCTACTGATTCCCAACAAGGATGAAGATATCCACAAAAGTGAGAAATGACCATGATCCCCAGATCTTGGACCTGACGGAGCCCCAAGGTGCCTGGCTTGCGAGTTGGCTATCGAGCCTGGGCGGGGTCACTATACTTGGCCCAGGTGGGGGACCCTGGGAGACAAGGATCGGATGGTGCACCTGGGCACCAATGTCTCAATCAATCACAATCCTCTCGAATGGCAATTTATCACCCGAGCTCCGGTCATATATCTCGTGGCAGAGTTGTTCAACTTCGCTCTACATCATCTGTCCTATATTATTCTCACGGGGACCACGTGAACGGCCTGGGAAGTAGTGCGAACTGATTTCTAGTCTAATCAACAAGCCCAGCACAAGCTCGAAGGTTAATCGACTGAAGGCATGTGGACATGCAGCTGGATCCTGGTCCTCGCCTCGGATCCTGCACCTATTCGTCGTGGAGGCTGATACAGCGAGCCGACCCTCCTTTGGCAGCTCACATTCTTAAAAGGCCCTTTATTCTCGTCGTACTGCATGCGTCATCCAGGGTTCTAGCTGCAGCCTGTCACTAGAACGACTTTGCATCCAAGCTCGGTTGCAGAATGCGAGGCGGTGTCGACACACCGTCGACATGGCGGCAGTCATTGCCAGCGTGGATATCCCATGGTTGGTACCGCGAGCAATTTCGCAACAATTGATCATGGCACAAGAAGGAACATGTTTTGCATGATGCAATCGCTCCATTTCCTGATCTCTTGACTTAGAATCGGGCTGATACGCGTCAAGATTTGCATTGAGATGCCAGGGCTATGGTCTGTGGAAGTTGAGGCTCTGGGAGTTGACCCACAAGAAACGGGACCTTCTCTCCGCGCCAAGGTTGAGTCCGCGTTTGGTACGGTAGAGTCAATGCGACACTTAACTCTGAATAGAGCCGGATTGTCTCCATCACATGACGCTTACACCGGGTTCGAAACCCCAAAATCTCCTCACCTGGAACGGGACCCGGGTCTCCCACATACTAACTAGCCTGTGATGGTTCTGATGGCGAGCTCAGCAACATGAACCCCTTGCCTTACCGAAACCATGGGTGCCCATATCCACAGGAGGGATCAACATTTACGCTCGGCTCTGCCACCTTTACCGGCTATGAAGCACGGGAATCATCTGACAGTTTGGACCGCTCGGTATCCGGAATGTGGTTCATCTCATCTTAGAAATGCGGTCGTTTCTGTATGGCAGGTAGTAATATTCTGCTTTATTTCCTCGATGATTCTGTTCCAACCTTAAAACCCTGATGTCCTAGTTGTTGGGGCTTCAGTGGCGCGCAGATACTTTCTGCTGTTCTGATGGGAGCCTATCGCCTCCCAGAAACGACCAATATAACTTACCGCTTTGCGAGCAGCGGCTCGCCACACTCGGCTGTCACTATGGTCGTCAAACCATGGGAGGAGAATGCTGGTGCTAATAGCTCTAATGGCTACTCTGTAGTCGATGGAGCCTATGTTGCCCTTGAAGCCCTTGTGTCAGCTTGCAAATCAGAGCTCCCACTCCAGGTTCGGAAACATATGAGCAATGTCACTTTTTCTGCCTCAAATCCCAATCAAGATACAATATGTTTCCCCTGCCCCTTGAAAGAGCAAGAATCAGGCTCGGCACTCAAAGCTTTAGAGGGATGTGCTGCAGCAGCCATCATCGATCTACGGCATGGGCAGCAGCCAAGGGATGTCAAAGTAGATGTAGGGAGAGTGACCGGTTTCTTGATGTCTGCGTACCTGACCACCCTGGATGGCATGGGCAAAGGTCACACGAAAATTAAGTATCGGCTTCCTGGTTGGTAGATCAAGCACGCTTGCTATTTTCATCTGTAGCTGATCCTCAGGCACAGACACCGACCTCAACCAAGCCCAATCCGACCTCTACAGACGCCTGTCGGCCAATCTTTACGAAACACGCATTCCTGGTGAATACTATCATATCCATGGCTCCCTGGAGGCGAGCACCACCCTCCGAATGTTGGGGTTGCCCCCCTTTTTTCCTGAATTGACGGAGTACCGGCAATGTATCGACACTATTGAAAGCGCGGTCAGGAAGTTGACGGTTACTGAGCTGGAAGTGCGAAACAACAGGTTTCGGCAATCAGGTGTACCAGCACTGACAAGGAGCCAATTCTTGCAAACACCTCACGGCCAGGCCCTGTCAAATATTCCGCCATTCACAATTCAGCCCCTTGGCGAAGCCACACCACCTATGCCGTTCCAAGACATTGGAGCTGAACCTGATGTACGACAGTGCCTAACAGGAATACGAGTTCTCGAGCTCTGCCGTGTCATTGCTGGCCCAACGATAGGTCGTTCCCTTGCGGCCCATGGCGCCTCGGTTCTGAAGGTCACGTCACCGAAACTGCCGGATGTGCCTTTCTTCCAACTTGATGTGAACACAGGCAAACATACAACTTCGTTGCATCTCAAGGATGCGCAGAGTCGAGCTATTTTTGAGGATCTCCTGTTGTCAGCAGATGTCATTATTGATGGATACCGTCCGGGTGTCCTCGCCTCACTTGGATACTCTCCTGAGACCCTCGCTGCCGAAGCAGCCACTCGTGGACGCGGAATTGTTTACGTCGCAGAAGACTGCTTCGGTGGCACTGGCGTTCCTAGTGCTGAATGGGCTTCCCGTCCCGGTTGGCAGCAGATTGCGGACTGTGTTACGGGAGTTGCCTGGGAGCAGGGCTGGTTTATGGGACTCGAGGAACCTGTCGTTCCGCCCTTTCCCATCTCTGACTACGGCACTGGTGTGTTAGGCACCGTAGCTGCACTTACGGGACTCTACCGTCGGGCCATCGAGGGCGGCTCCTGGATCTGCCGCACCAGCCTCACACAGTACGACATGTTTTTGTTATCTCTCGGCACCTACCGGTCAGAGATCCAGGAGCATCTGTGGGAGAGGCATGACCGTGCGTTTTTCGACTTGAGACACAGTGATAGCGTTGACGAAGTTGGCAGTCGGGCTCTGCGGAGCATGAAGAGATTACACCCTTGGCTCTTTGCCGACGAGATGATGCATCGTGCTTCCAGTGAGGGATTTGGAGGTATTGTGAGCTGGCCGAAGGAACCTTTGAGCGTTGATGGCATGGACATTGGATACGCAAGGGCAACTCGTCCAAACGGATTCGACCTCCCAACGTGGGAAGGATGGGAGAGAGACGAGACTATGTTATGTTGATGGCGTAGGTGAGGTCGGACAAAGAAGCGAAGCGCCCCTTTTCCCGGAATCTTGTTTTAGGGCCGTTCCATGACCCATGCCTGGTCTTGTTATCTTCTTTGGACACGATGTCAACGACCAGTTGATGCATTTTCCCCCACCCCATCTCCTATTGTTATTTCGTTCTCTTTCTCTTTATTTATTTCTTTCTTTTATGCGTATTCATTGGCCATGGCTATGATTGATTGAGCGACCGTTGACGTTGAGTACTGTACGTTGGAAAGGGGGGCAAACAGACGCCTTGCGTATGAGTGTATTGCCGAGGAGAAATATAACGACTTTAAGAGCTTATTCATAATAAGACTATTTATACAGCCCATATAGTGTTTTCAAAGGTCAGGGACGGGAATAATTGCCTCTATCCAGCACTGCCGTAACTATTCAAGCATTCCTCTCTGAACTGCAGGCCATAAGGCTATAAAAGGGGGGGTTTGGGTTTGGGTTTGGGTTGGGGTTTGTACCTACGGGATCTCCTGGGAAGTCGTTATTCCACGTAGCCCAGGCTGATTACAAGAGACTGACTGCATCAGAGTGGGCCAAAATAGTTAGTGGTCTACAGGAATTGTACCCGTTATCCACCATTAGACAAGTGTAAGAAATTTAGAAACACCAAGACGGTATCACAACAATAAGTCGACGAATGTATGATATAATCTTGAAGCTACAGTAAAGCCAGTATGATATCAGGTAGCCAATCAAACACGCTCAATACTCCCAGGTTTATGTGCCTGCATACAAAGCGCTGAGGGTAGCTAATGGCAAACGCTTCGAAGCAGTCAAAGGGAATAATGCATACCCATATTGGACCTCGACTCTGAGTCTCAGGCTTTGACTCCTGCAACAGGGGGGTTTTCATTGTGTCGGTGAGGCCTGGTTTACTGCACCTGAGGGGAAAAGCAAACATGAGAAGAATAGCAGTCTAGCTGGTGCAGGATTCTGACGAATCAATATGACGCCAGTCAAGGACCTGCATGACGAATTATCAGCATACCACCGAAGGCTGCATCAATAGCTTGATCTTGGGATGTACGCCGAGGCCATACTATATTAAGAAGACAGTGTTGCCTGAAACGAACTATGCGACTCCAAGGTTCTTCAAGTTGCCACAAGTTGCATTAGTGCAGCAAAGATTATATGGCTGGCTGCTTCCACGCACAAGATATTGAAGTCCAGTAACAAATCTGAGCATCGGTCTGCGCGGGAGTGGTTCGGGTAAACTGCTATGACCTCGTGTCATTGATGCTGCAACGCACGGATTGTTCTCACGACCGCCAAGGCGCCGAACGAGCCAACAGGCCGCTTACGGGTTATACCCAGGGGAAAGGATGCCTTAGTGGATGGAGCCCCGCAGCGAAAAGAGCCATCGGACGATGTCTAGGCCTAGGGTCCCCCCATGGATAAATGAGACTCAAATCTCACCGCGCTGCGCTATTATGTGCTGTACCTGTATCCACCGGGCAGCCTTGCAGCATAACGGTCTGCTTGGCTGCCATGGACCCGCGCGCGATGGAAATTGTCCAGGCACTCGTGAACGTGGGCCGGAACTCTTTCACAGGGTTTCCGGCTTGCCTCCGCCGCATATCCGAACACGAGGCAGCCTCACGTTGCAAAGTGGGTGGACTTCGCCCCTGAAGAGCGTGCAAGAAATAGCAGCAACTTCAGAGCATTCCAGCGACGAAGAACAGATTGCAAGTTACACGCCAAAGGGTGATGTGACTAATAATGAATTGTGTAGCTAAAATCGTTGTCCTATGGTACTGTGTAGTTCCGCTGACAGGGCCCTTGCAAGTCGCACGGAAACCTCCGAATGGCGACATCCACAGAGAGCCCCCGGCGTCCATGTTGAAACAACCGGGTAGCATTGACCACATCTTGGGGCCGTCGGATTCCGTCCTAGTGCTGGTTGACAGGGGCCGCTTATGCAGCTTTGGGACAACTTATTGCCAGAAGCATCACAAATTGGTAGGTGCACTGTAGCGGACTTTGAATATCAATATGATATACGGATACTTGGTGGAATAACCAGAGCCCTCATGATCATGAAGTGTATATACATCAGAACGAACACATGTTTATGAAACCCCAACTGATAAGTCGTGGTTCGACACAATGATACCCCCCCCATTTTAGACAAGGACTGTCAAATATGTACAGCGAACTTGTAAACCTTTTCCAACTTTCCGTCTTTGAACTCCTGTCCAGGATAACGCCGAACCCAATCGTGATTCAAAAGCATGGCAACATTACTAGACAGGGCTTTCAGCCCAGCTGTCCTTCTTCCGCCCATCTTCCCTCTCCACGATGTAGTAGGACAATACCCGGTCGTAACTGCGACGCGTGTTGGATCGTTGCAAGTTGGGGGAAGCACCAAAGTCGGTAGAATGCACACCCAGAGGGGCGGATTGTGGTTGAACTGGATAGGCTTGGCCAGGAAATGTCTGGGGCGAGTATGGCGAGGGCGAATATGTCGGTTGTGGCCAAGTGGGAGAAGGTGGTATCGAGTCGACCTCTCCCGCAATGAAGCTCAGCCTATTCGGCCGCATGTGACCCAGCTCAGTGGCTTTCGTGTCCTGATCGTAATCGCTGCTCCTGCTCGAGGCCGTTGTAAAGGACTTGGTGAGATGAGCGCGATCGCCTTTCTCGTCGATGTAAGTTTCCTCGTCTATCCGCATAGCCACCTCGACAGCCTTTTCATCTTCGATGATCTTGGGGTGGCGCTTTGCGAAGTATTTTGCGTATTTGTAAAGGGACCAGTAGCAACTTGCCACGTTAACAAGGGTCAAGATGAGCTTGTACGGCATCTATATAATTATCAGTGATATTTCTTCAGAATGATTCTCTAGACTTGGAACTTACGTAGTATACTAGAACAACGGTCCAGCTGATACGCTCGTTCCGTCTGCGCAGGTGGACCTCGTTGAAAATGAGCGTGTTGAGCAGATACATGCCGATTGTGGCAAGGAGCATATATCCGCAGAAGTCAGGTCGCACATAGAATGAAATGGGTAGAACGAATGGCGTGAACAGGTAGAGAAGCGTCTCGTAAACCTATTTTAGTGAATGATTAGTAACGGCGATTAGAAGGGAGAGTGCTATTAGAGCTTACCTCCTGGAAAACAAAGAGCTTGGCGCCGAATTCCCACCAGCCCAGTCGCCAGCTCTTGATAATGTACTTCATGTTGTAATAGATTCCGTTGACGAAAAAGAAGTTCCAGCGCATGAAGCGTTGCTTAAAGACTGTCATCTCTCCAAAGCCGCCACGACTGCCACCGCTGCTGAAGAAGATCGCATCGGGAGTTTCCGTCTCGACAAAGACCGCGGAGCACATAGTGATTCTACCACCAAGACGACGGCAACTGTCACCGAAGAACCAATCCTCCGAGACCGAATATCCGGGGTGGTCGTTGAAGATGCTGATGAGAAACTTGCGGTTCCAGAGAGAGATAGCACCGTGGGGGAAAGTGGCACTTCCCATCTTGCCAGCGAGCAATCTTTGCAATCCTGAGAGCTTGTATTCGAGATCCTGCGCCTGTTGGCACCACGTTCCCTTGGACGAGTTGGGACCGACACTCTTGATAGTGTAACCAATACTCTTTACTTTTCCGGTGAGTTGCTCGCTGACGATGGGGAAGTTCGGTGGCAGTGCGCAATCGTCATCAATCAGAAGCACATTTTCGAAACGCTTAGCCTTGTAGCATCCAACGTATTGGGCCACGATTTTGGAGCCAACAGATGACCAAACGTGCTGTACACCGTACTTGCGACAGACGCCCTCAGTATCGTCAAGAGGGGTTTCCGAGTTACCATTAGCAATAACGAAGATGTGGGATGGCGGGAAGATCTTGAGAGCAGCTTCCAGAGTAGGGCCAATGATGTTCTCCGACTTGTAGCAAGGAACCAGTAAAGCCGTGTTATGAACTCCCGGGATAGTGGTACGGTCAAAGTCAGCAGGCCGTTCACCAACCTGGGGAGGCTCGTCCTCGAACAGGCATAAGAGTGGTCCGAAAGCATAGCTAGTGGTGGTCAGTTTTACGTTCGTAAGCTGAGAGATAGAAATTCCACTCACAAGACTGCAATGCCGATGGTAATAGCCCAACCTCCCTGAAGGACGAACTTGGTCTGAACAGCATAATAGAGCCACCATACGGCACCGTTCCACAGGGGTACACCAATAAGCACGAAGTAGATGAAGCAGAGCAGCAACGTGTAGAAAGTGATCTCGAAAAGGGTTTGGGCCCAGGGTTTCCGCTCGAGTTCCTTTCCCCTCAGCTTGGCCTTCTCGTATACTTCGTGTATACTGCTTCGCCTCACTCTCTGGGCGACACTGCGACCTCGTTGCAGAACAGCATCGGGAATGACCTTCTGGACCATGGCCTTGACCGTACCCGAACGCTGAGGGCGGGTTTCCGGAGCCTCGGACCATGTTGTCGACTGGGCAGATGACCTGCCACTCTTCTCCCAGTGGTTGTAGCTTGAACCGTCGTGGTCGAACCTGAACGTGTGCAGGGACTCGTCAAGGGTAGGGAAGGCTTGTGATGTTGTGTCTCCTCTAGAAGTAGGTCGGGAAGCTTCGATATCTTCCAGTGTGGTGAGGCGAGATGACCTTAAGGAAGACGTCTCCCTCTTGGTGACTGGGTCACTGAGTCTTCGATGCCCATACCCGCCATTTGCCGCGCCGAGTGAAGGCCTTCGGCCTCTGGGCTCATCATACACCAAGGAAAGTCTTCGTTCCTCGCGGATAGCGTCTTGAACCGGTCCGTTCTGTGCAATAACTTCTTGTCCCTCATCACGGGGTTGCCATCGGGTAGCGTTCGGGTTCCTCCTGGTAGACAGCAGACGCTGAGGAACGTTTACGTTCGCTACCTTGACGGAGCCTTGCCTGGCGAGACCCATGGTTGCGAACTTCTTAGTAAAGAGCGTGGTTTATGGATTCATTAAAGAATTATCAAATATCAAAATAGTTATAGAAAACAAGGAAGGAGTGTAGAGAACGACAGTATGTAGAGGACGGAGGAAAACCATCATCAGACCAGGAGCTCGCGGGCTCTCCCGCTACTTTATTGATCGTGAAAGAGCTTGTACATCAATCTCCCCCGGAACTGACCTCCTAGCAGCACACAAATTTCGTTCGATCCATTCGGGCCCTCCGCAATCCTACTCGCGCCCGCCCTGCGAGCCTCAGCTGGTAGGGATATTTGTCACGGAAACTGTCGACATAACATCATCCGCGCTACCAGCAGGTTGGTGCCCCGTCGTCCGCAGGTACATGCGGCGTGTTGCTTGGATCTCGAACCTCACCAAGGGGTATGTGCTTTCGAAACAGTCCCACTTCTATAACGCTCCAGGCCAGGTACTTGCTTAGTCTCGTATTCTGCACCCTGGTGTGAAGTACCCCGCCAACGGGGATCACCCTGGTCATGGGCCCATTGGACCATTTATAGAAAGGCGCCCACATACTCTATTGGGTAGGAGACCGACCCACCCACGTGGTTTGGGAGTCCTGACTTGCTCGTCTTCGGAGTTGGGAAAAAAGTCTTATTCCTCGTCCATTTCTGAGCCGCAGTGCCTCATGCTTGCAGGCCTAGGTGGACCACCTCATATTACAGGTCGGGCTACCCATGCTTTTGTTCTGAAGGCGGCGTGAGTACTTGTGAGGCCAGAAAACCCACAGATCCGGTCCGAAGCGATCTCGCCCACCGGCTTGACAGGTGCCGCGTAACCCCCTTAGTGGACTCACCTGCGACAAAAATTTTCCCCAGGCAAACATCGGCCGAAGCCCGATGGTGCGTATAAGTATAATACACATGATTTCTCCTTTACGAGAATTCAATAAGAGGGCATGACAGCTCCATTTCTTAAACCCATCTTTTCATGGAGATCACATAAGGCAGAATTTCCCCCCGGAGGAGATGCCGCCTTGTGTGTCTCACCTCGGACTTTTCTTCTCATCTTACAGTGATGAAGCGGGACGGGCGTCCAAGCCGGGCGTCGCGCCTGTGGACACAGCGCAGCGGATGCGCCACCAGACGACCCGGCCAGGGCATAATTGACGTCAACCACAACGAACGCGCCACCCCACGACTCTTGGTTCAGCCACCTCCAAGCAGTGTGTAGCTGAAAAATGCGGAGGTAACGGGTGAGGCTTGCTGCAGAAACGATTCACCCCAACTAGACCTGGAGTCTGATTCAGACGTCACCTGGTTCCTGCAAGGCACTAGAGTTCCAGGAACGCAACCGTTCAGCGGGCGACAATGCCATCGGAAGATCTTTGTCCTCGGGCACCCGACGTCTTTGTCTCGAGAGTCGACTGGTCTGGGGGGTTCACGCAAGAGCCCCTGTCATGCCGGACTTGGCCGGGTTGGCCGGGTTCTTGTCAAGCGCAGTCGAGTCAGCCCTAGCACCAAGGAAAGTCATTTCTTTTGACACATCGTGTCTGCGGCAGGACCACGGCACCAAATTGTCGGGCTTTCTTTTCACTTGCTGCCGAAACTGCGTGAAAATCTCGTGGCCGATGAAAAACCCGAGTTTGTTCCTACATTAGCCCCCGTCTAGTGATTTTCGGGCTTCTGTAGATCCTTGGCCCAAGAGGGTATCAAGCCAACTCTATTCCCACATGACCTAACAAGGCCGCTATTTCGACCTCCGCAAAAACTCGATGTACCTTTTCACATCAGCCACTGAAGCCTCCAGGTACTCTTCCGTCTCGTATTCAGTCTTCTCCCTTGAGTGGGCCTCCCAATGCGAGGAGTCTTGAGGGCACGGGCTTCATAAAGTAATGCGATGTGCTTCATAAAGACTCCCACCCCATTGCGACGTACGAGGAATTCCGGGAGACGTGGCGGTCTGCGCCAAATATTTCTACACCGATGTCTACGCCTACAGGACGTTCCACTCTATAAGCTCTGTTGATCACTAACCAACGTCCTGACAGCTTCCCAGTGCCTGTGAGAGATTGAAAATCCATACCGAGAAGAAGCAAGCTGGGTGCCATTACGCTGGATCCCAGCCAGCGGGAGGGAGCCGACCAAAGACCAAGCGTAGCCCAGCAAACCCTCTCCCATACCCTGGGCCCATAACCACCTTGTACGCGTCAGTCCAACGAATGACGCCAAAGGGTAGTTCCTCGCCTGGCCTGCCTGGGCCTAGTTTGGCTTCCGCAGGCACTTTTCTGTTGCCTTTAGCGCAGCTCTTTTACATAATAGAATTGCGGTAGAAGGGCTCTAGTTCCAACTCAAAGCACGTCCATGAGTCTACCATCATCGAGTCTCTGTCAAAGTCAAAGTTCCTACACCTCTAGACACAAATTTCATAGTACGATCAAACCCTCAAAAAACTCGGCTTTAATTATCATAACTATGCAGCGTACAGGATTAACTACAGCTGTATGTCTCACAAGGTGCTGGCGATTTCAGTGCATAATCAAGTTTCGAGAATGCATTAGTTACAGTAGCCACCGGCCCCGAGGACACTAGGAGCACCGAGCCGTCATCACACAGAAAAAGAAAAGTAGCTAAAGAAAGGAATGTGGCGGTCATCTTCCTTCACCGTAGCTGCAGGCACTATTTTCATACTTACTCCACCTATATCCAGGGGCAGTACTAGGAAAGCAGACTAAAATGCACCGGCAAAGATCATCAACAAACTTCACATGCACACGGCAAATCGCGAAGCGTTCTAGATCTGTGCTTCCCATTTTCTATTTCTTTTCCATTATAGCTTGACAGCCTAAGAGGTGTAAAGTCTAGAACCCCGTCCGTTGGGCTCCGAGTGAGTCCGTGCGGACAGGTTACAGCTGTATCAGACTATACCTTAGCCACATAACTTCGGTACTAGGTACACGAGCGGGATATGGATGTCGCTCTCGGGGCCTGATGCATGTCATCAAGCCACCGGCGATGAATTTGACGATTCGTCTGTCTCGCTGGCGTGGCCTATGCGTCAACTTCACGCTGGCCCGCTTGGCTCTCGATGTTCAGCACGGCGGGTGCCCGGTCCATCTCGTATTTTGGCAGTCAGCCTTGTGAGACTTTACAGGTCTTATTGGCTCATTCCTCAAAAACTACCTGAATAAGCAAGAGATCGTCTTAATGGCGACCCTGCAGAGTTTCATGGGTTTGATACCCACGTGTAGGTCTCCGGTTGAGGGGTTGGCCTGTGGAGCTTGATGCACCCAGTGAGTTTTCGTGCCAAGCATGGGATATACCTGGCTCTTCTTAGACGGCGGACTGACAATAGTCTCCGGCAAGAACTTCCCGCGAGTAGTGCTATGGCATGTCGAGAAAACCCACTAAATATTGGCAGCATACCATCGGCGACTTGTCTCCAATCGGGCTGCGAGGGTCATGCCATGTGAACTTCAGCTTTTAGGGCCGCAAGCAAAGCTGTCTGTGGCACAACACTTCATGAAGTGTCCGTCCATCCACAGAGGCATAGACATGTACGGACACTTAGTATCTACAACTTGCCGAGTCAAGCACAAAGCAAGTGGCTGCGCAATAAGTCGTAAGATGGCGTCCATGACGCGGCTCTTGAGTGGGTCTTGAAACACCTGGATAGGTCTTCCAAGACGACATCTACTCAGCTGATGGTGCGACACGGACTCTGCAGAACAATAGCATTATGCAATATGGCCTTCTTTAAACTTCACGACCAAGTGGTCCGGGACCACTATTCAGGCATGTACAGCAGTTACGTAGTATGTTGGTACAGATGCGTAAGAATTTTTCCGCCGACTCCTCATTCCTTTTGTCAGTATAGGACGATGGCCAAGCTAAATCAGTAGCTCTCAGCTGATACTTTTCACAGCATAGCAGACCATCAGCCAGCCTCCATACACGGCTTGCCGTGCTCAGAGTTTTCTTACCACGGTCTGGACTCGTCGAGGTCTAGACGCATAGACGCAGCCTGCCTGGGGGGCGGTGCTTCCTGGACGCTGAAGCATGAACCTTGGCCACGACTGACGCAAGCACTCGAGAGGAAGAGAGCACTGGGATCTACGCAAGCTGGGAGACAGTCCTCAAGGTGCTCTCGAACTCAGGTAGGGCAAAGCAGCTGACTGTGGCCGAGTGACAGGCATGCGACCTGCTCGCCAACACTTCATCCCTCATGGCTTGTGGCCTTGGTATGCCAGCGGGATCTCAGAACGACTGTGAGATTCTCGTGGCATGAAAACATACACCATCTCCTCAAATTCCTCCAAAGCATCAGAGCACAGCATGCGGTGCATGGAGATCATCATTGTCAACCGAGTTATTCGTCACAAAGCACATCGGCGAGCCCAAGAAACTGCAAGACAGAAGAACTTGAGGGTTGTGACGAACGATGGCGTGTGAAGTATCCCTAAATTTCAACCCCAATCATGGCATACCTCGTAACTCCTTGATGCTAATCCGCATCTCGAATGTGATAGAGTACTTGCCTCCCCTAGGAGATTTCTCTAGTGTTGTACAACTCCCGTCGACTCCTACGACCCCTATTTGGTAAACAGCTCCCGTTTTCTTGGCCGATAGCATCGGATGGGATCTTGGAGAGCACTGCTTCAACTTAACTCTAACGTATAAGAGCATATTGAATACTCACGGATTCGGCGATATATTAACACTCTTCGGCCGCCGCGTCCACTTGAGCGCATCCCATGTTTCCAATATTCCGCATCCTGTACAATCTGGTGTATATTCTGGTGTAGAAACCTCCTTCAGCAATACGTGTTTCAATATCAGTCCTAGAAGAATATGAGGATATTTTCCCTAGTACTTTGAGGTGTTTCCAGCCTTTCATCAGCCACTGCTTTTCTTTCTCTACTTCCGCAGAGCCAAGTCTTTATGACTTTCCGTACATACCGAGGCCCCAAATTACCACCTGTAGCTGGTGCTCACAGCTGGCTCGGCAGAATCAGCGGCTTGGAGGTTGTAAGAAAACTCGGCCATGTATTTATCTTGTTCCAGAGACGGTTGTTTCCAATGGCCAGGAGAGGTCAAGGGGAGGCTCACCACTGGACTTCCAGTCTGACCATGGGAAATGATCCCCTGAATTCATTGAAATACAAGGCCCGGGTGAGAATGCCATGGCACCTTGTAGACACGGATACGCTGGACTCGATAAAGCGGTCGTATACCTAGCCCTGCCCACGAATGATGGCTGCGGAAGCTTGCTTGATTGTGCGCTTTGGTATTGTCCAGATCGCCGAGAGCCTTGCGATTTCATGCCATGCATACCATACAACGAGAAAAGTTTAGTCCACCAAATGGAGATGTATTCCGCCTCAATAGGGAGACTGAGATCGATCAACCTACGAGACACTGCGCTTCTCGACCTAAGCCCGTACCATAGAGACCTCGCTCTGGTATGACCTTGCCAGCCACCACGATCGTAACCATTGAAGAGCCTATCGAGGGGTACACTGAGGAACTCACGCGTGTGCATGAAGCGAAGAGGTTTTGTTTTCTCGTCAGATACTCGTCACGAGCGCAACAGTGAAACGGCCCTGATCCAGACAATCTTATGAAGACACGGCCAAGGGGAATCGGTATTCTCGATGTAACAGACCTGGTCAATTGTGTGGTTGCTTTGCAGAGTATGTCAAGCAAGCTTATACCCAAGGCCACCCGAACTGGAGAAATGTTGTGGACCATGCCAGTGGGATGATTAAGGTCAGTACGCGTGTTGGCATTCTCACGAGGAATCAGTCAAGAAACATGCACCCTGATGAAAACAAGAAACTCGGAACTGTGCAATCAGGGTTCAGATTATGCCATGCGATGACTCGTTGCTTCGTAGCGAAACTAGGCTACTGCTACTGGACTTTTAGAAATACAGAACCAAAAACCCTATGCCGAAATCCCCCGAACTCCGATGCATCGACTGTCCTTCTACGTTTACTGCTTGTCACGGAGGTGACGCGGCACCCACTTGCCGGGGGCGCCGGATGCCTTGAGGGGTTCGGCGGGCGGGGTGTCGGTCCTCTCGGGACGGGGGCCGGAGCCAGAGGCAGCGCGAGGAGCCGGTGCGGGTGCGGCGGCACCACCACCAGAAGCCCTGGCCGCCTCACGATCTCTCCACGACGAGCCGCCGCCTGATTTACCAGCGAGGTTGAGTCTGGGCGGGCCGGCTGGTCGGTCATTTGAGTTGAGGCGGGGAGGACCGGATGGGCGCTCATCAGAGTCGGCTCTCTCAACCGGGGGCGCAGCTGCGCGGGGAGGCGGCAGGTCTCCTGAAGTAGTGCGAGATGCCTCTCGTTCTCTCCACTTGCCGGCACCCGGAAGGTTGAGACGAGGTCGGCCATCACTGGAGTCTGCGCGCGACATCTCGAGGGGCTCGCGTCGGGGAGGTCCGGACGCGGCGGCAGCCTTCTCAGCCTGTCTGCGGGCCATGGCCTCTTCCTCTCTGCGAGCCTGCATTGCTGCCCTCTCAAGACCTTCTTGTCTCTCCTTCTCACGCTGCTCCTTGAGCTTGGCCAGCTCAGCACGCTTCTGCTCGGCCAGCCGCTCCCTCTCTTCCTTCTCCTTCTGGGCACGCTCTTCAGCTTCCCGCAGAGCACGCTCCTGCTCTTCGCGCTCACGCTTCTCGCGAAGCTTGCGCTCACGGTACTCCTTCTTGCGAGCGGCGACCTGGCGCTCGAACTCCTTCTGAGCATCGCGCTGGCGTGCCTCGAACTCATCCCGACGACGTTCCTTGATAGACTTGGTGAAGGTCTCGTAGTGGGGCACAAGACGCTCCAATCTGTGCTTGAGCTCTACGTTCTCCTTGTGCTGCGCCTTGGACTCGGTGAGTGTGTCCTTCTTGATCTTCTCGTAGGCAGCCAGATCGCGCTCTCGCTGCTGGGCATAGTCTTCGGGCAGCTTCTTGGCCTCCTCCTTTCGGAATGCACGCTCGAGGTAGTCGATGCGCTTCCCGGTAACACGGAGCCTCTCATTAACGTCGTTCTTCTCACGCTCGAGCTGCTGGAGCTTCATAGCACGAAGACGGTTGGAGTCGAGGTCATCCAAGTTCTCCACGTCGATATCGATAGCATTGGGACCAATCTTCAGTTCAGCAATCTGCTTCTTGAGCTCCTCCTTGCGGACGCGGTCTCTCTCGTCCCTGAGACGCTTCTCCTCGCGGTCCTTCTGCTCCTGGGCCAGGCGCTTCTCCTCAGCCTCGGCCAAGGCAGCTTCCTGGCGGCGCTTCAGCATCGCCTTCTCCTTCTCCCTCTTAGCGTGGAGTTCGGATGCCTCTTCCTTGCGCTTGTGAATGATCTCCTTTCGGGCCAAAATCTCCCGGTGCTCCTCATCAGCGCCAGCCTTGGCCCTGGCAAGGGCAGCCTCGCGAGCCTTGATGCGAGCCTCGTTGTAGGTCGGGTCAATGTAGTAGGCAGTTGTGTGGAGGCATCTGGCCAGGCGGGTCAGCTGAGATCGGACGATCTCTGCCGGAGTGCTCTGGAGGCGCTGAACGGAGCCGGACTCGGCCTCGGCGGAACCTGCAGCGGAACCCGAGTGGACGGCCTTGGAGGAGGCAAAGACATCGGCGTCGAAGCTCAGGACACCAGTAGCATGATCCATGCGGATGGAAAGGTCTCCCTTCTTGTTACCGTTCATAATAAACTTCTCAATGGTTCCGAGAGTGACCTTGTAAGCCTCGGGGAAGTCTGCCAGGCGCTGGACAAAGGCCAGGTCGACAGTCTCGTACACCTGCGAGAGCTGTTGGAACAGACGTGTGAGGATAACCTGTTGCAGCGGCAGAATGTACTTCTCCATCTCGGGGTCGGCACCAATCTGGGTCAGAATGGGGGAGATCTTCTGGCAGATGGAAAGAGGGTGGAAGTCGACCTCGAGAATGTTGTACAAGTCACGGATCTCGGGGCGTGCGCGCTTCAGGAGAGCCTTGGAAAGGGCGTCACGGAAGAGAGATTGACGGGTAGGGGTGACGGACATGCCCAACAGGTGCGTCAACCGGGTGTTCTTGTTCTTGCGGGCCTCATCGAAGTCGACCATGGCGCCGCGAGAGCGCGAGGTGCTAATGACAGGGATGGAGAGGGCGGAGAGGAGCACGAAGGAAGCAGCCTTCTGGAGGTCGGCCTCAGAGGCAGGGGGGTTGTCGGCCTTCTTGCCCTGGCCAGTCGCGACGAGGGAGGCAGACTGGCGGAGGAGGTTGTAGTACTTGGCCCAAGCAGCAGCGTGGAAGAGATAGTTCTCGCCGACGAGGAAGATACGGGTGAGTCTCTCGTAGTAGTTGGCCATCATGACGTTCTTGGGGGGGCGCTTGCTCAGGTTCAGCAGGGTGTGGATGTCCTCGACGCTGCGGAAGGCCTCCTGCCAGAGCTCGAGCTCGACGGCAACGTTAAGCTGGCGGAAACGCGTCTCCAGGTGGCGCTGCAGGGTATCCGGGTCGTTCAGGTTGATGGCGTGCACCTGGGACGAGTACTTGGCGGCGGTCTGGACGTGGTTCCGCAACAGCTCGCAGAGTCTGCGGAACTCGGTCTTGCGCGCATGCTTGAGGCAGAAGTCGAAGGCCTGCATGGCCGTCTCCTGGTACAGGATCTCGAGCCTGGCATTATTGCGGAGGATGTCGAGGACGGTGCGGTATGCCTCCCACAGGAACTTGAGCCAGGGGGTGATGATGGCGCGATCCGTGCGGTCGCGGGACTGCTCGCTGGACACGGTGGCCAGGAGGATGGACTCGGGGGTCTCGCTGGCCTCCAGGTCATCGATGCTGGTCGAGGCGGCCGAGGCCTCGACGACCTCGTCGGCCTTCTGCTGGGCGGTGGCGACCTTGTCGGCAGCCAGCTGCAGGAAGGTCTTCAGGACCAGCTCGATGGTGCCGATGTTTGTGTTCTGGGCGATGTTCTTGTACGAGTAGAGGGCGTCCTTGGTGAGCTTGCCCTTCTTCTGCTCGACGGACAGCTCGACGAGCAGGAGCATGACGGGCTCGAGCGAGATGATGGCGACATTGCGGGATCGCTTGTTGGTGACATGCTCGTGCAGCAGGGTCAGGGCGGCGGGCTGCTGGCCGACGCCGATGAGCTCCTGGGCTCGTTTGAGCACGTTCTCCGGCTTCTGCTGAGGAGGCGGCATGATGGGCGACCTCGACGGCGATAAGCAGGATTTTCGATGATGATGTGTGTTTGGTGAGGGTTCACGCTGTGGAAAGAATTTCGGGCGTCTGTTGTGGGGACCGTGCTCTGGTGATGAGGGGCAGCCGCTGGCCGCTGGTTTTCTGTTGAGCCGGGTTTTTCCCGATGTGGGGACGGCCTATCGACCGTATCACGTTGGGTCGCAGCAGCCTAACTAATAGTACCATGGTAATTCCTTCGACGACAATGGTATTTCTTGCCTGTTCGTCCAACGCCGAAACGGGATCCCTCGAGGAGCTGCTGACGTGAGTTTCTTTCATCCATCATGCAGCGCCATTGCAGAGGCAGAGATTTCACCATGCAGCACGCGTTTTGCGTTTGGCGAACGCACCACTCAAGCTCGAGCGCATGTTTCAAAAGCCCAATCTAAGCCCGACAATGTTCGTCTCCAGATTGACCATTTCATAATAGATATGGCAATATCGTAATCCTTTAAATGTGAATCGTACGTAATAGCCAGTTGTTGCAGAGGGAACAGCACTTAACGCAGTCGGTGGACTGGTCATCGTCGCTCACCAACGTAGTGCAGCCAGCTCAGCGTTCCGTCCTAGTCATTATTGTCGGTGCCTGACACCTAGAATACACCTCCCGTCTCTTTGGCTGCAATGTCGAACGATTCAGAAAATTTCCAGTGACCGGCGCGTGATATTAATACCGTACGAGAGTGCGCTTGTTCAATCCTGTGTGTCCAAGTTAGTTTCGGTTGGCCGTGAGTGGCGCTGGCGCCCGTCTTCCACCCGCCAGTAGTATACTACAATAGACGAACATAGACCGTTTTGCCTCTATCTTCTTCGGACCTTGGGTCTGGGTTTGGGTAACTGTCAAACTCGAAAGCCGTCACCATAAAACAAAGAAGCCATTTACCATGCCGTGCCGTGGTTTGGGTAGAAGTCCTTGCCAATGCAATGTCTTCCCATGCCAGCGCGCGTCTTCCGCTGCTGTGAAACGACGCCATGAAGGACCCAGCCCTGATATGGCAATGATTCACAACGCACGTGCTGACTTATGAAGTCAAGGCTCGCAGTGGTTTTGATGATACGAACGGCATGCAAGGCGGGAAGTATGTGTGTTGTGAGATAAAATGGTTACAGGCCATTGTGGGAACGGATACCGGACGGACGCCTCAAACCAGCATGGTCTCATCATGAGTGCATTCTTCTTTGCGGTTCTTGGATATGTGCTGAAGTGGGCAACTGGACTGGAAAGCGTGAGGGAAAGGGAGAACTGAACCGTGCGAGTCCATAACGCATTCCAAACCCTATAGCCAAGAGTATGTGATCATTGATAACTCCGGCCTCATTCTAGGCTGCGAATGTAGCGTACCGTATTGTATACATGCCGGGCAACATAGATGATGCTTTCCTTACGCATTCTAGTCCATTTACCTTGTTGGTACCAGAACCATTCTTGTGCCATATCTCCTGGCAGTCCACGTGCGGGACAATGAGCGAAATCGGGTAACGTAAGAAGCTCAATATCAGAAGAACTAGATGGCCAAGACGAATTCTTATTACAATACACTTCAATGGGGGAAAAGAAGTATTTTGTGAAATCAAAGAAATTACTAGGCTCTACTTGGCGAGGCTGGCAGATACTGTGCCTACAGGCCTAATATATCACGGGAGGCTATTGCAGGATGATGTGTTTACCTAAGCCATCGCTACTATGATTCTTGGGAACATCAGCCCTCGAATAAGGAAATGTAGAAGTGACAACTTAACCAGACTTGTGTTCTACTCTCAACCATCCGCGACATGGTACAACATGGGCATTTCGACCTCCCAATTGTGTGCCCGGAAGAGAACCACCCGGAAACCTGCAATGACCGGGAAAGAACACCATACTACGGAGGATCTTATGCGGTGCGGTACTGGGAGTGCCGATATTTGCGATTCCCTCAGCCTGTAGCCTCGTCGCCACAGCCACCTTCCGGTGTAAACGGCAACTCAGAGAGGTTCGGCAGACCAATCCTGGATCATGCCCGGACACACGGTGCGACGCAGGACTTTATCATCGGCAAACCGATTGCGGAGGGCGTAGTGATGAAGACGGCCTTGTTCTATTTGCCCGTATAGATGCAATAGCGGAGGCCAGCTTCGTCTGGGCGTGAACACTTCACGTCCTGCCACGTCCTCTTCGGGTTTCTGGTTGTCATGCAGCGGGACAAGGTGTAATGCTAGGTGCGCTTCTACGCGACTGCAGGGCTTTTATGAGGCATCTGGCGGATGGATATCTGGGGTAAGAAAAGACTGGTTCCGAGTCACACGGAAGACCCATGGTAGCATCGGTTATGCTACCGAGTTGGAGGCGGTGCCCTTTGGTGGCCCGCGCTGCCGCGACGTCTGCTGCTGCTGCTGCTTCTGCCTCTCGCGTGGTGCAGACTGACTGTACTACCATTACTAAGGTGTGCATATATGTAGAACTGGCCTGTGCTGATTATTTTGACCTTCGCTTGCAGGTTGACGTCGAGCCTGGCCACCTGGTGTCTCAGCCGACTGACTTGGAGTAATACATAGCACAGCGACTTGCGCAGGTAGCATCGGGAGAGTGGGGCTAAAACGTTGCTGAAGTGTCTCGATCCGGAATGAAGGTGTGGATAATGTAATCAAGGCCAACGGAGATTTCAGTCCCATCTGAACTTTGCCGGCCCGCCACAGTACCATAGTAGATCGCTACAGGGGGGCTCGCTGCAGCGGAGAAGAAAAACAGCAGCACGACCAACTGTGAATAAGGTCCCCAAGTGCCTAGGTAGGTAGTTTAGCCAGTTGGCGGAGTGTCACCCTTCTCCTGCTGTGCAGTAACTGAACCTAGACCCCGAGGTGGTCGTCGATAGTTGGTACGGTTGCCCATTTGTTTGCTCCGGTCCCTGGGGACTAAAGTCCAGTGACCAGCAAGCCCACTATCGAAACGAAACTGCTTGGGCTGGGGCAAGCTGGCACTGGTCCGCATGCAAGCAGCTCCCCTTGGCCCCCCTTAGAGGCCAAGCGATGCTCGACCGAGCCAGACCGAGCAGCCGCCAAACCCAAAACGGGGGGCCGAAGGTACCTAGGTAATGTCCAATTTCCCTTGGGAGGTGTCCCCCTTGTTCCTCTGCAGCTTGGCCAGGCGCACAGGGCACACCCGCCTGCCCAGGTGCGCTGCCAGGTTCGATTGGTGGTCAGTGGGTGGTGTCCCCAGTCCCGTTGAAGTGATGTCGGAATCGCATCGCATCCCCCGCCCTACGAGAAAGGCTCCTCACAGGCTCTTCCCCCCCCCAGTTTTGCAGGTTGCTGTGGCTTGAGTCTCTCCCAGAGTCCCAGAGTCCCAGAGTCCCAGAGTCCCAGAGTCCCAG